AACCCATGAAATGACAAGAACAAGATAAGAATATATGGTGTAAAGTTATCTGCATAGTCTGTACAAAAAGAAATGTGAATGAAAAACAGTCTGATGAATGCTTAACTAATGAAATGATGGAGATGGTTTTTAAGTAGAGGAGGTCCATGTGGGACAAGTTACACTGTCCAAGATCAGATACATGTTTAAAAAAGTCCTTGACCTTGGTGTCATCCCACATATTGACAGCTGCTAAGTACTCTTCTCTCTTTCAGCCAAGCTTGAGGAAGGTCTCCAGCATGTGGGACAAAGTGTCAGGGGTACAAGTCTCAAGGAATAATGTGACTTTGGTGGTTGCCTTTTCTAAAACTGATAAGACAACTGGAGGCATTTCGCTTCGATGAATTTGAACTGGTGTGTAAACAGGCTGCTCTACCTCTGAGTCAGACACATCTAGTAATTCATGACCAAATCATGTGCATCTACACTCGTCACATATGTCACACTCGTCCACTTGCACCAAGTGTGACCAGGTCACATGTAATAGTGTCTGCATGATTAAAAGGCTACAACAACTCAGATATATATTCTGAAACTGGGAAATGTTATTTTGGGTGCTACAATGTTACCCTGTGCAAACCAATTTTATTCATTTATAAACCAAGAGCAGATAGCACCCGAGTGCTGAGTGATTGTTCTGATCACATGCAATTACAGATCAATATCTCTGTCTGCACAATTAAAAAGCTACAATAACTCAGATATATATTCTGAAACTGGGAAATATTGCTTTGGATGCTATAATGTTGCCCCATACAAACCAATTTCATTTATTTATAAACAGAAAGCAGATCCTGGATATTTTGTCAGAGGGTCACCTGATTTGTATGGCATGGACTTGGTGTGGACCCAGCATCACCTGCACTAATCATATGGCTCTTCTTCCTCAGCCAGTAGCTAGTCTTTGGCATCTAATGTATTGACAGTCAAACTTACCAAGACATATATTGAAGAAGATATACAATAAGAAGATGAACTCCTCATTGCCCTATGCAAATTAAGAAAAAGGATAGAAGGAGGCAAAGAACTTATCATAGAGCCCTGAACAATGATACAGAGCTTGGGCATGGAGAACATTGGAGGAACAAAGCAAGTGCTTCAGTATTGGTTGGGGGAAAAGAATTTGTCATTAAGCATGAGTTCTAATGGCCAGTATTGTGGATTGTTGATGTATGTTGGTTCTGTTGAGCAATGTTGAACTTGAAGCCTTGCCTTTGCAATTGAAGAACAGCCATCCTGTAAAAAGAAAAGGAAGAAAAGAATAGAATGAATGGATAAATGAACATTTGATTAAGATGGACCATAGTGGGCCATGTGGCTTGCCACACTGCATTATTTGGCTGATGGATGATGTGCCAATGTCACACAAATGTCACATTTTTCGAGCTGTTTCACAGCAGAATTTGGTCTTTTGCCCTTCCTGAAAAGACAACTTCACCTCGCTATCTAAATTTTTTTATTTGAACTTAAGTATGCCATTCAAATGCAACTGGAAAGTTTTAGAATAAAGAGTCAAGCCGATCTGGAGGGATCTGAGAGAACATTCCATTACTTTTGTTTGTCAGGTGTAATGAAAACAACAAATCCATGTCCCCAGACCACAAATCTTTGACTCTTGTTCTAAAATTTTGAGACAATAAATGTAATGCATAAATACACCTTCTGTGAAAATTCCAAGGCCCCAAGGCAAGTGGAAGGTAAGATAATCCACAGTTTCAAACACCTGAACAAACATAGTATGTGTTACGTTGCCACCATACAGTTCGGTACAGTAGCTGAAGTCAGGAAGATCAGGCACAGCACACACTTTATTCTGATGTATTTGCACTTGAGGTATGGCTACATACATAAGTAGTACAAAAAAAATGAACATGCAATGTGAAAAGGAAGTGGGTGGGAGGGTGACGAAAGAATTGTATGCTAGACTGGATAGTGAAGTAAGATATTAAGACTATCAGCCTACACTGGACACATGACAAGATAATGTTGAAATACTCAGGTTGTCGTGAGCACTTGGGTTGAATAGGGACCCTTGAAAACATGCAAGATCTTCTGATTAAAACTAGCTACCTATATACATAGTATAATTTGAAATAAAAGGCATCACATGAACTCCAGAATAACTAAGGAGAAAATAAGGGGCAATGCAAACATTGTTTTTGCAAACGTGATCCACTTGTAATTCCAACACACCCCTGCAAGCGCATTATGGAGTGGAAACAAACAGAGGAAAGAAACACACCCCCGGAAACTCAACAAAAAAGACAATCCTGCAACACTCCACCTGTCTTCAAAACATGACATCGTCTTCAAAATCAGAATCACAAACCACTGCCGCTGCCTTGCCCTTCAATTTCTTTGACTTCTCCCAGGCTCGCTTCTCTGGACAATCAGACTTGAAATGCCCCTTTTCACCACAGAAAAAACACATGACATTGGCTCCTGCATTGTTCCGCACTCCATGACCACCCTTTCCACCACCTGTGACTGCCATCACTTTGTCCTCTGGATCCTTCACAACATTTGAGTCACCGGATTGTCGCACTTCCTCATTCAGCAGGACATTGTTCAGGGTGGGCAACTCAGAAGGGGTTGCGTTGAAGTTGATGATGACAGGGTCATGCAAGGGGGGAAGTCCCATGGTGAGTGCAAGGATCTTGTCTTGGTTGGTAACATCAACTCCAGACTGTTCCATGCAAAACACAAGGCCCTGGATATGACTGATCCAGGCCTGCATCAACTGTCCAGCTGCCTTCTTCACAGTTAAGAAGTGTTGTCAAAGGGCCAAACTCGTTGCAAAACCAGCTGCTTGGTGGACGTGCTCCAGGGTCTCCCAAATCTCGAGTGGATCTTGGGAGCACATGTGCAACAACTGACCAACATCAACATGCAAAATCATTTCTGTGTGAGCTTTGTCCATCTTTCCAGCATCTTGTTTCTTCATTGCACTCTCCAGCTTGGCCGCAATTGTTGATACGGCTTTTACCTGATGCAAGCACGTTCCAAATGTGAGTAGAACAGCTGAGGGCAAGCACTGGAGTTCACAAGAGTAAAAGTGTATATTGTAAGTGGTAGCAAAAGATATAATGTAGACTATGCACCTGGAGTTCACAAGAGTAAAAGTGAACTCCAGGAAGATGAAAATTGTCCTACATCTACTGGATCATGTGCTACGAGAGATAACGAAATGTACAGAAAGAACTTGACATTTGTCACTCCCACTCAGAGAGTTATCTCTCACACAGCTAGTATGCCTAGTGCTGAACAGAACATTTCAAAGGCCTTGTGTAGGAGCTGCTTGGTGAAGATGTCGGCTAGCATGTCCTTCATTGAACAGTATTCCAGCCGTATCTCCGAATTTTGTAACTGTTCTCAAATGAAATGGTGACAGATATCGATGTGTTTTGCATGAGAGTGAGCAACGGGGTTGCGAGTGAGGGCTATACACCCTTGATTGTCTGCATGGATAAGGGTAGCCATGGTCTGGGGATATCCCATATCCTCCAACAAAACTCTCAGCCAGATTGCTTCTTTCATCGCATTTGATGATGCGACATACTCGGCTTCCACAGTGGACAACGCAACTGTCAGTTGCTTCTTCAACGACCATGAAACAGAGCTCCCAGCAACATCAAACACAAATCCTCCCACTGAACGATGTGAATTGGGGTCTTGAGCCCAATCAGAATCAGTCCAACCAACCAGGTCAAATGAACCTTCCCCGCAATGTCCGAGAACAAGACTGAAATGTGCGGTGCCCTTCAGGTACTGCATAATTCGTTTTGCAGCTTTGAGGTGAGGTTTCCCTGGGTTTCCCCAGAACTGCGAGATCAGACCGACTGGGAATTGAATGTCTGGCCACATCTGTGTGGCATAGAGTAACGAGCCAACGACCTCCAGGTAGTGAATCCCATTCGCATACTTGGTGTAGTCAGTGCACTCCTCCTCCATTTGGGTGACTGTGAAATTGACAGATCGTGTTTGACAGCGAGTGGCGTTAACACGGGAGCGCAATCCTGCATGCCAAAGTGTGCGAGGATGTGATGGATGTAAGCAGTCTGATTCAATGAGATGGTGCATGCCTTTCTGTCCCTCTTCACTTGAATGCCCAATATGTACTTCAGCTCACCAAGGTCTGTGATGTTGAACACCTTTGTGAGGTTGGTCTTGAACTGGGTGATGCGAGTGAGCGAACGTCCAGCAACAGCCATATCGTCAACATAAACCAGCACCAACATGACAATCTCACCCTTCTCTTGGAGGATATAGAGGCAATCATTGGCTTGACCCTTTTCAAACCCGAGATTCCTCATCACCCTGTTGAGCTTCGCCTTCCACTGCCTTCCCACCTGCTTCAAACCATACATCAGGAAAACGTCCGATTGAACTTTGGGCAACTTTCGCAACTTTGCAAAGTTGTAAAGTTGCCAAAGTTGCCAAAGTCCAACAACTTTGTAAAGTAAGGTACAATAACTTTCAAAGTTATCGAGCAACTTTGAAAGTTGTTGAACCAACTTTCAAAGTTGTTTGACACCTTTCCAAAGTTGGGGATCCATCTTTCGGTAGCACTTTGGCACCTTTGCTTGTGTACTTTGAATAACTTATTTAGTGACTTTGGATCTCAAGGATGGCATGGAACAGAAGAAATGAATAGCATTGATGTTCAATATCTAATACAGTAGATGTGTTGTAGATAAAACCCTAGCTAGATGCTAATCCAAAGGCTTCTCGCCTACATTCATCCAGTCACTGCTGCTCGACCTGCACGCTGCTGCTATCATATGGAGTTCGCTCAGTGGTCTGGAGGAGCAATGAGATCGCACCTGGGCATGGTCGTGGTTGCGTGGGTGTGGTCATGGTTGTCAATGCGTGGGCATGGTTGTGAACATGTTGGCATGGATGCATCGTGGTCGTGGTTCGCGATCGTTGTTGTGAAAATGTTGTGGTCATCTTTGTGGTCATTATGTCTTGGTTGTGGTAGTGGTGGTCGTATAGTTCGTTTCGTGGTCTGGAGGAGCAAGGAGACACGTCAGTATGTCATAAACATAAAAATGAAAGTCCCCCGCACCAATGCTCCATCCTCCCACGCTCACAATGAAAGGCTGGATCGGGGACAAGAACTATATCAGAAGATAAGTCAAATCAATAACCCATCCACAAGGTAGATAGGAGAAAAGAACTTACACAGTCCACGTGTCTTACTGCTTCGTTTCCCCCACTGCGTGTTTCACAAAAGTTGGCTGCTTGCCAAAGTATAAAATAACCTGCAAGGATGAGTGTTAGATTTAGACCAATACAGAGATTATAAGAGAAAGATCCATACTCAGGTTGTTGCTGTTGAGGTGAGATATGATGACCTGTCCAGAAAGACAGTAATTTCAAGGAAAGTTTGCAGGAACAGACAAACGAACACTTACGAGATGTATCATTCTAAGCAGCTAAGGCACGGATTGCAGTTCAAATGGGTTGCCATCTGAAAGCGAGACTTGAAGTTTGTGAACAAGGGGAGGAGAGGTAGGGGCACAAGAGGACCGTGAGGGTGAGACAGGCTGAGAAGAGGGTGAGTGGTGACCAATACAATCGGCATCAGCGAAGAGAGCGAACAGAAGAGCTGGTGGGGGAGGAAGAAAGAGCGTGAATGCCGAAAATTTCTCTTGAACCAAGGTCACGTGAACCCGTCATCACGTCATTCTCATGAGGGCCGGGCAATTCAACTAGTGCAAAAAACGAAAATGGCGTGCATCTTGTTGCCAAATCATTTAGAGGTATGTTACTTTGTTCCTCTATTCGCATTTTGAGGACTTACTTTGGCTACTAGATATAACCTTGCTTGCCATCATATTCCGCTCTCTTCGCACTTTCAGTCACTCCACCCTCACAAGCAGTCCGCTCAACACAAACGACGATGAGGATTCACAAGTGAATCTGTGACAACTACCTACTACAAACCGAAGCGATATGCGAAGGACGAACAAGACCATGATAACGCGTACACGAAAGCTTACCATTCAAATCTAAAGCGTAAATTCTACTGGAAGGACACGGGAGTGTGGGAAACGAGCTGATATGCTGGGTTGTGAGGAATGGGAGAAGGTCATGAATGGTGAGTACCTACATTGCTTCGTCCATCCTGCACAATACTAATTGTTTACCCTCACAAGCAGTCTCGGTTAACCACTGCACGTGTCAGCTTCCAAGCTAGGGGCATGCTCAATGCCTCCATATTCAGCCGACACAATGTGCCCGATCCCCAACATCCCCCACCACACAACCAGAGGTCAACAAAGATGATGACAGAGGAGCTGTTGATGGCGACATTTTGAGGGAAGTCACTCTTGCGAGAAAACCATGTATGTCGCTAGATTTCTTTTTTTATGAACTCATTGACTGATGGACCTTGCTACATATAGTCCCTAGGCCACCATGTGAGGTCGCTGCCCTTGCTGATTATTTGGGCACCCCAGAACTTCCAGACCTTGTCCGACGTTTCCTGTACCAACAAGAAAACCCCGACTCCCTTAGGCCTAGTGCCTCTCAATGACTGCCCATTTCTTTCCCATGTGAAAGTCCACGTCTACGCCTCCGCTCTCGCCACCTACTTTGCTCCCAGTGACAAGGCTGGCACACGAAGAATGTTTCGAGAACGTATTTGGCAGTCAGCTGATGGAGGAAAGGGCCCTCAAGATATGATTGCACTTTCGTTGAGCAGGACAGCAACCTTGAAGGCTTCCGCAGGCTGCTCATTGCACACAGTGTCCGCTCTTTCCTTTCGATCTGGCATCATGGCATTGTGCATCCATGCTCATCTGATGGGTGTTTGTGATGGCGCAACACGCCTTCCTCACAACTTTTATTTTAATGATAGTTTAGACTCTTTCAAAGCCTTCTACGTAAATAAGTATATAGATCATCATACTCATGAGATAGCCTTCAAAACTTCTAATTTTACAATTTTCAGTCTCTTTTCAAAGTTTAAACTCCAAAGTAAAAGAGGTTCATAAAGTAGTTCTAAGAGTAGAAATCAAAGTCAAAGTTATATTCTTGAAGTGAAAGTTCACAGTAAAGTTGAAATAGTTGCTCAAAGTTGCTAACATCAAAGTCTAAGTTACCAAAGTGTAATTGGATGTTTTGCTGATGTACAAACCTTCTTCAACTTCCAGTACCACCCCTCCTTTCCTTCCTCCTTCACCCCCTCAGGCACCTCCATGTAAATCTCCTCATCCAACGACCCTCGAAGATAAGTGCCAACAACATCAACTTGATGAAGCTTGAGATCCGAGTGTGCGACGAGAGCAAGGAGTGTGCATAGAGTGGTGAACTTTGCCACGGACAAGAATGTTTCCGAAAAGTCCTCTCTGGGCACCTGCGAGTAGCCCTTTGCGACAATGCGAGCTTTGTGCTTGGCCAGATCCCCATTGCCATCGTGTTTCTCCCTGAAAACAAAACGGCTGCCAACTGCTTTTCGTCCATGAGGGAGACTAGGAACCCATTCAAAAGTGCCAGTATTCCTTAGCATATCATATTCTGTCGCAATCGCCTTCTCCCACTGCTGCGAGTAGGGTGACTGCATAGCCTGTTTGTATGTTTGAGGCTCATTTGGATAGGTCACGAAAGCATGATTGTCAAGGGTGCGATTGGATGCAAGTAGGAACTCTTCCTCAGTAGCTTCATCTCCTGGGGGAGCTGCAGGTTTTCGTTCGCACCTAGGGTGGTCTTGTGGTGGTAGGTTGTCCCATTTCGATGTCTTCTTTGGAACTGAAACATCAGCTTCCAGAGAGGGGCTAGCATCATCTACTGAAGATACGGGGGGTTCCACAGGAGCTGCAGGTTGAGGACTTGATTTGGACTGAGAAATGGGAGAAACCGAACCAGCTGTTTTCCCAAATACATCATCCGGAACCAATCTGTTGATCTCAGCCTCTGTCAGAGCAACACCTCGAGTTTCAATAACTGCAAGATCCCCCAGACTATCATCTTCAGCAAAGTGGACATCCCTCGCAGTGATGATTTTCCCAGTCTCAATGTCTTCCAGACGGTACCCCTTCGTCTCATCTGCCCACCATCCAAGAAGGCGACATTTGATAGAAGTGACCTAGCTTTCCACCATGAACCTTCTTCAGGATATTGGCATAGGCGACAGATCCAAATATCCAAAGGTGAGAAACATCAGGTTTGATGCCTGACCAGGCATGAGCAGGGATGATATTGTTGAGGGCAGATGTGTAGGTTAGACTTCGGATGTAGACAGCGTAGAGGAAGGCCTCTCCCCAATAGTGCAGGTCCATCTTACTAGCATGGAGCATGCACCTGACCATCTCAAAGAACACTGCGATAGCACACTCTGCAATCCCGTTCTGCTCAGGAGTGTAAGGGACTGTTGTCTCCAAGACAATCCCATTCTTCTGACAGAATGTATTCATGAGTTCATTCACAAACTCCGTCCTGCTGTCCACTCTCATCTTTTTCAGCTTCTTCCCTGACTGTCTCTCTAACATGGCAACAACTTCCTGTAGCACTGCATAGGCCTCCTTCTTGGAATGCAGAAGACGACCAACTGGCTTTCGACAGCTGACTTCAACAATGACGAGGGCGTAAGAAGCCCCTCCCCAAGTTTGAACTGACATGGGCCCAGTGAGGTCGAGAATGATGAGGTCCATCAGCTCGTATTTGGTGGTGCTTGCTTTTGGGAATTGAAGTCGATGTGATTTGCCAAGCGCGCACCCCTCACAAAGATGATCGTATTGGTTGAGCAAGTTGATGGACAATAGTGTTTGAAAGTTAGGTTAGTTAACCGGAAAATAACCAGAAAATAACCGGACCTAACCACAACACTAACCTAACTGCAGTTAGGGTTAGTTGATTTCGAAAATGGAATAACCGGTTATTTTGCGGTTAACTAACCGTTAAATAACCGGTTATAACTGGTTATAGCCAGCCCTATTATACACCTTCAAAACGCACTTGAGAACGTTGAAAACGCTTAAAATTTGACTAAGTTACAGTCAAATCTCTAAAATATCACTCAAATGTGTAGACTTTCAAGGATAATTGCATAAATATGTCAATTCTTCACCAATTTTAGCGTTCTTGGGCTCGTTTTAAAGCTAGAATATGCAGAAATAATATCTATCAAGATAAATATGAGCATATTTGCCTTGTTATAACCGATTCTTTATTTTTCAGTCCTAACCGGTTAGTAACTGCAAATAACTGACCGTAACCGGTTAGTTGCGGTCCGGTTAGGTTATTTTAGGTTTTGGGACAAAGGCTAACCAGTCTCGGTCTCGGTTAGAGCCCCTGGGCACCCAATAACCGGACCTAACCGGACTTTCGAACACTAATGGACAAGCCTTCCACCATGTTCTACCAGTACATTCTCTGAATTGTGTCCAGACTGATATGGCCAAGGTGATGGTGCCAGAGACAAAGACTCCCACTGGTGGCAACATAGGCAGACTCAGTTTTCATTTGGGCAACCTCGACGTGGTACAAGGTGTCTGACTTATCAACAAACAATGCACAGAAAAGCTCCTCCTCTCCCAACTTAATCACAATCCCATTCTGATAGCTGCTAAAACCCATGCCCTGCTGTTGTAAAGTCCCAAGACTGATGAGGTTGGCGGCAAGCTTGGGGACGTGGAGAGCACTGTGAAGGGATATAGCACAATACCCATCTGGCAACCGAGCCTGGAAGCGGATGGTACTGTGGCCTGCAACAGGAATGTCATGGCGATCACCAACAGATATGGACTTGGGGGTAGACATTGGCGTGTATGAGGTAAAGAAGTGGCGGTAAAGAAGTGGCAGTCACAAAACATGTGGGAGGTGGCGCCGCAATCGAGAAGCAACTCAGTGTTGATACCAGACTCCTTCACATTGACCCCAGCCATAAACACCCGACCAATTTCACAAGCTCCAAGATCCCATAGGTTGGAAACAGCGAGGTTGACCAAACCCCCATTGTTCTTCTTCTTGTCCTCCTCACACTGAGGGCACTTGTTAATTCAATGCCCTTTCTTGTGACAGCAGCGGCACTTGTCGTTGGCCTTCAGGCCTCGGCCTCCCTTCTTTTTGGAGTCACCTTTCCCAGAAGCCTGCTTCTTCCCAGCAAGGAATGCGGTCTCGCTCTTTTTCTCATGAGCAGTCCGATTAGCCATAGCTTGAAGCTCCATCAAAACAATATCTGAGGTGAGCTTGTCCTTGCTGAAGAGCTGAACTTTGACAAGTTCCCATGTTTGAGTTTGAGGGAGGGAGAGGACGAGGGCATGCACGATGTGGATATCGGGAATTTCCTCACCTGCCACCTTGATCTTGAGGCCAAGATCGAGCATAGCTGCAATGTGGTCGGCCATTGACGTCAACTCGTTGTATTTGCACGTATAGAGGTCTTTGAAATAGTAGTGGACATTGATGTGTTGCTGGTTGGTGACGTACTTCTTCTTTCATGCGTCCCACATCTCTTTCGAAGTTTTCATCTGCACGATATGGGGCCATTGCAATGGCTCCACCACTCCCTTCATCAACCCCTGAGCTGCCTGATCCCTCAGCAACCAATCGAGCCACTCCTTCTTTGTCGCCTTCCAAGCTGTGAGCACCGTCGGTTCTGTAGGCTGTGTGTCTGAGTGCTTTGTGGGGCAGGGTTCATCTCCAGTGATGATCAGCCAGAGATAATGTGCCTGGAGCAAAGACTGCATGTGTTGGAACCACAGCGCATAGTTTTTGCCATTGAGTTTGGCGAACTTGAAGGCTTCAGTTGGTGAAGTCGACATTTCGACTGATCCACTGCTGGGGCCCATAACCTGACGCAAGCATGTTCCAAACGCAAGTAGAACGGCTGAGGGCAAGCACTGGAGTTCATGAGAGTAAAAGTGTATATTGTAAGTGGTAGCAAAAGATATAATGTAGACTACGCACCTGGAGTTCACGAGAGTAAAAGTGAACTCCAGGATAGGTATTGTCATGGGTAACCCCTGGGTACTTTCGGCCAAACCCGTACCCTTACCCGCAGAAACCCCTACCCATGGTTGAGGGTAGGGGTTTCTGTGGGTAAGGATATGGGTTTTGGCGGGTTTGGCGGGTTTGACGGGTCTGGCGGGTTTGCACCACAGTTAGGTATTTCGATTATGTATTACTTTGCAATGTAACATGCAACTTGGTAATCTATCATACAAATGCTAAGATATGGATGGCAGCCAGCAAAACGAGTGGCGTAGTGGGTCCGTTGTTGGTAGGTGAAGCCACCAATGTGACAGACACGCCTTGTCTATCGTCATCGTCGCTGTTCCCCCCTTCTGCCCATCTGTAGCTCACCTTCCTCACTACACTCCCTTTATCTGTCCTCACCAATGGCTTGCATTCTTTGAAGGTGAACACAATGACCTTGGGGGGTATTTGGGCATGTCGTTTATTGTCGTCGCCGTTCCCCCTTCTGCCCATCTCACTGTGGAAGGACGACAATGATCGTCATTGACTCATTGTTGCCCACGTCGTTGCCATTGCACATATGCATCACGGTCATCCTCGTGTGTTGAATCCTCAGCAGCCTCCTACTCAGCAGCTTTGGGATGGAGGGACTCACTACGACAACGATTACCGTCGTCATCCGTGGCATGGTTGCCACACGTACAGGCACAGGCACAGGCGTGTGTGTGGGTCGGTGGTGCATCAGCCTGGTTTCGGCGGGGTAGAGAGGGGTGGTATTCTGGGAAGGAGAAGGTGGTGTTGGTGGTGGGGTCAAGAGTCTCATGTCTTCCGTCCCTTTCCCTTTGGCGGGACTGGGAGTATTTGCTCCAATGCAAGGGGGTGATGTTAATGTACAAGTCACGTGCTCCTATCGTACTCCTATACTACGTAGTCTAACACCTATGTACTGAGTCACTACATGTCTAATACACTCTTGCTTCCTGCCTCCATCTCTCAACAGGTTATGGGCCCTGAGGAGTAAGTTGTCGACTAGAATTTTCGTTGTGAATCGACATGTTGACAGTTTTACAATGTGAAAAATGAAGGAAGAAATCAAGGCCACATGGGACGTAACTGACTTGGGAGAGCCAAAGAAAATTATTGGCATTGAAATCTCTCATGTTGGAAATACTGTCACCATTTCCCAACAACGCTATATCAAGTCAATTCTCAAACACGAAGGCATGACAGATTGCAACCCTGTATCAACGCCTATGGATCCCAAAGTCAAAATCTTACCAAATCCGGAAGGCAACGAAGGTAGCCGAAGTAATTACTTTGCACAAATTTTAGGCGAGCTGCAGTTCCTTGCCAATGCCACCCGACCGGATATTGCATATACCATCAACCGTCTATGCTCTTACACAGCAAATCCCACTGTGCAACATGTCACAGCCTTAAAACAAATTCTTCAATATTTAAAAGGCACCAAAACTCATGGAATAACATATTCCAGCTCTCATAGCGACAACAACAATTTATTCCATGGTTTCTTTCATGGCTTTTCTGATGCTGCCTATGCTGACACAGAAGACTACAAGTCAACAGCAGGCTATGTCTTCATCACAGCAGGGGGAGCAATAACATGGCGATCTAAAAGACAAACATTCACTGCTCTCTCAACAACTGAAGCTGAATATGTGGCTTTATCAGAAGCTGCTCGAGAAGCTTACTGGCTCAGAAATCTCTATGAAGAACTTGGATTTGCACAAAAATCACCAACTATGATTAAAGGTGATAATAATGGATCAATTTCAATGGCCAGGAATCCCCAATTCCACCACCGTGCCAAGCACATTGCTATTTGATACCACAGAGTACGAGATGCAATACAAGAGGGCATTATCAAAATTGATTCTGTCCGTGATCCTGAACAAACAGCTGATGTACTTACGAAGGCTTTACATCGCTTCAAACATCGAAAACACGTCGCAGAAATGGGAATGAAGTCGGCACTGGAAGGAACTTAGAACAAGTGGTAGCTTTTCCCTACCCTTCCAGGGAGGTTTTTTAATGCACCCACAGTTCCTATCCAATGAATTTACAGTCGACGACTTGAAGGGGAGTGTTAATGTACAAGTCACGTGCTCCTGTCATACTCCTATACTATGTAGTCTAACACCTACGTACTGAGTCACTACGTGTCTAATACACTCTTGCTTCCTGCCTCCATCTCTCAACAGGTGACGTTCTTCACGTTGCCACATGTTGTGGCTTTGGGATATATGTGAGTTTTATGATGCTTTAGATTCTGATTCAATGACTTACATGTTTGAAGGTCGTTACCTTCCGAACATTCTCCGGCCTTTACGACATCACCAACAACATCAAGTACATCCTATCTGCCTTCAACAAAGTCTGTTTTGGAGTTATCATGTGTCTATTGTCGACCTTCAAGGTAAATCATAAGTCTTTGTTATTATGCGAGTGTTCAAAGACCTACCTTCACATTTAGCTGCTTCAACATGCTATTGCCTCCAATCCAACTTCCCAATGCTCGCCACGACATATCAACGTCCGCCAAACGGGTTTGGGTCATCATGGATGTTCTGCAACGTCGCCGTATGTTGTAGCTTTCAGATAAAGGTGAGATTTACATTGGTTTGAGTTCTGATGTGCTTACTTACTTCTCTGAAGGCCGTTTACACCCATTACCAGCTCCTGAAGGTTCCCCAGCCTTTGCAACGTCACCAAGTGCGCCCTAGCCAACCTCAAAGCAAATCCGTGATCAAGTTATGACAATTCTATTGTCGAGTTGAGTCAATGTTGAGTTTGGATGGGGATGTTTGAAGAAGAAGAGCCGGAGGAGGTCGAGTGTGGTGGAGTTGACACCAGCTATGCCACCATAAGCACATGAGAAACAAAACGAGGACAAAAGAAGGGGGAAAAAATGTACCAAAGGACTGTCATAGTCCCTCTCCCTCCAAACAATGTTAACGGTTGACAGTTGTCGTCGTCGTGCGTCATGCGTCGTCATTCACCGTCATTGCTCGTCATTGTAGGCATCAGCTCGTTGTTGGTGTGTGCTGTGTGGTTGTGGGCGATGTGGGGGGCGGTGGCTGGTGACAGTGGTGACGCGGCGGCACTGTGAACAATGGTGAAAACAAAGTGCTTAGTTCTTTAATGTGTCTTGCCACGTTCGTTGAACCCAGAGGTGTGCTATGGGAGGGTAAGGATTGGGTGAGGAGCAAGATCAACAGTGATCTATCACTGTTGATCACGATTTAAACTCCGATGAAAAACCCGCCGTTAACCTGGTGGGTAACCTGCCAACCTGCACTGAGGGTATGGGTATGGCGAGGGTCAGACAAACCCAACCCATACCCCTACCCATATGTACCCTTACCCGCAACCTGTGCGGGTTGCGAAACCCATGACAATCACTACTCCAGGAAGATGAAAATTGTCCTACATCTACTGGATCATGTGCTACAAGAGATAATGAAATGTACAGAAAGAACTTGACATTCGTCATTACCCCCCCCATCTGTGTCTACTCCTGAAATCGGAATTTTGACTATAGACCACAGGCCCCGCCAGACAAGGATGGCTTCCATCCGAATGGACCACTCAGCATAATTGGAGTTGTTGAGATTCAGAAAACAAACAGTGGTGTCAGTCATAGTGAGGAGCAGGGATTATTATAGCAAAGGAAATAGGTGAGTGGATCCTTCAAAAATCTTCTTCACAATCTTCAGTTCTTCTGCAGTGATATTGGGCTGCAACCGTCTTCTGCAGATATGTAGGTTCTGCAACCTATGAGGCAATAGCTCGGGCAACGGCACAAGAATGTGTGTGTTGAGTAGGGAATAGGATAGCAGGATAAGCAGACCAGCAGTGAGGGTATAATGCGTGTTTGTGTTGAAATGCTCAGGTCATCGTGAGCACTCAGGTTGAATAGGGACCCTTGCAAACGTGCAAGGTCTTCTGATTAAAACTAGCTACCTATATACATAGTATAATTTGAAATAAAAGGCATCACATGAACTCTGGAATAACTAAGGAGAAAATAAGGGGCAATGCAAACATTGTTTTCATGAACGTGATCTGCTTGTAATTCCAACAGATAATTTGTCTTGGAATGCTCTAAAAATATATTTTGGAAGTTCCTTATTTTTTCCCTGTTTTCCACCCAGAAATACATAACACATCTATAAAGATTCTTTTCAATGAATGAATGTCAAATATTGATAAAATATGTTGGAAAACATGTAGAACATATTGAGATACATATATAGACAATTCAAATTAACCCAATATCTTTCAAGTAAGTTTCTATATGTTTTTAACATGTTTTATAAGTATTTAAACTTCATTTATTGAAACCAATGTATTACATGTTTCTTACTAGAAAACAGAAAAAAAATAAGGAACTTTCAATAGATATTTTTAGAGTATTTCAGTGCTAGATAAAAAATGAAGATCTTACCTGGTTGAGGAGTGAGATGTCAAGACGAGAGCCTATCGGAAAGGGGCATCTCTATCTCACTCCTCAACCATGGAGGCTTGATCTAAAAATATATCCGAGCCTCCAGGCGTGCATCCAGGCGTGGATCACGTGAAGTACGGAAAAATATGAGCGGCGGCTCGGAGTCGTGTGTCAGCGGACACACGACTGTCTCTGTGCGCGTGCAACTAGCCTTGGTCGGCTTACATTGGACTTGAGTAAACACTTTGTTTAAACTCGACAATATTGGTCGTGTTCACTCTGCTTATAGCGAGTTTCCTGTATGGTTTCCTAAACGAGGCCTAGTAGCACTGTAGCACGCAGGCTGACCTCTTTACTCCGAGGCCCCAAATCACCAACCTCCATGTACTCTTCCATCCGTAGAGAGCTGGATTTCCATCCCCAACTCTTATTGACCGCAAATACATCTGGAGAACTCGTGAACCTCGTTTGCGAGGACCTAGTCGCGCTGGCGCAGCTGACTGAGAAATATGCGGCTACCGACGGTCGGTGATCACGAAACGGTTGCGGAGGCGTCAAGGGCGTCGATGTCGATGGTATAACCAAACCCCCTGAAGTCAACGTACATGACGACGCCGGAGAAACAGAGGGCGTGAAGGGCGGTGCCGTTGTGCTATCAGAAGTAGAATGTTGTGGTATCGTCCGTATCAATGGAGCATGGTGGCTGGGGACGGGAGAGGTGGGAACGAAGATAGAGGGGAATGAATGGTCCGTTGTGTGGAGGTCCTTTATTCTTACCATTGGCGCTTGACATAGTCGGAGACGATGGTGCTGGAATAGGATCAGTACTCGATTGACGATGGAGATAGATCCCTAGTTGCGCCTGTTCTTTTTTCCGTAAAATTTGGACATAAATATTGAAAAGACTGCCGCCGTACCAAACGGTATGCGAATAAAGACGACATTTGTCTTTCAAGCAAGCGATATCCCAAAATTCGACGGCAAATCGATAGGGCGGGAAGGGCGACCACCGACACTTGCCCGTGGGATCTCTTTGGCAGCATATCAATGCAGAATGTCTTGATACTGCAAGGCCAAAGAAGGAAGACTCCGTGGTAGAAACCTTGATGCGATGATCTACCACGTTATGCCCTGGAGATCGACGTCCAGAAGGCGATTGAGAAAATGAAAAGAGATCATCCATTGAGATACTAGTTCCTTCCTCGGGGGCGGAGATGTCAATCCTCAAGTCTCCAATTCTGAGGGACGAATCACTGGGTACAGCGAAATACGATCTCTCTAATTCAGAATTCCCTGTGTGAGATGAATTGGTTTGGCAGTTGGATATGGAATCCAAGATATCGGCGGTGGCCAGAGTAATCCCCAGTTCATTCTCGCTAAGTGGAGGAGATGAAGATTGGGCGGTCCCGTTGACGCTAGGTCGAAAGATAATATGATGGCGGAGAACGGATTGACTCCAATGTGCGGCTTGTAGCACTGATAGCGACACGTACGGACGGTTCGTGGTGGGAGAAATATCCTGGGATATTGACATAAGGTCTTCCGTTGTCTACCGAGGCAACAAATCGCAGAAAATTCAGGTCAACGCATTAAAGAGGAAAAACAATTACCATGTTAGCGTAATATATACCTTGTTCGAACATCTTATTCCACACCTGCTCTTCCGTTTCTAGGATGCCACCTCTCCTCCGCAGTTCGACCACTGAGCAAGCAAAATCATACTGTTCACGTTCACCCTTTACGAAGAGTGTGTCAGCTGACACAAGCGCTGAAACCCAGTCGGAGCTCAGACCACCACGAGCCCAGATTACGACATGGGCAGGCTGGACGGAATTCGAGGAAGTCACATTATTGTCGCTCATAAGCAAGGTGGACGGCGACATTTGCGACCTTAACCGTAAAGGGCGGGTATCATCAAGCTTTGGCACGACATCCTCCTCGTACCGGAGCATGTCCTTCGCCCAACGAGCAAGCCAACAGGCACTTGCTTCGCCTATTTTATCGGAGATAGCACCGTAATGATGCGTCAAGTTCCAGTAGACCTCTCGTCAGACAATTTTGACTCAGATTCAGTTGTCGACAGAGAATATGAAGAGCAAACTGTGTCCATGCGTGCGGTTTCTAGTCCCAAACTTGAGACTCCGGGATTATCGTCGTTATACTCCATGACTGCAACTTGCTCCAGCCCAGCCGCCCTTGGTTGTCCACTAGATTCAAATGTGTCTATGGGCTTTCCGAGTGCGAAGTTTAGGCAAGACATGACTGTATGAGGACCTATAATTTTGAGGATGGATTCAAGTGCTTGGGAGGCAACCGTTGGGATGGATAAATAGATCGCAGTCGCAAGAAGGGAAAGAAGAAATCTTGGAGTAGCTGGTTGCTGTCCTGGTGGCGTATCATCGAATTTGATACCCTCGGGGAATGAGGGTGTCAATGGGTGAGTCGTCGAAGGGATAATATCGGGGGAGATATGTAATGGCGGGCCACCCCCATACAGTCGCGCTATGCAGATTCTGGAGACATTGCCAGTGAGAGCTTGGCAAGGCGATTTCCTTATTCATAGTATCACTTACTCGAAAGCTATAGGAATTACATGACTTTGTAAAAGAAAATGATTGGTTTGGGGGAGAATTTAACACTACTGACCTGAGCGAGTGATGTTAGCGTCATCAAAAGCCACGTCAACGTTGGCAAGACTATCACTATTAGGGCCATGAGAAGACTCGAGGAATCCTGCAGTGAAAAGGGATTGAAAGAAACCCTCAAAAATGTGTTAGTTGGAAAATTGAAGGTTAGACGGCTTTCCAAGAACCTCTGACGCGCAAGGCGACGTCCGTTGTCCTTGCCTCAAGCAGAGAAGAGTACAGATGGGATCGTATGTCAGAAGCGGACATTATTTAATTGAATGCAGATGAATGAATGTAAGGAATGTAGAATCAATCCATCATGGCTTATACACAACCACATCCCCGACTTTCCGTCCTCTCAACGTCTTCCCAATCTTCAGTCGAACATTTATCGCCAACGGCCAGTTCAACCCGGTTTTCTTTACCCTCTGCTCCCTCTATTCAAGCTACACTCAACAAAGCAGCCCCACATCGGCCCAATATCTACGACAGAAATCTTAACAAAACGAGAGGAACTGAAGTTTCTGCCTCCGCCTTTGCTTTCTTGTTCTCAGAGGTCGTTCAGTACACTCAGAAACGCGTCAATGGTATAAATGACTTGGAACGTCGGTGCGTTTAGTCCACCTTGTCTACTCGTCCACCCCAACACACCAACATAGGTTGAATACACTTGGTTATCGAATCGGCACCCGGGTGCTTGAGTTGATGGTTTGGCGGGCAGAGTCGTCGTCGAAAACACCCAAACGAGAAACTCGCTTTTTGCCTGCGTTAATGTCCATCCACACTCAAGTTTGGAAGGCTGTCTTTGGGAAAGCAGCTGATGCCATTGAGAAGAGTGTAGAAAACGCAGATGAATGTATTGCAACAGCCCTTTCGCACTCTTCACTATGCTGACGTCTAACAGATATGATAATCGACAACGACCCTCCAATTGAACGGTACATTTCCGTACCACGCGATATGAGTCAATTAAGTTGTTCGTCATTCACTGCGGGAATCGTCGAAGCTGTTCTCGATGGGCTTGGTTTCGTGCGTGTCACTTTCTTCTAAAGACAAACTCTATTGATGATCCCATAGCCGGCAAGAGTGACGGCTCATAATACACCAACCTCTCAGTTCCCGTCTCGAACTACAATACTCATCAAGTTGGAGAAGTCTGTGCTAGACCGCGAAGAATTGATGAAGCAATAGACATGCGATAACTGCAGGATTTTGTGGGCTTTCTGTGTTGTGTAGGTCGAGGATGGAGATATCGGAGATAGCATTTCCTCTCAGTTGATCATGGTCAAGGTCAATAATATTGAGATATCACCGCCTATTGTCAATTCTTCTTGTGCGTGGTCCTCAGATTTTCAGCAACTTGAAGGGCTTTACAACTCCCCATACACTGGGGGCGTCACTACTCGTACGGCGACAGCTAGTGGGTTCAAGGAGGACGACGAACATACAGTAAAGACCTCACGACACCGCATATAACAACCCTCGCTAATGTTCATGTCCAGGTAGTCTTTACCAGGAAAACCCTTTCGACTTTGAACTCGTATGGCTATTCGCCCCATCCGTTGACAACCTATCTGGCATGGGTCGAATCCATTCTACTCTCACGACCTTCATCAAGTAAACCGTTCATTATCAGCATAACTGCCTCCCAACCAAACTCTCTTCAGTCCATGGTAGCTTCTATTCAAGCCATGCGGATGAAGGTTGGCGATCGTAATGGTTCGCGGACCTCAAGGGTAGCCATCGAGCTCAACACCTCTTGTCCAAACATCCAGAACTCTTCTCCATCAGGATATTTCTTTGCATCTCTCTCTCCTTTACTTGACGTGCTCGCTAAAGAGCACGCTCAGGACTCAACCTTGACAATCGGGCTGAAGTTACCCCCATTTGTATTCCGCGAGCAGTTTTTGGAAGTCTTGGACACCCTGCAACAATTCACCCTTACCATAAATCACACAAATGCTTCCCCGTTTTCCTTTTTAACGTGCACAAACACCTTGGGAAATTCCCTCATGTTCCCTGACCAGTTGGAGGTCCATCCTCTTTCTTCCCTTGGAGAAATTGAGAGGGTGTTCGGTGTCCCAACCGCGCTGGGAGGATTGGCTGGTGATTCGTTGCATGCACTATCACTCGGCAATGTCTACACGTTCTCTCAACTCTTGCGAGCAGAGAACTGCTCCGAGGCCGGTTTAGGAGACTTAAAGATTATCGGTGTTGGTGGGGTCACATCACATGAAGCCCTGCTGAGGATGAGACGGGCAGGAGCAGAGGTTGTAGGGTGCGCAACCCTCCTTGGAAAAGAAGGGCTTCGCGCTTTCGAAATATTGTCCATTGCCAACTAAGGGCTCTAAGGCAAGGGTGAAATATGATACGACCTATGTATGGATAGAATGCAGAATGCCAATTAGTAGCTGGTAGCTAAAGGATTCCACGAAAACGTAAAGCTTAATTCAGAAGGGCAGGATGATTGGCTGGGACCAAGCATATCAGGAAATTCACAAATATCATAAGTAAATGGATCAAAAAGCGAAGCGTAGGAAGGAATAGGATAGACGAAGGGCAAAGCAGGTATGGGCTCCGACGCTGGTGGGTAATGTGTGGGGACGTGACTGGTCTGCCAAAGAACTTCGCTGGAGGGCTGGTTTGCGTCGGCGCTAGATAGGGACATATACGAATTTTCGCCAACCGCACGGTATTGACCAGGAACCATTGAAAAGGCTGCTCCCCAATCCGAATACCATGAAGGGAAATTAGGTGCGATGAGATCCTGCTATGTTTTAGGTGACTTGAATGTGAAAGCGATCAAAACGAGAACTCACAGCGCAGGATGAGGCTGTGGGGAGAGGGATAGGTGGAGACGAAGTAGCACATTGCAAAGTCGGAGGAGGTAGTAAGGGGCTGCGGAAAGGCGGGAGGTCGAGCTCTGCTCTGTCAGGCCAACAATCATTGTTCACTGATTCCTGGGTCATGGACGGGATGGCTTCCAATGACTCCGTTTGCAGCGTGCTTGGAGGAGATATCTGCATGACGGCAGTGGCTAGCTCGTCGCCCTCCTTTCCCGCAAGCAGCAATTCCGCCACTTGACGACAGCGGAGGAGTTCACTTTCTCCATTGCGCTTCACCTTTCGTTTGATAGGTTTCTTGGTACGAATGGTGGGGCAGAAGCGATACCCTGGGTGTTTGCGTTCATGGTCGGCTTTCTCTTGCTCGGCCTTTCTACGCCAAACGTCTTTTTCAGGCTCTGACATCTGGTTCCAGCAATGACCAATGATTCGACTAATGTGACGGTGATCATGTTCAACCTTTCGATTGATTTTCTCTTCCGCCCAGAACTCGGAACGAAAGATCATGAAGGCATTGCGTGGGCGAGGAACGCGATTGCCAGAGCGAGACGGAGTAGCATCCTCCAGATTTTGGCCTGTGAAAACGGTTATGAAGATTAAATCAAAGAAAGGAGACAAAAGACGTACAATCCATGGGAACAAAGGAATGGGGACATGCTGGGCTTTATAACAGACGGAAGAGGGACTCTGAAGGAGATATCGAGATATTCAGGGTCACTCCTAGCACTGCTATGTCACATCGAACCCTCGATATAATCACATAAATGTCATGTGACCGCCAGGGTCATCAAGTGATGGTCACATGACTGTATGTAATCATCTCGCATTGAATTTTCTTTGAACAACTTACCATGCCCGCCATTTTAAATCATGCATCGGGGAGTGCCAATCCTGCAACGTCGTCGTCCGCTCTTTGGGCCTATTTAGAGCCTGCTCTGGACCATATCATCAAGTCTCCAGTAAATGATCCCAATGGAAAGGCTCCAGCTATTGATTTTCCTCTCTATGCTGGTATACACTCCGCTTGCTACAATTAGTGAAGTCGCCCTTTATTTCAATCCCATTTCTTCGCTTACTAGGTTAAATATCTTAGTTTCACCGCTCAAAGTGAAGCAACTAATTCCGCTAGCTCACCCTCTGCCAAAAGTGTAGCCAGCGGCACGGACATTTATCATTACCTTGATAAATACTTTGCAGATACTGTCCGTGATATAGCTCTTGGTTCTCCCCAGGACGAGTCCACCCTTATTCATTACATCGTTCCCTGCTTCAACCGATTCAGTGCTGGGGCCCAGTCAGCCAATCGACTGCTTAGCTACGTCAACCGACATTATGTCAAACGGGCTGTTGACGAAGACAAGGGGTGGCTGCGACTAAATGATGTCCTCGAGTCTGTTGCCAGAACGATTACTATCGACGATACTCGTGATAAAATTTCCCAGAGGTTGAGGGAGAAAAGGGCAGATGAGCTCAAGAAGTGGGGCTTCGAGGAGGGGCAGTCGACTGACCAAGCCGCTTTCGCAGAGGCCTGTGCAGAAGCCGCAAGCCCTCTCGACCGCGTCATACCAGTATCTTCTCTTGCTCATCGTCGATTCAGAACCGAGTTTATCGAGCCCTTGCTAGCCGCTCCCAAGATGAACGGCAAGTCAAAAGGGAAACACAAAATTCCAAAAGCAGGGGGAGGGTCTGCTCCTTCACGTCCCAAGGGGCGCTTAGCTCGTGCAGTGAAAGAGCTGCTCGAGTCGGACACAATTGACGAGGAGACCCGAAGTTACCTCATAACAGGGCTTTCAAAGGCCCTGCAGACGGTGGGCATTCGTTCCGATCATCCTTTGCGAAAGAAGTTAAACAAACATTGCGCATCTTTGCCGCAACCTGCTCGTTCTGCGGTGCATACACCGTGTTGACATGGTGAATATAATAGTCTGCCTCTTCATTTAATGTAAGGTATACAGAATAGATTGTTGTTGCAATATCTGCGCCCAACGTCATCCTTTGGAACTAAGGTAGGCGTCACTTTTTTCTTCGACATCGCCTTGAATGGCCAGGAAATCTCCCATGTCCATTGAAAAGTTCATTTCGGAGTCCGTGGGGTGGGAGAAGAACTCGAGTTCCATAGAATTTAGATCAAAAGTTGGATCAGCCTCAGACCCGGCATGAGGTAACTTGGATGGTGGGGCATCGTTAGTCGCAGAAGATGAAAAGCTTGCTAGAAGTGCTCCTGGAGAGGGTATATGAAGTTGTGAGATAGCCATATTCTCCTGTGCAGGAGTGGCGAAAACGCCGCTACTAGCATTATCATCAACTAATTGATTGATAAGACCTTCATGTTGATTAGGAGCCGTTGAATGCTCATCCGAGTTCTCGTCCCCAAGGACGGGAGAAAATAGACCGTCGGCAGGGGTCGCAACGTGATCCGACCCTCCTCCGTCCGCGTCCCCAAAGAGGTCCGTCATTATTGGCATGTCAATATCCATGCCATCCAAGTCCAGTTCAATCGGCTTATCAGACGAATCACCGATATTGGAATGCTCAAGTGGATCAGGAATTGTTAAATCAATGTCTACAGGTCGCCCAGAAACATCAGCCGCCACCGTAGACGGCCCTGAAAACGCTGCCATGAGCTCTGGAGGAAATTCGGTTGGACCCATAGCACGAGCTGACTTTGGGGCAAGGGTGACTGGCGAGGCAAGTCCGCTGCTCGAGAACATGGCTGCTTCTTCTGCACTGATCCGCAGAGACGTCGCAGACAAATCAAGTTTCAGGGAAAATGCGGGTCTCTGGAGGGAAGAAATAGATATTGCAGATGGACGTCGGCCAGACAGAGAGGACGAGCTTGGAGCGGGCGGAGAGGCCTGGATGTTGGCTATCGTGGCCTCTTCCTTTATTTTGAGGGAGGTTTGGCGAGATACGTCAGCATCCCTTGGAGGCTCTTTAGCTGATTCCACGCTTTGTTTTTCCTTGCGTAGATCACGCTGCAAGACAGCTATGGCGCGTAGCTAATTTAGTTCGGTCAGCTCAGGTCAAGCCAGCAAGGAGCGGTTCTCGCCAAATGGGCCTCGAGAGAGTCACATAATTGATCGTACTTTTCAATTTCTCGTCCGAGGGAGGCGGTGAGTGAACGTGGTGGACTGGAGGCGTACTTGGTGATACCTCTGTTGGATGATTTGAAAATGTAACCTTGGTAGGCGTGGATATACGCACAATTTGCGAGCATCCGCATAAAATCTGTACATTTGACCAGTTTTTACGACTGCATTCTATGCCAGCGTCGTAAGGGCGTGCTAGCACTTAACGTATTGAGCCTCACCTGCAGAGAATCTGCTAGCCCGTTGATTTCAGGCTCCATTATCAAGGCCTGCCGCACCGGTGCTGGCGGAGGTGGCATTGCTTTTGCATCATCGAGTGCGGACCGATTCGTTGGATGAGGCTTGAGGGGAGACGCCATTTGGACCAGTGGGCCAGGATGGAGTGCAGTGGAGCTCAAAAGTAGAAGTTGTGCATACAAAGTCGTATTTACTATTTTCAGCGCTTGTTCCTTCCTACTGATGACCAGAAATACACCAATTTCAGTCGCGGAGCCACCACTCGATGCTGACCGTCAATTAATCCCAGTAAGTCTTCGTATTATTCAATGACCTCAGCTTAACCAACAACTCTGCTGAATCAGAGGCGTATTCGACACATCACTGCCATTCAAATTCGCAACCTCACTCCCTTTCCTGTCCGCGATGCATTCACCTCAGCTTTATCCCAGCCTGTGGAACAATCTCAGTATGCGATACCTGGGACGACGGACGACCTGGGCATAATCAGTTCGAGAAAACGTGCTCGGAAACTTTCCACTACTTCGACGACGGCAAGGTTGAATGCAAAGCCGGACGATGGACCTCATGAGGGAGGGACGATTAACAGTTTTGCAGAACAAAGGGGGAGGAAGGCCTCGGGCGCCAGAGTTGATTTCTCCAGCGGAGGAACTCTGGGTCGCACTTCTAACCAAGCGCTTTCGTTTGCGTCTTCGAGATCACCTCTAACAGCCCGACCTCAACGACCAAGGACAACCTCCAAAACGTCCTCTACCAGCTCTCGCGTTACTGCATCTGCATCCAATATCTCGGGAAGCGCTTCCGCCGTGACGACAGCTTCGGTCTTGCTTCCTGATCACTCCCAAACAGGACTTGAGAAGGTCATCAGTTCTCGTTTGACAGAGACATTTATTACCATCGCGATACCCCCCTCGACACACTATACGGGAGAATCTGCCTTGACTTCGCGCACAGAGACCAGTAATCGAGCCACTGTACCTACCGCAAACTTGGCGTCTTCGCCGGGAAGAGCTGGGGCAGGTTTCTCTACTAATTCATTCAGTAGGATGACTCGAATTTCACAACTTGATTCTCAACGCACGCACAAAAAGAAAGTTGAGCAGTTTAGACTCTCCGGGACTGCAACCTCTCAAATAACGACATCGCCCTCAAGGCACCTTTTCCATAGCCACGCAAATCTAGCTCAACCGTCGTCACCTACGCCCAAATACCTTTCAGCTTTACATCGGCCTTCTACTAATCCCCTTTTCCACTTTGATGCTCGTTTTGATCTTGATTTTCTGTCGTGGAGTGATACCGGTGGACACGTTCTTAAACTCGAAATCTGGGGGAAAATCCCAACACACCGGCCACAGGACATACGAACAAATGAACGACGGCCGTCTGGAAGTGTTTCATTGGACAATGAGGCATTTGAGTGGAAAATGCTCGATGACTGGGACGTTGACCTACAAGACCTGATACCTCTCTCGGATGAAGTGCGTTCGCTATGCATGCATACCCCCGGAAGCAAGAACAAATGACATTTTTTGATCAGCTTGTTATTTATCCCTCGCAACTTCCATCCAACACTGTTCTCATCACACTCTCCCCACCGGGCAAAACATTTTGTCTTTCTCAAAACCTTATGTCGTCATCACGGGCTTCCACCCCCTCGATTGGATACGCCTCTGATCCGGAATCAGAGGTACGAAGGGTTAAGCAATCTGGCGAACATCGTACCTCTGCGTCCGAGGAAATACAGGAAGTTCTACCACTCTCCCGAAGGCGGCATCGGAGGGGCGTTGGAAGTGTGACTGAGTCTCGGGATCATCTGAAGACTGCAGGGTGGCCAGATATCCTCAAGTGCGTAGACATTTATGGAAATCAATTCCTCACTTAGCTGGTGCTCCTAAAGACTTGTTACAATTCAGTCTTGCATTTTAGATAATGAAGCGTCGCTTTTCGACATTGTTCAAGAAATAGACGTGGCCATCAAAGAGCATCCACTTATTCGCCTTGTATGTTTTTGCCTTTTGCCTATCTGTACTCGACTGAAGCACAACCAGAAACGTGAAATATCGGAACGAGAAGCTGCTCTAGAGGATTTAAAAACGGGCCATGAGCGCGCAATCGATAGATTGGCGCAAAGTATGTTCCCCCTGTCTGAGTTTTTCCCTTGTCAACTCTTTAATAGCGAAGGTTAGCATCAATGACCGTCGGCAACGGCTTCAACAAAGAAGGGAAACACTCGCTGCTGCGAAAGTCCAAAGTCAACAAGTAGTCATTGTTGGAGCTGCAGTGCAAGAATCCATTAGTTCAGAGCGGTTCGTTTTAGTTTTTCTAGCTGGTGTCCATTAACTTTCGGTTTTTTAGGACAAGATTGGAATCACTCGGGCTTCTCCTTCGTCCAATCAGGGTATCACTTTTAACAACGCTTTCCGACATCTTTCCAATTGACCTCCAATCTTCACCTGACTTGTTGTTCGCCATCCTCGACGTGCCTTTGCCAATACCCTTAGCTGCCAGTGATCCAGCTCCGCCGTTGTGTCTACCGGAATACAAAGACATCACAGAAGAGACGGTTGCAACTGCATTGGGATTTGCAGCGCAAGTATTGCAATTGTTGGCCACATATCTTGGAAAAAGTTTGATTTACCCTGTAACATGCGTCGGAAGTCGCAGCTTAATCAGAGATGGTATTTCAGCCATGGTGGGCCCTCGAATGTGCGTATAGAAGGCTGAGCGACAAGCCTGTTCGTAAAGCTTCGACTTTAGGTTTCCGTTGTTTTCCAAGGGCGTGGACACCTATCGGTTCGAGTATGGTGTATTTCTTCTAAATAAAGACATCGAGATGGTAGGTATCGGTATCTATTGGTGCGCAAAAGAGAGGTTCCTAACCTGCTTTAGCTCATGGCAGAATGCGACCTGAGGGCGCTCGACATGCGCCATACATTACCTAACCTCAAAAATCTTCTGTTGACTTTGAGCCATGATGATCGGGCTCAAGCAACGTTAGTCCAATCAGATACTTTTTATCCTCAGAGAGCTGATTATTTATAAAGGTTTCATCAACGATCCAGTCCGGTTGTGCCACCAACTATCGCTTTAGAGCTGCAAGATGAAATTGAAGGCTCCAGCGCGAGTCAGGAGCTCGGCACTCCTAAAGCTTCAGTGGGAGATATCGCCTTGGAAGCTCACACGCCACCCATAAGTGGTTCAACCACACCGACGGTCGCCAATGTGGGGGATGAAGCTCGAAAGTCCCGACCGTTTCTCGGGCTCGTCCCGTTCTCAGGGTTTCTTCGTGGTCGATATTCTAGCTCCAGTCAAAGCGTGGTCATCGAAAATAAGGCCAAATCACTGCAAAGTGAGTGCGATGATGAAGACCAGAGGACAATTCGCGGGGATACGCGAGCGGGCGACGCAGAAGAGGAAGATCACATAGGTGAACCTGAACTCGATAATGACATTGGTCATAAGGTGTCGAGTGAGGGTGTATTACCGTCAACCATGGCTCAACTGCCTCCTTGAGGATTCTTCACGCCATATGTAGACTAGCAGAATAAAAATGAGGCTCGTTCTGCCCAGATCCCGGCAGTCGTAGTTTCTGCCAGATTTCCACGTCAGAAATCACACAGCGGGAGGTTTATGTAAATGGCAACGGTACCCCTATGTTCTGAAATCGAAGGTGGACCCTGGCTTTTTTTTCGGCTATTGCTGGAAAGGCCTTGGAAGAACAGCTTGGGGCACTGTGTTTCGTCGTCTCCACCCCCCGTGGGCTGCTAATTATTTAGTACAAAGTAGCTAACTTCAGACCCTTGGGGGAATGGAGGCACCAAAAGGCAAGATATATATATTTGGGTTTGTGAAGTGGCACAGTATATAGGCCGAGTTGGACCGGAGTCGAAAAATTTGGGGGGAATTGCCGAGGCTTGAGTTCAGGGACCAAATAAACGTAGCGTGCTCAGCGACGAATAGTTATATTTCTCAAAGACTACTACGTCCTCAACCATTCTCCTCATCTCTATTCCCCAGAATTGGAGCGTCGAAAGGGTGCCTTCTCCTCCTGTTCGACTCTTCATCCTCAACTGACTCTTCTAACAGCCAGGATTCAGGCATATTGTAATATCAATTCCTTCAGACCAGACCACTCGGCTCAAAGGTTTGTTCCTCTATACTAGTCGCAGCTTCTCTCCGTTCCTTTTCGCTAAAAAAATTCACCACGATAGGATACCAATTGTCCAGCTAGCTTCTCGTCGATCTATACCTCAGCACTACCCTCCCTTATTTTTCTGTCGTTCACTCCCTTGAAAAAGTTACCAGAACCGTTGTTGTCAAAATGAACACTCTGGAACAAACTACCTCATCTACTGATAATCATTCCCCCGACGAAAGGAAAAAGAGCCCACCCGCCTTTTTGGATCTCGCAGACTCTGTACGTGTTCGTGTCTACGCCTGTGCATTAGCTTACGCTCCTCCCAGGCTGCGAGGTTGGGAAGTAATATGCCCGATATGTCGGCGGTCAGTCGCCTTTTTCTTTGAATCTTCGCTCCTTCGATGTGACTTTTTTTTGTCAAATGCAGCGCGTCGAACTCAAGCGCCTTGAGCATGAACGGCAGCGTCTTCTTCAGCGCAAGCTATTCGAGGACCAAATGCGCGCTCTTGAGCACCAACAGGCCCAGGAGCTTCTCAGCATCCCATATGATCCCAACGTGTCAAACGGTAACGGTTCCCTGCAACACCTGGCGGTGTCAGCTCCTACAACCCCACCCCGTGTCAATGCTCAATTAAACGGGGATGCTTACATCAATACACGCTCAAACCGCTCTCAGCAGTTTGTTGATGTGGAATCGTTGTCAAAGGCAGTGGGAACCGCGGCGGACAAGCGAAAGTCTGTTAAGTATGCCCCATCCGTCAACCTGTCACCGGATTTGGGTGGTTCCGTTTCTAACGGGCATCCTTTCTCTCGCTCAGCGGGTGCAAAAAGTATGCCTGCCAGTCGCCGAACCTCTGCTAGCAGCCATGACGAAGATCTTGCTGTCCACATTCAAGGCTTGTCTTTAGCAGGGGACCGATCAACTCGAGCATCTCCAATTCCAGCTCCAGTGTCTGCCGCCATCTTACTCAGAGGGAGTGGGCGCTACGCAGATGATGAAGGAGCTCGATATGCTAGCACTTACAACGCTGGAATGATGTTGGATGAGCAATTGGACCAAGAAATGCACAGTGCGTAACCTCGGATTACCCACCTCTCTCTGTTAACAGGTGGACCTTTAAGATGCCATGAGGAATCTTCCTACTTCTGATGATGACAAATATCATAACTCGTACTCAGCCAAGGCAAGCGATTCATTTGGAATATTATCTTCCCACTAACTTGCGCACTTTAGATATCGGCATCGTCAGCAGCCTTGGACTTGGCTCATATATCCCAGACTTCCCCTCGTACTCACTTTGCGGGTCGGGCACTTGAAATTCGCGAAACGTCGTCAGAGTGGCCTCAATTTACTGGAAGCCCTCGCGGCCCCGAGATGCTCCAATCCCGTCCCGATCGACGTACGGTCACAAATCCAAATCTGACTTTGTCAGCTCCTTCTGAGGATGGTGCTGGAAAAAGTTCGGGAAATGCAAGTTCTGCGACTCCCTTGGTTCAGCAGCAATCGCGCGGTTCTAACCACGGCCAGACCCCTGTCTCTCGTCGAAACTCTCCTCCCAGCTTGCTTGATACTTTATCTGCGACCACTCGTTCTGTTCCTGCTACACCGTTGGGCATCCCAAACAATGCTACTCTCAAGTCTCCTGGTACTCCTCTTACTTCGGACATGCAAACTTTTAACGGTCGCATAGCAACGCCAAGTTCTCATCAAATGGGTGACAGTGCAGTTAACGCTACTGATCTCCAGGCGTCCCTTTCTCGTCTTCCACCTGGAGCGTATGATGGGTCTTCGTTGACTTTCAACTCCATCCAACCTGCAGGTCGCGAGGACGTAAGTTGCCTCCTACATTTCTATGATATCTTCTTTAACATTCTTTTCTTACAGTACGGTATCGATGCTGTATATGGCCTTAATAATGGGGGGGAGAACGTTGGTTATAATACTTACGGGTTTGAGGCAGGCCGTTCCCCTGCAAACGTCAACTCTCCCTCTGCCAATCATAGTCCAGGACCAGCAGGATTATACCAACACAACGGGGGTCGTTATGGTTTGGGGTTACAAGGCCGTGGCAATTCGGGTCCTGTTGATGGAAAAATGAATGGCTTGCATGGCCCAAAGCACAAAAGAGGCGATCTGGATCGCGAATGTAAGTTTCAGTTTCACGTCGTAACACGGGACTAATACGTGCCTCCAGTCAATCGATTTGCTGGTACGCGCTTGGAGGATTTGCTCGGCGAGATCCCAGCACTGTGTAAGGACCAGCATGGGTGTCGCTATCTGCAGAAGAAACTCGAGGAAGGTGTTCCAGAACATCGTGATATGATCTTCCGTGAGACCTTTGGCCACTTTGCGGAGCTTATGACAGGTAAGAAGGTTTTTTGAACGGTGATTTAACCTAACTTTCCGCAGATCCCTTTGGGAACTATTTGTGTCAGAAGCTTTTAGAATACTCCACAGATGAGCAGCGCAACGTCATTTGTGAATCAGTCGCTCAGGATCTCGTCAACATTTCCCTCAATATGCATGGAACTCGTGCTGTTCAGAAAATGATTGATTTCTTATCAACAAGGCGGCAGGCAAGTCTGTTTATGATTAAATATCACCTATCACACTGACAGGAAAACAGCAGACTGACCATCGATACAACGCTCAAATTCATTCTATTATCGTCGCACTCAGTCTTCACGTTGTTGTGCTGATCAAGGATTTGAATGGAAATCACGTCATTCAAAAATGCCTCAATAAATTGGCTCCCGAGGATAACCAGGTGATGAAGCTCTCCGAAATTTTTGTGCATAGTGGCTAACATAAGGCATTCAGTTCATTTACAACGCTGTTGCAGCGAACTGTGTCGAGGTGGCCACTCACCGTCATGGTTGTTGCGTATTACAGCGATGCATTGACCATGCCTCTGAGAATCAACGCATCCAGTTGGTGAATGAGATTACGTACAATGCCCTCACTCTCGTTCAGGATCCATATGGCAACTATGCAAGTCCTCGTTTTTTTTTGCTTTGGACTCGGCTGATTGGCGGAATAGGTTGTTCAATATATCCTCGACTTGAATGACAACCGCTTCAGTGATGGAGTCATTCGCCAGTTCGCTGGCAACGTTTGTGCGTTGTCCGTTCAGAAGTTCAGCTCTAATGTCATTGAAAAGGTCAGTAATTTTGGTGAGAGCATGATTTGTGTCTAACCACAGGGTTTCTTCGCAGTGTGTTCGTGTGGCCGAACACAGCACGCGAAAGATGTTGATTGAAGAGCTTCTCAATCGTACGAGACTTGAGAAGTTGTTGAGGGATTCGTATGGAAACTATTGCGTCCAGGTATGGAGGTTCTGATAGAGTCGTATCAATACTAAAGTTCTCCAGACTGCATTGGACTACGCGGAACCTAACCAGCGAGCACTTCTGGTGGAAGGCATTCGTCCAGTTCTTCCTCTTATTCGCAACACCCCGTATGGCAAGCGTATTCAGAACAAGCTTCAACGTGAGCAGATGGATCATTTTGGTGGCTTCCACAACCAACAAGCGCTGGTCAACATGGCGCTCACCAACCAAGGCATGGGAACGCCACACGTCGCGGGACGCCATCTGCCGCAAGGTTTGGCAAGCAATCCCTTGGCTGATGTGTATGGTGGATCGAATGGCATGTATGCCATGCCACAAGGTCAAGGCTCGTTCGGTCAAACCCACTTGACTCCCCAAATGCACGCACTCCAGCCTCAATCCATTGATGGCTACGTTCTCCAGGGCAATTCAAGCCATAATCAAGGAGTACCTCAGTCACACACTGTCGGTTTCGCAGGAGGCTCGTTTGCAAACATTAGTCCTTTTGCCGGCGCAACACTCGCAGGCTCACTTAATGACCCGTACCAGCGCTCTGCGTTTACGTATGGGATGTAAATTCCTTCTCTCGGTACTCCAATACTCAGGCTCCGGACATATCATCCCCTTTAATCACTCTTTCGACTTCAATGCGCATTCCGCCCACTTGATACCACCAAAATCTACCATACTCGATCTGTTTTTTTCTTGAATCGCTGCTCGTCGCCACTTCAAACCATACCTCATCCCGCATTGTATTTCGCAAACGGCATATTCCCCCAACACTTGTTTTCAAGCTTTCTGTGACCATTACTTTTATTTGCTCAACACATTTGTAACGGTTATCTTCTCATTCTACTTTAACTCGGTTGTCTGTCTTATAGTACCCAGCACTATTTGTCACCCTGTAGTTATCCACACCAACCTGTACAAAGTCGTTAATTAGAACCTTCATGTGGACATCTTTAACTTGGGTATTTCAGGGGTTTCAATAAGTGATTAACCGTAATAAGGATGCTCATGCCGGGTTTCGGTAGACACGAATCTCATTGTAGATTGTAGATGACGAGTGTGATAATTGACTGGGCAAGCGTGCTGCTGTAGGGATAGATAGGAAAATCGCAAAATATAGTGAAGTTTTGCCTCTCTCCAGCAGCGACATGAAACGGTTTGATGAGAAGAGTGTCGTTCACCGGTTCTATGGGCAAACACTGTTTATTGATTTGTGCAATACTAGTAGTAGGAAGTAACACACCTTCACGAAACCGATAGCAGCAGACTTTTCGCGGAAGCATTGGCGGCAAAGGTCAAGACCATATTTACGGATGAGACCAGCCTGGTGAGCGCAAAGACGACTTGATAGCGCAGGGTTAAAGGAGGACAGTAAAATGGGAGTGAAATGAACGAACCATTGACGGCTACCCTTTCCGAACTTTCTTGGGCGAGAAAACCAAACGGCGTCGTGTGTCATTTTGTAAGGAGGTCTATGGAATCAGAAGAGAGAGGTTTAGCCAAGGATAACGAACGTCGACACTGTATCTCACAAATTATGTCCGAAGGAGAGAGAATGATGCTGATGTAATCTGTACAGAATGGTGGTTAAGGTTCATACTCCGATATTTGGCTGTGTTGATTCAGGGTTTGAAAGGGAAGTCCAAATAAGGGAAGTGTTGAAGCGCGTCCATAACAGCAACCTCAACTTAGTACAAGATGTGGCAATCGTGACTTTGTCGCGACCCTCTCACCCACGACCCTTGTCCCCACCGCCGACATGCAGGTGGCCACCCCTCTCATCGTCCTATCAATTGCTCTCAAGGCATCATTGCTCGCCGTTGTTCTGGCCGCCGCCTCATGGTTCATTCACCAATTCTTCATTCTTCCTCTCTTCGATCCTCTGCGCCACCTGCCAGGGCCCTCAGCCTCTGCTTTGCAGAACCATTTCAGTCAAGTCATGAAGTACGTGCCGTCAAAATTATTTGTTGGAAAATGCGTCTAAGTTGCGCTAGTCCCTCTCAATCTCCAGACACTCATGAGCGCTGGACCAAGTCATTTGGCAAAACGTTCAAATTTCACGGATTTGGAAGGGTGCTTGGCTTTATAGATTCATTTGACTGTTTCTGATTCCTCCTTAGCATGACCTGAGGCTAATGTCTTTCGACTTCCGCGCCGTTACTCATGTGTTGAACTCACCTGCCTTCGAGAAACCATGGCAGACACGTAGGCTGCTTGCGAGGTTGATTGGACGAGGTGAAAAATAGTCTATAAGTCCAGAACTTATCTTACACAATTTCTGTAGGGATTTTTTCCATGGAAGGATCAGAGCATAAATTGCAACGCAAAATCATCGGGCCGGCATTCACCTCACTGTCCATTCGGAACATGACCCCAGTGTTTGTCCAAAAAGCCCAAGAATTATGCGAACGATGGGACTCTATACTATCTGACGAAGTCTCCGCACCCACCCTTGATACAGAGGTCTCTAACCAACGAGTGGAAGGCGTAATTGATGTAGCTCATTGGTTTTCCCGAGCATCTTTTGATGTCATCGGTCTCGCTGGCTTCAACTACCATTTCCATGCTTTGGAGGATGAATCAGAGGAAATTTACCTGGCTTATCGGCGTATGTTTAAAATCTGTGACAAAGGCTTGAACCTGAGAGGGTTGCTGGACTTGTACCTTCCTCAATTACGGCGAGTTTGGGTAAGCACTATTGAAGGCCGTCCCAGCAGATGTTCACTCACGCTCTAACTCTACCTCTTACAGCCCACCAGAGATACGACAGCGATTGACCAGAGTTTAAGGCAAATCGATAAATTTGGAAAGAAATTGATCGCCAAAAAGAAGAACTCGTTGACGACGGAGCAAAAAGAAGTCAAAGAGAAGGATCTCTTGAGTATTCTCAGTTCGTATCTTCTCTGTGGCGGCCTTCATATGTCTCAATCATCTTACAGTTAAATCTAATCTATCATCGGACCCTTTGAAGCGTCTCTCCGACGTTGAACTGCTTGACCAATGCTCTACCTTTCTCCTTGCCGGATCAGACTCTGTTTCCGTAGCCCTCTCATGGTGTCTTCATTTTCTCGCCCTTCATCCATCTGTCCAGACCCGTCTGCGCGAGGAAATATCGTCGGGCTTGTCATCATACGGTCTTTCTCATGTTTCCCTCAACGGGGACAACTCTGATTGCTCTGCGGATTCGGGCTTCGCGGAGGAGTATATTCGACCTATACCAGAGGGCAACAATTCACACAAAGCATACTCGGCTGCGGTAGAACGCCTCCCATTTCTGAATAGTGTCATTCGAGAAGCCTTGAGACTATGCCCGCCAGTTCATGGAACAATTCGCGTTGCAACTATGGACGATCACATTCCCATTTCGCATCCTATCACGTTACCGGATGGTACACAAGAAACACAATACATCAAGATTCGTAAAGGCAGCTATGTGCACATTCCAATAGAAGGCTTAAATTATTGCTCCGACATTTGGGGCGATGATGCTCGGGTCTTCAAGTGAGTTTGCTAAACGTCGTCTTCGACCAGTATTAACGATGTCTTGCCAGTCCTGATCGTTGGTCAAACCTCCCTCCGAATGCACGCTCTCCGAAATATCCCGGTATAGGAAATATGATGACCTTTGGATTCGGTCCCCATTCCTGCCTTGGTTACAAGTTCACTATTGCCGAGATGAAGATCTTCCTTACCACAATCCTCCCTCGGTTCGAATTTAGCCCAGTTGACGACGTTCGAATCAGCAAGTGTAATTCTATCTTGACTCGACCATATATTACAGACAAATGGGAGCTTGGGACACAACTACCTCTTCGAGTCAAAAAGTTACGCGCAGTTTGAGTAAATTATTGTAGTATATATTGTGTACATTTCCATATCGCAACTGTAAAAGATCTAACTAACTGAGGTAGCTCCCAGTGCCAGACCCAGTGCTTCCACGTCTGAATCTGAGTCGACGAAGTATGTTTCACGCTGTTTGTCTTTGTCTGGGTCAGTTTGGCGGATCGAGCAAGGAGAGTCTATCAAAGGGTTCAAAAACTCGAAATATATGAAGTAAAGACAAGTGACCTTGAGATTTAATGGCAGCCATCCGGCTAGTCTTTGGGGTTTTCGGCGTTCTGTTTGCTGTGGAGAACAAAGGCACCAGCTTCCCTACCTTGCAAACTCCGCATACTGAAGGTTCCACTGAGAAGAGGAACGGACAGTTTGTTGCAAGATCAACTCACAACATTCATCTGGTCGAATTGATTTGCTAAAACGACCATATCTAATAAACGATTTGAGCAGGACGTAATTTGTATGTTGCGAGTAATCTTACATCTTGTCACATTGCTCGCATTCTGCATTGTTAGATAAAAAGAAATGTCATTCGGCATAAAACGGAAAAACTTACTCCACTCGAATGGATAAGATATATCATAGTTATGTCTAGTCTTGTAACAAAATGGGGGGATAAGTCAGATAAAAGATGATTGGTCGAACGAGTCCCTGACCGATATTTCAATATGAGGATACATTTTCATAACTTTCGAGGCCCTACCAGAGAGATTTTGAGGAGGAATTAAGTCGCAAATTGTCAATGGCCAACGCACCATGATTTCCAGAATTTCCCATGACCTTCCTTGAACTCTGAGTCAATAATCCAAGAAGCCAGGTGACACATTTCATGTGATAGAGTATTTCTGATCCTCTCTTGATTGGAATTGAGAGGCGGGTTTCACAGCGACGAAAATGAAAAATACCTTCACAATCGAGAATCTTTTCAGCCAACTCAATTTCTGCTGTCTGAACCCCCTCTCGCGACCTGACACAAACGATGTTTAAACAAGAGTAGAAGACACGAGGAAGGAAGAGAATGGCTAACCGATGCCACTTTGCCCTACCAGCAGTCGTTAACAGCCGTTTGTTCCAGTTGAGTTTTGTATCCTCAGGTAAGCCATTTTTGAAAACGGTGCGATTGAGGTCGTTGAACAGAGAAACAGCATATTCATGCCTCTTCTCTTGCTCGGCCGCTAATTGCACTTTCTTGCCAGATCGTGGAGTTCCCGATGGCTTCTGTCTGGACGATGGATGTGACGGCGCCGGTGGTATGTCGGAGACGCTCTTATTTGGAGTCGAAGGGGCTGTCTGTTCAAAATTCGGATGTTTGTCGACGCCGAGTTGAATATCCGCCTGGGTGTTTAGGGTCCCCTGAGGGGTTTTCTTTGGAGTCCGAGTGGGCTTGCTGGATCCTTTCGGTTCATTCCTACCATCCGCTGAGTGTATGACCATACAAGTTGAAAGAGAAAGCATACAAAATGAAGATAGCACCATCGTCCTCGTCCTCTGACCTATTCGTTTCTGGTATATGCGGATTTGCTGAATCGGGAGTCTTCGTTGCACTTTTGGTTGCTGGTTTGGGTTGCACAAATTCAATCTCATCAGAGCTATCCGAAAGCTCCAGAATCGCAGTCTGAACTTGAACGGCTTCCTCCTCGCTCTCGGAATCGGAGCTTTGAACGATACGAGAACGGAGGAAATTCCTTCTTTTCGGAGTTTCGAACGTCACAAGTGCAGGACTTCTACTGGGATGAATGCAATTAAATAGCGAGCCCTTACGACTCATAGCTGTAGCGTACTCAGCGCCAGACTGCGTTTTATTTGAACCGCGCAAAATGCCTTTCTTTGGCGTTGAAGCTAGGGGTGGCCTGTACGAAGAGAGTCATTCGACGCTGACAACGGGCGATGAGGAGCCTCACAAATCATCCTCATCAGAGGATATTTCAATCACATCATTGTGCATGGAAGGTCCTGGCCTGTCGCCCCCGCTGGTCCTGGTGGCAACTGAGTAGGTTAACTAGCTACCATTCAAATTGCTTCACGACGCTACCTCAGGCGCTCCTCTTCGCTATCGGGAATGACTTCCCTAACCCATGCAGGTTTCCGAATCAACATTTCTAGAAAGAGAGCAGAAAAAGTAGAGGACTAAGAATCAGATGGCTTTCAGATACTTATTCACAAAGTCCAACGTAGATGGCGTGACGGCTTCTGAGTGATCGGTGACTCGACGCGTACGTTAACCCTCACGTGAACGTTCCCTCTCAAGCAGCTACATGATTATAACGACCATATCTTTACTGTAGTGTCCCGAGCACCGGTAATTAGATAACGATCCATATATCGAAGTTTCTCAACAGGCTTTATATGCCCGTTGGTAAGGAGCGTGGAATGTTGGAGGGTCGTGCGGTTGTAAATCTAGAAAAATATATTTCAGTCCCAAGCTTCCGCACGTTCAAATCCAACGATACCTTGACACCGTTTTCGCCAGTGGCAGCTACAATTTTTCTAGTATCAAACTGCAAGCTAGTGACGGCGTGGTCGTAGTTTATGGTTTCAAATATACTTCCAGTCCGGAGGTCCCAAATCTAAACGTATGAGTATGGAGCTGAAAAACATTGAAATAACGCACTTTTAGTGTCTTGTCAAGACTTCCGCTTGCGATGTGTATCTCATCAAACTGCAAACACGTAACAGGACCTGTGTGTCCCAACAGTGTCCGGTGAGCCTGTCCAGTACGCACTGTAAAACATTGTCAGACCGTATCAGAGACAGGAAGGAATTTAGAAACTTACTATCCCACATTCTAACCGCCCCATCACCACTACCACTCACGAGCCCGTAACCCCAGAACTGCACTCCTCCCACAAAATCTTCGTATGGGTCATGAGTACCGTCAGCGTAGGGGGGCATCGGAATCGTAAACGCTCCGGAAGCTGAAGATGAGCCGGAGAACGAATGGGCAGAGCCAGGTGTTGCAGTAGGCGGATGGGAGATGGCCCAAAGGATATCCATGGTCATGACACACTGCCCAGTCGTCAGGTCCCATTGTCGAAGGGTTTTATCGGACGCTCCAGTCACCTTTTGAAAGAAGCCAAATGAGCATCGACAAGATGAAATGACAGAGAAATGAACGTGCTAGGCATTCATCCTCAAAGTATAAAGCAGTGACAGCTTTACTGTGCCCCTCCAACACCCGAGCACAGGGCCCATCCTTCTCAGCAACACTTTCATGTGCCCTGATTCCATTAGGCCTATCGAACAGCTCTTCTGCCTCGTCCTCTTCGGCGACATCGCTTAGGTTGACCATTTCACCGAGCCCCCACCCATCGTCATCGTCCTCCACTCTTCTAAGATCCCACAGCCTGATATTCCCGTCTTCGCCACCAGTTAGGCATACGTGATCCTCGACCTGAATGCACTTTACTGCGCCTCTGTGCCCACGTAATCGTCCAATCTCAGACCCCGATAAAAGATCCCAAACCCGGGGCTGGGCATCCTCTTGCGACGCACTGACCAGTGTGCCATACGGCTCCGAAAAATCTAGCGCGGTTATGGGTGTTGTATGACTGTCAAGGGTCTGCACTGCGTTAGGCATGCACGGGAGAAGTTCGAGTGGATGATCACCATGAAAGCAACACCAGGCGGAAGTTCTTCATGCTCTGACGGCAAGAATGCGGGACCTTGATTTATTCGCTTTAGCAGAGCTTGTGAAATATATTTTTATTATAACAAAAGCACCTTTCCGTCGCCGAGAACTTGGTGGTAGATGAAGGGTCGGAGAAGCTGTGGTCTGCAATCGGCTTGATGATTGCTCAAATTCAAGTCTTTCATTGACTCCGATCACTAGGGAGCCTCAGCATGTTAGTGGAAAAAGTTTGTGATGAGACGGACATTCATCATCCAATTCAAGCTCATCCTCTTGCAGTTTAAGCAGATCCTGTTCCAGTTTACTCCTGATACTATCCAATGCCTCAATCTTGTGAGTTATTTCCGCAATTTCACTGTTAATCAAGCTCTTTGGAAGAACAATGAGGGTCAGGAGATGACAGAAGAGGGCAACATACCCGTCGAACATGGATATTTTCCTTGTCGCGGATGATTTCCTTGGTTTGACGCGTCAACTCTTCTTTTCCGAGGGTCTTTTGGGTGCTTAGACTTTCGCGACCCCGCTTTTTTGATTTCGGCCTGGCATTCACATCGGGAACAAGAACCAAATCGTCCTCGCTGGTGGTACTGCGAGCATCGCGGTCTTCTTCTTCTTCGACAAGTAAACCGCGAGCACTCATTCCAAGCTTTTTCAAGCCCAACCTTGGAGTTTCAATGTTCCTCATCTGCTTTCTCCTGGAACGACCCTTCTCTGCACTCGGGATGGTTGCCTTGAAGCCACGCAACAAACTCACGTTGCTTGCGACGCCATCTAGCTCTGGCACTTCAGCTTCAAGCAACTCCTCGGTAGCCTCTACAATTTGGAGGTCGCCTGAAGTAATCCGTCGCGAACCAAGGCCAAGACGCAGTGGAGCACGACCCAAGGTTGCGAAATCCATTCTGGAAGCGGATATGCGTGACGAGGAGACGCCGGAACGTGATCTGCTCGTAGCAGAGGTAATCATTCTGGGGGTCATAATGACAGGAGCCACTTTTATAGAAAGGCAGTGAGAGGAGGAGTAAGTGAAAAGGTAAAAGGCATACAATCGGAGAGAATGCGGGTAGAGTCGGTCTTCTTGTGAGCAAAGGGTGCCATGAAAGCCTTTTGAACGATGGCTAGTTTAGATGAAATATCTCGGCCATTTTCTTGTTGTGGCTGTTGCTCTTTCGACGACATTGCATTGCTTGAAAAATAGCCGCAGACTCGGAGCAGAGCACTTCAACAGGACTTGACATAACTTTCTCACACTTAATTATATTTATGACCATCCAACATCTACAATCAAACCCAGTCCAAATGGTCGCAAATCATACTCTTTGCGCATATACTCTGTGCGATACTCCATAGTTTCCTGCTGCGTCTCCGTCTCGTTTTCAACCATCCTCGTCCGCCACTGTGGCCAGAACCCATTCGTTGTCGTAGGAGTTGCCGTCCGTGGCATCTCAGTTCTTGACTCCGACTCAGTGGGTGTAGGAACCGCTTGCACTTCCTGTCGTTCCAGTTGTTCCCTCAAGCGCTCAACGCTGACGTGTTCCCAGCGCGATATATTAAACGGCTCAAACAATCCACCTGCGGAGAAATCACACCAACACCGATCTGCAGCACGTATCACATTCGGTAACGGCTGCGAGTGGTTGGGCATAAGCGTTGCATTAAGAGCTTCTGCAAAAGTTGTGATGTTTTCGGACCAAGGCGTGGCCAATGGACTGTCAAGCGGGAAAGGCTGCCAGTAGCATGACGATATGAAGAGGGTGGTCAGCAGCACAATGCAATAAAAGCTAAATGTTGATAATTTAGACGCAAAGATATGGAATTTGAAAGCGCAGCTCACCATGGCTTTGCATGCATAGTTAATGAGAAGAGGAAGAGAATGAGAAAGTACGGCGGCGCAGTGGGCAAAGGCAGAAGTAAAAGCGGCAGAAACCAACGGGTACACCTGGCAAAAGATAAGCCAAAGACGGGGGACAATATAAAAAGGAACATACCACATTTTCTTGTATAATTACTTGCTGGACAGTAATGTACGAGGAAGGTGGGGATGTTGGATCACGTAAGCACCCAACTCTTTAAAAGATTCTCGACGATTCCACGACATCCCAATTCCACAATCATCATGGTCCAACATCCTGAAGTTCTATGGGCACAACGCAGCTCCCAGTTTGAATCAGAAAAGGTTCATTCTATCCATCTCAACGCGTCGGCCTCTTTTAACTCTTTCTCAAGAACGTGATCTATGTCACTGTGAACTTGCCAGATATCCAGGAAAAAACCCTCGAGTACAACTTGACCCCTTCTTCCATCTCTTTCAAGGCAAAGACTGGAGAGTACGCCTTTTTCTCTCTTCAATCAACCCTACTCTCATCTTCCTCTTTTTCTCCTTTTTTTACTTCTTCTCCTTACCATCAGCCAATCCAAGGCCATCCCGGAAAAGGAATACGCATTCAACCTCGACTTCTATGCTGAAGTGGTGCCAGAGGTCGGTGGTATCTTGACTTTGGAATCACGCGCTCTCATCTGATCTTGATCTCAGCAATCGACCAAAAAGCTGTCTTCTCGTTCCCTTTCTTTGATCCTCCAAAAGAAAGACAACAAGACCGAATATTGGCCCCGTCTCTCCAAGGAAAAAGTAAGAAACGCGTTCCTCAAAACAGACTTCAGCAAATGGGTCGATGAGGATGAACAAGACGGCAATGACGTTGAGCCACTTGAACAAGACGACCCAACAGGTGGAATGGGTGGCATGGGTGGCATGGGCGGCATGGGTGGTATGGGTGGCATGGGTGGCATGGATCTTGAAAAGGTATCTTGATCTTCCACATTTTCAAGAGCGCGATTAAACAATGCATGTCACAGATGATGGCACAGTTTGGAGGAGGAGGAGCGGGCGGAGGCATCCCCGACTTCGGTGCTGGTTCGTCAAGCGCTGCCGATGAGGGAGGCGATGACGATTCAGATGATGATGGTCCTCCCCCACTGGAGGAGGCTGAGCCCCCCAAGTAATTTTACCAGGTCGCATCCCGCAGCAATTTGCCGTCTGCATGTACACGAATGTAGCAAAAAAAAATATAGCAGCAGAACAACTTTACTTGACTCTCTTGAGATGGTTCATGCAAGATGGAAATTATGTTGGCATCGTAGGCTAGGAGAATAGTTGCAGTTTCGACAAGTGACTTTTCTAATATCTGCAACTAATTTTAGCATATCAGCCATTTACATCCAGAGGTAAGTTATGTGATCTGTCCAAGTCAAGTCTACCCAAACCATTCCATTGCCGCTCTAAAAATCTAACTGCGACATGATGGTATAATTCAAAAATCTAAACCGCCCGTATCCTACCGTGGGCTTTGCTTGCGTACGGACTCGTGAGTTTTTGTTGAAGGTAAAACGAGTATTACGCTCGATCGGCTTTATCTATTGTGACTTCCAGCTTTCCGTCCACGCTCTTCACCGACACGCTGTAGCGTTTGCAGATGAGATCACGAAAATTCACTAGATGAAGAGTAACCAGCCCACCTCGTGAGATTTTCGACGAGGTAGTCGGGTCTCGCATCTGACTCCAAAAGTATTTGTCGACTTGTCGAAGTGCACACCGCAAGCGTTCGAGACCCCGCAGCGCGGCCTGACTTGATGCCGGAAATAGCATCTTCTACCACAAGACCTAGAGTTCACAAAGAAATTTATGAGCCTTGATGGTGAGCACCTTTAGAAACTCACAATTAATCGGATCCACGTTACAAAGTCGCGCCCCAGCAAGGTACGGGTCAGGATGCGGTTTTCCTCGATTCACGTCATTGGATGTAATGATTCCTCGCTCGGGCGTTTGGATACCAGCACACGCGAGGGCCCGCGGCGCAAACTTATTGGAAGCTGTTTTTTTAAGAAAAAAAAGAAAGGGGAAAAGTCCACACGTTAATTTTTTTTCTTTCGCCTTTACAAGTCGTTCGGGAACCTACCAGACGTGACAATGGTCCATTTAGCATTAGGTAGCGAAGCAAGCTAGAGTAGACGGTTCATGCACTTGTTGAAGAGCGAGCTATATGATTCTGACCTGTGAGATCAACTCATTGGCGCCTGGTAAAGCGGTAGGTCCGCCTTTAATGACCTCGTCTTCAAAGCGGTCAATCTCTTCCTGCCATAAAGGTACGAGGGGTGAGGCGAGAACAACTGGACACTAGACCCTTCACGAACCTGGAGTTTTGATTCCTCAGTAATACTGCAATACTCCTTCAAGGTATCGTAAAGTCTTCTTCCATGGGTAGCGTGGGCAACGGCAAGGGAGTCGCCGAGGGAATAGTTTTCGCTAAAGGTCGCCCAAGCCCTCAGGACGCCAGGCGTAGAATCTATAAGGGTGCTTCAAAAAACAGATAAGGAGATCGGAAGGATAGTAAGAAGGTTTCTTACCCGTCCATATCGAACAAGATCTTAAAGGCAGCATTAACCCAAATCGACTCTCAGGTTTATATCATGGGACGTACAGCGTCTACAAGGATAACGTTCGACATCTCGAATTTTCCAAAATAAGCGGATTGGCGATGAGAGGTTCGTGGTTGGAGTTTTCGTGTGGGAACCGGCCCGGCGGATCAAGTGCATTCCGTAGAAGACGATAACTATTCTGAGTAGTCACTTTTCGAAGTTTTCATATCGAGGCGACTTCTGGTAGTCTCCCGTAGGCAACTCTTGGGCAAGTCCTATGATGAGGGTGATGATAGTCGATCTCCTAAACTTCTGGTGGAAGTAGACATTAATATTCTATAAGTAGTTACTTACTACATACATAACAATGCCATGGTTTTCGGTGATGTCGGCATCAGTGTGCAACGGTACTTAGTAAGGAGTGGTGGAAATAGTCGAAGACGATAGCTGATGTGGATGATGATCGAGGGCTTGCAATTGGAGATTGGCGCCATTTATGGATTAACTTGGGTAAAGGTCAGCTTGTGTTGCTTTTCAATCGAAAGTTCTCCAAAGGAGTGAGGTGAGGTACCCAGGAGGCATCTGACCAATATCTGACGTCTCCTGGCGTTGACGGTTGAGCGTTGATTGGAATTTCCATTGGGATATGCTTTGCGGCAGGGGGTGAGAGTAACGAAGGGACCAGCTCGATGCCAACCAGGATCATTGGGTGACTTCCCGTAACATAAATCTATATAAACGAATAAATCTGACCCTTATCGGAGTTTGAAATGGGTACCCTGGCTTGCGATTTAATCAAGCAAATAAACCGTAACGCCAACTGATTAGATTTATTCACCTGACATGAATAAACTTACTTCCCTCTCATCTGAGCTGTTTTGAGGACACACAGGCCCATGGATGGGTGTATTGTAGTTGATGCTCAATCATATCAGCCAGAAAGTAGGACACACAATGAATGAAGCCGAAAAATGTCAACTTGAGCTGAACATGCTGTGGTTCTGTGAGTTATGTGCTGAGAAGATTGTTTGTGGAAGGAAAAACAGCTTCGGAGAGGAAATTTTGGAACCAGAGGACGTTGGCACTACTAATAAACTCCGTAATGGCTTCAAATTATAACGAGAGAGCAGACTGCCCTCAGCCGTAGGAGAGTAGAGAGGGATGAGGTAGAGCTGACTAAGCTAGGTGGGAAGAAAACGTACCCAGGAAGGAAAGGTGTCATGATGGCAGGGTTGATTCCAGCGTTTGAAATCTATTCGAGGGGTCTGTACCCTCTGAATAGATTAAGGTTTATAACTGGGTGCCAACCAGGGCCTCCATCAAAGTCGAACCCTTACAAGACTCGGCATCCCGGCAAAAGACCCTAGATCTCGTCGATTTATTTAAATCTAGCGAATTTGTGTTACGGGAAGTCACCCATTGAGTGGCAAATCCCGTTCAGGGGTCAATGGTCAAATTTCAATGCTTATACTTAACGGGGCAGGCCAAGGGCAGCCATCATCGAGCCATCAACAATTGAAGTCGACGCTTGACCACACTTGACCTTCAAAGGGGTGATCTAGTACTTTGCCAGGACCATTGAATAAGTCCGCCACGTCATATCGTGCATGACAAGAATTTGGGAAGACGCTGTACGGACCGTTGCGTTCGTTAACAAACAGAGGCTCGAGCGTCGAAAGTAAGTGCGATAAGGAAGGGTTGCCTTTGCAACAGTTCATCACGAATTTAATTTTAGACACATTGCGCTAAAAATAGATTGACTGTTTTGTTATAAATCCCCTCAAAACGCATCTCAGGCTTGACTTTGTTCTCCAAACACCCCCTGCCTCTTTTCTTCCCTTCCGCTCCTTGCCCTTTTCTTTATCTTCTTTCAGTTTTTTTTCGATCAGTGATCGTCGACGCAGCTAGTACTGCCTCTTGCACTCAAATACTCGCCAGTGAAGCATTGAAGCATGAAGACTTCATCATTCATCGTCGCCCTGACCCTGGGCCTTTTCGTTACTGCTACTCCTGGGCCAATCATGAATGGCCGACAGATATCCGAGGCTCGTAGAGGTGGTAAGAATCCTGGCAAAGGTCGACAAGCTGGTGTGCGCATCAAATGGTTCAGGAATTTGCGAGTTGCTGCTCACAAAATTATTTTCATCAGGCTACGTCCAGTAGTACCACCGCTGGCGCCACCGCTACCCAAATTGCCGCTCAAAATTCGACTGCAGCTACTGGAGGAAATTCTGGAAACAACGGAGGAGATCCTCAGACTTCCCTCAGTGCGTACAATTCAGAGTCAACTTCTGATTCCCACTTATTTGGAACGGTATCAAGCTCTGGATCCCAAAGTAATCGCGACAGGGTTCGCAAACAACGGACAAGGCTCGTCAACATATCTTTTACTTGTGCATGCCCAATTAATCAAATAATATTTAGATGTTCCCGAAGCTGGTGAGCCTTGACTGTCTTTTGAGGAGATGTATTAATTTTTTTTCAGGCCAAGTGGCGTCGCTCACATCGTCGAACAACTTCATCAACTTCTGCCTCACGGTGCCGAACCTTCCAATTACCAACGGCAAGCAGATCACGACAGGTTCATGCAATCCCGCTCCGATGGGAGTTATTCCATCATCCGACAATATGCCCTCTGCCAAATTCACTTTTCCCAAAAATGGTGATACTATCAAGGCGACGACAGCTTTCACCATCAGCATGGCTGTGAAAAATTTCCAGACTGGCGCCTTTGTCAACGCACAGGAAAATTATTTCGCAGCTCCACAACAAGTGAATGGCCAAGGACAGATCATTGGCCACTCGCATGTTGTGGTAGAGCAACTCACCGCACTTGATCAAACCACTCCCACGGATCCGAAGACTTTTGCCTTCTTCAAGGGATTGAATGCCGCCGCGCAGAATGGTATATTGACAGCTGATGTCACCAATGGGCTTCCGTCTGGCTTCTACAAGCTCTCTTCTATCAACACAGCTGCCAATCATCAGCCAGTGCTTGTTCCAATAGCTCAGCACGGATCCTTAGATGATGCCGTTTATGTGAGTGGTATCGGACGGATATTTGGCTTTTATTCTAACAAACGTTTTAGTTCACGATTACTGATAACGGGCAACCTGCGGCAGTACGTCCATCCTAGCTTCTAGGAGTTCATGACTCATCTTGTTTGATAGAACGCCGCCGTTGCTTCTGTCAGTGCTACCACTGCATCAACAACGTCAGCCGCCAGCAGCAAGACATCAACAGGAACGCCTCCGCCAGCAAATGGAGGACGAGGGGGTGGGCGGGGCGGCAAGGGTAGGCGGATGATCGCTCGCTCTGACTCGGCAAGAGCCCTCTAGTTGGAACTGTACTTAGTCCCCCATTCATTGTAATTCGTAGCTTTTTGAGTACCTGGTTTATTAATTGAGTTGTTTGTTCCACCTAGCTCTTTGTTGGAGACTGGACATCTGAAGTATGAAAGCGGAATTATTGTAACTGAACTTGAGCGCGACTCGGTGAAAATGAACGATTTTTTGCTAGTCCAGAAGCATGTATCTACGCTTGGGTAGATGATCGACATTTGTGCTCTGCTTCCCATCGAGCCTTCATGAGGCGCAAACCTTGGGCTTTTGAGCTAACCAATGGGCTATGAGATAAAAGCTGCATCTGGGCGGCCTGCAGATGGGGTGGAATAAGAGCATCGCTGCGAATCACCTTGATAACCTGGGTCAAGATTGCAAGTTATGGACGCAAAGGGTACGTACTGATCCAATTGCCAGGAAGAAGGAAAAGGTGGCTGCACTGCTTAACATGTATTGCGAGAGTGTGGCCATAAATCCACGAGGTCCAGCACCACCCCTTTATAAGCGTCAATGAGGCCAAGATTTTGTAGCTCGAGTTGACATACCTAATAATGCTCCATGAGCCAAATATAAAACCTATCGTCAGACCCACTCCTCCACCCATTACTGCACCCATCCTAACAAGCTCATATGTTAGCTGTGAGACAAACTTGACAAACAAAGTTTCAATACTTCACTAATGAGAGCGAAAAGTTAGGAGGAAACAAAAAATATGAGAAGCGACTGACTTTTCTGCCATACAGAGGGACCCGCCTGGCCATGTTGTTGAGGTACAGGTGGCATTGGATATACTTGGCGTGGAGTTGCAAAAAACCCAACCTGATATTATCCAAACCAACATAAACACCAGGGGTATGTCTTCCTTTCCTCATGCTCAGCAAGCCCAGATCAGTGAGTTCGTCTTCAATGGTCTACTCAGTTTCTTACCACGTTTCTCGCAGTTAGGGCTAACCAGCGCGACGTATATCACGTTTCCTCGTTAAGGGATCAAACGGACACCGTTCTGAGGTCATGGCTTGGTGAATAGTCACTCAATCATCCAGAACGCGGGAGCTCACAAGAGCAGGAACACGGTGGCTAACCAGATGGGACAAGGAGGTCGGAATGTTTGTGAAGTTGCTTTATTATGGACTCACCACTGGACGAGGTATCTCCCCCTCTCTACTGTTTAGACAAGACTGACCTTTCACGATCCCCAGCAACCCAAACTCTGGGTGAAGAATACACTGACATATGGCAGTACTCTATCTTCAACAAATCAACGCCTCCTTCTCCCCTGGCTCGCGCCGTTCTCGTTCTCTTATCTGTCGTACCTACCTACCTTTTGGGTAAATGGGGAAATGCCTTGAACAACGCATCTCATCCAGAACGCGCAAAATGGTTCAAGGCGATACCAACTGCTTTAGAGGTGGCAGCGGAACTTAATCTGGCGTTCTTCTATTTGAGAGGAACGTATTACGACCCTGTGAAGCGACTCATGGGGATTCAACATGTACGTGTACTCGGTTTACAATACCCTCAACAGTCGTGGAACTTTTGACCCAGATCTCGTCCTTTCGTGAAGATCCACACACCCGACCTCCATCATATTCTTTGCTCGGGGTCCTCATAGGTGTAAGATTGCTATATCGATTGAAGCAAAACCTCCCTTCTCTTGCCTCTCCCCGCGATGCCAACGTAGATGTTGAGACTCCGGAGAATCAGGATATTTTTCTTGACGAGGATCGTATTTCCTCGTTTTTGACCAGGGAGCATCCTGAAAGTGAACCCGCTCGACCTGCTGAGGAAGATGAAAGAACTGCTTTAGATTTCGCTGCGATCCCCGGCGGAATAAGAGCATCTAGAAACTGCACTCTCTGTCTCGAAGAGCGGACAGACAGCTGCGTGACGGAGTGTGGGCATCTATTTTGCTGGAGTTGTATAGTTGGCTGGGGTAGGGAAAAGGTAAGCTGTTGTCTCGCTTACGATGCTCTTCAATTCCCATTTCCCATAGGCCGAGTGTCCCCTGTGTCGACAATCCCTTGTCCTGTCGCGCCTACTTCCCATTCATAATTTGTGAAGGCGGTGGGAAATTTATCTGAATTGTACAAAAATGGACGGCTCTACAACCTAACTATGATACTTGCTGTATAAGAGTTATATTATCCCCTTTCAAGAGAATGCGGCCTGTCGAAGTGAGCAACTAAAATTTATTGGATAGACATGTCAGGTAAAAGGCTCACCCAACTCCCTTCGCGGTTTTGCGTCCTTCACAAATACTTCTGCAGCCTCATCGATGACAATGTTCATAAACTCGTCAAATCCCTAGGTAATTGATGCCAATGAGCGACAGTTTGACGTCTAGATGGACGGCAGCGTTACGCACTATTATTCTTCCCTCGATCCGCATTTCGACATTGTCGTATAGCCAAATAACCACTTTCGTTTTCTACAGTCTGGAGGTAAGGCATAGACTGATCAATATTAGATTGGACGGACTTGTTGTAGGTTTTTGAAGATAACATTCTATTGGAGTACGTCAGTCATTTGTCTCCGCAGCATAAAAATTGAAGTGCATACGATGGGCTGAACCATCACACGCTGCTGGCGCCCGGACATTGTCTTAAAAGAGTGAAGGGAGATGAGAGAAATGGATTGAGAAGTGTTGAGTCTGTGAGGTTAGGGCTGGGTTAGGGTTTAACTTTACACAACTCTGCTCACGTGGCACAGTTATTGCCTTCCAGTGAACGACGCGTCGTCGTCAGTTTGTTCAGCAACATGGAGGTTAGTTTCATCTGCATCACCTAGCGCCGCGACTCGCTCTGATGTTCGTGTCCAGGTGTTTGCTCCTGCAAACTCGTCCACAGCAGCTGCTGTCACCTTCATCACATTCGTACAGGACTTGAAGAAGAAAACCAAGACATGGGGTCCCATGATAGAGTTATGCGCCAACGGGGAGAAGACACTCGAACGATTTAGATACCAATTTCCAGACGACTGGCTCTATAGCGATCAACTTAGAGGGGAGTGGAGTGCTTATAACGAGATTTTGAAAAGAAAGAACGATTCCATTCAGGAGCAACTTGGTGAAAGCATTTGAACTTATGTTCCCAGATGAAAAACTGACGTCCAATCTTACAGCTGGATTGCAGTTGAAGATAGTGGCTGAAGACAAGATTGTGGAGAATAAAATTAACGACATCCTACAAGAATGGGAGCAGACACGCCCTGTGCAAGGGAATATGCGCGCCGACACAGCGATGAATACCATCAACGTCTTCGAGGGGAAATTAAACCGCGTTCAAGAAGAATACGACCTTGTGTGTCGCGCCAAAGAAGCTCTTGATCTCGAGTTGATGCGGCACACTAGACTTGAACCTGTGTTTGAAGAATTACGAGACTTGAAAGCCGTATGGACAGCGCTTTCCGGGATTTGGAGCCAGATCACTGAACTGCGGGAGTTGGCTTGGGCGACGGTTCAGCCTAGGAAGTTGAGGCAACACATTGACGGGCTTTTGAGCTCTACAAAGGAAATGCCAACCAGAATGCGGCAATATGCAGCCTTTGAATATGTACAAGACGTGCTTCGTGGTCTGCTGAAGTCGAATGCGCTTGTGTCAGAACTAAAATCTGAGGCGTTGAAGGACCGGCATTGGAAGCAACTCTTCAAAAACTTACGATTGCCATCACAAATCAGCTTGACGTTGTATGTGACCTACATTCTGAGGAATTTTAACAGCATAACTAATCGCTTCTAACAAGAATGACCCTTGGGCATGTCTACGACTTGGATCTCAAGAAGAACGAGTCGCTCATTAAAGAAACAATTGTACAAGCCCAGGGAGAGGTGGGTTACCTCAATATCAGGTTAATTCAGGTTGTCATTGACCGGCGAAAAGATGGCATTGGAAGAATACATCAAACAAGTAAAGGAAACCTGGACAAGCTACACGTTGGATTTGGTGAACTACCAAAATAAATGCCGTCTCATTCGGTAGGAGGATGTAATGCAGGCATTTTCTTCTTACGCTAATTCCTTTTTTTTAAGGGGTTGGGATGACCTTTTCAACAAGTGTAGCGAGAACTTGAATTCCCTTACTGCCATGAAATTATCTCCTTACTATAAAGGTGAGATTACCGCTTGTTGTTTTCAAACAAGTCTAATTACGTCTTTGTAGTCTTTGAGGAGGAGGTATGTTTTCAACACTAATAATGACTGGTCGTAACTAACATTTATAAGGCTGGTTCTTGGGAAGAGAAACTAAACAGGGTCCACGTTCTCTTTGGTCCGTTTTCTTCGCCTTTTCAAGTTCTCACTCTGAATATGGCGACCGGTAGATGTTTGGATTGATGTGCAACGCCAGTGGGTCTACTTGGAAGGTATCTTCTCGGGAAGTGCAGATATAAAGCATCTTCTCCCTGTGGAAAGTGCTCGATTTCAAAATATCAACGCGGAGTTTTTGACCGTGATGAAAAAGGTCTACAAATCACCTTTCGTCATCGACGTCATGAATATCCAAGGAATACAGAAGAGTTTGGAGCGCCTTGCGGATCTACTGAACAAGATTCAAAAGGCGCTTGGAGAGTACTTGGAACGCGAGAGATCATCCTTTCCTCGCTTTTATTTTGTCGGAGATGAAGACTTGCTGGAAATCATTGGAAATAGCAAGGATATCTTGCGGATCATGAAACACCTGAAAAAGATGTTTGCCGGCATTTCAACTATCCAGTTGGACGATGACCTGACCCAGATTCAGGGAATGTCGTCTCGAGAAGGAGAGGCAGTTCATTTTTCCGAACCCATATTGCTCAAGGATTTCCCAAAAATCAATGACTGGTTGGCGAGGATAGAAAGCATGATGCGCCTGTCTTTGGCGAACTTGCTAACGGATGCTGTTGTCGATCTGCAAGCATTTTACGGCCAGGGTTCCAGACTTGACGCGGAGCAGTTCATGACATGGATGGAGAAATACCCAGCCCAGCTTGTCACGCTCGCCGTCCAAGTTGCATGGACATCGACTGTGGAAGCCTCTTTAGAGTCTGCTCAAGCTCCCGAGTCATCTCTGGATACAATCCACCAAGCCCTTGATCTCCTGTCGGATATAGTTCTTAAAGAGCTTGCCCCGGTTACGCGGCGAAAGTGCGAGCATCTCATCACGGAACTAGTACATCAGCGCGATGTGACACGTACTCTTGTTCAGCAACGCGTCCTCGATGCAAAAGGGTTTACGTGGTTGTATCAAATGCGTTTCTACCTAGACAAGGCCATCGAGAATCCTTTAGACAGACTCTCGATCAAGGTCGCAGATGCCTCATTCCCGTATGGTTGGGAATATCTTGGAGTTCCCGATCGACTTGTTCAAACACCTCTTACGGATAGAGTGTATTTGACCATGACCCAAGCTCTCGACAATCAGCTGGGTGGAGCCCCTTTTGGACCTGCTGGGACGGGTAAGCGGAGTGTATTTCAAGGGATAATTGAGCTGAATCAGCATTTCAGGCAAGACCGAGTCTGTGAAAGCTCTCGGAGTGCAACTAGGCCGATTCGTTCTTGTCTTTTGCTGCGATGAGACTTTTGACTTCCAAGCTATGGGGCGCATTTTTGTTGGTCTTTGTCAAGTCGGTGCATGGGGGTGTTTTGACGAGTTCAATCGTCTTGAAGAACGGATCCTCAGTGCTGTTTCTCAGCAAGTCCAAGCCATTCAGCAAGGCCTGGCGTCTTTGGTTAAGAACCCGAATGTGGAAATTGAATTAGTGGGGAAGAATTTAAAGATCAACAAGAATATTGGTAAGTTGTTCTGTTTTGATTGAGTCTTCTCAGCCTATTTCGCTTGTATCCAGGTATATTCATCACTACCAATCCGAATTACGCTGGCCGATCACAGCTACCTCCTAACCTCACCAAACTCTTCAGACCGTATGTCGACTTTACTTTGACAATCCAATTTAGCTCAGTCTTTTCTGTAGGATGGCAATGACACGTCCTGACCGCGAGCTCATCGCTCAAGTAATGCTGTTCTCACAAGGTTTCCGGACAGCCGAATCCCTCGCGTCGAAAATTGTCCCCTTCTTCAACCTTTGCGACGAACAACTTTCTCCTCAACCTCACTACGACTTCGGTCTCAGGGCACTCAAAGCGGTGCTTGCCAGTGCCGGCATTCTTAAACGAGAGCGACTGCAAAGCACCCGAGCAAAAGCACAAGGAGATGAAGTTGTTGGGCTGTCCGACAATATTTCTGAACAAATTATTCTCATTCAAAGCGTTACCGAAACTATTGTTCCGAAACTGGTGGCCGATGACGTTCCCTTGCTTACAAGGTACCAGAATTCCATTCATAGATCCTGGTAAAGCTAATGCTGTAGTCTTCAGCCTTCTAGCCGACGTTTTCCCAGGTGTTGATTACATGCCGGTAGATTTAGATGCTCTACGCGAACAGATTCTTAGAGTCTGCAAGGAACGGCGCTTAGTCGAAGGAGAAAGATGGGTTTCAAAGATCCTTCAGCTTTACCAGATACAAAAGATTCAGCATGGTTTGATGATGGTTGGCCCATCAGGAACCGGGAAGACGAACGCGTGGCAAGTTTTGCTCGCTGCCCTCGAACGCCTCGACGGTGTAGAAGGCGTCTCATACGTCATTGATCCCAAGGCCATACACAAAGACGCATTGTACGGCACTTTAGATCCAACCACTCGAGAGTGGAATGATGGGCTCTTCACACATGTTTTACGTAAGATCGTGGACGATGTTCGCGGAGAAAGTGGGAAGAGACATTGGATCATTTTTGACGGTGACGTAGATCCAGAATGGGTCGAAAATTTGAACAGGTATGATTCCTGCCTATGTAGTGATATCGGGCAGCTGAAGTTACTTTAGTGTCCTCGACGATAACAAGTTGCTCACACTACCTAACGGAGAACGTCTCAACCTACCTCCTAATGTCCGAATCATGTTCGAAGTCGAGCACTTGAAGTACGCAACCCTAGCCACCGTTAGTCGTTGTGGGATGATTTGGTTTAGCGAGGACGTGGTCGAACCATACATGGTTTATCGAAATTACCTTGCCACCCTGGCGTTCATGCCCCTGGACGCAGACGAAGAAGATGCTGGGGATATTCTTGGCCATCGCGTGGACACGCTAAGCTCAGACGCGACTGCGTCAGCAAATCTGGAGACACAAAAGCAAATCGCATCAATTCTCGATCGCTACTTTGCAGAGGGTGAACTCGTCAGCTCTGCCCTCGTGTTTGCCGAATCGATTGAACACATCATGGACTTCACCACAACTCGTGCTCTTAACACACTGTTTTCACTCATGAACAAAACTGTTCGAAACGTTATCGAATACAATATTCAACACTCCGATTTCCCACTCACTCTCGAACGTGTGGAGCAATATGTCACAAAGCGGCTTCTCATAAGCATCATTTGGGCCTTTTCAGGAGATGCCAAACTAGATTTAAGAGCCGAGATGGGCGAGTTTCTGCGCAAACAGACGGGCATCGACCTTCCACCATTGGCGCCTGGCAGTTCATTAATCGACTACGATGTTCAGGTGTCCAGTGGCGACTGGATCGCCTGGCAATCAAGGGTTCCTGTCATTGAGATTGAAGCTCATGCGGTAACAGCTTCGGACGTCGTGGTTCCAACCATGGACACGGTACGCCACGAAGAAGTTCTCTACTCTTGGCTTTCAGAACATAAACCGCTTATGCTCTGTGGCCCTCCAGGTTCAGGGAAAACAATGACCTTGTTCAGTGCTTTGCGAAAACTCCCCGACCTGGAAGTCGTTGGACTTAATTTCTCGAGTGCAACTACACCCGAACTTATCCTGAAGACTTTTGAACAGTATTGTGAATATCGCAAGACACCAAATGGTGTTATTTTGGCACCCATTCAGATTGGTCGCTGGCTCGTTGTCTTTTGTGATGAAATCAACTTGCCCGCAGCCGATAAATACGGCACGCAGCGAGTTATTTCTTTTCTCCGTCAGCTGGTAGAATGCGGAGGCTATTGGCGAGCGAGCGATATGGCATGGGTCAAGCTGGAACGCATTCAATTCGTTGGAGCCTGCAACCCGCCAACTGATCCTGGTCGAGTTCCGCTTAGTCACCGATTCCTTCGCCATGCCCCCTTGGTAATGGTTGACTATCCTGGAGAGATCTCGTTGAAGCAAATTTACGGAACCTATAATCGAGCACTTCTCAAAGTGGTTCCCAATCTTCGTGCGTATGCCGAACCACTGACGGATGCGATGGTTTCGTTCTATCTGGCCTCACAGAAGCGTTTCACGACAGATGTCCAAGCACACTATGTCTACAGCCCCAGAGAGCTTACACGTTGGGTCCGTGGCATTTATGAAGCCATACGCCCGCTGGAAATTCTTTCCGTTGAAGGGCTTGTTCGTATTTGGGCCCATGAAGCATTGCGCCTATTCCAAGATCGTCTCGTCTCTGAAGAAGAAAGGTTGTGGACGGACGAAAACATTGATGCAGCAGCATTGGAGCATTTCCCGACTATCAACCGCGACGAAGCATTGATTCGTCCCATTTTGTTCTCCAATTGGACATCAAAGAACTATATTCCAGTTGATCGAGAAACCCTGCGAGAGTACACGAAAGCCCGCCTTCGCGTTTTCTATGAGGAAGAACTCGATGTCCCACTCGTCCTTTTCAATGATGTTCTGGACCATGTCCTCCGTATTGACCGTGTGTTTCGGCAAATTCAAGGCCATCTTCTACTTATTGGTGTTAGTGGCAGTGGAAAGGTATGTATCTCTTGATGGTAATTCCCTCCATTTTTCTGACTGTTCTGTAGACCACATTGTCTCGATTTGTTGCTTGGATGAATGGTCTGAGTATTTTCCAGATCAAAGTCTCCAATAAATATACCGGAGATGATTTCGATGATGATTTGCGGACGGTTCTCCGCCGATCGGGTTGCAAGGGCGAAAAGATCTGCTTTATCATGGATGAATCCAACGTGCTTGACTCGGGCTTCTTGGAACGCATGAATACGTTATTGGCCAATGCTGAGGTTCCAGGTCTTTTCGAAGGAGATGAGCATGCGGCTCTGATGACTGCTTGCAAAGAGGGTTCCCAGCGTGATGGTCTGATGTTGGATTCTCCAGAAGAATTGTATCGATGGTTCACCCAACAAGTGGCCAAGAATCTTCACGTGGTCTTCACAATGAATCCTCCTGAAAACGGTCTTGCGTCGAGAGCTGCTACATCTCCAGCCTTGTTCAATCGTTGCGTTCTCGATTGGTTTGGGGATTGGTCTGACCAAGCGTTCTACCAAGTCGGCATGGAGTTCACCCACACCCTTGATCTTGATTTGCCCTCATACGGCCCTCCTGCTCATTTCCCTGTCGCATACCGTGGACTCTCTATGCCTCCAGTCCATCGAACGGCAGTCGTGAACGCCTTGGTTCATGTACACTCATCTTTGCATCCGATCAATCAACGCCTCAGTCGGCGTCAAGGCCGCTACAACTATGTCACACCACGGCATTACTTGGATTTGTAAGTTCACTTTCTCGGCCTGATCATCTTGCTCACAATTGCGTAGCATCAACCACTATGTCAGACTCTACACGGAAAAACGTGATGAACTGGAAGAACAACAACGCCATCTCCATGTCGGTCTAGACAAGTTGAAAGACACTGTCACTCAAGTTGAGGAACTCAGGAAAAGTCTCGCCATCAAGCGGTCACAGTTGGAAGCGAAAGATGCAGAGGCCAATGAGAAGCTCAAGCGAATGGTTGCTGATCAGCAGGAAGCTGAGCAGAAAAAGGCTGCGTCCATCGAAATTCAAGCAGCACTGGTTGAGCAAGACCGCAACATAGAACAACGTCGCGCCGTTGTCATGGCGGATCTAGCAGATGCCGAGCCCGCGGTTCTTGACGCCCAAGCTGCTGTTAGCAACATCAAGAAACAACATCTTCAAGAAGTACGTACGATGGCCAACCCTCCAGAGGCGGTTAAATTGGCCATGGAATCAGTTTGTACCATCCTTGGTCACAAGATTGATAGTTGGCGCACCGTGCAAGGCATCATTCGTCGGGACGATTTCATTCAGCGGATCGTCAACTTTGATACCACCACTCAAATGACGAGGCAACTTCGTGATACGATGAAGAAAGATTTTCTTAGCCGTCCTTCTTACAACTTCGAAACAGTTCAGCGAGCAAGCAAAGCTTGTGGGCCTCTTGTCAAATGGGCTCTGGCTCAAGTCCGCTTCTCAGAAATTCTTGACAAGGTCGAACCCTTACGGAACGAAGTGCAATCCTTGGAGATCCAAGCCGAGACTACTAAAAAGCAGGCTAGTGCAATCATACATATGATCGCAGAGCTGGAGTCCAAGATTGCCCGGTACAAGGACGAGTATGCGCTCCTCATCAGCGAAACTCAGGCTATCAAATTAGAGATGGAGCGTGTTCAAAGCAAAGTCGACCGGAGCATGAAGCTTTTGGAGAGCTTGTCTTCTGAACGTAGTCGCTGGGAGGATGGAAGTCGCACATTTGAAGCAGAGATGAGCACAATTGTCGGGGATGTCCTTTTATCTGCTGCATTCCTCGCATACGGGGGATTCTTCGATCAACACTATCGCGAAGTAATGTGGCAGGAATGGTCCAACCATCTCGCTGAAGCAAACATCAAGTTCAAACCCGAATTATCATTCACGGAATATCTATCGACAGCCGATGACCGTCTAAGCTGGCAATCAAAGTCTTTGCCCTCGGACAATTTAACAACAGAAAATGCCATCATGCTCAAACGCTTCAATCGTTATCCTCTCATTATTGATCCAACTGGACAAGCAACCACCTTCTTACTGAACGAATACAAAGAGCGCAAGATAACCGTGACGAGCTTTTTAGACGAAGCTTTCCTGAAAGTCCTGGAGAGTGCCCTTCGCTTTGGAAACCCACTCTTAATTCAAGATGTTGAACATCTGGATCCCATTCTGAACGCTGTTCTCAACAAAGAAATTCGACGCACAGGCGGTCGAGTACTTATTCGATTGGGAAGCCAAGACATCGATTTTTCACCATCTTTCACAATGTTCTTGTCCACCAGAGATCCATCCGTCGAATTTTCTCCTGATATCTGCAGCCGTGTCACATTTGTCAACTTCACGATGACCCGAAGCAGTTTGCAAAGCCAATCTCTCGATCAGGTATTGAAGGTTGAACGGCCTGATACAGAACGGAAGCGGACAGATTTGATGAAGGTCCAGGGAGAGTTCCGCCTTCGCTTGCGAACTCTTGAGAAGCTCCTACTCCAAGCCCTCAATGAATCATCTGGAAACATCCTTGACGACGACAAGGTCATTGACACTCTTGAAACTCTCAAGCGTGAAGCTGCGGAGATCACGCGCAAGGTGGAGGAAACAGATGTTGTCATGAGAGAAGTTGAACAAGTGACAGCGGAATACCTCCCTCTCGCTCAAGCTTGCAGTTCGGTGTTCTTCGTTCTAGAGCAACTCAATCTGGCCAACCACTTTTATCAATTCTCTCTCCGCTTCTTCCTAGATATATTTGACTATATCCTGCACCACAATCCAAATCTCAAAAATGTCGCAGACTACAGCAGCCGACGCTCAATTTTGTTAAAGGACCTCTTTTTGGTTGTGTACAAGCGTACATCTCGTGCCTTGCTCTACCGCGATCACCTTATGCTCGCAATGCTCCTTGCTCAGGTCAAATTGCGGGGTGTGGAAGAAATCACAGATGAGTTAGAGTTTCTTCTAGAGAGTGGTGATGGGCTTGCACCTGCGGTGGCAGTTTCGCATCAGGAGCAGCAACACCCTCTGCTGTCGCCTGATCAGTTAAATCGCTTGAACAACTTTGCGAAACAGACTCTTTTCAAACCTGTACAAGCTCACATCACGGAACACGAGGATCATTGGATACCTTTCCTGCAATCGGACACCCCAGAGCATCTGGTTCCAACCCCATGGGAGCCAAGTACACGTGAGTTTATCGATTTTTTAAAAATCCCTCCACTCAATTAAGTTCCGCCTTAGCCGCTGTTGAAGCCATACGAGCGTTGCTAATTATGAAATGCTTCCGGCCGGACCGTCTCTTGCAGTCCACCGCAATATTTGTGAAAACCGTCTTTGAAGCAGACATCTCTGCCGAGTCAACTTACGAACTGGGTTCCATCGTTTCTGACGAAGTTCCTGCTGCCACCGCAGTTGCTTTAGTGTCGGTTCCAGGTTACGACGCCAGCTACCGAGTCGAAAACCTTATCAAGTATACAGGAGCTCGCTCGACATCGGTTGCCATGGGATCTCAAGAGGGATTCACACTTGCTGACCAAGCCATCGCAGCAGCTGCAAGGCAAGGGACGTGGGTTCTGCTCAAAAATGTACATCTGGCACCTTCCTGGCTTGGTCAACTAGAAAAGAAACTTCAAACACTCAATCCCCATCGTAATTTCCGGTTATTCCTGACTATGGAAGCCAATCTCTCTATCCCAGTCAACATTCTGAGGCAGTCTCGCCTAATCATGAACGAGCCTCCACCAGGAATAAAAGCCAACCTTTTAGATTCGCTGCGCAACATTCCTTCGCATCGCCTTTCTCACGGTCCTGCGGAGAAAATACGTTTATACTTCTTACTTGCTTGGTTCCATGCCGTTGTTCAGGAGCGACTCCGTTACGTTCCTTTGGGCTGGAGCAAAAATTATGATTTCAACGATTCCGATATGGCATCTGCCTTCAGCACCATCGACGCCTGGCTGAACTCCGTTTCCAAGGGACGGGCAAACATAGATCCTGCCTCGATCCCTTGGGATGCGCTACGAACGCTCGTTAAGCAGTCAGTTTATGGAGGAAGAGTTGACAGTGACTTTGATCAAAGGATCCTCAACTCATTCGTAGATGGACTATTTACCGCCCAGGCGTACAACGTAGATTTCAACCTCGTACCCACGTTGACTGGGGACCAATTGCTCGAGGCTCCGGATGGCACTAAGATGGAGCATTTTTTGACCTGGGTGCAAGCGCTGCCTGACCGGGAACCCCCATCTTGGCTGAGTCTTCCTCCGACCGCTGAGCGTGTAATCGCTATTGCTCAAGGTAACGCCCATCTTCTATATATCAATCTAACAGCACCGCTCACATCCATTAGGTAATGACTTGCTGGGAAAGCTTCGCAAAATGAGAATGCTGGCCGATGATGACGAAGATGTTGCGACCATAGCTGCTGCCAAATCCCAGACGTCACAACAGCCTGCGTGGATGAGGACGTTGTTGGACCGTTGTCGTGAATGGCTTTCTCAATTACCCTCTGTAAGCTTTGCTTCCTTGTCATTCATAATGGTCATCTTATCCATTGAATTCTAGGAATTCAATACTCTTACTCCACAATCTGCCGAACACCAAGATCCACTTTACCGTCTATTTTCTCGCGAGGGATCCATTGGCCGAAAACTTCTGGATCAAGTTCGAAAAGATTTGACCGATGTTGTAAAAGTTTGTGAAGGAGCTCTAAAACAAACCAATCATCTGCGAACCCTGATGAGCGCTTTGACGAAAGGTATGCAGCCTTTCGAATTTGCCTTTAGTGACGTTTTGACCAGAAAGCAGGTCAAATTCCGGAACATTGGCGGCGCTACAAAGTGAACAAAGCGATGGCAGTCTCAGGATGGATTGCCAACTTTTCACGACGATTGTCACAGCTGGATTCTATTGCTAAATTGGACAAGTTGAACAATGTGGAAGTTTGGCTGGGTGGCTTGTTCTTCCCAGAAGCCTACGTGACAGCCACCCGGCAGTCCGTTGCACATAAGAAGAAGTGGAGCTTGGAGACGTTGACTCTACGCCTCGATCTCGAGCGTGTCAATGATCCTAGTGCCTTCATTGTCGATGGTACGTGAAGGTTCGTTGGATGTAGGACGAAAAACTCACGGGCAAATTTTTTAAGGTTTGGCGTTGGAAGGTGCATCATGGTCCACCAACCAGCTTGTTCTGAACGACGGAGATACCGTTCGACTCAATCCATCCCAACTCCGTTGGGTGCAGGTTGACGACTCCGCTCGGGATGGTCACGTCAATTTGCCCGTTTACCTGAATAACGATCGAAGCGACGTTTTGTTTACAGTTGATCTGCCATTTGACCGCAGTTCAGGTCCGTTGGTGGCAATGAGAGCCGTCTGCCTTACCGCTGGAGGGTAGTGGATACATTACATTGAGTCTCGATACCCCTATTACGTGTAGATCTACCTATTTTTTCTTGGCATGGAACAACATCATTCACAACATGTAGACTATCTAATTGCCCTATACCATGGAATTGTTCGTCTATTATCGATGGATGGTGCAACCAGGGGCTACCTCCAAGACTTTCCAGTCAATCTCAATTCCGAATTTCTTGAAAATGCTACGCGCATCCTCAGCAATCGCTTCAAAGCCATGTGTAGCCAAGGCCAAGATGGTGGGACCTGCTCCCGAAAGGCAAATACCAAGTAGACCGGGATGCGTAGAAGGTGTAATCGACGATGTAACTTCTGGAAGACCAGGAATCTTATAGATTGTAAGGTATGAGGGCTTGGGTAGAGAAATCGCACACAAAACGCACCAAAGACCTGCGGAATGGTTGGTGTACACGATCCTTCATAGCTTCGTAGATGAGGTCTGGGTCGGGGGGAGTTTGACCCAATGCCGTTGTAAGAACAGCTAAGCGCTGTAAATTGAAAACCTGGGCAAGACCGATGAAGTCGACAGGACAAGACAGAAAAACTACAACCTACTAGATCTTTGCGAGAATAGTGCGTCGGCAAGACTTCTCTCGCTTTCGCAGTGCTCAATTCGAACCTTGGGATGATGGCGACCGCTTTGATGGTTTCAGACCACCCAAAACGCACATAGTGGCCTATACCTAGTGGTGGGACAGGTGGGTTTAGACCCCAGTCCTCTCCTGCGTCGGGAGGGTACTCAGGTAGGACCTCACTCAGCGGTACACTCGCCGCCTCGCTCGCCTGCTCATCCAACTCTTTCAGATAGGACCCCACAAAGCCGCCGATCAGGGCGGCGGTAACATTATCTGGATGGCGTTCGACCATAAGCGCGAAATCTAAAAGACGCTCCTTTGGCAGATTGAGGTGGCCGAGCTCACTGCCTAGCAGGACGCCTGCGATAACGGCGGCGCCTGAAGAGCCAAGCCCACGGCCAAAGGGGATCTCGTTCTCGACAATGATGGCGAGATGAGAAGGAAACATGCGGATGCCATGACATCGAAGGACGTAGAGGGCGACGCGTGTGGTAAGATTTTTGTACGCATCGAGCGGAACCTCGCCAGCACCTTCGCCTGAGTATGTTATAGCCGGTGCAAGATACTGAGGGGGAGGCGACAAGGGATACTTTACGAAGAGCTTCAGCTGCAGGGATAATGAGAGGCCAACGACGTCAAAGCCAGGACCGATGTTGGCAGATGTTGCGGGAACGAGGATGGTAAACGATTCAGTGGTCATCTCAGATCTGGAGGATGCAAACCAAAATAAAGCGTCTATCTAATCTCCTTTCCATCACGTTCTGCATCAGTACGAACTATGGAGGTATCTGTACCTAAAATCTGTATGTCCAGTTTCTTTATTATGCTTGATCTTGTTAATGCTGGTGGATTAGTCGGTAGTTCTCTGCAAGAAACGCGATCCGTCAACGAGTTCTTAGGCCTGTTGAAGGAAATCATCATACCAAACGACTTCCAGCTTCAAACGTTGCAGGATCGTCAGGTTGTTGATGTTGAGGGAACCATTCGCCCTGGAGAATATCTTGTCGGTATGGTTGGTATACCGGTGTATGATGTTCCACTGTTAAACTTTCCCTGCATCTAGTTGGGGAGGCCCAGCAGTATAACTGCCATTATATGCTAACATTCAGACAAGAAGCTGCTTTGCCTAGAGGCACGCCTTCTGGCAAACTTTCCACCACTGATGGTGAAGGCGGGCAATCTCAGCGTGTATGTCAACTCAACTTTAGACCTGTTTGTGTTTTCTAATACAGTTTTGCTAGGATAACTCCAAGGAAAGCGCTGCGTTAAAATCTCGCCTAATTGCTCGTGATAAGGGTTGCGTTGTGTGTATCGCACAAGTCTAGGATGAGGATGCGACGTACTTGTATAAGGCCGATTCCGAGTTGTTTATTGGGGCCCACATATTTCCTTTGCAGTATCATGATTTGGTGCGTCGCTTCTTCCATCTTGTCTGCAGTAGTCTCACTACTATTCCGCTCAGTGGGATAGAAAAGAGTATTCACAGATTGTTGTCGATCCATACTCAGTTGCTATCCGGAGCTCTAGTCGCCAGAACTCTGATACACGCCGTATGAACTCAACTGACAATGGACTATTGCTTTGTGTTACGCACCATATCCAATTTGAGGCACACTTATTTTCCATTCATCCCAATGTAAGGGCTTCTATGCTCTCTTCTCATTCATGTGCTCAATGATCCAATAGACCCACATTGTCACCTCTTTCCATCCTCGCACCAGGGATATCAACGGATTGACCATAATGCAACCATGGTCAAAAGTCAACACATGTTATCCACCCCCCCATAGCACTCTACTCAAGGATCACTTCATCTCTTCAATTGCAAGATGGATGTCAGGTGCTTCCGAGGGGGATGAGGAGGATGACTGGATGGAAGTTGAAGATGTAACATAATACTTGTTGTCTGTGTGCTTTGGTGACCAATCTTTTGTCATGTTCATCTCGTGTTGTGAAGCACTCATGCTGCTCTTGGCAATCTATACTCAGAAGCACCATCTACCTTGCTTGACCAGCTCATTGTTCCATCCATATGTGACTTTGGGGAATCCTTCCAATACAGGCGCCCAATCTACCAAACTCGCCAGCCAGCTCGTTATTCCATGCTCCCGAAATCTGGCAAGGTGGGAAGGAAATGCGTGGATTCCATGACATTGAAGGACAGAGGGTGACACATGTGGTGAGATTTTTGCACATCAAGCGGAACCTCGTCAGCACCTTAACCTGAGCATGTTATAGCCAGTGCAAGGTACTGAGGGGGCGATAAGGAATACTTTACGGAGAGTTTCAGCTGCAGGAATATGACGTCAAAGCCAGGTTGGATGTTGGGGAGCGAGGATGGTGAACGATTCTGCACCCATCACATCAAAAATTTACTACGACATCTATCTACATACATACCAATCAGTACTATTGTGCGGGCGTGGCGGGAGGAGGCTGCACTTGATACCCTCCTAAATAACCTACAGCGGGGGACGGTGTGGCGCTTCTTAAATGGGAAGGCAATGTCGGCGCTGTTGCTTGTGGTGTAGCGATCCAAGAAGCTGTGGTGGTTATCGGTTGCTGGGCAGCGATCTTGTTGCTCGCAACGGTGTTGGCCACAGCTGGAGTACGAACAGCGGGTGTCGGAGTTCCGTTGTTCGCAACAGGATTAGTAGCGGCATTGAAGAAATTGCCGTACGTTGTAGGCGTTGCGACGGTCGGTTGTGGTGTTCCTCGGCCAGACGTCGTTTGCGAAGGATATTGGCTTGGAGTAAACCAACTTTGATAGTTGTAAGGCTGTTGGGTTGTTGCCCCAGAGCCGTAAGGCTGTTGGTTAGATGTACCAACATAGCTTTGTTGGTTATAGTAACTTTGTTGTTGCTGGGTCCCTGGTGGGACATAACCTTGAAAATAAGCTGGAGCTTGGGATGGCTTATATGGGGTGTAGGTGGTTGCGGCACCCTGAGCTCGATAGGCCTGCTGTGCTTGCTGGGAATTGGCTGCGTACGTGTACGGATAACCCTGATATGAAGCAGTGGGCGGAGGTTGGTTAGCCGTGACGGGTGTGGCTGTGATAGGTACGGGGCCAGAGGTGGTGGAGATGGTAGGTCCTACGGCCGAGGTTTTGACTTTGACTGTCGAATCGTCGCGTAGCGCTGTAGTTCTACTGGTAGGCAGAGTACCATGCCACCCAGGTGATGGCTCAAGAGCAAGGGTGCGATGCAATTTCCTGAGAATCGGAGATGGAGGGACAAGGGAAGGAAGATTGGGTTCAGAGGACCGTGGGCGAAGGGATGAAAGAACAGTAAGCGAATCAAGAATACATTGAGCTTCGGGGTTCTGTGAGTTGGATCAGAATGAAAAGAGCCGAGAGACGAACCTGTCTCCCATTCCTCTGAACCCTCTTCAGCCGCAGAATTAGAGCCTTCGGTAAGGCGAAGGATCTGCAACTCCTCTAAACGATTTAGAGCAAGACGATTTCGTTCAAGAAGTTGTTGTATTGAATTTTCCAACTCTAGACTGTTCATGGCTGCTTTGATGGCATCCACTTCTTCTCGAGGCAACAAGGCATTGACGTCAGTATCCACATCTTTAGGAGGCTCTGCGACAACGGCTAGGTCTTCTCCAACCTCTTGAATGTTACCTCTACCTTCTAGAGATTCTCTCCTGGCGGCTGCTGCCTTGACTCTCCTCTGTTCTTGGCGGTATAGAACTTCGCCTAGTTGTCTCCTGCCAACGAGCTCGCAGTCATGGTCAAAAGAGGGAGCAAAACTGGCATAAGTGCCATAGTCCAAGAAAGAACCGGTAGTAACGCGTCTCTGCAAAGGAAGTGATTTTTTGTGGCCGAGGGGTTTAGAAGACAAAGAGGCGAGGGTTTGAGGAGTATCTGGGGTGGCGTTCATTGAAGAATGGAGGATAGCGACGAGCTCTGCATGGCCGGTAGGCAGGTCTTTTAGGGATATGTTTGATTGGGAGGAAGGTGGGGCGTCAAGAGATGACCAATAGTCACCTGCGGGGAGATGTTGGACGAGGGCATATTTTCTGGTGGGAGAGGTGGAGGGTGGTGGGAGTGGGTCTTCGGATGATAAGATGGATTGTATATGGAGAGGAGTTGAGATTGAAATGGGGTTGAGAAGAGAGAGGGCGAGGTTGCAGAAACGAAGTTGTTGTTGAGCAGCAGCAGAAGGACGGGCGCGAGGCAAAGAAGAGATAGGGAAGAGATTGTGAACTGCGTCGCGTACGATAGACAACGGCGAGGGGTTTGTGAGGAGAGAGCGAAGAGAATGGGAGTCAAAGACGCGGTCTAGCAGGCCCTGGTTGTCCTCCAACTCGAGAACGGTGAGGATTTGAAGACCGTGTCCTGGATGAATATTCAAATCATTGACGGTGTCGTCGTCTGTACGAAGGTGTTTTGTTGCAAGATAGTCTTCTTCATAGTGATCATGGCTTCGTTTTCGCTTTCGTTGTTGGTCTTGTCGCTGTTGTTGTTGGTGGGTTGATGTCGTTGACCGCGTTGCTCTAGCCATTCCTGACGTTGCAATAATAAAATATTGCAAGTGCGTTTCACTCAATTTTAAACTCCGATTGAACTACTTATGCCTTTGCCCATCTTCCGTGCTCAGTTGCGTTCGACACCTGCAAACGGGCACGCAGCTTTTCTTCCACATATACGCAAGCTCGTCTTTGAGTTTTGCAATAAATGGCCCTCATCTGAAAACACACGCACCTTTCTTCTCAACGACCTACAGTCTCTGGCACGCCAAAACCCCCATGTAGAAATCGTCGTCAGGCAGCGCAGTCAGAAAGAGCCTATCGTCCGTGGCTTTTATGGTTCGTTCCATCCTTTCATTCTACACCAGTCACTCATGACGGCTTATAGTCAACAACCGCGACAAGGTCATCCCCCTCAACTCCCTCGAGGTCACCGGCATCCACAAAAAAGTCCGCCTTTTGCTCGATTCATCAGGTGCAAAAATCAAACCCCTCAAACGTCGCCCCGTGGAGAGTACTACCCAGGCTGCGAGAGGCATATGGAGCGGTCTTCATGCAGATAGGCCAACGTTGTAGTCCCACGTGACACTAATCCTGCTGTACGGGTTTAATAATCTTATCATCACCTCGTTCATTTCCGCCCCCTTCATCATTTCTTACACGTGTACATCGCGAGGTATTAGGTATGTATCAAAGAGAACCAGGCGACAAGACTCCGCCAAGACGCTAGCCTGTGGCGTTAGCACTACTTCCTCTCTTTTTAGTGCCTCCTTACTCCCAGCTTTGCCCCCCAGGCTCCCCCATTCACAATGCTGGACGTGAGTCGTCGTTCACAACTTTTCTGCCATTGCATCTCATTTTTTTTTCTTCGTCAGGCTGCGGATGATTTTTCCAACGAGCTGAGTATCGACGAACTCCGGTGGTTAGAAGCCAGTGCTATCTTCGACTTTCCAGTGAGCTTTGAGTTATGCCTAGAGTGACCCTCAACTGACACCAGCAACTAGCCTTTGTCAGAGAAACCAATATCTTGTGAAGACACTAACCTACCTTTATCCCCCGAGAATATTTGTGTCCGACCTGCAACACCTCCTCCCCGTCGTTCCCGCTCTGCCACTGTTCACGCTTCAGCTCCAAGTTCCGAGTGGATTTATCGCCGACCCAAATCTCCCCCCGATTCTCGTCGATGTACATCCACCCACTCCCCTTCTTTAACGACGTCTCGCCCTCGTAACCGGAGCGGGCAAGATGTCCCCTCTTCCGTCCCCCGCTCCCTTTCAAATTCAAGCACCCGCACAGAGACTGGCCCAAGACCTGCCCCCAAGAGGGATCGGCAGGACGAAACTTTTCCATCTGATTCAATCAGTCCCTTCTGGCCAACGATCCTCCGTCCTCGGTCCCGTTCCGAACGATCCGCCCCCTTGCTTAAATATATTCCTTCAGTTAACGTTGCTTCCCCTTCTCCCACTTTGTATTCCTCTTTCTCCACTTTGAACCACACGTCTCCATCAAGGCCTGTGCGTGTTCGTCCTGCATCGATCGCATCAACACTTTCGAGCACTTCTTCGCATTCATCTTCTACACCCGAAACACCAATCTCGCCTGGTTTTGCTGTCCCTTGCAGCAAACCACGCAGGACATACCAACGCCGGAACAATGACCCCAGACTACCACCTTTGTCTGCCTCGTGTCCATCCAAATCAATCTTGACACGAACGTCGTCCATTTCCACAAAGAACTCCACCACTACCGCGCACAAATCGGTCAAGTTTGTGGACGCCCCCACTGTTCACTATGCGGCACCCTCCTATTGGAGTGCCGACGAAAGGATCGATCGTGATGTTGCTGGGCATGGTGTGGACATGGGAATAGATGTAGACGGGATGGACATGGACATGCCGGTGTCCATGGAGAGGAGCATCTATCCAGGCAGAGACCACCAGCTTGGTCCAGCCCACCTGTGCGAAGAACTTCAGCCCAGTGCACCTACCCCAGAAAAGGAAAAAGCCAGCAGTCTGAAACGGTTCATCATGACCCGAAGAGCACCTGATGCCCCATCCCCCTCCAGAAATCAACTCCTTTCGACATCGCCTCGACCCACAATATCTGGCCCATACGCACTGGGCACCTTTAACTCATTACCGCGCTCCACCACCTCCACATTCAACCCCAGTAAGTCAACCGACATAGCTCAATCCGGTATTTCGCTGCGACCCGCGCCGTCGCTTGAGAGTTTTCGTAGTGTTCAAAGTACGGCCGCTAAAAGTGCGCATAGCGTGGGGAGTGTGAGGAGTACCGCGAGCACGCGAGGATTTAGGGCTTGGTTGGAACGCATGGGCAACGCATGGTCTGGAACTTAGGATCCTTCATTACTCACTTGCTTTTCAAACCTTCTGATGCCGTTCAGCCCCTGAATATATCAAAGGTTTGACCTATATCCAGCATTGAGGCTTACCGCCTGTAGAATCTTCTAGGTGAACACCTGAAGTGCCATGGCTGGCCCATACATTTGGCACAATATCTAACAACACGGCCATGTAAATACCATAAGTTAGCTTGTCTGGGTGCTGGTATTGCTCTGTACAAAAACCCAATGGCGTTAGATGAAAGTTATCTTCCGGCCAAGCTGGCATGTTTGGGGACGATAATGATGTGATCGTCTGTCTCGCCGCTTTTCGATGAAGGTATCATCTCAGAGAGTGACATCGGAAGCGGATCCACAAGAAAGGGTGTGGCTTCACGGCTGAATTCAGGTGTGCGATAGCTGACGGGAGCGACTCGAAAGTTTCTATTGTACGTCCTCGCCGTGACACCGTCATAAGACGCCTGACTGTGAGTTGAGCGTGTCCCCGAGCCACTTGCAGCTTGAGCCGACATTCGTGCTTGGTACAGTGCGCGTATACGATATTCCGTCCTTGAGCGTTCTAGCTCTTCCTCCTCGTCAGATGGTATCTCGTTTCCGTCGGGATCTAGTCGGGCTGCAGAAGACAGATGAGGTAAGAAAGTTGGAAGCACTGGGGGACATACCCCAACCTCGTCGACGAGCCAATACTTCGGGAGGGAAAACCAACGTATTGGCTGTTCTCGTACTATGGACCCTGCTGTCGTATGAACTTTGGTCGTTGTTACTTGAACTAGGGCTCATTCGAAGGGGTCCCGCAGCAAAGACGGGGAGATCCTCTTGATCCCGACCTCTGGAAAGCAACCAAGAAGGGAGATCATCATCATTCCATTCCAGATTGATGTTATGAACTCGCTCTTCCCCGTCTGGACCAAGTCTTCTATGGATAACATAGTTCCTTCTGAGTGGTGACTCATCCAATATCTCTTCTCGAGCCGAAGCATACCTCGAAGGTTCATCAAACAGTAAAGGGCGAGGAATATTAGATGATAGCGGGGTCGTGAGGTTCTGAGCCGGGAAATTCGACAATAAGGAAAGTCTTTCTGAGCGATCTGAAAAGGATGAACGAGAAAGCTGGCGTGTATCCGAACGCACGCCTTGCAACCTCCGAGCTTCCTGAGAACGCAAGGAAACCGGGTGAGGACGAGCCGACCTTCGACCTTCTAAAGCTAAAGTCCGAGCTATAATATCGTCCCTTTCATCCTCTATCAAAGGATCTAACCTTCCCAAGTCCGGGCGTTGAAAATGTCCAAAATATTGTAATGTTCCCGGGTCCGCTGGATTGCTGTCTCTGTGTGACGCGGAGGAATTTAAGCGGCCTGCCGCCTCTCTGGCCGCAACTCGTCTACCCAAAGCAGTGGACGGATCATCGCGATGGATCCCGACCTGCAGACTTTGTGATGCATCGGACAACGATCTGTGCAGGAGAGAATGCGAAGGGCTTCCAGACGAACGGAATGGTTGCGAAATTGAACTAGGATGGGGTTGCAAGGTTCGGCGGGTAGTTGATGGACCAGAGCTGTTCAAATTGAGATTACGCATACCCTCCGCCGGAGAATTTCGCGAGTGATAAGGAGCTTGTCTTTCTTGCTCTGGGGATGGATAAGGAGGAAAGAATGGGGGGCTGGCCGGTGTGGACTGCTCGTCTTCCCTAACAAGAGGGTCGCCGGTCAGAATAATTGCTTCATGAGACGGCCCAATTTGACGATTGTCAAAGGTGGATGATTGAGGTTGAGAATTTGAGGCTGTGAGCGTACCCGAGAGCTGCAGCAAACTACGCCTGACTCGGCGAACGCGATCATATGCAGCTTCGAGTGCAACAGAGGCTTGGTAGAGATTTCGCTGTGATTCCGCGTGCTGCTCCTCTATGCTGCTGGTGGTCAGCGACGACACTGGGAGTGGGGAGACAGTTGACGGATTCGGGGAAGAGCCACTCATTATGAGAAAAGAACAACAACAGCAAGATCAGGAGCTCAATAACTATGCTGACATAACAGCCTAGATAAGATTAGATCTATTCATCCTCACTCTCATCATCTGTACTGTACTCCTCCGCTTCATCGTCAATAAATCCGTTCATTGTCCGACCCTCAGAGCTCTCGTCAGAGTCTTCATCCTCCTCGTCGCTTGTCTCGTTATCACTACTCTCTCCTCCTAACTCAACATCCTCAATGCTGCCATCATCAGAGTCGCCACTCTCAACCTCCACATCTACATCCCCGTTGTCGTCACTCGAGCTGCTTTCTCCTTCAACGTACCGCTTGACATTCTTCTCTAGAGCGACAGCCTTGGACTTGCCCTTTCGTGGCGCAAGAGGGGCGGGTGCAGCTGACGATCTCATCTCAATCTGGGCCAGCACCATATCCAGGCGGCCATTCAATGACAGGAGGCTTTCATGTAGAGCCAATCGCGCAGAAAGAGTGGCGTGTAGGCCTGAAAGACGTGCAACAAGATCAGGAATCTGCCAAGAGAAAGGTCAAAACAAGTATTAGCAAGGGGAAGGAATGACCAACCGTCATCAAGTGACCTGCATGTACTGCGAGTACCATCTTAACCCAAGTGATGAGACCCATTCCACGCTGAGAGCTAGCACCTCCGCCACCGCCTTTCATATTTATAGACCGGGAGCCCCTTCCAAGCCGTTCCACGCATGCATTTATCAATGGGATCGCTAGTTGAGGGGGTAATCTGCGAACGCTGTTGCGAATTAGATCAAGGTCTGAATGGGCAAGGCAAGTCTCTAGTAGACGGGTATCCGACGAGTGCAAAGCTTGGATCAATGTTCTTGTCAGGGTGTTCGCGGGAACAACTGCAATATCATCTCGAGTCTTTCTCGTGGTAGGTTTTGACTGGTGATGTGGTTCGCTATCGTCGTCATCTTCGTCACTATCCGACATTGGTCGTCCTTTGTTTTCAGTGACTGCTGTGAGGCGTTGGCCGAGTGAGAGTTCAGCAAGATCGACTTCCAAATGACCATCAACGTTCTTAAATTCGAGGTCTTCCGTCTGTTGGTCGTGAACAAGATCCATCCCGCTGCCTAACTTCAAGGACGACGGTTCGGCGTATCGGTGATTCAGATCCGTCTAGAGTGCACGTAAATATAAATGGAGTCACTTTTTCGAGAGGCATAAATAAAACAGACCTGTTCTAGATTGGGAAACCTAAGGTCGGGTTCATGAAGCTCTACATTTTGTATGAAGCTACCGGAGTCATCTGAATAGCGCTGTGTGCACTATGAGATAAACGTTCATGGTAAACCATTGATAGAAACCTACCACAAGATCGAAAATTGGCCGAACACCGTTTACAAGGCGAGCAACACGAACGGATCCTTGATCACATTGATCCAATGTTACAGCGACAACTGGGGTAACTGCATTACTGGCGGTGGACGAAGAAATAATGGAGCGTGGGAGAAGCATTGGTATTTTGTGTGATGTCACGCCAGTGCTCACTGGCGAGGGAAGCTCGTCGGGTAGAGGAAATATTGATACTTTGCCGGACGCTGAAAGGGTTGCAAGGGTATGTTTTTCCACCGTCACTGTAGATCCAGTGACGGAAAACGTTCTCGCGTCTGAGTCAAGGGCTATTGAAGCAACAGGGCTTCCTTCGGAAGAAACCCCATCCGCAACTTTCCAAATGTATATGAACCGATCACCTTCCGCCATGGACATGAATTGTTCTGGAGGTGCTTTTGAATTCTCCCATCGTATGAGTTGAATCGGTGAGGCGTGACCCGTGAACGAAGCCACTTGTTCTCGTCTTGAGAGGTCGGCATTGCCGTAGGTAGATAATAGGCGCATCGAATAGCGGGCAAATAAAACCTCTGCTTGCCCAGCATCTGCTGTATACCTGACTGCCATAGAAGAATACGCAACACGATCATCATTCTTCCATCTGTCCAACAGTTCGTTTTTTTGTATATCCCAAAGATGAACAGTGGCATCGGCAGCTGACGCCCAAGCAAAAGAAGTAACCCCTTCCGTCGCAAATACAACGCATAGGATAGGTGATGAGCTCGCGGGATGAGAAAGAGCCCGCAAAACCCGTCCATGAGTGGGGGAGAAAAACAAAACAACACCATTTGTAAGTCCCAAAACTACCACCTGTGTCCCACTGATTTGTTCGCCCGCTTCGGCAATGCTATTCCGTTTTTTCCTTTTTTTCTTGCTAGGCTGGATTGTTGAATCATCAGGTGAAGGAATCTGGCCATCCACGGAGAGGTTTAAGCAGGTCCATGTAAGAGACGAAACGCGTGCCGAGTCTACAGTAAATTCTGCAACCGACTGAGCAGAGGCCGTGTTATAAACGCGTAGGCGGTGTTTATCGACAGCTAGGGAAAGGAAAGCGAAGAGAGTTCCATCTGCAGAGAAGGAAGAAAGTGCGGTAAGATTTGAAGTGTCTTCCACGGACGGTTGGGAAATAATGGACGTTGATGCGGCTTTCCCTTTAGACGATTTGGGACCGCTTTTGTGCAGTTTTTGGGACATGGTAATTTGGACAAGGGGAGATTTTAAGTTCGTCTTTTTTTTGTGGAAGGCACGTGATATCTATCTAATATATGGGCACCGTGACCTAATATTCTTGCAATATAAAAGCCTTTCTTCTCTAACCACGAACATGAATTATATTCAGGTATGACCTCCAATGTATTGATAATGCAGCTTCCTACTAATCGTATTCTAGCTAGAGAAACTAGGTTGGCTTCCACTCGCCGTCGTCTTCCCCTGCTAACATCAAAACAGGTGAAGGAACATATGCAACAGTCTTCAAGGTTCGTCCTTATCCACGTCTGTGGCGTGGCTCAACGGTACCCTACAGGGCAGATCAAGGACTACTAATGAGATTGTGGCCCTGAAGGAGATCCATCTCGACGCCGAGGAAGGAACGCCATCCACTGCGATTCGCGAAATCTCCCTCATGAAGGAACTCAAGCACGTTAACATTGTTCGCCTCCACGACGTCATACATACAGAAACTAAACTAGTCCTCATTTTCGAATATTGCGAGCAAGATTTGAAGAAATACATGGATCAAAAAGGCGATCGCGGAGCACTAGATCCCGCCACAGTAAAGAGCTTCATGTTTCAACTTTTAAAAGGAACTGCTTTCTGCCACGAAAATCAAGTTTTGCATCGAGACCTAAAACCACAGAACCTTTTGATCAACAGTAAGGGAGAGCTAAAGTTGGGCGACTTTGGGCTGGCGAGAGCGTTTGGCGTACCAGTCAATACGTTTTCCAACGAGGTACGCCATTCATCTCTCTCTCCCCTTCTCACCACTTATTCTCTGCAGGTGGTCACCTTGTGGTATCGCGCTCCTGATGTCTTGCTCGGTTCGCGAACATATAGCACATCGATCGACGTGTGGTCCTGTGGATGCATTTTTGCGGAGATGATTTCCGGAGTTCCACTATTTCGAGGACGTGATAATCAAGACCAGTTGTTACACATCATGAGAATAATTGGGACTCCGTCACCAGCACAGTTACAGAAGATGGCCAAGGAAACTGTGAGCTTCTTCATTAAACAACAACGCATTCCTCACCCAGGAACGATCACCCAGCCAGATATTCAGACGAAGACATTTCCCCAATACGCCAAGATGCCTTTTAGCCAAGTGTTGTCCAAGGCGACGCCGCAGGGTACGTGATTAGCAGCTTCTCCAACGTCTCGCATCTGAACACATTTCTATTTTACAGCCATTGACCTACTAGAACGACTGCTCAAGTTCGATCCCGCCGAGCGGATCTCGGCTGCCGATGCTCTTTCTCATCCTTACTTTACCACCGCCCCAACGACAGCTCCTTTTGGTTTGAATTCGTCCCCTGGCTCAATGCCGCCTCCAGTTTTCAACTTCCCTCATCCCCATGGCCAACAGCAGCAGCAACAAATGCCCCACCCATCACAGTACTCTCGACCACCCATGCCAGTGTACAACCATCCTCAAGCAGCGGCTCAGACCCAAGTCCACGCTCAAGTGCCTCAGCCTGACCCACTCGCACAATCCCGTGCTCATGCCCAAGCCATGGCTCAACAACAGGCACATTACGGCGGGGTACAGTATGCATCCTACGGGCATGGCGCACGGTAGGTAGAGACATCCATGAAATATTCCCGCATAGAATTGGACGTTATGTATACCGCCTCATGACAATTTGTAATAGTACGCGTTGCCCCCAGTGGTTGTGTCTCATCTTCTCTCCCTTTTATGTGCTGCACGGATAAAGTCCTCATGCACATTATTTCAACCCGCATTTGTTGTACCAAAAGTCGACAGCAAAGAAATCAAATCGGCTGTTGAGTCATGAATCAAAGGCGACCAGCGGAGGATAACGAGTCCCTTTCCTCACCTTTTCTCAATGGTTTGCTGAAAAAGCTATTCATACCAGCACTCAAACAAAGTTTCTTGGTCGAGTCTTGGCAATCCGCACTGAGTGCTACAACTACTCAACGACTTTAAGAAGTCAGACTGGATTCAATTTTGAAAAAACGCACTGGGAAGTGTGTAAGGAGTTTTGCACTTGGCTTCCAGTGAACGGAGCCGTTTCGCGGCCTCGACACCATCGCATATTGGCATATCTATGGAATGAACAATGAGAGGATTATAACCAAAATCGTGGAAGAAAGGAAATACGATGGTCAAACAGGGCCACGCTAAAGTAGCCTGGGTTGTGAGCCTCCCATGCTAAGTGTAACTTAGAGTTAGCACCCTACACCTCAAATATCCACCGAAACAGACCTGCAATTGCTTCCTCGCCATTATTCGTAGCAGTTACATTGAGGTTATAGCGCTCGAGCTGCTTTACCAATAGGCTTTGCGCTATAGGGTTGTCTGACACAAAGCAGCGTTGAAAGACTATTTGTTTAGAACCGAAAAAAAGAACAACCTTCAGCGATAAGGACGTTTCCGAAAAGCGATTGTTGAACGGCTGCTAAATCTTCCGTTGCCTGACTGATGGACGTTGGCTGAGTGAAGGAGATCGGTAGGTCTTTCAAGGAAGCGAGAGTTTGCAGGAGCCGGACTTTTCGTGGAGGTTTGGTCAACTTGACTACACCGGATGTGCCGCTATTTCCAAAGACGGGGTAACCCGGACGGCTTGTGGTCGGAGTATATATGTGAAGCACTTTGGTTCCCTGGGTGGGGCCACTACGAAATGACTGAAGGTACCGAACCAAATCTTCCATGTGAGTTTCTGATTGTTCGTCAAGAATAATGAAGTCAAGAGCTCTTTTGGACGCGGGGTAAGTGTTCAAGTATGCTTTCGCGTCTTCGACGGACGAAACGAGATCAACGTTGAACCCCTCAAGCATAGTATTCAGAAGGGCGAGTGTTGCTTCAGAGGCCGAAGAGACAAGAATCTGGAGGGGAGCTAAGGCTGATTTGAGTTTCTGGATATCCTGAGCTGACTTTTTCAAGCTAATCTCGGTTTCTCTATCATTGTCGGCAGTGGTTTGGGTACACACCTTTCGAGATTCTTCAGAATCGTATATGCTAACGGGAATCGTAAACCAAAACATGGACCCGACGTTGAGCTCAGAGTGGACACCGATGGCACCACCCATCAGTTTGACAAGCTGCCGCGAAATTGATAAGCCCAATCCGGTACCACCAAACCGACGAGTGGATGAATTCTGAATATAAAGTTCACTAGAGGAACTGTGACATTTAAAATGACTCACGTCTGCCTGCTGGAATGGAACAAACAAGAGATCAACGTCACTCGCGGAAAGGCCTATGCCCGTATCCCTTGTTGTTATAAGCAAAGCTCTGCAATACCACACAAAAAAGGTCGCTTACTGAATATCAAATTTAAGATGGACGCCGGCGTCTGTAGAGTTAGGTCCATGCCCAATGGAACAGATGACGCGAACAAAGCCACTGGCAGTGAACTTGACAGCATTTCCAATCAAGTTCATAAGAACTTCCGTGATAAACATATCAGCGCAACGAACTAAAAGGAGGCAATAAATTGGGCAGTAGGAGTTGCAATCTCACCTTGACGGATTCGTGCGTAGTCGGCGAATACCCCTGCTGATGTTGAATGTAAGTTTTATGGTTGAAGCAGAAACCATACATGGTGGAACGTTGGGTTCGATATTGAAGGAAAGGTCCAGTTTCTTCGCCGCCATCGGGAGCAACAGCTCCATACAGTCCTGGATTATATGGTGAGCACGGAAAACGAAAGGAGCGATACCCAACGAACAGCTATAATATTCTTTTAAAATATAAAAGGGTCAACAAGAGAAACAATTTCTGATATTGACTTTACATACCTCGACTGAAAAGCCGCTTGGCTCGATTTTAACAGCTTGTTTGGCATTAGAAAGATGAACGTCAATACGCCTAGGCATGGCCCACCTGATGCCTCTAATTTGCTGTAGTCCAAGATAGAGTCGATAATCTATTCGAGTTTATTTGAATATATATCGTCACAAACTCCGAAAACCATAAATTTACCTTCAACAATAATTCGCACGACTGCTTCGCAGTTTGTACTTTGGCAAATAAGTGAATGGTGGAGTTTGAAAACTACTCGAAACACCAACCGATCTCGCTTTGTCCGGGATTCAGTTCCGTACCGCTCAGGAGGTCAAGCAAACCATAAAACGAGCTATGATGCGTAAACGTTAAAAAAAAGTGACTAAAGGAGGAGGAGACTACCTGAACGGGGTTCTGAGTTCGTGGCTCATGGATGCCAAAAAATTACTTTTGATCTAAAGAACGTCCGATCAGTGGACAGTATAGCGATGTTGTTTTGCTCCCACTTTTGTAGCCTTCAAAGCATCTTCGCGGCTTTTACGAGCAGCTTCTAGAGCTTCCCGTTGAGCGGCGATCATTTTCAAATTCTCCCTTGTCCCCGCTTGCACTGAACGAAATAACAGAGCATTTGCAATGCTGATACTAGCTTGTTGGCATAATAACGTAAGTATCGTCACTGTGTTTTGTGAGAAAGGATATTTCGAGGCGAAATAAACAGCGCCAAATGTTTGTCCACGATTGCTGAAAATCGGGAGGCATATGACGGAGCGATGGGCGGTTTGACCAGCTTCAGACGAAAAACGCGAGTCGAGTGCTGCGTCTGCGTAGTATATACGCTCCTTCGAGTTCAGTGCTAAGAAAAGTGAGAAATTGAGTTTGCAAAGAGTTGAGTAAGACAGACTATGTTGTATGATAGCTTTTTGGAGTGGATCACCAATTGCTCGGATAGGTTTTGGATTCCTAAAAATTATAAATGGTTCAACTTTCTGGAAACGGAACTATCTGAACATACTCATGAACTTGACATGGCTCTGGAGGAATCATGCTTGTTGCGACGGTGTAGTCCCCAGCTTCGCGGGCGATGACAACTACAATTCGGTTGAGTGAGTTCGACTTGTTAAAGACGAGCATGCAATATACCGCAGGTCTTTTGAGAGCCAGACGTTTCTGTATTTGTATCAGAAGTCGACACTGAGGGAGAGTACGAATGAATTACCAGCAGCGATCTCAGTTAGTCTCTGCAAGGCTATGCCGAGTCCACCCGTTAGACGCGCAACAACAGAAGGATATAAGAATAAACCTGAAGATAAATTTATATCACTTGATATGTCCTTGCTCCATTTTAAAATTGATGCAAGGTCAGCAGCACTGAGAGTAGATTCTTGGTCGTCTTGGACATCCATATTGTACGTGTGTCTTGGCGAACCCGCCTCGCCAGCGATGACTTCCGTCTGGACGCCAACATCAGAAGAGAAGAGAGGCCTCTTCAAGGGGTGTTGAGATTTCAGACCAGCATCTGTTGTAAGATAATTTCTGTCATTGTCATTATTGTTGAGTTCTGAGAGCTAAATTCAAATCAGCCATACACTATCCCTTGGGCGCCCCATTGTGATTGACGCGCAATTCCCTGTCGCTGGAGTTCGCTTCCAAGACCTTCCACACCACAACGAATGAAGTGCGAGCCTTGCTGAGGAGACTAAACAAAGACTATAGAATTTTTAGATACTGACTTACAAGATACAATGCCCAACCTTCCTCTAGAAGCCAATCATCGTCAACAGCAAGCCTGAAAAGAGATCAGAAGAGGTTTGAGAAGCAGATTAGGGACAACGCTACGTTACAGCCACGTCATAACGTTTGAATGCTTCGGCCCGCCCCAGCAATGCTGCCAACTCGGCCTCCTATGAAGAGATGTTACCGGTGGACCACGATCAGTTTTAAACAACAAACCACGAGGGCAACCCACGCAGCACAATTGACTGGACTTGATGATAACCATCTGGTGTAGCATGTATTGAGTCAAACGATGTCAGAAGAAGGTGGAGACGCAAACAAACTTTCTGATATATGCTTGATTAACATTGACTTGTGCCAGGTATGCAGACGACTGAGTATCCGGAAGTCCTCCTTTTCTTATGCATGCAATCATTGCTAGACTATGGAAGAAGAGTGCGTAGCGAACATGTCTGTGACTGTGAAAGCTGAATGCGTGAGTAGTTGACGAGAGACTTGAGCTACGTACTTAGGGTGTCCATTCCTTGTGTTGTAGATGCTGAACCCAAGGGAAGCAGCTTCCTCGACAAATCCTAGCGAAAAGTAACTAACGAGCTGACGATGCCATTGGCAAAAGTGATATAGCTCAGGGGACCTTCATACCTTGAAAGAGTTATACCTGCAGCTAAACTGTGAGTAAAAAAATATAGTGTGCGTCAGTGAAGCCGTACCAATTAAGGGCCAATGGAACATTTCCTGATGTCTTATGTAGCTCTTGGAGGAATTCGCTCTCCACGAAAGAATCGGTATCAAAAATAGTTTGTGCAGATCGTGGTTTCGTAAACCCTCCCAACGCACGTAAGCAATTGAGAAGACCTAAGTCAGACATGTAGTGGCCGATAAAATTCGGGAGAACATAACTATACGCACCCATAGCAAGAATCATAGGTTCACCCATAGGCAACGTTAACCTAACGTCATTTACACACTTGTGTACAAGTGAGCTCGAACGGCTAGTATGAGACGGCAGACGCGACACTGACCTCTTGTGCAGCAATCACAAGTTCGTTGACTTAGCGGACGTTAACGTCAAACCACAGATTCACGCAGAAACGACTCACGATGTTCGCACAGGTACAATTTGGTCGCAATGATATGAATACTGGCAAAACTTGTGTAAATACTGAGAAAAATGGATCAGCTAATCCACCTTCCGTTTATCATATATTCTTACCGATCGCCAGCACCATTGCCATGTTTGACAGCCTCCTCCAATCGGGGAAGAACTCCTCGGATATGCGCACTGTCAAACCCGGACACCAATCCACAGAAGAGAACTTGGGCACGACTAAATTCCAATCAGAGCTTTGTCAATGGAACAAGTCGAGGTAAAATGTACCACTTTTCTCCCGAGCTTCCATGACGGTCAGCAATGCGTAGAGCCAGTTTTCCGAGGTCCACAGAGAATCGGTACATCTCCCGCCTTTCTGCGGCGACTGGTTAGACAGTCAAGCTATCTTTCAATTACAATCGGAAAAGCCATACCTCCCAAAGCCCAGAAAAAACCAAGCGCTGTGCCAGCAGACATCCCAGATCTAGACGGAAGCGAAGAAAAAGACACTGTGTTAACAGACAAAAATGATCCATGAATTGACTAAATATACCGTAACGCCAATTGGATAGTCTATGTATGACTAGATGTCAGGTAACAATCAATGGGGTATACGGAGTTTGACGTACAGTCAACCCAACAACGTCTACAAAACAGGACGGCGAAGGACTCCAGTAGGCATTTGTGCCTACAAAAATTAGAAGGCTTTGTAAAGTGTTATGCGCGGAAACCCACCAGCATCATTCAACAACGTCACTGCAAGTTCGGTCTTCTTATCCGTTGTCCGTGGAATCAAGAGAATTTCATCAAAGCCCACGGCCATGATTTCATTTTTTACTTGCTCGAACATAAAGTCTGCCTGCCTTCTAGTAGGTGAGCGATTGATATCAATGCCTAAAACTTGGAGAGCCAAGAGCGTATCATCGAAAGCTTGCGCGTGGTTATTGCGCAACCAATGGTTACGAGAGCGTAGACGAAGGATATCGCCTTTGTCCTCTGGCTGTATTGCGTGCTCAAAGCATTCGCGAATTATTTCATCAGATTGTTCCAGCTTCCCTGTGAACAAGCCGAGTTAGCGAAAGTATGTAAGAAAATGCTAACCGGACCTTTCCACGTAAACAAGCTGCAGATAGCCATGGGTGAGTGAGTTCGGATGTACCTTGGACACACTCACGCAGCAAGTTTCTTCAACAGACTTATTGTTCGGAACGGGTTATCCGACCATGGGTCCGCTCGTAGAAGCGTCCTTGCACTGATAAAAGATCGGATGGCAAGCTTCGACGCAGTAAGTGACGAAGTATATGCCGTAATTATTCCAACCCAACTCACCTCATGAGCACCTCTGGCCCAAGCCGAGTCGCCTGCATCAACGAGCACATCCAAGAGTTCCTCTCGTTTTGGATGCTCATGCAAGAGTGGAAGACACCTGGGAATATGCATGAGTTGATATTAACGATGTTGTGCACACACCAACCGTTCAGCGTGTTCAGCAACGCGATAAATGTCTATTGGTATCTCGTGCAACATCATTAGAATAATCTGCGAAGGGATGGTAAACTTCCTCTGGAGATCAATATAGTCCACAATACCCTGAAAGACATCTTTGCAATTGAACTCTCTGGCAACGCATCAGCTTCAGCCTGAGCAGCTTGCCTATATCTATCATGAGAAAAGCTACACATGTCCCTTGCACGTTGGATAAGCCACCCCTCCGACAAGGCAAGTTGAAGCCCGCGCATTGATCCACGAGTGTTTGTGGAGCCTTGATCGCGAAAATTAGAGACAGCTTTGTGGAGGTTCCACATGTCCTCCACTTCTTCTTCGCTGCTGCTACCACTTGAGTCTTCCCAGTCCATCATCAAGGCTACTTCAGTGACCTTAAATCTAGCACGATTCGGGATGTGAGCAACAAAAGAAATGGTAAGGAATGGCCAAACTTACGTCTCGCCGAAGAAGGCGGCCCACGTGAGGTATTTCCTCGCCTCCTCTGGTAATTCTCTCATGCGGGAGATCAAAAAGGACAGATCAGTTGGATCAGACACCATTTGATTGGCCAGACTGCCTTCAATTTCCGCCATATTATATCTGAAGAGCGATTTAATATCTAATAGAATAGTCAAGAAAGAAAAAGCTCCTACACCCAATGATTACGGTCCCAGTCAAATGTAATCTGCACTTGATGAGATATATCAACAGTATAGAACAGAAAGTAGCATACGTACATGATGTTGTCGTTGAAGAGTCGTTAAGATACTTCGCGCTGAAAATGCATTGCCAGAAGAAGACGCATAAATGAAACGAGATAATGGAGAACAATCTTCTTTCGTCCTATGCAGAGTTTTAGAGATGAGGGAGGAAATCGCGGAATAAGATAGCGGTTCCATTGTTATCCATGTTGGGCGCGACCTGCTTGTGAACATGGACCGGACTCGATCAACAACTTCCCTGAGGATAATATCAGTAGTCACAATGCCGCAAGTGGCTTGAAATTCACGTCTTGTCAGAGCGCAGTGTGGCAAAAATAAGCTTATGGAACATTATCATGAATCAAGACGGATGTGAGAACAGAAACCTAACGAACCATCCGGCTTCTCGAGTTTAACAAGGTCGAGAGAAGATCCAGGGTCCTTATAATCTAGATGTCAGCCACAGATACGTAAGGGCGAAATGGGGGGTAACTTAACGATTCATCGGCTTCGTGAAGATCGTCAAGGAAAAGCGCAAACAATCGAGTCTCCGCAATGACGGAAAAAACGCCCTCAACGAGCGACTGAAACCGCGCCCTTAGGTCCTGTGTGTTGAGAGGTTCAGGGGGAGTATCTAAAATTATGTCGAACAAAGTTAAAACGTCTTTGAGCTCCGGAGTCCCCTGGTAGAGGAGCGGGATATTTTGAAGCTGTGGTCCAAGGCGGTCACGGAGCCCGGTGACAAATCGATGCAGATCAGTGTGAAAGACCATCAGTTGGCGAAGCACGGAAGATAAACATCCCAACTTCAGGGAAGGTAAGAGCAAGCTTCCGACAATAATAAACTCTTACTAGGGCCGAAAAGGGGGCAGATTCCGCGCCCTGAAACTTGGCCTGCCCCCAAAGTCCATGCGCTTCACAAGCAGTAAGTAAAAAGATGGTCTAGAAAAACAAAAGAACGCTTTACATCGCCACTTGGCTTGATTCGCAAGAATCATGGAGCTCTTCCCAACGCTACCGTGCATCAGCGTCTTTAAACGGGGGTAGATTGCGGGTTAACTCACCCTGGAGGTCCAACAACGAACACTGCTTGAGTACGAGCGACTCGGCTGCGACTGCGCCAAGTACCTGGAAGTCGTCGGTGTGATGAAGGCCACGAAGCATGATCTGCCGCCAGGGGCCCCGAAGGTACGACCATCGAGTGATTGTGATCTCCTTGCATATCACTGAGAGAAGATGCAGATTCTGATCGATCCTCTGGGGTATCCTTTTTGGTTGCTGTCGTTACTGCAACTTGATCCTTAGATGCTGAATGGTGTCTAGAAAAACTTGTCGACGTATTTCGGACTCGAATACGTTCAAAGCCAAAACAGAGTAGTACATTGAAACGACTTACTAACGTTCCGAATGACTTCCAACTCTTTGTCACGCCCAAACTGTGGTGAGTAAAATCATTATATTCGTGGCGGAAATGAACAGTCATACCAAAGAAATCGGCATGGTAAATTCCTATAGCAAAGTGCATTAAGAAAAGATGTCTGTTGAAGATAGCTGCGTTTTACCATGAATCTGTCTTGCAATGCAATTTCGAATGACGGAATCAGCTAAAATATAAATTTGTTACCCTCATCATGGAAAAATGTTGACTGCGAAGTACCTCAGACTCCCCAGATGTTGAGGAAACTGTCGCTAGAAGGCGGCGCTGACACTCTAAAAGGTCGGCCTTCAATCCATAGGCACTCTGGTATCTTGAATCTGGACTTTTAGATAAAAGCTGTGCCCTGCCATGAGATTTTTGATATCTTGTGAGCCAAAGATGACAAACTTTATCGATCACATTGGCTAGAACTTGAGGGACGTCACGTCTGACTTCATGGACGGGCATAGGGCGCTTCTGCACAATAGAGTGCAGCAACTCCAGCGCGCCCCCTTCAAATGGCATTTGTCCTCTACCCACCAAAAGAGTCCAAAATAAAATGCCAAGAGAGTATAGGTCTGTCCGATGATCCTGAGCCATCGTTTCGATGCTGCCGGTCTGTTCAGGCGCTAGATAGCACAATGCCTCCTTCACCTTCAGTTTTTCTGCTTCTTCATGAGCGCGCAAGACGAGGGAGGAGGGGGAGCCAAAGTTTTCCAAGGATATCGCTCGATTGCCAAAATGGACGAGTCTCACCATCCCAGAGTGAGAATTTAGATGGAAAGCATTGGCACGAACTAAATGGACAAGAGCATGAATAAGTCCAGTCACGCAAGGAAAAATGAGGTAAAAATCACCTTCACGGTGAATGACGCCAGCTCTGTTCAATCGAGTTAGCCCAGTAAACAATTTGTTAAGTTCTGCCTCAACTTGTGTAATGTCTCTAAACACCGAGTGGATTGAATGGCAAATCTAGAAGCAGTTGTTACCAAAGAGCCCATGAACCCATTTAATTGAGCGTACTCTAGAAATGAAGCAAGATCCATAATGTCGAGAGCCTCCACTTCTTCCGCCATGTCATGTTCTTCGATCCCCATCATATGCACATCGCCATGCGTAGAAACAGGTCTCACACGAGATATATCGGCTAAAAGAAGGTCGTTGATCTTTAAGGGAGGTAGATAATGTCCCAGAAGATTGAGACCAGGGTGGACGAGGAGAAGGACGACACAATCGCCATCGTCTCGGGGAATCTTAAAAAAATCAATCACCCGCAAAACCGAACTGTAACTATTAGTAGAGCTTGACATCCGTCCTAAGCTTGTGTCACGTAAGTCCAAGGAAACTGCCACAGGAGACCAACGATAGGCCGTACATATGGGCTTCCCTCTCCAAGCACATGGAACCATTGGACTGAGCAGGTGCGATTTTGGCCAGTACATTTGAACCGTCCTTGAGGTTATTCCCTTCGGCAAGAAGAGTCATGCTTCCAGTGTCTTGCCAAGGATAAGCCTTTTATCGAAATGAGAAACGGCTGCATAAGGAGTGTGCCGAGTACGTGCTTTTTCCAATGTATACCCAGGTATTGAAAGGATACCATCTTTGAAATACAACGTTGGGAATGGTTGGCCAAACTTCCGTCTCATGAGCACTGGCGAGATAGGGAGTCGATGTAGGTACGTGGATGCAGAGGTGAACCAATCTAGTTTGCCCACGATTATATAGGAGTGACGTCAGTGGATACCAACTTGAACCCCATCTTTCTGTGATATACATTTGACAGCAAAAATGGAGAGATTCTCGTATGTTAAAGTAATACGACGAAAAGCGAGAAGCAAGAAAAAAAAGGAGAACATCTTCACGAGGTCACTATTTTGAAACGTGAGTTTAGATCTCTGCACAAAGGGGCGACATACTGTAACTGGCTGGATCAATGTGGTCAGGAAGCTCCGGAACAGCGACCTCGAATCGAGACTGGATAGCACCCATAACGTGCTGATCGCTATCCGAAGAGACAAAAGTGATTGCCAGACCTTTCGTGCCAAATCGACCAGCACGACTGTAGCGAAAGCGGTGTAAACATACAACGGACATATAAAAAAAACTGATTGTATACGTACCCAACACGATGCAGGTAACTGTCCGCGTCGGGAGGGCAGTCGTAATTGATCACGATGTTTACACGCTCCACATCAATACCCCTTCCGAAGATATCAGTGGCAACCAAAATTCGCTTTTCAAACGCTTTGAATGCCGTATAGCGCTTAATTCTAACGGTGAATGGGTGATGCGTCAGGCAGAAGATGGTACCAGAATGTCGAACACTCACCTCTCCTCTTGCTGCAAACCAGAGTGAATACTGATACTAGGGAAATTGCACGACACAAGAAGCTTATCCAACTCAATGGCGCGAGCAACCGATTTCACAAAGATCACAACCTTGGAAAGATCAATATGAGAGATCTTCGCATAAGAATGGACATTACCTGGTTGAATTCCAACGTGTCAAGAAGTTCGCTCAACTTTTTGTTCTTGCTAACTTCCTCAAGTTTTACGTAGTGTTGCTGTAAACCGTGCAAGGTTAGTTTGGTTTCATCGTCAACAAATATTTCCAAAGGCTGCATCAGTGTGGAGTCAATAATATATCAAAAACAAAGGCAAGCCAAGAAGTTACTCACGTTGGCCATGAACTTCTTGCAGGTAATCCGAATATCCTTAGCCAGGGTTGCACTAAACATCATTACTTGTTTGTGGTGAGGGGTGGTCCGGAAAATTTCTTGGACGTCGCGGCGCATGTCTAATGGATGGTGTCGGGATTAGATAAGGTGCACAACGATGTGGCAGGAAAAGAAAAGAGATGTAGGAAGAGATCTACGAAGGGCGTTTGACAATCGATCCTGGAGCAATTCTTCTATCACATCGTGTTTGAAGGAATAAGCCCGCTGCGAAATTTGGAAAACCTCAATCCGCCCTTTGATCAATAGCTGTCATCGTGAGGCAGACAGCCAGGACGGCAGTGACGAATAGAAATACGACTGATGTGGAAGGCGCCGACTAACCGAGCTGTTCGAGCATTTTGTCGCACTCGTCCAACACAAAATGTTTCACGTTTTTGGCGTCCAAAACTTTGTCTCTGGCAAGCGCATTCAGGCGACCGGGGGTAGCAACGACTATATGAGGGCATTTGGTTTTGTCGCGAAGAATTTCGGCATCCTTAGTGACAGGTGTACCACCGTAAAAGGTGCTAACACGGACATCTGGCATGTATTTTGCAAAACGGGTGTATTCGTTTTTGATTTGGAAAGCAAGCTCTCGGGTGTGGCAAAGGACAAGCACCGAAACCTCCCCGTTAACAGGCTCAAGCTGCTGTAGGGTAGCCAACACAAAAACGGCAGTTTTCCCGTGGCCAGATTTTGCTTGACAAAGAACGTCCATGCCGAGCACAGCCTGCGGAATGCACTCTTGCTGAACTAAAATATATTTATTGGTGTGAGTATTGCATTGGTCAGGCTCGACGCACCTTCCGATGGATGCTCGAAACCAAGATCGCTTATGGCGCGTAAAAGCTCAGGTTTGAGTAGGAAGTCCCTTGATTGAAAAGAAAGCATGTTCAGCGGGAGCGGAGACCAGTGCATAATGCATGAGGCACCTGAAACCTGTTGAATGTATGCCAGAGAAGTTTTTCTTGTCTTTGTCGTCGCCGTCAACAGCAGAAGGGGCACCGTTGGTTGCAGAAGCGGCGATTCCTCCAGGGATAACCTCATGTTCGTCCTCGTAGTCGATGAGGTCTTCGTTGTCGTGTGCGCTCATTGTGTAGGAAAAAGCAGGTAAAGGTGAGCACTGAAGAGTGTGTGCGTTGATTGGCTGACCTGAAACCAAACACGAACAGGCTCGCACGGACCCCCATATTTTAATTTTCCCACTGACCCAGTCCGTCGCCCTCGTCACTTCAACCTTGCCGCATACTTAATGTTGCAGTGGCTTCGTCGATGCCAAATTAAATTCTTTGGGCAAAATGAAAGCAAAAAAATCTCCTGATTTTACTAAGAGGACATACGAAATTAGCGCCATGAGTGGTATCTGCGGCGCGGCTGACTCCGAACTGCCTTATGTTACAGCCGTGTACCATTGAGTTACCTCCAAACCGCCTAGAAGTTCATAGCTGGACTAGAACGCCACCACCAACAATTATTCCGCGAGCAAAGGTTGTGCTGGGATGGCAACCACCTATCCATTCTGGTAAGCATTCTGAGTATGCATGAACTCTCTATAGCAACTCAACACATTTGCTAGGCTTGGGGGTATGTTCAATAAATTGAGAGTTGTCTTTGTTGGCTTACTCTTCATCCCGCAGGGCTCGCAGCATCAAGTGTGTATGTGTTTCTTGGACACCAGTTCCCAACTCATTCTCCCACAAGTGGCTGCGTCATGTACCCACCCTCTTGATGTCACTAAAGTGTACGTATTTTCGATTTTGTCTGCAAAACGTCTCATCATACATGTTTTTAGTCGCATGCAAACTATAAACGCTGTCGCAGGATCAAAACGACCTTCGACTGTGGCAATCATTCGGGCATCCCTTGTCCAATCAGGTTTTCCTAGCCTTTACGCGGGATTGACTGCATCTTTGATGCGCCAGATGTCATATTCACTTGTGAGGTTGGGGAGCTACGAAAAGATGAAAGCTTACTTGTCGCGGGATGGTAGGGCTTCAACGCCCCACCTCATTGCGGCCGCTTGTCTGGCTGGGGGGCTAGGTGGTATAGCTGGGAATCCAGCAGGTATGTTGCATTGTGGTTTCGGAGCGTGGTATTGACTAGATCCAGACATCATATTGGTAAGAATGACCAGCGACTTGACGCGTGCCCCAGACAAACGATACGCGTACTCGAATGCCTTAGCCGGTCTAGTAAGCCTTGTTAAACAAGAAGGATTGCAAGGCCTTGCACGAGGCCTTGGGACGAACACTGTATGTTTCGGACATTTTGTGTGTCGAAATCCAATATTAATGACGGGAAATAGGTCAGAGCCGTTTTAATGAATGTATGTCGTTGTGTACTCTGCTTTGACATACTTTTTGATCACGACGCAAGGCATCGCAAGTAGGATCGTAAGTTATCAGCAACAGTCAGGTATTACTGCCCATTTCATATTATTTGATTAGCTACGATTTCTTCAAGACTCAACTGCTTCTACGACCAATACCCATCATCGACTACCAACTACAAGACAATCTTTTGCTGCATCTCATTGCAAGTTGTTTCGCGGGGACCGTTGCAACTAGTTTGTTATCTTATTTTCTTTTCTTTTTGGCTCTGACTTCATGTAGCCATATGTTCCCCGGCTGATGTGATTCGGTCTCGGCTCATGGCGTCGGTTTGTCTACTTTACTTCTCCTTTTGATTTTTTCTAACGTTGGATTGTAGTCATCTGGTTTGACTTTCAGTCAAGTATTGACCCAGTCATTGCGAGAGGAGGGTATTCGATTTCTGTTCAAGGGTTGGACACCAGCCTTCGTTCGCCTGGCTCCGAATACGGTTCTCCTCTTTGTTTTTTTTGAAGTGAGAGTCTCTTGAGTTTGTCCGCTACAATATCTTATAGTTGATCGTTCTAGTACCTCAAGAAGTCCTGGACAAGTGCAATGTACTCGTAGATCATTGTTTGCTCAGGACTAATCTAGTTTACAGAGGAAGATAGATCACTTCATACCATAGATTTAGAATGTACACCGACATTGCTTGCCACTATTACTTTACTTTACCGTAAATATTTTTCATAGAACAGAGCTCAGGGCCACCTAGAAAAAATGTGATTCGTATTACATAATTGTAGTTTATTTGTAGTGTCAATGTCGTTACAGCTGAATGCAGAACGATAGGCCATGCCAAATCGACACAAACATAGGGCGGATTCTCAAATTTTATGGTGGTATAGGGTGTCATCCAAGAGGTGTCAGATCCGGCAATGCTGGACGTCAGATCTGTCACGGGACCTTGACAGCGGCTATTTCCGAGCTTCAGCAAAGGCAAATGCAAGTCGACGCAGGTCGACGCTCAGTCCAATTTTCTACCACTAAGTATTCTGATATCGTTAATGGAATGTGATTTGATTTAAGAGAACATGCTTGGATTTGAGAGAGGGAGGTAAGTATGTTTGGTGTGCTTGTGACAATGTGCCTAGCAATGGGCTCAGATCAGTCTTGGTGAAGGGTAATTGGACTCGAGACTAGAGGTTTATCAAAGCAAATTTAAGTATAAACTCAAATGAATCAGTATTCATGGTTGCAATGCTCGAGGTCATAATGTTAGGTTGGGAGTTGCATAGTATGGTTGGAGAGGATTGGATCTGTTTTCTCTTCTTTTTCAGTTGAAAGGGGCAAAAGGTATCTATTTGTGCTATAAAGTATCATTACACAAAGTTTGGTACAGCAGCGCGGGCCTCTCGTTCATCAGAATACAAGTTATGTCGAAGACATGCTTCGGGGAAGCTTCTAGCCGGGTAACCGGTGGTGGCTGTACCCCCCTCCCCCCACCCGTGGGAGTCGACGTGCTGGATCGGTGGATCTGACACCTCTTGGTGTCATCAATCCGGAGGTTGAAATTTCACACCCTGTGAGAACTCAGCGGCCTCAGCCATCACATCGCTTTGAAAATTTAAGGGTCCGCCCTGTGCATGTGTCGATCTGGCTTGGCCTATCGTTCTGCCTTCAGCTGTAAAATTCTTCGACTTGACTCGGACTTAGTGGCGATGGAGGCCTTCCAGTTGCTTTCCCGTGGGGGCGCCCAATTCCGCAAGGATCGATTCCAACTCGCTTTCCAGTCCCTCAAAGTTAGTATCTTGTTATATCTGAACATTCACGCTCAATCAAGCAGACATCCCCTTCCAAACAATCTACATCTTCTGAGAGTCATCCCGACCTTCCCCCGGCATTAAACTTCTTTAAATACGCGCAAGTTGAGCAAGGGAAACGCAAGTCAGTAGAGAAAGACTTTGAAGTTTCTAGAAAGAAGAGAAGGTTAGATACTGGACAGGAAGACGATGGCGCTGAAAAGAGCAACGAGGAAGTATCAGCCCCACCAATGCATCGGCATCGAGTCAAAATGAAGGGTTCGAGTGTACCCAGCCAAGCTGATACTTTTGGCGAGATGAAGGAACGATACGACATACCCCCTCACTTATTTTCCAATCTCTCGAAATGCGGTTATTCTCACCCCACTAGCATTCAGTCCAGCGGCATGCCCGTGTTGTTCGAGGTATTGAGTCTTCCACCTTCCGCTCAAACGCTTATAAACGAAGCCATCCCGCAGTCCCGCGACCTTGCCGCCATATCCCCAACTGGCACAGGGAAAACTTTGTCTTACCTCTTTCCAGTCCTATCAAAATTAGCCTGTCCTCTTTCGGCATCTCAGGACCCTACCAAGAAAGGTGCACGAGCCCTGATTTTAGCACCAACGAGAGAGTTGGCACATCAGATCCACAACGAATGTCTGAGGCTCACGCAAGGTCGGAAATGGAGGATAGTTCTCTTCAGCAAGGCGACAGCCAACAGTTTGGCAAACAAGGCTGTACGGGACAAAGTTGGTGGGTAACTCATTGTTTCAGGCATGGCGGATGGCCCTTACTACATTTGCAGACATCATCATAAGCACGCCACTGCGTTTGATTTCATCTTACCAAGACGGAAAACTAGAATTAAACAGGTATGTGGCATGACATCGTTCTAGCCCACATTTCATTTTTAGAAAGTGTTCAGCATCTCGTGCTCGACGAAGCCGATCGCCTGTTGGATAGGGAATTTCTGCCTCAGGTCCAAGAAATCGTAGGAGCGTGCAGTTTTTCGGGAATACAGAAGGCGGTGTTTAGTGCCACTCTTCCTGCTGAAATCGAGAAACTTGCTCTCGAGATGCTTCGTAATCCCATCCGTGTTGTCGTTGGATTGAAGTATGTTTTACCTGTTGCGTGGCGAAAAGTGCTCATCCGAAGTCTGTCACATTAACAGGGACACACCTCTTCCCCTGATTTCTCAATCTTTAACCTATGTTGCGGATGACCCTTCAAAGCTTCCCAGTCTTCTGGCGTACCTTTCGCAGCCATACAACCCACCCGTACTTGTTTTCACTTCCTCACAACCTCGAGCAACGTCGCTAGCAGAAGAACTCGTGCTGAACGGGATCTCAAACGTTGATTGTCTTCATGCAGGGCTGACTAGAAAGGAACGTGAAGATACTATCAGTAGAATGCGTCAGGGACAAAGCTGGGTGTTGGTTAGCACAGAGGTCTTGGCTCGGGGTATGGACTTTCAAGGAGTCAGAGAAGTCATCAATTACGACTTTCCGACAACCGTACAAAGTTATGTTCATCGTATCGGTACGTTTTTGGAGAACACAACACGTTTACTCACAGGCGGTTAATTTCATCTTTCCAGGTCGCACGGGTAGAGCTGGTCGAGAAGGGAAGGCTGTCACATTTTTTACGGATGAAGACGGGCCTTATTTGAAGACGTGAGCATACCATACGTTTGACTTTTGGACGATTACAGACTCCTCTGCAGAATTGCGAATGTCATTCTCCAGTCTGGATATACTGTGCCTGATTGGATTCTCAAGCTCCCTAAACCTTCGAAGATGAAACGAAAGCAAATGGGGAAGGTGAAACGCCCCGACGTTGTAAACACCGCGCGCAGAGTAGGCCGCAAGGATGCAATCAAATTGAGGTATTTTTCTCTTGCGATTGAGGGTCGCCCTTGTTGACTCGATGTCCAGGGATATGATCAAAGGTTCACAACGTCGCCAACTCCGACAAAATGATCTAAAAACATCTGTCGAAAGTCCTTGATCGTGTTTTTTTCTTTCGGCTGAAGACAATCGGCGCTCAATATCACCTGGTTGTTCAACTGGACTTGAGTGTGTAGCAGCGTATCATTGCAACTTATAGTCGGAGCTTCGATCTGCTTAGATTGGATGACGTGACCCTTATGAGCGGAATATTGACTCTAAACTGGTGCAGCTTCATATCCAACTCGTCCGATTTCAGTTGTAACTGAGAAACCAAAGAAGCTAAAATACTGCATGGTTTTATTGGTTTTGGATTTTCTCTTCCTACCAGACCTTTGACACGGTGGAGGCGGGCGAGAGATATCTTGCAGGAGATTGCAATTCACTTCGTTCTCGCCCGCTTGCTCGCAGGTCCTGAGGAATCATCGTCGAAACAAAGATTCCATGAACTACGCTCGTGTTCCAACCACAGGAGACAATCGTCACGAGTTCCTTGTGGGTGCTCCAGCTGCCACTCCACAACCTTGGCCAGGGTTTCGCCAACCCAAGCACCATGTTTTTTAGCACCGAGAGCCAATACAATTTCGCGCCCCTTGGAAAGGAGTCTGAGCACAAGAGAGGGCTTTGAAGGGTGCACAACATACATCAAGGATCGGTTTCTCCTCCACTGCGTCCGTGAGATCCAGTGCTTCAATTTTTTCGACAAAAGAATTATAGGATGTGATTATACTGGCAGCCGCATTGCCTATACGCAAGTCAACAGCAATCAACACGTTCACATATTCGCTTACTTTCAATAAGATCCTTCGTCGACTCGCACAATCTTGAGAGTTGTACCACAAGGGAAAAAAGAAGGGAAGCTGTCCAATGTGCTCCAGCATTCGTGTTGTGAACGCTTTTATCGCGAAGAATAAGCCCTAAGAAATTTCAGAAAGCGGGGTCAAAATTGATACAGAAAGGCACTACCGATTGTTTTCCTTTCTTTTGCTGGCGGTAATGTTAGGTGATGCGTAACAAAACTTCCAAGCAATTCTGCGGCGGTGAACAGCAAAGGAATGCCGTCAAGATAGTGATTTTGTTTGCCAAGCTTTAATGCTTCTCTCGTGACAACCTCAACAGCGGGACAAAGCCATTTCTTCTTATCACGGTAAGTCACTCCCAAATACGGGATCAAGGCCGTTGCAAGGTATAGTCGTGGACGACAAGATGGATCTGTTTGAAGAGCGGCCAAGAGCCGATGATGGACTTTGGGAAAAGAGGGTTGTTCAGGGAGAAGGAGGGTGTTCAAAATGGCTGCTGCAGATACAGCCCGTTCTGATCCACTGGGGGCAGATGAAAGAGTGCTCGACACTTCAGGCGGAAGTGCTGAAAATATAGAAGGGTATAGAGCAAGTTCGTGGATAAGTCTAATCGAGTGAAGTGGATCTTGTCCTGCATGCGTGTAATCAAAATCGTTTTCGAAGAAAGATGAATATACTATGCCTTTCATCATTTTTGAAATCTCGTCGCCAATCCTTTCCCGTGCAACTTTTGTAACAAGGGCGTTCTAGATGAAAATATTGTCAGGATGAAGCGTTTCATTGATAAAAGATCACATACCTGTATTTCAGAGTCTTGAGCGGCCTGCTTAATGTCCGCAACCAGCTCAAAACCGAACCTACTCGCAAACCTGATACAACGGAGAACGCGGAGTGGATCATCACGAAAGGTCTCCTTTGGCGGAAGGGGCGTTCGAATTACACCCTCGTGCAGATCATCCAATCCCTATCAAAATAATCAATGTATAATGATCCCGGGTTGTGTCAAACCTACCTTTGAAGTAAAGTCTTCAACCATATGGTTGTGGACGTTGTAGAACATGGAATTGATCGTAATATCCCGCCTGCGAGCATCTTCCAAAGGGGTTCCAAACAACTAAATGGTAATTAGCCATGGATATATTTCCAGAGTGACATTATTCATACAACTTCAGTTGGAATGCGACTCGTCTCGGAATATTCTTCGCTTCGCAGATTGACGAGATCGATATCTAGACCAAAAATTTTGAATGTCGCGGTTTCGAGGTGTTTCGACTGGTCTGGGTTCACCGCAATCTTGCTGATAGTTCCCGCCCGGACGCCTTTCGCTTGCGCAAATGCAGCAAGGTGCTCAGCAAAAGCGACACCCATGATATTGCTGAGGGCAATGTCGATATCATTGCATTGAGACCCTAGGAGCTGTTCCATGGGTGAGGCGTTGGCGTTTGCATAGACAGTCCTCATAGCGAAGTTGTCATATTGACCTTGTCCCTAACCCAACCTCCTGCAATTCTACAGGTCGTAGATATACCTTGTTCCTTCTGCAAATGCACTGTACACTCGTCCAGTATTTGACACAATTTTTCTTCGGTTTCGGTCAGTTCTATTTTCATGGGACTGGGTATCTTGATGCGGGCAGTAGGGCGGTGCGTAAGAGATATGTTAACTTGTTTTAGAGCTCTGAATGGTCGTATCATAAGAACACCAGCCGCCATTGATATCATTTACATAAACGAATAATATTCCAATTTTCCCACAATCAACAAAGGTGAGTGACAACTAAATAAATAAAAACTAGCAGGCAACCACTTCCTCGTCCTCGTTCTTCTTTCGGCTCTCTTCCTCCCCTCCTCGCTCTCCTGGCTTCATACCCGCCTGATTCAATTCTTGTCTGTCATGGGTAACGTCACGAGCTGCTGCGAATCATGCTGTGCGTTATCTCTATCCTCGCTGCTGAGCTCTACCAATGACGACCATAGTCCAGGGACGTAGGTCCCAATCTTACGAGCCTTTGCTCCTGGAGAACGAGAGGGAAGCTGTAGCAGACTTGCTGCAGTACCTCGAAAGTAGCACCTACTTCTTTCTGGAACTTCGTCGCTTTTGACGCTAGTCATTTATAGACCGAACCACCACCAACTTCTTCACAGGCTCTCCACTATCAGCCCTCACGACCCTCTCCTTTTCTGACAACGTCGATCTTCAACGAAGTGCTGCGCTTGCGTTTGCAGAGATCACGGAGAAGGAAGTACGACCCGTCGGTCGTGATACCTTGGACCCCATTCTCTTTTTACTGAGCAGCCATGACACAGAAGTGCAGCGAGCTGCAAGCGCAGCTTTGGGTAATTTGGCCGTTAACAGTATGCTTGTTTTTACTCAAAAGCGTAGGCGAATCTTAATCTTAAATTAGCTGACAACAAGCTGTTGATCGTGAAACTGGGCGGCCTGGAGCCTTTAATTCGCCAAATGCTCAGTCCTAATGTGGAAGTGCAATGCAATGCCGTTGGCTGTGTCACAAACCTCGCCACCCATGGTTCGTTGCTCAGACTGGTCCCTTACGAAAAGAAGATTTAGAATTGATCATAGATGACAACAAGACCAAGATAGCTAAATCGGGTGCCTTGGTTCCCCTAACTCGACTTGCACGCTCGAAAGATATGCGGGTCCAGCGAAACGCTACTGGCGCTCTCCTCAACATGACCCACTCAGGTCAGCTTGGATCTCTTCATAATTATACTGCTCCAATTTTTCAAACTGGGTGTCAATTAGACGAAAACAGGCAACAACTGGTCAACGCAGGCGCAATTCCAGTTCTCGTGAGCCTCCTCAATTCACCTGATACTGATGTGCAGTACTATTGTACTACCGCCTTAAGCAATATTGCGGTTGACGGTGCGAGCCCCTCCTCCATATTGCAATCGTCCTATTAAACGCTACCTTAGGTTCCAACAGGAAGAAGTTGGCTCAAAGTGAACCTAGACTGGTCACAAGTCTGGTCATGCTCATGGATAGCTCAAGCCTGAAGGTTCAGTGCCAGGCAGCCCTGGCCCTCAGAAATCTTGCTAGCGATGGTAAGCTCTCTTTGATCGTCAAGGTTTCAAATGATTTGAACTCCATCTTCAGAGAAATACCAGCTCGAGATTGTAAAAGCTGATGGGTTGCAATCCTTACTACGACTTTTGCAATCATCCTACCTTCCGCTTATCCTCTCTTCCGCGGCATGTGTGCGCAATGTTTCCATTCATCCACAAAACGAATCTCCCATTATCGAATCCGGTTTTTTGCAACCTCTTATCAATCTCTTATCATTCAAAGACAACGAGGAGGTTCAATGTCACGCTATCTCAACGCTCCGTAATCTGGCAGCAAGTTCTGAGAAGAATAAGACAGCGATTGTGAAAGCAGGCGCGGTCCAGTCGATTAAAGAATTGGTTCTTGAAGTTCCTATCAACGTACAGAGTGAAATGACGGCCTGCGTGGCTGTACTCGCGCTTAGTGGTAAGAGTGCCTTATCAATCAATACCTTGTAAAGATTACTTACGACTTCAGCAGACGAACTCAAGGGCCAACTACTGGAGATGGGAATTTGTGAGGTGTTGATCCCATTGACCAATTCTCCCAGTTCGGAGGTTCAAGGGAACAGTGCAGCAGCCCTGGGTAACCTTTCCTCTAAGGGTATGCTTCTTCGCATTTGCTTAGTTGACATACGCATTATCTAAATATCTTTGAAGATGGAAGGGCGACAACAGATGACTACTCGTCATTCAATGATGTTTGGGACAAGCCTGATGGGGGAATGCACAAATATTTGTATCGATTTTTAACTAGTCCAGACGCTACATTCCAGCACATCGCTGTCTGGACTATTGTGCAGCTGCTCGAATCGGGTGGTATGTTGATTCCTGCCTCCTTGCCTGTTTGTTTCTTCATTCTAATTCTACGCAGATCCTCAATTAATCAGTAATATCAGAAGCTCAAACTTGTTGATCCCGAACATCCGTAATCTAGCAAGCTCTCGAACTTCGTCTCCTACCTCATCCATTGGGACCCCACACTCACATCACTCCCAACATTCATATCAAGATACCGATGCCGGCGACGGTCAAGGAGAAATTCAGCTCCTCGCCCGCAGAATCCTAGACTTCGTTGATGGTGATATTGATGGATTGGTTCCCTCAAGCGTACCTGGTTCTCACATGCAGCCGGGATCCTCAGTTGGCAGCTCGACCGGACGCGACCACGAAGAGCTTAGGCGGAGCGTTCGGGAAGCTTTTGCGCCAGGATCGCACCGTTAATTCCGCTCCCTTCTTGTTCTTCTTGGTATGGACTTTTTTATTACATTTCTGCCGTTTCGTTGGTTGAGTGATCTGTCTTGATTGTTGATCAAATTTTTATTCCCTTCTTTCTGTGCCCCTATTTTCTACCATCCACTTCTATTACGTTCCCTGTTGTTGTATGGCTGTACGGCCGAGGGATTCACGAGGTTCGAGTATGCATTTTGAATGCCAATAATGATACTTATGTCGGGAGCAAAGACAGAACAATGATGACTGGAAATAGACCATTTCGTGATGAATCGCCTCGAGGCCAAGTTCCTTTTAGCGAATTATAATGCCTTGAAAGCCTCACTGTCGCCTCACGACAACTGGGTCGTCGACGACCCGACTTGTCTTTGTATCGATAAACCCTTCTTCCTCGTCTCCGGGTATTGGGCTTCGACATACACATTCTCCTCAGGCTAGATACTGAGTCTTCTGTACCTCCACGGCTGCGCCTTGGAATCCCACCAAGCATTTATCTATTATCATGATCTTCTTTAAATCGCTTCCCGCCACTGTCAGCCTACTCCTGCTGCTTGTCATCGAACCTCCGCCGATTTCTGCAAAGCTCGTGCCACTCGTTATTAAGAAGATCCATCATAGTGCAGTTCATCGCACCCACAACCTAGCACGCGATCTCCGAGTTGCATTCGGAGGCGCTTTAGCTTCCCGGGCTGTCCCAGCGAAAGCCAGCAACCGTGTTGTTTATTGCAAACCAGGGAAGCAAGGCGTTCTAGGTGGAGGTCATAGCAGTGGGGGTGGAAACACCACGTCTTCCGTTGGCACGTCTCGTGGAACAGCCACTAGCACCAAGACCACAGCTACTGCTAGTCCAACGACAACTTCTCCATCTTCACCTTGGAAGGTTGCCGCATCCTTTGTGCGTTCATATCTCCAAGCGAGGTAGACAGCTCTGACAGTCTTATTCAGGCTGGAAATAACTTTTTCGACGGATGGGATTTCTTTACAGGATCAGATCCTACACAAGGTCCGTCTCCCTGTATCCTTTAATCTATGAAATGCCTACTCCCGTTCTTAAATAATCAGGTATCGTGACCTACGTTGATGAAAACACTGCAGTAAGGTCTTCTCAAGCGAATCGGTGTTGATTTGATCGAGTCTATTATAGCGATCAAGCGGCCTTTTGGAAATAAATTCTGCAGGCAATGCAGTTATGCGGGTGGAGACAACTCCCACCGTTTCCGCCAATAGACAGAGTGTACGAATCACTACTCAATACCAGTATACGGGGGGTCTTCTGGTGATGGACTCGGTCCACATGCCGACAGGTTGTGGAATTTGGCCGTAAGTTCTCACCAAAGATTCCGCAAGCGCATTGAAGAACTTACGCCCACGCTTTAGTGCATTTTGGTCAAATGGTAAGTTCTGATTATTCTCACCACCTGACTACCTCAAAATTAGTGCGCAGGTCCGAACTGGCCAGCAGGGGGAGAAATTGACATTATTGAGGGCGTTAACGACTACACGAATAACCAAGCGACTATTCATACCAATGTGGGATGTACTATCGCCAGTACAAGCTCAGCTACCCTTGCAATCTCAGGCAGCGTGATAGGTGGAACTAACTGCGCTGCTCTTACGACGGGCAACCAAGGCTGTGGCATCCGTTCCAACTCGGCAACCTCCTACGGACCTGGGTTTAACGCTAACAACGGTGGAGTTTATGCTAGTGCGTCATTCATAATTACATACGGCTCAAGGCTAAGCGCTGATGTGGGGTTTTCATTGCTTCTAGTGAAATGGGACTCTACCGGCATAGCGGTATATTTTTTCCCTCGAACGTCGATACCAGCCGATATTACCGCTGGCGCACCGCTACCAGACACTTGGGGAGCAGCCCAGGCAAGATGGCCTGCCGCATCTTGTGCCCCTTTCTCGTTCTTTAACAACCACCAGGCGATTTTTGACACCACTCTGTGGTATGTGCTTTCTCCCGATTATTTTGGCAGGCCTGATTCGCAGCTCCTTAGTGGTGATTGGGCAGCCGCAGTGTGGAGCTCTACTGGTATTCCAGGGCAGGAGCAAAGTTGTGCACAAAGAACAGGATCTGCGACTTGCGAGGCGTTTGTCCGCGCGAACGGTGCCTCTATGGCCCAAGCCTGTACGTTGCGCGACGCCGTGTTTTTAACCAATCCCTCACATTCTTTCAGATTGGGAAATCAAGAATCTTACGATTTATCGGCTTCAGAACTAAACGCAAGCAGGACTTGACGAGATGCTAGACTTATTACATTTTATGGGACTTGTATGGGACTTGTACTTAGAAATAACTTAAAGGGTGGCTGTGTTGGCATGCTTAAACCGTCCACGTCTTAAACTACCAACCAAGAGTCCAACTACGACTCCAAATGAGATTCCACGCAATTCTCCTTCTTCTCCCCCCGAGTCTTGCTTTCCAGTTACCCTTTAGTATCCCATTTTTCAGGGCCAAGAGTTACTCTACATTAGAAGACGATATTCAACCCTCTCCGCCGTCCTCCAGGATAGCTATCATTGGCGCTGGTGCAGGGGGCAGCTCAGCGGCATTTTGGATTTCCAAGGCGAAGGAAAGATTTGGACTCGAAGTTGAGATAGATGTATACGAAAGAGCGGATTACATTGGAGGCCGTAAGCGATACTTCGCCCGTTTTTTGCTCGCTGCTCAATCTCCTTCAAGGCAGCACCGTCGTATATCCATATAGTAATTCAAGTCTACCTCCGCTCGAACTGGGAGCCTCCATTTTTGTGTCGGCCAACAAAAACCTTTGGAGAGCTGCGGAGGAGTTTAACCTGACGCGTGAAGACAACGTTGAGGATGATTTTGGTATATGGGACGGAGACCAATTGCTGCTGTCCGTGAGTATCATCACCCTTTCGCTTTAGGGTGTCTCATATATGCGACGCTTTCGGTAGTTCGGTGGTGGGTGGTGGGATACGGCTAAAGTTCTCTGGAGATACGGATTTCTTTCCCCTCGCCGCACCTCATCGCTGTAAGGAGCTGGATGCACCCTTAACCTCGTATCTAACTGACTTATATCAACGCCAGAGTTCGAGATATGATCTCTCGATACTTGACTCTTTATACACTGAAGTCACCAAGGTGGAACAACATGTCCGACCTGGCCGTCCATCTTGGTTGGGAGGATCTACTGGAAACCTCCACATCTAGTTACCTTGTCAAGCAGGGAGTTTCTGAGAGCTATGTAAATGAGTTGGTCGAAGCTTCAACGAGAGTAAATTACGGACAGGTTCGTTCTATTGCTCAAACATTAGATGAAATTGACGATTTATAAGGATGTCGATGATATACACGCTTTAGGGGGTGTGGTTTCGATGGCAGCTGAGGGCGCAGTTCACATCAAAGGAGGCAATTACCAGCTCTTTGAACAATTTCTAAACCACTCAGGTGCAAACGTCTATCTCAACACCTCCGTAAGGTTCCAACATGTAGTGATGCCAACGACTTTCATCGTAACCTAGACTTTTAGGTCACTAGCATTCTTCCGAAGTCAGCAACATCTCAAAACTGGGTTGTTCGAAGTGACCGCGGGTCTACAATCTACAAAGCTGTCATTTTGGCGGCGCCATTCCACACAACTGATATCGCATTGCCTTCAGCCGTGTCCGATCAGATCCTGCGGGTTCCTTATGTTCATCTACATGTTACTCTACTCACCACGACATCACCGTCGGCCAACCCTGCATATTTCAACTTGTCAGCTGGGTCGAAGGTGCCTGCCATGATGCTGACAACTAATTTTGGTGCTCGAAATGGTGGCAAGAAACCCGAGTTCAATTCACTTTCCTACCATGGCTTGGTTCGCGAAGGGGAATGGGCCGTGAAAATCTTTTCAAAAGAGAGGATAAGCGACGGCTGGCTCCAGCAAATGTTTGATGGCCAGGTCGGCTGGATTCATAGGAAAGAAGTAAGTACGCAGTCCAACATCTCTGTTATCAGTACTAACTTGTCTTCGCTTGTAGTGGGACGCATATCCAAGGCTCCCGCCGACAGGTTCTTTTCCGCCAATAAAGCTTGAACATGGCTTCTACTACGTCAACGCTTTCGAACCGTAAGTGTCGACCTTTATCGTGTTTTACAGTATATGAATCAGTCTGCAACTTTCTAGGTTTGTATCCACTATGGAAACGGAGACGGTCGCATCACGTAATGTCGTCGATCTCCTTCTAAATGAGGAGTTTTCTTCGGGTATATGTGATATAACGTCACCCACACCTGGTGAGGAGCTATTTTCTGGAACTTTACAGGTTGGTGCAGGTGAAGATCCCGTCTTCGGATGGGATTGTTGATGGTAACTCACGACGAAGTAAAAAAACAACGTGATACCTATTTCGTAGTGAAATGAATGAGATATGTGTATATAGTTCCTTATAGTGATGTGCAAGTTATGTTGCTGCCACCGAATTGGCTTCTGCCTTTTCAACGATAGTTTCCTGCCCAGGATCGGCATCTTCTTGGTGGTGGTGACCATTGCCATTCGCCTGCTCTGTTTCGGGAAGGTGAGGGGTGAAGTTTGGCTGGTCATGGTGGTCACCGCCTGCGACAAACTTTAATCCATTTCTTGATTCCTGCGACACAAACGTGCCGCTGTCCGTGACATTCCGGCGGATTTCGATATAATCTGTGGCGAACTCTCCGATCTGTAGCACTGTGAGAGGAATGTGGGCGTGCAGTCCGACAAATTCTGCTTACCTCAACTTCATCCATGCCAAGCATCTCCCCCTCAGGCGTACACCTTAAACTCATGCCAGGGATGGTGTCTATCGCTTTTGCTATCATTGCTGTGAGCGTGAATGTGTAAGCGGATGTAGCACAAACGTAAGCAAACTGTTTATACAGTTGCTTCCAGTTGTGATCTACCCATCCGCCAGGGATGCTGCTAACGTCGTCCATGCTAGTAATCGACGAAGATGCGAAGAATGCGTTGAGGATAAGACCGATCATCCCTCCTACTGCATGCTCGGCGAAAAGGTCCAAAGCGTCATCAATCCGCATCAAAAATTTCACTACTGTGTATCAGCGGTTTGCTGGACATATTATTACTGAACACCTACACTTTGTCGCAAAATTACAAAATGCGCCAGATAGGATGCCAACAATAACGGATGACCAGGGTCTCAGGTATCCTGACGATGGAGTTGCGGCCACCAGACCAGCAATAGTCCCAGAGCAAAGGCCAACCATACTCCAGCGACGCTCTATACGATAATCCAGCAAACACCAAACCATCGCGCCGAATGCAGCAGCTATCATGGTATTCCAAATCGCAAAAATGGCACGAAGGTTGGCTCCAAAGGCACTCCCTCCGTTGAAACCGATCCACCCGAACCATAACATGGAAGCTATATGCGATTAAAAGAATGCTTGCGATGTGTGGTTCAAAGAGGCTCACTGCCAAGTCCAACCAAGGAGACGTTGTGAGGGCGGAAATTAAGCAACTCCCTCTCATGTCTCCGACCCAAAACCCACGAATATGCAAGACCACCGATACCACTCCCGATTTCAACAGGGCCCCCACCTGATTTTTGATAAAAAAAGGAATTGAATACAATCTTTGAAAATCCAATATATTCTGACCTGCAAAATCAAGAACGCCCCATTTAAACGCCCATCCATGGGTGCTCCAGATCCAGCAAACAAGAGGGCAGTAGACAAGTGTCATCCAGATAAAAGTAAAGACCATCGCAGGGAAAACTCTTCCACGCTCAGCAAGGCCACCCATTAGGATAGAAGCCGTCACACAGGCAAACTCCATCTGGAAAAATGCGTAGAGAATGTCGGGAACCAAAGGAGAACCTGGCGAAGGCTCTGCCAGGACCTTCATGAGACCGAAATTTCTGAGGTTCCCAATAAACCCATTTGTAGCTGTCGTCGAGAATCCTAGAGAATAGCCCCAGAAGTACCATTGAAAAATGACGACAGCATTGCTTGCAGACACAGCCCATATCAACGAAACTAAATCAGAAAAAGGAAATTAACAATTATGGTCTGGCGAGTTCAGGAACGCAACGTACGAGCGCTTTTTCGCCGTGACAGACCGGAATAAAGGAAGGCTTGTCAGCAGATTATCGATTAGTGAGGTGGTTTTGTTGATTGCTAAGATCTTACACACCCAATCCCGGGATCATGAAAGAGACCATAGCTCCAGCGATAATAATGAAGGAGAGATCTCCGTGGTCATATCTACGAGAAAGTTAAGAACCAACCTGACCTGGTTAGCTGATCAGAAGCCATTCACTGTTTTAAATCGTTAACGGCGCCTGAGGGGATTTTAGTAGAGCGTGAAAGAGAAGACAGGCAACGAACGGGAAAAAAAGGCTCTGTATGAGCTAGTTGAGCCGTCAGGGCTGAACCCCATCCAAATACACGAGAAAAATGAGCTGGTGGGGCTGAGTGGGGGGAGGCGAGGGAGTGGGAGATGGAGAAAAAGAGGGACGGAGCGGATGCATTTGCGATTGACATTTTTATCATGCAATGATCGCATGTCAGATTCCGGGGACCAGAAGTGCCAACGCCTTCTCTTTCAAGCAAATGCAAACAATCCCCATGTTGCCTCCAATTTTTTTCCACTGCTTCCGCCATCCGTTGCCCTATGCATCCACGCTAGCCCTTCAGGAGCAACTGCACAATATCCAGCTATCTCATCGTCGCCTTTCCGCGCACAAGGACATTCTTCTCCTTCTTCAGCACCGTCCCGTATACACGTCTGGCCGTCGGCAGACTGATCCATCTCTTCAAGATGAGAAAACCCGCCTCACTGCCATCGGCGCCGATTTTGTTCCTGCGACTCGTGGAGGGCAGCTGACATACCATGGGCCTGGCCAAATCGTTGGCTATCCGTTGATGGACCTTGGGCGATACACACCCATCATGGGTGCCCGAGAATATGTCTGCCGCATGCAAAAGATGCTTGAACGTCACCTAGACGAAGCACACGGGATAAAACACTGCCCATCAGAGCATACTGGCGTGTTTCTCGATGCGAAGACAAAACTGGCAAGCATCGGTGTGCAAGTCCGGCACAGGTTGACGTCGCACGGCTTTGCGCTTAACGTCACTCGAGAACCACTTGCGTGGTTTGACAAGGTTATCGCGTGTGGGCTAGATGATGTGAAAGCGGGGAGTATCGAGACGGCGAAGGGGGCGGCAGTGGGGATTGAAAAGGAGATGGCTGGACTCGCTGAGTGGTTTGGACGGACGTATGAGAGGGAGATGATGGAACTGGATGTAAAAGAAGAGGAAGAGATTGGCAAGGCTATCTTGGCGCTGGAAAAGGAAGCCCAAGCGCTGGGCAATTGGAATAGCACACCCTCATAGCGTCACACTGTCACACTTGGTTTGCTTCATACCACCATGCGTTTCTTGATCCTGGGCGCTACAGGTCCTTCAGGTCTCCTTCTCGTCCGCCAAGCTCTTGTAGCCTATCCTCAAGGCGTTATTGTCATATATGCTAGGTCTCCTGAAAAACTACCTGCAGATCTTGCAACGAATCCTTCCGTGGTTGTCGTCAAAGGTCAGCTAGAAGATCTCGACGCCCTCGCGAATGCTTTACAAGGTGTTGATGTCATTCTCTCTGCTCTTGGTCCCGGTCCGTGGCATCCCTCCGATACACCCCTAGCCAAGGGTTACTCCAACCTCATCGACCTCATGCACAAACATAATATAAAACGCCTTCTCTGCTTGGGTACCGCCTCTATTACAGATGAACATGACAAATTTAGTCTCATCTTCAAATCGTTTGTCACATTTGTTTCCACTTTCGCACACAGCGCGTATAAAGATGTCGTGGCAATTGGCGACATCGTAAGGACCAAAGGCGAAGATCTTGACTGGACCATTGTCAGGGTCCCGGTCTTGACGAATACCGAGTCGAGGGCCGTTGTTGGGGGATATATCGGCGACGGAAAAGTGGGCACCCTCTTGCCTAGGCTCGCCTTTGCAGTGTTCATGGTAGAAGAGGTTGAGAAGAGAGAGTGGGTTAAGAAAGCTCCGATGATTTCAGCACCCTAGAAAAGGTGTAGTCACTCGCTTCCGACGTATTTAGCTGTTGGCTGATCTCTCACGGAACCAAGCACTTCCTGGACAAATAGATACCATTATAATCCCGATGTGCTGGCATTGCATTAGAAAGGAGGTTTTACAAACTCAAGCTCCCGAATTTTAGTAACTCTTTCCATTTGAATTCACCTGGATTGTCGTGGAAAGTGCGCAGGAGACGCTCGCTGTCGCCACACTCCTTGTTTTCTCCCCAGAGATAAAATTTTTGGATAGCCATTGATAACAACTGTGCATCGTCTTGGCCTAATAGGTAGCGATCAGTACCCGCAGAAGACGCAGTAATTTCTCCTCTCAAAAGGGAAATGCCGTGGGTGGATGCCAGATCTGTGTAGTGTGTCAAGACAAGATATGGGGTTGCGTATGCACCTCGGAGCTTGTATTCCTGCAAGGGTGTGAAGAGCACGGTAGAGATTTGTGGGTTCTTTGAGGGTGCTGGAGTCGTATTCACAAAGGGATTGTTCTCAGGGGAGGGAACGGGAGGTCGATCGTGGAAACTCCACTGCAAAAAGTAAAACTCATATGCAGTATCAGAACCATTTTCCGCCAATTGGTCATCAGAGGGATTCTTTGGGCGCGGCAAGGCGACTACGAAAGACGGATATTTTTGGCCTACTGCTTCCATTTTCAAGTAGAGAGGCAATGGAATGGAAGCACAGAGATATCCGCGGCCAGTCCCACCTGAGCGCGAGAGATGGTAGGCAGTCCACAGGGAAGAAACCTGCGCAGCAGAGTGCGGGGTGGCCATGATACGCGGAAGATTGAGAATTGTGTCCAATGGCTGATAATGATGAGCGAAATTGGCTAAAGAAAGTAGGCGGAACTTACCTTTACAGGCGAGCTGTCTTTTCGGCCCTTGGCTCCCGAGGAAGGTTTCCAAGATGGTTTTATGGAGAGGCCGCCAGTATGATTTACTGGAACTGCATTCTGGCGTCCAGCCTCTTGTTGGTCCGACTTGATCTTTGCTTTGAGTTCTTCTACAGTGGTTCCTGCTCTGTGACGACGAATAATTTATTATGTAGGTGTTCTCACAAAAGCGTGGACCTCACTCCTGTGCTCGTTTACGCAGCTTTTGGGCATATTTAGCTTCCAAGGAAGATTGGGAGTATAGGCGCGTTAACCTTGGAAAACTTTGCCTTGAGATCCGTAATGGGAGCATGATGATGTGACTTCACTGGACTGTGACAGGCATGAGGTCGCGGTCATGTGATGTTGGACACAAGGCTTAGCCTAAAATCGGCCCGAAAATGACCGAAAAAAAGAAAAGGAATGATACGATTCTCCAGAAAGTTGTAAGCAGGTTGTAAGTATATTTATATTCCTTGGGTCTTCCCTCACTTCTCCATGGATCGCCTAGCTTCTGCCAAAATACCAGCCTCCACGGCCAATCCTTCTCTCTATTCCTTCGCTGTTCCCTCTGTTGCATACGGCAAGTCTGCAACATGGTTCTATACTACCATCGCAATCGTCATTGCTCTTCTTGTCCTTGAACAGTCCGTCTATCGCTTCAAGAAGCGCCATCTTCCCAGCGACAAGTGGACAATCCCCCTCATCGGTAAATTTGCAGACTCCATGTCGCCATCCATGGAATCCTACAAGAAACAATGGAATTCTGGTGCTCTTAGCGCGGTCAGCGTCTTCAATATGTTGGTTCAACTTTCTTCGCGTCCCCCGCTCTTTGCTGATTTTGCTTAAGCTTCATCGTAATGGCCTCCTCAAATGAATACGCACGCAAGATTCTCAACTCCCCTTCCTTCGCAGAACCTGCCCTGGTTCATGCTGGTAAACAAATTCTTTCCCCTGAGAACTGGTAATTTTTTTCTACGTCGCCAACATGTTCACCATACCTAATGCTGTTCAGGGTGTTCCTTACTGGGAAAGACCATGTGCAATATAGACGTGGTTTGAATGCTTTATTCACTCGCAAGGCCCTTGGGTACGTCCGATATTCACTTTGATCAACATATTCACCTCATATTCTCTAGTATCTACGTCGCCATTCAGGAGAGCATCACGCGCAAGCATCTCAAAAACTGGCTTGCGGAGGCTGCGAAGACGGGTGCAGCTCAGCCCATCATGATGACTGCCCGAGCCATGAACATGGATACTTCCTTGCGCGTCTTCTGTGGAAATCACATCCCCGAGCACGCCGCTCGAGAAATTAATGAGAAATACTGGGCAATTACGCAAGCACTCGAACTCGTCAACTTCCCCCTAGCTTTGCCTGGAACCAAAGTTTACAAAGCGATCCAAGCTCGTAAAGTTGCCATGCGGTGGCTCGAACTCGCCGCCCATAACAGCAAAATCGCGATGGCTAATGGCGCTGAGCCGGAGTGCATGCTGGACGAGTGGGTTCAAGTACTCGCCGACCCGACGTACAACTATCGAAAAGAATTTAGCGACCTCGAGATGGCCATGGTCGTATTTTCGTTCTTGTTTGCATCGCAAGATGCCATGTCCAGCGGTTTGATCTATGGTTTCCAACATCTCGCTGATCATCCTGAGGTTATGGCAAAGGTCAAAGAAGAGCAGGAGCGAGTTCGTCAGGGCGATTACGAGCGAGCATTGTCTCTTGAAACGCTGGCTCAAATGCCTTATCTTCAGGCTGTTGTCAAAGAAAGCATGCGAGTACAACCTCCCGTTCTGATGGTTTGTTGGTCACCATACATGTCCTCCACCCCCCTGTTCATTAATTCTATTAGGTCCCGTACAAAGCTACCAAAGCCTTCCCCATCACTGATGATTACACTGTTCCAGCCAACAGCATGGTCATCCCATCCTTTTACAACTCTCTTCACGACAGCTCCGTTTACCCCGATCCAGAGTCCTTTAACCCTGAGAGGTGGTTAGATCCTCAGGGCCTGGCGAATTCTAACCCAAAAAATTATCTCGTTTTTGGGAGTGGACCTCATCGCTGCATCGGCCTCGAATACGCAACCATGAACATGACACTGGTGCTTGCTACTGCATGTGCCATGATGGATTGGGAACACGAGGTCACTCCTCTTAGCAACACTGTCGAGTAAGTCTTGAATTCACAGCTTTTGATCTTGGCTTGACGATCTCTCGCAGGATTATTGCGACTTGCTTCCCTAAAGATGGTTGTAAACTCAAACTTACACCGCGTATCCATTCATAAGCAAATATGCTTAATTATAAAATACGTTAAAATACCCTAATATTTATGAGAAGAGCACAAGCCCCATTGACCAAGATAAGGAGGAGGTATATAGATCATTGAAGTTATCATAAGTGCTAAAGATTGCTTGCTAGAATGAGTTATTTACAGTCTGCGAACAAGTAGAGGAAGTGAACTGGCGGTTTGATTTTTGACACGAGGCCGAACGACGAAGCTTTGGAAAGCCTCAATCTCGTAGGGGCAAGTAAAGGAAAATTGGCGGACGAGTGTTACAACGAGAGCCTGGCAAACATACATATCAGAGGGTGTTTGTAATTTCTAATCAAGGCGTTCTTACCTTGATCTCCGCTATTGCAAACGATTTCCCAATACATGAGCGGGGTCTGTGAAACACTTTTAGTTCAATCGCCTCAAAATGGCAAATGCCCTACCCCTCGCTGAATGCTAGGAGCTCGCGGCCGCGACGATTGCCATTCTGCTTCATTTCCAACCACCGTTGGGGCCGAAAGATCTTCGCATCAGGCCCCCATATTTCTGGGTCAGACTGTATCGCATTCACTGGTATCACCAACAGCGTTCCTTTCGGTAAAAAGAGTTGCAGTTCATTCATCCCGGGAATCGGTTCTGAAAGAGGGAGACAGATATCGTGGGCAGTCTGGATGGTAAGGATTAAAATTGAACGATGCTGAGATTATGGCTGGTTAGGCAGTCATACCTCGTGATGGTTTTCTAGGATCGCGGGATGTAATCTCAAAGTCTCCTTCAAAACGGCATCAAGAAGGGGGCAGCGGCTGTTCACAGAGTCCATCGAGTGATCTAGCAAAGAAGAGAATTCTTCCCTGAGGGCAACCTGAAGTTGATTATCGGAAGCTAGTTCGTAGAGTATCCACTACACAAGAGAATTAGTAACTGAGCACAAATGTGAATGAGTATAGATTCTCACAGCTACGACAGCTGACACAGTCTCATAACCAGCCGAAATGATGGTTCGCATCTGAGAAACTACGTGTTGCTCGTCCAGAAGAGAATGGGGGAACGAGTCATCTCGTCGTACTAGAAAATAAATGTAATTGAAACGTGCAAGAGTGGAAAATGATCTTACGCATGTGTGCCATTACGGTTTTGCTGTCACGATCCCCTGCGACTTTTGCGTCCCACCACATCCTGGATGCAATCACACCAAGTTCATATTTTGTTTTCTGGATCATCTCACCCTTCTTCCCCATGGAAAGCACGGGAGGAAACAGCCAGAAGAGCGCTCTCATATAGAAGGACGAACTTTTGTGTTCACAGTTCGTTAATCCATTTAGGGCCTCTTCTAGAGGATGGGGCGCGCCTGAAAGGCAGTCAAAATCATAAGAGAACGCAGCTCGTCCGATGGTGTCAAGCCTATGGACACATAAATGCGTCAAAACTTCAGCGAGACGGAGGATAGATCGTGAACGCACGCAAACCGACCAGCCCAATTGGTAATGTCAATTTCCATTTCGTCCACTGAGCTTGCATCAAAAAGCTTCGTCCATTGCATTGCTAATTTTGCCGAAGTCTCAAAAAAAACTGGTGTCAAGCCACGAACGGCTTGCTGGCTTCGGTAAGGACCTTGAGTTTGGTTGAACAAAATGGGATACGGCGAAATCATACTTTAATGCTGGAGCTAGAATACGCCGTTGGTGTTCATGAGCAAGTTTCCCTTGTCGAGCATATTATTCAGGTCAGAGGAAACGTTATAAAGTAAGCTGCGCCGACCTTCTACCCAAAGGATACCCTCCCCAAGGGTCGCTCTAAACCAGGCACGGACGCCTCGAGGTTTGGGAAGACTATAGATACCTTCTCCTAGGATAAAAGAAATAGCTTTAAAATCGGTTATGGATACGACTGGGTGCTATTAGAAACATCAATGGCGCAACTTGAATGAATTTGACAAGTCGCATACCCAAAGGGCACCCGAAAATTTGACGACTTTTCCATATCTCTTGTGCCACTCGATGTAGGGAGAGCCAGGTGCGCTCTGATATAGATTCCATTCTTCGCCCCAGAGAAGAGATGACGGTGGAGGCCCGGGAATCCGAGAGAGGACGCGTCTTGTCAAGAGCAAGTGGAAAATGTAACGGGACACAAAGACGATCAAGAATCCAAGGCTAAGGAGGAAAAATTTCAAAGACAGATAGAGGAACATTGACACCAAATAGGAGGAAGGCAAGTGAGATGGTCACTTATGTTTTTCCGGGTCTGCTTATATATTCATCGAGCGGTCTCGATTGTAATGGAGCCTCAGCCATAATCGTCAATCGTTGAAAGTCGCTCATGACAGGTGCAATCGTAAGTTGTGGCGAGAAATGATACAAAAGATTGGGTATAAGGTTCGTCCGAGTGACCCGTAACGCTCAAGATAGTTTTGAGATCAGGACGACACCAGAAGCTAGGAGTATGAATGCCGCTTTGTGGGGATAGTCGTTGCCGCGTACTGACACGTTGGAAACTACGGATGTGCGTAGGTGTCTGTCTGTAGTCTGTCTAGTGAGTCAAGTTTAAGTAGGTTGTGACACGTTGGGTCGCGACGCGACTGGGATTTGGCACGTGCAATTGCCAGCGTTTCTCCAAAACAAGTCTCTCGCGAAGCAAAAACGAGGCTATGAGAGGCAAATCTCGTCCAGATTCAATGGCCGTCTCCTCGTCTTTGAGCAGCATACACATTTCTCCACGTACTCCAAGGACGCCGCGTGTGCCGACATTGGAGGATGGGGAAGAAGACTTAGAGTTGACACTTCTCGGTGAAGATGAACGTCAGCAAGCGGCCCGAGACTTGGGTGAGCGCGAGAATCAAGAACTTCTCCCCGAATCCAAGCGGCCGATTTCAGCGAGGGATAAGAGGAGTATGGTTTTACTCTGCGTTCTCTGTGAGTTTCTTCTCCTAGTCATTCTGACATCTTCTCAAGTGCACAAAGATCTTATTCAGGGTGTTCCGGTACGGTCGACTTAAATCACCGTAAGCAAAATTGCGCTAATTATCAAGCCCTTGTTGATCAGCTTGGGCTTGCTTTAGGTCTGTCGTGCTTTGAACATGTTCCATACTACCGTCCTTATTTTATTTTGTGTATAGGATCTGTGCCATTTCTTCTCAAAGAACATTTGTCATACTCGCAACTTGCGACGTTTGCGTTGTCAAGTTATCCGTATTCCCTCAAACTCCTCTGGTCGCCCATCGTCGACTCCGTTTTCATCAGATCCGTTGGGCGTCGAAAGTCATGGATCATACCAATGCAGCTGATTGTGGGAACTCTAATGCTTTACATCTCGCTTAACGTCCAAAAACTTCTTGACGATGTAAGCACCCTCATATTCCTGTGTAATGTCATCTTTTACCAGTTTTAGCCGGGAAACAATGTTACTGAACTTACCGTCATCTTTACGCTGCTTGTGTTGTTTTCTGCTACACAAGGTAAGCAATAATTTCTTGATCCCGTGCAGCACGTTGACGTGATCAATGTAGATATAGCCGTCGATGGTACCTTCCTCCAGTTTATTAATTGTACCCCGTAATGATCTTTTTCAAGGCTGGGCGCTCACCCTTCTTTCGCAAGATTGTTTATCGTACGCATCAACGTGTCAAACGATTGGACTCAATACTGGCTTCTTCGCTTCCTTCACGGTATTCCTCGCCTTCAACAGCGAAGCTTTTGCGTATGTCCGTCCGATAGATATTTCGAAATATTGATAACCTGCCCGCAGTGCGAGATGGGGCGTTCCTCAACTAAGCCTGAGCGGCTACTTGAGGTTCTGGAGCATTGTTTGTTATCTAGTTACATTCTGGCTGCTATTCTTCAAGAAAGAGGTGCGCGGACTTTGTCTTTCCTACATTTCAGTCCTAATATACCTCACAGGACAAAGAACCTGCTAGTGAAGCAGATATGAGCATAACAGCTGTTTACAAGACAATCTGGACTATCTGCAAGCTAAAACGTGATCAGAATTATATTCCATTTGACTTGCGGGTTGCTCTAACAAATTTACAACCAGATGTTCAACTCCTCATCCTTATGCATCTATTCGCTAAGGTTGGATTCGCAGCAAACGAGGCCGCCACTTCTCTTAAGATGGTGGAGAAGGGTTTTAGACGCGAGGACCTCGCGATTGCTGTGTTGATTGATTTTCCGTTTCAAATAACAGGCGGGTGGCTAGCAGCCAAGTGGTCTAGGGGCGATCGTCCTCTTAGGCCATGGATGCACGCGTTTTGGCCTCGCCTTCTCTTTTGTCTGATTGCCACCCTCGTTGTCTACTGGTTCCCGAAACCCCCGATAACCCTTGGTTTCTTCGCATTTCTCATATTTCACACAGTACTATCATCTTTTGCCTCGTAAGATCGGTCTCCGCTCTCGAAGGAGTGCTAATATTCAAATGAACGAATACAGGACCGTTCAATTTGTTGGCATCTCAGCGTTTCACACGCGAGTATCTGATCCACTAATTGGAGGGACATACATGACGGTACGCTTCACAACTAGGTCCTCATCAAATCTTATTCGTTTTTCTTTAGCTGCTGAACACCTTTACCAACATGGGTGGCACTTGGCCAAAGTGGTTCGTTTTGAAAGGAATGTGGTTACCGCCTGCTTGCAAGGCCATTAATTGACCCCCTAGTAGGTGTTGACCTCTTCAGCGTCGCGATATGCCAAGTGCCTGATGCTGGCATGGATGTCAAAGTTCAAGGTATGACACTTCATTTAAGCCGTTCTGATGCTTATGTTCATGTCGGTATTGCAGCGACGGAATGCGTGTCGGATCATGGAAAGAAGCTGTGCCACGAAATCAATGGCATATGTACCACAGAGCGAGATGGATACTACATCGTTTCGGCGATTTGCATGGCGTTTGGAGTCGTCTTTCTGTTGGCATTCATTTTGCCGACGGCTCGCAAGCTTCAAGGTCAGATTGCCGTTTCGTTCAAGTGGGATATCGACTGACTTGAGTTGTAGCATTACCAACGTCCGTTTGGCGGGTTAAAATGAGTTGATATAATGTATATAGAGCAGCGTTCAAGGGATGTGGACTGGAGTTGGTTGTTATTTATGCTATTTAAAACTCAGCAACGAGAATGATTTTCCACGTGTGTGAAGAAACTTTAGCTGAACCGACACTGATTCAGAATTTTTGAAAAATACCGCGTACACCTCATCCTCACAAACTACATCTACAAAATATAAATGTCTACAACTACCATGCATTTTGGGCCTGAATGGATGCGCACCAAGCACCAGCCTCTCTCGCGTTCACAGCCACCACCCTCTCCACCACTCTCTGCAGCCACTCCAGCCATGTCCACCTATTCAGCTCTCGTCTCGCCGGTCTCTCAAGCACACCCTGAAAAACCAGATGAAGCTCATCCATTCCGTTATTCAAAGAATGATCTCCTGCGAATTTACAGAGAAGGTACCAAGGGTGGCCTTGCGCTAGAGGTCGAACGATGGGAGGGTGTTGTCCGCGAGTTAGGAAGCGAACCAATAGGGCTGCGCGAAATGGGTGATGCAGAAAGGAAGGCAAGCGGTCGCCATTATGAACTCTCAACCTATTTCATCGCCCCTCACCGTTTGTTCAGCTTTTCACAGGTCCTTTGAACTCCGATCTCCGTCGACGTCAATCTACCGATTATCTTTCTCCCTTGAATACGTCCGCGCTCGGGATTGAGCGCCCTCGAATGGCTCTTAATACAACCTCCGCTACTGGTAGCCCATCTAGAGAACGATTTGGCACGCTCAAGCGTCATGACAGCAATACCGGTGCGATTCTGCTGTTTTGTCCCCCCTCAGTATTCTTAACGCCCTTCATCAGAACCGCCGGCCTCGAACATTTCCCGCAAACAGTCGCTCTCGGCGCTCCAAACACATGCGGCTTCTCCTAGAAACGTCGCTCTTCCTTCCCCCCGCTCGCGTGCTGGGTTTATGCCGAATTTTGATGGCGTACTCAATAATGGAGATTCGTGGACTTCTCGACGTCGTGCGTCTGAGGCGTCATTGAAATCTGGAGCTGCTACATATCGCGACTCTGGAGGTGATTGGGAACATGATGATAAGAACGCAGGAATCAGGGAGGAGAAAGAGGAAGAAGTTGGTGCAGATGCAGAACGACGGACTCGTCCCCCACTTGTGACCTCACTCGCTGCCGAGCATACACAAAGTGAAAGCCGTTCTGATTTATATCCGTCGTCAGACGCTTTTGACTCTGAGTCGAGAGGGCATACTCAGTCACATCATGGCTACGCAAACCCACTTGATCCTCTCGGCGCCACAGGGATACACAATTCGTTTTCAGATGTGCGCGATCTTGCAGGTGTCGAGTGGTCCTACAAGGATCCAACTGGTCAGGTCCAAGGTAAGTATAGTCTGTCCCACCCTCTTATGAGGCTAACGACGTCTCAGGCCCGTTTCGCGCTGACTTGATGCAGAAGTGGTATGATGATGGGTATTTCTCCGTCGACCTCCCTATGAAACGTACGCACTTGGACTCGCAATGGATCACTGTTGAGGAATTGGCAAAGCTTACGCGTGGCGATAAAATATTTCTTTCGCCTTTCGTTCCGGTTCTCCCACCTGGTTTATCTCTACAGAATGGTTCTCCTCTGCAGCCCCTCCACTCAATCGCAAACCAAAACGTTTTCTCCAACCCTTATCAACCCGCACCAGTTCGATCGTTGCGTAGCTCAACACTCGATTCTTATATTGGCACTGGCTCTAATCCGTCTGATTCTCCTTCATCATCATTTGGCACGGGTCGCTTTGGTGATTCATCACCAGATCCCTCTTCATTCGGGGGAAGAGCGAGCAGCAACCTTTATTTTGGGGGGGATTCAGCTGGGCTCGGATATCCTGCAACCCCTGATACAGGTCCTCTATTTGCCAGCAGGAGACCTAGCCATGATTATGCACACGATCCGGCGCTAGCATTACGTTCGCCATCGTTTGGCAACGTCCCAGTTGGTCAAGGTCCCTTGCTGGACGTATACGAACGCGTTACTGGCTACGCTTCAGCGCAAGGACCTTGGAGTCAGGACACCTTTGGAGCCGAGCCGGCTATAATGGTTTCCTCCTCCACTTACAACGATCTCTCCAACAGGCCAACCATAATTTCCAGTGATAGCCTGCCTGGTGCTCATCGTGCTCACCAGATATATGGGAATGGCGACGCCGGTAATCCTCACAATGCGTTACACGAGGACAACCAAACTCATGGTCCCTCAAATACAATTCTTGATCGTCGATTGCTTTCACATTCGCCTGTACAGGAGTACTTGTCGGCGCAGCAGCCAGACACTGGACACAGAATCAGCCCCGATCACACGACTTTCACCCCACCTTCAGGCAGTCAAGGCGCTAGTCCAATAATTGCTGAAGTCGCTACACCATGGAAAAGTGTACAGGAAGAATCTCAGTCTCGACGCCCAGGGCCCTTCGAAGTTCCTCACCCCACATCAACAAATACGATCTCAGTCCCCGCTACTCACGCCCAACCATCACCTTGGGGTCGAGGCAGTCATATCTCTAGGCCTAGTTCACAATCAAACGAGCCTTCTCCGTGGGTAGTCGCATCTCAAGGCATTCTTGAAGACCCTTGGAAGGACCCAGAACCCAGCGGTTCAACAGTCACCAATGGTGGTCAGCACAATCAACAACATGAAGGGCCGGAATGCTCAGTGGTTTCCCCCAAAGAAACACAAGACCAAATTATCTCCTCGCAAGGAATCCCGGAGCCTGTAACGTCGTCTGAAGATTTGTCTGTCCCAACTGCTCAAAGCAAGATTATCACACCAATTCAACACTCGAAGCCGACTAGCCAAGTTGCCGAATCATCGGCACCGACGCCGCCGACGCCAAAAGTTGCTTGGGTTAAAGAGGAAGAGAAAAAGAAATCTCGGGCCCCCGGGGTTCCCTTAAGCCTGCGGGGGATACAAGAAGCTGAAGCAAAGAAAGCGGAAAGTCGTAAAGCTGCAGAAAGGGAGCGAGAACGTGCTGCTCGCGGATCTACCGCTGTAGATGGAAAAGAAGATGTACAACCCTTCACCGCTTCATGGGGCCTGCCTACCTCTCAGACAGGCGCACGTGGAGGTGTATCTGTCAAGGAGTCGCTTCCTACCGTTTCAGCCGCTCCGAACAACATCACCCTTCCTGTTTGGACAACACCCGTGAAGCCCCCAGCGGCGAAGACGATGAAGGAAATCCAGGAGGAAGAGGAAAAGCGCAAGAAGCTGGCGATAAAGGAAACTGCTGCCACAGCCACAGCCAAAAGAGCTTACGCAGACTCCACGGCCAAGGTATGTAGACTATTTTTCTTCGCCTTCATGATTTGATTTTTATGATATAAGGTTGTGATCACCCCTAATCTTACACAGAGTAATAATGCCTGGACCACAGTTGGACCAAGTGGCAAATTATCGTCCCCAGCTTTGACAGCCGTCCGGCCTACTGTGCTATCTCCTTCTGGATCATCCACTCCGATCAACTCATCGCCGTCCGTTCGTGTCAATGGAGCTAGAAGTGCTGCCCTTCCAGCAGCCGTGTTAAAGCCAACTGCACCAGCTCCCAAGGCAGAAGATTTTCCTGCAACACCATCTCACGATTTCTTGAAATGGCTGAGCGAGTCATTGAAGGGCCTCAACAAAACTGTCAACGGTAAACTGCTCTGCCGTCCATTTTCATTTGATTAATGACAATCATTTCAATCTTAGTTGAGGAAATCATGGCGATGCTATTGTCTTTCTCGTTGGATCCTGATCCGTCGACTATTGAGCTCATATCCGACACAATATACGAACATAGTACGACGCTCGACGGCCGCCGTTTTGCATCTGACTTTGTCTCAAAGCGTAAAGCTGATGCCGCAGCCCGACCCAAGGGTGTCAGCACTACGAGCAAGACCCCGGCAAAACCAGTTTCGATCGCTGATGTGGTGAAAGCAACGCCAAAGACAGCGCAGCCAGAATGGGGTTTCAAGGTAGTGAACAAGAAAAAGAAAGGCAACAGGGCTTGAGGAACAGATATGTTCGAAATCTACCACACCGACACAAACATAGTACTTGCATTGCGTGTTGGATATCATCTTCGTTAAGTAGGTACAAAAAAATACATAATCACCAGGGATAGATTTGGATAGATAATCTTACAAGTGGACCTTCACATCAACCTCATTTACTTAAGATTGTTCCTCTTCAACATCCGACCAATCACTACCAAGGTCATCGGTTAAATGAGACGGCAACGGCCCCGATGATTGCGGCACATCCGTCACGTCAGTCAACAGAAACGCACTGACGTCCTCTGGTTCGACGGGAGATCCGAGATTGAGGACAGTTGGAACGATTGGCACTGCTGCCTCAATAGGAACATCTAAGACAGCGTGGGCATCCACCACAACCTCCCCGCCAGACGGTGGCTGAGAGGCGTTGATTTCTTCCTCCTGTTCGTCATCGCTGCAACGTGACATTCCAGAAACAGATACCGCAGAGGGTGAAGACCCTTCTTCCGGCTCGGTAGTGAGAATTTCCGAGGGGGGGCTAATCGTCTCGGCATTTGATGAAGAGATCACATCTTCTTTCTCAGTTGCAACATCGTCGAAAACAGTCGTGCTGCTACCGGTGGCGTTAACATCTGGGAGCGCCCCCTGCTTCATGCTGTCAGAAACAAGGGGCAGAACCTGAGCCTCTTCCGGCTTCCTCTCGTGCGTTGACGCATCGGAAGCAACCTTGTGCGATGCCTCTATGCCTCTTTCAAGTTCGTCTAGAGCTGTTTCGACCCTGCGGACAACCTCCTTCCTTTTCGTTCTCAGCGCTTCGTTCCCAAAGCTATCAATCGAGTCAAGCCGAGACAGGAGGGAAGTTAACGCTTGCTCGTAGTACCTGACAGGATGATTGCGAGCGCTGAATGCCAGGCGGGACGTGCCTTTGACAAGTGCGTCACCAACATCGTGGAGGTGTGTAGAGATGAAGTCGAGTTGGGTTGGGAAATGAAAATCGTCATTCAAAGTTTCAAGAGCGGTTTCGATGCGTTCGACAACGTCAAAAGACCGAACGACATCTTCGGACGTCGCGTTCTGTGACGGTGGTGTGGATCGTGCTTCAGTAACGGACTCCTTGTACTTTCCCTTCATGGAGCTATTCGTTTGAGCCTCGTTTGGACGGGAAGCAGATGAGTCGGCAAGAGACGCAAGTATGGCGTGTATGGTATCATGAATCTCGGTCGCAACTTCATCCTTCAGTCCCAACCCAAGGAAAACATCTTTCGAAAACTCAGATTTCGACTGACGCTAACAAGAGCATTTTGAGAAAATAAATGGTGCAGCTAAACGAAGTGACGTACATTTTCTTTTGCGGTCCTAGGGGGTCCTTCAGAGCGGAACCCACACGGGCTCGAGTGATAAGGAACACCATGAGATTGTTTTGAGCAGTTCACAGGAACGGAGCTTTGGTGGTCTTCCAGCAGAGCCTAGACTTGGGTTAGTGCCAATTTAAATTTCCGTGGCGTAGTTCACGACTTACCTGACACAACTGCTCTCGCAACAAGGCTGCTTCCCTCTCCTCGCGGCAGCGGGCCTGAACGTCTTGTTTCAGCGAAGACTGGTTAAACTGTTGATAAGGTGACTGTAAGCTATGGTTGGAGTGCAACGGCCCATAGTTGAAGATGGATAGGCGGGCGGTATGACGACGAGTATGCTGAAGCTGGAGTCGATGGAGGAGAGCTTCCTCCTCGCGTTTAGCCTCGTAGGCGATGTACTCAGCTTCTGCCGCTCTGGCTTGAGCGAGAGAAAAGAGATACCGATCACGGGGGCTCAACTGCGAGAGGTCGATCGAAGTGGTTGGGGTGCGAAGTAACATATTGAGGGTGATTTAGCGATATTGAATGTCGGGCCAAGAAAAAACTTGTGAGCTTTTATAGCTGAACATGATAAATGGTAGAAAGAGCTGGAAGGTTGGTGAACGATGGTAAATGTCGCTGAACGCGCGTCGATACGCGTAAGCTCGCGTTGAGTAAGCTCGGGGTTGGTGAGTCACTCTGAGTCTGACTCATCATAATTCGCCGCTCACATCTCGAGGTTGCTAGAACTTGACAGTCGTTGAACGTGAATACTGTTGGACGTGAACATCGACGCGAACGGCGAACGCAGGCAGATGCTGCTGTTTGAATTTTGGCAAGCGATTGACCTTGGCTACATACCACCACGTGACCGATTCATCAAAAGTTCAACAATTTTTGGAATCTGTTTTCTCTCCTAACCCTCACAGCAGTTCTCAAGGCGCAGTCAGAGAACAACTCTTTCTCATCCAAATCGTGACCAAGGGTAGTGGTTCTGACAGGGGAGATGGAATCTGAGCTCAATTAAGCCGGAGCTTCTTCCAAACTGCAGTTGTTCATTGTAAAATAATGAAAGGGAAGAGGCTTGACTATGCAGCTCAAACACATTATTATCCTGTCGTAGTATACAAATCGACTGTCATTTGTAATACTAAGGTCTGTACAAGATACTAGCACATGGAATAAGCCTATTACAGAGCCGACGCGGGGCTCAAACACATCGTTTCTATCATCCAGCGCTCTTCTCCCCACAATTCTAATGACGTCTCTGCGACAGAACAGTACTTGAGAATAAGTACATCGCAGTGACTATAAATTCCATAATAACAGAAAGAACAAGATAAAGAACCCAGTCACCCGTGACTGGGTTCATCTTGGCCAGTGTTGGGTTTGAAGATAGATGTTTTCCATCCAGATCCGACGAGGACCAGGCAGCCATCACAGCATACGCCATACGGACGCCCATAAACGGCAGAGCAACGGTAATTCCAAAGAGAAGCTGTGACAAATGAATGTCAGGAAACAGATTTGCTAGGAAGATGGATTCACTCACATTTCGACGGTAAGTCCTCATGTACCAGCGGTACCCCCAACTGCCCAGGTGGGCCAAGAATAGAAAAACGTATAGTCCAGCTAGGATGCAAACGCCGGCTCGGCGCAAGGTCAGGGCTGTGCTGGGATGGGCACTTTTTGTGCTCAATACTCCCCCTGCTATGGACAAAGCCAGGCTAATGAGACCGAGCAGTCCAAAAAACCTGAATATCAACGTAACACGGTGTTGCTCGCTGTAAGTGTGTTGTCCTCTGCCCAAGAAGTATCAGAAAGACAACCAACGTGAACCTGGGCGACAGAACATACACCATCCCGAGAAAACCAAGCGTTGACAATAACAGCATAGTTAGTGCTGCTGGATCCATGATGTACGCGGCAGAAAATAGAGATATTTTGGTTGGTTGCGACTCTGCGGCTACGAGCAAGGCTCCTCCTGCTATCCGAGCTGCATTTGTTGATAAGTTTGAGAGATGATATTGCAAGAATTGACAAATTTACCCATGGAAAAGATAGAAAGAAACAGCCATCCAGCATCACGCCGAAAGGCGTATCGATACACGAGATAAACCGTTAGCAAGGCGATGGGTGTATAGAAAACGATTTCGACCGCTGAGATGATTCCTCTCGTGTCAAGGTGAGGCATATTCCAAGGAAATGAGGGATTCCTAATGGTATCGTGGAAGGTATCGTGAAAGATATCGTGAAAGGTATCGCGTTGGGTATTCTGATATCGTGATTCGTGAAGCAGCAACTAAAGCTTAAACTGAGTATGGCACCAAGTTCATATTTTCCTATTCGGGAAGTGAGGGCACGTGAACATTCCTTTTATCTTTGGCACCGAATGCGACTTCCCCGTCGAGTTCCATGGGCGTCCGTCGGCGAACTGGAGCAACTTTGCTCATGGATATACACCGACGACGATAACGGAGACTCCAAGTTGCTAGCAATCAACAGAGTATGTGAAATATCAGTGTTTTGCTTTTGTTGGCTAAACGTCAAACAGCTATCTGCTTGGAAAAACATAACCACTCTTCCGCACGCCCTCGAGTCGACACTATCATTGTTGGTTGTGATCGCACAAGATGTCCCCCAGTCGGCCTTACCTTCCCACCTCTCTCTTCGCCAGAGCTACGCGACAGCCATCATTCGACTTGTCAATGGTCTCGTCGACCCTCTCCAAGTTGGGGCCTATGCTCGTTCGATTGCCTCCATAGCCACTCAACTTGGCTTTCCTTCATGGCTTGTTGAGCTTCGACACGCCGCTACGCACGAAGACCTCCCCAGCATCGGCCTTCTTCGCGAGGCAGCTCGGCAGGTGAATAATTATCTTTCCTGGCCTTGCGGAACTCAATCTATCCACGGCAGTCGATGTCCTGGCTTCTCCACAATTACTTTTTACCTACCATAAATCCATTCTCTGCCCCACAGCAGGTTGCACGCCCATTACGTTCACTTACGCCCGTTTTGAAACAATACAAAGGTCTAATGAAAATCGTCACAAGAGACGCATCCGTAACCGGTCAATACACGCTCGACATTGTCACGGTTATGAAGGACATTGAGAGATGGATAGCCGAGGCCGAGGTGGTGGCTGGTCTTGCCGTGCAAGAGGAGGGATGGGAACCAAGTCAGTCCAATGATTCGTCCTCGGCTAAAGAGAGATGGGCAATAAAAAGACTATGCGATTCCCTCTTGGAAAAGGGTGCTTTGGTTCCACTGGCGAAAAAGTAGGCGAACCTCTTCTCATAACCCTCATATTTTTGACACACATGAAGGAAGAGGACCCTTGAAGAAAGCACCTTCACCCCCCAAAAGAATGCCATCTCGCTCTGGTGTCCACTTTTGAAACATATACAAAGTGTTCGCTCCAACTTTGCTGTTGTGCTTTGCGATGTCATCTGCTCTCGTCTTCTAAATATCGACGACGCGAAGCTGGAAACCAATCCAGATCCTTCTTATGAAGTATTTCTGGCTTCTTGGGTGATGTGGGCTATCGAGACGTGGAGTGGAGAATTATGGTCAAAAGTTGATTTGAAAAGGGATGTTACTGTAGCACTGGTGCGGGGACTTGGCCATCATCTGTCATCCTCCAAACACCCTCGAACTGCGTAGGATGCAATATCCCGTTGAAAATTCGAGGCTGATCTCACTGCGATCCTAGGGCCTCTACACTTTTACGAAGAATCTGTCGAGATCAAGAAATGGATAGAACGCTTGCCCTGCTGCTCAGTCCGCCTCGAAACTTTGCTGCTGTAAGCAATGTTTCACTTGGGTGATCGTCAAACTGACCGTCGAAAAGGATTGGGAGCCACAAGACCTCCTAGTAATGAGTGAAAGGCTGCAAAGCCTTCAATCAATCTTCCTGCCCGAACCTCCAAAACGGATGTTGTCTGTACAAAGGCAAAGTCTCGATTTACAATTGGCAGGGTGGAGGGTCCTTGACGAAGAGAGGGAATGGAAACAGTGCCCTATCGGTGTTTTTGCCTGAAAATTCGATGTTGTAAACTAAGACCAGATTTCATTGTCGACTAGAAAGATCACCCCCGGGATATGTACCATTGAGCATGAAAAAAAAGTAAAATAGGAAAACAACAAGTAATAGTCCCAAGAAAAATCCGTCCAACAAATTGTCACCACATGAGCATAGGAACCTCAGCAACCGAGAGACGCATGTATACAAAGGAAATTATCATAGCTTATCATGTAGCTGAATTGCTCGAATGTCCAGTTTCCTGAGCTGGTTTTCTAGCCACAGTTGGTCGTCTTTGTTCCTGAAGAAATGTTGGTGGTTCCGTTGCGTTTGTTCGGCCTCCGTCGCTCCTGTTAACACTTGCACTGCGTCCTACACTACGGGCGTCACTCAATCCTTCGCTTTGACTCGACGAAGAAGCCCCGGTTGGATATCTGGGTGGTAATTCAACAATTTGTGTGCCATCTTCGTGATAAATGGTAACAGGCGGTGCCTGACTATCATGGTGGACGACGTAAATTTGATTTTGTGATCGATGGGAAGAACTGCCATATGCAGGCTCGTGTGCAGTGGATGCATGAGTGGGGGCAAAGGGAATGGGAGAAAGAGGTTCGTGAATAAGACGACCATCTTCTCCAGGCATTACGAAGGGTTCAACATGGTAAGGCGTTGAACCTACACGACCCATGGTATGACCCAAAGACGATGGGTTGCTGCTTCCCATTGAATTGTCCATAAGGCCTCCAAAAGCTGTCGAAGGCACAGGCCTGTACTGCAAAGAGGCTTCGGTAGTGGGAAGACCAAATGCCGTGACCTGGGGAGAGCCTGCTATGGAACTGGCCATATCCGCATATCGTTCGCGACGCCTGCCCCTGTAGTGCCGCCTTAGGAATAGGAAAGCTATCAGTATTCCGGCAAAAAGTCCAACACCCAGTCCGCCGAAACCAGCACCGACGACAACGGCGGGCTTCACTGTGTCATTGGACCTAAAGCTTCCTCGTTGAGAAAGTTACGTGGTGATTTACATGACCACTCACAAAATGCGAGTCGGATTATCAGCAAGACACGCCGAAGTCGTCCCGGCACCACTATGAAGGAGCCCATTGGCCCACATATTACCAGCTGAATCAACAACACTCAGAAAGAATGGCGTTGCCCATGACAAGCCAACCGTCCAATTGATGCCTCTCATATCAGGACTCGTGATATTGTATGGAGGATGAAGAGCAGGAGCAATCTGTGGAAAATAAAGTCTCTCAGTCAATGAGGAGATGGGGAGAATCAAAAGCGTACTGTAAGGGTATAGGGAGGAGTCCCATTCTTCGGAGTAATTGAAATATCACTGCACTTTGCAGAGAGTTCGATAAGCAGATGCAAAAAAGGCGGGCAGATCGAAATAACTAACTTGATCGATCCAGCCGTACTGCGACATTGGGCCGTTATCGACTTGGGCGTTGACGGAAAGGAGGGGAGGAAATGTAACACTTGCACAAGTAGGTGTTGTGGTAGCCGGAATGACTGAATACGTTGCTTGACACCCTCCAGTGTTTCCGTTTTTGTCAAACTTGCAGATAGTGTTGAGAAGTTCATGGTAAGTATGAAGGGGATTGAAACCAGAATCACCATGCATATTTGGTACTATGAGCAAGGTGAGTTGTACATTGTATCACCAGCAGTAAGATACTCACGAGGGTACCCGGAGGAAATGGGACAGCCCAGTCCTAACCAAGATCAGCACGATATAATCGATGTTGGTCGAAGCTTACAAAAACCAAGCCACTACCGACGGGGATGATGATCGGAACGATGTAAATCCTGAAGGTGGGAGGTAAGGATAGCAAGGGAGAGTCTTGGGTCGTTCACTGACGATGTATAGACTTGAAGGTAGTAGGGAGCAACGTTATTCGGACTGGGGGGAGATAGTACATTCATTTGAAAGTGAAGACAAGCGAGGGACGAACCCCGTTGCGGTACTTCGCTGCCAAACGATGTGGATACTCTCGCATTGGGCTCAAGATAGAAAAATTGAACGAAATGCTAGGAATGCGATGGTAGGGACGCAGACCTGTGACTGGGATGGGGTATGGTTGACCAAGTGCATTCCAATCAAAAAAGAAAGACTGTGTAAAAGGGAAGCATATATAAGATAAATTGGCGTAGAAATGAATGTATGTGCAACGAACCTGTGGCAAGGGAGGGGTGGCGACACTATGCGCAAGGCTAACGCTCGTCAATCCCCAGAAGGTCCACTGTAGCGAGCGACGGCATATGTTCATGATCACTGGTGGAGACGACGAGGCATTCAGAGTGGCAGTGTTGGAGGCAGTACAACTAAAAAAAATACCGGAGTAAGTGGTCTTCGGTTGGCCTTAGTAGGGTCCTAAGTACTGTAATTAACAGTAGTATAACCAAGTAAACGACATACATATTGTACTTGCAAGTACTTACTGTCAATGTATCCAAGTACTAGCAAGTAAGTAAGTACTGTCAATGTAATCCGCTTACTAACTATTAGGATCGCATATCAGGGTCGTTTAAAAATAGATTTCCTTTCCTCTTCTTCCCTCTCATACATATCATGAAACTCAACAGCCCTCTTCCTCAGACGCTCACAAAAGAGTGCACAAAGGCTGCATCTATATGTATGATCTCTTTCCATACCATCGTATTCATCTCTCACCTCCTTATAGTCCGGTCTTTCGTCGACAACGGAAACAACGGCCTTGATGGTGTCATTCCTCGCTACGTCCTCGAGAATGCGAAAGGCTTCGCTATCTTTACTATCTTCAAAGCCGGTTTTATCTTCTCAGCCAGAGCAGGGAGCGGAATAGTAATAGCAAAGCTCGATAATGGGTGTATGTCCTTCGAATTCTCATCCCAAAATTTCTCCTCAACCCCATTTCAGCATGGTCTGCTCCAAGCGCCATTGGAACTGCAGGCTTGGGAGTGGGCGGACAGGCCGGGGCTGAGATGACCGATTTTCTTGTTGTGCTGAACTCTCGCTCTGTAAGCCGGCTATTATCTTCTCCGCTGTCCGCTCTCTTCGCTGACTGCGCTTTTCAAGGCTATCGTTAGTCCCAACCTTCTCATATTGACATGAATTTGAAAGGATATTTTAGAATTCGTTTATGGCTGCAGGCTCTCTCACTCTTGGTGGCAACATGAGCATTGCTCTTGGCCCACTTGGACGCAATGGGGAAGCGACTGGTGCTTTAAATACGAACGGAAAAGTTGCCGCCATGTATGTTTTTCTTTGTTTCTTCTTCTTTTCTCTTTCTTTGAATATTTTTCTAGGTACAGCTATTCCAAGACTCGAGGCTTATTTGGCGGCATCTCCATCGAGGGGTCCGTCATCGTGGAAAGACAAGACGCCAATGTACAGGCTTACAATTCACCTGTGACCGCCAGACTCCTTCTTGGGGGAGTAGTCGAACCCCCAACCTGGGCGACGCCGCTCATCAAAACTCTCGAGGCATGCACAGGCATGCCTGGCGGTCGAGAGTGGGTCTACGATGAACGGCCGCGCACCCCCGGAGGTACGTATATATTCGGAGGCGTAGCTAGTCCGGGTGCTGGTCCAAGTACACCATCCTTTCTTCGGAAGAAGAAAAAATCCGAAAAGGACAGCTTTCCTCCTCAATCCTGGGGGACAGCATCAGACTCGGGATCGTACTTTACCGACGAAAGGCCTGGTACCCATTCCCGTAATATGACATGGGACGGCCACGCCACCATCCCCAGCACCTTTGAAACACGATTTGAATCGGATTTTAGTGTGGATCAACCTATATCTTCAAAATCGAATCCTTTTGCGAATGGCAATTCGTCGTCATCTGAACCTAAGATCACAGCTAAGCAGCGCCATACTCCCTACTTCAAGTCGACGAGTCTCGATTATGCTTCTCCCCCATACTCACCACCTTCCGATATTGATCCATTCTCCGTCCCTTCACACACGCTGTCCTACATTAAACCGAAACCCGAACTGACGCGACCACTTTTACCACATGAAGGCGTTGCTAAGGCCATTGCTTTGTATAATTTTCGAGCAGTCGAGGTTCGCAGATCTTATCAAATAATTTGCCATTTATTGACTTTCAACATTCAGTCAGGAGATTTATCGTTTTCGAAAGGCGATGTTATCATCATCACCCAGAAGAGCGGCAGTACTGATGATTGGTGAGCTCCTTGCTATCAAATTGTTATCCAGTCTGCGAGCTATATACTTTTCTGCAGGTGGAAAGGTAAACTTGGAAGCCATGAAGGCATTTTCCCCGCAAATTTCGTGGAAGTTGTATAGTAGGATTGAACATCGCGTTATGCCGTTTATGAATCTGTTTCAATAGAACATTCAAATGTATATTATGCACAATTTTATATGTCATAGTAAGCTGCCATTGCCTCCTCATTATCCATTTCGGAATCCACTGACGAGGACTGGGTCTGGTGATACCACTCAAGTACCCTTGGGTGAGCTAGCACCCTGATAAAAAGTCGTCAGTCGTCGGCGCTCCGAACTTGTTGAAAAGACTTACTTCGCCGCATCAAAATTAATGACTTGCAGCTGCTCCATGGTGGTAGCGCGAGAAATGGCAACATAGGCTGCAACGAAGTAAAAAACTGTAGCCGGTTGTCTGTGCAATCACTTTACCTTGGCCCTTTTCAAATGTCCGCCCGAGATCAACTTTCACTCGCTCAAGTGTTTGACCCTGGGATTTGTGGACGCTGAGAGCCCACGCCAAAATCAGGGGGATCTGCAGGTGTTCTCAATCAGATATTTTGTGCGTCCATTTTTACACCTACTTGTGTTCGCTGAGCTTCCACCTCGCCATTAGGATTATTTGCAGTGAAGTCTTGCGGAACAATAATCATTTCTCTTCCACCAATAAATCGCACAATTGGCCAGAGGATGGCGTCGTTTTGAAATCGAGATTTGACCTCTTGACCTTCTATTGTTGCGACCGGGATATCCTGAAGTCGAGCAGCTCCCAGTGAAACAAATTTTGTTACTTGTCCCACAGACCCATTCACCAATTGGCCTTGGATTAGATTCTAGGCCAATGTTTAGCTGACGTAGGTCGACACTCGAATAAAGAAAAGAAAGAAACCTTGATTAGCATGACTTGTGCACCAACCTGAAAAGAGATAAATATCAGTCGAACGACAAACAAGCAAAATTCATCACCAACCTTGAGCTGGATGGACTGTGGGGCTACGAAACGCTTGAGAATCCGATCCATTTGAACTTGTGTTACTCTCACTCCATTTGCATCGACACCAGCACTATCTGCCGCTTCATAAGAAAAGCATTCTCCAGGCAGCTGGCGAAGACGCGACAGGTTGGCGCGGTCAACTTCTGCCCTGGTGGAGAAACTGGGGGTGTAGCATCAGATGTTTACGAAAAGAAGATGGAGAATTTTATTTACAGTTCGGTTGGTTCAATTCCGTCTGTGTATACAACCCGTCGCGATAATGATTTGAAAGTTTCAGTGGTTAGTCGATTCATCCTTCCAAAACGCATCTCATTGAGCATGTCAACAAAGGCTTCCAGTGAAGTTTTAAGATCCTATTTAATGTCAAGGGAACAAGTTGCTGACTTTGGTCTTTCTGACGGAAAACCCGTGTGAGGGTGATCGGAGGTCCAACGCAGTCACTCCATGTTTGAGCATCGAATGCAAAAGCCGGCGTGACCACCTGCCCTTTCGCATCACGTCCTCCAACGGGTGGCAGCTGGCAGAAATCGCCGCACAGTATAAGCTACAATATATTAGTGGAAGGGCGACTTGACTTTGATTACTCTTCACCTGAATCCCACCAAATGGTTTTTCGCTGTGTCTCAGACCCCGAGCCATATACTCCTGTGTACAGGTAGTTAGTTCGCGCAATACATAAGATGCAACAATTGAAGGCCTTCACCAATTTATCAAAGAGTTCACCATCGATCATCGAGACTAAAAAAGACTTTAGAATGCCAGACAATAAAAAGAAGCGAGGGCCCACTTTCATCAATAATCAAAGTTTTGACAGACTGCCAACGGTGGATGACATTGGAAAAAAGTTGAGCTTGGCCGAAGAACTTGCCGACTACGTTTTTCGCTGTCTCGTTACCAATACCGATCCCGGCCCATGAATGCAATGTGACACCGCCAATATTTACGGCAGCTATTCCTGTTGATGCTGTTATACCAAGCGTAGACGATGCAGAGCCCCCACTGAATTGGATGATCTCCCGTAGCAAAACAGATTTCCCGGTTCCTTCACTCAGCAAATAGGTAAACGATCAAGAGATCATAAATAATAATAGAAAATACCAGCTGAACCCGTGAAAAATACGCTCTTGCCTGCTTTGACTTTGTTCAAGACAGCATTTTGCTCTGGTGAAAGGGTGACAGCAGAAGTCGTTGGTCGGAGGCTGGAGTCGTCATCATGAACGAGCGCCGACTTGTAGCTCGACTGAGAATCTATAGCTTGCGAATCTTTCTTCGATATTTGACGTTGGTGTCGTGCGGTAGAACATAAACTTGTGTGAGCATTGGATTGCGAACCGTCCGTTGCCAGGCTTGACACAGGAAGCGTTGATGATTTACTAGCAGCTAGCCAATTTTCTGCTTCTTGAAGAGAGCCAAATCCTTTGTGAATAGCCCCCGGAAACCTTAGAACCTAAGACAGCAAAAACATTGGGTGGTCAAAGCGCTGTGGCAGATCGCTATTAGCAGCAGTGCCCGCCAGCACCTTTGAGTTACACTTTGATCCAATCTTAAATACGCAGAAGAAGAAATTTGACAACACACACTTGGTTCCAGTTATCGTATATTTTTGGCCCGTCTCGGCCCACCAAGACGGCATAGTAGTTTTTCTTCTGTGCTCGGGGCATTCAAGTTGTCGGGTTCGCGTAGGTCACAACTCAGGTGGCCGTGACATTTCAAGTAGAACCACTGTAGTGGCACCTTTCATAGACCGTTTCTATGCCCAAAAGGGCGACATCAAAGTTCTACGCGATACTCAATGGCAAAGGCGGACCCCGAGTGGTTAACAGTCAAGCAGAAGTAAGTCAGTCTTCGTTACGCTTGTCACTGATTATACTTCTAACCATTACCCACTTCGTTATTAGTTCCGCGAGGCGGTAAGGACGCCGTGCGACTTTACATGAGTCTGTCTCACTCCTCAATGCAGATATTACACGTCAGCGGCGCAAGTGCCAAAGGCTTTCTGAGTTATGAGGAAGCTCAGTGCTGGCTTGATTCGGCACGAGCAGCACACGGAACTCACCGTATATCACATTCCGGTAGTCAACATATCTCCCACAAGTGAGTATGACATGCCTAACGTCTCTTCTCCTGACAGCTATGGGCTCCTCAACACACAATCAACCACCTTACCCCTCAACACCTCCTCGGATCTTCGCAGAGGCCGCTGTCCAATGTATCACCCCATCGGGCCAATCTGCTCCCAACCCAAGGACCCCATCGTCATTTGAAAACCCTGATGTTAGTCAAGGTCATGCCGCGATGTTGGTTACGTTGCAGAAGCCAAACGAAGGCATTCAATTGTCAGTGGAGCAGCGTCGCATTTTGGCGATGGTCAAAACTCGGCAGAATGTGTTCTTTACGGGTCCTGCCGGTGCGTAAATTTAGGTGCAGTGCAATTATTCCCATTTTGCATCTTGGCTTGTTGTAGGTACTGGAAAATCGGTGCTTCTCCGCGAAGTCATTGCGCAGCTGAGAAATCAGTTATCCTACGATGCCATCGCAATCACTGCATCCACTGGGATAGCTGGTTTGAACATTGGAGGCTCGACTATCCATTCATTTGCAGGGATTGGTCTCGGGAAAGAACCGGCAGACCAGCTCGCTGGAAAAATTTTGCAATCACGGCGCCTTAGACAGCGTTGGCAAAGTTTGAAGGTCCTCGTCATTGACGAAAGTCTGTCATATCTTATTCAATGGATAGGTCTTGCATTTGAACAATTTTTTCGCTCAATTAGTTTCAATGTTAGATGGGGTGTTGTTTGATAAACTGGTATGCTGTGTTTTTTCGCCCTCAATCCCCTTAGAGGTTCTGTAATCTCCTGACCATTTCCCTCAGGAACACATTGCTCGTGTTGTCAGAAATTGCCGTCAACCGTTTGGGGGTATACAGGTGCAGAATATTCATGCAACAAAAGTTGTTTCATTGACTTGCTTTATTTTAATATCTAGCTCGTGCTTTCTGGTGACTTCTTCCAATTGCCACCGGTCCCCGATCAAAGTCACGAATACAGAATGCCGGCAACATTTGCTTTTGATGCGAAGAGCTGGCCCAGGTGCATTTCACGGCCTGTCTTCCTCAGCCAAGTTTTTCGGCAAAAAGATGACGGTAAGAACATATCACATGGCGTGCTTAGACATTCATTCATCTGTGTTTTTAGTCTTCATTGGCATACTTGCTTCTCTGCGTAAGGGAGAATTAAAAGAAGAAGATATCCATCATTTACAAAGCCTCTCGCGGCCCCTCCATTACGCTGATGGTATTGAGCCCAGTCAGTTGTGGGTGATATGTTCCAACAAAGGTATTGCTTAAATCCAAGTGTGCGTTAGGTTTCCGTTGCGAAGGGAGGTTGAAAGCTGCAACAACAACCGACTTGCTGCATTAGCCGGTCCTGATCACACGTTTATCTCTGTGGATAGTGCCGGCTACGATGTGAAAAATCAACCTATCTCCGTCGAGAGTGCTCAGAATTTGCTTGACCGACTAATTGCGCCCTCGACAATTACATTGAAGGTAACTTTCCATAATTCGTCATTCAAAATTATCTTATGCTGTGTTGTGGCAGGTTGGAGCTCAAGTGATGTTGATACAAGTTAGTATGATGCATGATATTTTCCTATTGTTAGCCTCATGGTCTCATGGCAGAATATTGAACAAGGCCACTTAGTGAATGGCAGTGTTGGGAGGGTGGTCGAATTTTTGACCATTCATGAAGCCTTGAAACGCAACATCACCGTGGCTGAACTTAACGACCGCAAGATGACAGACAGATCTAACGAAGCAGTGGAAAAGGATCTAAAGGATCAACTCGAGGGGGATTCAAAATCCAGCTTGCGTTCAATTGATGATCATTCCTTTGACCACCGACAGCCATGGCCATTGGTTTCTTTCCCAAGTGGCCGGGAACTACTATGCGCTCCTCTTGGTTTCTCGGTGGAGGGATCCAGGGGGAATATTGAAGCCTACAGGCTTCAAGTACCCCTCATATTAGCTTGGGCGTTATCAATTCACAAGTCACAGGGCCAAACCTTGACAAGGGTTAAGGTGGATCTTGGCAAGGTCTTCGAGAAGGGTCAAGGTGTGTATGCCAATTTACCGTCAAGTGCCAGCGTAACATGCCTGCCAGCATATGTTGCACTCTCAAGAGCTACCAGTATGGATGGACTTGAAATAGAAAATTTTCAGCCCTCAAAGTAAGTGGTATCAATTCCAAGGGATCATTTTCACCAAGGATGCTCTTTTGTATTTCAGGGTCCAGGCTCACCCTCGTGTGCTGGCCTGGCAGCAGTTTTGGACTGGGTACGGCCAGGAAAGTTTAGAGCTGGAAGAGGAGATGGATACGGAAGAGGCAATCCAACAATTTTGGGATATGTCAGACTGACCAGCTGAGTGCCAAGTACGATACATGTTCATCCTGGTACAACCTTTATAGAAATACAGCCCTTAACTTGAGAATAAACCGAAATATATGAGGATAAACTACGGATGAGAGTGGAAGATGTATGTCCTAATCTGCTACCTGTCCGTTTCAGTGGTGAATGGATCATCTGTCGTTGATTGGATGTCGTCGGGTCGCACAGATCCTGGGGATGTTGATTTAGGGAATAAAATTGGTGGCGTGTCTGACTGAGTGCGTTGTTCAGGTCTCGCCTCAATTGCAGTGGACGCAGCCGACGGTGATGGTGGGGAATAACCCTCTGATGGTAGATCATCATTGTGGAGCGATGGCGAGCGCAATACCGTGGGCCCCTTGGCACTTGGCGTCGCTTGATTTGCCCTCGATGACGGATGTATGCTGTTGCCAGGACGAGCAGGAAGGCGAGGGGTAAAGTCCTGAGGAGAGGATTGTACAGTTGATGTAATGGGTTGTGCAGGGGACATGACTTTGGTAGTCTTGGAGCCGTATGCAAAGCGAGGTACTGGCTCGCCTACAGGTGTTGGAGGAAGAGGGGGGGAACGGGGCCCGGCTTGATCGTCGAAAAGGATTGCCGAATGTATGATGAGATCCTCCATCAGGGAATCCTGGGAAAAGGATGTTAGAGGCGGGATATGGTGTGGCGAAACCAAGTACTTTATAAGTTTGTACACTGAGAAGGTCTCCGCCTTTGGGCATTTCATCTTCACCGAATATAACACCACCAAATACAATTGCAAGATTTTTTGGGTCCATCTTGTTCTTCTCGCTGTTCGAAACCACTCGGGCAAGGTGTTCAACAATCGCTTTAACGGTTGCTTGATGTACGGGTGGAAGGCGCCGCATTTTCGAGCGTAAGAGCATGAAATTATTCGCTTGGTGATCGGCTGGAAAGGTCAAAGAGTTGAGTTGAAAATTGTTTGTGAAGAAATTTAACAAGGGCTACCTCGATCTTCAGTATGCTGAATACGATCTTGCAGCGAAAATCTAAATACTGGTTCTGGCAACTCTCTCAAATACAACTGCAGTTGATGAGTCAATGATTTTCTGAAGTTGATAACAAAAACTTTTGGAAGGGTGCTGCTGACCTTGAGGAGCGACGCAACTGCATACACATCATCTTTCGGCGAGAACTCAAAGTCCGATTCGTCCTTCTCGATGTCATGTTGAAGCTAGTTTAGTGTGCCTTGAGCGTGAATTGCGTTCAACCAATCAGTGGATTACCTACAGCTTGGACAATGGCATGACGGCCGGAAACCTTTTTCGGGGAAGGCGGTTAAGGCAGCCAGAGATGATGTAAAAAAAGTAACAGACCCTGTAAATTCCTTCGCTACCCAGTCCCCGTCTGTCAATCTCTTCGATGCAAATACGTATAATCTTAGGGACCTCGCCTTCCTGCAGGCCTTTAGCAGTTGCATAATCAACCAAACTGATTCCGAAGATGAGGTCGTTGCACAAGCCCACTTGACCATGCTCATATAAAATCGGTTCTGGAATTGCAGAAGCCAGGGAGCGTGGAATGTTCGCGTTGAGTTTGGCGATATCTTTTTCTGGCGAAATCTTGTCTACCATAGAGCGCGCGTGTGAAAATAACTGCATTTGGGTGGAACTGGTAGCTCTATTGGCCACCGTAAGACAATGGAAAAGTGAAAGGGTTGACTCCGCACGTCATATTATCTGTATATTTTTCGAGAGCCTTCTTTACGACCATGGAGGATTCTTCGACAAACATTTCGAGACTCTGCGAATACTTCAGCGAGTGTAGTTGGCTTTAACAAAAGCCTAACTTTGTAGCCGCTCTCCAATATCTTGGTTCGACGTAGTCTGAGCGTCTCTAGCCAATGAACACCTTTACGGTACTCCCGGTCTAAAAACCGAAAAATAAATGTCGTGGTGAAAAAAATAAATGCGCGTTTACCTGCTTCGTCTGCATCTCTCTTTGCACGTACAGTACGAAGAGCCTGGTTTTCACGGCTTCCAAGACCATCTTTTCCAGAAGCGCCTTTGTCGAGAAAACCAATCAATTGATTGAGTTGTCGTTTTCCTAACAGTCATCGAGTAAATTGGTTTGCAGTAGATATCGTAGTCATACCTTGATGTGCGAGATCGGAGAATGCTGTTGAAGAAGAGGGCGATCTATTACGGGGAGGCGGTGCACTCCCTGACGGGCGACGGTCTAGTGCTCGAAGGGGCTGAGGGGCCGTCACAGTTGGTCGTGACGGTATGGAGGGATTGGATTTGGAATTGCTGAAGTACTGGTTATTCTCCGACCCGATTGTCGAAGATGTAAGGGTTGACGATGAAGAAGCAATTGCCGTGGCTCTCTTTTGTTCCTTGTAAATAATATAAGATAAGTCAAACGTTGGAGTAGAAGAAAAGTAAGTACCTCGACCTCGGAGAATTTTTTCGTATATCTATTTTTCAACCTGGGGAGCACAGTTTCGGCGTATTCGTTGTAGGCAGCGCCTGAGTCCTTGAGATCTTCCTTGATTCTTTTGCGTGTACGTTCTTGAGTTTCCTATATTGCTTTTGTTGTTTGAATAGAAAACAATAGGGCGGACAGGAATCCCACCTTTAACGTTATCAGCGGACTTATTATATCGGAGATGAGTGTAGCGCAGAACGCTTCTCTGGTTTGAAACTCTGGGTGACATTTGTAAGGATAAGAAAAACGGGTGCGTGATGCCTTGCCTCGATCCACATTATCAATGATCTCGCCCCACACACGTCTTGTTGAGGTCAGGTCTCCGCGATCATCCAGTGAAGTGTTGGTGGATGTCATCTTTCGATGGAGTTTTTGAAGTGAATCAACACTAGACAATAATAGTTCATAATTAGTGATACGTTCACAATGGATACCCACTAGGCCTCTTCAATACGTCGCCTGTTGAACGATTAGATTACTGGCGGGATGCAAGCGTTGAACAAGAGATTACCGTTCTTGGAAAAAGCTAAGGTATGAGTCCGTCAAGAAACGGAGATGGGTATCAAATAGGGGAATCGGGCCTTGTGTCGGTGTGGGCTGGTCTGAGAGCGAAGGTCGGGACGGAGGCGGAGCAGGCTCCATTTAATGGTCTCAACGTTAGAATGTTGTTGAGGGCAACATTCAGCCTCAGCCTGGCTTCAAGTGCTGTAGATTGAATGTCACAGGTGACACAATTGAGTCATGACCCCCGTCACCGCTACGTTCGGCACAAACATCCTACAAACTGGTACAATAAGAAAGAAAAAAGATACCAAAGGTTATATATAAAGTTGCGAAGTCTGCTATATATCTCAAAAATATATCCCTTGTCAAGGTCGCCTATAGCTATTGACAGATTCAAGGGGCTCTCGTCCGTTGCGGGGAGGAACATAATCCCGTCCAACACCGTGGGGCGGAGCGGGCTGAGCATTGCCAGCACCACTGGCAAGGTAGCCATTGCTCGAATAACGATCATAAGGCCCGGGAGGAGGGCTTTCGGATCGACGTCTGCCAACTATTGAGAGGCTTGGATCATGATTTTATATATATTACGTACCTATATCTTTGGGCTGGTGGTTCAGCGCTGACACGGGGATACTCAACAACATATCGAGGAGGAGTAACAGGTCGTCCCCGATATTCAGGGTAATCCCTGGATTGGATCTGAGTTCAGAAAAGGTTTCAAAACAGAAAGATAACTGATCAAGGTACCGAGGGGGTAATCTCTCAAAGTCTTCTCGCACCCTAGGAGGGGTCCGTGGTCGCGATCCGGGCACTGGAGCATATGATGGTGGATATCGTTCATGAGGCCTTCTGTCATATCGATCGTAAACGGAAGGGGGAGGTGGCGGATTTGCGTACCCCCTGTATGTATGATCAGGAGGAGGGGGATATCGCCCGCGAGCAAAATCGGCTGGTGGGGGAGGCGCAAACCGGTCTCGTTCGTGAATAGGGAGCCGTCTGTACTCTTCACGATGCTGGGTTGGAGGTGCCGAATACTCCCTATAGTCTCGAGGCGAGGGTGGTCTCCTATACTCTCGAGCTGGCGGCGGGGGGTAATCGTATCGGAGGTCTCGAGGGGGGTAGCGGGGCGGACCATAATCGTCTCGAGGAAGGGGTAATCTTGCAGGATGAACAGGATGTTCTCGTTGAATGCGATCAATGAGAGGACTTTCAATGTGGTGACGACGTTGAGGGGCTCTAGGAAGTTGTTGGCTCAGACATTCGCAAGGGATATTCACAAACTTACAACCCAGTGTGATTTGGACATTCCCTGAAAAAAGCAAGTCGAGTCATTCACGTTTTTGGCCTAACTGATTGAGCAAACCTCGCCCAATGACCCATTTGACCACATTTAAAGCATGCGCCTGGATCACCAGCATATTTTGCAGTCCGTCCACCACCATGGGATAATTCTACGCGAATCTTGTTACCCATAAAAAAACCTTCGTGATATTTAGCAACGCTTTCTTCTGCTGCTTCGCGAGTATCAAATTCCTGTATAAGTTGTCACAAAAGACGGTTTAACTACCAATGCTTTCTGCAGCAACTTACCACAAAACCATAGCCAACCCTTGAAAACAATGAGTTCTGATAGAACGGACGAATAGCCAAACACATACTTTAGTTCAATGTTGGTTATGATACCGATTTTCCCAAAACAGCTCTGAAGATCTTCTTGTCGAGTATGTTCGGGAAGGCCACCAATATAAACTTTGTTCGGCTGCACAGCAGAAGTTAAACACCAGTCAAGAGACAGGAAACAGAAGAAGTTCAGAGCCCCGAGTGAAGAACAGACTCCCGAAGAACGGCAGAAGAGTAAAACAAGAGCGCTAGAAGGAGCTCAAGAAAGAAGTAGCCCAACACCGACGCCAATGCCAAACTCGGGGAGGGCGTCTAACGTGCAAGAGACAGAAATGACCTAAGCACCTTGACCTGCTTTTCGCGGTATGAGTCGCCCTTGTTACCAGAGACGCTTACGTCGCCTACACTGGAACCACGAGGATACTCTGCAGTCTCTGGATCCTGACCAGCCATACGGTCGTCGACAGGCAGAGGCGCTCCATTGACAGGTTGACCATTGCCTCCTGGACCCATGTCTAATTCCTGGTCAGGGGCCCAGCTGCTCGTATGCATTGGAGAGTTGTCGGCTGGATTTGGGGCAGCCATAGAGGATATGAAAAGGAGTGTCAAGGTTCAAGATAGATGGTCTTAACCACCACGTTGAAACACACATAAACACAAGAATATGCATTCCAATTATTCAGAGTCCGACAAGGTCCGTGCGTAATATGATTAAACAATGTTCGCGAAGGTATAAAATCCAAGAAAATAGGGAGAAATTTAGGCCATTACCAACATGACACTCGCCAGTCCAACAAAAGTCATCGCAACCAAACCACCGACGGCATGTGTGTTTCCAACTGCACTGTTGGCACTTGACCCTTTTGTAGAGGACGACGTGGAAGTATGTGCGCCAGTGGTTGCAGCGGCTGTTGGGGCGAACGTAGCGCCGGGGTTGGAGATGCAAGAGCTCGCAACAGCGATGGCAGAAACAGAGGAAGACGCATGAGGATTGACAGTGCCGTTCCCCGCGAAGCTACAGGCTTGAGCGTTTCGCTTGTTCGCTTCATAGTACTGGCTCATCACGTATGACAGTTTCACGGCTACATAGATACATTCCCAATTAGCAGTCATACATCATAAATAAGCCGACTTACCAGGGTCACAGTCTGAGACGCGCCCGTAAACACCAGTCGTGCCATTGCCGCCGATGTCCAAGCAAGAACCACCTGCCTGTCCAAGAAGGTTACAACCAGTGTCTAGAAGAGTACCGGCGATGGCACTGTAATTTGATGTTGGTGGTGTGAATTGGCAGCTCAAGGCATTTTCCAAGCAGCCACAAGCAGCCTGGTTGGGAGTGGGGGGAAGAACCTTTGACGCCAAAAAAGTGCTGTTCGTTGTTGGGCATGTTGGATAAGCCGCAGCGGTGACAGAAGCTTGAGCAGGAGAGTTTGGAGGTGAAACTAGTCCATACTGGGTTTTCAACTTATCGTAGTCGTCGCTCGTAGTGACAGTCTTCCCGTCAGCCGAAATAGTAACCATCCCAAACTGTCCCTGAGCGCTTGTGGCGGGGAAGTACGAGAAAGCAATACCTCCTGACCACACTGGAGACATGTCAGAGCTGAAGATTGCCCCGGATTCCGTCCACAAACGGGGAGGCGAAGTAATGCAACCGAATTCACTAAAGTAGGCTGCAACGTTGTAGCCAGCATAATCACCTGTGGTGCCAGCATAGGACGCCTGAAAGGTTGAATCTCCGCACCATTCACTGTCAGTAAAATCAGTTGACATCATTATGCGAAGAACGAAGCATTAACGTACTAATCGTTTAACCCGTAAAGATCAATGGCAGTCGCACCAGAGTTGGAGCTCGAAGGATCGCAGGATAGATAATTGGCTAGGGCGTCTCTCCAATTGGCCGCACCGTTGATAGCTGCGTAACCGACAAGTGCGGATGATCCCTTGGCCGACCTGTTATCATTAAGTAAAGGCAGGTTGAAGTTTCCTTTCACCCTTACAAGTATGCCCTTATGTCTCGCGCAGCCGCTTTGACGAATGGAGCAATGCCGGTGCCATCTTGTAAAACAACTTCATTGCCAACATTGTAAGCCAGGACGTTGTCATATTTGCTGAACACATCAATAGTCGCAATGTACTGGTTGAGAAGATTTGTAGACCAAGAGGGTGAAACGCGATCGATGGAGCCATTCAGTGGTAGAGCGAGATCGATACTTGAATATAAACGGATAAGCACAATCAACATAACGAATTATAAACCTACATAGCATAAATTCCAGCTTGACTGAACGCATTCATGCAAGCGTCGTGGTTCAAGGATGAATTGACACTGTAGACACGGATAGAATTCACGCCGAGGGCAGAAAGGAACGGTATATCTCGGGCACAGGCATCCCCCTGTGCGAGGGGGTCTATAAAGCTGGAGGGTTCGCCAAACGGGTTGTCAGCCGAAGCAACGACAGTCCCTAATGCCAGCGGCGTGAAACATTAGGCAGCGTCGATAGGTTAAACTGTTGGTAAACGAACCTTGTTCCTGGTAAGCGATTCCCTTGATGTAGAAGCGAGAGCCATCCGCGTTGTACAAGTACCGTCCAACACGAGAAACCTTAGGAACAGCACGAACGCTGAGAAAAGTGGCGACCGCCGAGATGAGCACAAAGGCTCTGATGGCTTTGAGCATTGCGAGGTCGTTGAAAAGAGAAGAGAAAGGAACGGCGGACTACAGTGGTCAAGAGAAGGTGGTTATACTTTGGGTAGAAACTGGGTAGAAAGAAGAAAATAATACAAGTAGGCTTGGCGGAGGCTGACAACAAACCCCATCATTGATCGAGATCGGCATCGGATTACCCTTCGTGGTAGTTCGCATCTACGTCTACAAGTCTTGCTATTTACGTAAAGTTTAGATCGTTAAATTAGAATTGTCCAATGACCGGTGGAGACCTGTCAGTCATCCTCGGTAGGTGCAGCAACTTGGGAACCTTCGTCAACAATCTCCTAAACATGCAAACTCCCTACGTACCTGATCATGTATGGAATGATGGACACGACAAGCGCAACGAAGGCCGCCCAGGTGAGAAACAGCCCAGGTCCCACAGAAACACTGATGCCACTCGGAATTTGCGTTCCCGGAATAAGAAGGTGGTTCACCGACTCTGACTTTTTTATGAGGACAGTCCATATGCTGGCCCCAATTAAAAGCAGAAGGCTCCCGGCAATGGCAAAAATGGTGGAAACGAAGAATGTGAAATGATTCTTGGCAATGCCACTACAGATAGGTTAAGATTTGGATGCAGCGGTGGAAAAACGGCTAACGTGAGCAATGTAAGCGCAGCACATAGGGTCCCCAAAAGCAACATCCAGTACGCCGCTTTCGTAGACTGGCCAAGGTACTTGGAATCACGAAGGGTTACATTCCCTGGTATTAGGTTAGCTGTGAGTATCGAATAATTTTGTGGAAGCATGTCAGAAATGACGGCGTCGAACGGCGTGAACTGTTCCCCAACTGTATGGTTCCCGCAGGTGCCTTCTTTTTCGGAAATGTATCCACAGTACGAATACAAGCCAAATTTGTAAAATTGTCGCAACCCCAGGCCAGCCTGTAGTGGTGCGCTCGCATTACTTGTGTAGAGGCCCATGATAGGATTGAATATTGCGCTTTGGAGAGACGCTCTACGAGACGATGATCAAGAGTACAAGGGCGATGCTTCATGATACTTACCCATATGTTGACATGTTGACTTCAACCTGAGGCGAACCTATCAGTGGAATAGATTGCCAATGAAAAAAAGGCAACAATCACCATCCATATTCCACGAGGAACTGTAGATGTAGTTATTTGACCAACCTGTAGAGAATTGGTCGGTGAAGCACATTAGGATCAAATTTAAAAAGCCTGACATGAACGAATATGAGTAGCAGCAAAGAGGTAAATCTATAAATATTGTCAGTAGACTGGATGTCGTAGGGACTTGCGACGACGCACGCCAGGAACGATGCAAAGCCCACACATATTTCTCCGCGCATCGGGGTAAGGCAATAAGTGGAAATCACAGATCGTGGTATGTGTCGTCAAAAGTTGTGGTATATCGTTGAGAGCGTAAGAGTCGGGTATATCCAAGGTATATATCAGTGTAGGTCAGTGAGGAGAGCTGCGCGCGACATGAACGTGTTGAGGTCGATTATTACGTAAGCAGAAGGCGACGTGACCTCTGTTCAGTACTGTGCACTTAGTGCTCAGCGCTTATCAGTGCTTTCCTTTTGCCGCAGCCTCGGTCATTTTGTTCTCGTATTTCCCCCCAATGTCCACCCCGAAATCCTCCCTACATTCCATCGATACTTCTGAACAGGCTTTAGGAATTGCACCACAAGCTGATGATAAAACACCCAATTCTCTTCAAGGACAGAGTCGTGTCAAACGGTTGTCCACCGCAGTCGAAAAGACCGTAGATAAACTGAGTCGTAGCGTTGGGGGAAAATCTGCACCTTCGCCTTCATCTTCGTCTAGCGCTCGCAGGTTATTTTCTCTGAACCGGAAAGTCAGAGGCCATGCATCTGCGGAGAATGAGGGTGCGTACTGACTCGTAATCACACCCTGGGTCATATTTAATCAAAGACCCAGGTTCATCTTATCCCAGTGCTCCTCCCAGGTCATTGCGTCTGACACAAAGCGCAACAATGGTGCCGGATGACTCACCTTTCATAGTCCCTCCTTCTCCGCCACTTCGGCCGTCGCTAAGCCCATTTCGAGGGGATGGATCCGTGCGTAATCAATTTCACGCGTTTCTCCTCTTCTGACGCCGTACTGTCCCGTTTCAGATGCGTGCCGGCACGCAAACTCTTATTCAGGCACTTCAAGCCCTGCCATGGATGAATCCAGATAATGATGATGAAAGCAACGCTTTGAGTCCCATGGATATAGGCAGTGATGACGAAGATCAGCGGCAACAGTGTAAGAATCCAGAACAGCGTCACTCCACGAACTGCTTACGTATCCTCCCTTTAGTCCAGCAGCTCTCCTCTTCCATTCATACCATTCATAGACCACTCGCAAGATCACGTCGCATTAGCATACCAGGACTGCCAAAGCATGGAATCCAAGCACATTCTGCTGTGATTGAGGAAGAACTTGCAATAGATGACACTGTCGTATCGGACGAAGAAATAGAGCAGGACTTTGAAGATACCTCTCACTCTTCGACGTCAAGGCCTTCACTTCTTTCACACCAATCCATCCCACCATCCACCCCAGTTGAAACTCATGATTCAATTCTCTTCAAATCGATGATGACCAGAACCGGAAGCATGGCAACTGTGAAGCTTCATCGAAGGGCTCGTCTCGCAGAGAAACTTAGGGACATCTACGAACTTGACGACATCCAGGAAGTTTGCGCTGGTAAGTTCTTCCCGTATCTTTGTGGCATTATCTTCATGAATATGTAGAAATGCCATGCTGGCTCTTGCGTTCTGTGTGTAAGTCCCCAGCCTTCTCCCGAATATGATCGCAAACATAAGTTGTCCCAGTATTACAGGGATACATGTATCTCACAAATTCTCATCTATGCTTCTTTGCGCATATGCCCACCAGAGAGGTAAGGATTTACAAAGTCCAGTGCTTACCACGCCACTGATCAACTAACATTGCACAGGACCAAATCCTGAAATCCGGCTCTCTCAACAAGAAGGCCCAGCGGACAAAACGATGGATAAAGCATTGGTTCGTTTTAAAAAACGATGCACTCTCTTGGTATCAATCCTCCTCGGTAAGAAATGATGACGTCTTTGCCTCGTCTCAATACCAAAGAGTCATTTATAGGATCCATACTTCCCTCATGGCATCGTGGATTTACGATATGCCATTTCGTGTGATGCTGTTGGTGGAAAGGATTTTCGGTTGCGAACCAATCAAAAGACGGTCATTCTCTCTGCGGATTCCGTTCCCAGCCAGGAAGAATGGGTGAAAGCGATAAGGAAGGTCATTTTTAAAGCCCAAAATATGGGAGATAGCGTCAAGGTGTGCATTTTTCTTTTTCTCTTGACGGATCCAATTAAATTCCTCCGCGTTCTCAAGATCGCAATCCCATACTCCGTCGTTTTGGACGTGGAAAGGTCTTCAGCAATGGATTTCAGTGAAACCATTGAAGTGAAAGTCGTCGACAAAGGAGAACAAGAGCATTACTCCGTCGATTCATACTTCTTCGCCTACTTTCAGGATCTTTCAGGATCTCTTGAACAAATACGTGATGTGATCCGCAGCCACCGTAGCTTTCCAGAACAAGAAACATATCCTGCACTCCTGGACACAACAGTTTCACGTTCATCCCCTATCTCCCTCCAGCCGTCAACGAACCCTCTAGATATAAGTATTCCAAAAGCGGTATCGGGGTTTAGGTTGTCCTCCCTTCTCAAACCCCTTTCGGATACCCTGTCTCTTGGCCGCTCAGGATCGAACATTCTTCCAGAAACACAGGGTGACGACTACACACATATATATCGAAGGGGTAATTCTTCATTTATCCCAGTAACTACGTCTCCAAAGTCCACCTCTCAAGATAACATTGAATCCCGACAAGATCCATCGAGGAGTTCAGTTCAATCATTACCTCCACTTAATCACACGTACCCACCCTCCACCTCCCGTGCCTCCACATATCCTAACGAATCTTCATTGAGCAGAGACAGCACCAATTCATGGAACGTCGGCGTCCCCTCATGGTTTAAATCTCGTAGAGTGTTTGGCGCGTTGGCTGGCAACAACCAGGATTCTCCGTTCGACTCTGCTGGTGTCAAAGAGGTGTACTCAGCTGCAACTGTCTCTTCGCCTGGGCCAATTAATAGATCAGGTGGTACCGGAGACATGGCATTCAGTGTGCTCGAAACGCCGGACATCGCCGCTGACCAAGAAGCAACTGATAAATTCCGTGCGGCTTTCGCGTATGATGAGAAAGAGATCTTATTAGGATGTGGGTCTTGTTTTGGACGATATTATTTGCTGTTAACCATTATCTAGACTTTCCGGGTTACATCTACAGGCTTCTGCCAGTATCCGGAAGGCTCTATGTTTCCACCAATTTCTTCTGTTTCAAGTCAAGTGGCCCATTGACTTCTCGGACCAGGGTAAGTTGTTTTCATAAATCATGGGTATTCACGTTCAACCTCTGTTGACAGATGACGTTGCCCCTTCGGGATATTCTCGCCTTGGAGAAATCGAAAGCAACTCGATTTGGTCATCATGGCTTGATTATCATTGTAAAGGGCCACGAGGAACTTTTCTTTGAATTTGGAGCTGAGGACAAACGGGCAGCATTTGTCCAATTGCTGGAGAATCAAATGGAGAGTGTCAGGAAACGTATGGTGGCTGGTACTTCCGCAGCAACAACATCTCCCGGAAAGCGAGACGCGCTTACTCTAGAAGCGTTCGAAACGAGATCTATTGGTAGTGATTGCGACCCATCGCCACCCCCAGAGAATATGGCAGATTCTCTCCCAGCTCTCATGTTCACTTCAGCGTCATCGACTTTTTTGAATTTCAAGCCTCACAAGTCACTCCGATTTACTTTCCTGACGATCGGATCACGTGGTGACGTTCAACCTTACATAGCCTTGGCTAAAGGCCTCATAGCTGATGGACATAAGTGCAAGATCGCAACCCATGGCGAATTTCAGGCTTGGATTGAATCTGTACGTTGATGCTTACTTCTATTTGCTGTCCACTCAATCAAAAGGCAGCATGGTATCGAATATGGGTATGTCGGAGGTGATCCCGCTGAGTTGATGCGAATATGCGTCGAAAATGGAACATTTACAGTGTCATTCCTCAAAGAAGGCTTGCAGAAGGTAACATAACTTGTGGAATTTTGTGCTCTCGAGACTCACTATGAAGCGATAGTTTCGAGGGTGGTTGGACGACCTCCTCAAGACATCCTGGGAAGCCTGCCAGGGGGCTGACGTCTTGGTGGAAAGTCCTAGTGCAATGGGTGGCTACCACATAGCTGAAGCATTGGCAATCCCATATTTTAGGGCATTCACAATGACGTGGACGCGCACAAGGTAAACCTGGTGGTGAAGTACATCGATAGGTACATACTAAAAACGACCTAGAGCATATCCCCATGCATTTGCTGTGCCAGAGCGCAAGGCAGGTTTTACAGCTTCAGAATGTGCCACTCTAACGCAATTTTTTTCCAGATGGGCGGTAGTTACAATTATATGGTTGAGTGTCGTTATGCATGCCTTGCAGAAATCTTCGTCTTACTTCCCCCTCATCAGACTTATGTCATGTTCGATCAGGTATTTTGGCGAGCTACCGCAGGTCAAATAAACCGGTGGAGACGTGATCTCTTACACCTTGGACCAACAAGTCTTGACAAGATGGAACCACACAAAATTCCATTTTTGTACAACTTTAGCCCCCATGTGGTGCCCCCACCGCTTGATTGGCCAGAGTGGATTCGGGTGACGGGTTCGTTAACTCACTTCCTACTTTCACTTGATAAACTTTGATATATTAGGCTACTGGTTTCTGGATGATGCCGACGTCAGTTCCAAAAAGTGGACCCCTCCTCAAGATCTTATTGATTTTATTGACAACGCACATCAATCTCGACAAAAAGTTGTCTACATTGGCTTTGGAAGCATTGTGGTTTCGGACCCAAAAACAATGACCCGTTGTGTTGTGGAAGCTGTTCTGCAGAGTGGCGTCCGTGCTATCCTCTCAAAGGGTTGGTCAGACCGACTCCACGTGAAATCTGGCGACGATGTCGAATCAGAAGAAGCATTACCTGCTGAAATATATCCTATATCATCGGTACCTCACGATTGGCTGTTCCAGCGCATTGATGCAGCTTGTCATCATGGCGGGGCGGGTACTACTGGAGCCAGCTTAAGAGGTGAGAAATCAATAGCCTTTGATATTCAGGGGACTAAACAGTTTCAGCGGGAATACCAACGATAATTAGACCATTCTTCGGTGATCAGATGTTTTGGGCAGACCGCGTCGAAGCTCTTGGTGTTGGTACTGGCGTCAGAAAGCTTACTGTTCAATCCTTGACTGAGGCGTTGGTGCTTGCAACCACTGATCAAAAGCAGATAGATCGTGCTAAAGCAATTGGGGAACAAATTAGAGGGGTAATGCTCTTGTTATTCTGTCGGGCACTATTGACTCATCCGCGTCTACAGGAGAAAGGTGTTTCTACAGCCATAGAATCCATATACCGGGACTTGGAGTACGCTCGCTCTCTTATCAAGCGACAGCGAAACGAAGAGAGCGATGGTGAAGCTGAGACAGACCTCTCCACTATCCGTGATCACGACCATCGTGTTAGTTACTCACCCGAATCATATTCGGGCTACAACTCCAGCGGTTCTGTCCGAGGAGCACCGAGTGAGGAGTGGAGCGTGATCTCGGATCAGGATGATCGTCGGTCCTCCATTGGTTCGCGAAGGAATAATAAAGACAAACGTACGAGTTTTACCGCCGCGGTGCTATCTGTCTTACCCGACACATTTGCGTCAGGATCGTCCCAGCGTCGATCGCTTTCTACCTCGCCGTGACGTACAGCTCACAACTCACCTCACAACCGTTTGAAATCTTGACTTCATCGTTCATTCTGGAAAGATACTCTGCATATACATATTCGTAACATTGTATCATAGATTACATCAACCGACTGCCATAATGATCGTTAAAGACCCGCTTGCTGAATTCTCCGAACGTTATTGACGTAGAAAGAGGCTGGTCAGTGTTTGGTTGCATGAATAACGCAAATGTTTCTCGTGAGACCCTCTCTGCATGCAGCCCTCCTACCCTAACACAATGTGGGGTTGCCAAAAGTTTCCCACCGGTGGCAATCTCAAGTGCTTCTCCAGTTTGAAACGCCAGACAGTCACTCGGAATGGAGACTTTTATCAAATCACCCCCACGATTCCGAATGTAAAGACCAGATGCTACAGAGGGTGACGGTACAACAGTCGGTTCAGCGCCATCGTTCGCCTCGAGATACATTGCCTTCGACGTGTCAAAAGGAAGGAAGCTGGTTAATTCGGAAAAAACGTACCGAACACAAGCCTGTTAGCAGGGAGTGGTCAAGATGGAACCCACACCAGCTATCCAAAGGTTCATCCCGGGGCAAACTCGTGCTTGGCGGAGGTGGAAAATAATGCAAAAGACGAGCCTTCGTAGTTTGCGACGTTCTAATTAAATGTGGGAGGGATATCTTATCTGAAAGATCCGAAACCTCTTCGACTTGTAAAAACTTTAGCATCTGTTCGACTGTAGCTGGCACAGACCATACCAAACGGCTGACAAGCTACCGCCAGCTCGCAACCCACTTTGAAAACGAAGCTGTCCAACTCGTCAACCATGGTGAACTATGGTGAAAGGGGAAATGGCGTTGAGACGTTCTCAACGTTCTCCGTTCCCTCACCTTCCCAAGTCTTTGAACGCCTCCTCAAACCCTTCGACACCTGGTTCGGTTTTGTTCGGCCCTGAACAAGATGGATGAAGACAACTTGAAGTGGGATAGTATACTGTTACTCATACAGATATTGCTCCCATAATATTCAGGAAATGCGCGTTGTTCGTCAAAGGTGACGGTGGGGTTGTCGAACACTGGATTCGCGTAAAAGGAAGCCTTCAGGGTGTCTAAGAATGGCAAGGTTGTCCATAAGTATCATGAACAAGGCACGTTCCATTCAAGTTGAAGTTCAACAAACCGGGTTTCCCATTCATTATCTCCTGGTGCGTATGATAGTAAATCATTCAGGAGGCTAATGATGGGCAAGCTACCTTCCCATGAGACCATCCAAAACTATACTTAATGGTTGACTGAGACGATTCCTTAGACAATGGTAGTATTCACCTGTATCTACTTTCTGCATGTACATGCTTATCGCGAGTGCTTTCGTCCAGGTTTGCAAAATGGTAGGCTAGCTTCAACAGTCGTTCCCGATACGTGATATAGACGGGCGGTAAATCGCGAACGATGATGATTCCCAACGATCTCGAACCGGACCCAAACGCATGCTCTGGGAGGTATCAATGTTGGTGATGGTACTTCCAAGTTGGACACTCGAAGTGATCCTGACCTATGGAGTCTTTCAAAGACAGAGGAGATGATACTAATGTGGTGTAGGATATAACGACGACGCCCTCCTGGGTGTATAATATGTTCGAGTCCATAGTATCGATGGTGTGTGCCCAAGGACAGAATCTCAAGTTTATTTAAAGAACGATCGCCCATCGTCGATCATGTGCCCCCCTTCGTATGGCAACGTCCTCGTTGCCTACTGAACTCGAAAACGCGGCCTGCTCGAACCCTTTCCTATGAGTCTTCAACGGAGTCCATCCACTCCCCCTCAACTCCGCTATCTACCAAGGCTTGAGTGCCATGTTATGTAATATGTAAGCTCATGGGCGTATCTACCTAGTAAAAGAGTGAACTGAGAAAAAGGATGTCAAAACCCGATCGCTAGGTTCACTTGAAGAAGAGCCGTCCGCAGTGCCTCTCCGCTGTCGTCAATGGACTGCAGAAATCGGAGTAATTCCCGACACAACTGCCATTCCTTGCCCTCCACGGCCTTCTTCAATAATCGAACGGCTTCACTACTATTTTCGTCCAGCTGCTCAAGGTTGTGGAGAACCAATAAGTAAGACCCTGCCGTTTTGAGCCGTTGCGAGGCGAGACAGGTCTGGCACACTCTTCAAAGGCTTGTCGGTCAAGGGTAGGGAAACTCACCTCAAAAAGCGCCTTCGGGTTTCCGACGACGTCAAAGAGACGCCGCCATCGCGTCAGCTCAGTCTTTCGCGCACAGCCAACCACGACATCGAGTGATACGTCAAAATGATCCAGGAATTCTATGACGGTCGGCAGGATGGCATCTGGACTCACGAACGTCCCTTCCCCTCTGCCAGAGCTTGAGACAGTAGATTCCGATTCTACAACTGTGTGCAAAAGTATTTCGAGTGCATGGGCGAAGAAGACAAGGTTTTTGTAGTTTGAGGCGAACTGAATCGCCTCCTTTATTTGACGAGCGCTGAGATGGTACAACAGGATGTGCTGTAAAAACAAGTGCGACTTGGAGCACGATATATCAATTCTCCCACTGTCAGATAGATAGGACTTACACTTGTCGCATGTCTAAACATCGCAAAAGGTAGATTTAACCTAGTAGCAGTTTCATGTTCTGCCCCAATTATTATTCCCTTGTCCATTAGTACGGCTAGAGTACGCAGAATGAGATGCGATACATGGAGAGGTCAAAGAGAAGCTTACACAAGGGATAAAAATCAAGGGGTATATTGACGCTTTCCTTGATATTTTCGTGGATGTCGGATGTCGAGTGTGATGCTTCTATGGTCAAGGCATTCAACCAGACTCGCATACCTTGGGCATCGTACGCCCACAATGAATTTTCAAGGGTACCAATTCCCCGAAGATGGATCCAGCAAAACTCGATTCGGTCTGCAAATATTTGCATGTCATATTTAACTTCTTGGTCTGCAGACTTCACGCAATCAACAACTTTTCCACGGAGGTTACGTATCAGTAGGTACCTTTCGAGGACGAAGGAGCACTAGCTGTCCTCCCACAACCATCAGGACTGCTGCAACAGAAAGATCATCGACAGGATCGCCGAGTTCTGAAAAGTCATTTTTTCGGCACGATGGAAGCATAAGAGGAGGCAACATACGTTTTTGAGCACTGGGTATCATCCAACTAAGCATACGAACAGCAGTAGGAGCAGCGATGATGCCAGTGAAGGATATGCTGCCGCATAGGTGGAGTCTTATCGAATCTACCGTCGGTACGATCAAGTAATGGTGAAGATTGTTGTCCAATGTGTACACCAACAAGGAATTGTCGACCAAGGAGAGAATAACAACCGGTGATGAGAGAATTTGACGGTGTAGGATATTTTGTCCAGTGAGTTCCATGTCTCGAGAATATAAGCGGATCTGTCTGCCGGCCTCAGAGGCGCCAGGAGCCTAGAAGAAAGCAAGACGAACCTGAAATGATTTGGCAACCTCCATTGCCACTATCAGCACATGATGAAACCAAAGCAACCCTCCTCGAACTGTGAACGCCTGCTCTTCCATCTCGTCCACGAACAGTTTCCAGCGACCAGAAGTCGAACTGTAATGTATGAAGCCTCTTCTGCCGGCAATGGCGATCAATCTACCGTCGCTGCTCAACGATGAGTATCGAACAGGCCAGTTCGAAGACAGGTATTTCTGCGGAATCTGTCCAGATGTTTAAAACATGGCACACACAGGGCAGGCACGCAAGAACAACCTTGATGTGCTGCCATACATCAGACTCTGGATTTATAACACTCATGTCGGGTTGATCAGCCCCTCTATAGACAAGCGCGCGATCGTCCATCTGTAGAAAAGCATAACGCGTATTGTCCTGAAATTTAAGGGTGAGCGGCCCAAAAGTATACTTTTTGTTGACTGGCCTACAGGTGAATGTTGACCTGTAGTAGAACTCTTTGCGAAAGGAATGGCAAACAGCTGACCATTATCACCTTGCCGGAATAGTTACGTATGTGGTCATTGAAACGAGGATGCGAATCCTACCCTGATCCAACGGCTGCGCTAGGACAAGGAGTTCAAAATTTCCGGGTCCCCAAGACTGAAGTAATTAGAATGGCTAGCGTGATGACCCAGTCGAAAACGGCTCACGAGATCGCGGACCCCGAACATGAATACATCCTGAAACCTTCCACAAGAAAGTCAGCGAGAGAAAAATCATCAAAGATGAACTCACTTCTCAAGGTCGATGGGATCCTCAACTCCGAAACCTGATGCAAGGCACCTTCCACAAACACTGAAAATACCCCATCCATGTTTCCAGCCGACAGCAAGAACATAGCCGTCTGAACTCCATTCCATGGCGTAGACTGGACCCGTCTGACGGCTGTATGGGTTGGGGACGTGCACATTCTGTGATAGTGGAACGGCACCATCCTGAACAGGAAAGTTGGTATATTCTAGCGCACCTCTATCTCCGGCTTAGACATCTTATGGAAATAGATACCAAAACATACCCGAGAGTTCCAATTGCGATCAAAGAGAATTTTGCATTGATAGCGATCGCCTTTGCGTGTCGTGGCTCTTCGTAAAGTCGCCCCCTTTCATGTCTTGGCTTGTCAGGATCAAACTGTCGTTGTTTCTGCACCCATTTTGGAGTTTCAAAGTCGTGAATACAATGCCCCTGCCAGAATAGCCGACTGAGATGTTCAGGTTGGTTTTCCTTGCTCACATCATCCTACAACGCGATGAGAAGATACCGCCGGATTACATGGGAAAGAACTTGCCCGATGGTAGACTTCTCCCGAGAAAAGAACTTCGTCTGAAGAAATTTCGTTGTCGATATCCTCTTGAAGGTGAACGAAGTATGCTCTCCCATCTGATGTCACCCAAATTTCCCCACTGCTGATTCGTGAGAATATGATTTTATTGACAGAAACTTTGCCCCTCGTTAATGCAAAGGAATATCAAGGGCGATTCAGAACCCACCATCTGAATCGATAAACCACGAAAAGTCTTCGCCATTCAATAGCCAGGTGTCGTAACCAAGAGGTCGCCTCCTCGATTCCACAGAATCGTTTTCCTTGTCCGAGGGCCACGGCACACGCTGTATAGTAGAAGGGTTCTTTGTGGAGAATAGAAGATAGTGTCTCCTTGGAGAGACACTCAAAAAAAAAAAATCTTGAGAGAAGGTGTGAGTGTGAAGTAGGAGTATTCACCTCAGAAGGGTTCCCTCAACACGAATAACACCTTCGAAATGGAGAATAGTGGACTGCAAAGGGTGCCCTTCACCAGGGCCTGCCATAAAACTTCGCTGAGCATTCAATGGCAGTGTTGGAGGGTGGTAAACGAGATTCTCTGGCTTATATTCCACGGCGACCAAGACTAAGAAGGATTCCGACGTCTTGGGCCGACGGTTAGACCTGGGTTACATGATACAAGTTTACTGGAACAACTTGCAGTTATGATTATTCGATTACCATCCATTGACCAACATACGTCGACATTCTCGCCATGTTCTAGGATAGAGGTTGGTGTCCGCGAAAGGAATGACAAGATGGCTGACGGCTGGAAGGGTGTGAGTGCGAGTGCATACGGATTGATGTTCAGACACACCCGAACAAGCCACAAGGCGACACCACTCCTCGTAAGAGTACAAAAGAGTGTCTTGCGGGGGCTAGAGGCCAACGCCACGACAGGTTCTGGTGGAATATTGGGGAGTCCAGGATTGGTGACTAGCTGTCTGGCAACTGCAGTTGGGAAGTACATACTCGTTCAAGGAGATTTAGCGCCAGCTTAGCGAACAACTTTTTCTCAGAGGACAACATTAGACGATCTTCGTCGCACGCAGCTACATAATATACTGTACATTTGGGGGTTGGCTATGTAAAGTAAGGGAACAAACAAGTTAAGAGGGTGGATGAAACCAATATCTGAATTTTGTCCATGTGCCATTTTTGGGTTGACATGTACCATCGCTGAACTCTTCTGCGCTCGGAGTTCCAAGAACCGACGTGGAGGCACCAAGAGTCATGGGCTGAAGTCGGGACTGTCGTAAAAGACTAAGTATCAAAGAAACCCCTTCTCGGGACTAAATTTTACATATTAATACCAGCAAAAACAACAAAGGATAAGCATGAACGGACCCTTTGAAGATTGGCTTTGAAACGCGTTAAACCATGATTTTCTATTCTCTTCGTGAGACCCCATCCGAAGCCTGAAACGATGCGGGCCTCGGTATGTTGGAGAGTTTTCCTATGCAGAATGAATACAATGTAGTCCCATGATAAAAGAGTCAGACCCTTCAGGTGTCTGACGGAACTCCACAGCTTCCTCAACTTGCATCACCTTGACGTGATCGAGGTTCTTAGTGCGACACCTCACAACCTTTCCATGAGGATCTACTTCGCTTTCCTCAATGACCCATGATTCTGCCCTAGAAACAATGCCCTTGGGGAACCACCTGGGCATGGCGCCCCTTTTGAGGATGAGTCGGGTTGTGAGCAGAGAACCTGAAGAAGTCTGGTTTCTAGAAATGACATCGCATGAGATGACATGAGCTGCATAGGGATTAGGGTAGCGGAGGAAAAACGCGAGAGAGACGATAGGCCAGGGATCGCTGTCAGACTTTTAAGAGAGCAAGAACAAGGAAGGAAGTGAAAGCTTAACGTACTCGTACAAGAAGGATTGAGAGAAGAACTTCATGGCCAACGGCCCCTGCTGAAAAGAAAAGTTGTGTTCGAAAGCGTTGCGTTCAATTTGTGTTTTATGTAAGGGAGTGTTTTAACTTGGCTAAGCCGCTAACTTGCGCTGTGACAAAGGATGACCGAGAGTCACATTCGTGTTTATATATAACTCTCATCCGTTACTTGTCCATTCTCTTCCACAAACACCCTCAATCCATCATGTGCAGGACGTAACCACTGACCCCGTTCCTCTCCAACTAATTCAATGCCTTTCCTCTCAGAATCAGTGAGCTCCTCCGAGTCATTGTCGACGGCTCTTCCACCAATCACTTCCCCAATCTTCACGTACTCTTCGTGAGAGACCTCGTGTCCAAATCCTGTCAAATATGTCTTCGTTGCCTTGATTCTTCTGGCCAACGCGATAGATCCTGCGAGACCAACGTGCGAGGGGTGCGGCTGCAAGCGCAAGCAATCCAGTACTGCTACTGGAATCGGACCATCCGAAGGTTCAATCATTGGCCACACGTTGTCGGGTATATGAGATACATCTGAGATGTAGACAATGTGGTTTTGGATCTTGAAGCCAAAAGAAAGATAGGGATATATCGTCTCTTTGCCTTCCTCCCCGGTTTCACTCTCAAAGGCTTGCTTGCCCGGGAGAGATATTGCCGATTTGACTGGTGTCGATGGAAGAGTTGCTGTCGGCGTAACTATATACGAAGGTGGAGGGGCCACTGAAAAGACGCGCCCGTGGTGAACTGCCTGATGTATCTTCAAAAGTTTCAACAGGAGATATTAATGAACTTGCCTGCGAATGGTGTAATATGAATGCCGGTATTCCCAATCTCGAATGAGACACTGTCGCTGATAATGTGCCATTTGAACTCAGGTACCTGTCATGTTTGAAATAAAGTAAGAACCCCATACAGGCAAAGGCACGAAAGCAAAAGACACTTTCATCACCGCCTCCCGACGCGAACTCTTTGGCTACCAGGTAAGGGAACGACCGTTGAACCTCCGTGAAAGTATCCTGCGATACGTAGACATCGATGTGGTCTTGAATTGCGGATCTCAGCGTCCAGCCTTTGTTGAGGTCAGGATATCGATACTCCGAGAAAACTATAGACTGACCTCTGAGATCATCTAGACCATTCATGGCTTAATACTGTTCAGAAGACTCGCGCAGACAAACCACAAAAAGCATTGTGCTTACCATCCGCATGAGCATGCGTGATCAACAGGGCATCAATCCTCCTCAGCTGGTACTTCGGAAACCATTCCAGAGCGGCTGCCTGAAAATTCTTTCCAGCATCAATGACCACCGTCCTATAAGTCGCAAGATATGCAAAGCTGGAGAGAAAAACGATGTATGCACTATACATACACAGGTAGACCATTCTTGTCTGCCATTCTAATGGTAGCACTTGTGTTCCGGCGGATGTTTTTCTTGCCTTCAGGTGTCTGGGTGGATAGACATGTTTTACAGGGCGGTGTTTCATCCCCGGGTAAGGCAGTCAGGCATTCAATGTGGGGGAGGCTCGCGGAGGTTCCTGTACCCAAAAAGATAAGTTCAATGGGCTGGGAGTGATAGGTCATGATGTTGCAGCGGAATGCGACGAAGAAATTGGCGAGGGAGTCCTGGCGTCCTGGTAGAAATAGTGGGTATACACAGGGTTGAAGATGTGAAGAAGATCATGACGAGATGCTGGTTTGAAATTTGCACAAATGGACGTTGTAGTAAAACCGCGATCGGTCACGACAGCCACGTGTCACGATATCCCGTTCCGCCCGGTGGCAATTCATTCTTGTTTGCAAGTAAGCACCAGCCTGGATCCAACTCTTATTCATGTAGCATCGACTCCATTGCGTCTGGTCATTTCTGTGGTCTTTCAGTCATGGGTAGGTACATGTAAAATTAAAGATCGTGGTTAGATGAAGATCAAGGAGGCCAACAATCTTGATTTCAAGGGCCAACTATCGGGGAATTGGAACCCGCCGCCTCGTACTTTATTCTGACGAACTTTACACTTGTTTCACATTTTCACCAATCACTTGGTAAAGACTTTAGGGTGTTATATGTGAGAAATCTCATTTTATGAAACCCATGAAACGCACTTGAAACAACGTCCTCATCTTGAACCTGATGCGCCAAACTCACTTTCTGGGCATGGGGCGAGAATTTACTTGATTTTCCCTGCTTAACTGTGATGAAAGTGGGAAGACTCCACAATGAACAACTCACCCTATCGATCACAAGGGCAGATTTTGAAAGAAAGGTCACAACAACACGGGTGGAGTAGTAACTCTACGCACCAAACAAGTCCATATCGAAAGTTAGGGGCAAGGGAACGGTGAATACCGTTGCAAACGTCCTGCGTGGGTATACTCAGTCAGTCCGTAAGAAAGATCGCCCGTCGTTGTACCTCAATGGTAGCGCCTTTCCGAAGACAGATGGGATCTGACAGATCTGGATGATCCCCTCGCTTCTTGGTGTAGATTTTGACAAGCCGAAGGTCGTCCCAAATCCGATCGATGAGATAGGTCAGACTGCAGGGGTGTCAAAATGATAGAGGCCATAATAAGAGCTGGTCATGTTAACAACGCACTTGAGATCCATTTCACAACTGATAACAACCGTATTAGGTTGTCGACCAAGCTTGTCCATTAGTTCGAGACTTATTGAGTCGATTTTGTTGTACACGTCTACGAAACATAAATGTTAATCACAAAAGAACAAAAAAAGTGTGCACTAACAGAGGCAAGGGATATATTTTCTTGTCCCTGGATTTATTGTTTGATTAGCTTTGGGAACAGAGTTGACGTGAAGACGAGGACTAACCAATAAGAACATCGATGAATTCATCTGTGGTTATCTTGAAAACGATGAGGTACGTCGGTGATTCATGAAGTCAACATACGTCTTCCCGGATCATTACATCGCAATTGTGCAGTTTATCTATCGAGGCCATCAGCCAGAAGACAAAGACCAACACAAACATCATACATCCAGCGAGAATCGTCCTTATCGTCTTTTCATCCGTCCTCGTTAATTTAACAGTCGTATTGAATGTGATCTGTGTTCAGTTTACTTCATCAACTACGACACACGAAAAGATTGAGCACGTACACCTCCTGTCGTCCTTTTCTTGAAAACAATGTCGGGTTTGGTTTTATTGAGTCGAATGCCAACCGCATCTAACTCAAACTCAAGAAGTCTCCGCTGTTCTTCTGATTTTGTAGCGTCAAGCATAATGAGAATCAAATCGGCAGTTTTTGCCGCTGCGGGGAATTTTGAGTAGTGCTGTGACGATCCAAAGACAACGTACTGGACACAACTTGACGCCCACGCCCCCGTCCTTGGCTAGCCCCTTCAACAATCCCCGGAAGATCTAAAAGTTGGATACGTGCTCCTTTGTATTCTATGACGCCAGGGATGGCCTGCGTTGCTGAGAAAAGTCGAAGTAAAAAAGGAGATGATCTTTCTTACGGTCAATGTCGTAAACTCGTATGCAGCCGCCTCGGATGCTGTATGAGTAGTCTTGCTAAGGAGAGTAGACTAAGGCCGCTGATGTCAATTTGAACAGATAGGACATGACATAAGAAGAACCTTTCCAACAGAGGGAAATCCAATCAGAGCAACCCTGGCATCCCCAGACTTCTGCACATCAAATCCAGTACCAGCGGGGCCTGATTTCGTGGTAGGTTCCAAAAGTTGAGCGCGGTATCGTGCTAATTTTGCTTTTAGAAGACCCAGATGATACTCAGTCGCCTAATTCCAGTCCTAAATCAATTGTGACTTGTGGGGCGAAGGTAAATTTGCCCACCTTATTCTTCTGAGCTGTTAAAATTAGAGACAGATAATTGAGCTCAACACAAATTAGGCGTACTACGAGCCATTTCCTCTGACGATCAAGAGTAGTAAAATGTGAGATGGTGAACCTAAGAGGCGGTCGCTTCTCCAGCTCACCCTCGATCTCCTTGATCTATGAAAAGTAAGACCGTGAGCGTTAATATTCAGAGCACAATGATATAACGGAACCTTTTCTACGACACCCATGGCGACTATACACAGGTAGCTAGTGTGTTGAAGCAAGCGTTGTTGGCTTACGTCATAAATTCTCGTTTTGACGTCACGTCAATAAATTACCTTGCGAGGTCTCGTCGTTCATGATGCGCCGACACACACCAACATTATATCCACACCCAGAGCAGGACGCAATCAGCAACATTGACGATGACGACGACGACGACGATATCCACAGTATCTGGGATACAGCCGAGCAGCTCCCCTATCCCACCCCTCCTCAGATTCCGTCTTCCTCCAGTTCCAATCGAACTCCTCACTCGACCAAGTCTCGCTCTTCTTCCACCATCTATCCGAAAGCACATCCACCGTCAGGTTCTAAATATACTGATATATATTCTCAATTTGTGCGACGATACCGGTCTACTGAACGGGGCGGGAATAACGAATCCGACGATCCTCGCAGTGATCCTGATAGTCATTATTTTCAGAGAGGTCTGGGACAACTCATTGATGCGGGTGATAACAGCGACGAGGAAGATATTGGCCGGATATCCAACTCATCCGGCGATGGGCCCATCGACCGAGTTTCCAGCCTTATACTCGAGACCGAGCCTATGCAACCTGCATCTCAACAGGAAAGGGAACGACTCGAATGGCAATCTATGCTTGCCTCAGTTCTTTCGGGAGATGTTTTAAAGTCTGAGAAAACCCGCATAGCAGTTGCGCTCGACTCGTTGGGCGATGAACAGAACAATTTTCATCAAAGTATTTGGCTGGGCGTCCGTGCCAAGTTTCATGGTCGTTCGGTAGAGGAGGAGCGGATGAAACTCGAAGAGAGGAGAGTACGGACAGTTGATGCTGTTATCGGCGAAATAATGAACTTTCGGGCAATAAGGAATGAAGAAGACAATGGCAAAGATATGACGACGTCTGCGCTTCAGCAAGTCACAGCAGTTCTTCAACGTCTCGAGGTCGTCCAATCCCTTTATCCAAACCTTAAAGCCTTCTATCTTGATAAACCTATTGCGGCCGAAGGTCCTTTTCAAGCTAGATGCGACACTCTGAATACGTGGTCTACCGTTCTCGTGTCCTTGAAGCACCATTTTGATCTTCTTCGTCGTTGGACAGGAAGCGATACTTTGGATGTCAACCAACCCAATACTAGCCACGAAGTTCCCATTGCTACCCACGGCGCCTCGAAATCTGGAAGCCGTAACACGTCAGAACTCGCTGATGGCACGAGTTTTGTTGAGCGTCTGCTGAAAGAGGAATCCATGCAACGCACTTTTGAAAAAGGTTTTCTCGTAACGGTCCACTCTTTTCTTGGTTCTGTGCGTGATGCACAAGTCAACCTTTCCCCCCTCTTCAGAGAGATGAATCTCCCCACCTTTGAAAATCAGTTGGTACCATTGATATCTTTTCCGACGAAGCTCGCTCAGGCTGGTCTACGCTTGCGGTTGGACTACGTTCAGAAGCTCAAGGATCCGGACATGCTCATTATTGACCAAATGACGGAAGACTTGAAATTGAGCATCGGGCTGGCTTGCACTCTAAAAAGACAATACGAAGCCTTCCTGGCACCGGATCCAGGAGGCAATTGGAATTTACCGCAGTGCATCAGCGAAGATTATGATTTAACGATCCTAGAGGCCTTGACAAATTTGTTCAAGTTGATCCATTGGAAATTGAAAAGCGGGGCTAAAGGGGTTTACTTCAAAGAAACAGACGTTTTGGAAGCACAATGGGCAACATTCAATGACGTCAGCTTGACTGCCGGGGGTTCAAGTTTAGTCGCTGAACAATTGTGGTACGCTTGATCTTTTCATCCAGCTGGGAAGGTTTTCTCTCATTAAGTGTAGTTCACTGACCAACAAGCTGATGGTGCGTGTAACAAATTATTTTGATACGCAAGTGCGTGTTCCTATAGCGGAAGACGGCAGCCAGAATGGTTCTTCAAGTCATCTTCAAGGTTCTGACGGGGCAGGCTTTACTGGCAAATCGAGTTTTTCAACTCATGTTCAAGGCTCGACCTTATCAGGCAGGAAAATGTCAGATGAACAGATAATAAGCTGGTATGGCAAAATTTTAGACAGCGTGCGACTGCGCTATCGGAAGTTGCAACGGTTTGCGAGGTATGAAGTGCCATCGACTCCTGGACAACATACGTTTATTAACCATTCCCCCTGCGAAGGGTCCTTACTCAGCGCTTCAGCAATTCTGCGGAGTACAGCATCGAGGATGTTCCTCTTGACCATTTCATCTCTCTTCTGATCCTTTCTGATCACTTCTTGGTGTATACCCATTCTTTGGAGGAGGATGGGGTTTACGTCGTCGCGTCGAATACTCTTTTCGATCGTCCGGAGTCTATTAGACAGATCTTGACTCAAGCCTTCCACGTTGACGAAATCACAAATGAGGATGGAACTCGTGTGATCGGAATCGATTTCCTTGGCCGTGAATCGGACGAGGCGAGCTATGTGCTTGTCCTTTCTCCGCAGACTCATTTCCTGTGGAATGGTAGGGTGATGGTGCTTGATATCCCTAAGGTTCAGTTGGATATGAAGGATGGTAGAGTGAGATTGGTCGCTGACGGACCTCAGCGACGGCTTGGGTTGTCCAAGCAGGCGTTTAAAGAGAGCCTCGAGCCGATGGACGAAGATGGGGAATCTCTCCTAGAGCCTATGACTCTGACCTGTCTGAATGACGTCCAAGCTCATCTTCCCAGTGTGAATCGTGAGCTGAGGAAGATCGCTCGTGCAACAAACCGTCTTGCCGAATCGACTGTCGACTCTGTGCACCACGTCCGTAGTTCGTTGCGAGCAGCAAACGGTTGTCAAGAACTTCTTGGGAACTGGTATTTGTTTGCGTCGGAACATGGACAGCATGCACACCGATATATGGACCGCTCTTCGTTGCTCAAATTCAACCGCTTATTGATCAAGTTGGCCATATCTTGGGTTTCGTTCATTTGTGATGACTGTGACCCTACAGATCGCAAGACTTTCAAGTGGGCGGTCAATGCCCTTGAATTTACCCTACATCGAACGAGAAGAAATATTCTGCACCTTCCAGACGAGCAATTTGAAATGCTGAGACACAAAGTCGCTAGTTGCATGACGCTGCTCATCAGCCATTTCGATATTCTTGGAGCCCGCTCAACGTTGGAGGCTAGGAAGGAGAAGGAAAAACAAGAAGAACTCATGAAATCGCAGGTTTCAAAAATTCATTTGGACGAGGAAGAAGACTTTTCCTTTCCACGACAACGCGATGCCGCTTTCATTGATTCAAGCACTCGACTGTTTTGGGAGAGAATGTCAGGGGCGATCCATCAACTCGACGACGCTCGAGCCATCACTGGGCTAAAGCACAGAACCTTGGGAAAGGTCCTTGATGACGAGAAACCTGAAGATCGTTCTTTGGTTTTTTTGGCATCGTCCAGTTCCAACATTTCTATGCGTTGGCAGCAAGGCAGATTCATCGGAGCGGGGGCTTTTGGTTCCGTTTATCTCGCTGTCAATCTTGACTCAGGCTCGTTGATGGCTGTGAAGGAGATCAAATTCCAAGAGCTATCGGGTTTACCCAATCTTTATTCACAAATCAAAGATGAGCTCAGCGTCATGGAAATGCTTCACCACCCAAACGTGGTGGAATACTACGGAATTGAAGTTCACCGTGACAAGGTATATATATTCGAGGAATATTGTCAAGGAGGTAGTTTGGCTGCACTTTTAGAACATGGAAGGATTGAGGATGAGGCTATCATTCAAGTTTACACGATGCAAATGCTGGAGGGACTTGCCTATCTACATTCCAGAGGTATTGTCCATCGGGACATCAAACCAGACAGTGAGTTTATTTGCGCAGACAGTCTTACTCCATCTCACACATAACAGACATCCTCCTTGATCACTTGGGCGTCATCAAATTTGTTGACTTTGGTGCAGCAAAGATTCTTGCCAAGAACCAGCGGTCCATCCAACGGTCCCGCCGAGCTCCAGACATATCGGTTAATGGCCTTGCAAACGTTAATGGCCTGGCCGTGATGAGTAATGGTTTAACGGGGACACCAATGTACATGTCACCTGAGATAATCAAAAATGATAAACGTGGGAGACACGGAGCAATGGATATCTGGTCACTCGGCTGTGTTGTTCTCGAGTTTGCAACAGGGAAGAAGCCTTGGAGTAATTTGGACAATGAATGGTAGGTCTTGAGATCTCACCTATATCACAATATAAACTTTGCTTGCAGGGCGATAATGTTCCACATTGGTGTTGCGACGCAGCATCCTCCGTTACCTGAGCCAGGTCAACTGAGCGAAGTTGGCATCAGTTTTATCAAACAGTGTTTGACTATTGATCCAATGAAACGACCAACAGCGACGGAGCTTATGGAACATCGGTGGATGCTTGAATTCCGCGAAGCGCTTCTCAGCTACGAGGTGGCAGAAATGGTGACCAGCTCTGCCACAAATATTCCATCGGAAGAAAGATATGAGAGTGCCTCCGTTGCTTTGCAAGCAGCCATTATCCAAGAAAATGAAATCGAGAATATCAAGCATCCGTCGCCCCCTCCATTTACGGAGTCCGTGTATGTAGAGTAGCCGACTTGCCAAGGTGTTATGCGCAATCTCACATATAATCCACCAAAAGCAACGAAGAAATCCCATTTAATAAAATATATGTAGGTACATCATTCGATAACCCATCGTTTGGCATGGGTCGAGGCCAGACTCGTGTTACGGGAGTGACCACCATCGGTCGAAGAATAAGCCCCATAACTACGGGACTTCTGGTGGCTATTTCTGGCGTCACTTTGATGAACATTGCACGAATTTATGGTAAGCGCTGGTAGGGGTGCGGCCAGCTTAGATGCAAATTCGGATGGATCTGCAGAAGGATCGAAGAACCGGGGGTCTCGGGAGAGGGATATCTGATCCGGAGGAAGTACAAACGTGAACGCGGCGGAGTATGTGGGAACAGGTTTCTCGTTGGAAGGGAAGGCAATCTTTTCAACGTCGGAGCCCGCATACGACGAAGGGAAGTCGCTTTCGAGAAGTGATTGATGGGCATTTACTTTTGTGGTTTGTTAGCTTCATTTAGGCCGAATCGAAAGAACATACGATAGCGAAGTAAGCCCTTTCCAAAGTTGTAGCGACAAACAACGCCCAACACAAAAGACAACAAAGTCAGAAACACTGAAGCCGACGCCATCACGGAAAAGAATCGCCAAGTGGTAAAGGTCCAGCGGAATGTGGTTGAAAAAAACATGACACCCCATCCAGCAAGGTAGAGCATGGAAAGGAGCAAGAAAATGAACATCGGTGCCCGAAGTTCACGACGTACAGCGAACCATCCCTTCATCTTCGTCAGCCTTCCTACAGCCTTGAGGACAACATTGAGAGCTTACCGTCATCAACCAAGGCACCAAAAGCTAGAGAAAAACACAATTAGTGTTCCAGGGAGAGTCTGATCGTGCAAACTTACCACGAGCGTAATGAAAGAAGAAACTTTGTAGAGTTTCTGAAAATCTGCCAGATCCCCGATCACACTGTTCAACAGTTGATCGATCCAAAGAGACACAGTGACGACCATGAAAAATAGAGATAATTGAATGGCGATAGATAGAATGAGGACGATCTTGTACAAGCGGTTGATTGTGAGTGAGGCGCCGACTCGTTTGAATGTCTGCCAGCCAAACAACTATCCATCTCGTTAGCGGGAATCTTAGCGATGAGGCAAAACACACTTTGATCAGCCGCCAGGTTAGGAAGCATGATACCAGCAACGCGACAACGTGCATCACAAGGCTGGGGATCTCGGCCTGACCCCTCGCTTCCCAGTAATGAGACAGAAGGGTTATATGTTTGCACGCTCCCTTCGCGATAACCCGATTGAATTCTGAGCGGAAAGTTGCAGTGTGTGTGATTTGAAAAGTCGCCCATCCAGTCGCCAGCATGTGCGTCAACAATGATGCAAAAATGTGAGGGATAGACTCGTTCAGAAGGGCAACAATAGACATGCCAAGCAGCCAGAATTGAAAGGCAATGAATACCATGTCCTCGCGCTTTGTATTCCGCAATCTACCAAAGATCAACGAAACGTAAAAGTTCCTCCAAAGGGTAAGCTTACACGGAAACCGGCCAATTGAGTGCCAAAAGGCAAGTGGCGTCGAGTATACCTGGGTCGCCTGTTCCCACAAGGTCCAGTTTGTTCTGACCACCCTCTTGGAACGACTCTATCTGAAGGGCGCTAAGCTTGACAAAACCCTACAAAAAATGAGAAGGGGAGGTAAATTTAAAAAATTTGGACGTTACTTCGTTATTGTCGTTGTCATTTTCAAACAAGGTAGGAAGATAGGGCTGATCAGGTTGAGGTCGAACGAAGATCGTAGTTGTTACGAAACGACGAGACGTCGTAAAACCGGGCAACAGGTTGGTAAAGGTGGTCGATGAGGAGTCTAAATTTCAAAATGAAAAAAATCGTGGTTAGTACTATGGCCACTCAGAATATTGAAGGTAAACTTTGCGCACTCGCAGAGAAAGCGTGTGAGGTAGAAAGGGACGTCGTTGTCGACGCAGCGGCCGTTCTAATAAAATCTTTTACATGGTCTTCGGTGTCGCTGGTTATGGTTCCGTTCCAAACCAAAGGGCATGAGGAAATATCGACATTGAGGTTGGGAGGAACCCAACTGCACAATCGAAGCGTATTCCCATGAAGAAAGGGCAAGCTGCTACCCGCCGCGTGGCCCTGCACAACTATCGATGTTAGAAATTGTGCGGCTTGTGCATTGATACTGAAAGCTTTGATTTGAAACGAAAGTTGGATAAGAAAATGAACCACAGAAAAGGCAAAGTAGATGGTGGTCGATCGCGTGAAAGTAATTCTATTCCACTAAGGAATATTCGTCAGAGTTGGTCAAGCACTTGCAGCCCCACTCACAACGAATCTTATCTTCGCTGGAAGGAGAGCGGGATTCCAGCACCGCCGGAAAGACATGTGAAGGCGCAGCTAACAGAAAGTGCCTTTTGGGCAAAGGCCCAGGGAAGAAGAATTCTTAGCTGCTACAGAAGCTATCTGAATATCCTGATATTCAGAGGAGGACCGGCCGATAAGGAGAAGAAAAGAATATGAAGAGAGAGGTGAGAAAGCCTGACAACGCTCGCCAAGCGATGGTCCATGTGCATGCAGGTCTGCATGGAGACAAAGAAACAAGACAACGATCAAAATTCAAAATTACTTTTCAGTTCAATTTCAGCTATACTTACCCGTAACCCGTTACATCTACACAACAAGATTATACCTGATACCAGGCTTTCTCTCCGATTACCCATGAAGCTGTCCTCTCCTCTTGATCGTCGAGCGGAACCATAACGCCAACTTGATCCCACTCCGACATAAACTGCTGGCGAACACACAAATGCCCTTCAACTCGTAGATATCTGAGAATTTCGTTAATTTCCTGGCGGTCGTATACAGACCGAAGTCGCCATCGAAGCTCAGCCTGCAGGGGAGTCATAGGATGCTCATAGTGAACCATTCTTCACAAACTTACCTGAGAGATTCCAGGCCTGAAGATAACCAATCCCATTACAGCACGCAGTGCAGACTGCCAGAAATCAGCCACCCTCAGCCCCACAATATCCAGCCAACGTCGTGGAAAGGTTTTCGTGACAGGTTGCAGAGATGTCATTGCACTCCACTTCCCTACAAATCGCGCGCACACAATCACAATCGAGGAGTAACCCACCCAGTATAACAGAGGCGTCTCTAACTCTGCCATGCGATGGGTAAGTTGAAGAAATAGATGTTCATTCATGCTCCCCCCAGATGACTTGAAAAGAGCCAGTAAGTTTCAAAACAAGGCAACAATGTGGACTTCACTCGCAGCAATATCCGCCTTGCTGATGCCACGTTCTCCTGCCTGACGAATCATACAAAGGACCTGGTGTGCGATTTCCTGTTCTTGGCCGGTCAAGGTGGCGCGGAAGGTTGCCCAGGCGTTATTGAGACAGTTGACACAATCAACAATGCCACTACGGAGCATCCTTCTACAGGACGCATCACCACCAGTTATGGTCGTTCCGTGAATTTCGCTTTCTCCTTGGTCGTGACTTCCTGCCTCCGGCGTCGTAAGGGGTTCCAGCGACTCCAAAGCTAACTGCTGGTTGCTCCCAGAAGCGCTACACTGGACGTAGATTGCAGTCTCAATTTGATCATCATCTATTCAAATTCTTTTGTAAGTAACCGCCTCGTTGACAATTGTAGCGCACAAACCAGCTTTTTTGCTATTCCAATCCAGCATCGGACGTGCGGCCCTTGGTTGAGAGGTATCAACCTTGAAATCAACCTGTGAAGATCAGTACAAGAAATGCTTTGAAACACTTCAATGATTGATACCTGGTTTTCGGACACGAGTTGTATGAGGGCGGCACAATCTCCGTCGGTGGCTGTGAGGGGCCATTCTCGCCATGTGACCACATTTGTAGTAACTGCCTCCACCAATGATGCAGCATCCTGGTAGGTGTCGCAGGATATAACTCCACCAATTGCATTCTGATTGCTAAGAAGGAGGTCTCGCTATTGTGGCGTGAAATAAAGTGTAAACGACACTGACCTCTCCGATATTTTGAGTTGCCTCCCAGGTTTTTGCTTTGTAGGATCGCGTTGAGATTTCGACAAGACACCCTTGCCGAGAAGGTTCTTGATCGCAGTAGCGACAGCATCTTCCCCAGCGCTGCGGAGCAGAAGCGAGGCGGACTCAGAGTCATAACGCTCAGGGGGAGTACCCATCGCCATCTAGTGGGACATTATCAGGCAGGCGCATTTGAAATACAAAAAGGCACACCTTCAAAGTGGATTCGGCGAGAAATATATCCTCTTCCTCGCACATGCTACGAGGAGGAAACTCTCCGGGTTCCCTCGTGAAAGGTTGTCTCAAGAGACGCTTCTCACGACCTTCCTCGACGGCAGCATTCCAGACGAAATCCCACGAAGGTGCGGCTGGTGTTGTTTCAACTACTTCGAACTCGTCGAGCAGCCGCTCAATGCTCAGTGGGACAAGAATACCAGCTTTCTCTTTTGGTTCAGCCAAGCCGACCCGTCTAGATACCGATATTAATTCAGAAAGAATATCCTTGAAAGATTCAGAACTTACAAAGCATTTTTATCGACGTGAGCTCGAAGGAACTCCACGTGTTTCACTAAATTGAAATTCGACGTACTCTCAAGGTACTCGTCTGGAAGAATGCTGGTCCCTCTGTGCTTGATCCACAAATCGTACCATCTTTCTTCCAACCGGCGCAGATACGCTTCATTTCCAGGCGTCTCCTTTATGTGAGACAAACGCTGCCGCACAGTGTTGCGAGGCACTGCAGGAAAAACTTGTTCGAAGGCGGCCCAATCGAGCCTTGGTAAACCTCGGCAACGGGCTCGAATGATGGCAGAGGCATCCCTCGCAAGCTCATCATAGTCCCGAGACCATTGAAATCGGTGCCGTCGAGTAGACTTTTTTTGAGCATCGGGCGCCCTTGGGTCTATTTACATTTAAACTACGAGAGTGCCAAAAGAATGCAAAGAAAAATGTACCTTCGTTGATAGCGCTCGATTTTCGCTTTCTTTTTGCACCTTCCTTCTGATGTAGTATGGGTGGCCCTTGCTGTTCTATCAAAGTCTTGATAGACGGACAGGGAACTTCGATTACTTGTGGATGGGAATCCCGCAATATCATGGGAAGGATGTGTTTGTCCGTCGAGTTTCGTTTGGCAGAGGTCTTCAAGGTCTTCATTGCGACTACCCCTGCCTCCCGTACAGCGTCGTTAATTTGTTTTTCCCACTTTTCAATATCTTTGGTTGAACCAGTCTGTAGAAAGCGATTGCGTACCCGATCGACACGGACAGTCGCTGGACCCAGAGCGTCGGGGTGCACACGCAAGAGTAACATGTTCCACTCCTGCTCTCGATTCAATCTAGCCTCCTCCGCCTTTCTCGCCAGGGACACCTTGGTCTCTGCGGCACGTCGAGATCGCTTTTCAGTTTTCCGTTCTTTGACCTTCCGGCGCATCCGTTCCAAGTCGCCGAGTAATTTGACGCGACTTGCACGGAAATAATTTTCGATCGTTGAGCGTGGTGCGCTGATAACCCTGCAGATCCTTTCGATTTGACTCGTGGAAGTGTCCTCATCTTCCTGCAGAGGAGTTTTCCCTGATGCTACATCTATAAATCGTTTTAGGTATTGCATTTGATGCCAAGTGAGGATATAATCGGGGTTCCACGAAACTGTACGGCGCAGAGAACGTGCCACACTGATGCTCGGATTCAAAGGGTCTAATTTACTGCTAACGTTTGCGTTGACAGGGATAAGCGGGTTAATACATGCTTCTCGCAGAGACTCCCAATAGTTCAAACCATCCGCAGCGGTGCCAACGGAAGTATCCTTCCAGAAAGGAGGTTGGGTTTCTGAAACGGCCCACAAGTGGATGGGTGCAAGGTCGCTGAAGTACCAATATGCAGGCGCAGACATTGGAGTGTTGATTGTCCAGCCATCGAGAGAAGCTGGATCAAACTTCGTTGGGTGATCTCCATTAGGTGGACATGTTATCCATGGAACGCTTGCCGTGGATAATTGCAGAGGTGTCACCAACTGCAGACACCTGAGAGTTTCTAGGATATCTAGAAAGCGTGAACGGGCTCGTGATCGTCCAATTTGCAGGATTGAGTGCAGATGCTGTGGAAGGTCTCGAACAGGCGTCTGTCGACCCTCTTCAGTTCCAAAAAAGGCAGTGAGTTCATCATCATGCGATAAAGAGGATACCAGTGAAGTGTAGAGACTGAGCGGCAGATCGTGACAAAAGAAGGCCAGGTCGATAATTCTTCCCTCGCAAGAAATGACGTTACGGCAAGGGCTTCCTGTCTCAAAGGCACTCAGGACGGAAAGATGTAGCTCACGCGCCCGAATGATTTTCCCAACAATGAATCCATATAGCTGCCCCAGCGTTGTCCTTTCAGCAAGCAGAACCTCTCGAATGGTGGAATCATCATACGTGAAGAGCTGGCTAGCTCTGGCAACGTTCTTGCTCCACCTCTCCTTGCTGTCGCCCGGTTGTTCCATCTGTAGTAGTTGAAGAGGCAAAGCGTTACGAATAGTGGAAGAAGGGTCTGCGCCGTATTCAACGGGTTGGTCAAATTTCACGAATGTCCCAAGTTGCGGAGGAGTTGGCTGGGTCCCCCGTGCCAAATCTGCAAGAAAGGCGTTCAATTTGCCATGATCGATGTGTGGGAGGTAAACGATGCAAGCTGGCCGATTAACTCCTGTGTGTGTTGTGACAGATGTCCGGAGCTGCTTGACTCTGCCTTTCATCTCCAAACTGTTGAATGTTGCAGTCGCCGTTCGTTTATCGGTCCTAGTGCCGATTGGTGCGCTGGTTGGTTCCCCAGCTTTCGAAAGTGTTTCAAGAAGGTTCATGTGGGCTTCAAAAAATTCCTTCGTCTGGATGTTGATTATCCCACCAAAATCTTCAACGACGCGATAAAGCTCGTTTTCTCGGCGAAGGTGTGAAACATTGACGCGGGAGCGTGAGGCTGAGCTGGACTTTTCCTTGGATGATCCTGTAGAGACCGCCCCAGCCAAAGCTTCTGATGCTTGACCAAGACTCGCTTCGCCCGCCTTGTCCGCGTTGGATGGAGCATAAGAGGCCGATGTCAATACATCCTGAGTGTAAAGTCAGAGTCAACCCACAAGTTAATCCATCCATGTGACAAACTTACTGCTTCAACTGTGAGGACACGACGCCCTAAATCAGGTAATGCCAGGCTTGTACTAGTAATGTGGGATATGTTCGAGCCATCCAGAGTACCATTGATAGAGTCGCCACTCAGTGGCTCTTGGGTACAATTATCCAACTGGTGAGGATTAATACCACAGAAAGACTCGACATTGGACGGGACTGTAAAAATAGGTGTCATCTTTTCCCTATGAGGTTCGAGGTTGAGCTCGAATGGATGTGTTTCTGGCGTTGTGGCAACCAATTCAGGCAGAGACGGCTTGTTGGGGTCTTCCAAATTGATCTGGAGCCGATCAATTGCTTCAACTGGGTCATCGGCGGTATCAGGCGATCTATGTCGCTGTGCATCTCGTGTGGCTTTCGGCGGACGCCCCCGTCTTTTCTTCACCGAAGTTTCAACATCTGGTTCAACTGACTTCTTTCGTTTGGGCGGCCGCCCACGACGCTGTCCTTTTTCAGCAATTGTGACAGTGTCCACCTTCAATTTGGGGGGGCGGCCCCGTCTTTTGGGCTGCACTGGTGAAGTTTCATCTTCTGAACCCCGATTGCAATTAAACAATAGCGGTGCATAGACATCAGGCGCTCACTAGAGTCATTAGCTTGGTTTGATATGAGCCGTCTTCTCTTGTTGGCGGTCTCCCGGATTACATCGTCGTTTTCAAGGGGATCAGGATGGGATAGTTGTGCCGCCTTTCGTTTCCTTGATGTCTGTTGACCGTTAGCTGTACTTCCCGGTTCAACTTCTATAGGATGTTTTCGCGGCCTGCCCTGTTTTACGCTGCCGTCTGGTAAGATGGGATTTTTTGGCGGCCTCCTCACTGGGTTTCTGCTTCGGGTTTTTTCGTCCTTGAAGGAATCTTGATAATTAAAAAGTTCGCTTTCCGATTCATAAAAAATCTTTGTGTCGAAAGCGTAAAATCCCCCAACAGTTCTGAGGTCAACGTCCCCGTAACCTGCGGAGGATTTGTCCAATTGCTCGTTGGATACCAGCTTTCGGTAGCATGCGACAGTGTAGTATCTGTGACGCCGCTCACGGCCACTAGTTTCCATCAGCGCTGCGATGCCCAGGTCACTCAAGTGAGGTGGGGGATGATATTTTTCTGCGCGAGCCAAGAGGAGTTCAATCGTGCGTTTATCAAAATTACATAGGGCGGCTGAGAGTTCCTAATAGCAGTGCAAAACATAGGGCTCCAAACGTGACTTTGAGATGATGGGAGTAAACTTACGTTCAAAGTCATCCCAGTGATCCCAGACTCTTCTATTAGGTCTATAATTTGTTTGTGAATCGTAATATTCATTTTGATCCCATTTTGGCCATCTGCGGAGGTTGATGAACAAATGAGTAATCCTTCATTTGGAAATACTCGCCTAGCAAAGGATCGTCCTCATCGTCTTCATCAACAACTGCCCCATGGTTTTCCAGATCGCCGGTAGTCACCAAACGAAAGCACTTCACGGATGCGTTTACGGATTTTTTCCTGTTGCTTGGAACAACAACTTTCTCGATAAGTCGTTGTTGGATCATTTCGCGGATCCGACTCTGAAAAAAGCGGCGGTCGGTTTTAGTCGGATTAGAAAACCCCTGTAAAACCGGAAGGATGAGGCCTCCGAATGGAAAAAGAGTTTTCTGACGCTCACGAGCGTTATCAACATATTATTAGATGCATGGATAAAATTCTTGGAGGCTTTTAATAATTTAACGACGCGAGCGCTGATAAGAGGTAGACTTGAAAGGTGGCGTGCGTCAATTGGTGTAAATTTGAGCGCCGTGGCATTTACGCCGGCCTCTTCTTCATCCAAGACGGCTGTATCGTTTCCATTTTTCTGTAGATCCTCAGCTAGGGTTTCTTCGTCCCGAATAGCCTTCCACGATGGATCGCGGTCGAAGAAATATTTGTGGATACAGAAGTGAGTGCCGACGCCGCCGCGCCTGACCTTCACACTGCCCAAGATGAGCGAAAAATGAAGGGTTCAATTACAAGAAAGCAGCTTACACGAGATCTAACTCGGTCAATTGTCTGACAAGATAAAAACATGTCTTTTGATCATATTTGGATTTTCGGCCAAGTTCAACGACGGTTACTCCATTGTCACGGCCCTGCGTGATAATTTGGAGGGCCGAGTACACCATCGGGCTCATTTTAGAGGACTGTGACATGGATATTAGAAATGTGAGGCGGGAAAGCCTCGTCAAGGGAAAGTTTACTCTGATGTGGGAGCCAGTTATTGCCGCAAATATCGCATCCGGCTCGACAGCAATTCTTAAACGATCTCCGTGAAGTCTTTGAAGCTCATCAAGGGCAGTATCTTTGGCGGCGGGTACAGGATCCAACTTTGGAGGTATTGTATCCACGTGGTCTTCACCTCTTGCTCTTGCTTTGCGCTTCGCGCTAGTCTGAGGCGCTACCCAGATGTCCGAGGAGTCGCCTAACGAGATCGTGCCAACTAAAACCGTTGGCTGCTGTACTATTAATGACCACACAAAAGCGCAGAAGGCGTCGTCTGGATTTTGTGTATGTGGTACACCAGACTGAGAATAAAACCCAACAACGAAGTCTCTCAAGCGAGAAACGTTGCAACCTGATTTTCATAGATTCAGCCATCAGAAGTAAGAAGAATGGTGGTTGGGATGGGGTTCGAACCCGCACACAGGTTGCGACCATCACATGATGATAGTAAAGACACTCACCAAGATCTCCATCAAAGGAGAGCTCACGCAGACAATGGTGAAGGAGCTCGTCCATAGTGGGGTGCGTCGGTCGTCACTGATGTGTATCGCTCCAGGGAGAAAACTGTGAAGAGGCGCTATTAGGAGAGGTTTTAAGTGAATAACTGGGATCGATCATGTCTGACTGCCTTTCATTGGTGCTCACCGTGAACTCTGATAGAACCCCTTCGACAGGTTTAAACGCTTCTAATGCAGATTTGAGGAGAGTCGATGATATCAGATTATTTGGCGTGACGGGGTGACATAGATGTGACTATCGATGTCAGCAGCGCTCAGCGGCTTAGCTCAACGGCAAAACCATCATGCATGCATCAACAGCATTACCAGTTCTGCTCAACGTCTAGTGTGACTAGTAGACTACATACGCATAATTGTTTTTTGTATCTAATGCTCCTCAACGTCCGAAATAAAACGATACACGGCTTGGTGAAGCCTCTAACCCATCTCTATTAGGAGGCAGGCACCCTATGCCGTTCCTCCCATAGCGTTCGTAGAACGTCCGTGAACCCAAGCTTTCCCAGCTGTGCATTTTGCTCAAACCGCTGCACTAGCCATTTTTCTAGACCATCAGCCGCAGACCGCCATAGCGCCATCCTCGCTTGTATCTCCGCAGTTTGTGAAAAAGAGGTTCGATGTGGAGATATGGGAGAATACTGTATTTGTTCAAAGCATGTGGCGAACTGGGAGAGGGACAAGTTGACAGAGGTTATGGTAGCGTTTTGAGATGCTGGGTCGACGAAGGATATTTCCCGTACAAATGCATCTTCTGACCCGCCAAACAGCTGAAGGCGCATTGTTAGAATTAAATGTGGAAACTCCAGAGGCGTAACAGACCTTCACGATCCACAAAGGCGCCTTTTGCTTGCATCCAAGAACGCGCTCCGTGCGTATGATTCCAGTCTTCGGATCCACTGAGCGATCTAAAACGTCGACACTAACAACATGCGTGCATTTGGAATTGGGGTATTTGTGCCACATTCCAATGACCACATGGGACCATGGGTGTCTATTGAAACTGTCAGGATTGTCCAATTGGCATGATGGTAACATCGTTAGACCCACTCATAATCGAAGGCTTGCGAGAAGAAGTGCATTTGTAAAGATTAAGGCGAGTCCGATAAAGATAGAGGGAATACGGAAGCGGGGTAGATTTTGGTCGTGTGAGGAAAGCGGACGCAAAGAAAATCTTTACGCAAGGCCCCGGCTTAGGGTCACGGGACTACCCTGGATACAAAAAGAATCACATGAGTCGCCTCAAGTATTATGATTTCAACAATAGTAATTAATGCTCCGCCAAAGCCCTCAGTTCTGCCAACCGCGCCTTCATCTTTGGTCTGAGAGCATCAAAAAATTAACTACATTCACATACGCCAAATGATTCGACTCACACTTCTAGCAGCTTGGCCTCCAGTGTCTGCTTTTCCTCTTGAAGAGCAAGCCGTTTCTCGGCGTCAAGCTTTGTGCTGTCCAAAACTTGTCAGAGCGCTCAGTGAAGGTAGAAGAAGACTCACAATACATAACCCCCTTGACCGTCATAGTGCAAAATAAGGGCATGATATTTCCATAGTGAAGATCGATGCGAAACGGTTAGGAGCGTGATGCCTAATTTTGTGGCGTACTCCATCATCATCGCTTCAATCTCGATAGGTACCAGAGATGTTGCTTCGTCTAAAACGGCATACTAGAATATTGTTAAGCTTCGTCAAGAAAAGTAAGAACGAGGCTGACCTTGGGATTGTGGTAGAACAGCCGCGCCCAAGCAATTTTCTGTTGGTCGCCTCCACTTAAAGCTTCCCGCCATTCCCTAGCAGCTTCCCATCCGCCTTCCCTTTCAACAACACTTTCCATTTGGACGACAGACAATATACGGAGGAGATCATTATCAGTGACGCCACCTAGGTACATCTAAGCAGGCAAGGACTTTCATTCTCAAGCTGAGACGTACGAGCTTCCATATCAGCCTTCGAATGAGGATAGATAACTTGATCTCGAAGTGTTCCGAGCGACAGGTAAGGTCTTTGAGGAATTAAAATGAACTGAGATGCTGCTGGTTTACGAACAATCCCGCCATACACTGGCCATAGGCCACCCAAAATCCGAAAGAGGGACGACTTCCCACAACCTGAGATAAATTAGAAAAACTGATGATCTAGGCATAGGAGAACAGACCGTTGGGTCCAACAATAAGAAGATGTTGCTAGTAAGACAGTTTTATCGGTGTTTCGCCATGTTATACAGTGGAATAACAAACCCCTGGCTTGACCTGAAAACTCAGGCTTTTCACGAGGACGTCGCCGTTGGGTGTCACGATAGGAACGTTTTCAAACTGAATATCCTCCGAGGGGATGATTTCTCCCCGCTCCCTGAGTACTATTCGAAATAAACGTGATGTAGGTGGATAAATCGAAAAAGTTTACTTTTGCCGTTTTCCTCTGTGCTTGCGCTGCTGACAAGAGCCTTTTCGAACTTTCCTTTTCGGACATCCGCCATAGTGTCAAGGAGAAGAGAAACTCGAGCCGTGTAACCAGCAAGCTCTGATAAGTCCTTGTACGAGTACATCACACGACCAAAGGCATCTAAAAAGTAATTGAGTGTCTGTTGAGTAAAGGTAAACGCCGCCCTTATACCTGATGAGGAGAGAAGCAATCTCCTATTGGTAACAAAACCTGTGGACGTGTGCGCGGGATCAATCCATGTGTCGTTTTCAAATCATGACTGGCCATACCTTCCGTGCGACCTCCTAGATCCACTTGTCCCACCCCTGGGATTTTGAAAAATATTGGAATAGCACAGAGGGCAAGCTAGCAATTTTGAAGATTAAAAAAATGGAGAGGCGAAGCGATTGACGTACCCCAAAGCTTCCCCATAGCCACTTGATAACACCTTCTTCGACACAGCCGAACCACCATCTTCGGTTCAAGACTTTATTCTCGTGTTCAACGACGCTAGCATATTCCCTCTCAATAAGCATCTTCTCGGTTTGCTCCCCACCCATGAAAGCGATCTCCTCTGAAAATTCGGCGAGACGGGAATGAGTGTGCCGTAGAGATCCTGAAAGTTGAGCAGATAAGGCCGTATACATCCCAAAAGAAGGCGTAAGGTATCGCACTGTCCGTGACATGTCAGCTCGGCGAGAAGGCAGTAGAATTGAGTCGCACATAGGATTGCAGTCAATTGCACCAAAAAGGTCAGGCCCATGAGGCCTTCCGCTCCAACGTTCTGGGACAGTTGGTAGTTGTAAAGAATGACGTCTAAGACAGGCTTGGCTAAATTAGAATATATGGCGGCGAGATGAGTGGAGAATCGTTGAATGTCGTGTGTAATCATCCTGTGAAATGGTCAGGACGCGTTGGACGGAAGCAAAGATTCTGACTGGTCTGGATTTTTGATTCTATCATCCAAATTTGCTAAAGAGCGATTAGCGTTGAGGAACAAGGGGAAAAAAAGGTGAAAGCTCACACAATTTATAGTAAACTTTGCCATCTGGACCTTCTCCTTCCTCGCCAAGATAGTGCTTCATAACTTCTTGGGTTAATCTCGTCCGGTATGCGATGGCGAGTTTGTTCTGAATGTAACTAAGCCAACTATTGGTCCAAGTTGCGGGAATTGCGACGAGAAGCCACCGCAGGATATTCCAGAAGAACTGTACAGGTTGAGCGCGCACAAGGCTGGCCACAATCCTAGCGAAAGAGAATTGAGAATTGATGAATCAAAGTCGGAAGTAAAGAGGACGTACTTTCCATCCAGAGCAGCAACATACAAGGAGATTGCGGTGCGAAATATGAGCAAACTTGAGTGCATGAATAACAATAACGCTTCCTTGGACCTAATGCCTGGAATCACGATGCGAAGGATGGTAGAGAGGCGTTGATAAAAAAGAGCATCTACCTAGACGGCAATAATAAGATAATGCAAGGGAGGTAGAGAGACAAAACGCACGGCAACGCGAGGGGGTTTGGAGGGATCGGAAGAGGTTGATTTCGAGGGTGGACGAGCTGAAAGACTACGATAAGTGGACGAAAGAACGTAGATGACGAATGCGATGTTGAGAGAGCGCTGTATGGCGGGCCTGTTGGCTGTATATGCCGTTGAAAAGGATGGGAAACGGTTGTTGAGAGTAGAGAAAACGGCCATCTAAAGATGGCCAAATGCTGCCAAACCAACCATTAAAGCGACATTGAAGCATGTGATTTATACCGGGCCGGGATCCGACTACTTACAATCTACCTTCCCTTCGTTTCGCCTGCACCCAGAGGACAACCTCGTCCCAGTTCTTCGCCCTCCACAATGGGCTTCCACTGGGTATATCCAGCTTTTCTTCCTTCCAAAACTCCTGCCCTCCGCTGTCCTTCAGCCGTATATCAAACGACATCTCATCTCGTGCATCATCTGGCCGCGACATCCGTTGATTCCATTCGTAGTCGCCGAATAGTAGAACAGGCGTAGGTTTCATCGCAGTAACACATTGGAGCGCATTTTCGGCCGAGTCGTCAATGAGCACCTTTGCCTTGAGGTCTTCACAGACCTGGAATGGATTATTCTCGCATTTCATGTGATAGTTCATCAACGTTCATTCACCATGTGTCCTCACCTGCGCCTTACTCAACCTGGTAACCACCTCGTGCCCAGTCTTGTGCGCGTCCTTGAATTGACCCGTGCAAATTATGCTATCGAAGATTCCTGTTTGCTTCAAGTTTTGGATACATAACAACCCACAATTACAACTCACCTGGAAAGTGTTGGTCCACCCATTTCCAGCTCTCGTCCGCATGATCCTCCGCCCGAGCCGTCACGATGATGAGTCGGTATCCCAACTCTCGCAGTGTCTGGACCCCTTCCTTTGCGCCAGGCACTGGTTTTGCTTGATAAATCCGATCCGTCATATAAAACTCTTTGACCTTATCAAATGTCACTTGAGGTGTTCCCCAAAAGGGGTTCTAAATATGCTTGTACCATCGCCCGACTTTCCATTGCAAGTCATCCGCACCTTCCAGTAATAGTAATCTAAAAACCTGAGGGTCAGCGTGTTCGATGCATTAACTCTTGTCGTCGACTTACAGTAAAAGTGGGATATCTCCATCTGGGTTCCATATATTTCGTTATGCCCTTGGGTAGTAGGTTTGGTCTGGGGGGAGAGGCGTTGTTTTCTATAGACTTACATTCCGCTACGACTTCATTCGTTTGGCTTAAAACATCGTCAAGATCGATTGCAATGACTGGTGCAGCAGCCGTCGATGGGAGGTCAAGAAGCTTCTCGAGAGCGTCTGCTTCAATCTCTGCTTCATGATTCAACACCGGAGTCGAGGCAAATGGGTCCGCAAGCTCAGCTATTGGTGACTCGAGTTGTAATTTGGATGCGGCGAAGGACATTTAAGCGTTTGAACTTTGGGCATGGGAAGCAATTTGAATGATCGATCAGACGATCAAGTTGGCCTGATTGGACTCAGTATTTCATACTCCGCTGCACCATACTGACTTGGTACTTGCAACCCAACCATGTCCTCGTCACAAATACAGGTTTTATTAGCCGCGCCAGATCTCATCCAAGCAGACAGGGTAGCCACAGAGACATTGAACGCGCAGTTTCAATCCCTCGAAGACCTCGACCAACTTGAGTCGCTCGTTTTGCAAGCCAAACAGTCCTATGATGAACTCATACCAAAGGTGCGTTCACCACCACTGGAAGACTTGTCCAGTACCCATCGTTGTATGCTAGTTCAGCTTTCCTCATCTCAATCTTACCTCGATGCCTTGCTATCAAATACCCGTTCTTCAGCGGAGGAACATTTACGCACTGCGAAGGAGCTGGCCATCCTTCGTCATTCGCTGGCAGATGAGTTATCAGAGCTGTCGTCAGACTTAGTATCGTCCATGTCTGGTGAACGAGGGCAGCCAACTCTGCTGGAGGACTTAGAAACCTTGCACAGAAACTTAAAGGAGCTTGAAAGTGTGAAGGGATATGTTCAAGTCGTCGAACATGCGCTGAAATTGAGGTGCGCAACCGTCTATCGTAGCATTTCCACAACTGATTGGTGTTCCAAATGACCAGCGAGGTTGCGATCCGAGACTTAGAGTCGGCTTCCGTCTTGACTACTGCCTCTATCACTGGGTACATATCACTCCAAGATTTTGTCGCGAAGGTCTCCACCACCTGTTCAAAAGTCGAGGTTGAAAATGGCAACCAAAACCTCCATCTGGTGACTTTTTTGAACCACCTGAGGGACAAGACTTGGGTGGATATGAAAGCGATATTGTCAAAGTCAGTTTCCTTCGTCTGCTGAACTTTCTCCTTCTGAGAGTATATATGCAGGTCGCTTATAAGCGCTGCAGAAAATATTGGTTGGCCCATGCCCATCGATTATGCTTTTGTGGCACCTCAATCTAGAAAGGAATTTGAGGCGGCTTTCCTCAAACTTACCAAATTGCAATCAATGTCCGTGTTCTCAAGTTGGACATGTACCTATTTCTCATCCCCTCATCTTAGTGGAAAGAATATTCACAACGCGCAGTTAGAGGAGGGGGGTCTCTATCCATTTCAGGCTCTTGTTCAGCCACTCTCCTTGCGTTTTAAATATCACTTTCAAGGAACAAGGCAAACTAATCGACTGGAAAAGGTGTGTGAAATAACCATCATCCTCCATTGTTTTTATTTTCATGACTCCCTTCTTCAGCCTGAGTGGTACTTTACCCATATCTTGAATGTCGTCCATGAACAACGACAATTTCTTGAATCCACTATCCAAAGCTTACTTGCTGCGACCGAGTATAAAGAGATTACCGCATGGGTAAATTTTTTATGTTTACCCCACCTTGCGCGGCCCAATAATATGGCTAAATAGCGCGAATTTACGTATCTGCTCCTGCCGATACTCTCTCAAAAGCTGAAGAAGACTGTCCCTCTGCTTCTCTCCCGCCCCTCCTTACTCGCGCATACAATATATCAAGCGATTTCATTCGACGCTTCAATGGTAGAAGAAGGATTTCATCTGGGAGGAACTTCGGCTTTGAAACCGGACACAGATGCGGCCAAGTGGGACGGCATTGGAGAGGTGATACTTGGCAATCCTGAATGGTTTGAGGCTTGGTTGACAGCGGAGAAACAGTGTACGTCCCTATCAATTCAGTTTCCCGTCCTAACATACTCGGCGCACAGTCGCGGAGGACCAGTATCATGATATCGTTAATGCCCCTGATGCCTGGTTCATCGCTGAAGAAGATGATGATGTTGCACTCGCACACAATGTCAAAGCCACCAACTCTTCAAGACGAGTTAGATCGCTTGTGGACCAAGTCACAGGTAACATTTTCTGTTGGTTACTTCATACACGATCCCGACATCATTGTAGACCGTTTCTCGCCACTCCCTCACGTCCTTCAAAGAACTTACTTCCTTACGTCTATACAACTTCCACTGCTTGAGGCCTACCGACTACGCATTTCGTCTTCCCTAGAAGCTTTTGAGACGTCTTCTTCAGCGTTCGTTCGAGCCGTTCCAGGTGCTCTCGCAGTATCCTTGACAATAAGGGAGGATTCTACGCACGACGAATCGCAGAGGCTGACAAGTGGAGTGGAGGGGGTTCAACGGCTCTGTAAAGCCTTGCTCAGCGCAGCGTACATCGAAGCATCGCTGCAAGACTGGGCTCAGGAACTGGTGAGCCTTCTCTTTCCTGGGTGGCCGAGGTACCTATGGTTCGCTTTGCCTATAGTTTTTCTTGGAGCTGTGGGCAGACATATGTCGCAACTCGCTTTTGCGCAGCCGCTCAGGGTCAAACTCGCTCTTACCGAATCCAAGTCCACTTGGTGCAGATGAAATTCCGCAGGAGACCCTGTTTGAAGAAATAATGTCACGCTACCAAAAGACTATTCTAAGGGCAACAGAGATGGTCATCCAGCAAGTCTGTGGTGAAATCGAAAGCTATCTGAAAGCTCATTTTGTTTCTTCTATAACGTGGGCTTCTTTCTTTCTTCCATCATCCACAACTTGATTAGAGCATTCTCATTCTTAGGGAGACACATGACGGTTCCGGGGACGAAATCTCGCTTTCCCAAACGTTACTGGGTCCTCTGGCTCTGCTTTCCTCGCATCTCACCTTCCTCCGAACAACGCTGCCGCAGTCCATGTTCACGACGCTTTACAGACGCATCGCGACTCGCCTAGCGGAGCATATCTTACACCGTCAAAATTTATACAGAGGCCAGTTTGATCTCACAGAGGGCAAAATTATTTGCGCAGAATGTGAGCTTTGGGTAGAGACATGTCATACGGCTGTTCGGGGATCACTCGGCGGCGGACGACGGCGGGTCGAAGCTCCTTGGTTCAAGTTGCTGCAAGCTGGGAGGTTGGTCGGAGCTGATGGGGATTCATGGACAACCCTTGTCAACGCCACGTTTGGGACTCAAACCAACGCAGAGTGGGAACGGGTTATGTTGGAGACTTTAGGACTAACTGAGCTAGCAAGGGAAGATGCTGGTCAAATACTGAGGCGTCGCACAGACTGCCATGCGTAGCACATTTTGTTCGTTCCTTGAAAGACGTTTGAAAATATACAACAAAGCAAGATAGACGACGACGAACAATATATACATGACTGATGAAAAAAAAAACAAGAAAGCAACGATCACATAACCCTCAAAGTCCAGCCGTGCAAACCTCCGTCAGCTGCGGCTGCTGCCTGAGCCGCAGCTAACCATCCAGTATCAATGTTACCTGGGACACCGTTTGGCGGATTCCCGGGGATACCTGCTAGATCCATGGTTTGGAAAACATTTTCGCATGCGATAGTTCGGCCCGAGTGATAACCTACGCCGTCAGAAGCACGGATGAACAAAAGGGGCAGACTGCGTCCGGCGATGGAGGGTGGCGGAGGGGGCGCAGTAGTCGAACTCGCTTCTTGGTTGGCTTGTTCGGGACTTTGTCGGGCAGGTGCGGAGCCGTCAGAGTGCGCTGGCAGAGCGTCGTCCTCCAACGCTTTGATAACGTCCGTTAATGGAGGCATCTCGACGATGACAATCGTGTGCAACGGTCCTGACGCCACATATCTTTGCGTACTGGCTGCGCCGATTGGCAGTCCTAAGCTATCCGACGATGGTCCTCCACCATCAAGACCGTGTGGTGCTTGACCGTACGGAGATACGTTGGTCATCGGACCTGGTGGTGTCGCCTGGTAAACGCGAAGACGGAGGGGCCCGAGGTTACCGAGATAAACGTCCAGAGGGCTTTGTTGTCTAGTTTTTGGATTCTCGAAGAAAAAGTTGGACACTGTAAGCTCCACAGTGTTGTTCGCTGGACGATATACAGGCGCTTGGAAGAGTGTTGGGAAGGGAGTAATAGGTAGCTCGGGTATATTGCTGTTCTGTCCAAAGGCATCGAAGAACGTATACTGGAATTTGGCTACATTTTCGAGATTAGACATAGAGATGCATCCCAACATTTGAAACTCACAAATTCCGACTATAGTCCAGCACAGGTAATCATCAACTTCGTCCGATATGATGCGTTCACCATCTCTCACTTCATCGCGTATTCGAGGCGATTGGAAGAGCAAAGGATGCGTTCCAGCTTGTGTGGACATTCCGGGTGCAGGAGGGGCAACAACGCCGGGGGTTCCTGGGATGGGGCCAGCAGCTGAAAGATAGTGTCTAGAGCCATCCTGATTGACTCGCTGCAAAGCGATTTTTTGCATCTGGCTAACAGGCCCCCCATCTTCAGCGCAAACGCGCCCCTTGTCAACCTTGCGGATCACGAGAGGCGACGTGGAGATCCCAGAGTGGGTGTCGGAAAGAACAATTTCACAACCGTATGTGACTGGCTGGGGTCCACCTGAAGGTGAGTGTGAGTGTGGAAAGAATTAAATTCTCATCACATGACACATACCGGCCGCGACGGTGGAAGGCCTCCTAACAACATTTACGTTGAAAGCAGACCAAGCAACGTTGCTTGCACAGAGTTGAGCATGGTCAATTGTCATGTATTTAGTGCGTACAGTCTGAGAGTTGATTCGATTAAAAAGAGAAACGGGTCCACCTGCGAGAATACACGAGGAGATATTGCGAGTTTTCGCGGTCTTTTTCGAAGGCTTGGAAATGATGGTAACAGGTGCGGAGTCAAATGAGGCCCATACGCGTCCACTGGGAGGATCACTGCCCTCGAGATTCAAGGCTGGAGGTGGGGGTTCGGCGATGTCCAGAGAAAGCTGAAAGCTCTTGGCCTTTGCGGTGCCAGTGACATGCAGAAACTTGAAGCTGGCAGTCATGTTGTTGTCAAGGGGCGCTTTCTGTTCAAAAGAGCGTTCACCACTCTCAGAGACAACAGCCATCGCAAGTTGTTGAGTACGCATGTGCCAGACGGGACCTTCGATGTGAACGACGGGAGGAGGACAGAGGAAACGTTTTTCACTACCATAGGATTTCTGAGCGACGGCGGCGTGTAAACAAATGACGGTTGTCATTGGCATGACCCTTGAAGGATCTTGAGATACATGGTCACGGACGATTCGACGAATCTTTGAGTGGGGATCCTCTGATTCTGATTCATCTAGTTTGCGCTTTCCAGCAGACGACTGGGGGGCGACATTAAATAATTAACGTTGAGCAAAGTGAATGACAGCGCGCGCACCTGAGATTGGACGGCTGGTGCAACTGGGAGAGAGGAATTAGACGCCCAAGGTTGCGAATTTGCGGGGGGATCCTTTTTAGACGCCGTCAATATGGAGTGAATAGATGCATTTGGGTCCGCTGCAGTTATAGGTGGAGGAGGCGCCTGAGTGGAAGTGGATGGAGTATTCTTCGCTGTTGCCTACTAAAATGTCAATGAAAGTGTATTGGAGAGCGAGAGAGAAGCAGGTCTTACAAGTAGATTATGAGGGGAAGAGTCGGGGGAGGGCATATGGAGATGATGAGGTGATGGGAGAAAGAAAGGATGTACAGTGGACAACGGGTCCATCGACATTATAGGCGTGAGAAGGAGAGGGAGAAAGACGACGTGGGAGAAAGACGTGGGAGAAAGGACGTGGGAGAAGTGGGAAGACGTGGGAACCTTTTAAGTATCTACAAGTCTACACTTTCAATCTCCGATCCGCCATTTGCCGGGAAGAACAGTTGTGACGAGTCTAGTGACCCCGACTCTGCCGCCGCCCGTAGCCCCGACGCCGCCGTTTCCCGTTGGCCACTGACGGCGAGATAGAGTGACTCTTCATCGACAACCTCTCTGTACGGCGATAATAATCCGATGTCTGGACCGTCTACTCCATCAGATCGACGCCACTGGCCCAGCGCCAACACTCCCAATTTATCTTCCCCCTCTATTGCCTCCCGTGTGTTCCTGTCCTCGGCGTGTCCAAATATCCCCGACGACGGTGGCCGGTCCCCACTACCGTCCTCTTCGCTTGACTCTCCTTCCTCTGCATGTAGCCATCTCCATTCCTCCTCCTCCTCCACAAGCGCTGTTGGGAAGAACCCGGCTAAACTGAACGGATCCTCCCTCTCCGTTCTCGGTGTATACCCTCTTGTAGTAGTACTGCTAGCGCTGTTTTGCAGCTGCTGATGTGATGTCGACCTGGGAAGATGAACAGTCTTCACTGGAGATGCAACTATGTGTGGTGCAGATTTAGACCGTTGAAGGGACATGGTCGTTTGTGGGGAACCGCAAAATGAGCCCCTTAATTGCTTATATGTTATTTCAATTTGCATTCATGCCAGGTACACTCTATTCTTAAATAGATTCAATGTTCCAAATCAGTGCTTGATATGATTTTGACCTCCCTTTTATTGCCACTCCAATGAGCTTAAAACGTTGTTAAATTATCTACTTGGTATGGTAATGACTGGCTTGATGATGAAATTGTCCAATGTGATATGATGTATGTCATAATGTCCAAAAGTCTGCTGGTATAAGTTCATGATGAGTCCCGACCGCTCCTCTGACGAACACGGCCACCTCCGCCTTTCCCAGTGTCAGGAAATGGTATACCATCCGCTTGCAACGTTCGGGATTTGCGTTTTCCAGACCCACTAGTTTGAACGCCCATTTCCGCTTCTTGCTGGTATCGTTGCCAGTCCTCCACTTTCAAAGTTGAAAGCCGTTTTGACGAGCTCCCGACCGCCGCCAATTTGTCCGCGCTCAGAGACCGGGAATGACGGCGTATCTCGTTCGGCTGTCGTTCCTTTTGCCTCTCTCTCCCAGGCTGGTCTTCCACTCTCTTTTTCTTCTCTAAAGCGGCCATCTTCTCTGCCTGCCGCCGCGTCACGGCTTCCCTCTCCAAGCCTTTCGACCGTTCCCAGCGCTGCTTCGCCGCCTCAATTTCAGCATGTTCCCTCTCCGCCAGAGTTAGTGGGGCCTGCATATCCCGTATCTTCTCCCGATGTCTTTCGTTTAATTCCTCAAAAGTCCTCGTTCGCGTAGCAGCCGGAACTTGAGGAACAGGAGCAACAATGGGTCCAGACTGTCGGCGGGGCGGAAGAATCGTTACAGGGGCGAGCCCTTCAGAATTCTTCTTTTCCCGCGCAATTCTAGCGAGAGGGACATCTTCCGAAGACTCGGTCCCAAGTTCGGAAAATCCAAGCGCAGATTCCCGCCTCTTGCGTTTACTGAGCGCGTCTTGCACCGCTGGAGAGATCGGGGGCCGCACGGGGACGGTCAGAGGGGTTGTCGCAATGGGAGGGGTAACACCTGCTGGCGGCTGCAAGAGTTTACGTTCCTGTATGTATGTATCCCAATCACTATCCCGTAGGGGTGCACTTGTTGGTCGACTGATAGGATCGCCCGCTGAATCAAGCGCTAAGGCAGAAAATTCCAGCGAACGCACCCGAGCGCGCGGATCAATCTGACGGGGAGGTCGCAAGTGAGAGGTGGACGGCATGAGTGCATTGGTGGCATCAACACTAAGGGTACGTCTGGAAGCCATAGAAGGTCGACGAGATTGCTCAGGTGGAACAGGAGTCTCGGACTTCAATACATCGATCGACCTACGGATAGTCTGAATCTCAGCAAGTAACTCTTCTTTGCGCTTGAGGTCCTCCAAATCTGCAGGGGAGACGGCCTTGCTTCGGAAGGGGTCCTCGGCAATGAAATTTGATGGAACGTCTTCTTTGATTCCCAAACCTAGATCCAAGGTAGGCAGTGCTCCAGGATTTTGCATATATCTTGATGCCCGTCTGAAGTCTTCGTCTGATGTCGGCGCAACTCTAAAATCGGATACGCCTGACAAAGCCCGCGCACGACCTTCATCATGTTGAACATACGAGGAAAGACGATCTCCAGTGGTCGGAGATGCAGAGCCTTCTCGTTCTTTCATCAAAGGCGAGCAGGATATCGCGCTCTCTTGTCGCCCATGCTTGGAAAGGGTAGGGTGTTCTTTTTCCCAGGCACTTTGCTCTCGCTTGATCCCACTGAACCTACTGGCGGCCTGTATCTCCGCTTCTTCATCTACTCGATGTTCCTGCGCTATTTCGTCCAGCTTCTTTTGTAGGACCTTCAAGATGCGGAGCTGTACGGCAATACCCATGAGTGTAACAGCCCCAATGAGACCGAGCTCTATTTGCATTGTTTGTGAGACCGGAAATTGGATGTGTTTCTCAGTATATTTTGGAAACAAGGCAGGAAAGCCAAGATTCCAAATGTAAAACTGGTCAAGTGCAACAAGTGAGGATGTCGTTTTGTGTTTAGCTCAAGTTTAAGACTGACCTCTTTGAGACCTGCTGTTGTGAAACAATCGACTCCCAAAATGAACGAAGAGGAACCAACAATGGCTGTGGAGACAAGCAGGACATGGTAATGAATCTGTGTGATGCAGGTCAGAAGGCGAAAGCGTGATTAAAGACGCGGACTCGCTCTTGGAATTGTGCAGAGAGCAAATCCAACGACTCCGCAACCTATCGACAGAAGGGTTTATTTTTAGAATAGTGAAAGAGTGTAAGGTGCTAACCAATATAAAGTAACCACCTAAAGCCGATGGCTTTGATAAGGCCGCCGTTCTGAAAGCATTGAATCCAAAGGGCGAAAGCAAAGCCTCCCCAAGCTCCAATACCGAACCTAGCAGCCTTCCAAAAAAAGATGGCGATGGCCCCACCAGCAAAACCAGCTATGGACGAGGCGAGAACAAACATGCCACGAAGGGTCTTGCTTGGAGGATTGACGGAGGGCAGAACGCCGAATTTGAGAATCAAGACTGTGCATACCAAAGCGAGAGTGTAGAATCCGATGAGAAAGAAAGAAGTCCTGTGAATATAATTAGATACGCACAAGACAAAGTAAGAGGATACTGACCAACGATTTTTATGACCCCAGAAGGCAGAAGGCAGACCAGTTATGATGAGGATGGCGCCCAATACACCGAACGCGGGATCAACTTTTGTAGCCTGAAAGACGAGTCAAGGATATGAATTGAAATGACAGATATGACGTACAAGGACAATGGGTGCAGGGGTGGATGAAGAGGAAGCAGAGGCCGACTGGAGGGTGGCAGAAGAGGATGTAGAAGAAGAAGAGGTGGTGGTGGGAGTGAGGGTGACATTGGAGACAACTGGGATAACGGTGACGATCTGAGTTGGCTGGTTTCCTGAGCGAGTTGTGGCAATCGTGATGGTGAGAGAGGCGGTTGTCAAGGAGACTGGGAGTGAAGAGTTCGACTGGGCCAAGGCGAGGGCGAAGAAAGAGAAAATAAAGTGGAGACGCATTGGAGGAGGACTAGGACATGATAGTAAAGAAAAGAGAGAGAGTCTCAGGCAGAGTCAGCCGCACGAAGAGCGCGGCGACAGACACCGCGTGTGATTCAACATCAAACTCGGACGGAGGAGTCAAACTTTTTATATTCATCTTATACCTCCGCGGTCATACAAATGGCTCAAATCGAACAGGAGTAATCTCCAGCCTTCCGAGTATTCGTTTCATCTTACTTCCTTCGCTCACCACTTTCCCAACTTCTTCCTCCTCCTTCTCATCGTCCTCCACCACAGTAATTACCTTCCCTCCTCGCCCAAACCGCCCTACCCGCCCCGCAATGTGCACGTACGCATCCACAGAACGTGCATTCACCTTCGGTCCCTCTGGGATTCCCAAAACAAAAACATGTGTTAGTTCAGGCAGGTCTAGCCCCCGCGTCGTGGCAAGCGTAGACACCAGCAGCGTCGGATTCTCGCTCACCGCTTCTCCGCCGCTAAGCAAGTGAGATCGTCCTGCTGTTCCAGAATGGAGATCCAACCCATAGGCATTTACACCCAATTCTCTCAGTTCGTGTACTGCGCGCTGTAATGGGGATGAGGCAGGAAGCACCAGAAGCGCAACGGAAGGCACATCAACCGCAAAGGCTGTGGCGATGGCTTCCAACGCGTTCGGATTGAAAGGCGAACGTGTAGTCGAATAGTCTGATCATGCTTCATTAACTAATACAATAGAGAATTCGAAACACTCACGTTCAGATTCTTTTCCATCCTCGTCGTGTAGAGCAAACACGGCTGCTGGGGAGACACGCTGCCCACTGCCTTCGCCCTCGGAAGAATCTTCAATTGGCGGCATGGCACCGGAAATGTTACGGATATCATGTTCAGACACAAGGATCACAGAATGTTGTGTAGCTTTAGCTCCATCATCGTTCTGATGGCTCGCACTAGAAAGTCTTCCATTCCTTTTTACCTTGTTGCCGGCAACTTTCAAAACGTTATCCTTATCCAGCCACCCACTTTCATCAAACAGGTAATTCTTCAGGTGCGTTCGTAGTGTGGCACTCGACAGAATTAACTGCGGTGTACCAAGCTGCCGCATGGGCCCATCCAAGATGTTTGCCCTCCTGCGTTGCTGAAACAGGCCCGGTTCATCTCGTCGTCGCTCGTTAAGTTCCTTCCTTCGTGCGAATATAATATCCAGCAACTGTCGAGTCACGCCGGGGTGGGCTTGGATTTTTTGCTCAGCCTTTTTCGTAGCTTTGTAAAAGGATTTCTGAGGGTCCTTTCTTGGTACAGTTTCCACCAAATAGTCAACCTCATCCACAACAACACTTGAGAGCGTGGAAAGTTGCAACGCCTGACTATCGCTACGATAGATGTCCACCAGGGCTTGGGGCGTACCAATCAAGATGTGTGGAGGTTGTTCCTTGAGGGTAGAAAGACCATTGCCAAGATGTGAACCTCCGTCGCGGACTAAAACTTGCACTACAGAGGAAAGAGACGGAGGCGTGTTGCTCACGTTGACCACCTTCTGTATCCAGTGGAAAAGCTGATATGCAAGGTCTCGGTGAGGTACAATGACCAGTGATGTGATGTTGTCCGCATTCTCTGTCTTCGTGCCTTTAAGAACGGTACGTGGTTTGTTTAGGAGAGCAATAACCAAGCCAAATGACCTGCACATGTTACTTCACCAGAAAAAATTGTAAAACAACAAGCACTTACTTCCCAGATCCAGTCACGTCGCTTAATAGCACGTCTTTTCCCTCTAGAATTGCAGGAATGAATTCCCTCTGCGTCTCCGTGGGATAAAGAACATTTGGAAAGGCAGTCCGGAATGATGCAGCCATCGGTGCATGAAGTCCCAAATCTTCAAATGTGGCTCGTTCACCCTCCTTGTCAACTATTGAAGTGCCTTGAGCTGCGAGCGCATCAGCGTAACCTTCTGCGCTACGACTCATACAACGAGCACTGTGAAACAACCATTGTCGGCGGCAAGCAATTTGGCAACGAGCGACAGAGTTGAAATGAGAAAAGAGAAATTTCATGACACAGCCACCACTGCACTGACGTTCACCATTAAGTAAGTATGTTATGTAGCTTGGAATTACAGTTTCGCAGCATTCAGTGCTGTGATATCATAAATCCGTCCATAGTGTTCTACCGCTGCTCATCTGCAGTGACATCGGTAATCGGTTCATAACGAGGGCGTTCAGTTGTCCGCCCCAGTCGTGAGAACCAGTTCTGTTCATTAGGGATTCGCGGGAGTCGTGATGACACATCATGACTTGGAAGGATCAGCGAAGTCCGTTCAGATTCGTTTTCAAGTTGTTCCTGCAATGCGTCTGTAGCCAAAACCATGAGCACTCCATCCTTTGACGTTCGGGATCAAGCCTACCCTCTCCAAAGACAGCATCCATTTCCTCCAAAGGAACGCCCTTGGTCTCCGGGTACACTTCGATGCGTTAGAGAAATCAAGCTTGACACCTCCATGATGAACTTACGAAAATAGACTGAACGGAAACAACTTATCAGTTTCAATTTGTAACAGAAGGTAAAAAGTCAGACCTAAGATAAAGCTGCAAATGCAGAAAAAGCCGTGCATTGGGTACAGTCGCCATGCAATGAGATCTTGGAGATACGGTGTGATCTCTCCCACAACCCAGTTAAATGCCCAATTAGTTGCCGTCGATAATGATACACCCTTTGCCCGAAAGTTGAGGGGGATAATCTGGAAATATTCAGTTAAAGGTCGACCAAGTAAATAAATAAAATCACCTCGGGAGGGTACAGCCAAGGAATGGGACCCCAACTGAAAAGAAATTAGATACCTTAAAATTGTTTCGTTACCCTTACCTGTATCCAAAAGCAGCGTTGAAAATGATGACACAGATGACCACGCCGTTCGGGGTTTGGGGAACGTCAATATACATCCACCAACCGGTTGCGACCAATGCAGCAGCCATCTTTGACCGCTGTCAGAATTTAATCGAATGGAACATAGATCGAACGCACTATGACCGCGCCAGAAAGCAAAATTGCACGGCGCCCCCAGCGGTCAACAAGATACCACCTTCACGGCATTAGTGATGGAAAGATCATAGGGGCAAGCCCACCTACGGCGGAATGGTGCTCAAAACATATATGACCGAATTTATTCCAGTCATTAGAATAGCCTGCCGCCCAATCCAGCCTGCCTCTTTCAAACCGAATTCAGCCCTGTCACCCTTAAAACGTGTAACTTTCATAGCTGACCTTCAAACACCCGAGCTTTAAAACACTTTTCAATCACCTTGATACCTTTTGATAAAAATCGAAATAAACTTACGTGCGTAATATGATATGACTACGAAATAGTGTTCAGAAGACAAAGGGTTGAAATGATAAAACTTACCGTTGATGCCATTCTTTAGAAAATACTCAATGAGGGGGAAATGGAATGGTTGAGACAGGACGCACCAGCTGGGCAAAAGCTTGAGACGACATTGCCAATAAAACACGTCGTTTATACTTGCTCCACATCACTCCGTATGATCTTCCCTCGCCGGATTCACGCTTAGGGCCATGGTATTTAGAAATGAAAATGATGATGGCGAAGCAGACCTACATCTTCCCGAACTTTCTCTCTGATCTCGTCATATTCGGCTATTGCAGTTGGATCATCGAGATCCCCACCGTGCAAATCGGCGATGACTCGCAGACCATCTACTTCTCTTTCCGCATCAATAAGCCAGCTGTCCAAGTGCAAGTTAGGTGAGAGAAGAGACCAGATAAAATGTTGCTTGAACTACCGTGGGCTTTCAGGCATGAGTAATGAACCTCCAGCAAGGATAGCGCCAATGACACATTGTACGAAAAGCGGTATTCGCCAAGAAAGATTCCCTTCAATATAGGAGCAGAAATAATCCGTCCACTAAGATTGAAGAGTTACAGAAACTTGGAACATGCACGGAGAAACTCACAACAGACGATGAATAGCCGATGATATTGCATGTAAATTCCATGCAAGCCAGGGCGCCGCGCTGTTGTTCTGAATCAATATATGAAGGAAACAAGAGGGCTGGCAGCAAACGTGATCGGGAGGCGATATTTCACTTTGATAGATTGGTACGATTGTTCTATCCACAGAACGTCAGCCCCTGAGACAGCCAATGATGAGTTCCACGAACGAAAGCAGACCAACACCAAAGCCACTAGTGATTCGGCCAATAATCATCGTCCAAAATCCAGTTGTGAAGGTCTGAATGGCGCCTCCGACAGTAAAAATTACGGCCCCTACGAATAGAGTTCCCTTCCGACCAATTATATCTCCAACGCGTCCTGCGGCTACGGATGTTACTTTCGCGACAAGGTCAGCCAAAGATCCAAATAGGGGGACGCGTTGCGTACTTAGAGCACCGATTTCTAGTACTGCAACCATGGTTCCGACCTCGAGGGGACCGGGATAATTAAAATACTTTCGAAAGTAGGGACCAGTAATTATGCCGCTCATCACACTGAGGCGATGTTAGAACGTCGTTCACAACGAAAGCAGCCGATAATATACCCTTGGTCGTACCCAAACTGTGCTCGATTATCAGAGAAATTGGGCAAAGGTAAACGATAGACAAACGAACCAGAAATACGCCTAAACTAGCAAAGACAGAGATGGCGTAGAGAAGAGGCTGGCCTACCAGCCTGGAGCGGGGTGTGGTCGCGTCTTCCATGATACATGGATTCTGCAGAGTGCGTTTATGTAGGAGAATTTTAGAGTTAGGCACTACTGTTTTGGAACAAGTAACTGTGCAAATAAACGTTCTCGCAGCATCCATCCAACCACATGCCACGGTCAGACGTCTCATTGGACGATCTCTCCTCAAATGCTTCATTCGACTCGGACGACGACTATCGTCTGGCACAGGAGGAGTGGGAAGAGAGTCTGCAGCAGCTGCAACAGCTTCTAGCTGTCGTCCTCTTCCCCTTCCTTGGGAAATGGCTCGGCAGAAGATGGAGCCATGTAGGTCAGGAACGGCGTCTATCCACATCCTCTCCATGTTCACTTTATTGTAGTTTATGCGCGATACTTGCGTCTCGGTCTTGGAAAAGCTTTCTTCTGGGGAAAGTTGTGACGGGAATTGGACACAAATCCAGGTATCTACATATATACTTCTACTTCCCCCGCCTTCTGATCTTTCTGACTAACTTTAGCGTACTCGCGGATGGAGAAACGTCCGAGTTTTTCATCTCCTTCACATATTCCTCTGCGATTGCCCACTCACCCCTTTGGAGGAGCCCAGCAAGCAAGATGTACCATGTAGTTTGAACAAGCGGGGTGTGCCGCCTCATGTCTTCAAAGTATGCAAGCGCGTGGTTAAGCCCCTCCGGATATGGATAATCTAAGCACGCCTTGAGAAGAATGTGATATGTTGGGAGTCTGAGAACAACACCGCGAGCTTTCATCCTTGCGACGATATTCTTTCGATACTCTTCTGCCTTCTCGGGTGCAAGCCAGCCATCTCGGTACAAGCCGGCCAAAACAGACGAGTACGTTGCCTCGTTAGGCTGTGCGCTAGATTCTTGTTCCATAGTCTGAAGCATGAAGAAAGCTGCAGCGAGGTTCTTTTCATTTTTCTCGCGCACTTGGTGGTTGATAATGGCGGTAAAAATTGCAACATTCGGTTGGATTCCTTGGTTTCGCATAAGTTGAAGGATTGTTTCTGGTGCGTCTTGCTTGCCGATTTTCAGCAGGGCGGAGAGAATCGTGGAGTAACTGAAAACGTCCCCAGCAATTTGCTCCGATGACATCTTGCTAACGACCGCTGCCAGTCCTTTAAAGTCGCCCAATCGGCTATAATACCCCAGGAAGGTATTGTACGATACAAGGTCTGGCTTTGGTCCATTTTCATGCATATTGATCATGACCTCGTTCGCGGTGACCGGACGATTGGTGTGAAGGAGACCGTTTAAAACTGTGTTGTGAACTGCGAGTGTATGGACAGCCATCTCTGGGTTTGAATGACTTCTTTGAAATGCCTTGAACTTTTCGATCGCTGCATCTGCTCGACGGTCATGGAATAAAGCTGATATTATGGCACGATATGTGAGACCTTCCGGCTTTCCCCCTTGCGCAAGCATCATCTCCCACGCGGAGAGGGCATCATCGGTAGCCCCAATCCTAGCAAATGAGTCGATTAATGCTGTCCACGTCGAGGTACCGGGACGGACGCCGCAACGAATCAGGTCGTCCCACACCTTCGTTGCTAGATCTCGCCTTTCACATTTGAGGAACGCTGCAAGGAAGGAGGTCCAACCCAGTTCTGTCATCGAAATTGATAGAGAAGGGGTGATCTGAGAAGGATCGGCTGCGAGGTAGGGTTCTGGGCCTAAAATACCCTGAATGACTTTTTCATATAACTTTTCTGATGATTGCAAGGAGTTGGCCTTAGCTAAAGCCGAAACATGTTTTGACAACGAAGGCGGGCGAGCGACAAGGCGGGAAACGGCAAGCCGCTCCACATAAGTTTGAACCTTGGCACGCAGGCGGGCGTTTGGCCCAAGTTGACGCAAGAATTCCATTGTGGTGTAGTCGTGAAATCGAACCACAGTTGCAAGACAAGTTTCCAATGCATCCGCATAAGAGTCTCGCATCGCGTGGGCAGTGGTCACCGCCAACAGAAGATAGACACGACCTGGATCGAGTGGCTTGGGTGCTGGCGTGGTTTCGAGATGCAAAGCGTGATATTCTTGATTTAATTGATGATCTTCTGCCCCCTCGACTTGCCCTCCTACTTCTCCCTCCATTATACTCTGCATGTGCTTCTGGTATAAGGTAATCACGGCCTGAGGATTGTTGTTCTTGAGATGGAACCGCATACAGGTATACAAACCATCTGTATTGTGGGTGCTTGACACTTTTAGAGCTATGTTGTCTATAGCAGTCCTGGTTTCAGAGTCCCATCCCTTAAACCCTGCGAGTGAGGCAATTCGTTGGGACAGAGAAACTAGCTTGGCTGTTCCAAGAAAAGCCTTAACATTTCTCGCCTGCAGGGCGTTCCAGTGTTTTATAAATGACTGAGCATCCTTTGCAGTTAGGACGCGTTGGAGTAGAGAGATGTCCGAGACGATTGCATCTGGAACGGAGGGGCGAACTTTTGAGGGAATGATTTTAGATTGTGGTTTGAGTGCTGAAGGATAATGAAGAAAGATGGAGGGAGATATAAATGATCTATTCTGCAAGGCGGGTGTCAGCAGCAGTTTTGAGGCATGCGCAAGCATAAGGACATTACACTTGTCCACAGAATTTCATTTTCGACGTTATATTTTGTTTGGTTACGGCTCTGGATCCAAACTCTTTCCCCCTACCACCACCATGGGACACGGTAATTCGGACAAACTTTACATCACCCACGCGGAGCACGCAGGTCTCTTTGGATCTCACTCGTCGTCGAGAGGATTCAAGTCGTGAGTATGTTTCTGGTTATATATAGTTGCAATTATAACTTTACCACCAGAAAAGTGCAAGGTGGCCCCGTCTCGATAACCCCCTTTGACTGCTGTGCTCTCTCTTTCCAACCTTTTACGCATCCTGTTTGCGCGAGAAATTCAGACGGAACGGGATTTGTCTTTGACCTGGTCAACATTATACCCTGGCTCAAGTAAGTCGCAATTCAGTTGGGAAACTGCTTGATGTAACAAGTGAACTATCAGACAACACAACAACACAAATCCAATAACCAAACAGCCTCTCACCCCCTCCGACCTGATTACCCTGAATTATTCTCGAAAAGAGGCCACAGGCGAAATACATGACCCAATCTCATTCAAGCCCTTCAACGAACACTCACATATCGTCGCGATCGCAACAACCGGAAATGTGTTTTTAGCAGAAAGCATTCAAGGTGGGAAGGATTTGGTAAACGATGTGGCGTTCAAAAAGTGCGTATTTGCTTTCCCTCGTCCCGTAATTTTGACTAACTTTGTGCTCGTAGAGAAGATGTTATCACTTTGCAAAATCTGCATGGACTTCCCCCAGCCTCAGTTCCCTCTGTAACCACTTCTAAGCTTCCTCAAAGCGTGAACAAGTCAGAAATTGCAAAGCCGTCGTCATCAGCTGTGTCAGCTGTCAAAGCCAAGGCCAGCGTTCCATGTATGCCTCCGTGTGATTGTATCTACGACCAATCTGACGCTGTGTAGGGAATGTCTCTCCCTACTCGAGTGGCATGCCAGGTGCTTCCTTGACATCGACTTCTGTCGATCCACAACTCAACAGCTCTCAATTGCTGTGGGATGAAGTATGTTCCTGCCTTGATTCGGGCTACTTTTGCTAATAAAAACTCAAGGAAGAGCTCATGTTTGAGGATATTTCCAAACCACTGAAGGGAAAAGGAAAAGAAAAAGATGTTGGCAAACGTCGAGCGTATGTTCGAGTTGTCACAAGCCTCGGTGGTGCGAGTTTGAACCTAGAGCTCTTCTGCGAAAAGGTATACATCAATTATGCATTCAATTTGTATAGTTCTGATCGGCCCAGGCTCCCAAAACGTGCTACAACTTTCTAATGTTGGCAAGGGCCGGAAAATACAATAATTGCTTATTCCATCGACTTGTCCCTGGCTTCATGGTGTGTTCATTACAGGTCCCACGTCCTTGACTAATATCGATTAGATTCAAACTGGGGATCCGACGGGGACTGGATCAGGCGGCGAATCATATTGGGGTACTCCCTTTCGAGATGAGTATGATGTGAAAGGAGCCACGTTGCATGATGGCCGAGGAGTTCTTGCGATGGCCAACAAGGGCGCAAATACAAATAGGTAAAACCCTTGCTCATTTTCTACAGAGGACCTTTTCAAACGTTCTTCCAGCTCCCAGTTTTATTTCACATTCAAAGCCACTCCACATTTGGACAAGAAGCACACTGTGTTTGGTAAACTCGTTGGGGGTGAAGACGTTCTCGACGCACTTGAGAAGCTTCCGGTCAAACCTGGTTCAGACAGACCGGCGAAGACTGTCCGAATAAGTGAAGTGGTGATGTAAGCTTTGAAGCTTCTTCTCTCTTTCGTGAACGTTTACCCTAGGCCGCAGTTACCAGGACCCCTTCGAAGAGTACAAAAAAAGATTGGCAAATAAGCTGGCCAAACGAGCTGAGGCTGAGAAGGCTACCGATGGCCAGGCTGGTACAAAAGAAAAACCAAAAGATGACATCAATTGGTTTGGTGTGAAAGTTGGGTCAGTAAATCCGACACCCAGTTCGGAGAAAACTGGGGGTGCCAGTGTAGGGAAGTATCTGTTAAAGCGTTCCCAAGATGCGACGGAAGGTTCTGTCACGGGCGAGCCCAAAAAGAAGCGCAAGGTTGGCTTTGGAGACTTTGCAGGTTGGTAGTATGGATCGTGTTTGATGTTATATAGGCTATTACGATACGGGTGTGATTATGCTGCAACCAACACTTTGGCGCGGTCTGGTTCCTTTTCTGATTATGATCATGAGATGGTGGTATAAATTTATCACTGGCTATGAACTGCAAACCTTGTGGAGTCAATGTGACAGGCGCCACCGACGGGGCATCGGGTAACTCGAGCTGAGGAGCTGACTGTGCCTCCTAGAAGCGTACAAGTTAGAGCTTGCCTAACTTTTGAGATGTGGATACAGACAAGATCAGCCTGTAGTTGGAGCAACTCTAGTTGAACGGCATCCTCCTCATCCAACGTCAGGTTGTTTGAGAGCATTTCGCCAATTTCCTGCTTCCAGATCAGAATTGAAACGGGTGTACATGTTCGAGTCGCACTCACCCTCTGATATTCTCTGGCCTCAGTCGTCTCTTCCAGAAGTTTCTCGACGCTTTCAACATTCATTTCTCGGTGGATCTCTTTAAGAACCTCGTTGCCCTGTTTCAAGCCATGGAGAACCGACACTTCCACCAACGAGAACTCGATCGTAGAAACCTGGATATGTGTCACTTTGAGGGGATACAGCGAGAGAATAATGATAGGCCTCACAAGCTGTTCCAGGTTCTCAAGCTGACCATCCGTCTTTAACAAGAGTCCTTGCTGATACTTCCGTCTCCGCAATGCTATAATGGCTCGATCCTTCTGGCCCGTTGATATATGGGTTTTCGCAATAGCATGTTCCCTGTCCAAGACCACTTGAATCTACCAATATGTAGTTAGAAATGGTCTGAGGCTTGCTGGGAGAGGAAAACCTTTTTCTGGTATTGTCGCAGCTTATCTCGCTGCAATTTGAGGCTAGAGAATAGTTAGACGGAAGGCGGAAGACAGTGAGGGTACGAACTCCAGAATGGCGTGGTCTTGCGGGGTTATCTTGGGAGTAGACTGGTTTCCCCCCATGTCGTGGGGTAGAAAGGATCATACTTGCCTATGTTGGTGTGCTTCAAGCGTTACTATCAAACGTTACATTGACTCACAACAGCAATGGTGCCAAGAACACAGTAACTTCAAAGTACTTGCTACTTCATACATCTAAGAATCACTACACCCTCATCGTCACTTCCTCAGATTCTTTGGATACTGTCCGTCGACGATCAAGTCGGGAATGGGTATGGTGTAGTTACCGAAGCAGTCAAATGCAAAGTCAACTTCCTGTATGCGTTGCTTCATCCCCGCGATGAAAGTGGACAGTTCACAAAGCCCATTCTCGTTCGGTTTGCAACCATTGATGCCCGTAAGCGGGAGCACCGCGTCATTCAACACCCAACGAATATGGGTCGGCTTTCCACTGGCGGGGCAAGACAAGACTTGGCCGACAATATTCGAGGCGAAGGGTGCTATTTGATTGACAAAATAGGTCTAATGCAGCACTGCTTCAGTAACATGAATGTTTTGTACAAGAGGCACCTACCTGTCCGCTCGGAATATGGTCGGTGGGCAACGGTCCGTTCGCTGCTAGGCTGGTAAAGTTCATGGCCACGAAAACTGTGATTTATCAGCGTATGTACGGAAAGAAAGCGACAAAACGAACTGCTCGACAAGACGGTATCATGACTCGCATCTACGAAGACAGGTTGATCCAGAGGGAAGGTCACATTGCTGCTTACAATCGTCTCGTTAACTGAGCTATTGAACTCGGTGATGCGCGTTTGTGTCAGCCGTGACACTAGCTCTTGGACATAGCCGATCCCCTGGGCGCTCGCTGCCGGATTTCCAGGGCCATTTCCGTACCAGAATTCAAGATCTAAATGACAAGTCAGACAAAACCAAACGAGAAATGACAAGGACGTTGTGGTACCTATATAATATTCATAACCCTTCCACTCGACCTCAGTGAACAATCCGCAAAAGGATGAAAAACCAAGAGCAACGGTCTTCAATGGGTCAGTTGCTAGGATGAGGGCATACCTGAAGAACAACAAACCTCATAGGCACACAACTGCTGCATTGATACTAAATTTGAGATAGTCAAATTGACTCCTTTGATCTCCTGTGAGAGGCGTTCGAGCGCTGGCTGTAAGTATACTGCTGCCCATGCGCTGGCCTGAACGTTGCCAAAGCTGCTAATGTTGTTGTTTGCATTGGCGCAATTGAAATACGGTGCCAACGTATTGTTTTGACCCCAATCTTCAACAGTTATCAATTGGTGATAGTCTTGCTGATAGGTCTGAACCCCGAAGAACCCAGCTGCAAAAGTTAAGCTTTACATCAAGGGAGCATGAGGTCAGTCGAGGTGAAGCGTAGTAGAACAGCGTCCTTACGCAGAGTCGAGCATGCGGGCTTTGGGTACGCTTAGTCCAGTTGCAATATAAGGTTATGAGGTACGAACCTTCAGACGTAGTGCGAAAGACTGGCAGATCTGTGAAGCCCTTTAAAAGATCACCTAGTATAATCAGTCAGTCACGACTTTGGTCAGGTCGAGTACTATAGGATCGACTTGCCATACTTGAGCCGAAACCCCACTCCCAAGTTGAATCTGTTTCATCAGCGTGTAAGGAAGAAAAGAAAAGGAACGTGACTACGTACAATTGCGACCTTCCAAAGGGCGTCAGGATTTCAGCACCAAGCTTATAGGTCCAGGTATTCAAGAACTTCAAAGAACCAGAAGCAGAGAAACCTGAGCCAGTCGCGGCGGCGTGTAGGGTTGCTGCAAAGTGGGCTGGACCAGAGCCTGAGGTAGGATACCTCGCACCATGACGATGGAGAAGATGAACTTGGTGGAGATTGCAACCATCGGGAATTAATGGGGAGGAAGAGGGTAGCCCAAATGAATGGACGGACTGCCAAGGAGCAAGATTGGCGAGATGTTGAAGAAGGTCGAAAGCCTTGGATGGCTTGTCGGCTGCTGCTGGCCTTACGAGGGGGTAAATAGAGTCCACCTTTGAGTTGGAAGGTGCTGTAGCGATGGCTTCTGCCTCGTCACCCGCTAAGACGTCCAATAGGTCAAAGACTGCTCATGAAATGGAACAATTGACAAACTAGGAGTTGGGCCAGCGAAGCCGACCTGAGAGCCATCAGGGAAAAAGGTATCCGTTGCAGTGACGGTGGCATTTGGAGGAGGAAATACAGCCGTCGAGGTAGAGCCGGCAAATGTAGAGGCAGAATGGGCAGCAGCCACAACAAAAGGCGAGCTAGCTAAGAGAAGAAGCTGAACAAGCTTGTTTGCAGAATGCATTGGCAGTTAAAGTGCGCCATGATTGGGGTAGGCTTTTATATAAAGGCGAGATAGAGCGCAAAGAAGCAAAAGAAGCGAATTTCGGAGGTAGTGACTGTGATGCCACCCGAGTTGTGAAGCTAAATTTAGATGCTAACCAAATGTCAAAACTTTCTTTCTTCCTCTCTCAACTCATGGATTACTCTCGACACCAGCCGTTACGGTGGGTGATATTACCAGGGTAGATATTCGTGGTGTGTAATAGTTATTACCGTAACAATTACCGTCTTCCTACCCTCAGACTTCATAGATATCGCGATTACTCCGAGGGGACTGATTTCGAAAGTGTGCACTTGAAACTTGAGCGGATCACGTTCATAGAAACGCACACGTTCAATTTGAATCTATCATCGGCTATTATTGGCTATCATTGGGCACATTACATATGGTGCAGGATGTCGATCAAGTGCCTATGCAGTGGGGTTCAATGGGGTCTCCTCTCACTCGCCTTACAGTCAAGGCCGAGGGTTCACAAAATTTCTTAAGGGAGTATAATGAGACTTGACGACCTCTTCTGGGTACAGATGCTCAAAACCTTCAAGAAGATATCCTGCGGCTGGCGACTGAGCCCTTGACTGAGCCTGCACTATATCCATGACAAATTCAGTACTAGCAGTTTATTACATTTACCTTTTGTCTGCTCACAACGACTTGAGCATTTTAACATGGGATGTTGACCGAGTTGGATTTAAATAAATGGCCAACCAATTCCTTCGCTCTTTTCTTCTTCCAAAAAACGCTAATCGCACAACGGTGGCAAGATATCACGACTACGTACGCGTTGGAACACAAGGTATTTCGGTCGCCCACTCTATGCTCTCCCGAGTCGGATTCAAGCCCTCTCAGCTGGCGTAGTTCGCATTCCACTGGCTTCCCCAAAAGTTATCGGCGTAGCTACATCTCGCGGCAACAGAGGGTAGTAAAATGTGTTGTTTTCAGAGCATGGATTCTTATATTCCGTGCCCAGCCACCAGGAAGACTTCCATGGCTTTGCCACTTTATCGTTGGATCCGGCCGAACTCCGTCTCAGCGTCAAGAAAGCTCATGGCATCGATTGGAACCCGGAGAGCGTCGGACCTTTGCTGGCACGGCAAGCAGTCTTCGTGGGCATATATGATGGGTAAGCCTTGTTCAAGCTTGCATCATTCAACAAGTTAACGTTCCCAGCCATGGAGGATCTGCGGTGTCCCAGTATCTACGCCAGGAGCTTCACGGCCTCTTTGAATCCGTTGACAAGTCACTCATACCTGACCTCTTCGCATGGATAAAGGAAATCGGCGGCTACTTTAAAAGGTTCAAAGGAGGGGCACTTGCACCATGGATTGACCCTAGTCACAACACAGAATTACTGGATCTTGAGGCACGCGCCACTCTGGCATTCTTCGAAGTGAGATGATCTCTTCTGTTCCTTCTCCAGTTTCTCATTTCACCTAGGTAGACAAAAATTTATCTTCCGATGAAGTTACTCAATCTTGTGGGGCAACCGCCTCAGTAGCCATTCTCCACTCTTTAGATGCTCCAGCAACATCATTCTTGTCATCGCAAAATCTAGCACTCACTGTTGCACACTGCGGGTATGTGAATACCGCAAATTGACAAATCTTGACGAATGATTTTCTCTCAAGAGACACGAGAGTACTTTTATGTGCGACAAACGGCGGAAGAGTTTTTCCCATGACCGAAAACCACCATGCGGATGCTCATGTAGAAAGTATACGGCTTCGCAGAATGATGGGCTCGTCCTTGATCACGGACTCCTTTGGCGAATCTCGGTAAAGTCGTAAGCTTCTAGTTTGTTTTTTCAGCTTGCTTATCTTGCGTCTAGATGGATGGGAGCTCTTATGAACACTAGATGGCAAGTTGATTGATGAAAGGTCTACCTCCTTCTAATCAGACACCCCACAGTCTTGGTGATCTCCGCTACAAACGATTCGGTGTCACTCCAGAACCAGAAGTGAGGACGAAGCTTCTCAAAGGTGGCGTTGTAAATTCAATGTTTTTAGTGATCATGGTCTGACTACGTAGTGAAGGGGATGAATGGGCATACTTGATATTTGTGTCGGATGGAATATCGTCAATCCTTTCGGATGACGAAGTGGTTGATCTAGCGCGAGACGCTCCTCATCCAAAGGCAGCGGCAGAACGTATATTATCATTTTCTCAAGATTTGGGAGGTGAAGACAATGCCACAGCAATCGTCGTCCCCCTAGCTGGCTGGGGAAAAATAGAAGGTCCTGATAAAACAAAAGAACTTCGCGAATACAGACGCCAACAAGCAGGTTCGTATCTGCGTCACTCAGCAAACGACTCCTGATTTACATTGCATTCCAGAGGGAAGCGAACGACAGAGGAGAATGTGATGGGCCATCTAAATCGTACATTTATCAAATTTGTGCAGCAGCATGTCCATCTGCTCGAGGGTCGGACCCTGCCGCCCAGACCGTCCTGCCTGATATATCCTGAATCCTCTGAATGACCTGTCCGCGGCCCATCATCCCTCGATCAAAACCAACCGCTATGCTGGCGTCGTGCCCCATGTCTACGCGTTCGTGAATACAATAGATGGCCGAGAGGAATGTTGAGCATACCCCGAAGTTTGTTCACCGTTTCTAAATCAATTCCTTCCTCAAGATAAATTTTACTGTTGGTATGTTCTGACGCCGAATCGGGAGTGCCGGCTGATATGCAGAACCGAGGCGCATCAAGGGCTGCTTGAGCAGTGAATCCTCTGAGGATGTTAAGGAGGACTTGAACATGACCTTGAGGCTTTCGGATGTCAGCTCAAAAGTCAGGTGTCTTGTGAAGAAAATGTTCAATACCTGCATGAAGCCACCCATCACCCCATAACTGAGGAATAGGTCATCGCCTCGAGTGGCAATCGCAGGTATGATAGTGTGATAAGGACGTTTCCCTCCCTGGTAAGCCGTGATGAGTCGTAACACGCAAGGAAGCTGTATGCGTCGCATAGAATGACCTTTAACCCGTTCGGATGATTCTCATCCAAGACGAAGGCACTTCCCCTGTTTTGAAGAGTAAAACCACAACCCTTGGGGATAGCTAGCCACGGCGGTTATGAATTTATCAACTATAATCAAACTCGACATACCACCTGTGCCAAAACCTTGCCGTGTCATATCAGTGCCCATCTCACGCAAGTAAGGTATTGCCACCCACCAGCATAGTTACTCTGAATGTAGCTGCAGGCATTTCCCCATTGGTCTGTAACTAAAAGTAATGGTTCATAACATTGTCAACTTCAACTGTTGTAGTTTCGAACCAGAAAAGTAAACGGTGTCCGACGAATTGTTTGGATTCCCCTAGTATTATGTTTGAGCACGAGTAAGACGCGATATTTTATTTCTCACATGAATTACTCGAGGGTTAGTCCTTTGAGGGTTGAATAATCTTGCCCTCGACGCCAAGTATTCCTAGAACAAGAACCAATATGAGATTTTCAGATAAAGGGAGTGAATGAAGCGAAAGATGAAACCTTGCTCAAAAGCTCTTTGACTGGGACATGCCTCACATCGGGATCCGTAACATACCACTGGCTATCTGCATGTAAATTAGTATATGTTTCTTTTTACCAAACTCTTTCTCACCTGCGAACGCTAGCCTGGATGAAACGAGGATTCAAGAAGAAGAAATACGTCACGCTGCAAGGACGTACCGCAAGGCCTCGATCAACGTATGGAGGTATTCGGGAGAGTTATGTTTCATCTCCGACAGCGCCTTGACAAGACCTTGTTCTTGCATACTCTCCAGAATGCCGAGAGCGATCAAAGCAGTAATCCCTTATGTTACGATGACACTTCGTACTCTCATCGATGACAAATCACTGACCTTGACCGTTGGGAGGACACTGAGAAGTGGTCAAAAGTATTCGCCACACTCAAGTAAGATCTCACCTCATATACAGTGACTTCATTTGCATAGGTATATTGGATTGGTTCGACAAATGTTGACTTGTGCTCGGCAATATCTGTGAGTTCCATGACCCCACCTTTACTTTGGACGAGGTCAACGATTGCCTGAGCAACTCTTCCTTTATAAAATCCATCCTTCCCGCTTGCAATCAACTCTCGGAATGTTTGGGCAAGGTTTGGTAATTTGATAATTTGGCCTGGCAAGGGAGCCTTTCCATCCAAAAGCATTTCATCGCCATTAGCGGACGCCGTCTTGAGTAGACTCTGCGATAAAATAAATAAATAAACACATGGCGAGAAAGCCCAGTCTGGGCAATTACCTCGGAGAGTTGCCACTGTAATAAGGTGTTAAGTTCAGCAAGAGAAACATGTATGAAGGAACAGCGCACAGCATGACTATGAACTTCAGAGACTGGCACGCTATGGTGGTATAAGAACTTCATTTAGGAGGTTGAAGTGCCGTGAAATAAATACCCTTCATCTGCCAATCGGATGGCCGGGTCGAGAATGTCAGCAATGGTTACCTTTCCGCTACCGAAATGCTCGATTGTATCAATCCATGCAGCAGCAGCACCTTCACTAACAGTTAGTCGATGTCAATATCTTACAATCACACGGACCTGGAACCGTCACAGAGTTGAGATCAGTGTGAGGGATTGAACCCGTCAACCCGCGGCTTTGCGCGTACTTGACGGAAAGTTTCTGTGGTGCACGCCCAGAACCATTCAATGCTTGCACTTTTTTTGTTTTGGCGTCATAAAAAAGACAAAAAGCATCACTGTTGTCCCAATCACGGCTTATCAGTTTGAGGGGTCATTGTTAATCGACAGAAAAGACCAACCCGCCAATCCCACAAGAGGTCGGCTCAGTCACGTTCAAGGCTGCAGAGGTAGCTACTGCGGCATCCGCTGTCGTACATATCCTCATTAGTATCTGATCAATGTTGCACCAAATCAAAATCGCACCGGCGTTTCCTCCCTTCCTGAGGATCTCGAGGCCAGCTTCGGTTGCCAAGGGCTGGGATGAGGACACAATACCTTTGACTCCGTATACGACCGATCTGCGGCTAGGAAAACGGTCGAAGACGAGGGCGGGATGATCCACTTTGGACCAATCAATGGCAACGGGCGACATTTAGCAGAGAAAGTCCAGAGAGAAGGATTCAGGGGCTTGGAGATATTGATGTCCAGTTGATAGAATCGTCAGCGGCTAATCGTAAGTGCATAAGCCGCCATTAGCCAAGGACACACATGCTGGGCGGAGAGAGAGATAATGACCACGGGGATTTGAGCGGAAAAGGAACTTTCAGTATGTACACGGAGATTGTAACAGAACATGATTGCTTCGGCGAAAGTCGACACTTTCGAATCGTCATCGCCACCATCATCTCTCGAAAATGTCTTTGGCAATCAAGTTCCAGCAAGTTTCTGGAGAATATCAGAAACTCCAGGTCGATTTATCCAAAGCGATCGAGGCAAGGCAGCGGCTTGACGCGCAGCTCTCTGAAAATGAGCTGGTGAAGCAGGTTAGTTTCCGCCGATTTCCCTTTCCAAAATGCGATTATTTCACAATATGTAACTCTAGGAATTCGCTCAGTTGACAGCACAAAACGACGTCTACAAGCAAATTGGGCCTGTGTTGGTGAAGCAGGATCAAGCTGAAGCAAAAACCAACGTTGAGACTCGGCTAGAGTTCATACGCGGAGAGATGTAAGTGACCCTGCTGTCCACCGCATTTTTCCGTTAAGAGTCGGTACAGTAAACGGGTGGAAGGGCAAATCAAAGATTTTGAGCAGAAGCAGGATATCAAAAAGCAAGAAGTATGTATTATCTCCCTGGTGTCCGGCATTGCTAAAACACAACTCTTTGTCCAGCTCGTGAATATCCAAACAGCTCTTCAGCAGGAGCGGCCACAAGAATTGGCCAAAACCCATCCATAGCGTCACCACCATCCCTCGCAGTATAGATTGATGATTATGTTACGCGAATTTGGACAACGCAGTTGGTTGAGGCGAGAGTGAATGTCATGATCGAAGGGCGGAGGATACGCTTGTCGATGTCGGGGCTTCTGAAGTCTCCTGAGCTTTGCGTGCACGCGCCACGTCGCGCTCTGTCTCTGGACTCTTCAGCAACTGGTGCAATGTGAACCTTTTCAAGGCTGATACAGGTGGACAGTTGCGGATTGTAACGACATCATCCTTTCGCAGTTCTGTGTTGATGTAGAAATTAGCGAAAAGGCAAGGGAGAACTGCATGAACGTACGGTTGAGTTCGTCGTGAACCAGATATTTTTTACTTCGCACGATTCTCTACGAAGCGGCTGTTTCAACATGCAGGAGAGTTCGAGAATGGCCAACTCCCACCTTTCCGGTCAACTTGTGTTCTACCCACCGCGAGACTGTTATGGTTGCGGTTTTATTTATAAATCCTGCTTTAGTGACGATACCGTTGAGAGTCATAGGCGGCATGGTGGAAACCAAAGGTATTGTGTAGCTTGGGTACCCTGCTGTAACAATTTGATCGTGGGTAAGTGAATGGGAGGAGATAAGATAAGATTCTGTGACAATGCAACTTGTGTGACGCATCGTGTTCATGGACTTTACTGAAATCTATCGACACTCTGGCTCTCTCGTCGCGTTCAGTCCCGGAGCCCACTTTATTCTCACTGCTGTTCAAGATAGGATTATTGTCCGCCGCACCGATAACTTTCAGATCACGCGAACTTGGCTCGTTGACGCGTCTCCATCACCACCTCAAGCGGCGTTATCTGTGCTGAAGTCGAAACAGAAGGCTTCTAGTTCAAGTTCTGCAACACCTCAAATCGACTCGTGGATAACTCACGCGGGCTGGTCTTCCGACTCTGAATACATTCTTGCAGCTTGTACAAAGCGAGGCGTTGTACACCTTCTTAAATTACGCGACGAGGAATGGAGTGGCCGTATAGACTCAGGCGCTGAAGGTAATCCACCATTGCTGTCCATGCACGCAGATACAACTTGACAGTAAAAGGGCTCGTCAAGGCAGAGTGGGCACCCGATGGACGCACCGTGGTATGCTTCTCTGAGTGGGGGGTAAGTCTTGCTGTGCTGTTTTGAAACTCATTCAGAACATTCTCAGTTACGTGTTTCAATGTGGTCTTTGACCACGGGGAGTGCTACATACATTCAATTTCCCACTCATATCGACAGAGGTGGGGTTTCTTTCTTGCCTTTGGCCAGGCTCATAGTTGACATACTGCAGGTTATGCCTTTCGCTCCGATGGACGGTATTTTGTTCTGGCTGAACGACATAAATCGAAGGACACGATAGGTGTATATGAAGCGTCTGCTGCCTATAAACTCGTTCGGGTAAATCTAATTTGGTCTAAGATGTAAATTTATTGAAGAAACTCAGCACTTTCCCCTACCAACATCATTCGTATCATCTCTGGCCTTGTCGCCCACTGGGAATCACATTGCGGTGTGGGAAGGGCCTTTAGAGGTGGGTATTGCATACCTTCTACACTTAAAATTTCGGCTGATCCCAGGAAGCCAGTACAAATTATATATCTTAACTCTGGCTGGTGAAATTCTTGCTTCATTCTCCCCAGAATCCGACCCAGGTTTTGGTATTCGAACCGTATCTTGGCATCCCAGTGGTTTGTTCCTTGTTGTTGGAGGATATGATGACAAGGTATAATATCCTTTGCTTTTACAGAACCTCCAGGCTAATCTTTTGTAGATTTATGTTTTAGATAGCCTTAGCTGGTCGCCTGTAGCAACTTTAGAGTTGTCGGCCAGAATACCACCTAGTGTTGTTAGTCTTTTTTTGATGTCATTGATCTCAATGCCCTGAATTACCATCAGGCTGTTTGGCGGGAGCCCTCGAAATGGATGGAAACAACGGAGGGCCGTGGTTTTCTGTCTTGTGGGTGCATCTAGCAGGTAAAAGAAAACATGGCCTAATTATCCTGCCTAGACGAAAGACTTCAGGGGACACACTCAATCAACATCACACGCGCTGACCCTACTAAACCCAACCCAAAAAGAGGCACTGTGCAGCTCGAATGGAACACTACTGGAAGCCTTCTCATGGCCCGGTTTGGTGAGGGATTCAGTCAAATCACCCGCGTAGATCGTCTCAACGATTCTTGCAGAAAACATCACATCAGCTGTTCACATTTTCGATTTCCCCTCCTCTCAAGCACAATTTTCACCTCGACTTCGAAGTGTGTTGCTACATGCACGCCCCATTCTACATGGAAGGTGGAATCCTGTGCGGAAAGGCAGCCTGGCACTTTGCACAAGGGGCCAAAGCGTTTATACCTGGAGTGACGAGTGGGTTGGCGAAGGGGGCGAAGAAGAGATGGCGGAATGTATCGGTATACCAGCCAGTACGTTGACCACCCACTTATGGCACATTTGCTTACAGACTGAAACAGAGAATTTTGAAACTCGAGATCTTAAATGGGCTCCCGATGGCAAAGGGATTGTTTTGTTAGGTAGAGAACAGTTTTGCTGTGCATTTGAAGTAGAGGAGTACTAAGCAATGGAATGGATGTGAAATTTGCCGGGTGACGTAAGCTGGCTACGAGGAGCTCCGGCAGTTAACTTTGGGAATCCATTCAAACAATTTTGTCGTTTCTTTCTCCTCCTCCAATGCTTTCTCGTTCTCTTAAAGCTACCTCGCTCTTCCGGAATAATCGCGTCGTCCTTCTCTCAACCGCTCGTTCATTGGCTACACATCCCGACAAAGGCAAGCAGAAGGAGCAAAAAGAATCGTCCATACCATCATCATCCGACAAGAAACAGTCATCGCCTACTCCGCCCCCCAAGCCAGATATTCCAAAAGCCCTTGAAGGCTTCTTTCAGCAGTACCAGCAGTCACAGCGGAAGCAGGAATCTGCTCCATCTGATTCCGATTCCAATTCAGACCAACAGAGAAATCGCCGTAATAACGACCCCCCTCCTCCCCCAAACAACAATGGCTTCTCAAATTCTCAGTTAGCGCTCATGGCTGCCTCTGCCGTAGCGTATCTCGCTTATTCAAATTCGAGTGCGTCGCACTCGCGCGAGATTACATGGCAGGAGTTCCGCACCGCTTTCCTTGAAAAAGGACTTGTTGAAAAGCTCACCGTCGTCAACAACCACAAGGTTCGCGTCAAACTCCATCCAAATGCAGCTGGTTCCATGTACCCAGCTGGAAGCATGGGGGGAGGCGAATACCATTTCTCCATTGGCAGTGTCGAGGCCTTTGAGCGCAAGCTTGAGGAGGCTCAGAATGAGCTTGGCATCCCAGGTCATGAGCGAATTCCCGTCGCATACCAGGACGAGATGTCCACCTTTGGCGTATTCCTCAACTTTGCTCCCACTATTCTCCTTGTTGGTGTCATCTACTGGCTCAGTAGAAAGGGAGGCAGCAGCGCAGGCGGTGGGATATTCAGCATCGGCAAGAGCAAGGCTAAACTTTTTAACAAGGACAACGAGGTCAAAATCAAGTTTAAGGACGTTGCTGGTATGGACGAGGCAAAAGAGGAGATTATGGAGTTTGTCAAGTTTTTGAAGGAGCCCGCCAAGTACGAGAAACTTGGTGCGAAGATTCCTCGTGGCGCCATCTTGTCAGGACCTCCAGGAACTGGTAAGACCCTCCTCGCAAAGGCCACAGCAGGAGAGGCTTCCGTTCCCTTCCTCTCGGTGTCTGGTTCCGAGTTTGTGGAAATGTTTGTCGGCGTCGGGTCATCCCGTGTCCGCGATCTTTTCGCCTCCGCCAAGAAGAACGCTCCATGTATCATCTTTGTTGATGAAATCGATGCTATTGGCAAATCGAGAGGGAAGGGCGGCAACTTTGGGGGGAATGATGAGCGGGAGTCGACGTTGAATCAGTTGCTTGTTGAGATGGATGGGTTTGGCACCGATGAACACATTGTTGTTCTTGCGGGTACCAACAGACCTGATGTCCTTGACCCCGCTCTGATGCGTCCAGGGCGATTCGACAGGCACATAGCCATCGATCGACCTGATGTCTCGGGTCGTAAAGGCATTTATCTTGTCCACCTGCGGCCTTTGCGTCTAGAAGACACCTTGAAGAACGATGTCGACTCACTTGCACAAAAGCTTGCCGTGCTTACTCCAGGCTTCTCGGGTGCTGACATTGCCAACGTTTGCAACGAAGCAGCCCTCCACGCCGCTCGCAAAGGTTCGGAATATGTTCAATCAATTGATTTCGACACAGCCATCGAACGTGTTATTGTTGGGCTGGAGAAGAAGAGCAGGGTGTTGAGTGTTGAGGAAAAGAAGACCGTGGCATATCACGAAGCTGGACATGCTATTTGTGGCTGGTTCTTGGAGCACGCCGATCCTCTGCTCAAAGTCAGCATCATTCCAAGGGGAGCAGGGGCGCTTGGTTATGCGCAGGTGAGTATCTCTGTAAAGCATCATCTGTACTACGTTCACAGTTTTCTAGTACCTACCCCCAGACCGCTATCTCCTCTCCACCCCTCAAATGACCGATCGTATTTGTATGACGCTTGGAGGCAGGGTGTCCGAAGAGATCTTCTTTGGCTTGGAGAACATCACGACAGGTGCACAGGATGATTTGCAAAAAATCACTCGCATGGCCTTTGAGGCATGCGCGAACTATGGCATGAATGATGTGATAGGTCCTGTAAGTTATGGAGGTGACCGGGCAACGAAGGAGAACTGGACGAAACCGTTCAGCGAGAAAACGGCAGAGATGCTTGATTTCGAGGTCCGTAAAATGATCACAAACGCTTACGAGCGGACACGAACTCTCTTAACGGAGCATCGAGGAGACGTGGAGAAGGTCGCTCAGCTCTTGCTGGACAAAGAAGTCATTACGCGGTACGTCCGTTTAGTTCTAATTGGCGCTGAACGAAGAAATTGATGCCATTTCAGCGAGGATATGATCAATCTACTTGGGAAACGACCTTTCGCCGGCCGCTCTGATGACATGGACAAATGGCTTGACGAGAACCGTGGCGAAAAGAGTGCACCGCCTCCTCTCGAATCACCACCTCCCGAAGTGGAAGGACCTACACCTGTGCCTGCAGCTATCGCGAAAACTCTCGACGACACATTGAAGCTCTAACTTACTTCTATAGATATAGGCCATGTCATTGTATTGTAGTATCTAATATTCATCAACGCAATCCACTCATTCTCTGGATTATTAGGACACCGATGCCTGATAAGTTGATCGAGCAAAGAGCGTATGATCGTTGTTCACAGGGTATACCTGAAACCACTCCACTCATCCCCCTTGAAAGCCCTTGCAGCCTCCACGCATCCGAATTTCCCGTTTCGCTCGCGTGCATGTTCATTTTCTACCCCTTCGATGACCTCGTCCCGCTCACCACGATCTCGACGAGCATTTTCACGCTCCAGAAGTTTGGCAAACAGGATAGAAGATAAAAACCCAATCGCAATATAAGCGAGGACAACCCCATGGCCAAACCGATACCATGGTCTATCTCCTGCACGATACTGCAATCCAATCAGGCCAGGGGTCGGGAACAGCTGTTCATACTCACAATATTTGCTGTTACCGCCCCATTAATATTGCCGAAACCAATTGCCATGCCCAGAGTCACGCTTCGCTTGTAAGAACCCTCAACGTTGCTTGCGAGCCAAGCAACAGAGTTGGCTATAGAAATGGGTGAAACATACTTGGAGTGGGATCAAAATATGCCATACGAATCGTGGGATAAATTGCGCTAGAACGAGAATCTTCAGATGAGTGCGTGACGAGAGAACAAAATAAAAATTCACTTGCCAGACGGCCAAGTAAACAGCAAAGTACGAAAGTGCTGGTGACCTAGAGACTATTAAGATGATGTACGCCACCAATCCAACACCAAAGAGAGAACTACGAAAGAAATGAGTGTCAACTTGTCATGTAGTGCTCTGAAACAAAGACTTGCAGATTGATGTAGTAACGCGACCCAATGCGATCCCCTAGAAAACCAATGGTGCATGTGGCAATACAGCCCCATACGTAAACAGGGACAGATAGTAAATTGGCCTCGGTTGCTTGGAATCCTCGAATGAAATTATCGACTTCGGCGATTGAAGTCACAAAAGAAGTAACGTACCTAACTGCACGGAATGAAATATAAACCAAACATAAACGGGTTTAAACTTAGATGACTCACCTGGTTGATAGTGGAAGGTAGGAATAAAGAGAATGCGTAGAGTGGGCCATCACTAGCGCTTCAAAGTCAGAGTCATGCGTAACAATAGGCGGCAAAGCACTGACAAACCCATGAAAATGCCCACTGTACCGACGTGTCAATAAATACCATGCCATTTAAACTAGAGCGTTAAAACATGCTTGCGACCCAAGTCTTCCAATCAGTTAGACTCTGCGATAAGTACTCCGTCTTGAATATTTCTCCAGCCGCACTCAGCTTCATATCGTTCTCGAGACGTCGGACGACAAAGACACCTTGTTCGGCGGTAAGCCAATGTCCCAACTCTGTTGCTAATGAATGAGCTACAAACGTTCTGCTTCATTTAAAAACTTTGCGGTGTCTGGGAAATCTTGGATAAGCCAAAACGACGCGAAAGATGCTAGAATCGTCGCCAGTCCTTCAAGTATGAATATCCAGGACCATCCTGAGTGTATAAGCTAGAAGTTTCTGGTGATCTGAGGGTGAACTTACCTGGTCTTCCACCGACACCGTCCATGGTATCAATTGCAGCAGCCAGAAGTCCACCTACGAAAGCTAAAATTAGCCTGAATATGATCCACAAGAGGGACGTACTAAAAGCGCCTGCAATGGCCGCCGACGAAAAGAAAATTGCAATTCTGGACCCCATCTCGGAACGCTTGTACCAGCTCAAAGGACATCAACATCTCAGTAAAACGACGTAGTAAAGCACATAAGACTTGAAGCACAGACTCACCTAGTGATATAGAAGACAATACCGGGATATAAGCCACCCTCTGTAATTCCAAGGAGGATGCGCAGGACTACGCCGACACTCGTCAGTTGGTGGAGCTGCCGAAAAATAGGAAATATTGGCAAACTGATGAGATCACTGTAGTTGCGAATGAAGCCATGCAAGATCTGAAAAAAAAAAGAACGTGTATCTTGATGTGAACAAGGGAATCCCATTGACGAACCATAACCATCCCCCATAAAAGCACCATTGTAGAGAGCCACAACGAAGGTTTGAATTTACGCAGAATCACATTGCTGGCCGGCTAAAGAGACATAACATATAGCAGAAACGGCGAATGGGTTGACTGACCTCGAATACCGCGTAAGGTAAGAAAAACACGCTCAAAGCGATTAAATATTTTCCATCGTTGATATTAATGTCCTCCTCTAAATGGAAAAGCTACTGGCCGGTCAGCAAAGATGTAGTTGTGAATGATTTTGAAAATACCTTCGCATTCCCGACGCTTCCCCTGTCCATGAAACTCAGTATATACAAGACGGATAACCAAGGGATGACGTGTAAGTCTATTCGTCGCATCAGTCTCCGCTCCACGACAGCAGAAGTGTCGATCTCAGAGCAGTAGATGCGATGCTTTGCCGCCGGGAGACGGCCGTTGCATTTATGCGTGTCGTCTTTGAAAAAGGAATGAATGTCTGCCATAGGAGACAGTTCAAAGCAAAACCGGGACATCATATACTCATCGCTTGCTTCAGCACATGAATATCTGTCCACATTTTCCACGCTGGGAAGCGTGATAGCAGGAGATCATTGAGCAAAAGAACACACTGATGGGTGAAAACCCAGAGAAAAGGGGCTCTTCACACCATTATTAAAAACGGCGAATATGTTTCAAATCGCAAATGAATTTAGGGCGATTGGATGCGCCGTAATGTCAACAAAGGGTGGTCACTAAACTGTGATGGCCTGATGCTTATATTCTCAGCTATAGAGACCATCGAGAAAAAAAAGGGGGGGAAGGTGTCGTACCATTGCCTCCACTTCAGAGGACAGCCACATAATATCAGGATCATCAGGAAGTTGCAAGTCCAACAATAGCTCCAATATCGCTTAATTCCGGAAAAGAACGAGTGTTGAGTCTACTATGCATCAAGCGATAGAACTCGACGATCTAAGCGCAAGATCGCGGATATACAAACACATTGCCCTGTCAACGCAATAAGATGTGACTTTCGGTTGAAGTATGTTGAAACCCTTACTGGCTACGGAAATGCCGCCCGAAACACATCGATACCGATGGAAGGTTCAAGCCCCTTTAAAGCTTGCCTTAACCACAGTCTGACCGCCTCTGTGTCTTTTCCCGCCACCCTAACTACGGCGCCTTCTTTCTTGTTATCAATGGGGCTAAACGACCAAATTAGGTCTGTCGGAGCTTTAGTCTTGAAGACAGAGAGCGTGTCGTATTGTGCATTGAGGGTCCTAATATTTTCTTGGACTTGAGGACCATATAAGATCACGGTGGCATAGCAAGAGTAAGGTGCCAACCTAGTGGCCATGGATCGCCGAGGAAGAGGAAATTGAAAGTCTAGTGTTTCATCATCCAGCAAAAGGATATCTTTAGCAACCTCTTTCCCATCCACTGTAATTTCATTTGCACTGTAGTAGCGAGAGAACACCCAGTCCTCGCCCCGAGTTTTACGACCTGAGGTTATCCAGTCAAGAACCACAACCGTCGCGTTCCCCCTAAGATCGAACGTCTGAATCTGATTGTAGGAGGCATCCCGAAAACATGTCACCGGTTCGGGTAGCAAGAATAGACAGCTGTTAGCCCCAACCGAAAACCGGATGCGTTGAGTGGTCAAGCTAAAGGCGGCAATGTTGTTGGGAATGATTTCGACTTCGGCTTTGACGGAGGCAAGTCGAGTTCCCAAACGAGATTTGAAAACTTTGGTAGAGCCCTAATAACGAATCAGCCGATGCTAGGAAACAAAGTGCAAGCAGAGAACCTGAGAGAGTAATACAAGCTTTGCGCCAAGCTGGACATTGACGGACAAGAGAATGTGATCACCCCCTACGAGACCTCCTCCGTACGTAACAATGTAAACGACGGCAACACCATCTTCTGTGATGCGTGGAGAGAGGAGCTTGAGGGGATATGAAGATGAAAGTTCGGCGAAGACTGGTTTCTGATTATGCGAGGACAATACAATGCGGCCAGATCCAGAGTATAGTTTGGAATGTGACGACAGGGTGCCCATTGATCAGAAGGCTGCAAGACAAAAATCTGACAAGAATTTCTTCAATTAGACTTTCCATGGATCTATTCCGTATCGATTACAAACGAGTGTGTCAAGGCTCTAATGATCATGAGTCTTAGTAGTAGTAGGATGAACCAAAGGCGAAGTAATACAGTAAGGAGCGTCAATATAAGTTTAATTAGAATAAAGAAAAAGACAGAGAACCTCAATATTTCCGTGTGGCAAGGGCCCTGATCTCATAAAGGTGAGAGCGATCAGGGTTGGCATACAAGTCCTGTTTCGCGAGCGTAGATTTCCAGCCTTTCATTTCCACGCGATGTCGCTCTTCTGCGTCTCGACATTTCTCCAGGAAGGTTTCATCCACGTCACGCACCACCATCGAAGCACGCGAGCCTCGCTCACTGCCTGATTCTGAAAGAGTCCGTGTATGACTATGCGCAGGGCTTGGAGCACCCAGACGCAAGTCCGAAGATTCGCTAGAGTTGGCACAGGAAGTGCTAGCACTACCTGCATCGGAGACTCGCTGGTGTACGCTCGCCCTGATGGTGCCACCCTTCGATTCCCATGCTGCTCCATCCTCTTCATCGTCTGCGAGATTGGCAAAGACGTCGGGTTCATCTTCTTCTGGTGGCAGTGTAGATATCCAACACATACGTACTGGGTCGAAAAACATGTTTCCGACCACCCTTGCACCGGATGCGAATGAGCCAGCTGGTGAGCCAATCGATGATCCCGTAAGCTGCGTTATGAGAGCTGGCCGCGTTGACGTTCCAACAGCAGCATCAAAGTCACGAAGGACCTGGTCATTACCTTCCCACCGAAGACTATGCGGATTCCATTTCATGTCCCCAACCACTGAACGCAGTGTCAATATCATCATCACTATCTTAATATGACGCACCTTTTGGACCACCAGTTCCGCCTAAATTTCGTATTAATGTGGGTTTCCGACGGGTGTTTGATGGGGAAGAAGCATTTTTCTTCCTTTTGGGTAGTACATCGCTCTCAGTGTGAGCTGATGATTTCGGCAGGAAATCAATGCGCGTTGTTGTACGTCGTAAAGTATTGGTCGATTGAGCCAAAGCCACTGGGTATTCTGAGTATGCAAGTCAGTTCCTACATACGCTGTGGCACTAGATTGCAAAATTACCGTCGGTAGCAGAGCCATCCCGTTTCCCCTTTCTCCTGATGGTTCCTTTCTCCGACGGTTTCTCGCCGCTCTTATTGGTATTAGGATAAGAGGCTCCAGGTATGCGATTCCCAATCGCTTTCGGCTGCACTCGAAAACGGCCCTCTTTCTCGCGGTCTGTGGGTAGATCATCGATACCATCAAGTTCTGTACCATCCCCATACGTCCTTTGACGTTTGGGTCGGCGAAGCAATTTGGGAACACTGGGAGGCGGGGGGTTGTTTGATAGTCGTGATGCAGCTCGTAATGAGACGCTGGATGGAGGTCTGGGAGGGATAGGTGGCGGTGGCGGTGATTGTGCTGCAGGTGCAGTGTTCCCTCCAAAAACTTGTGACAGCGCAGGTCTTGATTTGAGACGGGATTGAGTAGGAAGAGTTAAACGGAGTGCGGCAGGATTAGAGGATGGAGTGGATGGGCGAGTAGGAGGAACTGTGAAGTCGTACAATCGACTCGTAGAGGATTTGTGAGTCTTGGCACGAGACGCAGCCGTTGGTTCCTCGTAACGAGCTGGTTTGGAACTTTCAGCAGTTAAGCCAGAACCGGATGCTTGGGAGCTAGAATCCATTAAAAAAGACAAAGAGGCTTTGCGAGTGAGTTTCCGTGTTGTTGCAGGAGGGGTAGGTGGTTTGAGACGAGAGTGAGACTTTTGACCGCGCAGGCTTCCAGGCTTGGGAGAGAGGAAGCTACTCGAGGATGGGGGAGAGGGAAGAGCGGAGGAGAGAGACTGGTATGTTTGCGACCTAGAGGGTGGGAGCAAAGGAGGAGAAGGGGACAATCGGAGTTTCTGAAGCTGCCTCGCAGAAGATGTGGGGGGGTTGGCGGGAGACTTGGCTCGTTCGAGCTTGTGTCGAGACGGTGGCCGTAAAGTGGAGGGGCGCTGAGGAGGCATACTGTTACTTCGATTGAAATGGCGCTGAGATTGATGCTGGGCGTTATACATTAGTCTGCTTGGGCTGAGGTCGACATCATCGTCAATTATGAGACCCGTCTCAAAGTCATCCTCCGGATTGGGAGCCGATACTTTAAGGTGAGTGCTAGTCAACTTGGCCTTTTTCTTTGTCTCCAACAACTTGGTGAGTTGCCGACCACTTTGTTTAGATTCAAATAAGGATGCAGGAATGACAAGCCCTTCAAGTTGATCTCCGTCGTCATCATCCTCAGTTTCAATCTCGGGTAACGACACCGAAGAGGTCGAGTTCGAAGAAGGGGACGCCTCTGCGAACCCCAGTGTTGAATATGCATCCGAAGATTGCGAGGATGAGGAGTTGTCTTTGTCTCCCCATTCAAGGGAGTTCTTTGAGGATCGATGGTTGAGAGACAAAGGTGCCAACGAAAGTTGTGTCAGATCCGAAGGGAGGGAAAATGCATCCTCAAAATCTTCGTCGATTACATCCGCTGTCGGTTTGGCGCTAGGTTTGGCGAAGACGGAGTGAGAGAGGGCCGTGACTTTGATGGTGGAAACGCCTTCATCGTCCTCCTCGTCGACATCCAACGGTGAGAGGGGAGGACGTATGTTAAACGCTTGTGACGGAGGGGGCCTCAAGGAGGTTTCCAATCGGGCTGCCATTCCGTCAACGACGGCTCTTGCTTTTGCACCTCCTGGCCGGGAGAGGTTCATCTCGAGATCCCAGTCTTCGTCTTCATCGTCTTTATCAGAAGACGCATGTATCAGCGCACCTTCCGGAAGATCGAAGTCGGCGTCTAGCCATTCTTCGCGGGGTATGAGAGTCGGAGCGGGAATGGCGGCCATGTCGGATTGTTATTAAGATATATAGACACCCAGCGATGATGGGCGGGCACAATAAAGGGGGGAAAAAGGAAAGAAAGTGAGCTTGATGAATTTGTTGTCGACTCAGTGAAGAATATCGAAACGTAGATGGAGCCGAGGGATTGTTGATTGGAACAAGAATTGTGGGGAGTACTTGCGTGGAGTTGAGATTTGCGATGGATGAGTGTGACGGTCCCGACGTCGTTCAAAGTTTGCTGAGCATTGCAGGAGCTAAGGTAGGAAGGATTGAGGAAGGAGCGTGGCAGCAGAGAGCACCGTGAGCGATAGCGGCAAGGCCTCGTGGAGGTAAACAGTCACACTTGTGATGCGTCACGCTATACTACAATTTACATACCATGTTCTACCGTTTGTAATAGCCTATACTTGCACTTATATTCAATGCAATTCTCGTGTCTTGACTGTAAGGGCCTATCAATCAATGGATCACCAGGAAAACACGGTGGCCCTCCAATAGCTGGTAGCTGAAACCTCTATAATCATTGTTACTATGATCCATGGTGCTATGGTGCTGAACCTCAACCTTTGAGCGAGTGAGCAACTGAGCACGATCACGGCGAACAATAGGATATTGCCATGTATGCCTTGATGGCAGGTACCAGGTGTCTGGTTTAACTTGTTCTCCGACATGTTTCATTGGCACGCAATGATGATCGCGCTAGAATTGCACTCGGCCACTTGTACCAGTCCAATAATTTTATCATACATCAGAATCATTTCTAAGATTATGGTGAGCTTGGTGGTATCGATAGAAGCCTAGTGGAATAAGAAAATTACATACCAGACAGGCTTTCAACGTTGAACTCCTCGTATTTCATCCCCGTTTTGCGTACCAAACCATCTGGGGGAACGACCAGAACCGAAGCTTCGATTATCCCGCGGTCTGGCACTTGCCGTCTCACAGGTGGGTCGGGGGTGGGTACGACCGCTTTGGAGCGGCGTTGAAGGAGGAAAGACATAGCGAGTGACTCTCGATTTTTCTTTGACGGAGTTGAGGTGATGAACGTTGAGGTTTGAGGTTGTCAGTGTCATCGGGAATGAAACCTTGCCGCGGATTCAAACTCGAAATTGATCAGCATAAGACAAAGGGTTTTAAACAAGCCTGCGACATTGAAGATTCTTCCGAGGCCGAAGGTAGTGGGCAGCGTGTTTCCCGAAAAGAGGTGTTTGGTCCACAGGATGATGGCGATGTGGATGTAAAAGTATCTGAAAGTGAGTGTTTCGAATTCTTCTATGGTATTAGTTAATGAAGCATGATCAGATTATTCGACTGCACGACTGCACGTTCGCCTCTCAATCCGAAGCCATCGCCACAGCCTTTGCGGTTCACGTGCCTTCCGTTGCGCTTCTGGTGCTTCCTGCGTCATCCCCATTACAGCGCGCAGTCCACGAACTACGAGATTGGGTGTAAATGCCTATGGGTTGGATCTTCGTTCTGGAATAGCAGGACGGTCCCACTTGCTTAGAGGCGGAGAAGCGGTGAGCGAGGATCCGACGCTGCTGGTCTCTACTCTTGTCACAACGCGGGGGTTAGACTTGCCTGAACTACCACACATTGTTATTTTGGCGTTCTGTGGTACGTGCACATTGCGGGGCGGGTAGGGTGATTTGCACGAGGGGGGAAGATCATTACGGTGAAGGATGATGAGAAGGACGAAGAAGAAGCTGCGAAGGAACTAAGATGAAATGGTGGAGATTACTCCTGAACAACACGTGACCGCGCCATATTAATTCGCATCAGATACTTTGTAGCAACTTGCAATAGCTTGCAATTGAATCCAGTGACTTGCATCTGCATCATGTAATCCTCGTACAGCGGTAGGCCAGGGAGACGAAGGATGCCAACCTCCAGGATAACTCTGAACCGGAATTCGTCTACAACAAGCTCGATAAAATGGAGTAGACAGTCAAAAAAAAATACCCCAAGTCCTATTTGAAGTTTGAACCCGGCAGCAAAGAAGGTCATGATCAGTCTCGCCGAGGTGTAGGACCGTAGATCTAGCTGTTGCTACGCCAACTGAGATTTCAAGTGGATGGTCTTATTGATTTCTGACACCTAGTAAGGCATTAACCGTCTCAACTCGCGTGCGTTGTACTCAATCTCGTCTTCGCTTCCGCCCCCTTGATTACTTAACTCGCCGGTAACTTCACCATTCTTGACGACTTCATCCAACCCTTTCCGAAGCCGTAGCCCTCGCTCCGCCATTACGTCTGCAATGCTACTCAACTCTCGGCCGTCAAACACTCCTCTCAGCGAGCCAAACGCAAGCAGGTACAACTCTATTTGCAAAAACATGTTAGCGGCCGTTACATTGCTGTCAAGCGCTTACCTTTTACTAAGGGACATTCTCCAAGCGCCCTAAAAAGCAGCTTCTTCGCGTTTTGAAGCGCCCCTGCCTGAATCTCCAACTCAATACAGATTCTCCAGATCACGGAGCTTGCTCTAGTCCTGTCAAGAACCAAGATGGGCGTATCGCATCGCTACAGAAAAATAGTACATACCGCTCATGCTCTGTCGCTGCAGACAGTCCACTTCGTGTGCGTTCAATCTCGCTCATCCACCGACCCTTTTCCCATCCAGCAACCCAAACCTCCTCAATCCGTCGCGCGACATCCTTCACCTTCGCGTCGCTCCCTCCCAAAAGTCCCCTCACCCTGCCCCAAATTCCTTGTCCTTTTTCCCCCTCCAAAAATATTCCCAAAATTATCGAATTGCTGGGGTAATCTTGGAGTGCCTTCTCGGCTCGTTGTCTGAGAATGGCAGGTGGCATCGCGTTCCGAAGCAATATCCCATGTCGGTAGAGCAGGAGTAAAGAAGCCACCGTAAGACTTTCGTGTTCAATCATACCACAGTTTGTAGCCATGTGTGAATCAAAAATTCCCAGCACCTCCATCATAGCCGTTCCCATAAGAAGCTCAAGCAAAGCCCGCAGTGTTATCCAAGCTTCGCGGTCCTTCCAATGAAACGCGCGTTGTATCCCATCCTCAAGCATACGTCTGCAACGCAATACTGCTGCACCACTCTTGCTCCCTTCAATTCCAGCGAAAAGTAAGATCACATCTACAGCCAGATCGGAGTCGCCCTCCAGCCACTCCATTTCCGCCCAGTTCCACCAAATCTGGGACGCACCTGCCGTAGTGGGATCACAAGTCGACGCAGTGAGGACTGTTTTGAACACCTTTCGAGCTTCGTCTACACGACCCCGTATCCTCTCAAGTTGGGCGTGGGTCCCCCAACGAATAAGAGACTCTCGAGCAGTCGACAGAAACGCCTTGGATAATTTCAAAGCACTTTGCGAGATCAGAAAGCCGGATCAATGTACATGGACAGCACGTACCTCTTTATATTGTTCGCAGCTTCAAAAGATAGAGCCAAAGAGTCCCATTCATGATCGCAATCTCCTTCTCTGAGCTGTTTGAACACCTGCCTAACCAGTGCAGCATCGACACTTGAAACATCGTCTGCACCCCAAACCGCACTCAGGGTTGCTGATGCCTTTCGACCCACCAAAATGATGTCCAAAGGATTGAGAACGCCCATACCCCAATGTCGGACTGGCCCAAAAACGCTGTGATACTCTTGTTCTGGTCCCACAGCGACGCCCGCAACAGACTGGGGCGTAGATCTGTGACGCGTGCCAGAATTAGGAATGAGTACATGTAGATGAGGGGATTTCGTCAAATGAGTCATATTCCACCGATCATCCCAGTTAAAGTCCGCAGAACCAAAGAAAGAAAGCGAGAGCCCAGGAATGTGAAGACCAAGCAAAGATATCCAAGCCATTCGCAGAGCATCTTTTGCTTTTGACGCACAAAGATCCAACATCATTGGGCGTATGTCAGCGAAAAGTATCGTGCCATATGGGTCACATCCGGCGTCACCAGACAAAGCACGAATGGGATATATTGAGGTTTGATCGGCTTTCAACTCCTGGGCAGCCCATTGGCGGTATGGATCGAGATCGGTAGAATCACAGGGTTTCAAAAATGTAGTGAGACCTGGGGGCATGTTAGCCTTGCCTGAAGCATACCAGGAGTTCCAGCCTTTCGCATTTTCCTCGCCCACCCGTGGGGTTTCTGACTCCCAGAATTCTTCGAGCTTGTCCAGTTGTGTTTGAAATGGTGCAGCTGAGAGCGACTTGGGCAAATTGAACGACCTTGCATTCATTAGAGGCGGAATATTAGAAGTGCGGAAGAGACATACAGCTCCGTCTGAGCTTGGAACATAGCCGTCGCACGTTCAGAATACCCTGAAAGATCCTGTATTAGGAATAGGAATTGGAGATCAATATGACACAAAGCACACCAGCATTTCGAATAGCCACCGCTGTCCTCCAAAAAACTCTGACTTTTGCTAATTGTCCTTCTTCGTCGAATCCAAAAGACTGCAAGGCTCGTACGGCAGAGTCAACCACGCCCTCTACGCCGCTATCTCCTTTCCTTGTCATCCATTCGAGCCATTCCATCCAGATCTCCACTCCGCCCACCCGTAATGCATCTTCCCACTCGGCCTTTAACTTGCTCTCGTGCCACATCTCTTCCCCTGCCTTTAAGTATTTCAGCCGTAAAAGCTTCGATTTTGAATTCTGGGGGTCAGCAGAAAAGGCGCGCGTCAGGAGAGAGACTGTTATTTCAGACCGAGCCTTGGTGGCGTTCTTCGAAGTTATGGGGATTGAAGACAACGTATGATTGAGAAGAGACACCCAGTTGTCAATAGAAGCAGGGTTGACAGCCAACGCCCTTTCCAAAGTTTTGAGCGTTTCTTGGTGAGACGTCAATGACAAAGCTGTATCACCCTCTAAATCAGTGTCATCGTCGTTGTCCGGACCGTAATCGGACTCTGGAGATGATTCCGAATCGGAATTTTCAACAACTGGTACGATGGACCGGTATGAGTCGTCGAGATTGTGTCGACTGTGCCGGGAAGGTATTCGGATAAACCCGTCAACTTCACGATACTTGTGTTCTTTATCAGAGTGGATAATGCGTCGGGTGGGCGGAGCAGCGAGAAGAGCTCGAGAAGTCGAGTCCGTCAAACTCGACAACTAAACAAGAGATTGAGAAATTGTCAGTTTACGATAGACAGAAGACACACTTTACGTCGCCCCATTACGCCAATCTCAACGCCCTTCCCATCTCTCCGAACAACTATAAGAGAGTTTGACAATCCCAATACGTTCCTACCCCCTTGTTCTTTCATTATATATTACCTGAGATTAGAAGGCGCAACGTACCACGAGCTAGGCGATATTTTGGCACGTCTCCGGCATGCAGACTGCCGTATTGTATGTTCAGAAAGTCACCCTTCCGGTCGGAGTAATATATACGCTGAACTTCATCCCGGTCTGGAGCAGTGACAACGTCGGGTGACTGGTTCTCGACATGCCGCGAGCGAGAGCTGGATCGAGGCTTTCGTCTGTGCTTATGACGCTTCCTCTCGCTTTCGCCGTCTTTGCTGCGTTTCGAATTTCCATTGATTCGTGAGCTTGACCCTGCTTCAGATGGTTTAGATTGACTTTCGGGGTTTAGCTCGGGGAAGGAGGAGAAGGAGAGGGGAAAGGAATTAAACGAAGGTACCGACATACATGAACTTGTGAGCAGTGAGAAAGAGTTGCTTATATAAGCGTCCTTCATAAATTGTTACACAAATTTTAACTTGAACCCAACTACAAAACGTTATACGATGCGCCCGCTAACGGAGGACGAGTCCAAGGCCATTTTTACCAAGCTCGCAAATTATATCGTTCGTTCGTCTATTTTCGAACAAAAAATGAAATCCTGTTGATTGTGCGTTTTAGGGAAAAAATCTCGTCCATCTGATTGACCGACCAGACGAGCCATATTGTTTTAGGTTACAAAAGGATCGTGTTTACTATGTCTCCGAGTCCTCCATGCGCCTGGGGATCTCAGTAGCGAGGCCAAATCTTGTTAGCCTCGGTACATGTTTCGGCAAGTTTAGCAAAAGTGGCAAATTCAAACTGCACATCACTGCACTTGATTATATTGCACAGTACGCCAAATACAAGGTGAGTAGTGTCACCAATCTTGCCGGCCTCTTTCTGGTGGCTGAAACTCATAAATTCCAGGTGTGGATAAAACCCAATGGCGAGATGCCTTTCCTATACGGGAATCATGTTGTGAAAGCACACTTGGGGAGAATAACTGAGGATACACCGGAGCACCAAGGCGTCGTGATTTTCAGCATGAATGACATACCATTAGTGAGCACACTTCACGTTTAGTGAGAAGATGACTATAATTCCGTGAATACCAGGGGTTTGGGGTGACAGCACGTTCAACTACTGATACCCGAAAATTGGATCCAACATCGATAATTGTATTTCACCAAGCGTACGTCTTTCATCTTACTTCCCATTGTTTCTTATCGCCCTTATCTCGACAATAGGGATGTGGGTGAATATTTGCGTGATGAAGTAAGTCTGCCCTCATTGTCCTCCTTCGGTGCCATGTTCAAACGTTTTCAGGATACGTTGTTTTAACCATATCCATTATTTTTCTCTACATTATTTCTTTGTAGTTTGGTTTGAGTCGGGGAAACTATTCCATTTGTAAAACTTTCCTGTGGTGCACAACTGCGTTGTCAAATGTTTTGTTTTGCTACTCGTGTCAATAATGTCGATTGAGTGTGATCGTGTTGGAGGAGCATCTGTCAAGCTTCATCTTGCTGAACACGCCAGCAAGTCGGTCCCAATCCTCAACGATGGCCTCAACTTCAACTACGCCCTACACACAGTGGGAATCTTTGGAGGACCACCAGCTTACGACCGATCACGTTTACCAAATTCTTGAATCCGTACCAGATGACCTATGGGTAGTTACTGCGTGTCTGGATCGTGTTCTGGATGACCTCCCTGCACAACAAGCCCTGCTCAATTTTGGAATCTCAAGAACCGAGGCCGTTATTGAACGTTGTAAGGATGTGTTGGCTCTTGCATCTCAAGGACGGGCAGACAATATCCACTCTCAGCTCACCCATGACACCCTCCTCACTCATTTCCGGGCCATCGCCACCGACGCCGACCTCTGCTACCTACGCTCAAGTTTACTCCAGCGCTTAGACAGACTCAATACATACGTTCTTGCACAGAAGGAATTCGCTTCGGAAAAGTGGGAGCAAGGGGACGATGACATGGAAGAATGGGAGGACGATCCTTGGGCTGATGGCACAACCCCCTCACCTTCAACAATCCACCCACAACATGCTTCCAAGCGTCCAGTTTCACTTTCTGAATTCCTTCTCAATGACCTTGTCCGATCCGCCTGTGAATTTGCTTCCTCTCAATCTTTTGGAGCACTTCGTATCATCTTCCGAAGACACGCGTCAGCCTTACGGCCCTATCGCTTCACTGTGCTTGAAAGCATTCCAGAGTATGTTTCGCCGTCACTTTATCGCGACCTTCTACCATCCTTCAACACCTTAACCAATGCTGAATCACTCCTTTCGGATGATGGATGGCGCAGTGAACAGGATGTGTCAGAATGGGCGGAAACACAGTCAGCTATTCGACTTTCCGCGTCTCTGTGCCATAATACACCCGAATGTAGGGGATCGCCTTCGAGCACGCCCACCGTCCCCCCACTAACGCCAGAGGAATTGTCAGCATGGTACAAACGTCGGGTTACCGACGTCATTATGTCTACTGGTATGATCGACGTTGCTCTAGAAATTATCCAGCATGGCGCATCACAAGGAATCCCTGGCCTGGATGAGCTGGGGGAGGAGCTCAGTCTTCTTTCTCGCCTCGTTTACGATGCTCCACAGCACATGGGAATATCAGACGATTGGACGTTAAGTTGGTGGTATGACATGGACCCACCCACGGTCGTGCAAGCGTACCTCTCGCACTCTACCCCGGATTCACTCCCTCAGGATATTTCTCGCCTTGTTTTGCCGTATCTTTTTATACTGGAGTCGCGCGCGGAACGGGCGGGGACTCCTGATCCCGGTCTTTCTTCCCGTCTGCTGTACGAGTATATTCTCTCATTGCCGCTCGAAAAGGCCGCAGTTATATTCGAGGCTTCAAAGCCGACACTCCCTGCGGCGCAGCGATTGATTCGTGATGACGAGGATGTTGCCCGAGTCGCTCTGGCCTGCCTATACGACAGCCCTAGTCTAGATCAGTGGTCCACAATGAGTCGCATTTTTGAATGTTTACCAGCTTGGGACTCGGCTGACGGGGACGAAGCCGAGGATGCTGTTGATACGACTGTCGCTTCTCTCAGCGCATTCCTGATGCCAACGACTGGTCACCCATATTGCAAGCCAAGTGAATTATTGCTCTTCTTTAAACCTCTCACTCGGGCATCGTTATCTCGTGCCCTTGACATTCTTGACGTTCACCTGGAGTCTGGAGAAATCCTTTCCCGCTGGAGCGTTCCAGCACCCCTCTGTTGGTTTCTGCAAAGTTACCAGAACGTGGACGAACAGCGTGCTTGGGCGAATAGGATGGCACGGCGTGCAGGTGGCGTAGAAGACCACCTTAGTACCAAAGAAGATTGGGAATGGCTTCTGGAAGATATGCTCAAGTTGACAGAAACAAGTGAATCGGGTCTCAAGGAAGCCTTTGGGTTGTTGTCACAGGCCGAGGTTATTGGCATCTTCTTTGGGGGCCTGTTGAGCACTGGCAGTCAGTAAACCCTCATATCTAGGCGCTGCTTTTTTTTTTCTGACCCCTTCACAGGGTTAACGATCGCCAAAGCTTTGCTGAAGGATCCTCACAGCAAACTCAGTCAGATAGCAGATAAGATTGAAGACCTGTGCCTGACCACATATCGTGAGCTTTATGATAACGCAAGCTCAGGCAACTACAAGTTTGGTGACATGAAGTTGGCTTACGATTGGTAAAGCTTTTGACTTTTGCCAATTCGTGGTCGCTAAAAGGTTGCAGTTTGGATGTGCCTCCTCCCTCAGATCGCCTTCAAAGAGAAAAGGAATTTATTGAAGCAACATCAAGAATATGCTCATTCAATGTTACATCACGCCAAGGGATTCCTATTTCTCCCATCGAAATCCGGTTGACAAAAGACCGACTCTCACTTGTTTCACAGGTTTTGTCGAGCAACATCGACGCTTACAAGCACACAGAGGTCATCCTAGACCTTTGCTACAAGCTTGGATTTAGGGGCGACGCCGCTGCGGAAGTCAAGGCGCTAGCCATGCTGGCAGATGCGGCCCTTCAGGCTGAAGACGTGCCTCGAGCGTACCAGAACAGCGCAAGGATGATCGACATTGTCTCCCAACTCCATTCATCCGCCACACCAGGGTCCGACGACGCTACGATAGCTGACGCCACAGAAGTATGCTGGATTGCGTGTTTCCAGCTGGGTCGCCAACCGGAGTTCGATGACCTCGCGAAGAGGTCGTTTTTGCTAGGTCACGCGTTGGAATTCTGTCCACCGGAAAAACTACATGATATTCTCACCGCCTGGCGGAGTCTACATAAAGAGGATATTGCAGCTCGTGAAGAGAGACTAGTCCATGAACGCAGTTCCACAAGGGCGACCGTTCCTAGTAAACGATATGACGATTCTATTCCTACCGTGGCAACATCTTTGCGCGCACGTTTACATGAGTTCAATATGCCAACTCCGCCTCTCCTCAGCACACCAGATGCTACCGCCATTGCCAGCCGAACATTGAGAAGTGTCGCAGCTAACTTTCCGTTCTCTGTGGGTCATCACGGGCGGTCTCATGACCCAGATATGGATGAAGATAGCAGTTCGAGAAGAGGGGAAGTCGATAACGTCTCTTCCCAAGCCACTAGGGCCTTCTCGAAAGGGATTGGATGGCTCATAGGAGCTGATGACCTTTGAGTTTACTGTGTTTTAACAATATATATATAGCTTAACTATAAAAACAAAACGAGAGTGAGTGGAGCGAATTAAAATCTCCAATAAATGCGAACAGATAAGTTGGACTCCTAGTGGGGTTAAGTAATGTGTGGGAGCTCTACTACATAGATGGCTAAAATGTGGTATAGGTAAAACGAACGAAATTTGGTAAGTACAACATAATAGAAGAGTAAGAAATAAGGTTGATTACAGGTGCGGGAACGTCAAGATAGGCGAGAAGAAGTGATGACAATGAAGCCGTCCTGGCAATACAATACTCTTCAAAAGATCGCAAGGTCACTAGTGCTCACGGCATCGCATTTCCGAAACGCGATGATGTTCCTGTTCTCGCTCTGGGTCTGTTAACGACGCTTCCCGCACCAGGTGCTGACAAAATATCGTGTTTGGGCCCATCGGGTGAACGCTTTTCACCCCTTCCACATGTACTGCAGAAGGTATTGTCCTTGCCAGATGCCTTGAGCTCGTCCACTTCAGCTTTGAGATCCCGCACCTGCCCTTCCAGCTCCCAAATATGCTGTTGCCATGCCTTCTTTGCGGATATGATCTGTTCCTGAAGAGCCTGAACAAGCGATGAAGAGTCACCAGAGATGTAGGTCTTGGAGGGTTGTTCATTGCTTGGGCGAGAATACGACGCTGGCGTCACTGGAGACACAAGTCCAGTTGGACTGGATGATCTTGGCGTATCCAGGTCTGTCTCGTAAATTGGCTGAGGGTCACTGACGATATGGTCCGCAAAATGGGTACTGAATAGCGTAGATACAGGCCGCAATTTGAGTGATGGGAATTGGGATACGTTGGCGGGCGCGCTTTGAGGTTGGCTCTCAATCTGCCAAGGAGTCTCAGAGGAGGAGGCGGGCAAAGTTCGCGTCGGATGGAACTCATCGCCGCCTCTAGCCGATGCTGCCCCTTGAGGAACGGGACCCCGCGAGAGTGTGTTGATGTGCAGAGACGGGGGCGTACGTCTGGGATTAAGCGAAGCACTCACGGAGGTTAAACTATTGCCCGATGACGAGATAGTGTCATGAACAGGCGAAGCTTCAAACATTGAAGGTGATATCCTTGGCACGGGAATGCGATGTAACGTCGCCTTCTGAGCACCGCGCGAATGTTGTTGGTTGTGCGCCGCATAAGCATCGGATAAAGAGGGGACAGGGGGAGCCTCTGTTTCCTCTTTCTCGTTCGTTTTACCGCTGTTGAACAATCGCATGAAGCCACTCTTCTTATGCTTGAGCGTTTTGTTCGGCTGAGCGCCAAGGGGAGGCTGGTTCCCGAAGACTGCTGGTTCCGACCCTCGTCTGTCTGGCTTCTGTCCTACAATTGTATGTAGAGCATTCTTGGCTTTTGCGCCAGCACTTATAGTTCGCCCACGCGTCCTTGAGGCGGTACCACCGGACGAAGGAAGGTCTGCTATATTCGTAGTTTCATGCTCACCGTTCGAAAATGGGGTCATTGATGAAAGAGCGCTGCCGTTTGATGATCGGGAGGCTGCATCATGGTTTGAGGAGCCATGCATACGCTGAGCCCTTGCTTCTTCTAGAGAAATAAGTGAGAAGGCTGGCGCGGTGGCACGATCAGTCCAGCCAGGAAGATTGACAACGCCTGGTGGAGGAACCGGCAGGACTTGCTCGTCCTTCGAAGTGCTGTGCGCGGAGACTGGGGAGGAGATGTCTCGGCCCTGTAGCGACGAGAGGCGGTCTCTCGAAAATGAAGACGTTGATAAGCTATCGCTTGACAGCGTAGAGCGCGTCCCAGAATTTGACAATGTCAAAGTGGTGAAAGAGTCGGTGACTGTCAGATTAGAGTCATTACGCGGCGGGAATTGCATGGCAGACCGAAGTGGGGATTTTGGCAGTGGCTCCACTGCGTATGATATTACCAAATCCGGGTTGGCATAGGGGTGACGATCATCCTCGGAAGATGACGAGGACGAAGGTCGCGCTGGGTAACAGGTTCTGTAAGAGTCAGATTCCGCGGGTAAGCACGTTTCGTCGTGATGCCCATTTTGAAGGAATGTTTGAGGCGGGAAGCTAGGGTGAACGGGAGTGCAAGTAGGGGAAAGACTGGGAGAAGGAATAGCACGCGCTGCAGGAGAGCGGGAACCGACGCGTCCGATAGAGAACTTGCCTCGAAAACCCTCTTTTTGTCCAGAATTTGAAGGGCGGCCAAGTGAAGAGGTGGACAAACTCTCTTGAGCAAGAGCACTGTCGGTAGTGTCATCAGGATAACCTCTTTAAATGAAAAACGAATGAATTTACTAAAGAGCACCTCGTGGGTATGATATCTGTGAGCTAGTTGTTTCGATAGAGGGTTTGTGTGAAGCTTGGGAACGGCTCGATTCTTCGCTAGGTCTGCTTGCATTACTGGGCCGCGGGCTAGGTGAGTCAGACGTCGCGCTTCTTGATCCATTCCCGCGAGAAAAAGGAAACCCGCTTGCAAAATGGCGCGGACTTTCTTCAACCTCCTCCTCTTCCTCCAAAGTTGCTTCATCCAATTCCCAAGGTGCTCGCGAATGAAAACGCATTTTGGGCCCAAGATAGCTCATGCGAGGAAGGGGTTCATTATCGTCTTCGTTATCAAATGAGTGTGAATAGTTATGGTCGTGATTGTCGGAGGAGGCAAAGGAAGAACGAGGGTCATCGTCCAAGTCGAGCATACTGACGGCGGGTTCGTCGTGATTGGGAAATACCTCGGCGGCGTAGGGCGAGGAAGACCGGTATGAATAATTGCCCTCTGGGGAGAAAACAGCACGACTGTACACGGAGGGAGTGTCTGAAAATTGGGAAAGGGCGGAAAACCGACCGTGGACTTCAGCGCGTGTTGTTCGTTGGTCCAAAAGAAGGCGCAAATGATCGTCGTGAGCGTCCGGCGGAGACCTCAGCATGGTCGATGGTCGGCGGGGATGAAAAGGAAATCAGGTCAGGCAAGGCTCACAAACATGTGAGTCCATAGTTACTACTCTACTATCAATTCACGTGACTCAAATGTCTTCTCCCATCCCCATCGCATCCTCCTCAGCTGGTAGGGTATCCGGAAAGTCCTGGAAGACAGCCAAAACTGCCACTGTGTCAGCCGATTCCCGTTTCAACTTTCTTCACGCTAACGTACCCAACAGCCGTTCCAATCTGCCAGACGCCGTCAAGACTAAAAAATGGGAGGACCGTATGCAAAAAACTACAAAGGCAATGGCGATCAAAAAACTACAGACGGAGCTCAAGGATGAAAAAGAAGCTGACTACCAAAGGTTTACCCTCTCCTTCACATAGCGTTTCTTGCCATTAATTCCGTTACCAGACGGAGGGAGGTTACAATGGAGCGCAAGAAGGCGGCAGAAGAAAGGAGGAGACTCGAGGACGCGAAAGCGCAGGTATGAGCCGTCTTTCGGAAACGAATTTTAATATCACCGTATGTATAGATGGGCGCAAGAAAAGCTGCACGGCTGCGTCGAAGGGCAGGGAGAACGAAAAAAGTCAACCACTGACATGATGGTATGTAGATAGTCTTTTTTTTTGTAGCCCATCCTTTCGATATCCTATTATTGTCTGAGCGGTCCATGCATTATAACGCCCATGATGTGTCCACCTCTCCCTCCTTTACAAACGGCTTATCAAGCCCAGAGACAACACTCTCACACAATGGACAGGTGCTTGCAAGTAAGTCGTCTAGCTCCGCCCTCAACTTTTCCGCCTTCACCCCTCCCTCGATCTCGTTTCCCGTCCTTTTCCCGCCAATTCCAGGTATCCATGTTGGAGCCGAAACTACAGCAGCGAGCGCATCTGGGATGATCAAATCCCGCAAGCGATCACCCGCCGAGATGACACTACGACCCAATAGGTTCGCCGCTCTCGCACCATTTTGCAGAGGGTTTGCGATGGGTCCAAAGTTGGCAGACAACAAGGCCCGTTGACTTGCTGGCTGTTTTCCCGTTTGCGGGTTAGGGGCCAAAGGAGTTGGATTTCCTATGCCTGCCCCGTTCAGTCTGCCTTTGCTTGCAGGCACATTTTTAACAAGCTGATCTTGTAGCGTGATGATTCTACGTAACGCATGTGCTGGCAAATATTCTTTAATCTAAATGATGTTATCAATAGTCCGACTTTTTCTTCAGAAAGGACAGGTAGCTTACCAGTCCAATCAGACAATCAGCATGAAATGAGTGGTGGCAAGGAAATACATAGAACTGCCTGGTCAACAACAAATTTGAACATGTTGAGCATTGTTCGCCAGCATCGATGGTGATGAATCGCTGCTTGAGCGCGGCGATGTCCTGTTGAATGGATTCCGCGGTCCGTGTAGCTTCATCCATTTCGCTTTTCAGTGTTTCGATGTGTGAAGAATAGCCTTCCAATGCATGGGCGATTTCCTCTTTGAAATCATCAATCACCACAAAGTCAGGGAAGAAGGGCAATATATCCTCAATTTTGAGAAGATCCGTATTTTCCAGGAATCGCATAGCCCTGGTGAAATGTTATTACTTGAATGTGATGAAAACGAAGACAGAGAAACGAACGATTTGATATCCTTCTTATCTTGGACCACATAGCGAGCGATTTTGAGCCATAACTTTTTGCGCAAAGGCTGGTCGTCTTCGGGCATATCTGCGTTGATCTTTGCCAACTCCAGATCTCCTTTTTCCAACGCAAGGTCCACACTGTTTTCCCATAAACCCATCTTGGAATATATATGCACGCAGGGTTGGGTGCGACCGGTCGATTTGCACAGACGTAGTGCGTAATCCAAATCGTAATATGGTCTTCCCGTGTTTGCATCAGTCGGTGCTGAGGATAGAAACCGAAGAAGAGGGCCATCGTCCTCCAATGACGATGCGTAGAAGATAATTAGTAGATTATGTATAGTGGGCAACGTGCTCTGCTGCTCAAATACGACGTGATTAAGGTAGCGAATTGCTTGATTCGGAGATAACGGATCAGGATGAGCATGTTGAAGTTGGAGGAGGGAAGGAATGAGGCGAAGAGGATCAAGTGAAGGTTGACGAAGCCAGGCATCTACAGTCTCTTTGGGCGCTTGGCGAATGAGAACAGGACCAAAACGATAGTAAAGGTCAAGGTCTGACTGTCAAGAATGGTCAGGAAAAACCATTAACAACTGCAAAATGACAAGTACCTGGCGATTAATGGTTTCGATGGCCTTTATCCATTGCTCTTCGAGAATCCAATGCTCCGCAACCCTTTCAAAATCACCTACCGCGGTGGCATAGTGAAGATACATATCGACTCTCCCGTGATTTTGAAGGAGTTCGTAGACAGTTTCTTTATCGAGGTTGCTCTGTTTGATAAAGCATAGTTCAGAAAGCTGTTGTCAATAAATGAGAGCTGTGATTGCCCGCCTTGTAAGTCTCAAAAAATTGGCGCAGGTCATCCTCAACAATGATCCGTTCAGCTTTTAGGTTGTCGACATCATGAGAAACCGATTCGGATGCCACAATGTCATCCAATTCATTGCACTTGCTTAAGTAGAACTCAACCAACCAAGTCGCAAGCATCATCCTTTGTGTTAAGTCCTGTAACGGTTCGTCTGTAAGGGCGGGGTGGCATAAAGTCACGCAGGATGCTTACTGTTTTGCGACTTCGTTCCAACCTTGATATCAAATATGACCTCAAAGAATCACGCTCCCCAACATCCAGCAACTTTAAAGCGACCTCCTCAAACGAAGCAGAACAACGGGCGTACGATTGTGCAGCTTGATAGTAACGACCTTCAGTGAAAAAACTTTCTGCCTGTGCAAGTATAATCTGGTCGCGTTGGCCAGCTGTCTAGGATCACACCTCTGAATATACATGAAAAACAGAAAAGGCACAAAATTTACCTTTGCGTACCGAAGGGCAGTGTCAAATTCACCTTTCTCGAGATATATCTTCCAGACATCCCGATCCTCGTTACCGACCACCAGCTCGAATAAGGATTGATCGGTGTACACCCAGTATGTTTTGCGAACGGGATCGGATGCCAGACCGCGGATTACTTCGTTGGCTTTCTACAATATAATCAAAACAGTGGACGCTTAATTTCATGATACTCACAATAGGCAACGTCTCCTCGTAAGTTATTTTATCGTCCAGATTACAGATTCCCACTATCCGATTCTTATAGAGCAAAATGAAATGGAACTCAGTCAAAGATAGCGACAAAGGAGCCTCTGGTATCTCGCTTGAAGAAGCTACGAATGATGGGTAGGGAAGTAATTGAGCGGCATCGATATGGTCTTCAGTGCTGGGTTCCAAATTCAAGCTTCCATGATAAATTCCAGGTCCTTGAAATTCAATATAACAATCCGTCGAGAAATAGAAATCAACAGACTCCACCTGTTATCCACGCCAAACGTTTCGGTGTTGACAGCGCTTGATCAGAGTTCGGTGTGAAAAACTGCAATTCTGAAGAATTGAGATTTCCAGGAAGTTCGAGGATCTCTTTGACGTCTTTAGAAAGGAAAAGCATAATAAATAACAATAATAAACTCACTTGGAACTGTTTCGCGATACTGAGCGAAAAGGGCAGAGAAAACTCTTCCTCCCTCTTCAGATTTTCGATCGACAACTCCGAAGAATTGGTATATCCTAGTCAGAGTCGTCACAAGTACCAGGGCGTGCTTGGGGTCCGACGGAGGAGAATAGTCGAACTTAATGCCTGTGATCGGATGCTTTTCTGGGAGGGAATATACCGACTGCAGATAGCGTTCTTGTGATTTGAAGAAATCTTCCTCTGCGTCAAGAACGGCCTCGTACACAACGCCGTTCCTACCTCCTATAAGGATTTCTTTGGTTGAGGTCGAATGGGAAGAAGAGAGCAGAGCAGATTTGTTCCATGCCACACTTTCAATTACCATCTTGAAGCCTTTCAGTTGGCGGGGCTTCTTCCAAGTTCGGAATAAGTACCAATTTTCCCCTTGTTGAGATGTGATGATGATATGTCGTCCCGAAGGGTCCATAAAGAGCTTGTGTATGGTCATCTCTGTGGGTTTTCTCGGGATCTGGACCTTTATGACTTGGTCCGCATGTGACAGTTCTATAAGCACAATGGAGTTGGAGGCAAACCCCATGGCAAGCATGTCGGAACTGACAACAAAAGATATTAGAGGGGCGGGGAAGGCGTATTGAACTCGTCCAAGATCGAAAACTGGCGCGTCAGACACATGCTCTTCAGTCTCCTGTGCGGTGCTCAGATAGTACTCATATATATAAGCCTGATAACGTACCGTAATGTCGTCTACCTCTGCACGAATGTCATCGGAGTGATGTGGCGAAGGCTCAAAACCCTCAAAATGCAACTGCGGCAAGGGTGCCAGGCCCGCGGCTTGTCTGCCTGAGTTTCCAGTGGGATGTTGTACGTCTGTGCAGAAACGCATGGGTGGGCAGAGACGATGAAGTGAAAGCACTTACATTCATCAAACATTCCACTAGAGTTTAGTATCTGTTCAATACTTGGAACGTTGACAGCAAGGTGAGAGTATGTGCTATGAGTGTCACATTTACTATCATAAAAGCAACCGGTCACGATGCTGCATCTTGCACCTCCCTCGTCTGTCCTCTCCCCACACATTCCAAACACATTCCCTGTTCCTTACAGCTATACACATCTTACAACTACACTAATTTGAGATAAAAGGCGATGTTACTCGCCCGTGCGTCTTACTACTATGTAGATTATAACGCAATGTGACATTATTTGCCTTACCGTGGGCCAAGGCAGCTTTATTTAGGACGTTGACATCCTAACTGTTCTCCCCTCGACTTGGCCGATTCTGTCCACCACACCACACTCAGTTATGTCCACCGACATGCCCCGGTTGTTTGTCATTCGTCATGGTGAGGACAATCACATTTATCAATTGCTCATCTCAAACATCACTTGATGAAGGCGAAACAGCATGGTCCTTGAATGGGTGAGAATCCTAGGCTTTGTACTATTACATGCTAATGTCTGGATTGCAGGAGACACGTAAGGAATATTGATTTGTCGTGAATCGATCTAACCCAAATGATCCAACAGACTGGCAAGTCCGATATACCTCTGACCAAGCGAGGTGAGGAGCAGATAAGGCAGATCGCGCTGCGCCTGGTCGGACAAGGATGTGAGCAATAGCACACCGTAAGCCCGGCGTCTTTACCAATTCCTATCTTAGTTGCGATCGATCCCAAGAATCTCTGCACAGTTCTAGTCTCTCCACGTCAGCGTGCTCACAGGACCTTCGACCTGTTATTTGAACATCTGGAGGATGCTCCCGAATATAGCCTCACAGAGGATGTCCGAGAATGGGACTATGGTTACCTCATAAAATATCGTCGATATTTTGTCAAAAATTGACGCTGGTTGCAGGCGATTACGAAGGCCTTCTGTCATCAGAAATCAAAGAGAATAATCCAAACTGGACGATATGGAAAGACGGGTAGGTGACTTTTATTTCGTTTTATCTTCCTACCACTCATCCAGTGTAGATGCCCCAACGGAGAGTCAGTCCAGGACATGCAAGACAGAGTAGATGGTGTTATTTCCAAGGTTCATAGCGCGTTTTCCCATATTGAATCGCAGCTTACCCCCAATCTGCTTAGGTTCGGGAATATCATAAACAATACAAGGAGCAGGGGATCAACACACGCGATGTTCTCATCGTTGCACATGGCCACTTTAGTCGCGTCCTTATCTCCCGTTGGATCAAGTTTCCCCTTTGCCTCGGTAAGAGCCACAGGCTTTCCTGTTTTTGGGATCTATTTTTTCTTACATTCCTCTAGGTACACACTTTAACGTTGAGCCCGGATCGGTCAGTGTCTTCCAGCACCGTTCTCCAGCACAACCTGACGATTTTGTCAAATTAGGTTGCAGTTCTCGGTTACAACCATAATTCTCTTGAAGAGCCGGCACTCAACGCACTCAATCTCGTTGCTACGATCTCTTAGAGTACTGTAACTTGCAAACATGTACTTTATGCACAGTTGATACCAAGTTAACCCCTGTTAAATTCTATTTTCTCTTCCCACGATAATCCTCATTGTGGTGATACTTCACGTCACCAGCTTGAACTTCCTCCGCGAGGATATCACTTCCTTCCTCGCCGCTCATATCATGTCGGAGGGTGACTCCCAAAGCTCAGCGGTGGTCGGTAGTCCCCCCATAATGGACGGCTCCGAACTTGTTCTGTCAAATCCTCATGGTGAACACGAGGAGGATGTGTGCGTGGTTAATGAAGATCACGAACCAGCTGATACCAGCGCTGCGGTGGACTCTTTAAATGGCAAGATTCTAGCGACGGATGAAATTCCAACTGTTCATGAAGCCCTTGCTCCCGTTAAATCACTGAAAGTGGATACCGCTAAGGACAAGGAGACCACGACCTCGAAGAGCAAGGGACAAATGTCCACGAAACCGGCGGCGACTTCGAAAGGAGACCCACCAACGCCTCTTGTTAAAAAGGTGCTTCCTTAACCTTCTCTCTATTCTTATGTCTTTGCGAATTGAGAACTCTACAGATCATCAACTCTGGGACATTTGGTACTGGCTCTGTGAAACCAGCCAGCTTGAGAGCGTCAGTTTCTGGAACTATCGTTATCCCCAAACCGGCCCCATCAGCGCCTTCCTTGAAGAAGGCCGTAAGTTCCGCACCAGCCCCCCCTGCCGCACGTCCTGCTGTAACGTCTTCAACAACAAACCGAAGGACATCCATTGTGCCAACGGCGAAAAGTGGTGTTATACCGACACCAAAGCCGTCATTATCCGCATCTGTGAACGGGAAATTGGGACAGGATAATCAAGCCATTCGGGCAGCAGTCGTTTCGCCTACTGGTTCCACTGCGTCGACGAAGGCAGCTTCGGGGAATCGGCCTCGTGCGTCTGTGTCTGAAGCGGTTAAGAAGGCACCTCTCCTTTCGAGGCCAAATGCAACAACTACGAAGCCTATCACTTCCAGCAAGCCTCCCCCTTCTTCTAGATTGGCCGGAACGCCGACATTAACTAAGCCCACCAAACCCACCGGCTCCATCTCATCTATCCGGGAAGTAAAGGAAGATGGAAAGGCGGTTGTTGAGCTGCAGAATGATGTATGTCCTTCCTTCAAACAAACTGCCCGTGACGGCTGACATCTCTTTTTAAGCTGAGAGAGATGGCGGATACCCTGCAATCGAAGACTGACGCTGTTGTGGCACTGGAGGCGCAAGTTGAAGCTCTACGGAGTACACTGCAGACGGCCCATGCTGAGGTCGAGCTCAAATCTTCCATCACCTCAGAACTTGAAGATGCAAAGAATACCTTTCAGGCGCAACTGGAAAATGTTCAAATTAAGCTGAAAGATCAACAAGAAGTGAATGAATTGTTGCAGACAGAGGTACATCCTATAAAATTGATATATATTCTGATTGTAACAAACCTTTCTTCAACAGCTGGCGAATGCGAACACTACTTCTCTTCAACAACGAGAGCTCGTCGATAAGCTTAACGCTCGTGTGGAAACTCTCGAAGCGCAGATTGCCTCGGCACACGCGGACTTGGAAACCTTACAAGCCAGTCACTTGACGGCTGCCTCTGACACCGAAAAGTCGGTGCAAACTGAGCGTGTAGCTTTTTTGAAGGTTCAATCTGAACTGCAAGCATTGGTCGAGGCAACGCAGTCGCTCAAGGCTGAACACCAAATTGAGTTACAGAACGCCCAGAATAACATTACTGAGCTTGAATCTAGAGTTGCGCAGCTGACGGGACTCGAAGCTCAAGTAACGGCCTTGAATTTGGAGAAGGAGGAAAACGCTGGCAAAGTATCTGAACTCGAAGTTGAAGTTCTCGAGTTAAAGGAGGCGCAGGATGAGCTTGAAGATAACCGGGAGCGGCTCCAGGCCAAACTCAGGGCAGTGGAAGAAAACTTGGCTAACTCTTCAGCAACCATAAAGCTTGCAACCGAGGAGGCGGCATCAAAGGAAGCGGAACATTTGTCTCAACTTAACGAGCTTAAGACTTCGCATGAGAAACAGCTTAAACTGGCGTCTATGAAGCACGAAGAAGTAGTTGCGTCTCTTGGCAGTTTGCAGTCAAAACTTGAAGCTGCCTTATCCGCTCAAGAACTAGCCGCCAAGGAACTCCTTGCAGCTCAAGATAGCCATAGCTCCCATACCAAGGAAATCGAGGAAGCACGTGTCCTTCAGAAAGCCCAACTTTCTGAAGAAATGGAAGTTATTAAACGAGAGTTAGAGGTGAGGATGGCCAAAAATTTACAACGATTTTTATCTTATCGAGTGCTAGGGCCAAGAGGCCACTTATCAATCTAAGCTTGAAGATGCGAAACGTCAGCACGAAAATCTGCTCCAAGAAGCATTTGAACGTGCAAAGGTTAGTAGGGAATTCGTTGATCCTGATAGTTTCCTCACACATGTCTCTTTTTCACTATTCAGAAGGAAGCAGGCGAAGCTCATGGTCAAGAGTTGCAAACCCTTCGCGAGGGGTCCAATGCGACGATTGAACAAATTCAGAAAGCCAATCAAATTTCATTGGAAAATCTCAAAGCGGAGCACGCCTCAGTTCTTGAGAGTGAAGTGAAGGATCTGATCAAGCAGGTCAATACCTTGACTCTTGACCTCAAGGCTACCCAAGATGATTTATCCAAGGCGAAGTCTGCACTTGAAACATCTCGCAGTGAGGTGGAAATTTTGACCACTCAAATCGAAGAAGCCCGCACGGCTGCGGAACTTTCCCCTCCAATATCGCCTGAAGCTGCATCTGAAATAGCTCGGTTAACCCAAGAGCTCGTTGTTGCGAAGGACGATCTCGCCGCTGCAACAGACATGTTGGGTTTGACGAAAGCATCTCTGACAGAGATGTCAGACAACCACGGGAAAGAGCTGGAAGAGGCGGCGAAGAGTCGTGCGGAAGAGGTCATCAAACTGCGGGCTGGCCATGACGCTGAAGTCGCATCGTTAGCTACTCAGAAGTCAGATCTTTTGATTCGGCTGTCGGACTTGGAGGGTGAACTAGCTACAACCAGGGCAACGTTGGATGCCGAGGAGCCTGCTCCGAAAAGCAATGGCAATGGGGCATCGCATGCTCAAACTTCGGGAGTAACCAAAGAGGAATTACAACGAATGCACGAGGCTCATAATCTCAAGATCTACGACTTGGAAGCCCAACACGAAAAGGCCCTCAAGACAATAAGGGAAGAGCTTGAGGCACGCCATGCCAAAGTCGACGAACTTCAACTAGAGGTCGATCGGAAGACGATGGAAATTCAATATCTTGAGCAAGAACAAGATGAAAGCCAAGAACAAGTTACACGGTACGTTCAAAATTTGTGATTATGCCGCTTTCATTTCTCACCACGAAAACGCAACAGACTCAATGAAGATATTGAAACTATGAAGGAGAAGATTGCGAAGCTCGGAGCTGGTCCTGAATAAACATTCTGGATCGTTTGAACCGCCCCCCATGCGACATACTACCCTACCACTCTTGATCAACGTTATACTATTTTTTGTTAACTGTTATACCTTCATATCCGATGGATCCATGCAATGTTTTTTTATCCCGCACTTCACATACCCATTCAATAATACTGGTTTCGAGTTCTGACGGAATTCCTTGTGGATTCCTTGCAAGTTTTCAAATGTTGATTGCCACGGCCAAGTCCGAAATGGTCCGATTGTTGCGGTTCCCCAAAGAAAAAAAATGTTAAGTATTTACGCAGGTCCAAGCTTGACCCTCCCTTCTCTTGCCTTTCTCCTTCTTTCTTCTTCCTCCCCACCTTTGTCTACCCTCCAAACATGGGCGTCCAAAGAGAACCCGGCCAGAAAGGCGTGAACTGGTCCAACATTGCCGTTGGTCCGTAGTTTTTCTACTTCGACGTGGTGTTGGACTGACAGCGAATCAAGGTGGAATAATGAACATGGTGCCTATACCTATTCAATCATTTATAGACCGTTGACTTACCAGCCCACCACGCCCCGTCCAATTTATAGTTTGTAAGCGGAATCCGAGTTCGCGAGCAATTGACATACTAACGCGCTGTTACAATGTTTAGGAAGCGAGTCGCGTGCCCGGTCACTCCGTAAATAAATCTAACTTTAATGTGTTCAGGTCACAACCTTGGGCCAACCTCTGGAGGTTCTCAAGACGCAGATGGCGGCCAACCGAAACCAGACAATGGTGCAAGCTTGCAAGGACGTTTGGGCGCGTGGTGGCGTCGTTGGCTTCTATCAAGGTCTTATCCCCTGGGCAAGTTGCGTTTGAGGCTTGGTCCACTATATCTCATTTTCCTTCCACGCAGGCTTGGATTGAGGCTTCCACCAAGGGAGCTGTCCTGGTTTTCGCTGCCTCTGAAGTCGAAACGGCATCACTTTCTGCCGGCATCAACCCCGGGCTCGCTGGCTTGTTGGGTGGAATGACGGGAGGTGTTGCTCAGGCCTACGCGACCATGGGTTCGTTGTTTTTCTTCTTCTTTATTTGTGACCACCTGCAATTTTTCGCAATGAACTTTGTCAGGTTTCACGACGTGTATGAAGACGGCGGAAATTACTCGTGCGAAAACTGCATCGACGGGAATCAAGCCACCTTCAACGTGGGCCGTCTTTGCGGACATTTATCGTCGGGAGGGTCTCGCCGGTGTTAACAAGGGTGTCAACGCAGTCGCCGTTCGACAATGCACAAACTGGGGATCTCGGTAAGAAATGCTGGACACGTTGGACTCGAATTCAGTCTAAAACATTGGGCAGTATGGGTTTCGCGCGTCTTGCAGAGGATTCCATTCGCAAAATCAGGGGCAGAGGAGAGCATGAACCGGGTAGCGCAGTCGACAAAATTCTCTCTTCGTCGATTGGTGGCGCTCTGGCAACCTGGAACCAACCTATCGAGGTTATCCGTGTGGAGGTAATCAAAGTCTGTTGGCTACGGTCAAGGACGGAATTGACGCAATTGTTCCTAGATGCAAAGTATGGCAAAGGGAACCGCAAACGCTAACCGACCCGCCAAACTGACAATTCTTAACACCCTCAAGTTCATTTACACTGAAAACGGGATCAAGGGATTATATCGCGGTGTAACACCTCGTATTGCGCTCGGTATCTGGCAGACGATTTGCATGGTGTCATTTGCGGACTACGTGAAAATCTGGTATGGATGGTATCGTTGTCTTCTCTCTATACAACAGCTGATAGAAAGAACAGGGTCAAGGGAAGACAGTAGAGGGGTGATACTTTATGCATTGTTTTATAGAGTTACAATATTATACCATGGCATAGTTATGAACAAGCGTGATCGGCGTGATTGCACCCGTCAGTCCGGCCCATAATGCATTGTAACCGGTATAACCAGTTGGCGCGCGACCACGATGAGTGCTGTAGCTACCTATCATCCCCTCCTGGTTAAATACCTTGCTCAGCTCTCTACCCATCCCCTTCGAACAAAGGCCATTACCACAGGTAGGTTGTGTCCTTCTTTCGTCCCCACCTATCTGCTGACTCATTCACCAAAAGGCTCGCTATGCTTCCTCCAGGAAGTCCTTGGAAGTCACCTCTCAGGGCTTCCAGCTAAGCCCTCCAAGGACGTTCCTGCTCCGCTTCGCGCTTTGGCCAAAGCTCACATCAACGTCAAGGCTGTCAAGATGGCTATTTACGGCTTCCTCGTGTCCGCCCCGTTAAGCCACGTCCTCGTTCAATACCTCCAGAAGGCCTTCGCCGGCAAGTCTTTGTATTATGGGCTGAGGACGTCTAGGGTAGGTAGATAGCGAACATTACGGGATGCATAGAGTACTGTGTAGTCCAGATGTAAAGGAAGCACGTAATGTCCTATCAGAGAGAGAAAGGCCAGTGCGCGAAGCGCAATGATGGGCGAAAGCCAGGGGCTTTCCGTCCCGGCAGGGAGGTCCAATCTAAGGGCTAAACGAGATGAGCTGCGATGGGTGGGTGGGAAGAACCACACCTGTATCGCTTGAGGCTCTGCCTCGAGAGTGGAGGGACTCACTGCACGGGAAAGCTTGCGGGTGCCGCTGCGCAGGCTGCGGAGACAGTATAAAGGGAGCGGAGGGTGGGGAAAAACGAAAGGCAAGCCCAGTCCTCAGAGGGGCTGTAATAGTGACGGTAAGGAAGAGAGAGAGATTGCTTACATAGACTATCACATGCCCTGTACAAAGACAGCACCCTAACATTCCACTCGTGCCTCGCTACATGCTAGGGCAAGATCTTTGTATTATGGGCTGAGGACGTCTAGGGTAGGTAGATAGCGAACATTACGGGATGCATAGAGTACTGTGTAGTCCAGATGTAAAGGAAGCACGTAATGTCCTATCAGAGAGAGAAAGGCCAGTGCGCGAAGCGCAATGATGGGCGAAAGCCAGGGGCTTTCCGTCCCGGCAGGGAGGTCCAATCTAAGGGCTAAACGAGATGAGCTGCGATTCCCACAAAACTAGGAGCCCTGCGACGCGTCGAGCGAGTCTCGGAAACCACCATAGTAGGAGCAGGGGAAAACTCACCAAGTGATGAAGACCCCAGAGTGCTACCTCCGGATTTGCGGCATGGTGATCCTGACAAAATTCTCATGCACTTCTGGAACTGCCTGCATGTAGGGCGCGAGGATCTGGGCGTGCTTCGTTAAGTAGACAAGGAACGCGTCGCTAGCCCACCGGCCTTTCACCTTCATGACCTCGAAAGGGGTTCCCCTGAGCAGGTACTCTAAGGTCGAGCCAATGCGGATGCCGTGCCCCTGACGCGGGTCCAAACCTGCACTCCTTGCAGCAGCAGCTACTGTCCGTAGAAATTCTGTCTTCGTCAAGGGTCGAAAACGGCTGTCCTTGAGATAAGAGAAAAGATGCCCATCAGCAGGGGGCTTGTTCACTGCCATGTGGTGGGTGAGGGCTGCCTCGGGGTCGGTATCTCCTGTTTGTCTGGACCATGATACATCCTCGCCCTGTGGGGAGGACTTTGTTCTGGGGATGCGGAAGACAGTCGATTTGAGGCCATTCCGGTCAAACTCGACTCTGACATCGGATGGCTTGACATGGGCCTCTCTGTTGAAAGCGGAAAGGTTGGGGACTGTGAATTCCCCCAAGCGCCCAGCCGAGTAGAAAGTGGTGGTGAGGCAGCTGTAAACGGCGGCGTCCCGTGGCTGGTCCAGCTTAAGCTGGCTCCGTATTGCAAGAATGAAGTTCGGTGTGTAGGGCACCCTCTTCTTCCTCTTGGAGGACGAAGGGGTGGTCTTGGCAGCTGCCCTGAGCAGTGTCTCCAACTCTGCGGTATCCATTTGCCACTTGACACCATGAAGAATGTGCCATGCCCGGATGCCGCAGACATAATTGTCGATGGTGCTTCCTGAGTAAGCCCCCGCCAACGAGGAGACAAAGGCACTGATGAGCAAGGGGCTGGCCGGCGCTCGCTGGTCCTCTGGTACCTCCTTCTGATCACAGTAGACATGGAAATTTAAAAGACCTGAGCCATAAGTGGCCAGAGTCGACTCCTCCCAGGACTTCCCCATCACGATGGCTATTTGGCGGATGTCCTCAGGCCCCAGGTTCGACGGGGGGACCTCAGCAGACTCTCGCCCGTTGAGGGGGATCCAGGATTGCAGGCGCTCGCTGGCGAGCACATGTGGGCGGCGTGGGGATGGGAGAGGGCATAAATCTTTTGCATAGCGTGCTGGTTTTGCAGTGCTGGGCGTGTGCTGAAGAGCTCGAGGGAAGCGCTTAAACATCGAACCACCCTTGCGTGTGGGCGAATGTGGCTTTGGCATGCTGCTCGAAAGTGTGGTTGATCTCTGCCCGCCCTTGCTGGAGATACGCGCGGTCGACTCTTGGGAGGGGTGTTGGGGCCTTGCCCTGTCGTATAAGGTGCGACTCAGCTGGTGTGCAAGGCGCGTCGAAGTCACAGACATATTGTCTGATCGTAGAGGGTATGACGATTGCAGGGAGGAGGAGAGAACTTTGATAGTGCTCTCCTCTGGAGGGGCCGTCCGCTGGATTTTCTTTGCTGGGAACATATCGCGTGTGGAAGTGGACGCCCTCCTCTTCAGAGAGGGCATGGACATGCTTGAAGACCTCATTTGTGGATCTGTTCCGGCTCCTGCCTTTCCACCAGCCTTCGACGACGCCTCTGTTGTCTCCAAAGACTTTGATGTGCGTGCCTCTGGGCGCGGAAGGGACAAGCGTGAGGACGAGAAACCAGAAACCAACTGCTTCAGCCCAACCAATGTCTCTGCCGTCCTCTTTCCACCCTGGCAAGAGTCTCCAGGCCCTCCACCTGCCTCTGATTGTGATCCCAATACCAATTTCCGAGCTAGCATCTGAGTAAGCGTCGGTGTCGATGATGGGGAGGGGGCCGGGGATGGGCCTGCTGACGGCAGGCTGTGTGAGTCTTTCCTTCCACCACGATAAATCGCTCGGAGTTCGACGGGGTGGGTAATGCGGGCGGAAAGGACGGTCGTGACAGATCCCCATGAAGGCCTCCAGGTTGGTGAGGTACGCGCGTCCTGCAGGCACCACATGGCAGGCGTGCAAAAGCTTTCCATAAAGCTTTTGGGTTTCATCCAAGGTGTGCTTGGGCTTCGCCTCCCATTCCTGAATGGCCTGAAGGTACTTCTCTTTCTTGCTGTCAGGCAGGCTGACCGTGCGGTTGGTGAGGTCCCATGAGAAACCGATGAAGGGGGCAACATCACTGAAAGGGATATCCTTTTCAGTCTCCCAGGGGATTCCCAGATCGTCGGATAAGGCGTTGATGTCCGCCATGCAGTATGTGAAAAGCCTGTCTGACTGGGATCTGAGGCATGGTCAGCAGGCAGCAAAGAAGGGGGAGCACAAGGGCAAGAGGGGGAAGAACTAAAAAGGAAACGAACCTTTCAGATGCTTGCGATAGGTCACAGAAAGTGAAGGACGCATCCTCATCAAACTCCTCAGGCTGATCATCAGGCATGACAGCGCCCTTGAACCAGAGACGGCCACCGTCGTGGAGCTCTCCGCCGTTTCCTGCGATGTCCTGCGCCCATTTCCTGCGCCTGAGGTTGTATTCCTCCAGGTGGGATCGTAAAATCCGGAAGAAAATGTGATCATCGACCCATTTAGAAATGGGCCCGATGCCACGCGCGCGCATGATTTGTGTGCCTGCATCACCCAAGCGGCCGTAAACGCCACCACCTGATGCCAGGCCAAAACAATCTCGTGTGTCAATCGCAAAACTGTCCCCCTCGTCGAGCCGGACAACGAGCCCAGGCCATTGGTCTGGTTTGATGGGGACGGTCCTGTAGGCCTCCTTGACATCGCGTACAGCTGCCTGGGATCCTGGGGGGAGGCGCCGTATAAGGAGGCAGATAACAGAGAAAGTACCCCATGTGCATGGGTACTGATTGGAGTCAATCGCGCTGTTGATGGACGTGATGGAGTCGCGCGGGGAATGCGGCGACGACAGGTTCTGGATGATTCTGAATTTCCCCGGTCGTCCTGGTTTGGGAATGATGCTAAGTGGAGAAGTTTGGAAGGGCCCAATAAGGGACTCGACTTCCGCACGAGTGATGGGGCCAAAATAACGCCCCTTTTGGAACTCAGTTTGAATAATGTCATTAAATTCCGTGCTGTGTAAGGTAATAGACGAATGATTAGGGGGAGCGAAGGTCTGAAAAATACGTGGGATGCCAGCACTGAAGCCAAACCTGAGGCCATCTGGCAAGTCAGGGTATTTGCCCTGGAGGCCAGCCTCATGAAGGTGCCTCTGCCAGGTCTCTGGCTTGTAGGGCGATGCTGCATCAAGCCTTCTGAGCTCGAGGGCAGTTCTGAGCCCCGTGAGCCTGCTGCCCACACCCCGAACACTCGTGTCGAGAGTCGTGGGTGGTGGAGGAACAACCGTTCGGCCGTTGCCAGTCGGAGCACAGGATGCTCCCTGCTGGGTTGATGAGACGACCCTGGCCATTCTTGCGGCAGCGTACTGGGGTGCCATCCCAGAGGGTGTCCAATGCGCAGTTGAAGATGTCGTGAGGGTAACGGCCCAGGCATATGGTGCAGGCGGATAAGGCTCCATCTCCGGCTGCACCCGTCTGAAAAGACTGCTGGTTATTTGTAGCACCCCTTCCTGGACGACGACGTCTGGTATCCTTCGAAGGCGAGGAGGACTTGGGAAGCTGCAATGTGCTGGGGGAGCGACGTGCCCGCCTTGCTGGGCGGTTTGCGTTGTGCTGGCTTGGCTGCCCTCGCTGCTCAGCAGATGGGGAAGACGAGCGCCCTCGCTTTGGTCCCTGGGCGCGAGAGCCCTTGGCATTATCTGGGACTAGGGTGGTCTGAGCAAACTGCTCCTCGAGCCTGCCGTTGGCGGGTCAGAGGCAGCAGGCAGGGGGGGAAGGAATAAGCACGGGGGTCGCAACAGGGTAGCAGTTAGGTAAACAGAATGGGTGCATGGGCGCAAGAAGGGAAGCAAAGGCACGGGTGCAAAGGGCGCGTAGAGCATAAGAAAAAGGGGGGGGGGGTGCAAGGGTGCAAGGGAGCATGGGCGCAAGATAGGTGGCAACGTGCAAAGGGAGGCAAAAGGAGAGAAAAAAGGGGAGAAACTTGTCAGCTTGTGTGCACACCACAATGAAAGGAAACGGTACTGACCTGAGCACGCCCTCAGTGCGCCTCGCGTTCCACAGCACGGAACCAATGGCTTCCACGCGTCTGTTGTTGATGATGCCAATGTTAAAAACATGGTCATCGGCAGCATCGCGGAGGGCCTCGTGCCACTCCCGCCGGACCTGGGCTTGGTAGTGCAGCAGGACTGTGTCGCCATCCACTTCCCTTCGCGTGGGGTGGCACTCAAGGCTGAGGTAAAACTCAGCGAGGGCGATGACGAGGTCCTCAGGCCAATCAGTCTGGGCCATGTGGTGGAGCAGGCAGGTCTTCGCCATCGACATCTGGCGCCAAGAAAGGTCCTCGTCTGGGATTACCTTCGTGGACGGCTTGTGCGATGCCATGGGCTTCAGAAGGAGGGCATTGTCTGCCTTGGTGAAGGCGAAAGCGTCCTGGGCTATGGTTCGGTCAAACCTCGCCGCATCCTCGCACCCTTCTGTGGTGAAATAGTACAGCTCTACGTACTCGCGCTCGTCCAGCTTGTGAATTGCATAGCGGGACGGGCGAAGCGGTGGGACGTTTCCCACCGGCATGTTGGGGGCGATCCCCTTCAACTTGGGTCGCTTCTTCTCCTTGTCCTTCTTCTCCGCCTCTTCCTCCTTCCTGAGTTCCTCGAGCTGACGCAGCTCCTCCGCCTCCTGAGCTAACCTGTCTTCCTCAGCAGCAGCCGCATCCTCCCTCACCTGCTCCGCCCATAACTCCTTCCTGGCGTCGTTGTCCACGTCCCAGGCATCCGCGAGTCGGGTAGCCACCACCGCCTTCTCTATGCCCTCCGCTGTTGCCACAGCCGTGCAGACAGCATCGAAAGCTGGAGACGTGAAGTCTGGCCTCACCTCCAACGCGGGGTCCAGCGTGATACGTGGCATTTGGTAGTCCCAAAATGACGAATGTGAGCAAGATGTTCTGAAAAGAGTGTGAGCAAACGAGAGTTGGCAGGGAAAATAGAAAAACGAAAGGCAAGCCCAGTCCTCAGAGGGGCTGTAATAGTGACGGTAAGGAAGAGAGAGAGATTGCTTACATAGACTATCACATGCCCTGTACAAAGACAGCACCCTAACATTCCACTCGTGCCTCGCTACATGCTAGGGCAAGAACTTCGCCAGGTGCTAGGATCGCACAGGTTGTTGCGAACAATTTGCTTGTGGCTCCGATACAAACCGCAGGTCAGCTTTTAGTTGCCCCCTTCCTTCATATACACAGGGGTACTTCACGCTTTTACCCTCCAGCTTATTTGGCGTCAATGGCGATCATTAATGGCGCGACGACACTTGATGAAGTCATAAAGACCATCAAAGGAGGCTTCTTTGCTGTCATCCGGGTATGTACCTTTTTACATATTCGCTTTCTTTTCAGTATGCTCACCAACACACTCGAATAAGATATCTTGGATTGTATCTCCTCTATCTCTAATCATTGCCCAGAAATTTATACCCGTGGAGGTGAGCTAACGAGAGAATATCTGCCTCAACTCCCTAATTAATTGCTTGGCAGCTCTGGGTCCCCTTCTTTAACTGTGTTCAATTCGTCCTGGGGGTATGTGCTCCGCCAAGTTGTTTGCACCCTACTCACCCGCGGCTATAGACATATTTCAACATGCGAGTGAAACAACAACGGATTGCAGCGATCAAGAAAGCGGAGCAGGAGAAGCGGGAGCGCAAGGACTGAGAGGAATTCGAGCATATTCATTCATTTACTCGTGGTATCATGTACGAGAATCATGAATTATCAAACAGCTTCCTTCTCTTGAAGGTGCTTCTTGTCGGTAACGCTGCTGTCTGGCTTGGTGGTTAACCGGCGACGGTACCTCCGTTTCTAAAATCCATCCGTCCAAACTATACGTCCCTGGTTGGCTGATCCAGACCTTGGGTCTAATCGTTACTGTCTGACATGGTGGTATGGAGTCGCGAAATGTAAGACGACCAAAGTAGGGTGCAGGAAGGGGACTCCTGTCAATCACGTCAGCGGGTCTATTTTTTTTCCAAGTAAATGCACCGACGATGGATTGGGCGACGACGATGTTGGTTCGGGACTCATCCTCAGCGTGCACCGCACTCCATGGGTCAGAGAATGATTTCGCAAGTTGAATGCTATCGATAACCGGCATGGCCTGAATCCGGGGGTGAGCTGAAAGCCCTATCAATACAAAGAAGAATAACACTTTACCCCTTGCTAAAGTCGTGCGATGTTATATCTGGTTGCTGTATGGACAGCACGACAGGGTCCATCTCCATGTTCCATTCGCTGCTCTTGATAGCATCGAGCACCTCCAAGTTTTCCTTGTGCGTTTCAGTATACATGCTACGCTTCACCTTGGCACTCTCCGCTTCCTCTATCATAGATTGCAAAACGCCGTGGCGTGCGCCAAGGGTGAGGCCATACAGACTGACATACCCGAAGCGCTGCTGCGTCGGTATTTCCCAGAAGATGAGGATATCCACAGAAGCAGGGTTATAGAGTGGGAATATTGACGGATATGTCATGCTGGAAATATAAGGATGAACCTGTGAAATATTGTGGGCTGTGAATTGTCGTCGGTTGCTGTGGATAGAATGGCGCATAGAAGTTTCTTGAACAGATTTTGGTGGAAACTGGATCACTGGTTAATTACTCTTCGAAATTGCGAAAATAGCACAAGATTCACCTTGGATATATGGCTACACAGCAAATCGATAGACGGTGGGTCTGATGATTTGACGTCTTCTCCACGCAAAACAATGCCCAGTTGTTCACTCAGGAAATCTAATGTTTCCTGAGAGCCAACACCGTCTTGCCATGGATTGGCCTCCAGAAGCAACCGGACGCACTGATGCGGTGGAACAGTCCCGCTGCAAACTCTTGAGACATCTCAAAGCATCATGGAAACGCAAGTAACTTACAAATCAGAATCCGTCAGAGGGCCGCATCGCCAGAGAGGGCTTAGGGTCGTAATTTGTGATAATTTGACGGTTGACGATATTGACCGATTTGTCACATCGACGTTGACAACGTAGGACCGGCCTTGCGCACGGGAAGGTTCTGCGGTCGCCACGACCTCAAAGAGGGGTTGGACCTCATAGCTCCAAGTCAGGCGGGCGCAATGGAATGTACCTGTATTGCCCTGTGCTGCGTCAAGTAAACTCAACATATATTCACAGGGTACGAACCTCTCGAAACACAAACATAAGATTCAATTCATGAGTGCCCGCCCGTTCTGCATGCAAGACGACGGGAAGATTCAAGCTTTCACCAGGTTCTATTCGAGTTACTGGTAATCGCAATGGTTCTTGAGGTTTAAGGGAGTTTTGGGAACGTATAACCTCGCCTGTCGGCGTTGCTACGATTGTAATGAGCGAAAGAGAGAGAAAAGTGAGCTCAACCCGTACTCACATTCAGATTCGTCGTCGTCGGAGTGCAACCAAATCCCATCGTCGCCTCCAACCATCCAAATCTCTTCCACTGGTGCCAACCCTGCGTTCGAAAACGACAACGTCAACACCTTAGTCTCGCCTTGGATCAAATGCAAGTGGGAATCCTCAACAAAGCTCACAAGGAGCTTGTGGTCCGCTGGAGCAATATCCACTCCCAGAGGAATATCCGGCGCATACGCCGCTTTTTGACGTTGTGCAGCCGTACCGTGTAGTCGTCGGCCACGCGACGCCAGATGCTCTGTCGACCGCAAGTAAGAAAGAAAATTATACGTTGCGCTTGTGATAACCAACGAAGTGGCACGTTGCGACTTTAACGATACAGGGATCTTGTCGAAAGTCAGAAGTCACACCGAGCGGAAATAAATGCAGAAAACCGACTGTGCGTGACTCTCTTGGACCCAAAATGACTTCGTCAATGGTCTGTACTTCTACAAACGCATTTGCCAAAGTCAGTTCTGCACCACTTTTCTCGTGCACCACAAGGGATATTTCCGTGAGGTTCAGTTCTGCATCCAAAGGGTTTCGCAGCACCAAATCCACCCAAATAAGTTCTATAAGAGATGTCATTAAGGGAAATCAAGGTGATTGACAACGCTCACCGCCTGTGCACGCTTTCTTCCTGTCGACCAATCCTTCCTTGCCACCTCGAGACTTCCAAAAAGTCCTCCACGTCTCTTCGAGCTCGTCCCAGGATCTAGCATCGTGATTCACGCTGTCGGTAGGAAATCGTATTTTTGTTTGGCCCTCAACGCAAAAGCGAATGGGAATTTGTAGGTCCGCTGCTGCAATTTTGTCAGGTTCAGTGGAGCTAAGGTGCTGCAAAAACAAGCGGTTATAAACAAAAAGAGTGAAGATGATGGATGCATACCGCATATGCGACACGAAAGTCATCCAGATACGCTTTATCACTTTCTGTCCATTTTGATACATTGTCCGAAGAGATGTTGAATGGGTGTTGGAGCTTGGAAGGACCTCTCAAAAGCCCAAGAAAAACTCTGACAGCGCCAGCGACGTCGCCAGTCGTGTACAGAAGCCGCCCTATTGATAAACAGAAATTAGAACGGTGAAGTGATCAAGAGAAAGGGGGAGTGTACCCAGAGGATGCTCAATTCCCGATATTATACCCCCAAAATCATCCAAACTGTTCGGGGATTTGCCCTCCGACTCCCAAAACGAAGGTGAAAGGCTTTTGGGCGATTCCATCTTGTACTGTTCTTTTGCCTTTCGAAGGAAATACATGGTCAAGGGTTTCTAAGATAGCGACGTGAGCTGATACTCCAAAAAAGATGATTCGAATCAGCTCACAATACCACATTTCTCTAGTCTATTGGCAGCATCAACATACCAAAATGCTGCTCTTCTTCTTGCTTGCTTTTTTGTGCTCAAAAGGGCCGCATGTGCCAGTAGCAGAGCTGATGGAGCTTCTTCTGCCTTGATGGAAGCGTCAGTCACTACCCTTCTTCAACAACACATCTACAAACATTACCAGCCGCCCATACAATCCACCGCTCGCCTTCTAAAACATTGCTCAGCAGGTCGGATGTAGATATACCAGCCTCCCAACGGACCGCATACAAAAGGGCTCGTAGCTGGGCGTGCGGAGGGGGGTCAGTGGATTGAGAGTGTATGTTCGAAAGCGCGGTTGATGCGTGAAGGAGTAAAGTTGGTGAGGGAGATAGCAATAGCGGGAGGATGTCCTAATTGTTGGGGTTGAGAACGAGCGAGAAGGTAATAGCTGGGAAACATACTGAGCCGCCTTTGTTCTCTTTCCGCAAACTTTCCCAAACCGTCACCGCAAGCTTGAAGTCGCCCAAAATTGTTGAAAATTCGGCTAACCGACGTTGCTGAGATGGGGGGGTGGCCACCCCATTCGAGAGGGTGAATGGCGATGCGCGACCTGGGAGGGACGAAATTGAGGAAGACGCGCCATGGGTTGGAGGTGATGGCGATGGGGACCCAAACAATCGACGTGTAGAGGAAAATAGCCGAGAAGGAAGACGACGATTGGAAGAGAACTTTAATGATGGTGTTAAAATCAAGAGGTATTGTCTTGGGAGGAAGATACCTTACTGTTTCGTTCCAATCTACAACACACTTTTCCATCCAAGGCACCAAGCTCATCACAACAAATTCACGCGTAAAACGCGCCGTATGTTTGATATCGTTTTCCTCCATCCTCAAAGTGTTTAAGACGGTCGGAAATGTTGGGCTGGTAGGCTCGTTTGGATCTGGGTTTGGTGGCTTAGCCACCGATGCATCGGGGGATGGCTGCGGCGGCAGACGAGGCATGAGTGCGGGTACTGGAACGGGAGGAGGCGGGGTAGCAGGTAGGTTCAGAGGAAGCAGATAACTATGTAGTCCATACTGCTTTTTGACGGCGTTGAAGAGCGCACCAGCTCTGTCAGGAATTAGTTGAGGAACAAAAGGCACAGAGAGACGTACTCTTCATCGGAAAGCGGAGAGTTCTTGGGATGAACGATGAGAGTATACCTAAGGAAGGTTGAGTCAACCCAAGGCGGAAACTGAATAGCTCGTGAATGGAGTGCGTTTATGGCTTGCAGGGGATTTGGAGCAGTGGTGGAGACAGCAAGAATAACTAGGGGGGTTGCATTGAATACTAATCCCGGTTGAAATGAGATGACATACCCGCTACTGGATGATTCCATCCCTCCGTCTTCGCAGGAACGTGGTCACCTTCTGCACATCTCCTAAGCTCGTCCCACCATGGCGTCCTTGGGCTGTCCAAGTCTCCCCCGAGCCTCTCGATATCATGTACCCACTTCGCACAACGCTTACTGATACGAGCCGAGATCCAATCGAGCATACGAACGGCGCGCTCATCTTCGTCTTCGTTGCATGCGTGCTCGATTTCAGCCAAATCCGAGAAGCGCAATGCAAAGGAGGTGTGGGGAATAGAGACAAGAGATGTTGTTCGGGTTGTTACTAGAGATATCACATCAAAGGTTGGCGAGATACTATGGAAAGCAGCGAGGCAGATTTACCATCAGGCAGTGGTGAAAAGGACTGCAAAATATTAGGCAAAGGAGGCAAGGATGAGGATTGCAGCAATTGGTCTAGATCAGGAGACGGCAGAATACATATGTGGGGACTGAGTGAAGAGGGCAGAACTGAAGGCATGGGATGCGATGGCAAGGTTTGGTGGGTTTATATTTTATTACATGTGGAACGCAATCGCTGAATTACTTCGTCAATTTTCCTCACTTTCTCATCTGTCGGCATCTGAACAATTGTCAAGAATCATCTCAAGAATCAAGTATGTGCTCACCTCAAAGAAAGTGTGCATTTGTTGCTTGCGTTCTTGACCAGCTGCCTGTGAATTCGCCACCTTTTCAACAAACTGGAATCCATCATTCCGCTTTCCCCTTTGATTGCCTCCTTTCTCATCCACCCATTTCCAATCACTTTCTTTCCGACTCTCCCCTCCCCATGCGACCCCGGGCCCTTCACCCCATCCATCGCAATTACTCCATCCCCTAGTACTCGACTCTTCGCACCGCCGTCCCGAATCTCCAAGCGACCACGACGCCTGCCTCTGCGCCATTTCTTCCAGAAATTCCTCAAGCCTCAGCACCTCTCCCCTCTCTGCAGCCTCCACGCTCCTAATCCAGAACGGGACCATATCTCGCACCAGATCAACGTGGATCTGACTTTCCCGGAGCTTCATCTCCTCTATCGTCACAGGTGGGTCTTCCTGGATTGGCTTGCCCCACGCCTCCGCATCTGTATCCACCGCATCCCACCATGTCGGCTGCCCAGCTTCTGGCGGGCTTTGACGACTGCTCACAATATAGACAATAAGCCCAGTAGCACAAACCCATGTATAGATTACAATACCGTTGATTTGATTTGACCGCTGCAGAGTCGGTTCTTAGTATCTTGGAGCCACCATGACGTCCTCGCATACGCAGGGATTTCTCTTGTCCTGATGGAGAGGATGACGAGCGTGAAAGCTGGGATGTCATGGCTGTTAGGATCCGTGGTATATAACCATCAGGCCGATGACTACCTTTCCGTCGATCTGGCTACAGTGTCCTAATCGATATATGATATGTTCTTTTAGGCGCTCGCACATAAATTATTATACATGATATCCCTCAAATGGGATCCTTTACGATGGACCAGACAGCGGGTCTGTCCATGTCCCATTGGCCCATAATGTCGCGGGCATAGTGAAATCAGCACTTGACGATCCAGACGTAAACTAAAATACGTCAATATAGGTGCTTCAACTTTTTTGAGCAAGGGAAAACATACGGCGAGCCTAAAGAAATGGGGAATGCTTGCATTGAGGCTGGCCAGCGAGAAATTCAAGGCTGTTCCGACGTATCGCTCTACATCATCGACCAAAAGGGCAAATCCGTCCCAATCAGGAGGGAGAGCGGCCCATTGAATCGTTTGATTGATTAAAGGCATTGACGCATTATACGTCGTAGAGTTGGTTAAAAATGTAGGAAGCGCCGTACCCTGAGCTGCATCTTGCCGAAGCTAGATTCTATATGAGATAACGTCTTTGTGATCCATGAACACACTCACATCAGCTGCAGTTTGGAGAATGGAATCAAAGCCGAATGCTGCGACGCCATTTAAGAAAAGGCCTAATAAGAGACCCTGGTATATAGCAGACAGTTTGGTTGGGAAAGCTGTTCCAGGAAGGATCAGCATGGGAACAATATAGTGATGTAGTCGCAGTGATAGTCCGGGAAGAAGTGCCAGGACAAGAATGATGAAGCCTCCCAAAATGTACCAGGCCGCATAGTACGGTAGCCAGCCCGTCTTGCGTATGACGCGGATTTGGTTGACGGCCAGCACGATTATAATCACCAACATGACTACAAGTGTGGTCACCGCACCCGAACGTTTATGGATGTCAGATGAGGTCAATCGACTGAGTGGAAGCTTGTCAAACGTCAGGTTGTTGAGGAGCCCGACCCAGAATGGACCCATATATAAAATGCAGGCTTCCAGGGGGGAACGCGCAAAGGCAGGGAGGGTGAAGCGAAAGGCCAACCTCCAAAATGCGTAGGCAATATATAATGCGGGTAAAAATGTGCCAAATGCGACGTCTAGTGCTGGAGGTGGGCCTTGGGGTTGAGAAAAGAGCGTGACATGCCAGAAGCCGATGCAAACGAGACACCAATATAATACAATGGGTTTGGGGCGCAGGAGCAGGAAAAGGACACAGGTAACGAGTACGTTGAAAGCGAGCGCCTCATTGCGTAGGTCTTGGCAATGCGTGAGTGATGTAAAGTCCAGGAAGCGGAAGGAAAGTGGGAAGACGGAGGGAAAGCCGAGAGACGAGAGACCGTTGGCCGTGTACGGAAGAAAGTTTGTGAAGTTTCCTGCGAGTTGTAAAGTGCCGCATCCGCCTTTAGAGTTGGATATGATACCGCTGTTGGTAGAAACGTTAGCAAAAGTGTAAAAAAAAAGAGTTAACGACGCACGCCTGCACCGCAGCAGCACAAATGAAACTATCCCCTCTATATGTCCTGTTTGAATCACCACCTCCTACAAGAAGTGGCTTAAAAGCAGTTTGTTCGTCGCCAATAGTCCGCGGGTTTTGTAAAATGACGTTGCTGCATTGGGCCGGACAACGAAAATCAAAGGTAGAGTTATCAAAAGGAGCGCAAATTTGGCCGTCGAGGCCACAACCGTCGTTTGCGATCCAATATGTAGCGGTGCAGCCAATAAAAGATTCTGCAGGTGTCAGAAAGGACTGTTCGCGTGAAAAAAATGCGAGTGCGATGATGTATGCTGCGCCGAGCAGCACTATTAACCAGGGAGCTGTGAGCTTTCGGGTGGCTTTGATCAACCATTCTTCGATGGGTAAGTCGAGCCTGCGGAGGTGGATGTTTAAAAGTGGTGTAGGGTCTTTTGTATGTGAAATTAGCCCTTGGCAACCCTGTGGCGAAATCAAGCTACGCACTGGGAAGATTAACTTTCTCTCTAGGGCCCCTGGCATACCGAGCGAAACGTAGAAAACGGGAATGAGTGTGGGGGTATCTGTTTGCCAATCTATGAGAGCACCGCGAAAACCAATTGCTGGGTGGTGAAGATGTTGGAGGGTCGGTGGAAAGGATTGCGAGTTCGTAGTCACGGTGTCCCAGGCTGGACTTTGAGATGTTGTCTACTTGATACGAGCTAGTAGACGGGAACGAAGACGACGAACTCGAGCCAGCGACTGTGGATTCGTCCATGATTATGAGGGGGTGTGAGATAAGTGTTCGGCTGCAACTCAAGGGCCTTCATCAGACTACGGAAATCACAAGACGGTATTCTTGGACCGATGCATATCACACTGATACCCCATCACTATATCACTCTTCTACGAAGCTCCTCGATATGTTCAAACACGTTTTATTTTGCTGCTTAGATAGGGCTCATTTCACTCGCAATCACTATGATACTGCAAGCATAGACGACTCAATTTCGGTGACAAGTTCTGGTAAAGCACACTCACCATAGTCATATACCATTCGGAGTTCAATGTCCTCCGCTTTGGGCCCAGTAAACTTGATATGCCTAACATACCTTCTCAAGCTCTCAAGCTCTTCAATTCCCCAGGTCTATTGGAACGAGTAAATAACAATATCAAGTGCCAAATGCGATGATGACGACATACCTGATTGGCAATCCAAACGGTACCGCTCTTTGGGGTATCACTCTCCACGTATGATTGAACAACTCCATGCTCAATCGTATCAGTCGTCCAACCTGTCTTCAAGAACTCAAGATCAAGCTCGTCGACTTTGATCCTCCTCGATTTCCCTATGACGTGACCAAATAGGTGATCGTTATTCTCTTTTTCCTTCCACCAAAGTGTCCGCTTCTCGCTAGTACCGGGGATGCCGCCGGTGAGGGTCTGGTCAATATCGATGTGCTCGACACCATCATCGTCCTTGTAATGCTTAATGGCGAGAGTGATACTGCTCAGGCCGATAGCTTTCCTCTTGAGCCAGCCGACACCTTGCAAAGCGAGAATGTCATCGGTGCGAGGATCCGTGAGGGTTCTGTTCTAAATTTGCAACACAGGTTACACATGATCGTGGGTCAACGAGATAAGATGCATACCAAGAGGAATGTGCCGGATAGGTTGAGAGTGGTGAAGTCTGCGGGAACGGCCATTGTCGTAGATGGTAAGATCAGAGTAAGACCAAATCAGAGGACACCATGGTTTTTTGAGAGATTGCGGGAATCACATGGTCACAGTTAAGCGCTGTTACTCAAGACACTCCTATGACACCTGATAAGCCTTGAATTTGTCCTCAAGCCTCAAGCGCTCAACGTTCAACGTTGTCAACACGAAAGACTGTCATGATCTTCCATACTGCGTCCTTTCCTCGCTCCCACGCCTGAGGTCCCTTGGCTTCGTCTCCACCAAACTCAATCATGATACCATCTTTCGACCACTCGCACCATATCCCAATCGACCCAGACGATGGTCCAGCACCACCTCCTTTGCGATCTGGCTCGCCAAGCGTCATGACAAATTCCTTCCCAGTTGTCTCTGGTAGCACGTCCAGCGTCAACGGCCGTGTATCATCCACCTTTGTTACAAGACTCAAGGTGAAAGGGACGACAGGAAATGTTGAAAACGCGAGCTCGGCCGATCGCGATGATGCAGCTTTGGATCGATCATCTGAAGAGCTGCGTTTGGGAACATTGTAAAGGTCAATGCTCTCGAGAACAAGGCTTTTGTCGTGGAGGTCTTTTAAGCCGAGTTCTGTTGCCGGTTTGTATCCATTTATTGGGGAGAATAGAAGGCTCAAGCCCACAGCAAAGTAATTGAAGTAGACAGCGTCCGGATAAGATTTGATTTCTGGGGGTATTGGATGCTTATTTGCAAGAGTAAAAAGGGTTGAGATGTAATCAGCCAACGCTGAAGAGGATGGATGAGAGCCGAACAGATGTTGCATGAGGTCGAAAAAGCACTTGAGTCATGTGACAATAGCATTTCCTCATCATGTCTACCAAGCAACCTGCGATCTCTCTTTTATACGGATTTGTTGTAAATGTCATCTCTGCTCTTCGTCCCTATGCTCCCCAGCTTGTTCCAATTCTAGTTTTTGCATTTTTTGTTCCCCTTGCCATCCTTCTCTCGGCTTTTGCGGGTTACATCGTCTGGACAAATCTCTCAGTCAGTTGGGAATCTCCGCTCCATTTCCAGTACGGGTACGCCTTTTTATTATATCATTTTATCTCCGTCCTGATTGTTTTTGTAGCGATGGTGTGCCGCCTTATGCGCAGCTCATTATACCGTCCTTGGTCCCCACTCAGCGTTATGACGTCGCCGTCAACTTGCTACTCCCCGCTTCCCAATCAAATTTGGCGCTTGGAAACTTCATGACCACCCTCACGCTTTCCACGCTTGCTAACAAGACCATCGCCTCTGTCCGTCGCCCGGTAATAGAACTCGCAGCTCCCAGTCGATCTTTTCTAACCACATTAAACAGGCAATCGCCGTCGCCTCACGTTCGGCCTTCTTTTTCACAAGTTCAAATCTTGTTCGTCTCCAAATACCCCTGTTGTCGTCGTTTGTTGCCGGTTCCTCTTCTTTGGCAGCAACTGTTGAAGTAGGTAGACGCGATGGCTGGACCAGCCTCGCAGAGGGACAAGGTCGTGAACTGAGCGTCCTATCCGCCTCATTGCAAGGTTTGGCCGTTCCACATGGTGTTCGGTGAGCGTGATGCCCAAAAATTATAAACACATTTTTTGACAACGTACCAAGAGGTCTCGCAATTCGCTTTCCATTGACAGCTTCTTTGCTCGCTGCATTCCTCTTTCTTGCTATTCTGGCCCTTATTCTTGGGTCGTGCACCTTGCCCAGCGTCATACGCATTTCACTCCAACAACTTGACAACGCAAAGACCTATCCGCGGATCAAATCTGAACCTCTGCGTCCAATCTCTGAAGTTAAACCTACTCGAAGGAGAAGAAAGTCACGTTCTAGCAGAAGCTCCAGTGAAAGAAGGGTAACTACATTCTGGAATTGTGTCTGCATTTTCTTATATTATCGCTTCACAGAAGGTCAAAGCGGAAGCACCGTCCATCACCATCCCGCCACCCACAGCTGGTGCGACGGATCGACTACGCCGTCGTCCATCGTCTTCAAAGGGGACAGACGGATTTTCGGACTCAGATTCGTAGCACATTCTTTGAAGATTCTTTATCTTGCTGCATTACTTCTCATGCATACAAATCAATTGGCGATTTGCTTCTCTGAACATCAATGAGGCAATAGGGATCGACGTGCATTATATTCGGACGGGTCTTGCAAAACTTGGGATGATCATAAATTATCCAACTTTTGTCCAACCTGGCTTCTCTCACATCTTCTCAAGGGGCTGTCGGCTTGGAACCGCTATCCACCTCGCTCGCTTTGGCACCTGCCTCTGATTTGGTATCACCTTTCTCTGGACTGCTGTTGCTTAATCCTTTGAGCAAATCCCCAGCATCGTCACCGCCAAGCCCGAGTTCTTCAATCAGATCCCTAAGCTCGTCCTCTGTCGCAGTGACACCCTGTAGTCCATACCCAGAAAGTTCCGTGCTAACGTCGAATTCTCCCTCACGCTTCTTTATCGGGACAGCGGATCCCTTCCCTCGGAGTGGAGATGACTTCTGAGCGAGGATCTTGGTCTTGAGATGGTCCGGAGTCATTTGTAAGGGCGACACCGCGCCCGGAACACCGATGGGTTTGACTGGGGGAGCCGGCCTCTCTTCGTCGATGTCCGTATTCCATGTTTCGTTCAACCTGAAGAATTTATCGAGCTCTGCATATTCGACGGCTTCTTCGCTACCAAACAGTGTTAATGGCTTTGCCGGGGTGTGCGATGATAATGAGCACTTACAAATCGGTGAAAGTCTTCATACGATAGAGAAGCAATCAGCATGAATTGAATATTATGACGAGTGTGTCGTACACCTGGGAATTTTCCTCCAACAAGAATCCCTGGGAGTTGTTGCTTATCTATGCATGCGGATTATTAACTTCCCAACACCGGCATACTTAGAATGAAGTAACCCACCTAGCGGAGCTTTCCGCTTCCACAAGCTCTTTGCCTCCTCGTCTGATGCTAAATCGTAGGATGTGAAAGGGATCTTCTTCACTTGCAGTATCCGAAGGAGGTATTCTAGCAGAGACAATGTCAGTTCATGAGAAGTGCCACTCCGTGCCTTGGAGTGAATATCAGACCTTGACGTTGCCTCAGAGCAGGTTGCGAAGCGATCGTGGTTAGGAATACAGATATAGGCGGCGAAGGCATGATATGGGTTGGATACAAGTCGTAGATATGTTTCCAGATCGATCATAAATTAGTTACTCAATTCGGACTTGCTCATGGCTTCCACCGCAGACGCGCCCCAGCTCAAAGTGCTCATCGTATGCTTAGGCATGTACCTCTTTTCTTCGTTCTGTAAATGACGTGAATACCTTAGATACCGACTAGGTAACATCTGCCGCTCACCGATGGGCGAAGCAGTCCTCCAAGATATTGCGAAAAAACGCGGTTTGGACATCGTGGTGGATAGTTGTGGGACTGCTGGATATCATGTCGGGGAGGAACCAGACGAAAGGTCTGTATCCCCGTCCCTTCCATAAGATACGACCCTGAGTTGTTCAACAGGACTGTCGCCGTTTGCCAAAAGGTATGTAATCTGACTTCATCTCCAATTCTATAGACATTAAATACATTCCTCCACAGCACGGTGTTCCTATCTCTAGCCACGCGCGCCAGGTGGCATCATCGGATTTCACTCGTTTTACTCATATCCTAGCGTCCGACGAGAACAATTTGAAGAATCTCATCAGCGTCAAGCCGGCAAATGCGACCGCAGAAGTTCGGCTCTGGGGATCATACCTCGATGGGAAATCAATACCAGATCCGTATTATGGACGAACGGTTCGTATTTTACCAAAGAAAAGGAAATGAGGTTTCACAAGAGCTCTCCAGAATGGTTTTGAAAACGTGTATCAACAATGTGTTCGCCTTTCGAACGCTTTTTTGGACGACGTGACAGCAAAGGCAAATTTATAGAGGACGTAGAGCCGGAACAACTAACACCATAGACTACATACCCTTCCTTGTACCGGAGTACTCAGCGCTCAATGATGAGTCGGCATATTCACAGATGCTCGAGTTCCTACTGCATCTTCAGCTCTCCAAAGACTCGTTATTGTCTAAGAATTCAACTTAGTCTGAGAAACCGGAGAAGCAAATGGAGAAAATACCTTGTTCTGAGTGTAAAAGTTGATTCCGCTGAAAAAAATCCGTGGTTGGCATCGGAGCCAAAAGCATGCCAAAGAAATATCACATACCTCTTGCCGTAGAAGCCAATGTCACCCAAGACACTCGCCTTGAATGAGAACACTCAGTCAACGTATTCTTTCGCAAGATACAGCAAACTCACTTTGTTTCCGCTCCATGCAAACATGGGCAATGGAACTGGAATCGGCACATTGACGCCAAGCTGGCCAACATTGACTTCCGTCTCGAATTTCTTGGCAGTTGCACCGGATTGTGTAAATATGGCAGCACCATTTCCATATCTATTCTCATTGATAATGTCGAGTGCATCGTCCATCGTCTCAGCCCGAAGGACAATCAAGACTGGTCCAAAGATTTCTTGCCTTTATATGGAATTTGATTACTTTTATGATGAGAGATGAAACAACTTACTGATAGCATTTCATCTTGGTCCCAGCCTCGATAATCGTAGGGCCAACGAAGTTTCCTTCTGGATACTCGGGAACCGTGAGGTTACGACCATCGAGAACTACATTCCCTCCATCTTCTTCAGCTGATCCAATGAGTCCTATCACCCTTTTCTTGGCAGCTGGAGAGATGAGAGGGCCACTAAAAAGATAGATGCAGTGAACGCGATAGAGATTGACAAAAATAAAATCTTACAGGTCGGCGCCCGGCTCAAACCCTCCACTAACCTTGAGCTTTTGAGCGCGTTCAACCAGCTCAGGTAACCATGATTGTGCCTCTCCAACAAGAATGGCTTCGCCAGTTTTAGACAGCTCCGAGCACACTACCAAATAAAAAGCTTACCGACTGAAAGAGCCATGCATCGTTGGCCAGCCGCTAAATTGTTTCGTCAACGTTGAGTATTGGTAATAAAAAGGCACCTCGTTACCCCCAAATGCAGCTCCAACGATGGAGTTTAAGGCAAGATTTTTGTTGGCTATATTTAAGCATCATGTCAACAGTCGGGGAAAAAAGGTTCGGAATGCACGAACCATCAGGCATCACAATGGCATGGTTTTTAGCTCCCAAGTTAGCCTGGCGTAATTAAAAAGCGTCAAGGAAAGTAGAACAGGGGAGATTCCACATCATACAAACCTGAACTCTCTTGCCGTTCTGCGTTCCTCTGAAAAGTTCGTTTCGTTATATATATCAAGGATTCGTCTGAGTGGACGGCGTTACCTCTCGTAGATATGCCTTCCAGCCTTGTCGCCGCCCACGAAACTAATCGCTTTGATGGCAGGATGGTCACATATGGCATTGACAGTAGGAACGCCACCATGAATGACGTTGAGTACTCCATCAGGCAAACCTAAAAGAAAAGTTCGGTGAAATAAACACTAATGCAAGAGATTTCAATGCCAACCCGCTTTCTGGCACAACTCCGCGATGATCATTGCTGCTCCAGGATCACGTTCAGAAGGTTTCAAGACGAGAGTGTTACCTGTCACGGCTGCGATTGGGATAGTCCACAGCGGAATCATTCTGTGCTACTTTTAATTGATGAGCAAACAGACCAGTCGTGGGGACTTACGCTGGGAAATTGAATGGAGCAATGCTTGCACAAACGCCCAGCGGTACCCTCTTAACATATGTATCCATATCCTTGCTCACTGGAGAGGGTTATAAATGGAATTAATAAACAAACAAATCAAAGTAGACACACCTTCGAGTTTGTCTCCGAGCAAAGTGGTAGACACTGCAGTAGCCGTTTCCACGACTTGCAATCCCCGCAGTAAATCCCCCCGTGCATCTGAATATTCAGGTCCTCAGCAAACTTGTAATTAGGAGCTTGCAATACACGAAACCTGCGAAGGTTTTTCCTTGTTCCAAAACTATACTATTCGCAATCGAGTCTGCGTTTTCACGGAGGAGTTGCTGAAGGCTACGTTCTCGTTGACACCTCATGAAATCAGGCTATAAGAAAAGACCTACTTCATGACGAATCGTTGTCTAGTTATCACGCTTGTTCGACTCCATGTCTTGTAAGCTTGGGATGCCGCGTCGACAGCTTGTTCGAATTCGTCATGGGTGGCTTGCGGGACACGCGAAAGCACTGTTTGTGTGGACTGAGGATCAAAATTCAAGAATAAGCGAGTAAGAGTAGCAGGTTAGTCACTGGATCAGGCAAGTCGATCCATTCTGTGGTCTTGCTTTCAACAAACTCTCCTCCAATGAAGTTCTTAGTGGTACCGCCTGTGGCACTCGTTCCTTTCCAATCGGCAGAAAGTTGTTGGGCCGTTGAGCGGGCCACCGCATTGAGAGCACTCAATGTAGTAGATGTTGCGAAAGTCCGGCCTCGAATTGAACGCAACTGAGGGAATCTTGGAGAGAACATGAGAGCAAAGCAACTTTCCAAGTTACATGGTATGGAGTTCCGTCACTTAAATATCCAGTCCCTGACCGGACCTTGAGTGTACACGTGACCTGTCAGAATTTGAGCTTGACCTGCAATCTGCTCGGCGTAGTTTAGTTCAAACCCTACTAGTCGTCGGCGACGGTGACGACCTCTCAACTCCTTTTTTCCCCAGTCCGATAGTTCATCCGACGGGTCCTCATTGCGGGCCCCTGTCTCCGTTGACACGGTTAGCATGAATCAAGGCGCACAAAACGCGATGAATGGCTACCACCCAAATACTGGCGCGTCTAGCTCAAACTCTTACCAGGACTTTCCTCCCCCAATGAATACAAATCAACAACATTTTTTCCCTGGCAATATAGGCGTGCATCACCAGCCTCAACCCGTTCATCACATGGCACAGAATTGGAATCCCCCACCCCCAATAGATCCTCGACATCAACTACCGCCTCAACAACTCCCGTTTAATCAATCTCCCTGGCCGAATCAGATGAATCCTCAGCCATTTCCGAATGGAATGCCTATGGCCGGATTCAACTTGCCCTTTCTTCCCCACCAGGTGCTACAAGACGCGTTCGCTTTGTCAGCTCCCGTCGAGGCAGCGGACGAGTCTAGTCTCGTTCAGACTCTCTTGAGTAGCAAACGCAAGGGAGAAACTTACAAAGAGGCGTTGAACAGCCTCCATGGGGTGAGCCTGTACTTCATGTGTTATGTTTAACCTTTCTCAGCTTTCCATCCATCGGTATAGAAAAATAGTCACTCGGCTAGCCTTTGGAAGGACTATTATCTGGACCATAAAGATCGTTTGGATGCGTGGATTGCGATGTGTTTGCAAAAAGAAAAGAGCCAAGTTGCAATGCCCAAAGAAGCTCATCGACCACATGTCGCGGAAAAGGAGCTATCCCGGTCATCGATTAAAACCACGAAAAAACCTTCCCCGGCATCATTCAAACTGGAGCAATCCCCGGGCTTTCCTTCATCGGTTTCGGTTTCCGTCCCTGCAAAACGACCAAGGCATTCTGAACACTCAACGCCGCCTATTCAGTTACCTCAGCCTTCAGGCAGTCGTAGAAGTACCATCAACAGCTTGACCGCTCCCACCGCAGTCTTTGGTGGCCGTCTACCGGCACCTAATTCCGAAATCAAAATCCCCGATCCCCCCTCACGGTCACCAAGCCCTCCTACCATAGTCATACCCAAGGGAAGAGGCAACAAGTACACGCAGGAGGACCGCGACTTTTTCATTCGTTTTGTGGGATGGAGGCTCAAAGGCGATCCGTCACTAACAAGAAATGATATTTGTAACCTACTGGCAGAGAAGGTTAGTATTTGTTTATTTCAATTCACATTATCTCATGTTTGTTTGCGAAGGCTCCTCATCATACTGCCCAGTCTTGGGCATCGCATTGGTCAAATAATCATGACATTCCTGACAAGATTCTCGCGGCTGCGCAGGGTGACGACTACGAATCTGGCAGCGAGACGGAAGCTAAACAAGAGAACGTTGTAACTAGACGGAAACCAACCTATCGTGATTTAAGTACAGATGAAGAGTCGGAAGAATCAGGCTCCGAAAACGAAGGTCCAGAGGGTCAGTCTGAGGAGGACGACGAAGACGACGAGGAGGATGATGGCGTACCCCCCCGCCATTGGGAGGAACGCCACATGGGAACGAAAGGTAGTCCCTTCACTGAAGCTGACCTTTATGTGACTGCCCAATATATTGTCTCCTTTCCGAATTGGGACGAGGCGACAGCCAAGGACAGATGGACACCATTTAGCGAAAAGGCAAGTTTCATCCGGAACTGGTATTGTTCATGCATACTCAGTGTTCCCATAGTTTCCTCAACGTTCTGCAAAGTCGTGGGGAGAATATTATCGCAGATATGAGCGCGGTACGTAGGTGCCATTTCGGCGGAGTTCATCGTGAGGTCTTACCATACCTCCAGACATTACGAAGCTTGTGCGTAAGATTCGCAAACTAAGAGTTGGTGAATCTTCTGCAATCCACACACAATGCGCACGACCGACTCGTACACCACCCCGGATGAAACGAAAATTTCACATGGGCGATGACGGCTCAACAGGCATTCTGGATCGAGCGAAGCGCGCAAAGGATGAGCCTGAGTCGTAAGCTGTTCCAAAAAATCAGCCTACGAGAGCGGACTACTGTACTTACCTTCTTGGAGTTGAGACCTATATTACCATGTGGCCTTACATCTGCCACCAGTTATATTACGATATGATTACTGTAAATCTTTGTATGGTTCTTCGTAAATAATTTGCAACGCGACACGGTAGTCTGTCTACCCCTATTCCATTCACGTGTGATCGATAACATTGCGACACTAAGTATAACAGAACGAGCACAACCATCAACGTTCAACGTCAACCCCTACTTACATCCGATACCATCCAACGACCCCCCACATAGTCTCCTGCTATGGATGAAGAATACGATGTATATCCCTCAGCAATCGCGCCTTCCTATCATTGACCTCGGTTTTCTAGGTTATTGTGTTGGGAACTGGGCTGACTGAATGCATTCTCTCAGGTTTGCTCTCTGTAGAGGGGAAGAAGGTTCTCCACATGGATCGTAATGACTACTACGGTGGCGACAGCGCCAGTCTTAATCTGACCCAGGTGGCCCATACTGCTGTGGGCACTGACCGAAACTCACCTTCCATCCGCAGCTCTATCGCAAGTTCCGACCAGACCAAGCCCCACCAACAGCGCTAGGCCGTGATCGTGATTACGCCGTCGATCTTGTTCCCAAGTTTATTATTGCGTCCGGGGAACTCACTAAAATCCTTGTGCACACCGACGTCACCCGTTATCTTGAATTCAAGCAGATCGCTGGGAGTTTCGTTTATCGAGATGGCAGGATTTCTAAAGTCCCCAGCACAGAAATGGAGGCTGTGAGGAGCCCCTTGATGGGTCTCTTTGAGAAGAGACGCGCGAAGAAGTTCTTCGAGTTCTTGCAAGGATGGAAGGACGAAGACCCTACAACGCACCAAGGTATCGGTGATCCAACTCAAGTAGTAAAATACTAACGGTCTTGTAGGAATTAATCTGGACAAAGACAGCATGAAGACTGTTTATGAGAAATTTGGACTGGAGCCTGGAACTCAGGATTTTATCGGTCATGCGATGGCTCTCTACTTGGATGACGAGTAGGTGACTTCTCTGAACATTGGTCACCTCCTGCTCATCCTGCGACCAGCTACATCACAAAGCCTGCTCGTCCAACCTATGACCGCATCATCTTATATACCTCATCAATGGCACGCTACGGAAAGTCTCCGTATATCTATCCACTCTATGGTTTGGGAGAGCTTCCCCAATCCTTCGCTCGCCTCAGCGCTATATATGGTGGAACCTATATGCTCGATAAGCAGATTGATGCAATCGTCACTGACGCGGATGGGAAATTCGTCGGCGTTACTAGCGGAGGCGAGACCGTAAAGGCTAAACAAGTGATCGGTGACCCCAGTTACTTCGGTGCTGGTAAAGACGGGGAAGGTGGAAAGGTCAGGGTTCTTGAAGAAGGCAAGGTTGTTCGGGCCATATGCCTCCTCAAGCATCCTATCCCTGGAACCGACGATAGCGATAGTTGTCAAATCATCATTCCTCAAAATCAAGTTGGCAGGCGTAACGGTGCATTTCTAACCCCGACGTTTCTGATGGTCGAGGACGCTGATTGGGTCATCCACAGACATCTACATTGCAACGGTCTCTTCAACACACAATGTTTGCGCTAAAGACGTTTTTGTTGCCATCGTCAGCACAATCGTTGAAACCGACAAGCCAGAGCTTGAAATAGCCCCGGGTCTCAACCTTCTAGGACCTATCCACGAGAAGTTGGTAGTTTTACATGTCTGAAGTCAATCGCTAATCCAGCCTACATCAGATTCGTCACCATAACTCCCTTGTACACACCCACAAGCACGGGTACATCTGATAATATCTTCATCACTCGGTCTTATGACGCGACGTCCCATTTCGAGACCGTCGTTGAAGACGTCCAAGACGTTTTCAAGCGAGTAACCGGGACTGATCTAGTATTGAAGAAGCGCGAAGTCGAAGTCACAGAGTAGGATTCGCCAAATCCGTTGGCACCTTGTATCAATAATTTTTTTTCAAGAAATACATCATGAGGGGAATTCGTGCTTGCAGCGTTGATCTAGCAAACAGCACTTGAAGAACCGCAGGTAAGTAAAGTAATAAAAGCGGTTTGAGTTCAACCCATCAGATCGAGAGAACATAATTATTTAGAAAAACGCATTTATGTCGAACTCTGGTACCTTCACATCTTGTTTGGCAGATTTCATCAAGTCGCCTAGTCCAGCCTTCCTTGCGAATAGATCGCTCTCTTCCTGAATGGGTTCCATGACCAGAGGTTTCTCCGTATCTTGCACAGGCGAAGCTGAGCGTGTTGGTGGGAGGGAAATAACGTCCATGTCTATTATAATTGAAGACCTTCGACGCAAGGCTGGTTCCAATGGGAAGAGTGGCCGTGGCACAGGGGCCGCTGTTTTGGAGATTCTTGGTTTACGGGAGGCTGTGGACGGTCGAACGAACGACCAGGATCGAACGAGATCCAAAGCCAAGGCATGACAGCCTGCATTAACTGGTCAGAAAGTACAATACCAAAAGCATGCGACACCCACCCATTCGACAAAACACACGGGACATTTGTAAAACGAAGTTAAACTCTGCTCGACCCGAAATTTCGCTTGTTCCCTTTGCAGCTTGCAAAGTCTTCGATCTCAGCTGAGAGAATAGCAGTGCAAGACTAGGATCGTCGTAATGAGGTTCTTTAATCTCTGTGACGATGATGTTGTACGCTGTGGCAATGTTTTGCAAAGGCGTCTGAACAATTTAGTTTGTTAGGTATTGCAAGTCAATTTTTCGAACGACACATACTAGCAAAATTCTGACAGCCAGATCTCGACGATGCAGCAACCAAAAGGCCCAACTACCCAACCATCGGTTACCTTGTTGCAAGGCGATTGGGAGCACTGTGTTCGTGAGGACATCAAACAGTATAGGCCCGTCATTAGCCTGCTCCACTACACGTGCGAGAGCAACAGCGAGCTGGAAATCCCCTAGCTGCTTGATGCAGATATTGACGGCATCTTTCAAGGCGTTGCCGAGCAAGAAGAAGGCTGCCGCGTACTCTTGAAAACATTTCAGTCTAAAGATAATAATGGATCAATTGTTTTACCAAAACGGCGCTTGCTGAGCAAAGCATATCCATTCTTTAGTGCAGCAGTTCGCCATCGTGGTTCGGTGAAGTCGTTGGACAAGAATTTCAGCATGATTGTCTGCTCCTTGTGCCATGCAGCTTGCCGCCAAAGTCCTTGCACAAGTTTCGGCTTTCCCAGTGCAAAATAGTATAATGAGCACGCCGTTGGGTCTCGAGCATCACCAGCCATATATTCGTTACGTGCTATTACTTCAAACTGTGACCTCTGGGGAAGGGGGGAGGTTAACACCATATCAGGACATGTGGTGGAGATAATACCAATGCTTCTGGAGAGTTCAACCATAGCGCAACTCCCAGTGATCTTGCATCTGTCCAGGTCATTTTTTTGTTGCAGGCGTCTGTCGACGAGGCCAACAACAGCTCCTGACTTTCGCTGTGAAAAGCCCATATCATATCACGGTAACGAAGCCGCTCACGCCTCCCCGTTTGCAGAGGAATGGAACCAGCGGTGGGTGGGCTGCTCGAAGACACCCGGCGATTGAGAATATAAAATGATCGCATCGAGATTAGATATCGAAGACCATTTGAATCTAATGCACGCCGTTGCTCGTCGATCTACACAATATGTTAAGAAAAAACGAGGCATTATATTGGTTCGACATGCCTCCAACGTAGTTTGAATGAGCACCGAGAGATGTGCTTGCTCGTTTACTGTCAAGCGAGGGAGTGGGTTGGTCTCAAGAGCTTCGATCAAACGGGTGACGAGTGGCCTCGAAAAACCCTCCTTTTCTTCGCTGGTATCAATTTGAGTGGAAGGACGCGAGTGAGATCGTGTTTGCTCACTCTTCCTTTGGATTTGGCTCGCTAAACAACATGCTATATCGTTTCTTGGCCACATACTGAAATACCGCTAAGTGAAGTCAAAAAAAATGAAGAGGGCAACAACTCACATACCTCGCTTGCGGCCCTGTCCGTTTGAAAGAATTTGTCAACAGAAAGCGAGGTCCATTTATAAGCTGGATTGTTTCCGCGGTTCTCGACGTCGTGCGCCAGATTTACCACAATTTCTTTTACAAGCTCGACTTTCTCTGTGACGAGAATAAATAGATGATAAAAAACGTAACATAAATTGGTGCTGACCCCATAAAAGACACTGCAGCAACATCTGTGGGTGATAATCTTCCAAGGGTCCATTTTGTCGTGCAACGAATTCAAATAAGCTTTCCGCCTCTGGTTCCGGTTGCGGAGGTTCACTGAATAAAAACATTTGTTGCCCAGCAGCTACCAAAAATGACCCATGAGCCAACCAAATAGAATCGCTGATAGGGTACGGAGTGAAGCTGTAAAGCGGAGCAAGGTCAGTACGGGAAAGCGATGAATGCCTTGATGGAAACCTTTGAATCTCTATTTTTCGACACAACGCCCATCCAGGACCTTCATCGAAATAAGTCATTCGTTGCTGACAGAGGAGGTTCACGTGGCGAAGGTAGCCAACAGCCAATATAGATTGCATGTCTGGCGTTGAACTCCAATCTAAATCAAGAATCGGTTCACTTCACCATAGATTTTAAACAATTGTCAGAGTAAAGGGAAGAGTTGCGTACCTATGAATACCGATGTACTCTAGACCTGAAGCAAACTCTGACTCGGTTGAATCCCAAATAGTCAACTCATCTCCATCGGATCCTTCAACAACTTATGGCAAATACATGAGATGAGGACGACTTCAAGCGATAGACTTGCTCACCTAGAGCTGTCTTTTTCATAGAACTACAACGCGCCTTTTTGAAGCCCGTCCGACCTGTTTTGACTGTCGCAGTGCACCTCCACCTAGATTCCCCGGTGGCTTCTGGAACCCAAAAGGCCAACTCCCCTTGTTCGGAGACACTGAGGAGGACGTCATGTTCAGCCCAGGCGTGAGTGAGTCTCCAAGCCATTGGGTCCACGGGTAAAATTAGTTTTGGCAAGTAAGGAAGTGGGAGCTTATCAAGAGACCGAATGGTAAGGTCGGAACCTGTCGGCGCATGAATTTGAATAATCGAAAGTTCTGTGGTAATTCCGATGATATACTCATGTCCACTTGGAGAGGGCAGGGTGAATAAAGATTCGAGTGTGGGCAATGTCAAAATTTGAGGAGGTGAAGAGTGCAGCGTTAAAAGCCCGTCGGCCTTTGAATATGTCACAATCTGGCACCCTTCGGAATCGGTTAGCCATCCCAGCAAAAAGAAAAGGAATAAGACTTGCCATGCTCTAAAGGAACCATAAAATCGGCATCGTTCCACCTTACAGATCTAACAAGTTTTGAGCCCCGCTCTGTAATCCTCCAAGCCTCTCCTCCACCGTTTTTGCGAAGAACACCTACACCCTTGCCTTCTGGCGTCCTCACAAGTCGAAGAATCTCTGATTCTTCAGCGGGTATTCTCTCCACAGCCTTGGAAGAAATGTGAAGGGCTTGTGACTGAGCGCCAAAAAAGAGCAGGGGAGAGAAATCGATGGACATGAGAGGTGGTGATGTCACGAGTGTTAGCAGATTTAAATCGGGGTTGGGCAAGACGTAAAGGTAAGAGGGTGGGCATGAAAACACGCCAGGCTGCGCTTGATGCAAAGTGAATTGCCCTAGAAGGGTAGGAGGGCGTCTGTCAATATTCTGCAACACCCGTCAATGGTGACAGCTTCGACAAAGAAAGACGAACGCACGGAAACGGCGGTAATAACAACGGAGCCATCTCCCAAGACGCGGAAAAATAAATCCCATCCCTCGTCAGAAATCTCTCTAATCCTTGTAATCCGCACGTCGTCTTGCGCTCCATTTGTTTCTAAAATTCTACTTAACACGGTACCTACGATCCGCCGGTCTAACCAGAATACCGTGGATGCGCCCAAAGCCAATTGATTTGAGGAAATGGAGAGGGGAGACGAAGAGAAAACATCTAAGGATGCGTGCAATTGAAGATGTTCTGGAGAGTCCAACACGGGAAGGAAGATTCGCAACGTCGAATCCGACGTGATTGTGTAAAGAATGAGGTCATCACTGTCTAAAATTCTGAGCAGGACCTAGACAGAATGTATTAAAGTGAACGAACCGGCTTGATGCTTGCGAACGCCGCCATGCTACTTTAACGACTGGACGCGGGTGAGGAAGAACTTGTGTTCGTCGACCAGAAGTTGTGGAAAATAATCTGACCGAATTGTCCGTCTAATTGTTCGGTCAGTTAATGATAACGGCTTCAAGTGGTTCGAGGGAGTACGCACGTTGGACACGGTCGCGATGTACATAAGGGACGGGGCGAAGCTTGCAAGGGTAACCGCTGGGACTCTGTTTGAAGTCAGAATGAAGGGGTGAAAGCAAAGGTCGGAGGCGTACGATGCGGCCCATTTCTGTGACCACGTTGGTAGGTCATTTTCCAAGACTAGGGTATAAACAGAAAGCCCTCGTCCAGTGCCAACGGCGAGGAGACCTGTCTCAGTCAGCACCTAAGAAGGCGACTAGGTACCAAGGGAAATGTACCAGCTTTATTATCCAAAGCCGTAACGATGTGGTTCTCGGGAAGGACAAGAGTTGAATGTATCCGCCACGCGTCTTGCTGCACACCCGAAAGAGACCAAGCGGCGATTCGTGTGTTGATCGCAGCAACTACCTGTATTGTGATCATGCACACCTCGGGGACTAAGGAGAAGCGGAACCTACAAGTTTCATTCCTGAATCCACTGAGATACATGAAATATTCTGGTTTGTGTTTATTGTGGTTGGAAAAGCCTCCCAGAAAGCTAGAACGCGAATGAAGGCAAGTGTTCTGGCATCGAGGACGATGATTGCATCGGCGGACGGAAATAGCTGGCCTACGAGTCAGACAAAACGGACAATAGGGAGAACGACACGGACAAGAAACGTTTGGTTTGGAAGAGATAGATATTGAACACCGGCAGCAGGGTAAGCTGTACAAGACTGTTGGAGTTGCAACATGAGGACACCGATTGACAAGTTTATTTACTACTGGTTTATGTACTACCTTGTGTTCCCTTACCCTTTCATCCATGATGCACCTCCCATTCACTCTCTTCGTCGCCCTTGTACCCTTCTCCGCATTTGCTTCTCAAATTCCATTGGAACACAGTCTACCCTCCTCATCTTCAACCACTCTCGTCGACGCTCTCTCCGCAGACCAAGACTATACTTCAGTCTTACGCCTGCTCCAACGAGCTCGTCTCATCCCGACTCTCAATAGGCTTGATGGCAGCACTTTCTTCGCTCCAACAAACGACGCTATAAAACGCCATAGCTTAGCCCATCCACTATGGCACTCCGTACTCAACGATAATTCTTTCATCTTGGCCGACAACGTCCAAGAACAACTAAGACAACAACTTTTCTACCATCTCTTGAATTACTCTCTTCCAGTTTCTTCAGTCGACAATGACGTGCAAGTTCATAAAACTCTACTCTTTCCTCGTAACCACTCTGAATCACCTTCACGGGAACCTCCCTGGATGCCAAGTCCCGGTGGCACTCTGGGTGGCGAACCACAAAGGCTCCGACTGGCGGCTCATGGAGAAGAAGTTCGAGTTGGTGTCGATTCGTTTGGAAAGGGAGGTGTTAAAGTTGTAAAAGGCCAACAGGATGCTGGAAATGGTGTCTTGCTTGGGATCGATGACGTTCTAGAGCCTCCTCTGGACTTGTGTAAGTGATTACAAAGTCTTTCTACGTGCCCTACTCAGCAAATGCATTCTCCAGCGACAATCGCTTCCCAGCATACTTCATTATCTTACTTTCACAAGATTTTGTCCCATGACGTCATCGACCGCCTCAATACAACGTCGAACCTCACGCTCTTCCTACCAGTCAACGAAGCTTGGGATGCCCTAGATCCTTATGAACGACTGTATCTGGAGAGCGAATTTGCCGCCGATGACTTGATGCGAATTTTGGATATGCATTCCGTCGTGCGGGACAGCGTCGCATGGTCCGATTCATTTACTCCGTCCTTAAATCGTATGCATCCCCTTTTCTACTTATTCGTAGGTCTTTGACATTCTTCATTCAGTGACCACGGTAGACGGTATGAAGCTTGAAATCGTAGTCACTCCAGAAAAAACTACGGTTTCGGGTGCCAGCTTAGTTCACCCAGACATCTATGCGTCCAATGGTGTTCTCCACCTCGTTTCCTCTCTCCTCATACCTGATGGCGTATTAAAGTTGACGCCAGAAAAGTATCTTCTGGCCCTCAAATGCACAACGTTTGTCTCACTCCTTCATTCCGTTGACCTTACCACTTTGATCAACGACACGGATGCTAAATATACAATTCTTGCGCCTCGCGACGATATTCTAACCGTATTCGGAGAAGGTGAACTTCCAGGTCGTGGCACAGCGGAATTGAAGAGGTTGCTTCAATATCATTTTATACCAGGAAAATGGACGCCAAAGAAACTGGAGGACGGAATGCTCTTACAAACCGCTTTGGAGGAAGACGGTCTCGCTGGAGGTCATCAAGTTCTTAGTATAGAAGTCACCTCTGACGAAAAGAAGAAAGCGGTCGAGAAGACGATAAGATTCGGTGGCGCAGGTGTTATTGGTGACTTTAGTAAGCCTCTCGCGTCTCATAAAGACATCAATTGATATCACAAAATGCAGTCGAAATCAACAATGCCCTGATATATTTTATATCGCGGCCGCTCGTACCGCCATCGGATCCGCTTCAGACTGCATTGCCTTTCCTTGAGCTGTCATCGTTTCTCGCGGCCATCTTTTCGACGTCCAAAGCTGAAACGCTGAGGACCGCTCCGCATACCACCCTCCTGATACCTCGTAATCATGCCTTTAAACGTCTTGGTTTGCTCGTCAGTGCCCATCTTCTCTCCTCTTCATCAAAAGAAGACCTAGAAAACGTTCTTCTTCACCACACCCTCGACACTGTGGAATACGCCAAGTCTATCTTGGGCGGTTCACAACATACCTTCGCCTCTCTCGAGGGAAGCGATATCAAGATCGAGCGTCTCCAGAATGGTTCTGTCGTTGTTGGGCCAAGTGGCGGCTGGGCTGGCATGACGGCTCAACTTCATCCCCGCGACTTGCTTACTCGGACTGGAGTTATACATGAACTGTCAGACATCCTTATACCAAGGTCTGTGGAATTGTCAATCGGAAAGCTTGTGAAAGCTGCCAAAGGAAGTACGATGGCTACACTGGTTAACAAGGCTGGGTTCGAGTGGGTGCTAAATGGGACCGCCCCACCTGAAGACTCTCCTTGGGCGGACGGTGTAGGCTGGACATTGTTGTGTCCTACAGATGACGCCTTCAAAGAGTACAACCTAACTAGACTGTACTCTGACATCGATGGTCTGCGGTCAATCGTCACCCAGCACTTGATTCCTTCCCCAGCTCAGGTGGACCTCGAAGTTGATGACGACGCACTCAACAATAATCGACCGCTTGTTCTCGACGATGCCACCTACACTACCATTCATTCCTCCTCATCGGCTTACGGTGATCTCGTCTTTCGAAGAAGAAAGGATGATGGGGAGTATGTTGTAGGAATAAAGGATGCGAGAGGAACGAAAGGCGAAGCAGATTCTGCTCGCGTTCTCTCCTGGGGTCGATCTACGACCGGAGGAGGCACTGGGGGGGTGATTCAAATAGACCGACTGCTGATACCGTATCAGCCTTCTTGGTGGATTCAATACGGAGCTCCCAGCACAGTCGGCGGATTTGGTGTTTTGATCATGTGTGGATTTTTCTATGGCGTCAGGTTGATCTGGCAGCGGGACACTACAGAGGCTACATACGAACCTATGGGTGGATTTGGTCGCGACGACGACGATTCTTAGATTTATTATAGACAGGATGTATTTAATTTTGTATGTAATTTCCATGTTGATATTCACGTGAAATAATTAAACACCGTCGCTCTATGGATGTGCTTTATGGAATCCGGTTAACCGTTGCCTGCAATCTCCTCTCTCCTTGACCTCATCGTACTTGATTTTTGAGCACGTCAAAGATGGCAAGCTACATCCTGTTACATTACTTTGCCGCTATCTTACTAGAATCTCTTCTAGAGCAGTGAAGCACCAGCCGCAGAAGAAACTCGTGTGGCTGCATCTCCAGCCGATTCCGTGAAAGCCTTCATCGCCGGAGGCTTTGGAGGTGTCTGTGCTGTTCTAGTTGGTACGTACGAACCTTTACTTCCGGGCTTCACGACGTTAACCAGGAACACAGGTCATCCATTCGATCTTACCAAGACGAGGCTGCAAACGGCACCCCCAGGAACTTACACTGGCGCAGTCGATGTAGTTAAAAAAACGCTCGCCCGGGACGGTCTCTCTGGGTAACCTTTTTTTAGGTACAACCGAGAAATGAATAATCGCTGACTGCCCGACTCTTAAGGCTCTATCGAGGGATGGTTCCGCCTCTTCTTGGAGTCACACCAATATTTGCTGTTTCTTTCTGGGTACGCCATTCAACCACATTATCATTTCGCAAGAAATTCAACTTACCTGCGCCTCTAGGCGTACGATGCATCAAAACAACTCATTTATGCCGCCACACCAAAGAGAACGAACGAAGCACTGTCAATATCGGAGTTGGCTCTGGCTGGATTTTTATCTGCTGTCCCGACAACTTTAATTACAGCCCCAGTGGAGAGAGCGAAGGTTCTTTTGCAGGTGCGTTGTGGGAATTGCATGTTGAAGACTTTTATGAATACTCGGTATCCCTTAATCCTTAGGTTCAAGGACAAGGAGGCTCGGAACACAAGTATAAGGGAGTCACCGACGTTTTGAAGCATCTTTACAAAGAGGGCGGGATGCGAAGCATTTACCGCGGAACAGGGGCTACCTTGGCTCGAGATGGCCCAGGAAGTGCAGCGTATGCCATTACATCGCTTCCGTCGTCTGGTTCCGTATTGACCTACTCGCAATAGGTACTTTGCGGCGTATGAAATCACCAAAAAAGCCTTGACCCCGGCTGGCTCATCTCCAGCTGAATTGAACCTTGGTGCCATCATCGTGGCAGGAGGTATGGCGGGTGTAGCTATGTGGGCGATAGCGATCCCTCCTGATGTTAGCTTTTCCACTTTCATTCTCCAAGATTATTTATTGATTTTCTAAAAAAACAGGTCTTGAAATCCCGCCTGCAATCGGCACCATCGGGGACATATTCGGGCTTTATGGACTGCGCACGTAAGACCATAGCTCAGGATGGTGCCCGGGCACTTTGGAAAGGTTTTGGACCTGCGATGGCTAGGGTAAGTAAACTTGTCACTCCTCAAACACCCTTTTTGCTTATCGCTCGGGTGACAGGCATTCCCAGCGAATGCTGCAACATTCGTAAGTAATTTTCGGTTCTCGTGATGAGCCGGACTAACTTAGGATCATAGCTTGGAGTAGAAGCCTCTAGGAAGGTTCTTGATGGTCTTTTCTGAGTGGACTTAAAATTTGCAAATCTTCACAAGAGACAACGGATTTAGATCAGTCGTCGGATGGAGTCCATTAGATTGTAGAAGGTACCTTGTGTTCTTACCTTGGATTATACCAGCAGTCCTTAGCATTAATGTAAGAACCATCCTTAATTTACAATGATTTTTTTGGGTCTGTTTATGTTCCTACATCCAACTTGATGGAATTCCAGATACTGCCTCTGCCCATGTGCGAAGCCTTCCCTCCTCCCAGTCTTCTACATATGATAGACCGGCGCTCCCGCGTCGCCCTTCTTCAATTTTTAGTCGCTTCTCTGCATCACACCAGAATAAGACCCATGATCCCATTCGAAGGTGACCTGAACTTCGATCGAAATACCACTTATTCACGGGGTTCTTTGACCTGCTCCTCCAGACCAGGTCGCGGCCTTCTCCTTTGCCCCCTTTACCTCCGTTAGGGTTGGCGGAAAACGGATGCCCGAGGCCATATGTCTCATCGTGAAGAGCAACCCAAAGAAAATCAACTGTCCCATCACCTTGGTGACTGGGTAGAACGGCGAACTTGTCCAAATAAGAAATGGGCTTTCCAGAAACAGGATCGTCTTCATTAGTGACAATCGCCGCTCCGACGTAGTCACCAGCCACGATAACAAAGTCGAGTTTTTTCTCGAGGCGAGCATAAAAAGATGCGGAGTCCAGTTTTCTCCCGAAAGACTGTTCAAGCAGGGCGTTCAACTTGATTTTGTCGATATCGGAGACGGAGTGAAAGACTTGTACTGGAAGACCTCGTCTGAGGAGGGTTGGCGTGTGTGGCGTAAGCCTCTGGTTTCCTTGGAGAAGAGCATGAGGTAGACTTGAGCTAACAGCGGGCTTATTTGTGATGAGATTTCCGATGAGAGAGCTTGGTGATTTGTGAGAAACCATAATGGCAGATGATGTTGGCGGCATGTATGCAAGACAGGTACGAGCAAGAGCAAGATTCGAGAGCGCACTCGGATGGGTGTGCCTCCATTCCTCGCGGAAAGTCTCGTGGATATGTTGGTACTCGGAGGAAAGATTGATGAGGAGATGAGGATAGCCAGAACGAGCGTACGATGGGATCCCACCGTGCCGATTGATGATCATGAGCCGAAAAGGTGCAAGCTCGACTTCCTTTGAAAAGTCTGAAGGGGCATCTGCAGACTGAAGCTCAAGGGAAGATGCCTCGACCATGCCGCGAACAAGCCCCGCGATGACATCATTCGAGTCAACGCGGACTGAGCGGCAGAACGAATCCAAGGCAAACGGAGAAACCACTGGAATCTCTCCTGCTCGAAGCGCAGAGCGAAGGGGCGTAAGATCTGGAGGCAAAGTATGCGTTTCTGGGGGGGTGAAATCAAGTTCTGATGTGGGATCCTCCGAGCCTGGTTTTGGGCCAAGGCGAACGATGGCACCGGTGATGGGACGTGCCCTGGCACCATGTTTCTCTAGACTGCTAACCACCCGCATTACCTCGTCAATGATGACGCGCCGTTCATCTTGATCGCCTCTCGGTTGATTATCGTTATCTACGACGATCACACTGACGAGGCCAAGTTTGGACAGATAGACAAGTCCACGAGTGATGCTGTCGAGCTGAACATCGGTGAATGGACCTTGTATTTTCACCAACGCAGTGCGGTTGTAAACTGGGTTGAGAATTGATGTGATTACTGGGCTAGGGGTAGGCTGTATGGGGATAGTGGGGGTAGCAGTTGTTGAGGCAGGAGGAGTAGATGGTGGAGGTGGAATGATGATATCTTGAGACTGTTGTTCCTGAAATAGTTTGGTAGGTCGAGGCCCAAAAGACGCAAGGAACGATCTAGTGTCCCTCAGTGAAGGGTTCGCCCGTAAAATTGATATAATAAAATCCTGAACGTTTTCCATGGGTGTTAAGACAGATCGATCGAATGGAAAAGTCGTACATTATTTGAAGGGGGGGTATCTTCGCTTTCAGCTGGCGGTGTCCGCAGGCCGCGAACTGTCTGCTAAGCTATGAGAACTCCACAAGGCATCGAGAGGAAATAACATACGGCGTAGAATGCCCTGTAGCTCCGAGCCCGCTGGGCCTTGAGAGCAGATATGAAGGACACCGAACTCATACTTATATGAGGTTGCTAAAGGAGAGGGAGAGGGGAAGTAATTGAAGAGGCATGAGTAGACACGGGTTTTTATAAAAGTTGAAGGCAGCTGAGGGGCCTAGTATGACTCCTGCTGTAAATTATTATCAGATAAGATCTCTCTGCCGATCACATCATCTCATATCATTCTTAAGTAGCTCAACAGCGTTTACCGCCATTGGCTGTAGCCAAAGAAGCGCTTTCACAGCACCTTACAGGACTCATACGAACCGTTCATTTTATAAATTTTCGATCTTTACAGCTCATCTGATTGAATCAGATGCTGTTTTCCACTAAAGAGGCCACAAATAGCCCATTCCCCTCAATGCAATGTGGTCACCCAAAATCACGCCGGTGTCAAATTGATACGCCCTTGTGTTTTTCCCGCGACGGCGCTCCTTGGAATTATCGGAGGACAAAACCGCCTTCCGTAAGCCTTTTTCCTAGCAAGAAAAAACTTCGAGGCATAGACTTCAGAAGGTTAAGAGGGTGTATTCCCTGTGATCGAGACGTGACTACTTATCGTCAGAGCAAACCAAATTGTTCTGACGTAGACACTCACATCAACAATGATAATGCTATCCTCACTGCACATCACAGAGCATTTGTAGTTAAAAGGCAAAGCCAACGTCCGTGATCGATATGGGAAAAACGTTTGGACGTCTTCTTCGAATATGTCACCACCTTCAAGAAGTGTCGGGAAAATCTGGTACTGTGTTTGCTGACCAAGTGAAACATCATGCTGCAAGAGTTTCGCAGACGATGCCGTGGTTTGCGTGTGTGGCGCTGTTGATAAGCCTCTTTTAAGGGCTAACTGGTTGAAATCATAAATTTTGATGGAAAGACTAGCATTCTCGCCTGTCTCGGAAACGACATATTTTGAGCCGTATACGTAGCAGACCCAAACGATCGAATGTGGTTGAGCCGGCTCTATCATCCGAGTACCGCGAGGACCCCAGAAATCCCAGACAAAATCCACCTTGTGATCCGCTGGGTCTTTTGAGTCTACCCCATTGATACAGGCGAGGAAGGTGGTCGAAGGCACGAGTGTGGTGACACACCGAACAGCGTCTTCGACTTGAACCCACAGCGAAACAACGTATAGCGAATTATTTTTGTCCATATAGAATGGAACACGCGGATCGCGGTGTGCCTGCCATAAAGGAGCTGGATCGGATTGAATTTGGAACGCGAGTTGGTGGACATCTTCCTCAAGATGGGGGAAATGGAAAGAGAACGAATACTGGACGTCACTGGGGCGTTGAGGTCTTTCCGTTTCCTTTTCAACGTCCACTATAAGAAGAACGGGTACGTAATCGCCGTCGTCGACTTCCCTGAACAGACATATCACAACGAATGCCTGGGAGAGAAAAGAAAAAGATCGGATTTGATTTCCAACGAGGTGCTGAGCATAAAGATGAGCTATCTGAGACTGAAGGGCAAAAACCCCACCTACCATTTGCACTTGGCTCGTTTTCCAATCCCAGATGACGAGTTCGGTCCCATCGACGTGCACGCTGTTGAATAGCACACCCACATAATGACCAGATATCTGTATCGTATATGAAGTATCCTCATCTCTGAAAGTCTGAATGTTAGATAAGATTGTCCCTCCCTTGGCCTCGGGATGTGGTTCGCCTGTGGTCAAGGTGCGAATGTGCAGTCGGTAAGTATGGTCAGCGGTCTGTCCCACCCTGTCGATGTGAGAAAAGTTATCGAATTATTTTTCATAAAATGAAGATATGACGCACCAATGAGGTTTCTCGATGAGAAGAAGCAGATCTTGCGATAGATCCATTGCAAAATCACGCACAGGACAAGGAAAACTCGGGCCAAGAGACCACTGTTTCTCCTCGATAGAGCGAAGGTCCGAGGGAAGCCTGATAAAAGAGATGCCACCTTTTTCGTCGCTCTGAGCAAGTACGCCACCGTACAACTCCCACAACCCTCCTGATCGCATCGGGAGACGCGATTGCCGACTCCACTTCAACTCGTCCCAGGCGTTCTGGTGCCGCTTGAGCGCGTCGAGAAGAGCGGCGGGTGAATCAACATTAGCGCAACAAGATTCTTGTCCCGCAACAGCAAGATTAATGGTATATTGTAGAGTGGGTGTTTGATCAACCAAATCTTTCAAGTTGTGGCAAACCTGAAAATGTCATTTGAAGGAGATTGGGATTGTTATAATTCTTACCTCCCTGCACTTCAGGAGAGTTTCATAGTCCGACACGTGGTCCAAAATATTAAGGACGAGTTCAAGTGGAAGAGAATTTAAAAGAGAGAACTTGGACATGGCAGAGTTGAGTAAAGTCACGTGTTTCTCATCTCTCTCTCTTCCTCACATGGATATCAGTCGCGAACGAAAGCGTCTGCCTACCAAGGTCACTCCCCAATTGTTGTACTCCCCTCTTCTCTCAACGTTTTTCAGCTATACCAGCAGGATATTGTTCATCATGTCGTTCGTCCTCGTTCATATGGGATAGTGTTGGTACGACAAGCCCTCCGCTTTCCTAAATGCATTTCTCAGTCGTTGTATAGAGATGTTGGCATGACCCTGAGGAAGTCCCACAAAATGCATCATTTACAGACCCTTTAATGCGTCCACTTCAACATGGAGAAGTTGGCGTCTCCTTCATCTCAGATGGCGGAGAAAGAGAGATTCTCCCGGAGTCTGATCTCAAACTGGTCGATCGCAGTTTCCAGCCAGGTGATTACTGCAAACGAAGCGTAGAGGATGTCTGCTCGGGAGTTGTTGTGGCCGTTAAGGTAAAAGGCCGATTGGAACATGCTATCAGTGGAGAACAAGTTGAAGGCTGGTGGACGGTAGACGACGTCGAGGATAAGCCTGATGCTGAAATAGGCGACTATGTTATTTTTGAGGATTGGATAGGGCAGGCAAGTGTTTTGTTTCGTCTGTCCCTTGGTACACTGTGTCCTATCCTGAATTTAGGTTATTGAGGTGAGCTCATCTCGCCCATGTCTAAACCGCCTCCGGCTTTACGCTTTTCAAATAGGTATTTGATGAGTCTATTGTTGAACTCTCAACCAAGCAACTTGTTCGCCTTCCGGAATTAGGATCTCGTTTAAATGTGGGGGAAAAGGGAAACGTCAATCAATTCTTCCCTTCTCTTGAACATAGTTTAACTTTTGTTGACAGGACATTCTACCTCCCCCCGCGAGTGGAATGCAGAGCTACCTCAGCTACTTCGGGGGTCAATCGCAAGGTTCTTCCGATACGGTGATAGCTGTGAAGCATAGTGTTTATGCGGTGGCATGGCTCGCCGTCAACCAGAAAGTAGGTCTGTGTTTTCTCGTCCGTTTTGTTGTAATGCTCATATCTTCGAGCTTGATGTGTCTCTGGCTGAAAAAAAGAAGAGACCTCAACGGTTCTGGTCAGGACAGGACATAGGAAAACTCACTTTGATTAGGGGTCGTTCCGATTTTGAGATGAGAGTCGGTGATCGCGTACATCTGAAGAATGCCACAGGACTTCCCAGCACACAACATGGCCGAGAAGGGGAATCAGCTGGCATTGTTCATGTGCAAGCATTTCTTGTGGTAGAAACCGAGACATCCTTGGACGTGCTGTGGCAGGACGGTGTTCACGAAACTCTCAAATCCACAGATGTCATCCCATATCTAAACCCGGACGAATATGATTGCTGGTGAAGGATATCTTCCTTTGACTTCCTTTGATACTGATGGCGTTTACCAGGCCCGGCGACCACGTCGTGTGGAAGAGTGAAGAAGAGAAGCGTTCAGCTATCGTTCAGTCTGTCAATGCAAAGGAGCGCACCGCCCTCGTACTTTTTCCGGACAGCGGTGCTACAGAGCTAATTTCTGTACTGGAGTTAGATCCACATGGCACTTCAGATCTGGGAGCCGACCCCCAGTCCGCTTCAGAAGGCTTTGGTGTACGTCGGGGTGATTTTGTTTTGATACACCACCAAGAAACAACAAATGGGTTGGAGAAGCCAAGAGTCCCTCGTATCGGTGAGTTAGAAGCATGGGTTCGCGAAGGACCGTTTGCAGATGGCCATTTTATGGGATGGAGAAAGGAAATGTACGACATTGGCACTGAGATAGCTTCTAAAAGAAGCTCCGGGGCATTAGTTGAGGATCCCATTCAGCGTCCTGCCGACGACGACGCCTTTTCATGGATCGGCGAAGTCACTAGTGTATGTCTTCCTATACATGTCCCCATCAAAGCATACTGATTGTTAGATCGCCCTGCAGCTGAATCTTGACGGGACTGTGATGGTGACACATCCTAATTTTTCTGTCAGGCTATATCCGCTCGAGCGCCTCACTCGGTTATACGACGGAATCGAACAACTCGAAGATGATATATGGGACGATGCTTCTGACGATCATGGTTCTTGCGAAGATGATGAGGTTTGGGCTATGGATTTTGAAGACGGCAGGTGGAAATCAAAACGCGGGGATGCCAACGAATCGGAGGAAATAGAGGAGGAGTTGAATGAGGAAGAGGCCGAAGACTCCGATGGAATGCACCTTGACAATGAATCCGCCACAAGTGCACATTCTGGAATCAATTCCTCAAAAGGACTTGAAGTTGCTCCGCTGCAACTGGCTGGGGACGTTGGTTCTCATGAATCGGAAGAATTGACATGGAAGCGTTTTGACCTCTTGCCAACGGCACCCCCAGATCACGCATTTCTTTCATCTCCTCCTGCACAACCGTCTAAGTCATTTTCCAGTCGTCTTATAAGAGAATATCGCGTCCTCGCCAGTAGTTTGCCTGGTAAGTGGTGATTGCTGCTGTATGACGGATTTCTTGTTGACACGAGGGTACACAGATTCTATAATAGTTCGGGCTTACGAAGATCGCAGTGATCTTTTGCGTTGTCTTATCATTGGACCTGAAAACACGCCTTACGAGGATGCCCCCTTTGTGATTGACTGGATGTTGGATTCAAACTTTCCTCATAGTCCTCCTATCGCTCATTTTTTGAGTTGGACGAACGGCAACGGACGTGGTTCGTTCTGTATTTTTTCCATTGTCAAAAACTTAATTTGAGTTGGGTTATAGTTAACCCGTAAGTCTCTATATACCTCAAGATAACTTGATTCAGAGCGATCGGTTGCAACAGGAACTTGTATGAAGAAGGAAAGGTCTGCTTATCCATTCTTGGCACTTGGGCGGGGGACAGGAATGAGGTTTGGAACTCGGCTCGATCCTCGTTGTTGCAAACGTTTGTGTCTATACAGGGCCTTGTTCTTGTGAAGGAGCCGTGAGGACTGGTCGAATCTTTTCAGCTGCTTAATTCTGACCTTTACCGCAGGTGGTTTTGTGAGCCAGCTTATGATAAATTACGGGGTACTGAAGAGGGAAGCGTGAACAGGTTCGCAATTTTTACTACTCATTTGTATCGTTCCAATGACAACGCGTTACAGTCGACTGTACAGTGAGAAGGCTTATGTTCTTTCCAGAGGATTCGTTCGTCGTGCTCTCGAGATACCCTTGGGTGGACTTGAGGAAGAAATCAATTGGCTGTATTATAACAAAGGTCGCCTGGAAAAGGTTCTTAGGGATGCGCGAAGATTAATCGAAAACAGCAAGACGGATCCGGACATCTCCGCCGAGGATAAGGATATGGCTGTACCGAGGCTGAGCTCTGGAGGAATAATTACCCTGGAACGGACATTGCACAAATTACAAAGTATTGCGGATTCCCAACCCTCGAATTAATCTTTCCTCCTGTCTAAGAGTACAGAACGCTGTACATGCATAATAATAATAATCACAATGGAAGGGAGACGAGTCCAAATGTCCTTGATGTACGTATTTTAGCATGTATCCAATAAACTGTTCTTTGGAAAGGGCTGTTGATAATCGTTCTGCCAAGTCGTGAGATTTGGGTTTGTGTACGCTTCAATGTACCTAGATAGAATGTTTAAATCTCAAAGACTGCAAGAGGGTGAGAGAAACGAACTGATTGATGTAGGCCTCTGTGGGGAAATCCGAGGGATCACAGCCAATGTTGATGGCATTCTTAGGTTGGTAAACTCTTATCCAATCGATTTGCATCGTGGTGGGAAACGTCAGATGCTGGAGATCAACAACACCAAAGTTTTTCGACATTCCCAGGTTGACGATGATATACTTTGCGATGCATTAACTTATTATGGGGCTACGTTTATGTATATGAATGCGCACCAATGGCTCTTGAGGGATGGGGCGAGCAGATATTTCCACTGTGGTATCTGGGCCCATGCCGTTCCCCATAATCGTCCAAGTTGATTTTGCGTTTGCTATCCAGGTAATGTACTGCATGGGGTAGCATTAAACAAGTACACATGATGCAAATAAGATGTCCAAACCCCGGTATCGAACCCTGTGGCGGGAGGATTTGGATGAGCACATAATCGGAGTGAGATTGAGATGCATCATTTACCTGGCTTATACTCAAATCCATATGTCGAGAAGCAGCCTGCTTCCAATTCATAACAAGATTGGTCTACATATCCTGGTTATTGCAAGAAAAGCTGGGCAACGATGAACCTTACTCGTTGTTGTGACACCAGATGTAGCTTGCTGGGTTATTCCTCCAACATAGGGATTAAGGAACGTGGTCGAAGGATCAGGGATAATTAAATTGTTCGAGGTGTTTGCCCAAATATACTGAGCATTGAATGGCTGCATGGAATGTTAGTAATGAGCTTGTAGTAGATATGAACTGATCTCACAGCCCACTGAGCAGACTGAGAAACTTGCCCCGACAAAGGATTACCCGTGATCTAAAACAGTATTAGCTATTTACATCTCTGCTCCAACGTAATACGGGTACCTGAGCTTCAAAAACGTCAATTTCTGGCGCTGAACGACCGACGAAGGTCCCATCAGAGTGCATGGGACCAGGATGGGACTCTCCTTTACAAGTGCATCTTGACAACTTTTGTCCAGGAAGATATGACAAGACATCCCCATTGTAAGGGTCGCCGTTGACGGTAGCGGCGACGGGCAGCCCATTGATAGTTTGATTGGGAGCGGTGCCAACATCACAAGCGTCGTAGGAGTAGGGCCACTTTGGACGAATCAGCAGGTGGACAAAGCGTCGGAAAATTTGAACGTACCATGCCTTCCAGACTTGCGCCATATCCGGCACGCCCTAAAAACGAAGGCTCGTCAGAAAGTTTCCCTTGATTGTTGCCCAACAGTAGACTCTTACCTAGGTTTCCCATGGTCCAGACTGCGGGCCATAAGCCAACTATGTTGTTTGCGCCTGGCAAACTAACGGAGGTCTGTAGCAGACCGCCAGTAAAACAAAACTTGTTCCAAGTCGACATAAGACCGCCTTCATAGTTGAGGTTGTGGATTTCTTTCTTAGACAAGGTGATTTGGAGAAAGCCATTTTTCGTGGTGATGGCTTCGGGGTCGTACCACTCCAAGTTGTTTGTCTGTAGAGGGATGAGGCAGGAGAATCGAGCAACCATTGAAAGAGATGCGCACCTCCCAGTAATGGAGGTCCACTGCCTCCCAATACGGATCATCTCCAGGATAAAATGTACGGCCATCTGTATTGAACTCATCACTAAAGACGAGCTGGAGTTCTTGGGTGGGATCATGATATGAAGGTATGGTATAGAGGTTGGATGGCGTCTCAAGGTCTACCAATCCCCAATTTCCCGCCATGCTTGGTACCTTGGGGGGATGAAATTAGCATGTAGGTACTAAGAAAAGAAAGGCATGTACTTGGCCACTGGCGTTGATCCCACCAAGATTGAAACCACCCAAGGTAGAGAGGGGGTGAGCCGTAAAGTGTGAAATAAGTGGATATCCAGCGCTGAAAGAGAAAATGAAGCAAAATTTACGGCCACGACGATGTGAAACGCACAATAAAGTAAGAAGGCCGACACATAAAACAATCATACATCCCAAGTTGGTGAGACCTCGAAAGGTGAAGAAATGACCACCAGTGTCATGTTTGCGATCGCGACGAGGATCAGGATTGTGGAGGTAGTCGTCAGGCTCTGGAAAGTCAGGAGAAAGATTGGATCCCCATGCAGCTGGGTCGGGGGAGAGGGAATACTGTTCGGTGATATTTCAGCGAGCGCCAAGGAACGGGGGATGTGTGACAAACTTTGTCTGAGATTGATGGTGCAACAGGAGGCCTGTTTTTGCTCGCGTAGTGGTATGGTGAGTCGCCCTATGTATTGTAAATGAGATGGTCTGGCGAGGGGATTGGAAGGGAAAATACCAGGGATGTGGTGCTGGAAAGGCTGGGCAATGAAGGTGATGGCGGCAATCGGGCAAAAGCACGTTGGTCTGTTGTCCTTGGCAGGGGCTGTGGCGATATCAGATTTGTCCTCGATGGAGATGCTTGCGGAAAATAACGACGGGAATGGCCAAAGGAGGACATGGACTCGGAAAGACAGTGAAGAGAAACGAACGACGGGCAAAATGCGACAGTGGAAGCTGAGGATGGTAACAATGCTCCACCTTCACACGTTATTTTAAGCGCTTCAACAAACTACCGTACATTTATTACAATAGGCTCAGAACTCCATAACTCCCAGTCGACGTATTCATTTCCGATATCGCTCTCTCCACACGCTCAATTCCCCAATCTCCGCCAGAGCCCATCGTTACAACCGCCCGCGCCTCCTTTAACCGCTCGTGCACCAAACCGTTGGCCTTTTCAATGGCCGAGTGATCCACGTTGGCCATCAACTGTTGCTTAAAGCTCTGGTATTCGTCCATCGCCGTCGTGGAACCCGTTGGAGGCTCTTGCGTCAGCCACTCCTCCAGTTCATTAAGCGTCTTCCGGGCCTTTTTAGCTTTGTCACGTTTTGTCGGACGGCCTTTCTTCTTTGGTGCAGTCGATCCAACCGCATGGACAGAACTCTCATCAACAAAGATCTCGCGAGGCAGATCTCGTGGATTCAAGGTTCCCAGATCTGATCGAGGAACGATAAAGAAAACTTGATCGTTCAGCAGCTTTGTCAAAATGAAGACTATGGAGGGCTGAAATGGCTGTAGTAGTGGCGTAGTCAATGTTTCTGGGAAAGACCTGAGCGACACGTATTGATCTGTTTCATCTTTTGTAATGAATATTTAAAGATTAAGAAGTGGACGCACCGAGCGGTATAGGAATATTGCTAACGCCATATAATGGCGGTGAGGTTCCCTTGGGCTGGCTGTAAAAAAATGTGTACAACCCAAAGAGAGCAACAATTTGAGTAAATGGAGACTCATTTGTCGTCATTCTTTCTACGCACCGGAATTTGAGTCTATGGACACGGTAGACGCAAGGAACGCACCGAGAAATAATCGGAGGGTGGTATCAAGAAATCTATCGCGCGTGCGACGATCAAAGACTTTGAAGATTAGCCAATGCCACCCTTGTGAACACCAGATGGATTTGAACAGCTGAAAAGGCTGGGCGCATTGGGCATTTGTATAGGCTTCGTGATAGCGGTGTGTGAGGGTATTGATGTCGTCACGAAGGGCTTGCACGTAAATGGAGGAAGTGAAGTAATTTGGCTGCAAAACAATCTCTCCGCGAGTCGCGGTCGGAGCTGGGGCGAGAGACATGCCCTGAACGCGTGGACGTCGCGACCGACGGTGGCAAGGTTATGCCACTGCTGTTAGTTTGGTTGATCTCGTGTTGACAAACAACCTCGAATCTCAACCGTACTCACCAAGCATGCCCGATCTCTTTAGGCGGCATAGCAACATTCAATGCTTTTTCTGCCACTCGCCCTCCAAGAATCCTCGGAATTTTCGATGCCCAAGCTGTGCATGCTGGAACCGCTACGATGATAATGGCGAAATTCTGTCCGACGAACCAGCAATGCACGACGAACATCTCAACTCGAGATCGTTCGCAAAGCGTGGTAGGTGCTGCTTAAAAAATGTTCAAACACTAGGAAAATTACAACGCGTCAACAGCTTCTCCCAGTAAGGATCGGTTGCCAACTTCGTATGGACCAGGACCATTCTGCCATAATTGCCAGACAAACCAGATGCTCCTGGTCAATTTATTGTCGAATTACCTACCGCCACCTGAAGTACGTGTCTTACATGATGCTCTCGCGGAAAATTCATTTTCATTGCAGAGTCCAGAATATGAGCGACGACTTGAAATGCTCCCTGCATATCGGGAGTCGCTGCACCTCAGGTACCCCCCGGTGTGCGAAAGTTGCCTTCCTCTCGTAGAAGAGGAGATTCAGAAAAAGGATCAGATGGCTCGGACGAAAGCTCTTGGAGCATGGCTGAAGGACAGCAAAGGGAAGGAACGCCAACGCAGGGTTTCTGGTGCGGTCAAGGGCCGAGAGAAGATCACTGTCGAGATCCTCTTCTGGAGGTTGCGGGGCTTTCTGTGGATATCTACTATCGTTCTTTCTATCGTCGTAAATTCCAGAGGTGTGTCATTTCTAAATCTCTATTGTTGACTCCAACTAAACTTCTCTCAGCCGCTCTGGGACATCCAATTTCTGGCCGACTGTGGTCTTTACAAGCTATTCTTCCGCTTTTCATCCTAATTTCCCTCCTATGGACAGCATGGGATCCCACTTACCTGGCGTTTCGCAAGGCTCAACTACAGGGCCGCGACATTCGAATACACGGCAAGAGCAAATATATTGTATGTTGCTCTTTTCTCCTCGCCGCTCATGTCAATCATCCCGATTACTGTCAGACATATCAGCTAATAGGTTGGCTGTCAAGGTTCATCACATCCGTCGCCCTCTCTTTGTGCTGGTTCAATCCCCAGCTGGATTACCTGCATTTCGTTGACCCAGCCTCCCTCCGCAACCGGACTTACTTCACGACAATGCTTCTCATTGAAATTATTGTTTGTTCTCCCGAAATGACCTGTGGAAGAGTATTGATTTCACCAATAGACATTCATATCTTCATGCCTGGTGCTACGCGTACAGCAACCGCCCGCAATACGTCTACTGAACACGAACACACATCAAGTACCTAGTTCTCGGTCAGCTACACCCAATCCTGGCACGCGAGCGGGTACCCCATCCTTCCTCTCCAACAAAGAACCGGACCTTCTGGCTTCTCTCTCCCTTTCCAGTAAACCGGTTATCACTTCGTCCAATCCAGTGTTTGGACTTCCATCTCTACTTTCACCTTCAAACATGCCCGCTTCCGTCCCGCATGAGGACAACGAAGATGGAATGGACTGGACACCGACGAACATGAACGGCACACCATATAACAGCCGAGCGGGGAGAGATACAGACGAGGCCGCGTCCTGGCTGCGGCCACAACAGTTTTTTGCCCCAGAAAAACCCACTGGGCTTGAAGGTCTGTTTGAGCGAACGAAATTGGAGGATGACGCAATGAGGGTAGACGGGAGCGAGCAACAGAGAAACATACAGTTTTATGTCGGTTCTAATATGTGGTACCTGGTTTGTTTAACTCTGCTGGTGGTGCCATCCGTGGGTGTTGCATACAAGCTACTGTATCACTAGGATTTACAGTGCCCGCGTAATTCGGGGCACTGCGATAATGACGATTTGACGGACATACTGGACACTGGACTTGCTGTTCAAATTGGAGAGTAGGGTCTATATCTTGAGCGCTGAGTGGGTGGTCGTGGCAAGCCGCAAGGAAACTAACAAATACGTGGGGAAGAGTATAGATTGTCCGAGTGTACGAAATGCAATTAGCGGCATTTCGTCCAGAGTCGAAATTGTCAAGAATATATTGTCAGAAAAACGACGGGATAAGAGGTTGCCGTAACGCAGAAATCCAGCGGCACCATGAAAAAAATAGAGATAAAAAACGGGTAATGACTGCTGGCACAAGCCATACATTATTCAATGATACCTTATTACTGCGGAGATGAAATTCGACTCCTCAGTATCTCGGGTTAACTGCGCCATTGTAGTCGTAAGGGTCGTGGTTAACGTGTCCCACCTGATGATGAAGGGGAACACCCATATCATAATTGGGAGCGAGGCTAGGGCCGCGAGCCAAATGCTCTTGCATAGGTGGTTGGGTGGCTGACCCGCGAGCTAGATCGGCGTAACCACCAATGGGAGCGGAGTGCGATGGGACAGCAGTGAAGTCATGATCAGGAATAGCGAACCCAACGTTTCTGTTGGCGGAAGATCCGTGACCTGAGCCAGAATGGAAAGAAGAGGCAGATGACGGGGCGCGGCGATGAGAGGGTATAATGCCTTCGTCAGGATTCGTCGGTTGCCAGTCAATAGGTTGAAGACGCTCATCAAATTTGGACGAACGGCCAAGCTTCCATTTCCGGAAAATGGTCCACAGGATGGCGACACCACCAATGCTTGACGCGACGATGATGAGAACGGTGAGGGTTGTGCTTTTGGTTTTAGCCGCGCCAGATTGAAGGGCAGGAACTCCAGTGCTCTCTGCTCCGACCGACTGGGTACGAGTCACAGTTGATTTGGCCGTGCTAGCAGGAACCTCAGCAACGGGGACTGGGCTAAGGTTAAGAACCTGTGACGTCGTCGTGGCGATGGTGGATGTTGAGGAGGTCGTCGTCGAAGAAGAAGTGGATTGGCTCGTCGACGACGTAGAGTTTGTGCTGACACTGGAAGCCTGAAAGGCTATTGAGATGTTGGTTCTCACGAATAAATACGAAACTGACATACCGAAAGGGTGGAGGAAGTTGAGCTGGCGCTCTCTGTACGAGAGCCTGATAGAGTAGAGCTAACAGATACGGATGTGACGGAGGTTGACGTTGTTGAAGAACTAGGAATTGCGGCTGCGCCAGCTACAGGGCCAAAAGGTGATCCATTACCGTTGACTTGTGGTAAAGGACCACGTTTCTTAACAACACGATTGAGATTAACGTGATCACGTTGTTGAAGCTTGGCCTCTGACAACGAGAGGATAAGGGTAAGGCAAACAAGGAGCGTGAGGGGAGTCCGGGGGAAAAACATGGGGGCAAAGACGAGAGTTGGAGTGTATGAGTTCAAGCTAAGGAAAAGTGAAGGTCCAGCCAAGGTGATGGAGGGAAGAAAGAAGGAATGGTTACGGATCAGCAACGAGCAAGACAGTAACGTTAACAGGGTAGACTGACAAATGACAGGTGCAGCGTCAAACGGCCACAGTAAATACGATTCTCAACGTCCACCAGCAGGTATACACCAGTCGAGAGTTTCTAGGGCGTCGGGGACGTTGGGGACGGGTATAGGACTGGTATCAGAGTTTTTGGATGAAAAGAAAGGAGAACATGTTTGATTCGTTGTCAGCTTAGGTAACATGGTTGGTTACCGTCCATGCGTCCATTTATAAATTCAAGCAAATACCTACAGTCATCGTACAAAACTAGAATACGTCCGTAAAAGTAAGGCTGAGCAGGTAAATAAATGTTCCGTAAAAGTGGGTATTAATTGTGGCTCGTAAGAGACCAACTGTCCAGTGAAACAGACGGCGGTGTCACAAAATCACTCGCCGACATTCCACTCCATTGCGGATTAAATAGCACCTGTAAACTATACGTGCCAGCAGGGAGGCTAATAATCAGAACGGTAACACCTGGGTTAGCTTGATCGGCTGCCGGGGGAGTGGGATCAGTGGAGAAACGAACGGCAGCAGACGTTGTGAATGCTGCCCCCGATGGCGGATTGAGCATCGAAACCTTCATGGTCTGACCATCCAGCGTCAAGGTAGCTGATGTTCCTCCGGTATCAACGCTAACAGTCGCGTTGGTGTGCATTCGCCATTGTATACCTGCCTGCGCAGTGATTTCATCTTGTAGCAGGACTTGTCGACGGGCATTGAGAGTCCGAACACCTCGCTTGACCGATGTCCTGAAATTTAAAAAATCAGGTAAGGTTCTGGCGAAGGCGCTGCTGACTCACGCTTGGAAATAGGCCGACGTCATGTCAGTCGTCCAGAACGCTGTTGATGTATCTGGAATGCTGATGACTGTGCTTGAACCTTGGGCCGTTCCGGACGAATCGTGACGAATAGTGGGGGCCGCAGCAACATTCTGGTTTGACTGGTTGACCAGAATGGTGTTCTGGCCTTCCGTCATCTTTCTGTAGTACGTCCACCGAACGGCGTTCTGAGCATCGCTAGTGAAATAATCGGGTGCCAGATAATCACCGGAACCAAGCTCTCCCGCCCATCGCGTCCCAAGAGCGTCGAGCACGAAGTCGCCGACATCAAGGTCATTGTGCGTCTGATGACCTTGATTAAGCCCCGCTTTGATAGCGACAAATAATGCCTTTCCGTCCGTCCAACTGCTCCTCATCGAAGCCCATTGATCAAGAGCATTGTCGAAGAAATGATCAAGTGGTGCTCCATCCCAGAACGCTCCAGAAACCGTCGGATCATACCAAAACATGCTCCATGGTTCGGCAGCATCAGATTGCTCACGTTGATGCAGCGCAAACTGGGGCTGATTGAATTGCTCAGCGTAGAATATCATGGCATTGGCCGTCGTGGAAAACTTGTTGGGGCCATGATCGCCATAATTGAAAAGAGACGTGGGGCCATACGCATACATATGGAACAAACCGGTTTTTGCGAAGTTAGGGTTGACATCGAGGAGACCGTAATGCGAACCCGTAGCTGTGATGAGAGCAGATGCCATCTCAGCATGTCCTGTGGTACCAAAGTACCAATAATTCGCGGTTTCCGCCCATGTCCCGTCATCTGCTACCGCCAAGGCACAGTTCTGGTTGGCGTTGTTGATGGTATATCCAAGCAACTGCTGGGCAACTCCCGTTGTGTCATCGCCTAGAATAGCAAGGGAACCCACGGTCAAACCTCCGTTACAAACGCAATTCCAATTGCCCGTGACGTTGCTCGTCCACCAACCAAAGGTCACGCTTGATGGATTAGCGTACACGGACAGACCTGGCTGAAGACCGTATTCAATGAGCGTTGTCCTAATTTGACTTTTCTGCTCGGCAGTCCACATGTCGTAGAGCCAATCGTAGGCGATTCCAAATGCGGAAGACAACTCGGCAGCGTCTAGAAAATGTGCAGTATTCCACTTATCAACGGTTGGTCCAAAAGCTGTTGTGCCATTCCCTGCAGCGTTCTAGATACAGAGTGAGAATGATTCAGAATGTGGGCAATTAGTCTTACTTGAATTTCCTCCCAAGCACGGTCAACCCATTTTGTGTCATTCGTCATGCGGTAAACATACGCAAAGGCCTTGATTCTTGCTTTTATTTCGCGGGCGTTGTCCAAGATTCCACTAGCGCCGTCCATATGGTAGACGACAGGCTGCATGGAGAGATAGGCGGTGGCATTGCCAAAGATGGTGGCGTTCCAGCCCGTAAGGTATGGGTCACTTTTGATGAGGGCAGGGAGTGCTTGCCACTTATAAGCTGGGGCAATAATGCGAGGCCGATCAGTTCGCGTGGTAGTAGGACTAGGTTTAGATGGTTGAAATGGGTCCTTGGGCCAGGCAAGTGCAGTATTGGAAGAAAAAGTGGGGGTAGTGAAGGCAGCAGTGTTTGTCTTACAAAATATCAGCTTCTCAAAAACGTCGGCGAGGAGGGACTACTCACAGTTGAGGGATATACGGGAACCATGAATTCGCTATTGGTCGCTGTGGCAAATCGACCGATAGCAAGCTTAGCACTGACTGCCGAGCTTGCCGCGGCTTCTCCAGCCGTTGTGCCCTTGCCGCCGCCGCTGCTGCTACTACTCTTCTTTCGACTTCCAACGACGCCACCAACTACAGCTGCGATGATGACAGCAATAAGGACAGGAATGCCTATCTTTAGCCAAGTATTGGAGCGTTTTTTGACTGGGTGAGGGGTAATAAAACCAGACGATTCATTATAGTAAGGATCACCCGAACCATAAGGCGATGGGTTGCTTCCTTGTTGAAGGTTGTTCTGAAGAGTGTTGTAATGGGGTGCCATGCTGGCGACCGAGGACAAGATATGCGCCCCAAAAAGATTAATGAGAGACTGGGTTAACGCTGCGATAGGGCGCAAGAGGAAAAGAAAGAAAAACGAGGAGGTTTGGCTGGCAAAACGAAGAGGTTGGCGGAAAGAAGAGATTGGCTAAGAGAAGATGGGCTGCGGCGCGTGCTGGTTACGGCAATCCGACGGTGGCGTGCGAAACAGGGTCTCAACATTCATGCGAAATACTAGGGCCCCGGGCAATAGCAGGAAAGCCCTGGTCCCGATCCGGACAAAAAATGTGGATTTTAGGCCCTACAGCTGGGGGCCAATCCGGACAAAAAGTGGCAAAATTCGAAACTGCCCAGAGCCAGAGTCCGGACAAAATCGACGAGATGTCAAAAAAAAAGCCTCCCAGCCGGTATTTGGGCATAATTGTGGGACATTTGTGGGGGGAAAATTTACCCTGATCTGGCCGTCCGGACAAATTTTTGAGATTTGGGTGTAGTAGGCCAGGTCCAGTCCGGACAAATTTGGTGCAGAGGCGTCCGGACAAAAACAGGACCCCTGAAAGTACCCTCAGATGCCTGATCCCAAAATGCCCCAAACTGCCCGATTTTTATCCGGACGGTTTTACCAAATTTCTATCCGGATATTGGATCTGGCCTTCAATAAGGTCAATTTCTATCCGGACGCGGATCAGGCCTATAAAAATCGCTATTTTTCAAAAATTGGCACAAAAAGAGTGAATTTTGGCTCGCTGGCCCCTCCCGGCCCCTCCTAGGCATTCTCTGGAGGCCCGTACATCGGGAAAAAGTAAAATATACATAAGTGAACATAGTATATGCATTATACATGCAGAAATTTGAAGATAAACAAGCTATTCTTCATCTTCCACAGGTGCCTTTGCTTGAAAGCTTTCAAGGTCTGTAAACTTACTGTCTTGCTGTTGTCCTTGATTACTTTGAACAGCTTCCAATCATTTGTAGATATTTTGAGGCCATTTTGCGTGATTTTCGGAGTATGAGGGTGCACAAGAAGGCAGACGGCGGGAGATGATCGAGGCAACGAGTTCACGCAGAACTGAGATCCAATTTGATGCGAGAAAATATATATATCACGGAAGGATCGTCCGAAAGAACGGAGAACAGGGGGAAAGAATGGGAAAGAAAAATATTAAAGTATATACCAATAAAGAAGTTGGCGGCAGCAGTGAGCGCGCACTGCCTTTTTCGAGCTTAAATTTCTATAGCGTATATTTCTATCCGGACATCGGCTCAGGGTTGCTCAGCCTCACCAATTCCTATCCGGAAAACTGCCTCTGGCATTTCGCCAAAATAGCGAAATTTCTATCCGGACAGACCTAAGGCATTTCCAAAATTTTCGCCAGTTTCTATCCGGATCTGGATCAGGCATCTGAGGGTACTTTCAGGGGTCCTACAAAAACCCAATTTTCGGGATCAGGCCTTTTCTGCTATTGCCCGGGGTCCTGAAATACTTGGACCAGAATAGAACTACTACAAGAATAGAAACACAGGCAGCCAGGCCTTGAGTCTGGTATGGTGCTAGCTTCCTAACGTGGTCCCAAGCATGCCTACCATCGTACATATCAAATAATTACCAGCTCTTACTCTCGGATGAACACCCCAGCAGCTCCCATTCCCGTCCCAATACACATCGAAGTCACAAGGACCTTGTTCTTTCATCAATGGCAACGAAAAATTTGAAATAACTTTGTCTAACCTTTCCTTGACGTCGGTTCAATTCATTGAGCCCTGTCACAATTTGGCGTGCTCCTGTGCAACGTGCATACGAAGAAGTCAGTCAAAGGAGTCCACTGGTGGTTGTTCATACTCATCTAAAGGATGTCCAAAAGCGATGGCGCCACCGTTCACGTTAACCTGGAGTACTATTGAGGAACAGAAAATATTGTCAGGTGGCCTGGCTTGCCTTTTCTCTAATAAGCAGCGTCATCATTAACCAAACGCTGAGCAGACTAGTGAAGTGACATGCCTTGGTAACCCAAGTTCTTTTACAACATAAACGCATTGTGATGCAAATGCTTCGTTGATCTAACACAAAAATCATCAAGTCATGCCAGCCAGGGTTGTGTTGTGATTCCTCGCCTCAAAAAGGTCTACATCGCTTGATTCAAGACCACTGTTCTTGAGAGCAAGAGGAATAGCATATACCGGTCCGACGCCCATAACACGGGGGGGTACACCTTGAAGTGATTCAGTCTTCAAAAGGGATATGAGGGATGCTATTTACATACCAGCGACAGCAGTCGTTATATACTTTGCCAGGATTTTGAGACCAAGCTCGTTTGCCTTCCTCCTTGTCATTAAAAGAACGGCTGCGGCTCCATCCGTGACTTGACTCGCATTGCCTCCAGTGGTTGTCCCCATCCCCCATTGAGGAAACGCGGGACGAATCTTTGCCAAATTTTCCTTGGTCGTCCCAGGACGTATTCCATCATCCTCGGTAACCTCAACCAATACCCTGTTACCGGTTGAATCTTTCTGAAATACAGTGAACGGCACAATCTCTTCTGCAAAGTAACCAAGCTTTTGTGCTTTCTCAGCCTTCTGGAATGACTGAGCAGCAAATTCATCTTGTTCCTCCCGCGAGATATGGTAATCCGCAGCAACATTCTCGCTGGTCCAGCCCATACGTTCGCAACAATCTTTTGCAGCTGAATTTGCAGAAACCAAGTCACTCTGCTTCGGGCCACCATTATCAGGACTGAAAGTAAAATTAGCAAAAACTTAGAAAGACCAAGGAATAACTACTTTTCAGACATGCTTTCCACACCTACTGCCAAGCCCACCTCGATTTGACCACACTGAATCTGATTTGCAATGGTGGTCACAGCCATGAGACCACTCGAGCAAAATCTGTTCATGGTCTGTACGGGGACTGTAACAGGAAACCCTGCAGCAAGTGCAGCAGATCGTGCAACATACGGCGCGTCGGGGGTAAGAACTGTTCCAACACAGATGTCGCCCACAATGCTCGGGTCAATATGGGAATGCGCGATGACTTGCTAGAAGCTGGTCAGGCATATGTATTGTTGTAAAGCAAGAGTTCTGACATACTCTATATATCTCGAGCATTAACTCATCTGTCCTGCGTAATAATAAAAAATGGTTTAAAAAGGCAGAACATGAATCCAATGATGTCTACCTCGCATCCTTAAAACCCCCCTTCCTGGCTTTGCATAGAGGAGACCGAATCGCCAACGTAATGACTACATCGTCGAGATTTTTCTGCTGAAGAATACGGAGTTTTTTTGGAGCGTTTCCGAGGTGAGAAGCTATCTGCTTGACACGTTCCATTGCGAATGTAACGGTAGAACTGAGAAGGACGGAAGGATCATTATGATGTTGGACTTATAACAATGGATTGGTCAGCGACCACTAAACGCGATGTACGTAGGTATCCGTGTCTACGCGGTACTACGCGTATCACCTCCTTCGCTCAGCTCCTCCCATGATGGACGCGGAGCGTCTGAGCTACATCTTCTCCTTCATCGGTCTAGGGTGGTATATCGCGATGTGGTTCATTGTGCTACTGGGAGCGTTCTCCGCGTATGTTGTTCTATTTTCTTCCTCCGTTATAAACGCCCCTCATGTTCCCTAGTCGCCAAAGGTATCGACCTCAGCGCCAATCGTTTTCTTGGCGTCCTTTGCTGCAAGTCCCGGGAGTATCCATCCTCAGGCCTCTCAAAGGCCTAGATACCAATCTTTACGAAAATCTGGAATCCACCTTCAAACAAGACTACCCGAATTATGAAATACTCTTCTCTGTGGCGGACGAACAGGATGGTGCACTCCCCATAGTCAGGGAGTTAATAACGAGATACCCTAATGTCAACGCGGAAATCGTTATTGGTAACAAAAATGTTCCTTATTACCGAGTTTTAGGTGCTTAAATATATATATTTTTGCCAGGAGAACAAGTCGTTGGCGTGAATCCCAAGGTCAATAATCTTATTCGTTCATATCACAAAGCAGCCCACGACATCATCTGGGCACTCGACTCCAACGTCTCGGTTGATCCAGGAACCTTGGGACGATCTGTTGACTCTCTGAATGCGCCATTATCTCCATCGCAAAAACCGATCGGCCTGGTGCACCATGTTCCATTTGCATTCTGCAACGAGTCGCATACCGGTTCCAGGATAGAGGCGGCCTTTCTGAACACAACTCACGCGAAGATGTATATCGCTATAAACACTGTAGCGATCGAATCCTGCGTCGTTGGAAAGTCAAACATTTTCCGCCGATCAGACCTTGAGCGCGTCGATGGCAGCCTCCGACCCAGGAATAAAAGGGCTACACCTCAGCCGACAGCCTGTGGTTTGCACGTTTTCGGTCGTTTCCTCGCAGAGGACAATATGATCGCAAGTGCGCTGTGGCATGAGTTAGGTCTTAGGCACGAGCTATCCTGCGACGTAGCTCATAACGCTGTCGGAAATATGTCGCTCTCCGACTATTTTTGGCGAAGGGTTCGCTGGATACGAGTCCGACGGCACATGGTCTTGACTGCGACATTACTGGAACCATTCACTGAGTCTGTGATGCTGTGCATAATTGGAAGCTGCAGCATCGGCCATCTCTTCGGTTTTCCGTCATGGATATTTGCACCCATGCACTTTGCTTTCTGGCTTTTAGTTGACCTCGATGTTTACGCATCACTTGCTGGGCGCACTATGGCAAGTTCTGTGGCATTTGACTTCATCGTGGCATGGGTTGCGCGGGAGATGCTCACATTGCCCATCTGGGTTTGGGCAATGCTCGGGAGCGAGGTCTCATGGCGAGGAACCAAATACCAAATGCTCCGCAATGGCGAGGTAAGACCCAGCCTCACAACTTGAAGGTGCCTTCCCTTTCAATCGTATATCCTCGAACCAACGTAAAGTATACTCGGAATCTTGGAATTGCACATACAGCTCTACGTACAATTTTACGGACTACGCACTCGAAAGGAGCAGATTATATACGCATTATCTATTTTAAAGTGTCAATTATTAGTAGTAGTTGAGTAGTAGTTGGTGAGGTCGATAGTTCGACGTAGTCCCATCATTGTGCATGAGGAAAATCCATGGGGGCATCCTCTTGTCGTGAATTCCGAAGAACCTTGTAATTATGGATCATGACAACTTCTTCAAATAACTTGTCTGACCACTCTTGGAATGCCTGTATTGCCAAAGGGCGCAGTCGCACTTTGTCGCCCTCACCAGTTTCGACTGGAATAACTTTTCCACTTCTATTTTTCTGACGTTCGTTCGAAAACCAGTTCTTCACTTGTTTGAAGGCTCTAAATGTACAGCGTTTTAGGTGACAAACGGCGCTAAACCAGGCAAAACCTACCGCCGAATGATGATCGCCATTAAAACCATCCAGGATTCACTGGGGTACATTGTTATTTCATCATAAACCATGCGAAGGACGATAAATTGACGACTGTTCACAGGAGAGTTGTCGAGTGACCTGATTTTCATGGCTTTCTCCATGAGTTCCTTTCGTCGATTCTTGAGCTGCAGTCGAGCTTTAGAAGAATATGAGGGAGTCTTGTGGTTCTTTTTACGACGGAGAGATGAACGAGTCTCGGTATCGAAGCGATTCGAGGAGTTGGAACGCTTCAGCGGTATGGGTTCTGGGCTAGAAAGGCTAGACGCGTCTTTGCCACAAGATATGTGCAGACTGGCAACGGTGGGAGATGACATGGAGTATTGATTAGATGGGCCAGCCGCATTGTCAGTTTGGGACGTGTAATGTCGTGCTGGGTGAATTGCGACGTCAGCGAGGAAATGAAGAGGACCATGGGGTGGCGAGGGCGTCATAACGAAAAGATCGTGAATTGGGAGAAGAAAAAGAGTGTGAATAGAACAGAATGAGTGCGACTAGCGCGAAAGAAAGAATGTGGGATCTCTGGTATGGCTTTGATCTAAATACTGTTGTCAGGTGTAACTGTTGTTGCTCGGCACCTTTCAATTGTCTTTATCTGGAACTTGCCGGTATTGTTTTCTACCACAAGAACAATCCACCCTTACAGGCCCAGTACAAGCCTCACTGTTATCTTCACACATGCGATGTAACAGACAGGTACGCAAGTTCTACCTTCTCCAGTTAGATGAGCAGCCAGTGGCTGCCAGTGGTAGCCATCACCATCACCATGTATCATATCGACTTTGTGCCTTTTATATATTCGCCCTAGAATCAAGCATGCGCAAACAGTATGTAACGCAAAGTTCACAAAGAACTTGTCATGGCAGACCAACGCCAGAAGATTATTGCATCTGTATTCTCAAGGCGTAACGCAAGCGGGAATCTAGAAGAAGCTTATGTCTCTCACGTCAAGATTTGGGAAGATGCAGGAGTGGAAGGAGGGGGAAAGAAACCCCGCTACATACTGTTGTCTCGTATGTCACCGTACCTTTTGTTGAGATGGTTGGAATAAATCTCGGTGCAGAGGCCAATAATGGAAGTGGTTTCATTCACAAATCCAAGTTGAACACGAACGGCTCCTTCTCTGTTGGAAAAACCTGGACGCTCTCAGAATTGCGTGCAGTTGAAGTCATGAATGTATGTGGTTTTGAGTTCTACTGACAACACATATTTATAACTTTCGTATTTGCGTTTAAACAGCCCCTAGCCTTCAACATCACCCTTTCAAGGACATATAGGTGGCAAACAGAGAACCAAGACGACCAAGCAAGCTTCTTGGAGGCTTTGATTAACCTTTTTCGAGTCATTACCTCGGGAGCTCCATTGCAACTAGATGGAATCGAAGTTGCGGCACCGATAACAGGTTTGCCCATGTATCATGGGGATAATTTCAGGGCTGACACCATCTTCTAAGCGGACGATCAGACTTCATCAATTCATGCTGAAGCTGGACCAAGCCGCGCCCCACGACTTCGGTCGCAAACTCCCATTCAGAACCGTTATGAATCCTTTCAAGAGTCTCCATTAGCAGGACCACAACGCCTTGGAACGCCACCAGGTGCAGAACCTCCCGTAAATGGGAGCCAAGATTACATACAGTCAATACGTCCTGGAGGTCGGTCAGGTCCCCCACCAATAGCTGTATCACCTCTTGCTGCTGCTGCAGGCCCAGCCAGAAAAGCCCGACACCCTCTGAACGTCTCCTTTCAAGGCCAGACTACTCAAAGGATTTCCGACGAGCCCCCCCGGATTGTTTCTGGACAAGATTCCTCAGTTCCGTATCCTCCGTCAATGAATGCCTCTCCGGTATCATCCATTAGGTCTCAAAAGCCGACCGTGCGGGCGGAGGAATTCTCCACCCAGCAAGATGGTCCATCTCTAAGGAGGGATCAAAACGCTCGAATCTCATACTTCGACTCTACAAATCAAGCAACCCTAGACCGCTTGGTCTCCATCGCCCCTGATAGTCATCTTAATGTTGAAGCAGAAGAAGAGGATGTGCAAGACACTTTGACGAATGTTGAAGAAATGATTGAAGGGTATGAATGGGCAAGTGAAGATGTTATTAGCAGGAAAACAACGAAGGGTGCAGTAGACCTCATCGAGGCTCGATTATTGGACGAGTTGATGGCTTTGGAGAAGGTACACAGTCAAATTATTGGGCGTCATTCCCTTCTCATATCACCCAGGCAAATATTCACTCTTTCCTTGAGTCAGATGACCGCATCGGGATGGTGATGAAATTTATGGATAATGCCATCTCAGAGCTTGACAACATGGATAGTTTCATTTCCACCTATAAAATCCATCTCAATGTCAGTGTCACTGTGGCTTTATCGATGAGACTCACGTTTCCCTAGGCAGCCAGCGACGATATTTCGTTCATTCAATCGCAAAATCGGGGCCTGCAAGTCCAGACTCAAAATCAGCGAGCCCTGCTGGGAGAGTTGCAGAATTTGCTTGTGCGCCTAACTTCCTTTCAGGAATCATCATTTATAATTCCCTGTACCAGCGGACGGTTCACGTCGAACAAGACGCTTTGGCTACGCTCACGCAGGAATCACTTGAAAAAGGACGGAGTATCCAACGCCTGGAAGATGCTTCTGCAGAGCTTTACAAGGCACTCCAGGCAGGCCGAGACACCGGTACGTCATTCTTCTCACCACAATTTATAGTTAAGATACTTATTTGTCGTAGACATGGCCGCAACGATGGAAAGATTGGAAGAATATCGAACTCATAACTCTCAATTTTGTAAGAGACTATTTGACTTCTTATCGATAATGTTTACCGCACAAGTAAGCCGAAGTCTCCCCATGTTAGCAAAATTCATGAAAATTATCGCAGGGTAAATTACTTCTCGGCGAGACAAATGGTCTCGTGATACCACCTAGGGGTCTCCCAACAGTCGTTGCCCATCAAGAGATTGAGGTTTACTTGGGTCGATACGCTGGCCTAATGCTCTACCTCAAAGAGATGGACGAAAATGTTTATGGCAGGCTGTGCGCTGTATGTAAACACGCCGTGTCTCTCAAGTTATAATAACGTTCTGACAGGCATATTTTTCGGCGGCGAGCGAACTGCATAGCACTCAGTTGAAGTCGCTTATCTCCATCTTTTTGCAATCTGTCAGAAAGGCACCAGAAGACGATCAAGATCAAGGTATGCGCCCCTGTAAAGGATGAGATTCAAAATTATATTAACTTCCAGGCTTCATGACGACCTCAACAACCTCTGCCTCCAAGAGCACAACAACCATCCGTCGTGCTGGCACCCTGATTCGGTCTCCCATAGAAAATAAAAACAAGGATAAAGACAAAGGCCGGGCTTCGGACGGCGATCTTCTGGCAGCGGAAGTTCGTGATATACCTATCGGACCTTTACTAATAGTCTTACTCTTTTCGATAGGTTTTGGGACTGTTGTTAGAACAGATAACCGCTACGATCTACCGAGAGGACGAGTTTATAAGCGACTTCTTGCAAATTAATGATGCTGGGCTGACCTTTGCTGATTACATGGGCCTCGACAATTATTTTCGACGACAAGCCACTCGGTCGGCCAGTTTGAGTCAAGCAACAATGAAGCTTATTCGAAATTCACTGGACCTTATCTTCGGATTCCTGCCCGCAGAGTTGAAAAATTTCATTGACGTTGCGCTCTCAAAAGACAACATGTGAGGCTAGCTTTTAACTTCTCTGCGCCAACCTATTTTAATATCTATATCCGGCAAGGGAAATCGTAGCAATTTTAGTGACCCTTGAACGTTGTCTTATCGGCGCGGAAGAGAAGAACAATCAATTCGTTCTTTCACTTCTAGGAAAACAGCAAACCCGCATGAAAAATGCCTTTGACCGCCACATCGTTAGTGACGCCTGTTTACTGCTCAATTTGTCACCCGGTTCTGACACAATTTTGTTCGACAGCATGACCAGTTGAAGGGAATCGAACAAACCAAACTCAGCAGCAAAAAACGAAAGGGTGTTACCCACTTTATCAAGCATTTCTCTTCTTATGCGGCTCGTGTGGAGAGCCAACTTGTGGGGGCGGATGGTCTTGAGACTCGAAGACTCGTTGACTCTGCATACGAAAAAATCGTGCAGACCATGTTTGAGTCCTTGAAGCATATTGCGAAGATGGAGGGAGAGGGAGAGGATAAGGGGCAGCTGAACTATCACGTCATACTCATCGGTGAGATTGATCCAACTTTGTAGCGAGCATGACTGAATTTGTCTCCCTTTGGGCAGAAAACATGCATTGTTTTGTCGTCGAGACCTCCAAAATGGACAACGCATCGCTAGTCACATTTTCCCAACGAGCAGAATTGATTTACGACGAAAACCTCAATGCATACGTTAAAATGGTACTACGTCGACCATTTTCCAAATTGATTGTGAGTGATCTCTTGAGATGCTTGTATCGATTTCACCGCTCCCCTCAGGACTTCTTCGATGCGGTTGACCGCTTGGCCAGTTCAAACCCCAACGATTTGTCGGGTAACAGCACTTACAATAAAAGTGCCTTACGCAAGGTTGTCAAGGAATATACATCGAAGGACGTTCGCAAGCACATTGACCTTTTGTTTAAACGCGTCGAAAAACACTTCACTGAGGGGTCAGACAAACCGACAACAGAAGATGCCACCAATGGGAAAGTTTTGGTTGGTGTGTGGAAGGCTTGCGAGGAGGAATTGCTCAGGCTCCTAAACCGGTTTTCAAAACGGATTGCCCAATCATACAGCGGCACTGGGATCACTTTGGAGTTCACTGCTTCTGACATTGAAACAGCGTTCCACAAGCACCCTTAACTTCTTGATACCTACAACAGTAACATGTTACAGATAATGTGGATGACCACTCGACGTTCACTTTGCGACGTCGTCGACTACGGTCCATGTAATTTGTAGTGATCAGCTGAAAAGGCTGCGAACAAGAAGAAAGACGATCTGAAGCGGGGCGGAGACATTCTGCGTAGCAGGGACACTCAAGTTGCCGTGGGTGGATGGGAATGGAGGTGGTGGAATAGAGTTGCCGGACTCGAGGTGATAGACGTTGACAAGCAACGGGCTACCCCTATTATTCTCTGTAATGTATTTTGTCCTCCTCTGATGCTTTTCGTCTTTGTGAGAGGAGCCGCATCCGCGCGAATCGACCATTGAATGCTCAAAAACTGTTGGAGAGTTGAAGGAGGCCACCCTTATGAAGATCGTTCAACCATTACTGTCGATGTTGACTGTAACACTTCCGGATTCTTGTTGCCAATGAAAAGTGGGCATGGGCCATCCAAAATGTAACGTATGGCCTACATTCAACGGGGAATTGAGGGCTGATCTGGGTATTTGGTATCCAAATGCTACATGCCCTCATTACTTTTCCACTATTTCCTCTACCTATTTTTCTCCTCCTCCCTCCCTCTTTGTGTCTTTCTATTCATCCCTTTGCACCTTCTCGTGCGCGCTTTTTTTTACGGGAGCGCGCGTCCAACGTGCACCCTCCTTTGCTTTTCTTCTTCCGCGTCTGCCCCTCCTGTCCGGGACGGCGCTTCATTGGCGGAGGGGTCACGGTTGTGAAGGGTTTTCCCAAAATGTATGACAAACTCCAAGTTGCCAATTGCCTGAGAGGTCATTGAACGTCGGAAGCAGGCTCAGCTAAGCAGTATCTTTTCATGGGGCGAATGTGCAACTGTCAGGACCTTGGTCAGCACAATAAGTATTCTGGTCGCCAATATGTAATGGCCACCGCGACGTTACGGTTACCAAGAGGTGGGAGGCTGGGAGTTCAGCGAGAATGCTAGCCACCGTGAGCTCCGGAGGACTTGCTGTCAAAACCGATGAGCTTGAACGACGCTAACGGCTTTCTTTTATGTTCCAAGCCGTTTCCCAATATTACTTGGTATATCTCCTAAAAAAAAACAAAAAAAAAGAAAGACAAGACGTGGTACACGTAATCCACACCACAGATTAAGTACAACATGCAAGGTTACTAAAAAGACTCTACCATACTACCACCAGTGGAATTATTAGTACTAAATAATTGAGCTAATTCTTCCAGTCGACGCGCCAATAGGTCCGATTTGCTGAAGTTCTGACCGAGGGTCATGTTTGCTAGTGCTGTCTTCTTCTTTTGAACTTCCAGTAGGCGAGCTTCGATGGAGTTTTCGATAATTAGTTTCACGGTTGTTACTGGACGAGTTTGACCTAGGCGATGCTGAGGGAATAATTAGCTGCGCGGTAAGATGCTGTTAGAATGCACAAACAATGCGATCCACTGCCTGATTCTCGACAGCAGGATTCCTTGAGAAAGTCGTCAGTAATGTCATGAGATCTTGAGAAGTGAAACGCACCAGTAAGGATCCATCAAATACACCCGTTGGGCAGCGGTGAGGTTCAAGCCAACACCCCCCGCCTTGAGACTGACGAGAAGAACCTCACAGCCAGGGTCGGTTTTTAATGCGTCCATGGCTTTCGTCCGGTCATCTCTTTTCATGGTCCCGTCTAAACGATCATATCTAATGCCAGCGACTTCTAAAGCGTCCTCAATCCTACGTGTGGATGTTGTTAGGTCTAGAGGTCAGAAGACAGGAAACAACATACTTATCGAGCATAGTGGTCCATTGAGAGCTGAAGCGTTTGAGATAATCAGTAGAAGTTTTAGTACATGTAGAATACATACAAAACGACTGTCTTCACGACGCCGCTATCCAAGTGGTTTCCTTGTCCGTCAATTACCTGCACTTCCGAGTCATAGTTGGCCGAATATGGATTCATCCTCGAAAATTCTACTAAGTCTTGCAACAGCGCCCGAACTTTCGTGGACGGGTGAAAATTTTCTATCGGAATGCCTTTCTGCCTCTTCTCGCGTTTTTGTGTCTTCTTCCTTGGTATCTGATCGGCCACGACGTCTGCTTTGATTTCGACAGCGTCCGAGGGACAAAGGCCCGTCTGACATGCGGAACATGATCGTCTGATGTCTGGAGATACATTTGGCCATCCCGGACAGACAGAGTTGCGATAGCATTCAAAGCAAAAGAGATGTTGGCAACGTGTTAGAATAGGTCGGGAGGAAGATGGACTATTGGCACGGGTGGGTCCGCGTGAATTCGAGCCCTTGGCCTTTCTTCCGCGCTTAGCCATAGGAGGACCATCGCCATCAAGGCCGTCTCCTTGAAGATCTGGCGATATACCAAGCTCCGCGCCGCATTCCACGCACTGCGTAGTCGCAGATTCGCGCAAAATGGCAAATATAGACAACGCGTGCGCAAGATTGAAGCCTTCCTGGGCGATGTCGGAAACGAGGTCCTCGCAAGCTGCGGTTGCATCTTGTCCATGATCCTCCCGAGTAACGCTTTTCCCCTGGACCAGTTCGAAATGGTCGCATATTTGACGGAGACGTAAAATCTTTTGCAAAATCCCGACGTAGTTCTTCATAACCTCGTTCTTCGTCGACAAATCGTTGAACTCAGCTTTTGACTCATTGAAAAACTGGTCATAGATCTCTTGTTCCTGGGGATCAAACTTCAAGTATCGAAGTTCATCGCGACGAGGAGGAAGAGCCAGAATCTTTTTTCCATCTTGTGTCTCTGTTTCTTTGGTGCGACGAAGCGTTATGCATTTCATGATGGTTTGTAGCCGAGCAACTCCAAGAGCCTGTCCAAACTTCACGGGGCTTCCGATGTACTCAGTCCATGTATTTTTGTCATCAAATGGTTCCAGCCGCAAAAATTTAATGAGGGCGAACACGTCGTCCAACTTATTTTGCACTGGCGTTCCAGTCAAACATAAACGTCGATCAGCCACCAAGTCGCAGGATGCGCGACTTCCGACGGTGCCTGTCTCCTTGATAGAGCTTTGAAACATTAACGCAGTCACTAAACTGAGTATAGAAAGCAAAGCTTACTGCGCCTCGTCTAGTACGACTCGAAACCAGTGTATGCTCTGTAAAGCGCTTGTAACCTCTGCGCCGCTAGTGAAGATGTTGGATTTCTTTCGCTTCATTCCCGTTTTCTTTGACTTTGGCAACCGCAGCACTTGATTCCCATACTCATCAATATCGACACCACCCACGCCGTCACTACTCCCAGCATCGTCTTCATCATCATCTGCTGTTGCTGTACTTCTATTTTGCTTTGAAAATTCTGATGCAAGGGTAGCGTAGGTCGTGATCACAGCGTCAAAATCGCCCAAAAAAGCGGGATCGGGTCGGCGCGCGTTTCCATGATAAATGTAGATCCGCAGGGGGTTGCCTGTCTGGGAAGGGGCAACCGGTTTAGTGTCGATGAGCATTGAGTTTGAAAACAGGCTGGGTTGGCTGCAAGGTGGCGCAGAATTGGACGGTATGCAAGTACCTCCGCTGCCTCCGAAAACCACGACATCTCCTTTCCAATGCTCGCGAAATTGATCCTCCCAGTTGGAGACAGTCGAAAGGGGGCATATAATTAAAGTGGCCCTGCTCTTTGCCTTGATACGACAGGATCTTGCGTAATCCGCTTCGAGCTTGTCCAGTGACTTATTTGCCTTTGCCTTGCCCTTGTTTAACGTCTGAGGGGCATCAACAACGTCGGGCATTCCCCAAACAGTCCCAGAAAAATGGGAAGCATCTGGATGCTCAGTTTCACGAGGTGGAGGAGGGATTGGTTCAAGGGGAGATGCTGCAAAAGCATGTGAAGCAGCGCGCGTTGCGGCAATGAGGGAAACGCAAGTGATTGTCTTCCCTAGTCCCATCTACAGACTTTGTGTGAGAAACTTTCCTGGTCCAACAGATCGAACTTGACACATACATCATCCGCAAGAATCGAGCCTTTAGCCTCGCGTGGCTCTTCAAAAATCTCTTTCTGTGTGACGATATGAAACCAACTGATTTGGCGTGACAATGGGTGCTGTCTTTGTTGCCACAGCGAAGAATAATTGCCATCTACACCAGTCTTCTCGCGTTCACGTTCCAAAAGAAAGGTTAGAGCCTTCTTCTGATGAGGATAGAGTTGAGTGGCTACATCAGCAGCTAGAGGGTCCGACATCGTAAGCACATTAGCAAAGTGAAGGAGAGTGCAAAAACAGACAGGGTTCGGTTTCTTCGAGCTCGTCACCATCTTTCAAACTCTTGAACAGTTCGTCCACTTGACTTCTTTGAACCTCAACGCTCTTGCCCACCATGGATGGTGTGCTCCACCGTACGTTCTCCCTTTGTGGCCCCACATTCATCCGATTTGGCACAAAGACAGCGCGGTTGTAACCACCTGGAGGAGGATTGTGCGGATTGTGGTAATGATAACTTGAAAGTCGATGGATATCATATGGAGGTGAGGGATGATCAAGAAAAAGACCGGATTCCTTCAAATAGCTGCCGACAACAGGTATATTTCCCTTCGGGGTGTAAACCAGCATTTGTAAAGGAAGAATGGGAAGCTTCAAGACATGTCAACCTCGACGTATGTTGACAAAAGCAAAAACTCACGTTTGGTGGCCCTTTCTTAACTTTCGCATCTAGCCTGATGAGTCCCTTACCCAGCATGGGCCCAAGCGCCGTTGCGACCTTCTGCTCAATGACCGCAAATCCTTCTCCAGGTACGGTTTCTCCATTCGGTCCCCTCCCGTGTGGGGTTCTGATATGAATAGTTTCAGATCCTCCAGGCTTATTTGGATTATGTTCGTATTGTAGCCTCACAGCAGCCCATTCTTCGCTTCGGCCATATTCCTGCGGGACGAGGTAGGGGACAGGGTACAAAATAAGTGCCGTCACGGTGAGCTGACCAATGCACACAGGAGTCTTGGGTGCTAGTTCAGGGGGTAAAGTTGATATTTTGGAGTTGCTCAAAGAATCGGTTGGCGGTGGCGAAGGGGATCCTGTAAGGTCAATGACCTGACGAGCAGGTGCTTCTGAAAAAGATTGCCGCATCAATTGAGACGACGGGGGAGAGGTGATGGAAGAGCTTCGGTCAGCCGTAATATTAGAGGTTTGTGGCGGACGGGGAATAATGTAGGGAGGTGGCCCAGCGAAGGCTGGCCGATACATAGACTGATTTGGTGCAACAGTTGGGAGATACGGGGTAGAATGATTGGCAAGATTGGATTTTACAAAAGGCGGATTGATGTTTGAAAGGGGCGAAGTAAATGGGGACACCCTGGACGTCGATGCATCGTATGGATTAGGATGGTTGGTGAATTGATCATTGCGTTGGGGCCCAGAAAGATCTGTGCGAGGACGCTTAGCAAAACGGGGTGTATGGGGGCCATAAGAGTCGTCATCGTCGTCAAGGGTGAGATCAATATGGTTAGACTGCACATATGAAGGTAGTGGTAGGTCGGATAAGGAGGCAGTCGAGCCTGTTACAGCGTGGGCAGCCATGAACGAGCTGACTGTAAGGATATCGTCAAGAACAGCGACAAGCGGTCCTGTAGGCGGCGTGTGGGACAAGCCCAATACCGTTGAAGACAAATTGAAAGCAACTTTGACGAAAGCTCTGCAAATGCAGTAATATGTAAATTAATCTTCGTTCTAAACGATTTTCCAAGTGTTCCTATAGCACGTGATTATAAAACGTCCTTTGTCATCATGACTAATACTACGTCCATCCCATCGCATAATAGGCCTGCCTCGCAGCTTCCTCCTTGGCAACTTGTTTGCTCCCTCCGGTACCCACCCCTTTAGGTATGCCATTCACTGAGTTATATCATCAGGCGTCCGGTAAAAGGAAAATTTGCAATAATTGTGTACGCACCAACACATTTCACCGTCCACCGACCAGCGTGCGATGGTCCACTGAATTCAGCAGGATATTCAACAGTCACGCGTCGTTGACTAGCAGTTTGATTAAATAATGGTAGAAATGGTAAATTAGGTTGCGCAGGCGCTAGAGGATTCGGTTGAGGCTGAGTCTGTTGTGGTCTTGTTTGGAAATGAGACGGTGGTGGAGTCAGTGGTTGAAATTGTGAGATTCGAGCATTCGGCGGTGGTTGAACCTGTTGCAGTATGCGAAAATGAGTCGGAGGTGGAGTCAGAGCTTGTAACTGTGAACTTTGAGGTGACGGTTTCAATTGTTCCATGTGGGGCGGTAGGTGCCTCAAGGCAGATGGGGGTTGAGATGCGAAAAAAATTGAAGACTCGGGTGATGGAGAGAGTGGCTCGCTCTTCATTTTTTTCTGAGGAGGTGTCTCCTCGCGGAAGGGTGGTGCGGGTTCTGGCAGCTCTTGCTCCGTCGTTGTTCCTTCCACAAGTAAATCAATCCATTCCCTCACAGCTTCTTGTCCAGACTCAGCATAAACGCCGCCAACATACGCATAAAAAATCGAACAAGTTTCCTGGAGGGTGTTAATAATTCTCGACGGACAAAACGATCAACGGCAGCCACCTGCGGAGTGTTGAGTCTCGGGTAAAGATTAGGGTGGCAACGTAGTTTCATCCGCAGGTTGTAGAAAGTCACCCAATTGTTTATATTCTCGTCCGATAGAATGTGTTTATGCTGCGACTGATGGAGACAACTGAGTACGATCGAGGTGCGCGGAGGATGGACGCACTTACAGACATCTCAGATGGCTTTAGCATTGGGCGTTTATTGAAAAGAACATGAGCCACTGCAACATTAAGAGCAGCCTTTCCTAACTCAGTCAGCCTTTCATTATCGTCAAAGTCGTCGAGGTTTGTGCTAGAACGGGTGGCACGTCGCAAGGATTTGTGAGTAAAAACTCTCAGGACAAGATCACTGCTATGGATCTTTGGTAAAGCAGCAGTGGGGACTGAAGAACCACTCGATCCGTTAGCTCCAGAGCGACTCCTCTTCAGATTGGAAGAAGTGACGGGCGAGGCAACAGAAGCAGAGTAGAAATTCATGGCCTTTCGCAAGGTAGCTCAACATTGGGCATATGTACATCACTTTGTTTCAAATCAAAACCGTAAGCCCTAACCTTCTACAGGTGTAAACTAACTGACACTCTCCGCCGCTTCTTTTTTAATTTGTTTCGCCAATATTTTTCTCAAAATTTGCAGCGTACCAGCAGCAGCCGGGTTATGATCATCTTCGAGTCGTTTGATTTGCTTTGACAAGCTGGGCAGGAGTATGAGTGTTTGTTGCCAAATCAACGAGAAGACGATCAACCTTTTAGAACCTTCAAGCACAAGAGGACAGTCTTTGAGTAAGTGCAAAGGTGTCTGGTGGCAGACTGGGCATAATACTGAGGGGGTCTTGAACTTCTTTTTCGATCCATCAACAGCTTTTGCGCCGGTGGACCTCGACAAACTGGAACTTGCAGCTGAACTTGGTCCCGGTAGCGGATTATGTTGGGGCTCCGGATGTTTGTCTGAGGTTGTGTGTTTAGTCGGGTCTGTGGATCGGCTGAAAGGGGTATGCGACGTCGACGGTTGCGAAATCTGAGTGATCTGTGGAGGGTACTTAGGCTTCTTGACTGGAGGAGGTAGGATCGATGATTTTGGCAACGGGTGTAATGGTTGCCCTGCTATCAGAGAGAGATGCCCTCTGGTGTTCAAAATCTCGTCGATTGCCCGCACGGCGACGTTCTGGAATAGAAGGTGAGGGAATTCTCTTCCTTCATTATTTGTAACTCACTCGTTCCTCCCAAGGTTCGTCGTCTGCGTGTAAAATGAGCATTTCACGATACTCAGCAAGGTTCTCCGACTTGTCAGTCATCAAGCATTGCTCCTGACCATGTCGTCCACCACATAACCCACAATGGACAACGTCATCGTCTCCAGTGTTCCGAGAGTACCCATTTAGGGGAGGTGAGAGTGTCGACAATTTCGTCTTGCGTTTACTACTGTCCATTTTGAAATCTTCATCTACGGCATCTGTTTTCGCGTCATCACTACTCTCCACGTCAGAGTCTGCGTCAGACCCAAAATACGCAGAGCCATCTGGAGACACGTTAGGGGTTGACTTTGATTTGCCCGGTATTTCCTCTATCAGCATTTTTGTCTGGTAGAGTATGAGCGTGTTGAATGAATTGGTTTGTGTTGACGAACCTTGGCGACATCAGCAGCTCGACGGCGTGCCCCACGGCCAGAAAGTGCAGTTTCTTTGCTCTCTTCTTTCTCTCTTTCAGCAGTGATTCTCTGCAGTGTTCGGGCCCAAGAATCCACTTGATCATCGTCGTCGACTTCTTCAAGAGAATCTTTGTCGGCGGCCCATATTTTTGCGAAGGAGAAAGACAGGCCCCCGTCTTTAGGGGTCGCCTGCTCTTCGTTTTCTTTCTCTGTCTTTTCAATAAGTTTGTCGATGTCGTTATCTGTATCTGCAGAACGTCATTCCCTTGCGGGGATAATCAACCAAGTTAACATACAAATGATGTCCCGTGAATCTTGCTCCAGTTCAAAAAGGGCCTGAGCACCAAAAGAAAGGATCGACTGCACGTTGCCTCCCCCTCCCTCTTCGTCATCGTCCATCTTTTGTACAATAAGATGGTCGAGGACCAATTTCTTCTTGCCGATTTGCATGATACGTTCTGGTTTGGTCATTACCATCTGAAAAAGCCTCGACTGAAAACTTACCTTCAGCGGAATCTTTTACCATCAATTTGAAAACAAGACAGGTCTTCTTCTGCCCGTACCTGTAGGCGCGGGCAATGGCCTGAAGGAAGCCTCAGTGACCGCATTTACTACCCGATGGTTGTGCTTACTTGGAGATCCTGTTTCAAATTTTGAGTATCAGTCTACTCTCGATGATTCGGATGTTACCGCAAACCTGATGGGGGTTAAAATCTGGATCAAATATGATAACCGTATCTGCAGTCTTGTGTTCATGTCAAAGGGGGGCGCTTGACTCGCTGAAGTACAATACACACATAAAGGTTGATGCCAACGCCCTGTATTAGCACCCATGAGAGGGTCATAGGATGGAAGCAAAAGAAGGGCTCACGCCAGCACGAGTGGTGAGGAGATAGACAAAATAGTCGGAACCAGGACGATTGAACTCATCCATGCCTTTCTGTCGCTCACTGCCTTTGGTGTCGCCATCCTGACGCAAATTCCTATTAGATATCTCACACAAAGTGTGGAACCTACCAATCGCAAAAACTTATAACCTTCCCCTTGCAAGAAATCTTCGATGACATTCAAGGCAATGACAAACTTTTATAAGCTTAGTCCGACACAAAACTTTTTTGAGTTGCACCAAGACTTACTTGACTGAAAAGCAAAACGCGGTGTCCCCGTGCCTTCAACTTTGGAAGAAGGGCTTTCAGAAATCGTAGCTTTGCACTGCCGTCAATCAACTTTTCGTGGGTTTCTTGAGGCGGCAAACCACGTGGTTCAATATCTTCAGCATACAAGTATGGATGTTGAAGGCATCTGGGAGATTGATTATGGTGGATGAAAGAACAAAAGAGAAGTAATCACTTTCGCAGATGCATGAGAATATTGTTCAATCTCCCTTTGGTCGTGGGGCCTCCAAATTTGGGTTGCGTTAAGCCCTTAAGTAATTCTAGGTTGTGACCTGGGGAAGTTACGTTGGAATGCCGACCAGTGGAGGGAGAAATGACAAACTGAGGATAGATCGGTAAACCTCCTTCTGTAAGGGGGCCATTGAGACGGGGATAATGACTTCGTTCTACGATCCCTCATAAGAGCAATCAAGGAAAAAAGTGAAACACAACAAACCTTCGGAGGTAATTGGAGTACCTCACTCTTGATGCGACGAAGAAAGTACGGTCTAAGCCTATTATGTAATTGTTTGACGAGATCTTCGTCGAGCACTTCGTGTTGCTTCTCTAGGCTTTCCAAGTCATGCCATTCAACGGGGTCAAGGAAATTCATAAGGTTGAATAGTTCTCGCATGTTGTTATTCAATGGAGTCTAGGACAAACGTGTGTTAAACAGGACCATTCAAACGGCTCGTCGAGACATATTTTCACGTACCCCAGTCAGAATGATCCGGTGGATGGTGTTTAATTCGTTTAACTTTTTGAATAGTAAACTGCTATCACTTTTTACTGAGGAACGGGATCAGGAGCCGTGCTTGTGTAGAAATGAAATAATCGTACGCCGTTGACCTTCATCCACTACAAGAATCTAAGAGAATCGTGAAGCTCTGGTGAAGAGGAGGACGACCGAAATGACGTACTTCCCAGCGTGGCTGATGCTTGAAGACGGACGTAAAATCCTTAGCATTAATCAAAGCATCGTACGTCGTGACTAGAACGTGAAATTTGGCATTGGTGTTGTGCTTTGAGAAGACCTTGTGATATAATTCGAATTCCTTGATGACGTCACGAGCCTTCTTGTCGCCGTGGAAAGGGACTACCCTAAGCTTGGGTGCCCAACGTTCGAGCTCTCGTACCCAGTTGGTGATCGTTGAATTGGGCACCACAACAAGTGCAGGAAGAGCGTTCCATCGCCCAATGATACTACCCAAAAAGGTTGCGATTTGCACCGTTTTCCCCTAAATTAGTTAGATTTCAGCGAAAGATCCAGCGAAGTCATCTTAAACATACAAGACCCATGTCATCTGCAAGGATACAGTGCTGAAGATTCCACCAATTGTTGCAGAGCCAATTAAAACCGTCGACCTGTATGATTCAATGACAGTCGTTCAGGTCATGTTAATGGACATACTTGAAAAGGCATGAGCTTGAGGCGAGGGTCCTGACCAAGGTCCAGATCTGAAGCGTCCTTTAAGATATGTTTTTTATATCCTCCCTTCTCTCGAGCGTCGAAGTCTTTCGTATGCGTTCTGTTTAATTTGGGAACGACGACACTTCTAGAATCAACAAATCGGTTAAAAGCCACGACAAACGAGTCATAACCGGTCTCGTGGGCCCTCGGAGGGGTGTCCCACGTAGCTGAGTAAGTGGATTAGAGTCAATGTGACAAGATGGTATGATTCGCCCACCTTCATCATATGTTAAATCATCCCATTTGACGAATGCCCAAACAACATGGGAGATATCGTCTTTGTTCAGTGGGCGATTATGTTGGCTCTCCCATTCTACAATTTTCGCTGTGAGGTTGGCTGGCGGCTCCTCTCCACGGTCAAAAATAAGGCTTCTCTCTGCTTCCAATTTTTCCCCCGAGCTCTCAAGCTCGCTGTCGCTGAGAATTAATTTCTTTCGAGGATGATTTTGGCGTGACTGTTTCTTTTGCTTCTGTGAATCGTTCGGAAACCATAAAACAACATCTAGAACGCGGTCAATGATCTTCCAAGCCGGGGGTATCCGCCCTTCCGCGTCAGACAGGGAGTCCAGAATATGTTTCGTTGTATGACTTCCCGGTTTTGGAGAAGAGGCTCTAGAATCTGGTGCAATCTCGAATACAGGTGACGCCTCCGGCATAGCAGCATCTGGTTTGGGAACTTCTTGTAAAAGTTCGACTTTTGGGCCAGAAATCAGAAAATTCCTCAATTTGGAAGGATTCGTTGCAACAAGCCACATATGAGGCACCCATTCGGTCCGCCGATAGCTCCTGGCAAGCCATTTTACCAAGTATTCCCGAGGAAGTTGTTCTTTGTAATGCGGTGGTTGGTCGATTGGACGGAAAACTTCGACGGCGTTCGGGGGGTAAGGACGCCAAGCAATAATTTTGTCAAGCCCGTATCGGTATGACGAACAATCCGCGCAGAGCCAGCTTTTAGCGCTCTGATAGTGAACAGCAATTTCCGAAATACTGGCCTCATGCGATAAGGCGATCGGTATTGGCAGGTGACGATAGTGAGCCAACCGTTTGCAAGTAAAACACCGGAATAGAAGCTCATTAGAGATTTGATGGCCATCCCCGGGCCCCGTTTCGAATGTCTTTCCAGATTCGTCTAACATTGGGATATCGCGGCTCTCCTCCTGTCCTGTTTTCACGGGCTTTGGAACACGAGGCGCAGCGGGCTGAAGAGCTACCTCCTTGCATCCCATACAGATGCCCCCTCTCGTGCACGCAACTAAAAATAGAGAAGCCGTCAGGTTACTTGATTAACAGCTAGAGGAAAGGAAGTATGCACCGCAAATGAATTTAGTGGTTTGCTGGGTGATCAACTCCACACGCTTCGGTAGATCTTTTATCTCCGAGGCAATAGCTGCTTGACTGTCTCTCTCTTTTGCAGCCTTGAGAATCTCATCTCGTTGCGTAATTGCTAGACATTGCCAATGAGCTGCAACAGGGCATTTAAGGCTGCAGAAAATGATGTTGAATCAGTGGTTCCATTCGAAACTGATACACAAACCATTGGACCCATCCGCCAAGCGCGGTGTAACGCGCTTCATCATCGGATTCCTCGAATTCGTCATCCGTACCCCGTTTCCTTTTCTTCCCTTTACTTTTGGATTTTTTCGCAAGTCGTTTGAGGAGCACATGACCAGGAGCAAGATGACACTTTTCACAGATGTTGCGGTGATTCCCTAAAGTTGTGTTGTCCTCGTCATCAGAGTATTCCAGGGTTGCAACATCGCGAAAATAGCCATAAGCCGCTGGTTGAGACTGTTTTGGACGACGAGTTGTTTTGGTCGCAGATTGTGCTTGAGAACGACGTTTAGGTCCCAAAGCAAATTCATCGCTATCATTTGTATCCGAATTGTAGTCATCAGATTCAAGGTTGATGACTACAGGTTTCTTTATGCGAATTGATCGCCTTGCACCGACGCGTGCATGCCTTTCTGCGTTATCTTCTCCTGTCCCGTTGGTTTCTTCGCTGTCAGAGTCCTCAATTGCGAGAAATTTCTGCGATCGAGTCTTCTTTGGACTGAATGGTAGATATGTTTTCTTCGCCGCTGTGCGACAGGAACGAGTTCGGACAATATTCACACTGTCGGCTGATTCCTCGTCCGATTCTTCTTCTTCAACATCCGACTGTTCATCCTGGTCCGAAGATTCGTCACTCTCGAGGTCTTCCTCAGAATCTGACATGACTTCCTGCCGACTGCTAGACCGAACACTGCGAGCTGATGAGATGTTGACGGTAGCTCGATTGTTACGAATGCTGATCTTCATCTTCACGCGCGACAATGGATGGATGTACGTGGCGGATGGATCAAAGGGGGGGAGCAGACCAGCCCGTTCTTTGCGTTCTGGTTATGAAAGAGATGAGAAGAAAGGATAGTGGCGGAGTAGCTGACATACTGTACTCGTCCACGAGCTCACTAAAATCCTTCTTAAAAGGTTTTCCCAGAAACTATAACGCGAAACACGCGTCAAACCCGTTTCACAATGACAAAAGTGTAGATCTCGGCATGTAAACGCTCACCTTGTGAGCGATGCCACCGTGATACCGCGCAAAGTAGTATAGGTTGTTGCCCTCTCGGTATTCGCCAATCACCTCATCGACTATCGGATAATACTCAGTCTTCAGAGAAGTTTCAATAACGGGTTTGTATTGCTCCTTTTGGGATGGAGGAAGGGTGGGGGGTACGATGAAAAAGCCTTGGCGAGAAGACGTTGCCTTAGATATCGCGCCGGGCCCAGAGTTGTCTACATATGCGCTGCCGTGCTCGGAGCCGGTAGGAGGCATGGACATGTAGAAATCGCGGTGAAACTTCAAAGTTTCAACGTTGTTTCAACAGGTGCTGGTGAACGTAAGTACAAACTAATTGTGCATTATTTACGGGGATCAAAATGATTGTATAAACTCTATTTTAACTCTATCAATCCAGTTACAGGTTGGTCCACTTCGAAGGCTACACCAATGCATTCTTGCAACTGCCACTACTACAGTCCAAGTCACGGATACGTCAGAAAGCAAAGTGAGCAGCGTTTTTGCGAGAACCAAACAGGTATACTTATTCATTTGTTAGCAGCGGGAAAAGAGTCGGTGAGAGGGCATACCAATAACTTGACTTACGAACAGGCCAATAGTAACGCCTGCAGCGACAGAAATCATCCGAAGCGCCAACGAAAATCCACTCGAATATTGTTCCGCCGAATTGTGATACGTTTGAGTAACCCCACCCCCCTGCGCAATACCGGACTGTTCAAAAAATCAAAAAGATGTCTGAATTTACTCAATAGTACCACCTACTGGCACCAAAAATAAAACTCCGGTTACCATGGAAGTGAAAGCCGTACCGCGAACGACTCGAGAATAAACATTTCCAAGTGAGCCTATAACGAAGGCACCAGCAGCAGAAACAATGTCCGTCCTGCCAGGCAAAACGAGACTCGCGGCCCTGTTCGCAGCATAGGCAAAGCAGGAGAAGATGACCATGACAGGGAGTTGGACGCTCCTCCAATACTGCAGATTGGATAGGGACGAACATACGGAGTAAATTGGGACCAGAAAGAACAATGCCCACCATGGCAATGGCTGCCTCCACCATCCCCACAATGGATCACGTATACAACCTTTAATTAGGACACTTATCAATTACAACAATTCCGAAGCGTCAAAGTCGCCTCTTACCTTTGATAATATGCTCACCAAAATGTATGGCATTTCCCCGGCCCAAAACACCCGTAATCGAAGAGAAGGGACTGGTCCCGTTCGTCATCAAAAATTGACCATGTGTATAGGTGAGGTTTTCTGGAATAGAACTACGATAGTATGCTCGACGAGCACGCCGATCGATCACGAGATAAAAGTCTGAACCGATGGTTAACCCGAATCCCTGGAAAAGTTGAGATTGTGACGGGAACCCATGGGGGCATCGGGGACCTACCAGAAACAACGTGTAAATAATCGCATAGACGATCCGCACGGAACCACAGAAAATGTTTTTCGACATAAGTTCGAGAGCACTGATCACTAGGAAGATTAGAAAGAGGATCATTAGTGTTGATCGACGGAAAATACTCAAAATTTGACATACACACAGTGAATCCTGGCAGAATCACGACAACGCCAGCAGATGAGATTGCACTATAACAAAAAATATTGCCTGGGATGTTGCTCAAGCCTCTAGCAACGAAGGCCACGACGATCGAAACTGAAATCCTTCATTTGCACGTCATATGAGGTGAGTTAAAAGCGCCAGCAGTTGAAATTGTCTCACTCGTAAACATTAGCGTACATCGAGCTTTTGTTGGCAGCATTTAGTCCCAGGTATTGAAGGGTGCATGCACACGCGCCGCTAACCCACATGTCAACGAGGGAGCCACCGAACGACAGACCACAGATAATTGACGCGCATAGAAACGCCAAAAAACATCTCCAACCGAGAGAATATATGGCAGGGGATCGGAGTAAATTTCTGAGGGCGTCGGTTCCGGCTTCTGCTCCAAGCTTGTCATGCAGGACGTCACGGTATATCTGGTGAACTTTGTGCAGAGAGGAAAGAGCGATACGTCCTCGAGATCGTATGAAATATGTGCGTGTTGAACGAGTTTCTCCGTTGCGAATAGAAACGATAATGATATTGGGCAAGTGCACAAACTCTAGATCATTGTTCAAAAAGGAATCAATCGGAAAATGGCAACAAACCAGCTTGAGCGTCGAGAATGTCAGACGCGGCGGAAAGTTGTGACTCGATTCTGTGAGATGGTGCACCAAAAGAGAGCAAAGCTTTCGAAAGTTTCAATATGAACTTCCTCCGTTTTACGACCTCTCAAGGTAGCCGTAAGCTAACCCTGGGAAATGGGAGAAGAGGGCACACCTTCCACATTGTTGACTATTGTGGAGGATCTCCTCGGACGCTTTATAAGAGATAAAATGGAAAAGTTGCTATCGGTCCTGGAGGACTTTCCACCAGGGTTTGGGAGAGAGTGAGTCCCAGGAATAAAACTGGGTGGACCATTCAACAAAGCTGAGCGTGATAGTTTTTCTCTGTCTCCAAGATGTAATGCTTGGGGGGGACGAGGGATGGAACAAAGTTCGTCATCGTGGTTATCTCTAGCTTGTGCAGATGGCTCGATCCCACCAGTGTCTTGATGTTGCCACTTGAGATCAGAAGACATTATTATCGAGACTCATTGACTCGCTGGAAGGGAACATTTAAATAGCCATTAGGTAAGCAAGAAAGAATTGCTGACAGTCATAGGAGGCCTAAAGAACGTACAGAGCGCATACATATAGTACAGCAGATTAAGTTGTGGCATTCTAGTAATCGTTCAACAACTCAAGTTGTTAAATCTCCAATATTCGACGAGGGTTACCAGATTTGGGGAGCAGGCGGGAGATAATCACTGGGTAACAAGAAGGCATCCATTCCGTGCTGCGAGAATGAGTTTCCTCCAAGGCTCTGATCGGATATCCAAACAGGAAGCTGTTCGGTAGAAGTCATCTCAAAACCCCGCCAGATTTGCTCCGCATCAGGATTGTTTGGATGTTGTTGGGTGTGTAGATGTTGGTGTGGTATGGCAGTGGCGGGGATGGCTGGACCTTGCATCTGGCTGTCTGCATTCGAGAAGGGTATATCGTACCCAGGTGAGAAAGATTCATTTCTGTGTTGGGATATTGGGACAGGTGGCGGGAGATTGCTCGTCGAATGGTCGACCACCATCGCAAGCGAGCGCTGGGGTTCACGCGAAGTCTTCGGAGAGCGAGAGGTCGAACCTGCTTTTCTTTTCTTGGACCGCTTCAACATGAGTTGAAGCGTCGTGGCATAGCGTTTGCCTGGTACTAATAGCCCAACTAAATGGTATTTCATTGATGAAAAGACATGTGACGTACTTTCTGCCATCAAACTGGCGAGTCGTTCAACTTGATTACGGATCTCAACAATGTCGCAATCAGTTGGGCTGAAAGATATATATCAAGCTCCTCCCCGCAAGGACCCAGAATTCCAAACTCACAAAAGGCGGGCAAGACGCAACAAGAATGATGCAGCAAAGGTTGCTGTGGCATGTGTGTAATGGACGGCTAGAGCGTATATCAGAAGGTGCCAGTGAGGGTAGGGAATGGCACCCTACCATACTTCATTCCCTCTCTATACGCTGGCGATGTTACGGTGATTTCTAAACCCTGACGAGCAATCTGGATCGATCGAATAGCAAGTTCTCTTTGAGCAATTGGCATTTTCTGGACATCTTCCGGTCCGTTGATGCCCCGCAGGGCTGTGGCGTTATGAAATAGTTCAGCATGGAGATGCTGAATTTGGAGACTTTGTCGATAAAAGGCTACATCTAGGCGTGAGAATTTCTGACAAAATAGGGAGAGAGGGAGTTCCCACCAGCATCCTCGTATTTCTGGGAGAAGGCTTGGTCCCATGTTGCATACCAATTCCGAAAGTCAGCATCTGCTCGCCGGAGCTCCTCAAAATGCTCGGGTTTGACTGGGACTTCAAATGGAGCCAAGGCATTGTGCACTCGTTCTCTGATGGAGATGAGCTCTACTGTAGATACCAACCGCATGTCATCCTCAATAGCGAGAGGGTGCCGCAGAAGATAACGACAATCCCTGATACTTTCGTCGTCTTTGAGAACAGCTGGGCGACCAGTTCCGTACGAAAGCCTGATTGGATCTCGTCAGGTACGCCGATCAGCGAATGATGGGCTGACTGACTGATGCTCAAACAAGTACAGACAAAACCATGTCCGTGAAGCAATCACAAGCTCTCGGTCTCCGTTAGGATCCGTTTTATTGGCATTCATGCGCCTGAGGAGCTTCGGCCAGGCCTTATGCATAGCTGAAACATCATGGTTAGAAAGGCATCGTTCTCCTCTATATGCCTTGCTTACACAGTTCCATAGCCATGCGAACGGCATGCCCTCCACTTAACCATCCATTATCAGACCAACCAGAAACCAAAACTAGGGGAAAGGAAACATAAGTAAGGCGTTTGAATATAAGGTGATTCGACCAACTCATCGATTGAACGGCTTCACTCCTCATAACAGGCGCAAAGAGCGTGGCACAAGAGATAGCCTGAACTTCTTCGAGACATTGAAGATATGTTTCGCTGGCTTTTCCTATGTAAACAGTCAGGACAACAGCAATCTGAAGTGGTATCAGTCAGACCTCCTCCATCCCGGACACGAGCCGCAACCATGCAGATACAATCAATGGCAAAAGGAGAGCGCTCGTGTAAAGCGTCATATGTGTCAACATTAGAATCAAATACAGGTCTTGCGACGGATGAGAAGTGTTCCTTTTGATGAGCAACACAGAGACACTCACAGAAACGTTGAACAGCCATTGTAGAAACTAGATTGTGTGGTCGTGATCAGATCGTTGCAATTACAATAATGGGATGCCTAACATTCTGAAAAGTTCTCGGGCCTCAGCTTCAGTAATGATGTTTTTTGTGACGACTGAACAGATTAAATCAACAAGTTGAACGGAACTCGAAAATGACCATACCGTCAGGAAATGTCAGGCTACGTGGCACTTTGTGTCTTATCTTTCTTCGCTTTGATGGTCTTGAGTTCCTGTCTGGAGACGGTGTTCTCGTACGGCTTTGAGGTTCACTGCTATCTCCGTTTTCCTGTTGCACATGGCATTGAGAAAGGTGTTCTTTGTTCTCTTTGAAGACCTACTTTCGCGGCGCGCTCGATCGCAACATCCGCCAGCCCTCGCAGAACCTCCCAAGGAGCCACAAGGCCAGATGCGGGGAGTTCGCCATTATCCTCCTCATCGAAGTCTGAGGATTCGGCACTTGTCACATTAGATGATGGAGGTGCGTGCCGTTTTGAACCAGAGGTGGGGTACTTTCCTGATCTCTGGGCGTCTGCCGCCTGGTAACGGACAGATGATACATTGCTTTGCTGGGACGATGGGGGACCCATCGTCTGGATACTTGAGAATGGAGGGAGTACGGGTCCGTGAGGTGTTTGATTCTGAATATAAGACTGTCCACTGTGATGAAAGTTCCCATAAGGCGGTGGAATTTGATGAGTTTCTCCAGAGGGGGAAGGCTGAGTCGTAGGACCCTGATAAACATTTGGCAATGATGCTCGACCTGCGCGGGTTGGCGCGGATCCGGAGGCATGCGCCGGGCCAAAGGTAGTAGGGCCGCCTGGAGGTGACGGATGATGAACATCGCTGACGTGCTGGTGACTGGCCGTTGGCGTCGACATCGAAGGAGAATTTAAACTTGGAGACTGATGAAAAGTCGGAGGATACATAGAAGGTGATCGAGTAGAAAATCCCCCGCCCCTGACATGAGCTAGAAGCTCCGAGAGCGTGTTTGAGATTGTATTTTGAGTCTGTCGAATCTCTGAGACGTGCGCTTCGAGACTCCGGATACGCCTACAGACGAGTCAGCAGACGAGAGATTGATGAAAAGGGTGTGGTAATACTCTAGTCCAGCTTCTCCAGTCAAGGTCGCTTCCCTTACGGGTTTTTCAAAGAGACATTCTAGCCCAGTGTTCCGGCAGCGCCTACAGGGTGGATTGTCCGCTCCCTCACATCTCATCTTTTGTTTTCTGCAAGCATTCTAAGGACAAAAATTAGCGAAATTGGAACGCGCTAGTGCAACACTCACGCAAGCACCTGTGGATATCAACGCAGCGATGAGCAGATGGAGCGAAACATAGACCGAGGGCTTACGAGGAACTCGATTCAAAGTCTTGACCACTGGCTTGATATCGCGTTTGTCACCTTTGTCTTCATCTTCTAACTTTTTTACGCCTCCTCCAGGAAGATCCATGAAGCTTCCCTTTGCGAGGTGAATCGCAGGTGGAGAGTACGAGATGCGGGGAAGATGGGGGGTGAAGTCTACGTAAACAGACAAATCGGACTCATCAGTGAACGTTACGTAACTAACCCGTAATTCAGGGCTTGATGGATAAATGTTTTTGCACTCGAATTTGCACAGAGATAACGAAATTCAAGGTGAGTCGCCGATGGTATAGACACGTTGAGTAGTGAGATATAATTGCTCTAGTACGATATCATGACTCAAACTCTCCAGAAGATCTCATCCAACAAAGCTTTTGAGGGGGAGCTAACAAAGTATGGATTCAAGGTGGGAAATGTCAAACTGACGTCCATGAAAGCTGTCTTCTAACTGTGCGTTGACAGTCTGCCGTCCTTGGAGGTCTTCACGCTCAATTCAACCTATTTCTGCCTGCAGATGCTAGTCACGGAAAGGTCCCACTCCTTGTGTTTCTTGCAGGTTTAACTTGTACAGAAGATAACGGGTGACTAAGTACCTTCAAGTCCAGTTCCGTCAACGTAGTAGTGACCATTTCAAAGTGCTCAGAAAGGTGGGTTCCTCGGGGTAGCCGCTTCACAAAGCATCGCAATTCTTTTTCCGGATACGTCCCCTCGTGGAGCTGGTATCGCTGGAGAGGACGATGACTGGGATTTTGGCACTGGCGCAGGATTTTACCTTGATGCCACGAAACCCGAGTATGCAAAGCATTATAATATGCTTTCCCACATCACAGTCGAATTACCTCAAGTCATTGAAGCTGCTGGTCTACCTATTGTAGGTTCCGTGGTCAGTTAAAAGGGCATTTGCGACTGATTTTTGATCTTTGCAGGATCTCAGTCGACAATCGATCTTCGGGCACAGTATGGGTGGTCATGGCGCTCTTACGCTGTACCTTTCCTCGAAAACAAAACAATATCGATCGGCCTCGGCCTTTGCTCCTATATCCAACCCCTCGAAATGCCCTTGGGGTGAAAAGGCATTTGCAGGTTATCTCAGTGGAGGGGTTGCGGAGGGCATCAAACAACATGACGCTACTGCACTTATTTCAAAGTTTCAGGATTCCGTTCACATTCTCATTGACTATGTTGGTGCTTCTTGAAACTGCCTTTGCTTAATGATCCAACTACGATTAGGGATCTGGAGACAATTTCTACAAACAGGGTCAACTACTCCCGGAGAGTTTTCTTGAGGCCGCTCGAGATGCTGGGTATGACGAGGTCCAAGTGCGCGTGAGACGTCACGAAGGGTATGATCACAGCTACTTCTTCGTGCGTCAGTTTTCTCTTCAACTTGGATCCCATTTGCCTAAAAACCTCACAGATATCAACCTTTGCTTCGGACCACGTTCACTGTCAGTATACCCCTTTCTCTGTGTCACTGGTAGTCGCGCTTAATTTTATTACAAGTCCACGCAAACTTTTTAAAACATAACAACAAGATGTAAGAAAAACTTGTATTTCAGAAGGATCTTCCGCGTAGCAGGCCAATTTTTAAAATAAAATATTCATTTAACGATACTCACTGGAGACCTCGATTCGCGTGCGATACAATGCGTCCAAATCCTCAATTTCGGAATCAATCCACCTGCTTTCCAGAGCATCGCGAACAGTTGCACGTTGTAGAGGGTTGTGAACCAAGAGAGATTTGACGAGGGCTTTCGCTAGGTTCAAAAAAGGATTATTTGTCAGGGAACGAGTTTCTTGTAAAATCTCAAGTCAGAAGCTCTAATTCTCACTGACCATCGGGTAGATCGTGCCATGGTAAGTGGCGGAACTCTACCTCGCCATCAACGATACGTTCCTTGACTTTTGAGTCGGTATGGCTTCCATTACCATCGGAGAATTGGGAATAATTCTGGATTCCGTCGGAAGCCGCAGCGTAGCTCAGCCAATTCGAAGACTGTGTTGTGACGGGTTCGACGTCGAAGGGATGTGAACCACTGGCAGATTGAAAAGAGGGCATGGTCCGATATTACCGACTTCGCTTAGAAGAACGGTCGACGTACGACAACATGATATAAAGAACCACTCCGACACTCCAGCAATCAGATGGTAATCTGAACAAAAAAAAATCAATAAAAAGAAAAGTGATTTTTTGCCCAGTTCCGACCCTGTGTAACTGAGATGTTTGTTGTCTAAGGCCAGAATGCCTTCAGGGGGTAAATAAGATACAGTGCCACAGACGTTGAATGTCTCCTGATACGAGTTTGGACGTGCTAGTCCGAAATCTGCGATTAGCACACGGGGATATGGTCCTGGAGAGAACAGCAAGATATTTTCGGGCTGCGGGTTAGGTCAATAAACAGGTGTAATTCTTGTGTGTTACTCATGACCACCTTGAGATCTAATTTTATGCAACATGCTTATTAGATGTCATGTCGGAAGCGACAGGTCTGTCACTCACCGCGATGAGACACTAATTTATCATGCAGATACTTCAAGCCTTGCAATAGTTGATACATGATGTACTTCCCCTCCGCTTCACAAAGTCGATTATCACTAGCACTGGCGCTGGTGATGTACGTAAATAGGTCGCCACCCGTACAGAGTTGAAGAAAAATATGACTGAACGTCACGATTGATCTCAGAATAAGATGTGCGTTTCTGCCAAACGACAGAGCACTTACATAAATTTTTGGTTCTCTTCTGTATCGTATATTTCGTTGATGTTTGGCTGATGGATTTGTTAGAGAGATCGTGGAACCGGAAGAAAAATCCTGTGACGTGCATGCTTGAAGGTCATCAACAGTCTGACTTCTTTCATAACCTGCACGACTTCGTGATCACGCTTGGTCCTGATGCTTTTGCAAGCCACCTGCCGATGCCTGATTGGATCTATTGCTAGATGAACTGTGGCGAAGGATCCAGTTCCAAGGCATTGCGAGGTCACAATGTAATCGCCAATGCGCTGTGTTGTAGAGAAGTTGAGCCTAGCTTTATGAGAGCAAATATCTTGCCAATCACTTTTTGAGCAGGTTGTAACGGCGGGGAGGGCTCGAATAGCGTCAATTTCTCGACAGGCCCCCTCCAAGTGTGTATGCACGTAAAAGCTGGGCAGCTTCTGTCAGCATTGTGATTCTCTGAAGAGAACGGGATAAACCAAGTGAGTTTGGCAACCGTAAAACATCACCATCCATCAGAATAAATGCGGCTTTATGAATGTGCTGATTGTTGAGAGTAATGCCATTTCGAGAAAAATCCTGATGTAGATACCGTCAAAATCAGGAGGCGCGATCCCTGAAATATATACCTGACAGGAGACAATGACCCCACCACTCGGAGAACGGACACTAGTTTGATGATCAAGCGAGCATGTCGATCAAGTTTCGGCTCGGACGTTGGAAAACCTTACGCATATACTTTGCAATGAAGACCAGAAACAAGGGCGTCATTCACGACGTATGAGCTAAACAGTCAAAGACCATAGAGTTCATTCCCACTGAGCCGCAGATGATAGCGAAAAGCCCCACCAGAGATCCGGGTTCCGTCCAATAGTTGCTGGTTTATTGAGTGTCAACACCACAGCTGCGCAATCCATGATAGGTCAGACAAGAAGAACAATGACTTTTATGTCAAGAGCCAGCGATGTGACTGTACCTTCTTTCCGTCCTCCACGCATAGCGACCAGTTTCGCGCATATATCCGAATCGCGAGCTGGAGGAGGGGCCCAGCCCGGGACAGACGGTTTTGAAAAGTTGCACGTCGTTAGGATAGGTCGTGCCGGCATTTGGAGAGCTAATAAATTCGTATTTCGCTATGTCAGTAGAGGTTATAATTTAGAGGTAGAGTATAATAATAGAACATTCCACCTTGCAATTGCTCAGTGCCAAGGCACATAATGATCAAACATGCATAAACATTCAGGTCGGTAAGAAAAGAAATAAAATCTAAAGAATTCCTTGAGATATTCTCAACGCTACATCATATTGAAATTTTTAGCAAGAAGGTAACCTGTGCTCTCCCAGACTCGGAGGTTTGGCCGCTTGAAGTAGGGGCTCCGAGAATTTATAATCTACCCGGCTGGCCTGGACTTCCCTTTTTCTGGTCCATGAACTGTTAAAGTTTTAAGTTGAACGAGGTGTAGACTGTACTCATGACTATCTACAGGCGCAGGTAAATGCAAAACCCTAGACGCCTCTGTGTCCCAGTCTGCCTCAAAGGTGCGGTTAGCGTGATCAGCATCTTCGAAGCTGGAGTACACGTGTAATCGTCACAGCACTCTTGAAGCAACTTCGAGTGCGTATTTGGCATGCGGACAAGATGAGTTTTGCGGAAAATTTGGTCTTATTTGTAGGTTTCCAATCATGACCTCGACTAATCGTAACCTTTGCCGCTCCGTTGCTTCACCCTTTTCATCTTTCTGTGATGTTTTTTCCCAGAGTCTGCATGCTGCGACAAAGACCTGAGTCGAGACTGCCTTATTTCCAAAGGTGTGCCGTCGTCGGCGGTCGCGGTTTGATGGGGATAGAATGTAGGCCGGGAGAACTGCTTCCCATTGGCTTGTGACCCTTGTATGAAGGGACGGGCGGAAAGAGTATCTTCCTCAAAAAAGTCAACATCGACGGCCTGGGATTTTGTTCCCCGGCTAAAAAACGCTATGGGCGTACTGTCGTTTGGAGGTTGGACGTTGGAAGGAATAAAAGTGTCGGAATCTTTTCCAACACGAGTGGCGGGAGCCGTCTTCTTTCCCACCACCCGTAACATAGCATGTCGATGACTTTGTTCGTTGAATAACTTCTCCGAAATATTTGGAGGTGGATGGCAAAAGAGAAGTTTTCCGTTCACATAATCCTTTAATATGTATCTTGCGGCACGTGCCTCGTCCGGATTGCCTTGTCCTGATCGCATATAACCTCTCGCGACTGTTTTCATTATGTTAGGTCAGATAATCAAACAATGGCGTTCTACTCACTAGCATAGGCAATGAGAAAATTTCCCGCTGATATTGTGTCATCACCTCCGTCTTCTATCCTGTGAGTTTTGATATTCAATCCATATGTTGCTTCGAGAATCTCTCTGGGTAAGCGTTTGACCACCAGGGAGATTGGACCTGTATATTCCCTCATTTGATCGATGGGCAAAACTCCGTCGCAAACAAGGTCTGCCTTTGTCGTGGCAAATTGAGGAAAGACGAGACCAGGACAATCACATAGAATGATATTGTCGGAAAGATGGATGGTTTGAAAATGTTTTGTTTTGCCCGGCGTCGATGACACGCTAACTTTCTTTTCGCCAAGAAGGGAATTAATGGTACTGGACTTTCCGACGTTGGGATAGCCAACAAGTCCAATGACAATCTTTGAGGGTGGTTGTCCCGAAGCATCTGTAAACTCTACAAGGCGATCAACGAGCGGCATCAACGTACAATGAACAATCAAACCTGAAAGATCAGGAGCCAGCTTCACAAACAAATCCTCTAATTCAACAACAGATAGAATCTTAACTCGAGAGTCCTGACTATTGGTTGGAGCTTCCTCAGCAGAAAAGTACCCTTCTTCGTCAGAACTTCGATCACTTGAATCCTCGTTACCGTCGGCGTCGGCTTCGTCCATTTCGTTGTTTGAGTCGGTGGGATCCTCATGTTCTTGCATCGCCCTAGATTGTTTATTGTTATGGTGTTCCTCGAAATCACGCCTTGCCTGCTGGATTGCAACAGCATTTGCGGCTGAATAGAATGCGCATTGTACTCCTCGTTTATCAAAGAAATCCGCCCAATGAGACCTGCCAATTTTAACACTGCGTGGTGGGGTGTAAGCATCTGACACACCTTTGTTGGGAGTTGAGCAGATCCGCTTTATTAATGAGCAGCATACTTTTCCTTTTTCCCGCTCCTATACCGGCTTCTCCCTCAGGTCCTTCAACGTCTTGAATGTACTCCTCCAAATCTTCGCAACGAAACTTAAGGGGATTCCGTGCGTCGACAATCTGAACGACAAGGTGGGAACGTTCCAGCACACGCCAGAGTTGTCTCCACACCTCAATATTCCGCTCGAATGGTGTGAGCAAAAAATTCTCTTGCTCTTGAAGCCTATTAGCGTGAGTACACAAGGCAGCTGCGTCGATTGTAGGCTTACTCAGCGAGTCCTCTGCGCCAATCCAAAAAAGCATCTTTCTCCCGGCGGTCTAGGTCGATACTCGTCATCGACTTATTCCATAAAGGTCTTCGAGGAACTCGAAGCCTCTTCTTGTTCTCTTCGTGTTTCCTTAACACCTTTTCCTCTTCTTCATCGGTAAGAATGTGGGGATTGTGAGATGATCCCGTCGATTGTTGTATGACTTTTATATTTCTTCTCTCTGGGTTAAACGTTCTTAGCATAATCACAAAGCTAAAGTGAGTGTACCAACCCGCCGTAAATTCGGTCCCAGCCAGCTGAGCAGTGTTCAGAAACTCGTCGAGATCTTTTTCTTGGGTGACGGACTTCAAGCGTGAGCTGGAATCAAGATCAACTTGGTACTTAGACAAAAAACATAGTCAGTATACTCTTTGTGATATCAACAGCACCACTCACTAATCCTGGTTCTTTCACCCTTCTCGCGTCTTTCACTTTCCTGTTGATAATCGCCCGACCAAGGCCACTGGGATTCGGATCTTTGGGTTTTGGTGGCTAAAGCCAGAGTCAGATCCTAAGTCAGATCCTAGGAACATTGCACACCATTTGTCGATCAAGCAGGACGGTGGGCTGGGTGCAAAGATACAAAATTCTTATCTTTATTTGGCCATGGGCCCTTGATCCTAATACTTAGGACTGATACTTAGCCACCCAGGTATCCCGAACCCCATCATGTCCTCTCCAACACAAATTTTCTCTATTTACAGGACTTACTCAAGGCAGGTTAGGCGGCTTCCACATCTTTTTCTTCGGTATGCGTTGTCCTTCTGGGCACTTATTTAAACAAAAATAACTTGGGTATGACAGTCAGTTTTTCTCAATCAAACTTAAGGACGATATCCGGAATATTATCAGCTCATCTGACTCGGACCGGCGTTTGTCTATGTTGAAGCGTATTTCAAAAGTTTGTAAAACATCATGTTTTCAAAGCCTCATTGCTGAGTGTTCACAGGACCTAAAGAAGCTAGAGGCTGCCAACAATGGACAAGTGAAGGCTTTCAACCACATACTAGATATTGCATACGGTAGGAAAGGGAAACTTAGGTGGGAAATAATGAAGGTATTGAAGGCCTTGCTTATATGAAATTGGCTCACGCAACGACAGCCCTTGCTAACCGACCCAGCTGTTGCCTTTCCACCAAAAGTTATCCCAGCCGTCGAAAAGTCTCGTCCTCCGGTCTACTCTCCGGAGCTGAAAGCTCTCTTAACAAGTGCCAAGTCAAGAAAAACTCGACCTTTGGCTTTGCGAACTCTGACTAGGCCTCCTAAACTTCCTGCTGAAGCTGATGTCAAGTCAGATGAGGCTCGCCTGTTTGGACCTTTCAGCAAAAGGCGAGAAGTCAACATTCGATGGCGCTATTTCACCGAAGAATGGAAAAAAGTTCGACCTCCGACTCAAACCCTTGTTAGGGAGATATCTTCTGGACAAACGAGAGACATTGTTGACAGCGAGACAATCCATGGTCTTGGCATTCGTTCAGTTGGCTTTCAAGGTCAAGGGGTGTATGAGGATGCTGAAAGGCTGGTAGGGGCTTCAACCACACCTCCTCTTCCTCGCAAAGGACGCCACATAGGCAGAGATGGCGACCTCTTGAATAGAGCGGCGGACCCAGGAAGGCACAAATCCCGATGGGTACGGCGCCGTTATCAAAGCCTTCTTTCCCGTTTACCACTCTTGGTATACACCCGATTCTCTGGGTCTTACTCGGTTGAGTTGTCGCCCTTCGCCTCTTTACCGCATCCAGGCCCTCAGCGCTATCCTGATGCTAATTCTGTGGATTTAGCCTGGCACAGTCTCGAATCTCTTGCACAGACCAAGAAGTTGCCAACGTCATGATCAGAAACGCCTATTAAGGATTCGAGTCATGGATCTCTAGTCCATGTAGGTCTATCATATACAAGCTATATTTACGATCAGTAGCGTTTGCTGTTCCCGCCTCACCTTCCGAAGGGTCAACGCCGCATTGGAAGTTAAGCATTGTTTGATATTCGTCAAAACTGAACGACTGCCTCTGTCGAATGCCATCCAACATTTCCTGTGAGAGTAGATTGTTGGTAAAAATGAGCGTTGGGCACCTGCAGAAATCATACCTGCGGAGTGAGGAAGAAAAGTTCATAGTATCGCCGAGCACGCTCGAATTCCGTGTGCTGTTGATCGTTAGTTAGGGTTTTTATGCTCTGTTGCAACGCGAGCATATTTCTGATAATTTTTCTGATGCCGAATGCGTTGGGGAGTTTGAGATGGTGAGCATTGGAGATGAGCGTGTGCTCCATTAGATGTCCCAGCCCCGCGAAGACAAATCTAAATTCGTTGATCAACAAATAATCGGGGATGAATGGGTGATAGAGAGAAACAGACTGTCGCTCGTTCATGGGAAGACTCGCTGATGTGAATTCGTCGCACTGTACAAGTTCCGAGTTGAGATCCACGATGTGTGAATCTGGTTCGGTCGCTTCAAAATGAGAACTGTAGCTTCCCTGGCAAAAGCAAAAAGAGGGTATAAGAGTTCTGACGACACCAAACTAAAGATACTGACATGACGCATGGCCGCATCTAGATGATAGATGGTTCGACATCGAAGATCAACGCGAATAGTGTTCAAGATAAGGCCAGAAAGTTGTTCGTAGGTCTCTAAAAGAGCTTGAAATCGGCTACTAACGTAAACTCATTGAAATATAATTTTGAAGTGAGCGCACTCACAGGGCCATCTCTCGAGAAAGAGGAAGTTGCAGAGTGTCTGATGCAGATAACGCGGATATATAGGGTGTTGTTGGTGTAAATCCTGTAGATGGTTCGACAGCAGAAGGCGACGTAGGAACTATCATATCTTCAGGTGTTGCCTTCAAAGCTATTAGTTTCGAGGAGAACCAGGACTATCAACAGGGTTAAAGTTGAAATGTCAAAAACGTCGCGCAAACACCAACCACACTGCGGTATAAACTGGCAAGGGCGGCTAGATTCCGGATAGATGGCACAAGGTCTTCCTTCACCAAAGTTTTTCGACCCATGAGTCCAAACTCGATATGAGTTTCTTGGCGGCAGAGCTGATGTTGCTTATCCACCTCCGACACCTTGGTAATCCTTCAGCCTTTATCAAGTACAGAACTGAGTCAACGCACGTCTGTTGTCATTAATTCTGATAGGCAAGGGTGTAGTTCAGAACTCTGGGCCCATTGGGCGGCGAGTGATATCCGGCGTTCCACGCCAATTTCAGGCTCTCCGGTCGTCAAAGCTTGGAATCTGTCACTACACCGCTGATAGAATTGGATAACAACGCCCAGAATAAGTCGTGAGTAGTTTTCCCGGTGAAATGGGCTTGTACGAAGCATTGCGCATAGTGAATTTACGAGTGCCATCAGGTGTGTGCTGGCCTAAACGTCGATGAGCGGCTTTAACCTGGGAATTGAAATGAAAAGTCTCGCCTTCACAAGGGGCTCGTAGCAAAGGCGCAATGACAGTGGATCCGTTTGGAAAGCCTCCGGACCTGTGGCACAGATAGGAACGATGAGGGATGATGAAACATGAGAGAAATTAGTGAATATACCTGTGACGGCGTCGTGGAAGAGGTCTAATACTTTTTCTTCCAATTGCGGCAAGTAAACTTTCAAGACAAATTCATCGAGAACTGTACTTGAAGCTCGAGCTGATTCTAATACAGAAGGAAGCGATTCAGAAACTTGTTGAAGAAAGCTCAACGTGGGCTGGAATAAAACGGTGACGTGGAATGCATCTGGACGGATCAAGAGTCGATGATGTTGGTCTGAGCCCAGCAAATGATCGTCTGTGAGATTTGTTACGATGGTTTGTGCGTTATCTCCGACGCCGCTGGGAGCGAGTCCGGGCATTGTACCCTTGAGCACTTGGATCAATCCGTCCTCATGTGGCTTGAGTACTTTGTTGGTAACTTTGTTATCAGTGTCGGAAAACCGGAAGACGGGCTGCACAAGAAATTTCATGTCAGTCCTATAACTTCATAAGAGGAAACATACTTTAATCTTGTCCCGAGAAAACCTGCCCTCTCGAAGGATCTCGTTAATCGATGAGATTGGGTTTCGGCTCAACGCTGATCCTCGTTGTTCATCAGTAAGATAGTCGTTGATGAGCCTTCGAACCTGAACCACTGGTCAGTCCATGTTCCTTTTCTACTTTTCAGCTTACCTCGGCCTCAACAGGAGTCCAAATCTCTGACAAAGGGAATAACACTGTGGGCTTTGTACCAGATGAGTCTCGATAATCACGCCTCTTTTGGTTCACCGTAAATGAGGACAATGAAAGGTCAAGAGTGGAAGACGCACAGATCCTATCCGATTCGCAACCTCAGACAACACTCTTAATCCCTGAGCTACAGCATCCAATTTCGAATAAAGAGTCCAGAATAAGTCGCGCAATATCTCGTGATCACCTCTTTTAGAAGACGACTCCAATGCAGAGAGCCTGAGAGTTGACGCGTCCAGAAGGGGCATTTTAACGCCAGCTGTCATGCCAGTCACTGCGTCGCGAGAAGTAAAAACATAAATTCCTTCCGATCTATCGAGGGCACCTTCATTCAGAGAAGATATGGTTCGTTTCTTTCCATACTCAGCCCTATCCTCTACCTCGCCAAGAGTTGTCTCGACGAGACTGAAAATTTCGCCTGGTAATCTCTGGGAAACGTTGTCCAACGCAGCAGCCAATTTTCCGAGTACAGCCAGTGATTCGAGAAGAGTCTCCATGTAGGCAAATGAGTCACTTTCGGGGTTCAGATTCGCAGGCGAGTGGATAAGGGAGGTACCATTAGGAGGGATGGAGGATGTCCCACTATCACTATGATATCCGGGATTGCTCATGTCAAGGGGTGGATCATTAGGCCGAAGTGCGAGATTGTTGAGAAATCGGGTCAAACGAGTTTGATGAAAGGAAGGGGACGTAGGTGACATGTGGTTTCCAGTTTGCCCTGTGGGTTCCACATCACGCTCAACTTCGCCTCTGGGGACTATACGGATTACTCAGGCGACTGCGCGAAGATAAAAGGCTTAGCTGATACACACAATTTTGCTGGTTTGGGGTGTACGCAGACCACCGAGCGTCACACCAAAATGACTTCAGGTACAGGTGACTTTGAAGTTCGTCAGTAAGGATCTCACGCAGCGCCTAGGGAAATATGACATGAAGTTCAGTTCTTTTGCTAGATTATACACGCACCGTTTCTTGGCCATTAAGATAACTCCTCAAATCAGATATTGCGCCAACTTCTAGCATATCTGGCTTATTAATTATTTTCAGACTTTTGACAAGCAACACAGATGCCTGTAATAGCCGTTTTTCCGACATTAACGTTTCAAGAAGGTCAGGGACCCTTTTCAAGTGCTCGCTAGAGGGAAGGTCAGTAGGATGTTTCAAGGCAGGTTTAGCGTCACACATTTGATCTAGAACTCGAAGCATCTCTTCGAGAGTTTGTGTTCGGTTCCAAAGTTGAACAAGGTCGGCACGTTTGCTTGCAAGAGCGTCCTTGGCCTCAGTAAGCGATGTTCGCGTGCTCGAGATATGTCCCTGGGATTCTGTGAGGTGATTCAAGAGAGAGGCATGATGTGGCAGGGAAGCTGCGAATGCCTGATAATGCTCTGTACAGAGAGAGATCTACGAATCAGTCATTACAGGAGCGCTGCAAGTGAAGAGACACACTATCGACAGAGCCTCTAAGGGCTTTCGAGAGCATATTCTTTGTATTCCGAAAGGATTCCATATTCTTGCCATGTGAAGAGCTGTCGAGAAGTTGTAAAGCCAATTCCACATTATTGAACTGATGTTAGATTATTACTTCGTGCTGCGTCTACGAAGATTAAGATAGCTCACGTCTGGGTCGATGACGAATTCCCAGCCATCCTTGACTTGATCAAGAACCGCTATAGATGAAAAGGCTTACTCCACGATGCAGACGACGCGTAACTAGCAGACTCACCGTCGATCTCGCCTGCCTTTCCCCCCCTTTTCGACCGAATTCCCGGAACTTTCTCTCGTATTCGCTGCTGTCTCAGCTTTTCCGCCTCCATTTCCGCCTCTCTTTCTCTTTGATAATCAACATCTTCTGCATTGAGTGTTTGACGCCTTCTGGTTCCAGCCGACTGGAAGGCCGATAGGGCAGAAACTAAAGAGGTTGGAGTTGTGTGATCGCCATCGTCTGATGTTGGACTCTGCTGAGGTTGATTAGTTCTCAAATGCAGAGGAACATTTGAAGTTCGATAGGAGCCGGAAAGCTCTGAACGGGTGGTGCTAATGCTGTCCCTGTAGAGATCTTGAGATGAAATAGAAGCGCGTTCAGAGCCAGAGTACTCTGAAAGGCGTCCTCTTCGTTCAGAGCGCTGCGGGCGAGAAGGACCGATGGGAGCGGTGTTGGGCGGTGCGTGAAGCGGAGAACCTGATGCGAAAGCAGAGTTGCTGGGCGTTGTAGGACGCGATGGGGGTCGTGATATTTGTAGGGGACGCGTTGGTATGCCTGGAGCGGAGAGAGGCTGCGAAGCGTAGGATGATGGTGAAGGATATGAAGCACCGTTGGCGTTGGATGGAGATCGTCGACGGGTAGGAAAGGGAGGCGCACGAGACATTAAGGACGAACTTGAACTTGTACGGTTATTTATGTTGAAGGTTATGTCGAAGGCTATTTATAAACATGACCATCTCCCACCTCCCACCTTTCTTGAGATTGCTCTCTTCCACTACGGCACAACCTCCTCAGCCATTCATTAACTCTGTTTTCCCTCATCATCACCCCCTCGATGTCGCACACACTCTCTGGTGGCCAACCAAACGCCAAGGTCATCCTCCAACTGTCGTCCTTCTCTTCGTACCTGGTATGTTCCGCAACGTGACAGCACAACGGTTGCACCGACTCCTCATCCTTTCCAGGCAATCCGGGTCTTCTTGACTTCTACTTGCCATTTTTGAACGCCTTATACCAAAAGGACACAACAACTACGCTTGCAATTCTTGCTATCGGACATATCGGTCACTCGCCTGTCATTAGCGCCCCTCAGTCAATAGATTCCTGCAGTCTCCCGTCCCAAGTTGAGAGTGTGGCCCGTGCTTTAGATGCCCTCAAGATGGAGTACGGCGGAACAGCCAAATTCGCGCTTGTCGGCCACAGCATTGGTGCATGGATCTCTTTGCAGGTTCTGCCCCCCATTTCTCTGCCGTGGATCTTGTTGACATTTTCAACAGGTATTGAAATCAAGGCAACCTGATGTATCGGCGATTTTCCTCCTTTTCCCGACCATAAGCAATATTGCCAATACTCCAAACGGCAAACGGCTTTCTGTATGTTCCTCGTTTTATCAACGTATGTATGCTGCTAATCATTCAACAGTGGGCTTTCTCACCCACTTCAATATCAATTCTGTCACTTCTGTCGCGCTTTGTCAAATATCTCCCAACGTACATCCTTTGCACAATTTTTCGTGGCTGGCCTCTCTCTCAAGTCCTTGTCCTGCAGCGACTCCTTTATTCCCCGTCGAGTATTGCAGCTGCATTAAGCATGGCCGGTGAAGAGATGATTGCTGTACAAGGCTTAGACCTAATCCTTTTGGAAGAGCACAGGCAGAGACTCTGGTTCTATTATGCGGGACATGATGATTGGGTTGGGCCAGAAAAACACAAATTACTCAGTTCGTTTTACCCAGATGAGCGATCCCAGAGAATTGTCCAAGATAAATTCGAAATCCCACATGCCTTTTGTATCAGTAAGATTTTTTTTCCTTCTTCCCTGCCAAAGACAATTTATATAAAAAAACTTTAGATCATGGAGACCACCTTGCTGAACAATGTCATCAGTGGCTCGCAGCCTCTAGAGCTGAGATGGAGGGATTCATGTCTCAACAGAGCAATGTGTGCATAGTCTGTACTTTTTCAGTTGTATTCAACTCAAAGGGGTGAATTTTATCTTTTCAGCCAAACAGGATAAATTTATACCCCAGAAAACTCGCTGTCAGTTTTTCATAGAGCAAAATGTTTGAACCCAACAAGTCTGAAGAGGAGGCTATAAAAGTCTGCTACGTCTTCGTTTATCTCCCTTGCTTTCTACTAGTTTTCATTTCAAGAGAATTACTGCGCGCCCCATGCGGCAAACGCAATCCAACAGACGTGGTGGTATGTGTATATACAGGATACGGCATCTATAGACCATGAACGCACATGTCATCAAGACAGGACTACGATGTTGAACCAGAACTTGGTCTATGTGTTCGTGGCTTAGGGTCAGGAACAGACTCCAGAGACTCCGAGCTTGGGAGCTGTGCGCCGGCGACATTCAAGCTTTCTAACATTTGTTTACGCACTCTGGTGTCACCCTGACCCGCCGTCGTCTCATCTATTGGCAGATGCTTTTGGTTGGCGCGTTCTTTAGTCTCAGCTGTTGTTTTGGACCCAATGACATCCTCATTTTCTTGACCCTCCACCTCGTGTGCCAACATGTCAGCGATGCCAAGGTAGAATGTCGCAGGCCGGAATTCAATCTCTTTTCCCATCATTTCTGCCCATTTGTATCTGGCGGTGTTTATCCACCCGACAAGGTCCAGATGGTTGACTTGAGAGAGTGTACCTAGATAAGTGCCCTTTTGCACCTTTAATAACAAGGAACTAAAAACGAGAATGTGACACACCCATTTGGATGACTCGACAGAGACGAGGCCATCATTGGGACCCTCCCTTTCTAAAATGACAGAGTGAGGCCACCTATGGAGATATATACAAGGACTTTAATAGATACAGCGTGAATCCACTTACTTCCAGGTATCAATCAATCCCGGGTCATAAACAGCACCCCAGCTGAAATATCTGACGCCTTCAACGTCTGGTGTCTCTTCATTGAACTTTCTCATACTTTCAACTGTTAGGCATTCGAAAGCCTTTCCGTCGCCACCTCCATTCGGAAGCAAATCGAGAAGAGAAAGGACGGAAGGCATGCGCGCGCGACCTATCGTTGAAAGGAAATGGTCAGCAAAGGAGGAGCCTCGGTGCGGCGTGGCAATTGTTGTTATGGATAGAACGTGGAATTTTCGTTGTGTGAGATGGGTGGTGAGGTAGCGACAGTCAAGGCCGCCCTGTGCATAGGATTAGAGGCGAGTCGTGATCAATTGAAGCGAATGTTACCATTGAGTGACCTTAAGGTTTGTGAGAGTCAAAGTGAAATAGAGCCTCCCCAATGGAGTGTGATACATGACTGACCGATGAGATGTACACTCCGTCCCGGATAGACCTGGGAAATCCTCTGTTCAAGAACCTTTGCTCTTTCGGCAGGACTGCTTGTGGCGGGGACCCTGGTGATGAGGACCTCAGTGCCATTTTCTTCAAGAACCTCCTTTATCCCTCGCCAGTGCGCGACTTCGAGGGGGGCAATGGCAGGGCCTATAGTGACGGAGTCGAAGCCAAGAAGACCGTGACAAAAAACCACAGGGTTGCGCGGAGACTTGTCTGCATTGCGTGAGCCAAAATGTTTAAAAGAATGTCGTAGACGCACACTTGTTGTTTGTCTCTTTTACGGAAAGCATCTCAGAGCGATCGTCGACGACTGGCGACGAAACATTATTGTCTGATTGAAACCACCACCAAGAGGACGTGGTTGGAGAGGAAGTCTGCAAATGATTTCCTGTTAAAAGGTCAGCGGAGTGGGTGGATATAGATTGGGAATAAAAGGAGCGTAGAGAGTCGAGGGAGGACCGAGTAGGCGGTGAATGGGCGAGGAGGATGGGAGGTGGCCGAACAACATCGGATCGGATAGAGTGGAATGAGGCAATAGGTGGGGAAAGGGAAGAGGAAGGAAGGGTTGAACGGGTGAGGTTGTCGAGGAAGGGTGGGGGTCGACTGAGATTGCGAGATGCACGAAAGGATGGTGGAAGGCGTGCGGCAGGGGGCCGCAGAGGCTCGTTCATGGCCTCATTTAGAAGGGCAAGATTAGGAGATGGGGGGGAAGACGGGGGCGAGGAACGGGTTGACGATACATTACTCAGCCAGCGCAATATGGGGGTATGAGGACGAGATGGCATGGGATGAAGTGTTGGGTTAGTGTCCAGTCTGTCTGTTGAACAAGGATTATAGGAGGTAGCGGTTGGCGAGTCAGAAGTATTTGTAGAGGAACAGGCTGCCGTTGCCGTCGTAAAACAGGACGCGGGGGTTGTCGTCGTCGTAGTCGTCGTCGTAGTCGTCGTCGTCGTTGGTGACTTGTCCGTCATAGGATTATGACCATGGCACGGTGAGGACATTCAATGTGACGTCACGCGACCATTAAGGATGCTTCTCCCCTCCATCCTTCCCTCAACTCCGGCGGTCCAAGACGGTACGGGTCTCTTCCGTTGCCACGTTTTCAGCTACAAGACTCACCGCTTCCAGTTACGTCCACCGAGCAGCAGGTCAATGATGTCCAGACGTACGTCAACGATGTCCAGTTTTCGGCCAAAGTCACCACACCAGAACAGTATGTACGCTTGCGCTTATTCACTCGAAGCTTTTCTGAATGTATGAACCAGAACCCCGATATTTATTTGTGCAATGAAAAGCAAGTGTACCACGTCGTTCGTCCCCCCATTATTCAATCATATTTCCAGATTGCAACCGTCTTTTTCCTTCTCGCGACCGGGTGATGATGCATCGTAAACGAGACCATGACTCTACGGACGATACGTTGATAATAACTTGGAATGAGTAGAGTCACTGTGGATGCTGCTGGCAAATAGAGACAAACTATGTATCCTGAGAATGGTCCTCTTGGGCGTGTATGTATGTATGCATTGAAGTTTGATTGAGCTTGGTAGGTATAAGACCAGAACTATCAGCGTCGGACCTCCCTTTCATCCCTAGCCGTGCCAATCGTCGTCAATCTAACCCACAGCCTACAACCAGTCTCGTTGTCGCACCTATAGCACCCTTGTTTGCTTCACTTTTTCTCACAACATCAACAACACACCACCAGTCAGCCATACCGTCCCTCTTAGGTTCCAGGTCTCGTCGAATGTCCTTCTTCTCAAGGAAGAAGCAGCAGCCTCCCCCACAGCCCCCAGCAAATGTTACTGTTGCCCAGACTCCGAGCCAGGCCCTAGCTCAGCTCTCCTCCAACGCCAGCAAAGACGTCACGATTGGGCAAGGGCAGCCAGGGAGTCTGCGAGAGAATCAATTTGATGGGTGTGTCTCATCATTCAGCTGGAATTTTTCTGCTTGATTTACCCTCTCTTCCATAACAGCGTATCCGGAAGTGTCGGAAGTGGTGGTTTGGGTCCCAGTGTTCAGCAGCAACAGATACAGCAGCAACAAGCCCAAAGAACTCGAGATCGAGGAAGTAGTCCGAACGGGCCTACAGGTCCACTTCAATCACAGCAGCAGCAACGGGCGCCACCTGCTTTTCCATGGACTGCCCGCCGCCTTGTCCTTCTACCCCCGTCTGTGCTTCCCAAGCCTGGAGTAGTGCCTCCCACATCACCTTCGCCCTCACCGTTTCCTCGATACGGCCACGCACTTCCTGCTGTCACCACTTCTGGAGGGGATCTCTACCTTTTCGGTGGTCTTGTCCGAGAAGTTGCTCGCAACGATCTTTATCTGTTTTCAACGGCGAATAATTCAGCAACACTATTGCAGACGGGCGGCGAAGTTCCTTGTCCCCGAGTGGGTCACGCCAGCGCCTTGGTCAGCGCAGTTTTGATTGTGTGGGGTGGAGACACCAAGACAGATCCAAAGGCGAAGCCCACTGATAAGCAGGATGATGGGTTGTATCTCTTGAACATCAGTGCGTATATTGCGATTTTGTCCGTACAATTTTGCCGACAGCCTCTGCACTCAGCCTCGCGGGAATGGACACGGGTAGCTGTTCATGGCGCAGCGCCTGCTGGTAGATATGGACATGCAGTGACTATGGTTGGCTCAAAATTTTTTGTTTTCGGCGGACAAGTGGACGGAGAGTTTTTGAACGACCTGTGGTGCTTTGATTTAAATTCACGTGAGTTTTCCGAAGTTGTCGTTGCAGGAACACTCAAAGTAGGTTCCAGTAAGAGGCCGAGCAGGGTGGGAGTTATATGAGCCCTCCACTTCTGAAAAGCCTGCGCCTCGAACAGGGCATGTTTGCATCACATACGAAGACCGCATCATCGTGTATGTTTATTAACTTCCCTGTGACCGCCAATAAATTCAACATATATCTTTTAGGTTTGGTGGGACGGACGGATCCTACCACTATAATGATACGTGGTCCTTTGACCTCAACACCAGAAAGTGGACCGAACTTCAATGCATTGGGTTTATTCCTTCACCGAGGGAGGGTCACGCAGCAGCCATTGTAGACGATGTCATTTATGTGTTTGGAGGTCGAGGGGTGGATGGCAAGGATCTTGGTGATCTCGCTGCATTTAAAATCTCTAGTAAAGTCTCATAACTACCAAAACGGTTACCTTCTTTGACGTTTTTGTTCCAGACCAGCGATGGTATATGTTCCAAAACATGGGACCATCTCCTAGTGGGCGATCTGGACATGCCATGGCTTCAATGGGTACAAGAGTTTTTGTATTGGGGGGAGAATCCTTCACGCCGTCGAAATCGGACGACCCTAGTATAACCCACGTTTTGGATACAAGTATGTTTCTCGGTGCAAAAAAGCTTCTCAACCTTTTAATCTTATAATTTCTCTAGAACACATCAAATATCCCGACTCCAGCAAAGGGCCGCCCCCTGGTGCTGCAGTTCCGCCAGGAAGCCAGAATGCTGCTCGAAAACCCTCTGTCACTGCTCAGAACCCTCAAGTGTCCACTGTACATCTCAATGGGCGATCAATGTCTCCAGCTGTTGGATCGGACAACGAAGACCCTCGGCGTGCCCTGTCTCCTGCAGGCAGATCTATAAAATCAGCAACCGGATTGCCTCAACAGACATTCCCAACACCCCCAAATGGAAAAGGAAAAACACCTGTTCGACCACGGAGGGAGGATGATGACCTGGCGGGCACAGATGATGGTATGGACACGGGCACCTCGGAATCGCATTCTCAAAGGGCTACATCACCTGACTCAAATCCTAGCCAAGCAAGAGCGAAAAGCCCAGTCCAGTTCAATGTCGCGAGTCGAGCTGTATCCCCTATAAATAACGCTGGAGACGCGTTCGCACAAGGGGGACAACCTCCAAGTATGGTAGGAGTGTCTATGGGGATCAACGGCATTACTGGTAGATCGTCACCTGCTGTTACTGGGCGGGCATCTCCTATCACTGGGCGAGCGTCACCTGTGACTGGGCGAGCGTCTCCTGCCCTCGAGCGTGTCAAAGCTTCCGGCGACGTATATGGCACTCCACAGACAACATCTCCTATCGTCAACGGGTTTGCTCGACCGACGTCAAAGAGCGGCAGTGGGTCCGTTGGGAATGTGGCTGCTGATCTCCTGAAAGATCTTAAGGCCAAAGACCTGGAGCTTGACAGCCTTAAACGTCAAATGATTTGGATGAGGGAGGCTTTGAGCAAAGCTTCTCGAGCAGGTTACGTCCAAGTGGATAGAGAAGGTAGTCCCGATCTATCACTAAGCGGAGCAAGTGAGGACAGAAGCGACGGGCGGTATTCTGAATTGGTTCTCAAGTTTAAGCAGTTCAAATCTCAAGTCCAGGTGAGTAGAAGATCGTTGAATACTTTATCGGCAGGATCTGACTTTTTTCGATGTCAAGACTGCAATGGTTGAACAAGCAAAACAAGCCTCTGATCGCTTTGCAGAAGCCGAACGCATAAAGTCAACTGCTACGCAAGAGGCCGCATATTACCGTGCCAAAATTGCAGCTTTGGAAGCGAACAACAAAACTGAGGTGCATCATGTTGAGCGCGATCGTATTGTGGATTTGGAACGGCACATGTCTGCACTCATGAACGAGCGTTGGTCGCAAGACCGCAAGTTGAACGAACTGAGCGATTCTCTTGCTTTGCACACTATGTTGTATGATCAAGCTGAGGCTCGTGCGTCGGACGCGCTGAAACGGTCAGAGAAAGCCGATGAAGCACACAATCGCATAGCAGAGCTGTATAATGAGCTTTTGGAGCGATATGAAGTTCTGGAGTTCAAGCTGAGGGATCATGCTGATAAATTGGTATCCCAAAGCTCCTTGCTTGAACAGAGGGAAGCCGATGAAGTAGGTTTGCGTGGTCAACTCGACGAGCTCCTTCAATCCAAGGAACACCATATTCGGGCTTTGGAACAAGCCCGCATAGCGCTTCAAGCAGCTTCTGCGCGGGCGGAGGAGGTAGACATGCAGTATCAACGGGCACGAGAACAGATCAGCGCCATTGAATCTGATCTGGCTGAACTGCGTGGCGAGGTCGAGACCCGAACTTTAGAAGCTGAGGCGGCGCGGGCGAGATTAACAGATGTCGAAAATTCATGGACCAAGTCTCGCGAGGAGGCAGATGCTTTCAGAGCGCTTACCACTGGCGGCCTTGGCGAACTGCTTGACTCTCACAAAGATCTCAAAGCAGACGAAGATCGTCTTCTCCGTGGACATTCTGAAAAGTTACAAGCTGTAGAAGCGGAAGCGCAGTCTCTCCGTTTGCTTCTGAGGGAGACGACCGCTAAAGTTGATGAAGCTCAGAAGAAGATGGCAGATGAACGACGCCGCACCCGCGAGCAGGAATCCGAACAGCTGATTCTTCGTTCACAAATTGTCGCTTTACGTGGGCAACTATCGCAAGCACATGCGGATGCTGGACGTTCCCGCAAGGAGACATCTGAAAAGGACAACCTCCTTCGCGACAAAGACAAGGAAATTTCTGAAACCAATCTCAAAATGGGCATGCTTCGTAATTATCTGGCGGAGAACGGCGTTGGCATTGACGAGGGTGAATTCCGCCCATCTTCTAGGTCCAAAGGCTCAGCGTCTCCAGAAGCTATTGCCGAGCTGGAAAATAAACTTGCCGAGCGCACTCGTCTTCAGGAAAACGCAGAGCGCGAGCTTGCTCAGGTCGCACGTCGTGCACGAGAAGTGGAAGGGCAGGTTACCCAACTATCCGCCCAACTCCATCATGCGCGATCAACACAAAATGCTTCAAGTGACACAGACGCTGAGGCGCGCGCGGAAGACGCTGAACGCAAACTGGAAGAGACAGAAAGGGGATACAAGGAGCGTTTGCACCAAATGGAGGAAGACTATCAAATAGCTGTTCATTACGTGAAGTAAGCATTTCGTGGACTTTCTCTCTCCTCTTTTCTAATTTGACATTTTGCAGGGGCACCGAAAAGATGATGCGTAAAATGCGCGATGAGCTGACGAAGCAGAAGAATACAAATAGTCAACTTCAGGCCGATCTCGACGCCGTACGTGGGAAATCGTCAGATTCGAGAGTTCGCAACATCAATGGTCGTGGCACCCCCTCATCAGAAGATGAGGGGTTGCGCAATCAGCTCATTGATGCTCAGAGACAAGGTCAGCGGTTGCACAACGAAAACAAAGAACTTCGGATGCGACTCGACAACCTGGAAAAGGACCTTGAGGCCCTCCGCAACAATCTTGTAACCTCACAACGGGAATCGGATGACCGACTAATGCAAGTGGAAGAACTCCAACATGATGTTGAACGACTACAGGCCTCCCTTGTTATTGCTCGTGGGGGTCACGACGAAACACTGATGGAGAAACTTAGCAACGAAAATACAATCCTTCGACGAGAAAACGAGCAACTTTCTCATAAAATTGGACTTCTTCTTGAAGTTGAGCAGCCTTCATTTGGCAGGGGCAGGCCGATGTCAGGCATCTCTGGCAGGCGAGCCAGCACTTCGAGTTCGGAGAACGCTCTCGCTTTCGAGCATCTATCTAGTGAATTGGACGATTGGCAGCGACAGCTCGCCAGCTCTATGAGCAATAGGCGACCACTGAGTGACTTCGATTCTGAGCCTGCAGTATCAGAACGCACAAGGTCTCCCCACTCATGATATTCCCTTCCTGCTGTATGTATCACTTGCATATACCCGTGATATTTTTACTTTGACAACTTCGCTTGGATTCCATCGCGTTCTAATTTCTGCTCTCCCTCTTTACTTACATGCTCTGCACTGATATCATTGCCTCATATCTATAAGAAGTTCCATCTGTTGTCTCTACGTTTCTGGTAATTATTGTTGTGCATTTGATGCTCTTCGTGTCCACTCGACTGCTTTTGTTTTCACATCACTTACACCCTCTTCGTCTCCTATTCGTTTCTCAAGCTCAAGCCACTTCTTGAAGAATGATCTACCAAAAATATAGCATTAGTGATGGCCGACCAGAGGTGACGAATTGCGCACTTGGCTTTGTGGCTTGTCATATGAAGGGTCAAAACCCGTTCGAAGAGGTTCCTGCCACATACATATGTAATTGGTGTAGACAAAAGGCTTGGAAAGGGCATACCGGAGGCCTTGGATATTTTTCTGCACCCCTTCCATGTCCATGTATATTGACCACAAGTCCCATCGTTTGGGGTGTGAATCAACAATGCCCTCGAACAGTGTTCTTCCTCTTTCAGGATCACCATACTTGTATTCCAGTTGTGCAAAGCGAGATATCGTTTTCAAATCTGTATTCATACCGTTTCAACTCAAGGCGCTGAAAAGTGTACTTCAAACGTAAATCGCTCACGTTTGCGTTTGTCTAGGCTCAGCAGGCTCCGTGGAAGGAGCTTTCTCGACTCCTCCATATTTCCTCTTTTCAAGTAGTATTCACTGAAGAGTGTCCAAACCTTGGAACTTTGTCCAAACTTCTTGCAGGTCCGATTAAATTGTTCTTCGGCTTTCTGTAAGAAATGTGGTACGACGTTCAATGACTGCTCCTGCTAAGTGCAAACTTCGCTAACCTCCAATTTATCTGATTGATCGAAGATTGAAGCCAGACGTAGATGTACGGTCTTCGAGTCATTCGCGCGAGCTGCCTGCTTAAAGGTTGTTTCCAAACTTTCCAAGGTGCCATAAACATTTTCCAGGTTTAACAGGGCGATCCACACGTTCAGTTTCTCTTGCTCTTCCCTAAAGTTAATAGTTTCGATAGCCCTGCGGCCAATTTCTCGAGACTTCTCCACTTCTGAGAGTTGCAGCTGAAAGGACATATACTGTATCCAAAGGTACGACGAATTCGGAGACCCCAGAAGCAGCCTCTCAAAGTCCGCGTTGGACTCCGGTGACTTGGTGTGCATTTCTGCTGTGAGGTCGTGTTCAATCGCTTTTCGCCGACGCTTCGTTTTCCTCTTGCCATATTCGTCACCTTCCAAGTCAGATTCGCTGGAGGGTGATTCCGCATCGTAATCATCGCCTAATTGCTGTTCACCAAAAGACCATTGGAACCCGCCTGACAACGCCAATGAAGGTATTGGGGCCGTGGAGACGACTCTGGGTTTCTGTGCGCTAACCGGACGGCTGTGGGCCAGGGGTTGATCAATATCGACATCCATCACATCGTCGCCCTCGCCTTCGGAGTCCGAGATGTCGACTTCTTCGTCCTCGTCATCATCGCTTGTCTCGACGTTGTCATTCTTGATCACTCCAGAAGGTTCGGGGATCGGTTCGTTGGTGTCAGCGCCCTCTTGAAAATCTTCTTCATTGAAAAGAGAAGGCTTCAGGCTCAAAGAGATACGAGCTTTATCAATCCCTATAATCACGGCCTTCACACGATCTCCCTCGTGGAAGCTATTGAGCGCAAATGAGACACCAGCTCCCTGACTGTCTGAGAGCTAGAGGAAACCCTCAGGATACAAGAAACGACGCCATCTAGTGATAGTACACACCTGTGATTTGTGACAAAGACCATTAAGCTTTGAACGATCGATGTTGATGAACAGACCGTAGTCCTCAATCCGCTTTACAAGGCCATCGACCTTCTGACCCACTTTGAGATCAGCCAACCCAACGGATGAACCATTTCTAGTCGAGAGATCTCCCGATTTGAGGGTCATTTCTACTTTCCTTGTCTGGAGGTCAACGCTATTGAAATATTAGTAGTTTGCGTATGTTAGTGGGGACAAAGAGTACCTGAGAATGAGACCTTTCACGATCTGTTTTTCCTGGAAGCGAGCCTTCCAGTCTTCGACAAACTAAGAACGCAAGGTCAAAACAAGACTGTTGGAGCAGGAACGTCACGAACGTCGTCAAAAAGTTCTCGAATCTGTACACGAGCATCGATATCACGACCGATGGTCACGAACAACCCGTGGTCAGCCACACTTTTAATTGATCCTCGGACAGTGTCTCCGACATGGATATCAAAGATATGGATGATCTCCTGGTCAACAATTTTTTTGGTAGATTCAGGATACATTTTCGAATGGCGGGTGGACAGCCTGAGTTGGTTTTTGGACCGATCTATCTCGATGATCGCGGCCCTCAGAATGGAATCTACGGGAGGGAGTACTAAGCCCATGTCGTAGTCATCCGATATGTCTGTCGGGTGTAATGTTCCGCCAATTTGTGGAGTGACCTTGATTAAGGCGCTATGGCGAGTATGTCGAGTAACACGACCTCCGACGATCTGACCGACTTTCAAAGAATCAATGGACACACTTGATCCTTTAAGCAACGGGACCTTCTTGGGTGTGTTAGCCACGATGACCACTCCTTTATCGGGATTTCGGGTGACAACAACGAGTTCATCCAGTTCATCACCAACTTTTAACTTGACAAGGAGTTCACCCAAAGAAATTTGACGAAAATTTGCCAGGTTTTTTAGAGACAGCAAAGCTCGAATCTGGGTTGGTTGAAGGATGATAAGAGCGTTGTCCTTGTGAATCTCGGAGATGGATCCTTTCACGATATTACCGATCTCGACAGCGCTGATGTCACTGACTGGATCTTTGTTGCCGAGGGCTTGTCGAATGCTCGCTACAATCCGTCCCTGTTCAGTGTCGACAGAAATGATCCGTGTTCTCACAACCCGTCCAATTGGGAAAGAATCTGAGAGTTTATTGATCGGAATGTCACTGCAACATCAACCTCAGCCAAGCTTAGCACAGTTAGACATTGGAATAGTACCTGATTTCTTTTGCTGGGACAATTGCTTTTAGATTATTGTAAAATTCAACCAGTAGGTGATTGCCGTATACTTTGAAGATCACTGCGTGAGTCACGAAGCCTGGTTTGGCATCATCAATTTTTGACAAAATGGGTAGGTTGGAATCGAGGAGCGTCTTTTTTGCCGTTAAAGAAATGCGTTTCCGGTAGACATCGACGGCCAGAACCTGGCAAGGATGTTAACCACATGGATTATAAAGACGGGTTGAATCTATTGCTAACTTTGCATTTAATGCCCGCTCCAGGCTTAAATCGCTTTTCGGGATGTTTAAGGGTGATATCCGCATAATGGTTGGGCCAGACAACACCATCAATACTTCTCGACAAGGAGACGAAGAGGCCAGAATCGGTAAGTTTCTTGATTGTGCCTTTGATGACTTCGCCGACCTCGACATCGCTCACTTGCAAAAACTTCTGCTCAATGATCGATGGCTTGAAGGAGAGCTGCAAGAGACCATCAAAGCTAAAGTAGCCTGTTACACGTGCTCGATGAAGGGTGCCGGGTTTCCATGGGCCAGTGGAAGAAAGAGATGGTACGTGGTCCTCTGAGAGGTGGGATATCTGCCAAGGACTTTGAGGCACTGCAAAAGAAAAAGGGAATCTTACGAACATGTACAAAACCTTCGACTCCTGGCTGAACTTCAACAATGATCCCCCGCTCCGTTTCCACCCGGAGGACCTTCGCAGACTCAATGATCGTACCCAATGGAAAGGCTTCTTGAATAGATTTTGTCTCAGCCGGTAATTCCTTGCTTTTGATGCAGGGTGCACTGAGATTCGTGAGGTGGTCTACTAGGGCTAACGCGAATCTTGGGGGGGATGAAGAATATTCATACAATATTCTCGCCCTAACCTTTTTACCAACCTGGTACGCTTTCCCCCCTTTTTTTAAATGCACTGGGTCAACGGTACCTTCGAAAAAACCAAGGACTTGAAGATTAAGACCTGTGGGATGGATCGCAGTTATGAGTGATTGCACTAAAGCGCCAGGAAGGACCGATGTGACGGATGACATCTCAGTGACCTGTGTATGGGTTGAGTAAACAGAATGTAAAAGAATGGAATTGAAGACAGACATAGGACGACGAAAATAGAGCTTGGTCCGTAGTGACATTACAAGTCCGTCCGTTTGCGGACAGCTTGGTTACACTAACGTCCAGCAACCGACCGACATCCAACGCTATGCTCCCACTTGGCCGCATCTTTGTATCCTTGAAAGCCAAAAATCCTTCGACACCTGAAATTCCCAAATCCAAAATATATCCATGGTCTTCGACGCTCTTGACGGCGGCTGTCATGGTCTAATGGCCTGATAAGTCGTTGAAAACGTAGACCTGTATGAAGAACATACAAATCCGTTTTTGAGGTCTGCTTTCTGAACTCCGGCATTTACTCTTTCAGGAACCAGACTGAGCTCCACCCGTCGGCTAGCCTTGCTGGTCTCATCCCGCGATTTTCCAAGACTTGAAGCTTCACTTGAGCCCGGGGCATGTATAGCGGACACCACCGCACGGACATATTGTCCTACCCTGAATATATCAGAGAGATCTGGGGTATCAGAATCCGATAGTCCAGCTCCTTCCTCATCATCCGCGCCAGACCCTTCGCTGATGTTGTCCATTCGTTCAAGGGCGCTCGTAAATTGCGAGGATATATTTGTTATGGGAACATGGGCGGATAATTGGTTGGGAAGAGAAACAAGCAACGATAACGGCAAAATACCGACAATTTGGCCGAAAATTTTCATCCCCACATTTAACCTCTGTTAAACTCTTTCAGCCTAAGCACCTCGAAACCGATAGTGACTTACTTTATAATTCAGATGCTCGATTCGTACTCTATTGGCATTCTCACCAGCGGGGTGGGTGTGGCCATCGGGGCCACGTTTTCGTTTTTTGGACTTTTTCGCAACATGGGTATCCTATAAGTCCAATAGTCACAAAATTAGGATACTTTCGCATATGAAAAACTGATTCTAACCTCAAAAAGTTCTACATTGGCTTCCTTAACGGCCTCCGCTCGGATTGTCTTTACTTCAAGGGGTGTGAACGACGTGCCGCCACCACGGGGAAAGTCAAGCTCCTCTGCACGTAACGGAGCCCCACTTGAAGGGGTGTGTCTCTCGTGTTTGGAATCAGCGATCTTTAATTTTTTAGACCCGTTCTTTGTTGATTCGTTCTCCATGGAACGCTTCTGAGCAGGCATCACGTCGAAAACGAAGTTTTGATCGACGAGGGGTGAAAAGAGGCCAACGAATTGAAGGCGAACTGAAGGTGGTTTTTTTTAGGGTAATGTCGTCACGTGATTTACCGTAACGTACACGATTTCATCACCTCGACTGGTCACTGGTTGACCAAACCACTGCCAGGCCTTTAATAAGACTGCGTCAATTTTGACTCTGCTAGTACCCAATCTTTGTTCATGGGTCAGTCCCAGAAATCGTTCTTGTCCAGGCACTACTGACCTACGTTATAGATTATCAGGTTTGCACATTTTTCTTACGTTCATGTATAGAAGGCTGAAGATGAGTTAGAATCGAGTTGGTTCCAAGTTTGGAGGTGGAGGTGTTGCTGGTGCTTCGGAGACGAATGTCGACAGGCGGGAGCGCCTCCGAAAGCTTGCACTCGAAACCATTGATTTGGCGAAGGTAAGATGCCCATTGTCTGCGAAATTTATCGAATGACTGTTGACTTTTCTCAAGGATCCATATATTCTCCGCAACCACCTTGGGTCTCTCGAATGTCGTCTATGCTTGACCCTTCACACCAATGAGGGTTCTTACCTTGCACATACACAAGGGAAAAAGCATCAAACAAACCTTGCTCGCCGCGCAGCCCGCGATGCAAAAGACACACAACTCATGATTGCACCTGCACAAAGTAATATTCAACGAAAAGTCTTCCTCAAGATAGGTCGCCCAGGGTACCGCGTCACAAAAGTTCGCGATAGGGATACTGGAAAGGAAGGCATGATGGTTCAAGTGCATCTACCTCAAATCAAGGATGGCGTGGTCCCGCGACGTCGATTCATGAGCGCTTGGGAACAAAAACGGGAGCCACCCAACAAAGCCTATCAATATTTAATTGTGCGTCCTTCCCCGTCGCTATCTTTGCTGCCTCAAATCATTTTTTTAGGTAGCGGCTGAACCCTACGAAACTATCGCCTTCCGTATCCCAGCTCGTGAAATCGAGGATGAAGCTGATGATGCTGGATACTGGAATTGGTCCCATTGGGATCCGGACACAAAGCAGTACAGTTTCCAATTCATGTTTCGTCTCGCTTATTGATGTATCCTCACTCTGGCCTGTAAGTAATAGTATCGCCGGAATACGTAGTACACTTGCTCCCTGCTATCGCAGAACGTCACCAAAATGCATGTTGTTTGTAGCTGAGTGTTCGGCTTCTTGTCCATACAAAACAATCTGTCAAACAAGGCTGGGATAGTCATACAGGCAGTTATTACTGTACATAGTTCAAGACCTACAGTTACATATTAAGTGAGCGACAAAAAAAAAAACAATGAGCGCACAATCTATCTGTGGAGAGAACGGTTCAAGTAAAAACGGGAGAGTAGTACCTCAAAAATTGGTTCTTCGTTTGCTCAAAACTCTGTTCGTAGGCCTTTCGGACCTGGTGCGGAAGGTCGACTTTTCTACATTGGTTGAAGGGATAAGATCCGGTGAAAACGAGATGACGGTGGAAGGCGTCCTCTTTAATGGGTGCACTACCACACTCGGTCGTTTCTTGAGTTTACGACTGGGTGGTTCATGTAGTAACAGAGAGGTATTTTCTAATATTGGCGGCATGGGCCCCACGGGTGATGGAGACCGTGAAGGAATCGGCTGAGAATGAAGGTAAGTTTGCAACGAAGATGGGTATTGATACGGTGGCGTTGGCGGTAAATTTGGCGGTTGAAGGGGGGTAGGCATAACGAGTTTCTTTGGAAGAAAACGTGGCAGCTGTTTTGCCGCGCTGTGAGGGTACAGATAAGCGGGAGTAACTTCTTGCGAGAAATTTGGCTGATTTGTGATTGTTTGAGAATAACTCGACTGATCTCGGGCGCTCCCATCCCTAGCATGAAGGTTGGTATATTGCCCATCATCATGAAAGTTCACGCTCGTCCCATGAGTGTTCCTGTTGTGTTTATAGGAAATTGGATTGGCGGAGTGGTCGTTCCCAGAGAGATTAACCTGAGATCCACGATAAACTTCTGTATGTGCAGAGAGGTGGTGATGAAAAAAATTCATTTGCTGGTTTTTGTGGGCATGACCCAAAGGCTGATGTGTCCCTTGGGGCATAGTGTTGATATGTTGAGTTGTGCCCGTTTGCAAGGTATGGTCTACACCACTAGGAGGGAGTCGAGGTTGTCCCTCAGTGGAGCCTTGATCCGACCATGATGTGCGCTTTAGAGTAAAGGGATAATGGTATTGCAGATGATTTTCGTCGTGGTTCTTGCTCTTGGGCGCGCTGCGAGCCAGGCCAGTTGCAGCATGTCGATTGTCTTGGCCGTCCTCAGCGTTAATCCAATCGATATGTTGTTCATCTCCTTCAGTAGGTTCGCAATCTTGCAACGGTCGATCGGGGACCTCATATCGCCGCAAGTCTACTTCATAACCGGTTTGGTCGCCATGCTGGTTTCCAGTAGGGGACCGAGAAGGATGAATTTCGTACCGAATAAATTGATGTTGGACGACGTCGTCAAGAGGACAGTGGTGACCTTGAGCGTCAACTACTTTCCCAGTTTGCTTGAAATAGTTGGGTTCCTTGTTGGCAACACCGTTCGTTTGTTGCAGTGCTGCTTTGCCTGCGTTCTTGGGCTGAGGCGGATAGGGAGGAGGGTCCTTGTCATTGCTAATCTCGCTTTGGGCAATGAACGCTTGTCTATTCTCTTCCGCCCTTCCCCCCTTGTGTTGGAACATGTCGGTTGGAGAAGAAAAAATTGGATCGGTAGGTTCGTGGGTAGTTGCTGCATTTTGTGTGACCTGAAAGTCAATAGGGGAAGGAGGGGACTTGGGCAGGCACCCTTCCTGACGCTGTGCTGAAGCTCCGTCGACTTCCCAAGCAACAGTAACATGTGGCAAATGAACCTGCTTGCCATCGTCACCGACGGAACGCTTCTGTGACGTCAATAGATCTGTATTCATAACAACTTGCTCGGCTGTGCAATGAGGCGTTAAGGAGCCGCCTTTCTCCGACGCTTGCTGTAAATATGTCAATGGTTCCAGGGTAAGGCCATACGGATCAACCTCCGATTCATGTTGTGCTCGCTTGTAGGTATAGTCATTTAGCCTTGGAGGCGATGCAGAAAGTTGCATCATGGCCATACCGATCTGGATTGCTGGTCCATCAAATGGACTATCTACGGCACGACGCGGTGGATGATTGCGGTAACGGGGAGTTGCATGACCAGTAGCGGACAGCTGAGCTCGGTGTCGAGGTGGAATAACGGATTCTTGGGGGACGCTCCGAGAAGCTTCCAACTGTCCTGGTGATGAGAGGAAAGCCTCACCGCTCCGCAGTCGAGGAGGCTTGGCTTGCTGCCGCCTAAAGTTCCGAGGAAGAATTTGACCAGGTGACAAGTTCAAAGGAACACCAGCAGGTGCCTGGGGGGGCGTATATACCTATATGCTATGGTAAACAATGTCATGGTGATGCCTAGTAAATAATCCTTACATCCCCGACTGTTTGAAGACCGCGGTCATTGTTCGAAAAGCCTAGAGGCATTTGCACACCAGATTGAACAGCCGAACGCACCGCTTCGTATGGGCCTCCGTGATGTAGTGCAATGCCAAGTGGGTTGCTGTGGTCAAGTTCATCAATTCTATCTAGGTCCTGCAGCCTCCAATTATGCGCAGGCCCTCCTTGATTTGTTCCACCCTGAAGGCTAGGTATTGTCGCTAGCCGGGAACGAGCCGATTGCCGATCGCTTGTCAGTGCTGTTAGCATTGCAGGCTTCGTAACTTTCGCTGGGTTTGCTTCATAGGGGGGAGGGGGAACATCAGGGTGACTCTGCGATGGCTTTGTAACATTGGATAAGGAACCCATATTAAGCTGAGCCTCTTTTAGCCAGCTTAGGAGACTACCACGTTTTCTTGTGGGATCCTTTGAGTTCACAAACGCTCTTGACAGTATGGACGTGTGGGTAGGCGCAGTTGGTATGGAAGAAAGAACGATGGAGTTGGAGGTAGAGGAAGGGGGTGGGTATGATGTGGACTGCGGCTCGTCGACGCCGTCTGGAGATGTTGGCGAATTGGGTGGCTGTAAGAGCTGGAAGGAATCGACTTCCGTCTCAGCAGTGGCGTCATGGATACCAGGGGAGCGCCGTCGACGCTGACCCCTCAAAGTTGGATGGCCTGGCGCAGGAGGTGATTCCCAATTGTATTCCGTAGCGAAGTAGGGATGAGAGCGAGGATCAGGTGAGAACGCGGGGTCATCATAGAATGCTGTTGAGAATGTCACGATCGGTTTCTTGCTCGGCGCTGCAGCTACAACGGGCTTCGACAATCTAAATTTCATCAGTTCACCGACTTCCTAAGACGAGAGTTGAGAATGAGGCTCAGGGGGGAAACCTGGCAGTACTTCCGGAGATTGGCGACCTCATGCAGCTCCAAATTCTTATTTTTATTTAATCCAAGTACACGTCTAATTGCTTTAAAAAGTAGCTAAAAGGTCCACCCCACCGCCTTTATCGATCCATCTTGGAAGATTGCAATGGATTTACCACCTGTTAGACCAATCGATGACCTCAAATCACACGCCGAGCAGGAAGACTGCTGCCGCCATTGCGAAGACCGGTTGTAGGCAATTTTGATGTTCCACTCCGCGAGACAGGTTTTGGAAGATTCGAAATTGTCCCAACAGAACTCCCATACTTCGCAGGACGCTTGAGGCCACCGACAGCCAGTGGTTTCGTGAGAATGTTCGAAACAGGTGCAGGCCGCTGAAGACGAAAAGGACCCTCCTTTGATTGGATGGAGTTTGCCACAATCCTGCTTCTTGGCTGCAAAGTAGGCCCGTCTGAGATCAGCACCCTACGTGCCCCACTCCCAATGGGCGCACTGGCGGCTGGAACGGAAGGAGCTGAGGGAGCAGTGTTATTTCTACTGGCGGGAGCTCGAAGAGTCGTGTTTCTAGGCACTAAACCAGAAGATCTGGGCGACACCCCTCTCGACACAGGCAAACGGCCGGTCATCGATACAGAGGGTATCGTTCGAGCTGAGACAAGTTCAACGCCTGCACAAGCAAAAGTAGGCCCCTCAGAAGAGCTGGTGCTACTCGTTGAATTCGACTTCGAATGACCTGACACCTTGGCTCGTTTCACGATCTTGAGAGCAGGGACAGCGGGCGGAGGGACCCGTGGAAGATCGCATTTCGAGCTCGGAGTGGATAACAAGGGGGGCTCTGAGGGCTTCGTGGGAACGACAATAGGCGAAGGCTTCTCCAGGTCCTGTTGGCCTGATAAATTTGCTTTAGGTAAGGCCTTTGCTAAGATAACTCAGCTCCGAGATACACCCACACAGAAGTCACTCACATAAACTAGCACGTTTGACTCCCAGTGAATCGAAACACCTCCGTTCTTGTGACGTTGGCTTACGAGTGATTAGATCCTCATCAGATGTCTTTATCCTCGGTGGCGCTCCGTCTGTCTCCTCATTCTTCATGGATTTCAAGACCGACTCCATCTTCCCTTGCTCGGCACTCATGTCAAAGCTGTCTTCTCCCTCAATAGCATCAAAGAACGAGTCCAAGCCATTTTTTGAGCCAAGGAAAGAGATTTTGTCGTTGAGTAAATCAAAAGTGGCATCTGCAGATTCCAGTTGTAACTGGAAAGAGGATTGCAGGTCCACAGAGCAGCGGTTTGAGTTGGCGGAGGGTGGCGGATTGGGCCTCAATCTCGACCGATCCAAGGAGGGGACGGGGAGGATATCTTGTATGGAGTTTGAGGGAGGTGAAACGACAACAGGAAGTGAAGTGTCTGTAAGAAGAGTTCCAGTGGGTGTCGCAAGGTTCAAAGTGCAGACGGAACTGCTGAGTGACTCCGAAGAAGAATCTGGTAGGTCGTCATGAGTAATATAAATAGGAGGAATCGACGACCCCGATGTGCTGGCAATGGGCGTTGCTGGCTTTGCGACAGACTCTGAAAATGACTCATGAGAAGTGATTGGTTGCACTTGGGATAGGTTTGACAAGTGAGGCACGACTGGACGTCGATAGACTTTGGAACGAGCGAGGGGAGTTGCATCGCGTTCTAAAGGAAGGTCGGCCAATGGAGTGCGAAGGGCTGAAGGGGAAGGGCTACTGGTTGCTGAAGGCGTGGGTCTAGAGTGCCACTTTGGGGTGGCCGCTTCAGTCATATGGCGGAACGTTAATGTGTCATTTTCGTCATCGTCAGAGTCGTGGATCAGGTGAGCCTCGGGGCCATCTTCTTCGATGAGAGAGGCGTTGATAGAAGATTCATCTAGGGTAGCATTTCCTACATCAATGAGACGATTTTTGAGCTGAGGAGGCTGGGGATGTGATGAATTGTAAGTGCGATTAAAGAACGCGGTGAGGGTGTTGACGTTCTCCTTGTCTGAATCTGGAGACGATATGTTGCGGGGAGGGGTGGTTGGGTCGCTAACGGCCAATAGAGGGTCGAAAAGAACAAGAACACTGTGTCGGGGGCGTGCGGCGTTCATGACGGTGACAGCGAGCAAATTGACAGAACAATTCAAGTCAAATCCACATCAAATCCAAGTTCAACTTGCTTTGTTTGGCATTATGTACGCGTCTTGTTCGGTTGCTACAAGCCACTTGCAGAGAACACCTTGCCTAGCACACCATGCCCGCAGCTCCAAACATCTCCGAACTACGAGCGGATATAAAGAACTGGGAACGTGCCTTCAAGGCGAAAAATGCACGCGATCCAACAATTGACGACATTAAACTCCAGCCTCACATTGGTCAGTGCTGTCATCATCCGTTTGCCTTTGAATCCATTATGAATTCATCCCAGCCGACAAGTACAAGCTGTATAAGAAACTCTCTAAGCTTGCAGTTACCCCGTCTACGCCTCCGAGGCTTCCGTCCCCTGACCATCCGTTGACCCTGCCAGCCACTCGTCCAATCGTGCAGACCGCTCCCCTCTCTACATTCAACCCCTTTTCTCCTCATAAAATGAAAAAAGAAAAGGCAAAAGCTACCGCAGAGCAAGAGTTATCGCCAAACCCATTTAGTAAATCTCGCTTGCACGACAGCTCAAGTCCATCTCTGGAGCTGTTTCCTCCCCGCTTTGCTTCTGACCCCACCACCTCCATATCCCCGCCATATCCTTCAACAGCTATGTCGCGTGCAAGAAAACGCCTTCGTGGAGAACCCGTCTCCCCGTCCCCAAGTAAGGAAAAACGGCGACGCGTAATTTCCCAAACTTCCCTCCCCTTTCCGCGCTTCCAGTCTAGGACAAACAGTGACAATTTCGGTTGCGAAGGTGAAGAAGAAGTCTTGAACGATTCATCCTTTGTAGACAACTCCCCTTTGAAGCCACATGCAAAGGGAAAACATTTCGCACCCTTGTTCAACGCGAGAAATGCCCCCATAGACGACCTATCAAAGATAAAGGCATTTACTAATGATTCAAGGGGCGGTCTCGATATATTCCACAATACCGTCCCAGAATCACGGATGACTACATCTGGTCCATTGGATCTGACGGCGTCTGGAGAATTGACGGACGGGAACCCTTCGGCTAGTTCACAGAGACCGAGGAGCAGCTCAGTGAAAACTTTGATCCCCTTGTACACTCAAAAATCGCATTCGCACGATGCCGACACAACAGCGACTAGAGATATTCGCTCATCACGCAAGCGCTCCATTTCTGACGCCGAGAAAAATCCATTCATTGTCCAAGAGACTCGTCCTCAATCAAAGCCGCGCCTTCTACCTCCATCTCCTCCCGCAGCTTCTGGTTCCTCGGCTGCCAGTAAGAAGACGCAAGGGAAGGCTAATGATACCAGAAAGAAAGCGAAACTGGCAAACAACACCGAAATCGATGGAGAAAGCGAAAGCGAAGTAGACCTGCTAGTCCACAAGGGTGGACTGAAACTGATTGATCGGTCACACACGCGAGCTGCGCGCACAAGCAGACAAGGATATGATGACGAACACATCGGACTTGATTCGGACCCCATTTTAGTCTATGCCCGTTTGACAGGTCCTCATGGTCAGAGCATCCCTACAACTAGACATCCGCAGGACGGCAAATTCGAGGTTGACCTCCCTGATAAACTTCGGCGCGTGTTGTCCTTGGGGTATGTTGATGCTAAGTGGAGAGATTGTCAAGAGGCTCAAGTCGCTAAGAGCGTGTTGTATGGACGAAAACTCGCGCACTACAACCCAGACAAAGGTGGAGAGATTTGGGACATTGGAGAAAATGACGTGACGGATGGGGACGAGAGTACAAGAACAAATGTGGAAGTTGAAGATGACTGGGAAGGCGAACCAGTGCCTTGGGAAGTAGGAGAGCTTTAGCGAAAAACAGTGTTCCTGCCGCTTGGTTGCTGCCTCCTTGCTAAACACGAAACGTGTTTCCCACGTGAGAGTGTCACTGTCACGCAAGCACCCTTTCATTTTGCAAGACGAACGCCGTAATCTTTTCTTGAGAAAGAATCAGCTAGGCAAGTTCACGACTCTTTATCGCCACTGACATTCAGTGGGGCTTCAGCACAGGTACCTTGCTGTGGACTCATGTCCATGGCGTGAGCATGTATATGACACCGATCACACATCAGGAATCCTGCATGACGGTGCAAGTTACACAGACAGCGTGCCACACACGCAGTCCTCATTAAGTGTCCATTAAAAGACCAGCTTTTCTTCTGCCTTTCAACTCATTAGCAGACTACACACCTCACATCCTTTTCTACCGTACAAGTCTTTCGACCAGTCTCCGCTCTCCGTCTCGTGCCAGCACAAGCTTTCAAAGCGAAAACAAAAGGAGGCTATCGTCCATACGCAATGTACGAAAAGAAAATGTTCCCCGTCATCCTTCGTGACCCCGTTGCTACCAAGAAGTTGCTCGAAGCAATTCACGATGCGCCAAATGGCAGGCGCTCTCTGTCCCGACTGGCTCGGACGTGCCGGGCACTTTCTGAGCCCGCCTTAAAGATATTGTGGAGGGAGTTGGATTCCATTGTTCCGATTCTTGGACTGTTTCCAGGCCACGTTCTCAAAAAGGCTCGCAGACCTGGTTTGGGTTTGGTATGATACTCGTAATTTCAGTCTTATTTTTTGTTCACACAACCACGGTTAGGTCAAGACCCCCCAAGGCGACGATTGGAAGAACGTTCTCAGATACGGTGAACTCGTCCAGCGTCTTACATATGACGAAAACTCCAACGCCGTCGCTACCTCTGTTTTTCCTATTCTCGACGAATCTCGTCCTCGCACATACATACTTCCTTCCCTGCGAGAGTTGACGTGGAAAGCCGAGACAGCCGCGGGTTTAGATCGCTGTGCTCTTTTTCTTAACCCAGAACTCCGAGTTGTTCACTTGGAGATTGGAACCAATCTGAAGCTCGCCCAGATCGGTGCCTTTCTCGCTGACATGTCGAGTCGAAGCAAATTATCAGGTTTCTCATTCATTTCCCCGACTAGCTTGCCAGATGCCTTCACTGAGCTCCTTCTTCGCCAAGATGCCCTGGAGAAGGTGCTCCTCGTCGCTCCCGGGGCTCTGTCCCCTGGCGTTGGTCGTTGGACTGCCGCATTACCTCAGCTTAAACACTTGCAGTTAGACTTGACCGGTAGATCGCCAATAGCTGTGGAAGGGTTTTTCGACGAACTTCGTCCACGCTCCGGAGATTCTACGCCAAGCTCCATCGGTTCCACAGATAGCGGTGTCTTCTCCGGTGAGGAACTTGATTTCACCGAAATTCGCAAGTCTGCATTACGACTTACCGGGGATTTAATGTCGAAAGGTTCCTTTGCGCAGATGAGAAAGCTGAATTTGACAGGCGAAGTGGCTAATATCGCCGTTTTTTTGAGACACCTCGATAGCCCTTTGACTCAGTTAGATCTTGTCATTGAAGACCCCCCTGACAAGGCTGATTGGCAAGACCTGTGCGGGTTGCTGTGCGATCGTTTTGGAGATACCTTGCAGTCATTGCGTATAACCGCAACTGGATCTTCGAAATTCATGGATTTAGTTCGTTCGACTTCAAGGGCAGATGCACCATCTGGCCATCTCTCACTGGAGTACCTCTCAGAGTTGCCGAAGCTCACGCGATTCGACATTGACCTCCCCGAATCGGTCCTTTTCACCCCTTTTGACATCGAATGCCTGGCGCATGCATGCCCAAATCTCGAAACGCTTCGCCTCTGCCCATTAGCTCGTTTCCCGTCTTTGAACGGGCCCCCAACATTGACGCTCGAGTCCTTCTCATTCCTGACAAGCCAGTGCAGGCGATTGCACACCCTTGGCGTTGTTATCAACGCAACTCATGGCAATTCCGAACTACTTAGGACACAGGCCGCGTCATCCCCATCGCTCCTTCGGCTTCATGTCGGCCATTCCTGGATCAGTGATCCCCTGCAAGTCTCGATTTTGCTTAGCCACCTCGCACCTCGCTTAGACTCAATCAAATGGTTTCAGGAAAAAAACCGTCCTGGCTTCGTCGAAGCCAATGCGAAGAATTGGCAGACGGTTTCTGACACACTTCCGCACCTTCAGCTGGTGCGTTTCACAGAGCGCTCGTTTTTGCGGGTCATCGAGCCTGTGAGGCCTGTCATGTTGGAAAAGGGGATTGATGCCACCGTGGAAACGATGAGCCGTGGAATTTCTGCTCAGGTGCGAACGGTAAATGCTGCTATCCAGTGGTCGCCTCGCGTTACGGACCAGGCCGTAGAGGCCATCGCAAAGTCATCTTCGGTTGCCATCGACGCAACGCCAGCGATCCAAGAAGCCAGTGTTGATGCACGGCCATTGACTGCCTCGGTGTATGTCGACGCTACAACTTCGACCTCATCAAAAGGCGTGGATACCTTCGAGGTTATATCGCCCACATATGGAAGCCAAAAGTGGTTGATGGGCCAATTTTCCTCAGCCTTCTACGTCATTCCTTCGATATTCAGCTTCCTTTCCTTTGTTTATAGGCTTTTTATCCGCAACCCTCTCTCGCTTTCAACTCGCATTCTGCATCTTGCGGCGGTTGATCGTATCTCGGCCTTGAGAGGACAATCGACAACCGCTTCATCCAAAAAAGTACCTGCATCTGACACCACCTCTTCGCCCGTGAGCAGGGCACAGGACATTCCTTTGAGCACGCTTCAAGTCCGTTAATTATCCTGCTACTTTACAACTCTCCATACTTACGTATATCTACCCTGGCTGGACCATCATTAGGAAAACACATATGCCCAACTTTATGACACGTATGACTATGCACATGAAATACATGCGACGCCTTTTCCTCTCTCCCCAAAGATTTCAATAAAACCCTTAGAAGTCAGTGTGGCCTTGTGGTCCAAAAAAGGGGTGGAACAAACAGACAGCAACAATAACGCGACGCGTCACTCCAAATGGCTTGAACAGAGGAACAAAACACCTTCCTGGATATCCATCATGGCCGACAACAAGAAACAAGAAAAAGATTACACAAAAGAGGTCGATTCTCTACTTCCAGAAGTTGAATCAATAGCAAAGGTATGTCGCCTAACCCAATTTCACAAGTTCAACTATTCATACTCCAAAAGTCGGGTAAACTGCAAGACGCTTTGGATAAACTCTTCGCGCTTGAGAAGCACACAAGAAACGTACGTGACCAAACTCGCGGGATATTCGTTTTCTTATCCCTTTCTTCAGGCAGCCGATCTTACATCCACACTACGCTTGGTGAAAGCTGCCGTCCAACATTGCTACGATGCACGAGACTATACTCTTTTGAACTCCACCATCAGCCTTTTGAGTAAAAAGCACGGTCAATTGAAAGCTGCTGTGCAAGCCATTGTTGAGCAGGTGTTGAGTTGGTTAGACAAAGTTAGAGAACGAGACGGGAATGAGAAGTGGCTAGAGTTGGTTGAAACTTTGCGAGGGGTGACAGAGGGAAAGGTCCGTCTCCGGTATATCATTCTGTTTTTTTATTCACTCAAGGTCAACCTTAAAGATCTTTTTGGAAACGCCGAGAGCACGCGTCACACTTCTTCTCGCGCATTATCATGAGGGACTCTCCCAATCAGCTACCTCTCCGGATCCCAAAGAGTCACTACAGACTGCCTCAGATCTCCTTTCAGATTTACAAGTTGAGACCTACTCTTCTATGGAACGAAGAGAGAAGACAGAGTTTATTTTGGAACAAATGCGCCTTTTGATAGCCGTCGCGCGCCAGAAAGACGACGAACTGGAGAAGAAGGATGGAAAGGATTCACTTGGTGGAGGGGAGGCTGAGTGGATTAAAGTTCGTGTTGGTGGTCGAAAGGTCAACGAGGAATTCTTGAAGGATAAGGACAATGAAGTTTGTGATGAGTTCGATTTGGCGCATATTGAGTTGACCATGAAAGACAGGACCTCAAACTCAAATACTACGACATGATGATCCAACACGCGCTCCACGGTGATTCTTACTTGGATGTTGCGAAATATTATTATAAAGTCTGGGAGACGCCTTCCATCAAGGAAGATGTCAACGACAAGGGAAGGGCTGTATGTGCGCTCCTTCAACGTTGATGATGTTCAATCTTACCAAGAAGTTTACAGGCCCTTGAACACATTGCGTATTATGTGGTACTTGCCCCGCATAACAACGAACAGTCGGATATGCTTCATCACCTCTTTGTGGATCCCGCCCTCGCAAAACTTGAGCTCCATTAGTGCGTAATTCACACTTGTAGTTAAGGACACCTGCTGAACTGACATCAGCAACCTCGTCAAATGTTTCACCACGCGCGAGCTTATGCGGTGGCCTGGCATCGAATCGCTCTATGGTAAATTCCTTCGAAAAACGCCGGTCTTCTCGTCGGAGAAGTGCTGGGAAGACCTACACACTCGTGTTATCGAACACGTAAGCCTTGTGTATTCTCTTTGTAACAGAATTAACCGTCCTGTTTCTAGAACATCCGTGTGGTAGCCCAGTACTATACACGAATCACCCTAACACGTCTCACTTCGTTGCTTGACCTCACGCCCAAACAAACTGAAGAAGTTCTCGCGCGGCTTGTCGTGTCTGCTACGATATGGGCAAGAATAGATCGGCCCACTGGAATCGTAAACTTCAAGAATAAGCGGAGCGCAGAGGACGTTATGAACGATTGGAGTTCGGACATGCAAAAGTTGCTAGGGTTGGTAGAGAAAACGTGGATGGGAGTGAACGCCGCACAGGCAGCACAATCACGCGTGAAGGCTTGACATGCTCCTATTTTGTTTTGTATATACTAGTTCTGCTGCGTCCTGACCACCTGCAAAAAATCGGCCCCCATTGAGGAAGGAGGAGGCAACGGCTCGGCCAGTAGAGGCGAATAGTTTGGTTTGACACCCTCCCTCCATAGTCTCACATACTCTTGTCCTTTCGTCCATTGGTCGACTCCATTATGCTTCTGGACAATAGCCTTCCACCGTTTTCGAGCAGTCAAAGCGTTCTGGTCCATCTCTTTCGTCCGTTCCCATGTTCCCAGAGCTCTCTTCTCTTTCTCGAAACCATGCTCAATTTCAGTTGGCAAGAAAACGGCTCCAAGTTCTTCGGCTTCCATGACAGCGAATGTGGTAGCAACGTGATGTTCGGAACGCAAAGATCTAAACTGCGCTACGGCTCTGGCGTATGCCTCACTGAGAGGTATATCATGGTGGTTATACAGGTTGAGGGCGAATTGAACAGCACTGAGTAAGAAGTTATAAGACTTTGCCAGTAATAAAGCTGATAGGACTTACTCCTCTGGTTTAGGATTTCTCCCTCTCTGCCTGAGACGCGACCAGGCCTTGCCTTTTACCTCATGAAGTGGAGCAATTTGCTCACCCTCTATCAAGGTTGTGGGACGGAAGGCCTCAAACGGGTGGTCGCGAAAGAACTGGCGACGAATTTCATCTTCAATATAATAGATGGGCAACGGACGAGGAGCACGGAGGTCGATGTTCTGTGGGCTGCCAGGCTTCTGGTCGTATGTTGTGCGTGGTGGAGGAGCTTTGGGAGGAAGGGGAAGAGGAGGATTATCGAGGACGGCTCTGAACCATACTGGTTCTTGTGTTAGATATTTAGCACGCAATAACCTGGACGCCTGCTGATGCACTTGCGACGCAATTCGACGAACCATGTCAACTATAACTTGCCAAAACACATAAAACAAAATTCTTATCCTTTCCTTTCAAACAGTCACAAGCAACACTAATCAAATGGGCCAATAGGGGCCAATTAAATGAAAACATATGCTCTCTCCCCGTTTCCTACGTAACCGCCCTGACTACTTTATAAACCCCCGCAATGTACCATTCGAATTATTCTTGTACCTCTGGAGGTTATCCCTTTTCTTTCCAACATGCTGGCATTTATTTTCGCTCTCTTCGTTGCTCTTCAATTTCTCAGTGTTTTCGCTGCTCCTGCTCCTTATTTCAAAGCTCGAGACATTACAGCCCTTTCAAACACTGACATCTCAGATTTATCACCTTTTACACAGCTTGCCCGAGCTTCGTACTGCCCGACAGCCAAGTTGCAGGGATGGAAATGCGGCAGTAAGCCATCATTACCCATCTTCTCTAATATGTCACTGACTTCCCAACATTGGACAGAAATTTGCGATTCCCTCCCCGGATTTGAGCCAACCCTCATTGGAGGCGACGGTATTACCACTCAAATATGTTGGTTTTTTTCTTCTGTCCGTTACCCTTTGGTAAAATAAATTGATCGTATACTACCAAGATTTCGTTGGTTACTGGCCAGACCAGAATACCATCGTTGTCTCACACGAAGGTACAGACCCTATCCACCTGTACGTCTCCTCGTGGTCCAGTTGCGTGCTGCCTGTTGATTTTTCTTTAGTGCTTCCATTTTGACCGATATCAAGATCACCATGCATCCTCTGAACGCTACTCTGTTCCCTGGAGTTTCGTCTGCTGTATTGGTTCACGATGGTTTCAAAGACCAGCACGCTATCACTGCTCAACAAATTTTAGCAGAGGTGCAGAGTCTCATGGCAAGCAAGAACAGTACCAGCGTCACTCTTGTATGTTTCCGAGGTAATCATCTCTGCCCTTCATATTTCAATATTGGGCTCCTAGGTCGGTCATTCCCTCGGCGGCGCCTTGGCTGTACTCGACGCGTTGTACATGAACATCAATCTTCCTGCTGGCACATCTATCAAGGCTGTCACCTATGGGACTCCTCGCATCGGAAATGCTGCTTTCGCGCAGCTCATCGATGAAAAGGTATCACAAACAGACGTTAATGACACTTGAGATTTCTCAAACTCGCCCTAGATTCCTGATTTGCGGCGTATCAACAACAAATTTGGTGGGTGCTGGCGATTAGGTGCTTCCCTCTGCCGTGTTTCTCATTCTATCTCGAATCTAGATATTATCCCTACTGTTCCCGGAAGGTTTCTAGGTTATGCCCATCCCCACGGCGAGGTTCATCTTTTATCTACTGGAACAGCCATTTCCTGTCCTGGTGAGCCTCAGACAAAAATCTTGAATAATGACTTACATGTATCTGCAACCTCTCAGGCAGCGATGACAGTACTGATTCTCGCTGCCAAAACCAATCCGTTCCCAACGTTCTCAAAGGAAACATTTTGGATCACGTAAAGACCTTCCATCGTCTGTTCCGTCCACTCGACGATTGACATTTACACAGCTTGGACCTTATGTTGGCCTCAGTATTGGTACGATTTTCTGTGTGTAAGCTCGGTTCGGACATCGCCAGTAAATAACTCTCTTTATCTAAGTAAGCTCATGTACACTCTGTATAACATTGATTCGGTACCCAGCAGATCCAACGTTAAGCGCGACCAAATTATCTGTGAATTGCATTGAAACCTCGTTGCATATATAAAGAGTGGCAACGTGTTGGTTAACCCTCACAGCCTAGCCGTCACTGGTTTCGCCAAAGCCTTTGCTTTCTCGCGTAACAATCTCCGAAGCTAACACCTTCGTCAGACTAAGTCTCACGGAGAACGAGTGCACACGTACTATCTTTCCAGATGGGTTCTTTGGTATTTCATCGACAAACTCGATTCCCCCTGCTAACCACTTGTACTGGGCCTTCGCATCAGATACATGCTGCGTTGCGATAAAAGTTTGAGTGTGTTGTAATGGGTGTTGTCGTTCATCTTACCTTACAGAGAATCCGCTTTAGCGTCTGTTCTTCGCTCCTGTTGTTGTTGACACGCTGTCGCGCTTTGCTTTCCAGCACAACGAATGCCAAAGGCAGTTCTCCGCTGTAGTCATGCGGCACGCCCACAACACATGCATCGACAGCATCCGGGTGAAGGAGTAGATGGCCCTCAAGTTCCGCTGGGGACACTTGAAACCCTCGAACCTTTATTATCTCCTATATCAATGTCAGAAGTGGGAACACAGCAGCAAGAAAGTCCCGGAAACCTTCAAACGATCAACGACAAAAACCTCGAGATCTTTGATGATTACTTCATCTCCAGTACGCACCCAGCCACCCACAAAAGTTTCTGCAGTTCTGGTTATAACAAACTTAAGCCACGGGGATTAAATCAATCCATTCTGAGAACATACGCTTTCGGGTTGTCCATGTATCTCAAAGCCATGGATGGACCCGTCACCACAAGTTCACCTTGTTCACCTTCAGCTGCAAAAGTGCCGTCTGGTTTGAGCACCCTGGCCACAATTCCGGGAAGGAGGCGACCCGCGCTTCCTATCGTAGCTAGCTTGCGATCAGGTGGCAGTAACGCTACGCTTGCACATGTCTCAGTAAGACCTACGACCACATGAGTGGGGTCCATGGAGACAGTGCCTGGTGACGAACCATATCCTTGACCAATAGATGCGTTGGGAAGAATACTAGTAACCTGCTCCATCAGCTCTCCGCTCAGTGGAGCTGCACCAGACAGGCAATATTTGACATGGCTGAAATCGTAGTTTTGCACAGATTGATGCTGAAAAAGTATTACAGAACATGCGAAGGAGACTGTATAGTAAACCGACCTTGCACAAAAGGACGATTTGAGGGGGGACCAGGCTGCGGGGAACGTCAGCACACCAGCATGACAGTAAAGGAAAGCATTACAATAAATGAGTAACTTTGTGGCGGATGATGCTGTCCAGAAAACTTGAAAAATTAAACTTCGGCACAACCACGATCGACATCTAATTTGTGTTGTGAGAATCCAATGAAGTGGCTGAGGGACACACAACCCGTACCCCGCAATATAAAATGTAATGCATCTATGAAAGTAATGCATTAGGGGAGGAAAATGGCTAAGGGAGGAAGTGATCTTACCATGACAACGAGACCATAAATATCTGAGTGACTTGTGTAAGGAAGGTCGCAGTTTCATACAAGGTTACTTACGAAAAAAAGGCAGAACTAATGAATTTCCATGAGTGGGTTAAGCAAACAACATCTAAGAGTGTGCCTCTGACCTGCGAGAGCTATGTCACCAGGAAGCATGCGACTGGAAGGCTGCACAGGATCGTATATTTGGTAATGCGCGGCCATTTGAATGACATTAGCGATGACGGCGAAGTGGGAAATTTCCACAGCCTGGTGGATGGTTCAAATTCAGGCCAGAAAAATGGTTCACATATCACACCTTTGGTTTTCCTAAATAAATAAAAAGGATCTTGAACATCCAAATCGATTTCATAAATAAAGCTCCGTACCCGTTGTGCCGCTTGAAAACGAGAGGAAAGCGAGCGTAGTGCGAGCTTCGCCCGGTAACAAACATTGGGCTTTGTAGCTCTGAGGTCTGCTTATTCCAAACGCGATGAGATCTTCGACAGTCGAAGAATTGACGGTGGGGCTCAATGTCGGATCAACTAGAAGCACCAGACGGTCTCCGCTAATGCCCGAGGCTCGAGAAGCCTCCAAGGCTGCATTCCGACAAACAGAGTGAGTTACAATCAATTTGGCTTTGCTAGTCGTCAGCTGATGCGTAAGTTCGTCGGCCGTATAACTAGGGTTTGCAGGCCTATGTTCATTCAATCAGTCGAGTGGAGAACAGACCAAGTTTGCTAAGCCTGACGTTATTATACCCCCCAGAGTTTGAACCGCCCAAATGACGGTAGCATAATCTTTCATTGGCAAGGTAAGTAATAGTAAGGCCATATAATAAAACCATCCTACCTGTATGGTTAGGGCTGAGGAGACAGACTGCGAACGTTAGCACCGTCAGAATACCGCACCAGTGCTTGGAAATTGTATGTCATACCAACGTCTCCTTTCCCTACACTCGCCATTGAGACTCTGTGATGACTGAGGCAGTGGTAGAACGTACCGATAGCGTATTTCAGACTCAACGCGTTCGCGAGTCCATATGTGCGTTTGTGCACCTAGGAATTGTAAGGAGCAGTTCGAGATAGGAAAGTAGAGACGCACTTCTTCGTAGCTTATCCTCCTGCCAGTCTTATCGTCGATGAAGAAGGGCACCGACGAGGAGCGTTGAGGCCTCGGTGACGCAATTTCGCGCAGGATGAACTGGGGTATGGTGAGGTTGTCGGGGATATGGGGCAGAGGGGTATTAACGGTGAATTCAGACATGAGGATGGTTTGTAGTTGAAAGGGGACATTGACATGATGGAATATATCCGGTTCAAGGTTTGGTGCAGGACGGATCTTGCTTGGAAGTGTATTTCCTTTTTTGACATTATGTAGTTTTCCAATGGACGATGATGACGCGGAACTGCGAAACCCATTTCCTTCTCCTCCCTCCCATTATACAAAATATGCCCCACACAACCTCAAGCTCTTGGCCCTGCTCCGCGAACGCGTCCCAGACCCATCTGATCCCACCGTGAATCAGTATGAGGTGTTGAGTGACCAAACCGATGTCCCCGACTGGCCGCTCAGCCAACTGGAGAAACCACGCGTCGATTGGATCTTGGAGGAGCCCGACGCTTACTACGACGTTTTTGGAGACCGGTGGTTTGTGCGCCGCAATTTTTTTTTGCCCTGGCATCCGTATTCAACAACATGTACACTGTAGGTGAAAGAAAAGATCCCATCATTGGCAGAGCTCGGCGGAAATCAACTTTATCCAGCTGACCCGAGTGTCGGTATATATCCAACTATAATGTTTGCAAAATGAGATCCCTAATGTAACCTTTCAGATAGGCGTCCAGCCTTACTCTCCGTCCTACGCTCCCTCTTGGTTACCTACTCCGCCTTGACCTCCTCCCTCCTCGATCCTCCACCAGCTTTATCACAGGCGGAGCCACCAGGTTGGCAACGGCAGGTCGAATGGATCAACGTACTTGGTCAAAATCTTATGGCTGCCGCAAATGACTTGCGTCCTGTCCAGGTATTACCACGCGTATAGTGGAATGGCAGTTGACTCAATGATACCTCAGGCCAGAGGTAATTTGGAGCTGATGATGAAGCGACAGTTGGAGCTTCGCCGAGAAGAAACGAAAACGATGCATTCGTACGTTCATTTCTGCGTGCTCCACCTCATGATTATGAAAGCCATACCAACCTAGCAAATGCGACTCTATGCAAGCTAAACTTAATGAGCTTCGCTCATCACTTTCGCTGGAGCAGCAGGATACGATGACCTCAGTAGTATGTCTTGATGGGTTCTAATGCTTCCAGTGCTGACCCGTAGTAGCTTGGCCAAAAAACTGCGGACGTCAACGAGAACGTAAGTTATTTCTTTGGGCTCAGTATCTGCTGTTTACGCAGACAGAAGGATGCGTCCCTCGACAAACAAGACGTGTTGAGTTGGGCAGAAGCAGTTTAGGTGGCAAAATAATTGAATTTGTACTTGAATGTAATTAATTAATTATGGCAACCTCTCATACCACCTCGACAACATGGCTACCAGACGAAGGATCGGAGTGAGCATCGCTACTACAGAAGCAGCACGTCGCCAATTAATGCAACCAGTCCCATGTTGGGAGAAGGCATGGGTTGCAACTGAAACCTCTCCAGCGGGGACAAGCCTGAAGATATATAAATGGGTCAAAACAGAGAAAGTACCAGTGAGGATAATCCGAATTTCTGAGCTTGTTACTGGCTCTGAACGAGTTCACCAGCAATTCAGTGACGACGAGGGCGAGGTTGACGAGCCATTGGTGCCTCTGCCAGACGAACCCGAAGTTGTTGACGGCGACGAAGAAATGGATCCGGACGATGTGGTGGTCGTGGCGGAACCCGCCAAGGATTCGTTAGAGGTCGACAATGTACTGGACGACCCGCCGTCGAAACTTCCCTCACCCAAGCCCAAGTTACTCATGTCTTTACAACCCTCTTCCAACCTTGGGGGCGACGATCGAGGGGATGGTTTAGATGATTCGCTGACACCTCTCGAATCCAACATGGGGGAGAAAAAGGACATAGAACTGGAAATTTCTGCACTTGGACCGGACGGAATACCACTTGAAAGTGCGCATGATTTAACCCAAATGGATGTAGAGGACGTTTTGACTGGAGGACCGATGATGGACGACAGTAGCGACGCCTTTGCAGGAACTTCATGAATACTTAGGGAATGATTACATAATGGATGCTGCTGTATAAGAAGGAGAGATTGACAGAAAGAACAGGCCAACTGCCTTTCTCACAAGCCACCATCATCTGGCTCGACAGAAAGACGGCCCTGCCATGAATTTGCGAAAGATAATGTTTCAACGTCATCCCCATACCAGCTTCATCCTGTTGATAGGATCTCTTTCCGCCTTCGCCAACTCATCAACTATCCCATCAGTGTTGACGCTTTCGGCGCTTCTCCTGTACTCCCGTATCCTCTTACCATCACCCCATGCAGCTCGAAACTCTCTGCTTCTCTTACTTTCCCTTTCAATCGGAAGAGCTGTCCCCCACTTCTATGCATCTATTCACGCTCTGTCCACAGTTGGTGTATCACTTGTTGCTCTAACTGCTTTCTCTGCCCTTACATCTTTCCTTGCTTTGGCCGCTGTCTTTATTGATACCAAGCTTTGTATGCGCCTGAACTCGTCATGGGCGCAAATCACACTTTTTCCTGCAATGTGGGCTACACTCTGGTGCACAGTGGCATACATCAACCCACTAGGTCATCTATCAACCTGGAGCCTCAATGACGGTTCAGGTGCATACAGGTGGCTCGTTCCATTTTTTGGCCCTGTCAGTCAAGATTGGGTTGTGGCTGCCTGGGCCATTGTCTGCTCCCAAGCAGTTGGGGCTTGGTTCATTTCTGAAAGCCCAACTCTGTTACCTGTTGACGAGCATGCAGACTCTTCAAGTGATATACAGTCAATCTTGTCGTCCCACGCCCCTAGCAACCTATTCCTCGCCCTCGTGTTCTTGTCTATTCCTTCATTCCTCCAGGGCAACCTTCCGCTTCCTGTTTCTACCATTTCCACTTCCACACCTCTTACCGTTGGCTGTGTTCTCCCTCCATTTCAGCGATACCAGCACCACAGTTTGACTCTTGATGATTACATATCGGAGAGTAAGAAGCTGCAATCCTCTGCCAAATTCCTTCTATGGCCTGAGGGAGCTATTTCATTCAACTCCGAGGCGGAAAGGGATGCCGGGTTCGAAAAAGTCCGAAAGAGCATCACCTCATACGTTGGGGTTTCCTTCGAGGAGACATTTGCAGACCCTCGAGATCCGAATAGATCTACAGGTTTGAAGCGTGCAGGAATCGCCGTAATGTCAAACTCATCCGCGTCACCATACCTTTACTACTATAAAAGACATCTCGTACCAAGTGAGATTTTTAATGTATCCTCTTCGAAAAGATCTAATCGTGCTCTAGTTGCTGAATCTTTCTCTTTAACCCACTCCCAATTACCGCCAGGCGTGTTTGACGCCGTTCTTTCTCGCCCAAAGGATGTCAGCCCATCAAAGTGGGCGCCAGGGCCTAATCACACCCGTTCGGTTCCTCTAACAACTTCAATTTGCCTCGATTTTGCAGCAGCCTCTCCGTTCTCCGATCTTAAATCTAGGCCTGCACTCGTGCTTGCGCCGGCACGAACTTGGGATCTTTCAGTCGGGTACACCATGTGGTTGCAAGCTAAACAACGCGCAGAAGAGCTAGGAACGATCGTTCTGTGGTGCGACGGGGGTAAGGGAGGGGTCAGTGGTGTTGCAGGCGGTGGTTACAGCGAAATCGCACAAGTAGGCACCGGTTCTTGGACCAAAACAGTGGGGATTCCCTATCCTTTCAACGATCGTCGCACACCTTACGCGCAGTTCGGCAATATCGCTTTGTTGCTGTTCTGGGCTTTCGTCTTTGGCAAAACTTTGCTTGGTCCATTTTCGTATTTTACTGCACTAAAGAGCCCCGTTTGCTGGATTTGGACGCAGGTGGATAGACTCAGGGCTTCGTCGAGCAAAGGGGTTAGCCAACGCGGAGAAGCTGTGCGTGAATCGTCCCCACTTCTCGTGGACTTGTAGTTCTTCTGTCTATCTCTTTACCCAATGTACATATATGCAGTGTAGATTGCTTTGGATACCCCATCAAGGCAGGGCCACGCGCGAAGATGTCATTGCACGCGTTGGCCTTGCATAGACTTGCTCAAAACGTGCAAGTTTCCCGAGTTTCTCGTTCTCTTCTCAAGTCCACAGTGAAGGACTGATTATCCCAACGTCAACTCCGAGCAAATCAGAAAGGTCGAAGCTTGCTCGACGCCTTCGCGGCTCTTTCAGCAGCTCGACGGGAACCCTATCTGCGACTCTCGTCCATCAACGTCAAGATACAGCTTTGCAGGATTGGGCAGAGGACTTTCACATCGTTACGCACGACGACCTACCCATCCAACTCGATCAACCTCCCACTCCAGATCGCTTTCACTTCTCAGACTCTCTATCCCCGAGATCGTCCCCAGATACAGGGCTAGCGCGCATCACTGTACCCACACCCTCCTCTTTGCAAAAAACTGCTAGCTCAGGGAGCAACGTCGATTTTGCTGATCTCACCCTCAGTTTCCCCAAACCACCCCAACACATTCCAAACCCATTTGCCTGCCCCGTCGCTGCTGGTATGTATACCGACTCTGAAAGGTTTACCGTGTCTTATCTTATTCGACAGTTTCGCCTGGGCCAGAACTTATACTATCCGTTGCAGAAACTGCACCAGGAATCCCGTTCTTGTTTAATCGATTGAGAACACGGGCAAAGACCCTTCTTAGCGCCCCATTGCGACTTCCTATTTTCAAGGGCAAACGGTCCAGGCTTACTTCAAAAAGTGAGCATAAACGCCTTTCACCACCTGTTACGAACACATACGAATTTGTGGATCCTACCACTCTAACGGCATCGCCACCTTCAAGTTGCTGCTCTGAAGATTTCCTTGCTTCAGAACGAATATCTGTACTACCACCATCACCATCCTGGTTGAGTCGCAACGTCTCTGGATTTGACGAAGAAGGATATCCCGACGACACCAGACCAGTCGACGACACTAAGACGCATAAGAAATTCTTATCACTCTCCATCCCATCACACACTTCTGTGACGTCACCCTCGCCCCTTCTTTCCCCCCTTAACATTTCCGAGAGTGTACTGCCACGTGCTTTGTAAACTATCCATCGATCACCGCGCAAGGTCGAAGACAGCATATCCTTTATCTCATCTCAGGCTTGCGACTAAGCTCAATACCCACTTCCAATCATGGACTTCGCTGGTAAAAGAACAGATGTGGTCGATTCTGGCGGCGAGGTCGACTACTCCAATTATCAATGGTTCCAAGACGCACCTCCTCCCAGACCGCCGGTAAGCATGTCCGCATTGCCCACCGGTTCGTCTTCTAACACACCCAGAGCCCTCCGCTCCCCAATCTGTTGCTCCCCCATACGTGCCACTCCCAGGTGTAATAGAAACCAACAGCGCATTTGAGTTTGCCCTTTCTGTAGCGCCCAACATTGTCTATGCAAGATACAAGCAATATGGTCAGGTACGAAGCCTTGATCACTTCGGTGCGGACATTCATTTGATGTTACCCTTTCCAGCTTGGAGTGCTCGCATGGTGTTCAGAGTTTGGCGAGCTGATCGAGAATCTGAAAGAACTGGGTTTCGCAGGAAACATGTTCGTGACAACGCGTACGCAGGCTTTGAAGACCTGTGAAGAGCTCTTGCAGCTCAAACTTGATATCAAGATGCAAATTATTGTGATGTATCTGTCCTCGCAAGTCGCAAGACTGCGGAGGTTTCTTGATGGCGATCGCGTCTGGACGGATTATCCAGATCCACAATTTCCCTTGGAACCTCGGTCATACACTTGACTCTATGCAACAAATATGTTCCCTTTTTCATGTCATCCCATTTCTCCCCTTGAGCATTTCCTGTCGCCGTTGACGGCTGAGTATAGGTGAACCGAATGAATTTGCCGAGATGGAAAGTATCACAGCGAAATTACAACATATTAGAGTATATACCATGCCACTAGGAAATAATGCCATGTCCAAAATACATTGGATTGTACAGTGATAAGTGCAGAATGATAATGTTTAAACATGAGGGGAATTGTGAACACAAAGTTCGTACAGTACTAGTTAGGGGATATAAATGGGGCTCGTGATCCTAATGTGCAGTGGTTATACCAGTGTACTTGGTCCAATAATCCGCAGAGTGACCGGATGATTTCAAGGTGGAAAGGGGCGCGGGCGCGTACGAGGATTCTCTGGGTGGCTCAGGAAGGGGATTGTTGTGAAGAGTAGGTTGTAATAGTGATGGTGGGACTGTATGATCAAGGGGAGAAGCAGATGAATGAACTTGAGACCGATGGGTCTGAGTGCGTTCGTAAGGTTCGTATACAGAGTCACGGAGACTAGGAATAGAAGCAGGGGAGGAGTAGATACCAGGGTCAGGGGAGGCATAGATGCCAAAACCAGGAGGAGAGTAAATGACAGGAGGAGGGGCATTAGGCATTGAGTGGTAGATTCGAGAGGCTTGTCCTTGGAACGGGCTTTGCACGACAAACGCGGTGTGAGTGGAGCCATACACCGCGCCTTGCGTCGTTGCATCACCGCTCGTCGAGCTGGTGGAGTTTGGCGCAGCGGGAGAGTATGAAGCACCCATCGCCCCATTGAGCTCAGGAGCATACATGCTACGAGCCTTCCAAAGTCGTTCCATCTCCCACGCCTCTGTAGCTCTCATTGCATTCATCTCTGCAGCAGAGGGGAGCTCTGAAGTGGGTCGAGTAGTAGTCGAAGGATTCCGTTCCAAAGGTCGGGCAGTTGGAACATCGCCGTTCGACGTAGGCTGGGCATAAATACTGTAATTAGAAGGCGCCGGAACGTCGGACGTCTTCGTCTCTGATTTTCGGTCCCGATGACCATCACGCTTTTGGCTGCTCTTATGTTCGTTATGAGAACGGCGTGAAGTATAGCGACCTTCAGCTTGGGTCACTGGTGGTGACAAGGAATCTTGGTGCTGATGCTTCGAACTTTCATGACTCCGAGGTCGTGTGCGGTGGTCCCCTTCCACAACAGCTTCTGCCCTAGTGCTGTTCTCCCGGTTATGTTCCCTTTCCCGTCTGCTACTTTTCTCACGGTCTTTGGGTCTCAATGATGACTCTTTTGACCTTGAGGAAGACTCATGTGGCTTCGATGACGATTCTTTTGGCTTGGAGGACGGTTCCTTCACTTTCGAGGACGAGTCTTTCGGCTTGGAAGATGGTTCCTTCGATTTGGAAGACGACACCTTAGTCTTCGAGGTAGATTCCTTGGTTTTCGGAGAAGATTCTTTAGATTTAGAATGAGATTCCTTTGTTTTGGAAGAAGACTCTTTCGCTCTCGTGGACGCTTCCTTTGACTTGGACGATGGCTTGTTCCTCCCGTCAGACTCAACAACCTCCCACTGCTGTCCTGCTGCTACTATCCTCTCAGTTGATGCATAAACGTTTCCGGATGAGCTTCGAACGAGCTTAAACGTCTCCGTTTGTCTTCCTTTGGTTTGTCCGGGCGATGGCTCCCTCGTCGGCGGTTTAGTTTCCTGACGTGACTTGGGGGGCAATGCGGGCGGCAGCTGCTCAGGAGTCAAGGAAATCATTGTACGATCGTCATATGGTGTCGGTGGATTGGCGAGGACAGATGAAGCGGAATAAGGCGAATCATTATAAGGTATGTAAGATTGAACCCGATTAGGTGGAAGAAAATCATTTGGTTGAGTAGTGGGGAAAGGGACCTGATTGGACGGAGAAGAACGTTCGAGCTGTGGAGGTTGCGCAGGGGTAACAGCCGATAGGCGAGAGTGATTCTGCATATGAGGAGTTTGTTCTGGCACGGCGGGGGCCACTGGCATATCGTGAGTACTCGCCCTACTCGCTCGATTTGACTCGACCTCCTCAAAAAAGGGAGTTGGAGTATGTGTTGATAACGATCCATGCCGCGGCTTAGGTTGGCTATTCGCTTTCGAGCTTCCACGAGATGCATGGGAATATACGGATGGCTCATAACCACGACTGTGGCCGCTAACGACAGGCTGGGTTGACTGTGTATGCTGAGAATCGGGCTGAGTGGATTGCGGGGGAAGAGCAAGGCTATCTTGTTTTTGGGAGGGTGACACATGAGGGGATTCGTCCGGGTTGGAAATTCCATTGCCATTATGAAACCGCTCCACTGGCTTTTCGGGAGGAAGTGGCGGATTTACGTCGGGAAGAGTTTGATGCAATCCCTGGTCATAATCTGGAGCATCAGGATTGGCAATGGTAAGTTTGCCCATAGAGAAAGGTGCTTCCAGGGAAATCGAAGAGGACCGATCAAGTTCCGCTGGCCCTTCGACGTTGTGTGCAACAGTATAATCCACGGATGGTGGAGGGACTCTCTTGGGAGCTTCAGGTTGAGCCTTTTCTGGCGAAGCTTGCCTTCGCCCCGTATCAAAACTCTGCCTATTACTGCTTGCTCTCACATCTTCCGCGCTAATGTGATGCCAGCCGTCTACCTTGTCGGGGGCTCTGTCATTATCCTCACTCGGCTTTCTTAATATGCTGAACTTCCTAGCTAGTCTTCCTAACACACTCCCACGTTTCTCCTTCTTTGGAGTTGGGTTTGCGTTTCCTTGAGAAGGTGCAACGGACATACGCTTAGGCAACGACGTCCCATACGATGGGTCGGAGGAAAGAAGAGTGCGCTCAATGGGGGTGGCTGGTGCAGATGTCATCATGCGGTTAAGATCCCCTTTCTCAGAACTGAATACATTTTCGACGGTGGGTGAACGACGTTTACTGAGCTTGCGAGGTCGGCTATCGTCTGGTTCAGATGGATGTAGGTGAACAGCAGAGGTTGACTGAGAGAGAGGAGAAGGCGCCACCGACTTGTGAAGAGGTGCAGCAGTCATGCTTGCGCGTCTTGGCCGATTGTTCGATATCTAGTCAATAAGAAGATGGTCAATGAAATGTTGTGCCTAGACAAAAGGGCAGAAAGCTCGTACATCGTGGGTATCGACAGAACCCGTGGTCTGTCCAAACCAATCATAAGGAGATTGATGATGCCAATTTGTGCCCCAAGGGTCAGTAACATCGAGGAGGTCAATATTGTCAGGAGTTGTCTGTGAGGTTTTACGAGATCTTCTGCCACCCTCCGCCACGCGAGTATCTGATGATGTGGGGGTTGGTAAGGGGGAGTGTGAAGGTGTCCTGCTGGGACCCGGATGCCCCATCTCGACCATATGTTCTGGCGTCGAGGAAGTTCCCATAGGAGGGAACGCGGTCGAGAAGAAGGATGGGGGTCGCATACCCGGCTTGATTTGGGACGGGGGAATGAGGTGGTAGTTTCGATACCAACGAGGTCCATGTGGATTGTCAATTTGGTATCTAACTTTATGGGGAGGCAAAGGAGGGGCGCTCCACTCTTTGGTATTCACGGAAGGAAGGTCACTCATGGGTTCGGGGATGATTGGGCGTGACGCGCTACGCTGGTCCTCGTTTTTTCCCTCCGTTATAGGATTAATATCGTCACGAAAGTCTGCATCAGATGGTGGTATTCGTGATGATCGATGGTCAGGGGGAGAAGTGGGGAGAACGGGAACGGTGGGTTTGCTCTTAGATTTCCGAGACCAGATGGAGGCAGAAATGGAGTTACGCTTTGAAAGCTTGCGCTCGAGATCCTTTTGTTCCATATCGTGGTAAAAAGCCTTGAGTTCCTCGGGAGAGGCTGAGATGGGAGATTGGGGACCTTGAGACTGCAGGAAAGGAAATAAGGAGTGTGGTTCAGATGATGAGGAAAAGACTCACAAGTTCATAAGGCTCTTGGACCAAAATATGGGTACGGGTGTGGTAATAAGCCATACCAGGCTGGGGGATGAGGGCAACGACGTTGGCGGTGGCAGCGTTAACTACTGTTCACATTAAACATTCAATAACGGTGGCGATGATGTGGCACGTGCCTACCTGCAGGCCAATACTTGAGCAACACATTGTGCTGTGCTGCCTATGCACCGTCCTTCATTGTATTCCGTGTAATGCTGTGGATTTGTTGGCGTCGTGTCTGCACCCTTGCACGACGTGCGCATTGCGCATGCTCCTTACATTCCAATGAGATTAAGTTGCACGCTCGATCATGCACTGATCGGTATCCTTCCCAATCTGGAACTCCGCACATTTTCTTCATCTCATGTCGATCCGCATTCTCTTGCTCGGTAGCGGCGGCAGGGAACATGCCCTCGCCTGGAAACTTGCTCAATCGCCACAAGTAGATCATATCTACGCTTGTCCAGGAAACGCAGGAACTGACCAAGAGCCTAAAACATCCAACGTCGATCATATCTCTGCCTCAGATTTTCCTCGTTTAGTCGAATTTGCCGTGAAAAATGGGGTATGAAGTCAATTATCGAAACCACTCACACCTAAATTTTGCTCACAGGTCGACCTAGTCGTTCCCGGTCCTGAACAACCTTTGGTTGATGGCATCCAGTCGTTCTTCTACAAAGGTACATTATCTTTTCATCAAAAATTTGCATCGTCTAACATCACATCCATGTAGTCGGCATCCCCGTTTTTGGTCCAAGCGCGCTTGCTGCAAGAATGGAGGGATCTAAGGCTTTTTCCAAGGCCTTCATGGCCCGACATTCCATTCCCACAGCCGAGTTTAAGGTTTTTAACTCGTCACAATACCAGGAAGCCGTCGACTATGTAAACTCTTGCGGTCATCAAGTCGTATTGAAAGCCAGTGGCCTAGCGGGTGGTAAAGGCGTGCTCATCCCGGAGACGAAGGAAGAGGCTATCGCCGGTCTCAAAGAGATCATGGTGGACAACGTATTTGGAGTTGCAGGTCAACCGTATTTCCCCGTCCTTTCAAACCAGTCCTGACCTTTCTTTAGGTGACGAAGTTGTCATCGAAGAGCTACTCACCGGTCCCGAAGTCTCTGTGTTGGCGCTCTCTGATGGTTACACGATTGTTCCCCTTCCGGCTGCTCAGGATCACAAGCGTATCGGGGAGGGTGATACGGGTTTGAACACTGGAGGTATGGGTGCATATGCACCAGCACCCGTGGCATCCCCCGAAATTTTGGAGCAAATTATGAACGAGTCCATCAGACCAACAATCGACGGGATGAGAAAAGAAGGTTAAACCGCATTTGAAAAGTTCATTTGACCATCGCTAAACACTGATTATAGGTTTTCCATTTGTTGGAGTGCTTTTTACTGGCTTCATGCTCACACCCTCTGGGCCAAAGGTGCTCGAGTTCAACGTCCGCTTCGGGGATCCGGAAACGGAAACACTCATGCTTCTTTTAGAAGAGAACGTTGACCTGGCCGCCGTCCTCCTTGTAGGTTTTAGCGGATTTTTTTATGCAATTAAAGCTCATGCTATGCTAGGCTTGCGCGGAACATCGTCTAGACTCGGTTGAGATAACCTCACGGCCCGGTGTTGCCGTCACCGTTGTCCTTGCTTCTGCAGGCTACCCAGGTAGTTATGAGAAGGGAAAGAAGATCACCATCGGAGAGCTCCCCTCCAGTGAGCACTACTTTTTGTTTACTGAGAAAGTATTTCATCGCGCTTCAAGATGTGGTTGTTTTCCATGCTGGAACAAAACGACGTGGGGACGACGTCATAACGGATGGGGGTCGTGTCTTGGCCGTCACTGCATATGCGCCTGCACTCCAAGAGGCACTTGATGCAGCATACGAAGGGGTCAACAAGATTACCTTTGATGGCAAAACTTACAGACGTGACATTGCTCATAGGTATGTTATTTGCTTATATTGTTTTTGCTTTGCCTCAGAAAGTGCAGAGCACTGAATCATCAATCCGAGCTTAAGCCCGCTGGCTTAACGTATGCTCAAGCGGGTGTATCCGTAGACGCTGGAAATGCATTGGTGGAGGCCATTAAGCCATACGTACGATCCACACGTCGGCCTGGCGCTGATGCGGAGATTGGTGGTTTCGGTGGTGTCTTTGACCTCCGTGCCACTGGATACAAAGATCCCGTCCTCGTCAGCGGGACTGACGGCGTCGGCACAAAACTTAGAATGGCGGTAGATGTTGGCATTCATGATCTTGTCGGTAAGTCGTTCATTTGTTCTTGGGATACAAAATTATCAACCTGTTTGAAGGTATTGACCTCGTAGCTATGTCCGTCAATGACCTTCTCGTCCAAGGCGCAGAACCGTTGTATTTCCTGGACTATTATGGCTGCAGTTCACTGGACGTATCGGTAGCAACTAAGGTTGTCAAAGGTATCGCTGAAGGCTGTCGGCAGGCTGGTTGCGCTCTTATCGGCGGCGAAACCGCCGAAATGCCTGGAATGTATCAACCAGGTATTTCCGGTCCCAGAAATACTCATATTCCGTTTTAATTACGCTTCTCAGGTGATTACGATCTAGCAGGATTCGCAGTTGGTGCCGTCGAGCGTGATCTCTTACTTCCACGTAAGGATATCGCCGCCGGTGACATTATTCTCGGGGTCGCCTCCTCTGGGCTGCATTCCAATGGCTTCTCTCTTGTCCGCAAAATCATTCCGCTATCAGGTCTAAACTACTCATCCCCGTGCCCTTGGAGTAATGGCGTAACTCTTGGTCGGGCTCTTCTTGAACCTACGCAAATATACATTTCGCAGCTCCTCCCCGTTGCTCAGGCTGGCCTGTTGAAAGGCATGTCGCATATCACCGGTGGAGGTTTCACCGAGAACATCCCTAGAGTTCTACCTAAAGACCTTGGATGCTATATCGATGCCTCCACATGGACTCTGCCGCCCGTCTTTCGTTTTTTGATGAAACATGGTGGGGTTGATGCATTGGAGATGGCACGAACTTTCAACAACGGGATCGGGATGGTTCTCATTGTCGCACCCAACGACGTGAGTAGAGTTATGACACTTATCCAACGGGGACCAGTGGGAGTTTATAAAATTGGCGAGGTTACATCTGAGCCTGGAGTGGAGATGAGGAATATATTGGCATGGTCGCAGGATTAGCGTGGGATGTTGAGTATGGTACAAAGACGTTAATGCGAAATAACCAAGAGTGATAGTTTGTAGTTTTTTTTTAATGTACGAAATGACGGCGCTGAGAGGAGCCCGAGGGATAAATCTACAAAAGGGAGAGGAACATAATATGGATGTAACGATATGCAAGATGGATGATAGCTGATGGTTACGGTCAAAAAATAACGATGATAGATGGGGAAGTGAAATGAACAATAAATGTAAGTCAGATGGAAGAAGTATATAACCCAGAAGAAAAAGAAAATAATGGGAGCATTCAAAACTAACACCAGTGTCTGTCAAAGCTGATCTATGATGTATATGCGCAGATGATGAGAAAATGATTTTACGCAGGAACGGACACTTCCTTAGGGCCCTCTGCCGCAGCAGTTGTGATTGCCGCGAAAGAGAGGGGGAGCTTATGGGCAGAGGGCTCCGATGCAACAACAGGCTGATTGGAAGAACCATTTACTTCCGGCTTGCCCTGTGAAAACATTAGATGAGTAGAGTAAGAGCCAACAACGACCGTACCTTCACGGGAACGGGATCCGGCGTTGCACCTCGAGTGCTCGACTCCTTGCTACCCTCTTTGCGTGCCGGAGGAGGAGCCTGCAAGACTTGAGCTGCCGTGGGGCCGGAGTGCCCGGTTCCATTAGAATGGTGTCCTGAGCCACGAGAGGGAGGTGTTGTGGACCCCGCAAGCACAGGGAATTCGTCAGCGTTGGGAACGCGCTGCGGCTTCACATATGCAAATTTTTTGTTACCATGGGCATTATTAATGCCCACATTGTGATGCTTAACGCCCTGTTGGAATTTTGGGCGGGATACAGGATCACTTGATCCGTCGCTCACGCTAGTATGAGATGAATCCTAGTTGAAACGTCAGCGACCAAGTCAACCCTCTAAAAATAGCGACACACATTTCGGAACGTCAGACCTTCCAGCTTTTCTGCAACGGTGGCAACACCATTGATACTCCCACGGGATCGGGATGCAGCACCCCTGCCAGCGAAATAGGAATTGTGATGATGTGGACCCGAGTTATCAGGCATCAGATGAGGGAACCGACAATCATCCCTAGAAGGTGATGAGCAAAACAATCAACTGGAGTAGAAAAAAACTTGCCCGTTCTTGCATCGTCCAGAGGGGAAGAACGAGCACGGGGGTTTCCGACTGGCAAAGGTACCTCGACGAGCACCTGTGCCCCGACGATGATGGCCAACACCATCCCGATGCACAGGTTGTGGTGGATATGTGTCTGTTTGACCATTGCTTGGCGGTGATTTTATGGTGCCATCTATGTCTTGGTAGTTCACAGGATTTGGTAACTGTGAATACTGACCAGGGGCATCTTGATGTACAACAAAAGGAGGGGCAGCTGAGGGGTTATGATACATATTGGGAGGAGACTGAGGTGCAGGGGGTGGATGTGACTGGTGATGCAGATGGGGTGGTGGGGGAAGTGACATGGGGATAGGCGTGTGAGGGTAGCCAGATGGTGGGAGTGAGCCGTAAGGTACGGATGGCGTTAAGCCATTGGGACTAAAATGGGCCTGTGAGGGTGATAAAACCTCGGAAGCTGACCTACTATGCATCATGTGGGGACCAGAGGGAGGGGGAGAAACGGGAGACATGGGATGCACACCGTTTTGTTGATGGTATGATTGGGCTACAGGGTAGTACGGTGGGGCGTAAGGAGCACCCATCGGATCATAGCCCGGATACGGGATTGAGGGAGGCACAGACCCTTGGTAATACGTGGGTTGTGGATGAGCAAAAAGACATTGCACACCATAACGGCAAGCAGGAAAATATCTGCAAGGAATCAACCTTGCAATTTCTGGCGGTGGAAGGTTGCCTATATTATTGACGGAGGCCATCTCACCGGCTGACTGGGGTGGAGCTGGAGGGTAGTAGACACCACCCTCACCCACGGCGGAGAGGGCTGGATTAATCGTAGGATAGTAAGAATAGGGACCAGACGGGGGAGGAGAAGGATAATAGGCTTTGTCGGCATCATGACTCGCGTCTTGACTATAAGCAACCTCGTGGGTGGCGACGCCGTTTGGTGTCACTTTATTTTGGGCGTAGTTAAGAAGGTCCAGAATGGCAGGATCTGACGTGTACTGGTCGGGTCTGGCTTGGCTCGAGCCATTGAGAGGGTCTGCGCCTGGGTAACAGCAATGGAAAATTGGTATGAGTCAAGAGGAAAGACATGGCATGCAAACGAACCTCTTTCCAGCAGAGCTTTGACCACGTCATAGTGACCATTACGAACGGCAACAATGAGAGGAGTGACGCCTGTATGGTCTAGAAAGTACTAAGAAGTCAATATACGAAAAGAGGATAGGACATGAGAGAATTGAACCTTTGAGCTCGATGTCAATGGATGGCTCCCGCAGCAGCTCATTGACCTTTTCGATGTCGCCGTCGAAGCAGGCTTTCCAGAGAGGTGACACCATTTGAAGTGAGAAATGCAAGGACTAAGGATGGACGATGAACCTGAGATGGACGGTGTGAAGGACAGAAGGAGATTTTGTTGCGTTGTTGAAAACCGGAGTCGTCGGAAAAGAGAAAAAAAAAAATGACCGTGGCAGATCGATCTTCATATCATGTCAGCACTTTTGGTGTGACTTTGATCCCTACTACGTTACAAGTGCACATGATATTACTTCAAAGTCCAAGTTTCCGCAACAACTGTCTAGCTGGCCCACCAGCCGTAGGCGGCAGCTCAAGTTCCTTCGATGGGGGCAATGCCATCAACTCCCGCACTGCGTTTTGCGTATCTTTGCCTGCTCGCCTTCCAATTAGAAAGGCTCCATCACATCTCTCGTGGCTTACCGTTGTACAAAACGTCATAAACCTGCCCATCATTTAGTCAATCACATTACTTCGCCAAGCGATGCACTTACAGAGTTGGCAATAGGCGCATTGATCCCCAGTTCATCGATAATCTTCTTGACGCCTTTTGTGGTTGAAACACCTTCCGCAACACTGCCGAGGGTGTTCATAATACCGTCGAGACTTTCTCCTTGGCCCAAGCGATAGCCCACCGTATAGTTTCGACTATTGGAGGAGCTGCATGTCAAGAAAAGATCACCCACGCCAGAAAGTCCGAGGAAAGTCAACGGCGAGGCACCATAGGCCGTCCCGATGCATGTCATTTCAGCTAGGCCTCGCGTGATGATCACTGAATGCTCCTTCCGTCAGTCTTTCCTAGGTTCGGGGCAAGGCGAGCAACTCAACTGGCTCGGGTGTTGTTTTTGTAGCCAAGCCCGTCTGACATCCCAGATGCTATAGCGTAGACATTCTTGAGGGCGCCAGACAGCTCTATGCCTATCGGATCCCCACCAGTATAACTTGGAAAACAAGATGAGCAGCTGACGTCGCGCCTGTTGAACTCGTTGCACCAACCCACCAGCGGAAATGGGGCTGATGAAAGAGAGCCGATGCCTTGTCTGCTTCCTCTTCCGTAAACGAGGCCACGGAAACCGATGTCGGTTGCCTCTCGACAACTAGAAAGCAATCAGTCAAAATAACGTTCTCGACGTCCGTTAAATGCGTACTTTCTTTGGCAAAGGAAGGACCTGACTAGAAAAAGATAAAAATAAGAATCCGCAAAAAGAGAAAAGTATTTCAAGCCCACTATGAATGTTGCAGCTTTTGCTATGTCAGCCCCACAAGTGTCCGCAATAATCTCCAACGTCAATGCATGCGTTCCAATCTCAATACCCTTGTTCACAAATATCATGAGGGGCAAATTATCGACATCAAGTTGAGGGTGTAAAATAGAAAGATTAGCCCTGTATGCGGTCAATGACTTAGATATTATGAAAACAGGAAGACATGCCTCAAAAACTGAGTGGGAATGGCAAAGAGGAGGACATCCATTTGATTAAGAAATTCCTTGCTGGGCAATTCTGGGCCGACAGCAGTGATGTTCGAGGGAAAGATGTGGTCTTTGAGATAAAAGAGATTGCGATGGTGCTCATTGAAGTAGTTCACGAGGGATTGTTCGCGAGCCCACATGAAGACATCGTGCTGAGAGTCTCCAAGATGAGATGCTAAACACGAACCAAAATTACCTGCACCGAAGATGAGGACCTTTGAATTTTGAAGTGGCTGAGGCTTTGAACGGACCATCTTGGAGGCAGATGAGCGAAGCTGTCGAAACATGGCAAGCACATGGACGCGTTAGTCACGTGGGCCACGTTACATGCGAACCCTTGTGTTTCTGCAAAGTTTCTGTCTACATCCATCTACAATGTCAATTCAAGATCGCACTCATGAGTTCAAGTCTTGTGTGGACTCCATTCGCAGCAGGTCTGCAGTACCACAACGACGTCAAGACGTAAAACAACCCTTTCTCAATGCAAAATCACACACCAAATCCGAATTCTCGCGGATGGCTGCTTCCATTGGCAAGGACATCAGCAGCACCACCTTGAAGCTCAGTAAACTCGCTCAGCGTATGTTATCTACATTGTTTTGCTATTCAAGTTCAATTTTATTCCCCTGCAGTCGCAAAACGGAAGACTTTGTTTGATGACCGTCCTGTCGAGATTAGCGTGCGTCCTTAACAATTGGTTTTTCATCCACACTAAGTTTCGAGGCTCCAGGAACTCACCTTCATCATCAAGCAAGACATTGCGAATATCAACAAGCAGATTGCTGCCCTGCAGTCCTACGTGAAGCAACGCAACACTCAAACCTCGTCCTCCTCGGCAGAAGGGAAACAGATAGACGAACATAACAATAACGTAGTGATGTTGCTGCAAAGCAAACTAGCGACTACCAGCATGTCATTCAAAGATGTCCTTGAAGTCCGCACGCAGGTACTTGGCTCCCTCCTCGCATACACATTCCTCTGAAACTCATTATGTGTGTGCAGAACATGAAGGAATCCAAAACACGTACCGAGCAATTCATGTACTCCACAGCCTCAGCGGCCAATCACCCTCCCTCCAGCAGTACGCTCGTTTTACTTCCTTGCTAACGGGTCTTATCCATCATGAACTCCAGTGCTATACAACTCTCAACGCGGCGACCCAATGGGAGACGGAAGCCCAACGCCATTTGATCAAAAGGGTAAAGGTCGTGCGCTGCAGAACGGCGATATTTTGGCTCTTGATCTTGACTCGGCCGAGGAAGGTTCTGGGGGTTCAAATGGGAACGCGTTCATGCAGATGCAACTTGTCGAACAGCAGGTGTGTGTTCATTCTTCTCCATTCTATCGAGATTTATTGAAAGAAAACAATCTAGGATTCGTATATACAACAGCGCTCAACTGCAATTGAATCCATTGAGACAACCATTGCTGAACTCGGCCAGATATTTACCCAACTCGCCGGTATGGTCGCAGAGCAAAGAGAAACCGTGCAGCGAATCGACGCCGATACCCAGGACATCGCCTCAAACGTGGATTCAGGTCACCGAGAACTTTTGAAGTACTACGCAAGTATATCAAGCAACCGTTGGTTGATGCTCAAGGTGTTTGGTGTTCTCATCGTTTTCGTGAGTGTGATTCTATCGACAGGGTACCTTTCACACTCATCATACCAACCCAGTTCCTCGTCTTTATTTTGGTATCATGATACATATTATGGCGCCCCCGGATCCTAGATATTTATCAGGACTATAATTATGGACATTAAATATGCATACGCGTTGGCGCAACAATACCACGTAACGTACAAATCTGGCCCTAGCCAACAGGAATCGCATTTACACCCGTCCCCCAATCTTTCACCCTCGTTTTACTCCCCTTCACATGCTTCTTACCTCCACGTCGAGTCTTTCCATCATCCACTTCATCCTCCACGGTCCACGTCCTCTTTACCAAAAGCTTCTGCTCTAATCCAGACGTTTTCGAGTACCGTTGAGGCTTGTCAGGCATGCTTGGGAAGGTTTTTTGATCTGAGTTGGATTTATCCTTCTCTACGCGGTCTTTCTAAATAAATAGAAGCGGATCAGCGTTCGTCCTGTCAAATGAGTTGAGAGGATGCGCACACGCTGAACCAAAAGCGCTTTATTTCGTTCTCGAACCTTCTCCAGTCTTGATCCGCTGTTGCCGCCGCCGCCAGCAGTTAGCTCAACGTTGATCATACGATCCTCCAACATGGACTGGTGCAGCTTGAGTGCTTGCTGGAGAGCATTCCGATGGGTAAACTCCAAAAATGCACATCCTTTCGACTTGGCGCGTTGTGTGCTTCCAGGTTTTGGTTTTGGTGTAAGCAAGCGAATTGAGGGCGGTGGATCTATGTCGACAAATTCAGCTAGTTCAGCGCATTGAAAAAACACCAGATATATACCGCATGCCGCAAAGTGAGCTGCTATGGCCTCTCTCGAGGTAGTGTACTTTAAATTGCCTGAGATTGCGATGAGAAATTAGCCCATGTACACTTTTTGGAAAACCTCTCGCACCAACGAATAGAATAAACCGCTGTTTTTGCTGCGCCGTTGTCGAACCTACGTCCTTCCCAACCCCTTCACCACTCTCCTCGTCCCCTGACTTTTTCCGCTTCACCACGGCCGACTTTTTCACTTCCTCCACATCCACCTCGCTTTCGCGTTTCCGCTTCCGCGGCCCGTTCGATTCCACATCCAACCCAGATTCTTGTTTGCGTTTTTCTTTGCCCTTTCCCTCGCTTTGGCCGCTTCCCTTTTCGACTTCGCCCGTGCTTGTTGTGCTCTTCGTCTGCTTCGGATCTCCCTCAATTTGTAACCCATCGCCTGAAGTAGTAGCCAGATCCTGGTCTTCCATGATAGGGACCGCATTATCATCCATGTCAGCGATTGTGGCATCTCCTGGCTTTCGTTTGCTTGATTGGCGTTCGCGAAAGGCTAACCCTTTCTTTTGCTTCTTGGTGAGCTTTTGTGTTGTGCTCATCGTGGAACACTTGAGGCGATACAAGCCTTATTCGCGTGGAGATAATGTGATGAAACCAGCACTCAGCACTGGACGTATTTTCTTCTCACGCCGTGTGATACCTTTATCCTTTCGTCCAAAATTTGAACACCAGCGGCACTACACCAGTCACCTATTACAACCCAGCGCAGCATTCTTCACCTACTTCCAGACGGTAGATATGACGTCCAACACCTCCCAGTGGCAGTCAACGACTTGTTCAAGTTCTACTAACCCCAACCTGAATATACAAGCTTGGCTTGGAAACATCGAGCAGTTTTTTGATGACCCAAATTCAAGCTCCCAGCCAGGCATTGCGGGTGCAAAGCCACCAAATGCAAGACCTCTCCAATCAACCAGTGATCGATCACTAACGCCTACGGCTTTATACCCAGTGACAGAGCCACAATGGGCCGCTAGCAGCAGCTCTTTTATACCATCAGAGTCAGATTCACCTCCCCAAGTAGCCACCATCATATCTCCCCACTCTCCTGCTGAAGTGCCTCTGGTGCAGCATACCCGCAGTCACAACAATTTTTGCTACTCGGAAAATGTTCCATCACTTTACGAATGGGTACTTGCGCCACAAGATGGCTTTTACTTTGTGTAAGTATGATCCATGCAACCCTTCTCGCATCCACCTCCCATAATCTTCGATTCCATTACCTGAGCTACAAGTAGCAGGTCATTGCCCTGCCATCGTTGACGAGATTTACGATCGCTTTTGTCCCAGAATGGTAAGTTTGCTTTGACCTCTCTTCTTCTGCAACCAATGTCAAATGACAGGTAGAGAGTATGACACGAGAAGATGTCGAGTACAATTTTTGCGCAGCTATGGATGCTCGGCATTTGTTATCCCTGGATAAATCTATCCTGGAGGCTCAAATAGCTTTGGATCTTCTGCACCTTCAATCCAAGTTTCATGACTTGTGGCAACTCAACTTGTCTATTTCGAAGTCACAAGATGCAAGCCAACGCATCTTAGGATACTGTAAGAAGAAAGATGTCAAACTGGATTTCATCACATTAGAATGCTTCCGCCCTGATCATGCTCAGCTCAATCAATCCAAGCAGAAGAAATGCAAAGCACGTGAGCAGGAAATACGGCCGCACCTCGACGCTTGCTCGACCAACTCGACGCAATGATAGACGCAAGCAAAGGTGTTAAAATGTTTTCCGAAGACCCATCCTCGCTTCGAGAGGGTCGACTGCGCTTCAAGTTTCTCAGATAATTTCATGTGGGCCTTTCACAGTTGGCACTCAACGTATTTTCTTCTCACGCTGTGTGCTACAGTCGACTCCGTCAAGTTGGCAAGTTGGTTCAATGGTTGCAACGATGATGCTGAAAGAAATGTGGAGAAGCTTCTCGCCGTCGCGTTTGGATCAAAGGAGAAGGTTATTCCGGGTGCATGGTGCGAGAACTGTATGTAAAAATATATATCTCGTTTGTGCAAGTACAATAGGACGTATGCTTGTCGTTGCGATGTTTGGGTTCAAGACTCACGTAGCTGTGAACCTTACGTCGATGTCCTGTCAACTTATTATCCGTGGCAGGCTATCCACCTTTGCGCTACTCACAAGCTCGTGGTTCAACTTTTTAGATTCCAGTACTTTGACTCTCCAATCTTCCTGCTGTAATTTGGTTGTCAATCCCGCCCTTTTGAGTAATGTGAAGATGTCGTTATTAATGTAGATTGGTACTCTACTAGCGGGGAGTGAATAGTGAACAATTGAACAGCCGAGAAAAAATAGCCATAGGGAGCAATTAGAAGAGTCGGGCAACATCAGGCCGAATCTGGCTGCATTGCCTCGAGCATAAAAGCATCATGTTCCATATACATGATGCCATTCCGCACGGCTCCTTCATGCCACTCAATACAAGATAAGTCGTTCAAACTTGGAGGATATCTGCCGATTCCGTGTTTTCCACACCAATCGAAATCAACGAGCATTGGCATCTGTTTCTCCGTGATCAGAATGTTAGGTAGTCGGAGGTCCCCAAAAACGATTGACTCTGCGTGAAGGATACTGATGGCTCGCTTGACTTTATCGTAAATAGTGTTCGGAAGTTGTGTCGTCGAATACAGCACGTAGGCATTCGACCCTCACACAAAATCCATTATCACAACGCCCAGGCCTCCTGTTGTGTTTGTATTGGTATTATCCAGACTCGAATAATGAAGCATCGGGGCCAAATCATGGGACGCGAGAAGACGATGCGCATCAGAATTGTACCGCTGAACAAATTTGACAATAAGCTGATTGCCAGAAGTGGTCGCTGCTAAATAAACAGCTTTCGTCATGCTGAGTCGTTTGATATATCGGAAATAAACTTTCTGACCCTGCGAATCGAGGTAAGAACGAGTAGAGGGGAAAAAGCGTTGGATTTCGGGACGATGATCAGCAGCAGCAAACAGATTGCCATAGAACGTTTTGAGGTCTTGCAGACCCACTGACAGGGCCTTGAAGAGACGTGTAATGGACTCCAACTCTCTGTCGTCGTAAGGATTACCGCCCGTCCAGACATAGTCCGTCAATTTTTGAACCACGACATTTTCAATAAAGACAGCCCCAGATAAACACATCCATGGCCCTGCAATAGAGATAATAAATGATGGACAACAGCAAGCGCGACGTATAGGGGCAAGCTGCTGGTTAATCAACCGAGTGTGGCAAGACTTGGGGTATGCAACGTACCGTTCTTGAAACCCAGGTCTTCCTATATGATAACGATCCCTGGATTGTTGGGTCAGAGCTACCAGTCCCAATCTCATTCTTTAGTTCATAAATTCCTGCTCTCGCTGGATAGTTGTCCAGAGTAAGTGTTAAGATTGAGCCATCCGCCTTTGTTCCATCGGCGTTTACGACAGGGATTAGACCAAAACAAACAGCTTCCCTCAAGCAGGTTGAAATTGCATCATATCGCAGAGCTTTCGTCTCGTAAAGCGCGGCTGACACACGCATATACTTATATGCCCTAGAATAGTCATCGGCGGTCAGCTCGATGTTAGGATCAACGAGTGTGCGCTGGAAGTGAGAAAACGCTGGATGGAACAGATGAACAGGAAGTCCACAGTTCTCCATTGGGCGTCCATTCATAACTGGCCGCACTTCTTGTTCGTGTTTGAAGGCAGGAAGCTGAGCACCAGATGATGGTGGGGGGGCGTTTATGCCATTCTGGACCGACGTGGCATGCTCTGCAAAACACGTGAAAATCTTCGATTATGAAGTCGCGGGGTACTGACGTTTCTCCAAATAGGGGATCTCTCCTTCAATAGACTGAGGGGGGTGTCTGATTTCTGTGAAGGGCACGAGGAATGGATAGAATAATTGACAGCGAACAGTTTCTTCCTGTAGCGGACTCACCAGCCGGGACCCCCTTTACCATAATATGGATGAACTCGTCGGGCAGTTGACCAGACCAATATTCCGAGATTGACTTCCATGATTGTAACGATTCGATGCCTTCAGGCTCAAATTTAAGGTGGCTAAGAGAACGCCCATCGTTCAAGTAAGCGTTGATATCAATGTTGACCTGGTATGTAAGGTGCGGCAGTAAGAATTCGCAATGTCATTTCACATACGATGGCCCACCTTCCACAATTCCAGACAGCGAGCATCAACACGCTCGAAGGTAGGTGCACACTGCTCTTTTATCTTGTTCTTCAAGTGGCTAACATCATCATCACCTGCCGCGGTGACTATAAACTTCATTATGACCTTCTATGAGACAATTAAGCTGGAGTGTAGACATGGCATCTGCGTGACTAATCTCTAAGTCAGAATTCCAGTGCCGTGAGCCAAAGAGCGAGTCGACTATGAAATTTTACAGAGGGACCATTCTTAAGCCATTCTACATCGCAAGCCACAACGTTACCGTTTACCTACGATCAGTGCCCGAGAGTCAAGCTGTTGACTCCCTCACCTGCCCCCTCTACTTCTCTTTCTTCCCCAATACTGCGCCTGCGAGGAATGGGCCGTAAAATGGGACTTGCGAGTATCATACTGGTCGGTCGCAGAGTCGGACTGGATGACATGCTGACTGATCGAGGGAAGGGAGGGTATGCAGTTGTTATCGTGGGTGAAGACGCTGCAGAACTCGCAGCAGATGTAGGCATGTTGATGGGGATGGAGATAGGAAGTCTGGATGCGCTTCTATTCATAGGTGAATTTATGGACGGGTGTGAGTCTCTCAGGTACGACAATGAAGGTGAAACAGCGCGCCGCTTTGAGCTACTTGGGTAAGGATCGAAACGGTCATCCACTACAGCTGAATGAGCGCCGTGATATAACTATGAGTGAGAAGGATTGCCTACGTTTACGCTTGTTAGATCGAATAGCACTCGTTGTCGGAGGCGGAGTACATCGCCAGTGGTTTGGCGCTGCCATCATCGAAGGCATTAGGGGAGATCCAAGAGGCTTGTTTCTTAATGAATGGATGTAGTAGTGAGACTTAACATCATAACTTACCCCAGTATCGACGTCCATAGCGGCCGTTCCATAGCTCGAAGACGCCTCAGATGCACACATACTTAAATCATCCCCATTCATACTTCCAGCAGCGCTCACAGAATTGCGTGGCTTTTGAATGTTGATGGGTTGAGTCCCGCTAGGTGTAGGAAATGCAAAAGGAGCATCTTCTCCTTCACCCTCCTCGTCGCTTGGCGTTTCTTCGCGCTGGGACTCTTCGTGAACAGCTTCCTCTGGATATCGTCCCCTATCAGTGAATGGGCGTGGGGTACGTGGCGGAACGGGCAATCCTGAACACGAGCCGATCAGACGCTGGAATGCGGCTTCTGATTTGACTTCGTCCTCTTCAGGCTTGGATTCCGCTAAGAGATTGAGTATGCGGGGCTGCTTCAACTAGAGAGAAGTATGAGAAAGAATTCCCAAATTGCATGCCATACTCACTGGGAACGCAAGGCGGCGATTGAAGATCATGGGCATATCAGCATCCATGCTTGCAGACGATCGTCTTCGAGGGGGTGTTAGAGGCGGCGGCCTCTGCAGGACTTTCCTGCCACCGAAATCATCTAGAGGTGGGGTGTTGGCCTCAGAACCATTTGGAGAATCAGTTATCATTCGTTCTTTGTCGCCTTCAGTTTCCTCCATGATGTTCGCATTCTGGCTTCGCCGGCGTGCATGGAGTGTGAAAGAGGAAGCAAGAGGACTATGCAGCCTTGTTTCGGACAAGTATCCACCTTTTTGCAAAAGACTCGGGCGGCGAAATCGTTGTAGAAGCAAAGATGGGTCTTCAAGTGTAACCGACGATGACGAGGCCCCAGGACTTGATGAGGAAGGCGGCAAGGCGAAATCGGTGGAAGACGTTGGCAGAGAGGGGCGCGAAGTCGCTTTGGGCATTACAGAAAGTGCAAATGGTGTTCAGCTTGGTGGTGAGGACGACGAGGGCGAAGTTTGGTCATTGTTCTATGGAGGTAGAGTTTCACGCGCTTCACAACGTTATATAAATAATGATACTAGTACTTGTAATGATCTCTTATCATTTGAACGTTTACTGCATCTACTGGTTCTCATCACTTTACTTACAGATGCTTGGACAATCCAGCATACAGCCACCCACCAGCCGTGAAGGTGGCAGCTGCCAGTTGTGCTGAAATTAAAGTGTTTTTTTTTTAAAAAAAAACGTGGGTAGAAGACACTGCGCGAATTGCTCACCTAGTAAGGCTAAAGTGCCAGGAGTCGAAACGATGCTTGATCGCTGTCAAAAGTCATATTAACAAGGCCACAGAAACAGGCGAATGTTGTATCTCACCTTCTTTGGATCTCCTGTAAGGTAGCCGCGCGTGTAAGCGATCCTAGACAGCGACCAGATGGCGCAGGCGGAAGCGGCGAAAATAGGATATTTGATCCCGGCAACAAGCGTTCTGGACCAATGTTTAAAAGACTGGCTAGCGGGTTCCAAGGAACTACCTACGTGAGATACACAACTGGAAGATTCTCCAGTGTGTTCTGATGGGCACCTAGTGCAGGAAAAGCATCAGACAATATGGAGGCATGAAAAGCCATGTCACCCACGCTGTGCACAGTTGAAAAGGTGGGCATCCTTGGAGGCCTGAGCCTCAGCCTTCTCGGCATATACTATGCAGAGGCATCAGCAGCTAACATTTACAGGAAACGAGCTTGCATACGTTGGGGATACGCAATTCCTGCACGCTTGCGGTGCCTTCCGACCTGCGCCACCTGGTAGACGAGAACCCAACAGGTAGACACCAAGGCCGCACCAACGTAGGTAAATCTGAGAAAGTGTGAGACGGTTCCAGGAGAATAAGGCGAGTACTGACCCCTCAGGTAAAGTAATTGTGGTAGACATGTTATTGCTGAGAGAAAGATTTGAGGAATATCCAAGGTCTTTTATATGCGGGAACACGTATTTCCGGCATAGGACGCGCGTCCTTCCTTTACTCAGCACATTGATGATTTAGGGGTCGCCTGTGGAGACGAGGATTAATGTTCCCGATGCCACGTACGCAACCAAGTTCATGCAGGGTTTGCCAAAGGTGACACAAGGGTTTCAAGGGGTTCATATTCAAATCCAAGTTTGAAATTCAAAGTGAGGTCGAGAAGTCGATGGATATGATACGGTAATCACGTGGCGATTTGATCGCACTGTATTTTTTCTCTTCTTGAAGTTCTTACCTCCAATGTCAAAACGCGCAAACACCGAACTCTTGCCCCAAGAAAAGCGCGATGGCCAGCCATTCCATAAAGTTTCTGAAATTGGAAGCAGGCGGGAACAACCTATACCAGACGAGATGGGCGAATTTGAAGATGCTTGGGAGGACGAGATCGAAAGTGATGAAGATGTTACAAATGCGGAGGATGGGGAAGGAGAAGATGGTGTGTCTTCGTCCAAGTAGTTGCGCGATAATACATGTTTACCCTTTCTAAAGGCATGGACATCGATCAAGTTCTTCCCGCGATTGAAGAGTCAGAGGAACCGCCTCCAGCTCCCCAAGTATACATCCATGGCACACACGTACTGAATAAAGACGAGATACTGGAGCCTGATGATTCTGTCTATATCATGCGCCATACGATGAACGTCAATTGGCCCTGTCTTTCCTTCGATGTTTTGCGAGATAATCTTGGCGATGAACGTCAGCGATATCCTGCCACCGCTTACCTAGTGGCTGGAACGCAAGCCGACACTGCAAAAAATAATGAGGTCGTTGTCTACAAATTAAGCTCATTACATCGAACCCAGAAGGATGGCGGTGAGTGAGTTCACGAATCATTCTCTTCGTAACGAATTCATGAATTGCCTTACTCAGATGATTCCGACTCTGATAATGACGACGACGACAACGATGACCTGGACGAAAATCCTATCATTGAACACCGATCGATTCCTCACCAAGGCGGCGTGAATAGAATCCGTGCCCAGCCTTTACCAGCAGCAGCCCCGCTTCCACTACCCTCGCAGCCTTACCATGTTGCGACATGGGCTGAGACAGGAAAAGTGCATATCTGGGACATTCAGCCGCTCGTCGAGTCGCTTGATGTACCGGGAACTTCATTTGATAAATCTCGTGTTCACGCACCTGTATTCACCATTAACTCTCATGGTCGAACGGAGGGTTTTGCCATGGATTGGGCTTCGTCAGGACCGTCATCATTGCGCTTATTGACTGGTGACATTCATTCGAGAATATTCCTCGCCACGTCTACGCCGTCGGGGTTCAATCCTCTCTCACAACCATTTACGTCTCATACGTCAAGTGTCGAAGATATCCAGTGGAGCCCTTCAGAGCCCACCGTCTTTGCTTCATGTTCTGCAGATCGGAGCGTGCAGATTTGGGATGTGCGTTCCAAGGGCCGTAAAAGCGTCGCTGGCATTGCCTCAGCTCACGAAAGTGACGTTAATGTCATCAGTTGGAATCGACTTACTACATATCTGCTGCTCAGTGGTGGCGACGAAGGAGGCATCAAAGTCTGGGACTTGCGAAACGTGAAGAAAACAGGGTATTTTGTCCTTGATTTAGATTTTGAAGATGAATATTGACTTAACCTTCACAGTTCCGTTGATCCAGATCCTTCACCTGTTGCATCGTTTGCTTGGCACAAGGCCCCAATCACCTCCATCGAATGGCACCCGACGGAAGACTCGATTTTCGCTGCATCAGGTGCGGACGATCAGGTTACGCTTTGGGATTTGGCCGTTGAACAGGACGCGGACGAGGCTGGTATGGATGATACCCCAGATGGCGGACAGGACGTTCCACCGCAGCTACTGTTTATACACCAGGGGCAAAAGGATGTGAAGGAAGTCCATTGGCATCCTCAAATTCCAGGGACAGTGATCAGTACAGCTCTAGATGGCTTCAACATTTTCAAAACAATCTCTGTTTAAAAAGTCAATTTCATAGACAGTCCGACTCGAAGCTAGTACAGTCCTGCGGTATTGTTTGCTTTTGGTGCACGGATCTTTTGAGCCAGAGACTAAGTATGATTGCAAGAACATAGACGAACAGTGGAACATCCACCTTGGAAATATTCTTGTGGAGAACGTCAGTCAATGTCGCGTACATGTTGCGAATATCCCGCAAATGTTGGTTCGCAAGATACTGCTGTTTGTCATCATGTTCCTTCAGAGCAAGCTGCGAATATGCATGCTTTGCACCAAACTTTGAGTACTAAATCAAAAAGCTTACCGAGTAGTCTTCGACGTTGGGATATTTTATCAGCTTAGAACATATTTTGGCACGAGCAAGATAATCCTGACGAGCTGTGTCCCTCAGGTTAAATGCTGATTCTTGAGCTCGCTGTAACTCTCCAAGGACCTCTTGTTCAAAGGTAGATACATTTGCTCAAGGGAAACGGACAAAGGACCCACCTTCTTGCACCTGAACACCTGTCAAGCTGGTAAGAAATATAAGTAATCAAACAAACAAAAAAACCGTACCAAAATTGTCGCCACTGGGAGTGGGGTATCAGGAAGACAAACATCATATAATAATGCAAACGCACTCTTCTATTCTGACCAGAACATCAGTATAGGGTGATGAGATGTTGCGATAGACTTACTTTGGAATTGCCAAAGTTACCCATAGCTTCACCTGATCCTGGAACGACGACACGTAAACCTTGCCGAAGGAGCCACGTATCAGAAAACGCACAGTCAGAGTGACCAAGTCTTCACACTGCCTCTTGATGATTTCATGCACATTCTGAATATGCGAATTTGAATGAACCAACTGAGGGAATCTTGCGCCTGTCGAGTCGTTCGAGACTCTGGCATGCTCATCACCCCCACCACCTTCACTTGATCGTTTCCTTTTCTTGAAACTTGCTTCATATGTGACGTCGTTGGAGATTGGTACCGGAGGGGGATAGATGGTCGTATCAGTGGACGGGATATCAAAAAACGTTGTTTGAATCATTTGATGTATTTCTCTGACACACTCAATGAGTTTCAAAATACGCACTTAGCATGAACCAAGTACAATATCTGTCGAAGAGTAGGTGAGTGACGCTCAACGGTTTCTTTGAGAATTTTAGCACCTTTGATGGAAAAGCCCGGAATACCGCGTCTTCACCTAATTTCGCAACGGTGTCGTGAAATTCCTGGGTGAAGAGTGAATAATAATAATTGGCGATACATACAAGCTCTACCTTCAATTTGGTGGTCATTTTGTTGTCCATAGCCAATGACGACATGACTGTGATCTAGTGGTTGTATTTAGGGCTAATTGGCAAGAGCGTCCTACTATAGGCTGTTCAACACCCAGCAAGCGCACATGGCCAACCAGGACGAACACGATGCAATTTCTGCTCTAACAGGATTTTCACTTAGCCACGTCTTGGATGGACTATCACTCCCAACAGGTAGTGGCTTGTCAAATCAACTTGGAATATCCGGATTACCTGCTCTTAATCCTAGTCAGATTTATAGCGACAAGTGGGATGAAGACGATGCAGTTGGACCTGAACAGGGTGAGGATTGGGAGGCAGAGATAGATCGGGAAATGCAGGAGGAAGAAGAGGAATCAGCAGTCAAGAATGAGGTTCATTCTCCTGTCGTTCGCAAGAAGGGGAAACGCGTTCGTGTTGTCAAGCGTCTCGTCGAAAGACCAAAGAGTGTTTACGAGCGCTTCCCTGCGTTCGAGAAAAACAGGATTCTGAACTTTAGTGAATTGTTCAAAGGTTACACCGTGCGGAAGTCGCGTCTCGCGAAGCGACCATATCAAGGTATTGTTGAATTCTACCTTTTGTTACCCACTGCTTCTTATCATGCCCCACAGTCGAAACGGTATACCCTCGGAAGAGGGAGGTTCCTCGGGCGTTCTTGGATTCTGTTGTCGGGGATACGAGAAGGCAGGTTGAGAGCAAACGAGTAGAGGAGGTAGTGTCAGCGGGGAGCGTAGAAGTTGACCTGTGGAGAGCGCTCGAGGTGAGTCGGAATACCTGCCGATCCATTTTCAACTCACCACATGTATAGGAGCGTGATAGGACTGGTGTTCCAGTTACTTTGCCTTTGGACGACCGCACATTTGATCTCGTTCTACTTTCCAACTGGGAAGACCAAATCATATATGACTCAAATGATATCCCTATGGTACAGACCCCTGCCAACGAAAACAACCTTACAACTCCCGTAAATAAGAGTCTGGAATCTGGCTCATGGACGCAGAGCATAATATGGAGTCCGAATGCTCCATTTCGCGATTTCACTCAACTGGAGTTCAATCATGAGGATGACATTGTTCCCGAAGATAGAACTGGTAAGTATCTTTTCATCTATTCTCGTCTTTCGACTGAAGCCTTGTTTTGTCAGTCGAGACAGTCCGACCAAAGAAACGACTGCGAGCAGACGCTGGACCTAGTCGGGACAAATTCAATCTTTCCAACGACCAATTCTACGAAGTAGCAAAAGAAGGAGGTCGCCACCGTGTCAGGCAAACCTTTGGTCAACTCGTTGTGGAACACGCATATCCGGCTCAGAAGCTACAATTGCCCTTTGTAAGCTGGTTGGCGTCTCATTTAAAATAGCTAGCTAACTCCTTCTAGTACAAAACCCGTTTGTCCAAACAAGAAGCTCGCTCTTTTCATCGGCCAGCTCTACAGTTTCCGTCGAACATTGAGCTGCGGTTCAGCAAAGTGCGGACGGCCAAAAAAAAGAAAGACAAAGCAGGCCGAAAGTTGGGCAAAGGTGGTAACGTTGGCGAAGGCCTTCGGAAAACGAGTGATCTGAGCCTTCGTGACACAAGTAACTTTGTGCTTTGGGAATACTCTGTGCGTTGCCCCTCATCTTATATTATCGCACATTCTGATCTCAAGTTTAGGAGGAACACCCGCCTATTATCCCTAATTTTGGAATGGGCAGTTCACTTGTCAATTACTATCGAAAGAAAGATGAAAAGGATGAACATGTTCCCAAGGTTAGTCGGAGATTATGTGCTGCCAGAAGGATCTGAGCTAGTAACAGGCTGACCTTGGTGTTCCCTTTGTTCTTGAACCTCAAGACGAATCTCCTTTCATGAAATTTGGCTACGTGTATCCTGGTCAGACAATCCCTGCTCTCTATAACAACCTCGTCCGTGCCCCCCTTTTCCGGCACAAGCCTTACCCCACAGATTTTCTTGTCGTAAGGTACGAAAGCGAGTATTAACATGGTCATATCTAAATAACTTTCTGAATCTAGGAGTACAATCAAAGGAGAGACCAGGTACTATATCCGGGAAATAAAGAATCTGTATGTCATTGGACAAACATACCCCGTCACGGAGGTGCCAGGACCTCACTCTCGGAAGATCACCAACACTATCAAGTATCGACTGCAAATTATTGCCTTCAAATTGCTCAGGAAGAGTCAAGGAGAGCGGCTGAAGATATCGAGACTGATGAAATATTTTCCAGACCAGAATGAGCTACAAATGCGCCAGAGACTCAAGGTATCTCATAATGTTTCGATTTTTGTCTATTTCAATGACACGGCCACAGGAATTTATGGAATATCACCGACGTGGTCCCCACCAAGGTTTTTGGCGTCTCAAGGCCTCCTGCCCTATTCCATCGGATGCAGAAATGCTCAAGATGGTCGGACCAGAACAGGTGGTGCTCACGGAAAGCATGCAGGTTGGTCAACGTCATCTCCAAGATGCAGGTTACAGTCAAGCGGCGGATGTCGCGGAAGGTGATGAATCTAACCTTTCTATTGAGCAACAACTGGCGCCTTGGATAACTACCAAAAACTTTCTCTTTGCAACGCAAGCTAAAGCTATGCTTCGGCTGCATGGAGAAGGTGATCCTACTGGCCGCGGTGAAGCATTCAGCTTTATTCGCATATCTATGAAGGATATTTTCGTCAAAGCTGGAGAGGATTACGAGCAGAAAATGGGTAATTGTTAAACCAAATTTTCATGTTCTTCATGTCATATTTATCTTCTCCATCACAGCCGAAGCAGAAAATAGGCCCAAATCTGCCCACCGATACAACGTTGCTGAACAACAACTCATCTATAAGTCTGAAATTGAACGGATCTGGAAGGCACAATTTGATTCCCTTAGCCGGAAAGATGAGCCCAAGTTGTTGCCCGAAGACGAAAACAAAGACGTTGTCAAGAAACCTCTACAACGACAGGGGACTCAGCCATATATTTCCGCGATATTACCGATGCCAGCTGCAGGCCCTTCTGCGCGCTCTTCCCCTGCTTTCAGTCGGGGTTCATCTCTAGAACGGGAAGGCAGCATTGGGCCTGAGGGAAGTAGAAAGGTTTTGAGGATAAAACGACTGGTATGTGCACGCGCTCTGACTTTTTTATACATTTATCCGAGGCTTACCCATCTGGAGGTTGATGGTATTTGGCGCACGGAAATCATTCGCGACCCCGCCGTCATACGCGCCTACGTGCGCGGACGGCAACTTCTCGAGGAAGAAGCCACCCTTGCCGATAGCTTGGCGCCGACAGGCGATGCCGATAAGGACAAACGTGCCAAGAAGCGGTTGGTTCATTTTCATTGGGGACATCAATTGTTATTGATATCGGGTCAGACTCGAAGAAGAAATTGCTCGAATGAAAAAGAACCAAGAGAGACGCTTGCATAGAAAGAACGCTAAAATCGTCAAGGAGGGTGGTACGCCCATGCAGCTCAACCGGCCTGTGAAGCCAGATACAACGGTACATGTTTTTTCTTGTAGTCATCATGAAACAAGGCTTAACAAGGCTTTAATGATAGAGACGATGCGGTCATTGCGGTCAGATGGGTCACATGAGTACGTCGTCTTCGCATATCACTCCTCTTTCTTCATCTCACACGGAAACTTGCAGAAACAAATCGAAAATGCCCACGTTGGGCAGAGTTCAACAGTGGTACTGCTCCGACCGCGCCAACCCCATCTGGCTCTGCAACAAGCCCACCACCTGCCTCTGCCACCTTGCCGTCGAATCTTGGCTTCAACCGGGGTCCCTCCAACACGCCGTTCGGATTCCCGGCAGCTGTCCCTTCGCCCTTGGCAACAAGCCCTCCAATGTCTGCTATGGTCATTGATAATGACATAATTCCTCCGACACCGTCTGGGTCGGGACCTAAAATTAAACTAACTTTGAAGCGTAATTGACGTAATTGAGAGCAGCGACGTGTCCGGACTATAGCACTTTGAACTTTATGCATTGTACAGAAAATAAACATACATGTCACACTAATAATTGTTGTTGAGATAAGAGGTTGTCATTAGAGAGGTATTAAGACTATGTTACGCAGCAGCCATCTCAATATCTCTGGGGCCTTCGAGCATGCGATTTTCAGCTTGAGATGCAGGATGTTGTTTCTTGTAGTCATTATTGATGGTGACGAGTAGATTCAGGATAAGTTCCGCGTGTCGCTTGCGCTCTTCGTCTGAGATACGATTCTGGAGCTCGATCTTGCCCAGCTCCTTGGGTAGTTCTTCCGAGTCTGGCGACCTGCCAGGGCCCATAATGGGGGAGGCAATCGAGCGAAGACTTGGGAGAACATTCGTCTGTAGGCGAGGGGAGGAGTGGGTCGAGCTGGGAGTTGATTCCCGTGACGACGACGGTGAGGGCGAACGATACATGCGATGCAAAGGAGGAAGCTTGTATTGGATGTCCCCTGATGTCAAGAGAGGATAGAGTGGGCTAGGCTTTGATATCGAAGAAGAGGAGAGTTTCGCGGGAAGGCCTCGGTGAGCAGGGAACGATACTTTGGGCTCTACGGGCTCTGGTCTGCTAGCTGCCGTCTGAACGGCACCAGGGTCGCTCTTCAAAGGTATGATAGGGCGCATGGCCTTGGACATGTATTCGGGCGGAGCGAGGTGAGCAACTGGAGGAGCCCCCCTAGAAGTGCGCAGGTAGTCAAAGGTATCCGACATTTGGAGAGGGGCTTGTGGAGGGGTAGTTGTAACGGGGGTAGATACATTGGATTGCGGAGAGCCGTTGTCGAGAGGTGGGGTGGGATGGTGGTAATGCTGATTGGCGAAAGAGTTTGGCGACGATGCGTACTTGGCCGAGGCGCGGCGACCATGCTGAGGACCGTAATCGCTGGTTGGAGAGTAGTTGATAGAGGAATCGTTCATAGACGAGTACATGTTGGTGTAGTGTCCACCTTGAACCGATGGGTGGCTGGATCTGGAACTATGATAAGTGCTTGGGGCGTATTGTTGAGAAGAGCTGTTCGAGTAGTGATCATAGTTCGTAGGCACCGGTAGGCCAGGCATCCCGGCAAGACCAAGTTGACTCAAATTGGTAGCGTCGAAATAAGCGTCTGTGGGGAGATTTGGACTGGGCACCGGCTGATGCCGAGTCCCACCAGAAACATCGCGGCCGAGGGTGACGAGGAACTCGTTTACGGCTGCGAGCTCCTCTGGGGTGCGGATGTCCAAGGAGACAGAGCGCGGGTTGAAAGAGGTGTTGTAGTTTCCACCCGAGTTGCCATGCTGGTGGTAGACGAGATTATTCAGACGTTCTGCCATTCCTGCAAGGGACGGTTAGAATTTCACGACAAGCAGGGGTGGAGAGAAACTCACGCGGATCATAAGCAGGATTGACACGTCTCTTTTTCATGTCCGTGAAAAAGTCATCGACGCTATAGTCGTGCGAACGCTTGGAGCCAATCGGTATTGATACATCTTCGGGTCTCAAAACTTCCCAGGAGGGAAGAGATTGGTTATCCATGAACATATCGTGTGGCGGATGACCATGAGCGTGGGCAGAGGAGTGGCCTAATTCTGGAGAAGGTGTCGGTAAGAGACCAAAAGGAGATCCTGTTAGTAAAAGTTCAGCGCCAAGGCGATGGCCGGAGGGAGACGCAGAGACTAACCATCAGACTCGGACGAAGAGTGGGACTTTGAGCGAGAGGCAGGCACTCTGTGTAGTTGGGTGCTGGAGGCGGGTTTGGATGACGATTTTACATCGGATGCGCGAGTGGCAGATTCGCCGCGAACGCGAGAAACGTAGGCGGGATCAACGACGGTGATGGCCTTGGAATGCTTGTGCTGCTGATGATGCTCCTCTGTGTGAATTTTCTCATGTTTCTTTAGATCCTGGGGACGCTTGAAAGACTTTTTGCAAATCTTATCGAGATTATGTGAGATTCAGGGTAACGGAGGGAAGGTAAAATCGACTAACTTCGCAGACGTGGGGCTTGAGCGGTGTATGGACTATCACAAAGGGTCAATATAGATGGGATGATAATAGAAAATAAAGCGAACGAACCCCTCAGATGACTAGTGATATGGTCGCGCTTTGCGCAGGATGTTCCGCAGTCTTTCCACTTGCAGGTAAGACAGAGGTTGTTTGTGCTCTTTCTTCCGATGTGATCGTTGCAGAGATGGTTATAGAGTGTTTCTGGGTCGACAAAGGACTGAGTACAGTCCTGCCAAAGACATCTATGAGACTCGGTGGGAGGCGGGGCTGAAGGGGTAGAATTGTTGGGGCTGTCTGGTGTTGCGGATGGGGAAGCTGAAGGCGAAGGGGGAAGAGCGGTGGGCATTGTGGGCAAGAAATATGCGCAATCCGTAGTGATCATGTTTTAAACTGTTTTAAATCTCTAAAAAGTGCCAAGTATACCCAAGCTTGGCCCGAAGCTTGGCAAGAACAAACAGCCAAGCCGAAATGCCAAGCAATTTACAAGCAAAGCCAAGCACAATAATGCCAAGCACAGTAAATGCCAAGACTATAGGCCAAGCCATCACATGACTCACTCCGCGCCATTCACTCTTACAACCTTGACCCACTCCCGATAGTTAAAGTTCCCTTGTCTATCCGTAAACGGTCCTTTGAGAAATCTGTCCATCTGATCACAGTCAATACACCAAAATGTCACACTACCCACACAATTCTTACCTCGTGCACCTCCATTCTATCTCCAACCTCACTCAACCACTTCTTCATCTCTTCTACTTTCACAACTCCCGTGTCACCCTCGTCAAATGACTCGAACGCTTCTACAAGCTCCGCCTCCGTGTCAAACTCAAACAATCGCTCACTCATCATCGTCAGGAACATCGTAAAGTTGATCCCTCGTCCGTCCTCGGAAGAGGTTGACTTGTTATGGCTTCCAGGTCGTGCACTTAGAAGATCATCCATCATCCTCTTTGAAGGCGAGATCCCTGACATGCGCATGAAATCTCCACTATTCTCGAAACATACCCAGGCTCACCTAGACTCGTAAAGATCTCCTTCAAATCACTCTCATTCACCCATCCGTCTTTGTCGTGGTCGATCAACTGAAATGCTTCCTTGAACTGCTGTACCTGCGGCGCTTGGAACAGCGAGAATACTCCAGATGGCTCGCGTCGTGCACGCGACTTTTGACCTTGCGTCGCCGTTGGTGAGAGGTAGTCTGGGTACTTTGACATTGCGACAGTGAACGATCCAAGTTGCCTTGTTTAAACCAACTTTGTGGCTGTGCCATTCACGCCCCCTAGTAATTCTATTTTAAAACTGGTACATAGTATTTTTACGCCTTTCTCGAGTACTGTCTCCACATCAGATAAAGTACGAATCCTCGAGGTAACCACTTGAAGATGTAAAATAACCATGCATGTCCACCTATCGACAAATATCTCGGCGGTGACTTTTGAAGCGCTTTCGAGACTACTTGTTTTGAAAGGACATCACTTGGCATGGATTGTGGGCCTTGGCTCGCATGAATTCGCTGCATGATGTTGGGGAGGTAGTCCGAGTATAGGGTATCAGGTGACAGCGTAAACCGAGAAGCTCCGTTTGATGAGATGTTTGACCTCACAGCGCCTGGAGCAACGTGAAGCACCGATATATTGAACGGCTTGCACTCCATGAACAGCACTTCGCTGATGCTTTGTACAGCCGCCTTGGAAGCGCAATAAATACCGTTCCAAGGTGTAGAGCTGCGGCAGTAGTTGGAAACCAGGAGGTATCGGATAAATGACGGGCTTACATCTCTCCGACTACAGACCCAATGTTGACGATCAGTCCGCTGCGTCGTTTAGCCATGATGGGGACAACTGCTTTGCAGACCCGTAGAATGGCGTAGGTGTTAGTGTCAAATACCTCTTTGACGTATTCTATGGGTTGTTCCACGATGGGACCTGTTCAAACGTGAGCTAAGTGCGGAGGCCAAGATAGAGAGGCCAAGAACCTGCACTAATCAACCCTGCGTTGTTCACAACAATGTCAATCTTCCCCTCCACCTCTATGATGTGGTTGAGCACGCTCTGGACACTCTCGTCGCTCGTAACGTCAAGGGCGAGCTTTTGAACCGAGGAGTCATCGAAATCGGCAATAGTTTCCACTCTGCGAGAGGTTGCGTAGACTTTGCATCCTTGGCGTGCAAATTCTTCGCACCTAGTTATGTTAGCGGTCAACGTTCGCCAGAGATTAACCGTTTAGGAGACTCACAGAGCGTAGCCTATCCCACCTGTGGTACAACCTGTCACCAGAACAACTCGAGTCATTGGACTATGAAGCGTGGAAACGTATCAATCAACGTAACAATAGACGTGTTGATGATGGTACTTACACAGTCTTACACTCGTCTTGTTACCCGACATATGTAGTGCAGGCCGCTGCATGGAAAGGAATAACCGACGCTTAACCGTTTCTTGGCGTTCCTGGGCAAAATGATGACGGGTACCTGGCCGTTTAGTGATCGGTGCCCTTACCACTCCAGTCCGCAGTTTGCTTGAACACTTACAACTGCAATTTGTCTACGTGAATTATTCACCACCTTTCCACTCATTCACCCATCTCTCGCTTCTAGATGAAGCTGCCTCACCTCTTCCTGGTTTTCTTGGCGGCATATTTCGCTCGAGCACACCCTTCAGCTCCCGACGCCAGCGCTCTCCTTTCGCCTAGGGCAACTACATGCAACGGCCATGCTGAATTCTGCGATCGAACGTTTGGCAACGTTACCTTTGTCGGCGCGCACGACTCTTACGCGATAGGGGTCAACAACCGTAGGCTTCTAAATTGTCTCACCCGTCCTTCTTCTCAACGTTCTCCATCAGTGGCCGTTAACCAGGATCAAAGCAGTATGTTCAATTTCCCCGTCACCTTTACACAGCTCTGAGGACGCAACGCAGTAACCCAACAATTGAATGATGGGATTCGCATGCTTCAAATGCAAGCTCACAACCAGAGTAATGTCATACGCCTTTGCCACACTTCTTGCGTTTGTTCCTTTTATGGTGATCTCGCGTTGATCTGAACCATTTATTTCTGTAGAGTTTACTCGATGGCGGCACATTAGAGGATTACCTGAAAACAGGCGAGTTTGACTGTCCACACCATTTTCCTTCGCTAACCAGGTTTCGTCATGTCAGTCAAAACATGGCTTGTCGCCAATCCCAACGAAGGTAACTCTTGTTCCATGGTGTCCGCTGAACCCTCTCACACTCGCCCAATAGTCTTATCGCTCCTCATTGTGAACATTGACGACATGCCTGCGTCGAGTTATGCGCCGGTTTTCGTGGCGGCTGGTCTTGACACTCTTTCTTACGCCCCATCGACATCCCCCATCGCCGTATCTGGTTGGCCAACTCTTGGGTCCATGATTGATTCTGGTAAACGTCTGGTGACTTTCCTCGACAACGGCGCCGACCTGACGTCTGTCCCATACCTCATCGACGGTGCGTAACTGCAAACACTCCATCAAGTTGACTGTTTGACCACGATGTTTTCTAGAATTTACAAATATCTGGGAGACGGCTTACGACGTCACTGATCCTGCTTTTGACTGCAACGTGAACAGGACTCATGCGACGGACACAAGCACGCAGATGTATCTCATCAACCACTTTTTGGATAGACTCCTCCTTGGCCAGCCAGTGCCTTATGTGGACAAAGCGAACGTAACCAATGCAGCGACGGGAGCTGGCTCGCTCGGCGCCCAGGTTACTACGTGTGTTGCAGCCTATGGGCGCCCGCCAAATTTCATGCTCGTGGATGTAAGCGACAGTTTACATGATTTCATTACGCGTATATTGACGCGATTCGCAGTTCTATGAATACGGAGGTGGCTCTGTTTTCCAAGTCGCAGCGTCGATAAACGGCGTCACGTACAGCCCGACCACGCCTGTAGCCACACCTGTTACTAGTACCAGTACTGCGACCACCTTGGGATCTGTGTCTACATCCACATCCACGTCTAACACCAAATCATCGTCTGCGAAGCAAACGTCAAACCCACTTTCGCTGCTGGCTGGCGGAGTGATTGGACTTTTAGTTAGTCTATCGTGAACATTTAGAATTCGTATAATACCATGGACAATATGATACCTACTTTGAAAACATGTCACCGTTTACGCTCCAGCTTCCACTTGTAAACCCTGGGTTTATAGGTCGTCTCATCCACCTTTTGACTCGACTTCCGCCGTCTGCCCTTGCGTGCATCGATTTCATCTTGATCCTCCTCCTCATCTTCGTCGTTTTCTCCCTCAACTTTCTCCACTCCCCGTATCTTCTTGCGCCCACCCTTTCCCATCATAAGACGCTGCATTTCAAATTCTCGCTGAGCGTAACGCAATGACTGGTCTCGCCCTAGCCGTGCCGATAATTCTGTCAAGAGTCGCTTTTTGCTCTCCCTTGCTAGCGCTTGCGTTTCCCGAGCATCCTCATCGTCTTGGGGGGAAGACTCGACGACCTCTTTTATCGATTTTTTCTTTGAGGCAGTCGACGCCCAGCCAAGGTCCTGTTGAACCTCTTTGGGATGGGATGGCTCTTCAATGGTACGTTTTCTTTTGCTACCAAGCTTCTTCGCTATGCAAAATTTCGTCAATGCAACTTTCTGGCGTAGTGATAGAAATACCTTCTTCCGAACTTTCCGCGAATATAATATGTCCTGGCCTCCGCTTCCTTCCTCCTGGCCTCTGGGAAAGCATACCAGCGTCCAAAAGTGTCTGGTACTCTTCGTCATCGAGCTCTTCCTCAACCTCATCGTCACTGGCTGCTCCCGTTGGCTTCAAGAGATCCGCCATCTCCGTTAATTGTGATTTGATTTTATCAATTTTCTGAGAAATGTTAGATAAAATATGAACACCCTGGATGACGCGTACCTTGAGCCCAGCTGATCTCATTGTCCGAACATAATTTTCATCTTGGGTCTTTAATACTTTGACTATATCGGAAGGAAGGGCGACATTGCCTCTGTCTTTGACGTGAACACCACCCTAGAGAATTGAGTCAACGAATGTTTAAATTGCAGCATCCTCTATCACCTTTGTCTTCTCCCTTTTCATCGAGAAATAAAATTCATCTTTATTCCTTTCTGCGGCCTTTTGTTTGAAACGCGTGAGGCGATCCTGCTTGGAGTGATAATCGCGAGCACGCTTGACATAGTCGGCATGTTTTTCAAGGACGCCGAACTTTGCCCTGTGTGCAAGCTGAGAGCGCTCCTTGTGGTTGCGCCTGTGTATTGAATTTCTTAGGGAGGAGGTCATGGTGAGCACGAGGATAGGAAAGTGTGACGTGACAAGTCACAGAATCGCCGCAAAAAGAAATTGTGTGTCCGAAAAGCGACTCAATTGCCCTTGCATTTGCACAATTTCCGCCTTGTCGGTATGAGCTTTCAGCATTTTCGCCTGGGAGAACTTCCCCTGCACCAGCAACAACAAAGTATTTCGTCCCCGCTCAATTCCCAATCCATACTCACCTATCCAACATTTTAGCCACTCCTTCTTCCACTTTTCCCAGCAATCCTCACAAATCAGTCTCTTCTTCCTCATCAAAGCAACCTTATGGGTCAGGAGACTCGGACGACGGCTACACCCTCGTCTTTCCCAATCTCGATGAGTTTCAGGCTTGGCGTGCTAATGAGGAGGAGCGGCAAATGGTCGAGTTCGTCAAGGTTTGAATCTTCCTCTCGCTCAGTTTTGTGAAACCCATCATCGCTAGTAGGGCGATACTCATGGAAGCAAGGCCGTCCCACCGCGTTTCAAGGACCACACTAAGCTAGTCTGTGCGAGACATTCACGAAGTGGCAGAAAGAAGTATGTCAAGAAACATCCAGAGAGAGTTCGAAAGGTTCCCAGTCGCAAGGTACTTGATCAGCAATATCTATCGAAATGATCCTCAATGTGCGCAGCTCGAAGGTCAAGGTTGTCCAGCATCTATAAGCTACAAGACTTACTTCGACACGGAGGAAGTGCGCGCTTGTTGTAAGTATCCAGCGCACTCGCACTCCAGAAACCCAATGACCGTTTCACTCAGATATATCCCAGCATTCACATGAGATTGGTGTCGCAAATTTGCCTTACACGCGACGCGGCCGCAAGGCTGCTGTCCAATCAGAGAAAGAACGTGGCCGCAAAAGCATGAGCGCTCCAGAGGGCGGCAGTGTAATATCGCCTCTACGAGTGCCAGCGCATCTGTCGCACCTTCAAACACCCAACCTAATAATACATTCGTGTCTGCGGTATCCATGCTAGCTCCTCTCCCCGTCCAGCCCTCATATCCAACTTCGCACCCCCAGCCATACGGCTACCAAGTTCAGCATCAGCAACAACAACCGCAACAACACCAATACGCCCCCCTCGCAGGACACCAAAGCATATCACATGAGCGATGGGAAAATATGGCGACACTCTTCCACACAATACGCGATCATGCTAGAGCGTTTGAATATCCTACTGCCAGCGTTGCGGCACTAGAAACGGTGCTCATAAGGCTATACTTAGAGAGCCCGATGGGAGTGGGAGTTGGAATGGGGGTACAGCCGAACCTAGGGGTTATTTTACAGCATGGAATGGGACAGCAGCGGCCGGCTACACAAGCCAACAGCGATGTCAACGGTGTTCCTGTTAATGAGGAGCCATGATGTCATGAAGCGTGACACTTTGATTGCATTTTAGTCTACCCCCCTTGTATTTAATGTCTTTGCCTTTATTCATTCTTCTTGTTCCACTCTTTCCTCATGTCCGCCCTAAATTTTGCAAGGCAGGCCTTTGGCAGGGAGAAACCTCGTGTTTGTTGTCCCCCTCTTTTTACTCATTATCGCTCTGACCCTGCCTGTTAATTAGTCCTCGATCACTGATTGGGTCGAAATCTTGACATCGGCGGGCATCGAGGAGGAAGCGTACGACGGGTGAGTACTCGAACCATGCTGCCATCCCGATGTGCACCAAATAAACCCCACAGCATCCCAGAACTAGTCGATTCGATCAACCTCCAACCCACCGGGTATGTCATCAGGGTCCACGTGCAACAGCCCCCCCTTACCCTTTCTCGCACTCCAGTCCAGCAGAAGCGTCACGGGCACTCAGGAAGAAACTCAAGCATGGCAGTCCACATCAGCAGTACCGTGCTTTGGTGGTTCGTAGCCTCCTCGCACCGTCTTGAGGCTTGCTGCCTTATCTTGCACCTTCCAAATGCTAGCTTCTCAAGGCTCTTGTGGAAAATTGTGGTCACAAATTCCAGAGTACGTCGTCTACTCGAGGGTCCACTGCTAAACTAATACGTTCGAGCAGCCACGTTCGCGGATGGGCATCTCACCGATGCACTGAAGCAGATTGCAAATGATTCCCAAACTGATAGGAGAGTGAAGAAAAAGCTGATTCTCGTGCTCACCTCTTGGCGTGATCAATTCAAGTCGGATCCTTCCATGTCTCTCGTTGCGGGCTTGCTCAAGCAATGTCGCGGAACCGGTCAGCGTCTCAGCCAGGCAGAGCTGACCACGTTGGCGGGTTTGCACGGCGTTTCGGAAGATAAGAAAAAGAGCGAAAAGGAAGAATTAAAGAAGAAGGCAAAGCAAGAGAAGGAAGCGAAAGAACGAGCGCGGAGAGAACTGGAAGCACAGCGGAGCGTTAAGACGAAGCGCGTTCCCTTCAATTTTGAGAAGGTGGTTGTTGTCAATTTGGTATAGCAAGATGAATCTCTGACTTTTTAAAGGATAAACCGAAAGTTCTGGCGAGTATCGTTGACGCTTCTCAAGCATCTAGTAATCTCGTCAACTCTATCACAGTTTGTCTTCAACGTTATACACGGTGTTCAATTTTCGTTGATTGCAGCAACAGCTCGTAAACCCAGAGGTGGACAGTCTTCTGACAAACGAACGCGTCCAGGACTGTCTACAGAAAGCCAAACAGGCCGCAAAGGTTGTTGTTCGCTATATTCAGGTAGGAGGGTCTCCATCTAACCTGATAATATACTCAAGCTTCCTGTGGTAGCTCGTTGAGAACGAAGAGCTGATCGGTACACTTATCGAAACCAACGAACGGATCGTGGCAGCGTTAGAAATGTACGACAAGCTGTCAACGACAGATCCCAGTTCAGACGCAGATATCTCTCGCGCCATCACATCAGGGCTAGCTGCTGCCAATATCACAGATGAAAGGGAGGTGGCCAAGTTGCAGGGAAAGCAACGCGCTGCTGTGGCAAAAGCACAGTTGACGAAAGGAAAAGACAATCCTGTCCAGCTTTACCCTGACTTGGAGGATCTTAACTTTGGACCTCTGGGAGCTTCTTCGACAAACCTTCCTCCACCAATACGACCTTCAGCTCTTTCAGACGACGGAGAGCAGGACGATATCGAAAAGAGAGGATCATTATCAGATTTTAGCGACTATGAGTCATCGGATGAGGAAACCCACAAAGCCGTTGCTGGACCCTCCTCGAAGCGAAATTATGTAACAGTTTCTGACGACGACGATGGATTTGCAACTATCGCTCGCGAAGCAGCATCTACCACAAGTGGTGTGGCTGATGACCCCTTTGCTGACCCTTTTGCTGACGATACTGAGAGTGGAACGTATAGAAGATGACGGCTGTTCAGTCGGCATAGAATTGGATTTTACTGGTTAAATGATCTATATCAAGGCGGAGGAACCATGTATATTAGGATAGCTTGTTTTTGGATTTCAGATGAGGATGTCCGTTGGAAGTGCGCGACGAGGAATCCCATAGGCGTTGGGAATCTTGTTCACAGCCATATAAAAATCAAAAGCAGGGAGGATGTTCATATTCATCAGGCATCTTCCCACTGTATAATATTCTTCCCATCACTGGAACCAATCCAGAACGGCTTCAGCGCAGTGGGCAGACGTATCCCCGTAATTTCCCCGGCATCGTCTAGGATTGCTCCATTCTCGAGTAGGGCAACGATCAGTCGTGGAATTGCCGCGGCGGTGCCGTTCAGAGTGTGAGCAAACGGAAGTCGCGCTGGCGTTGGAGATGGCTCGCCTTGGTGCGATGACCCTTGTGGGCGATAGCGAATATGCAGACGCCGTGATTGGTAGTCTGTACAATTTGAGAGAGATGTTACTTCTCCCCAACCTCCACGACCAGGCATCCAGGCCTCCATGTCATATTTGCGATAGGCACTCGCGCCCAACTCTGGTGTGGGCATGTCGAGAATCCTGGGTAAAATTCAGAGGGAGGAAAAGATACATAGTGATATTCATACCTGAAAGGGATACCCAAACCCTGTAGTATGGACTTTTGGATGGTCATCATCTCTTCCATCATTGCCTCACTCTCCCCCTCTGCAGTCACAGTAAACAGCTCCACCTTTGTGAATTGATGGACTCGATAAAGACCACGAGTGTCAGCAGATCTGGCACCCGCTTCAGCTCGAAAGGCGTGTCCCACGCCGACAACTTTCAAAGGCAACGCAAGCGAGGAGAAAACTTTGTTGGCGAACATCCCAGCTAAAGGGATTTCAGAAGTTCCTGAGAGAACGAGTTCTGGAGATGAGGGATGGGTAGAAGATATGTGATACATGTGCGACACGGGAGGATCAGAATCATCCCGAGGCTGAAATCCACAGCGAAGAGCAATGTCTGAGCGTACCACATCAGGAGCGGTTACAGGTGTGAAGCCGTGCTTGAGTGCTATTGACATGGCGTAGTTGGTCAATGCGAGCTCCAGAAGCGCTGCTTCGTTTTTGAGAAAGTACCATGACGACCCCGTCACCGTTGAACCGCTTTCTAGGTCGAGCAAACCGAATTTCTGGCATACTGTCACGTGATCGCGTTGAGGGTTTGAAGGTATAGCATGACCGTACTCTGCCAGAGTGACGGCGGCAGACTCGGGGCCCAATGGTGCACTTGGATGTGTGTCGTTGGGGATGGAGAGGGCAAAGTGAAGACATTCCTGTTCAGCGAGATGAAGTTGGGCTTCCAGTTCCTTTACTTCGGTTTTAAGTTTTGTCGCCTCCGCACGGATATTCTCCTTCTCTGCGTCGTTAGAACTACTTCGAATGCGTTCGCCAACCATAGAACGAATGTTTCTTTTAGCATTGAGTTCGTTTGAAATCCGCTTGCACTCATTGTAGGCCCGGGCAACCGAGGCTATGGCGTTGTGTGGTATGCGGGCCTTGCGGTTCAACGCATTAAGAGATTTTGAGGTAACATTTTCCGAGATGTCGCGATAGTTGATTCTCGGCTGAGGGAGCTCGCTAGAAGCGCTGATGTGACTACGTCTGCAGTTTCTTGGCTCATTCCAAGAATAAGTGCAAGTGTATGTAATAGAATAAAATAGAAACTCACTATATGGGAATTTACAATAGACCTGCTGCAACGCCTTGCAAGTGAAGCCATGAGAAACGACGCAGGTTCTTGCCGGAAACGTTGCGGAAACGGACTCCAACTTTATCGAATTTGGACGTCACCACCAAACAATCTTCCGTCGTGACATATGTGACCAGACGCGTTCCTTCATTTTGAAATTCATGTCGTCTTCAACCGCGAAAGGGAAGGCTCCTAGTGCAGCTGAAACTCCCTATGAGCTACCTTGGTGCAGTGTTATCATTTGTAATTTGAGTGCAATGTTCATCTTTTCTTGTAGGGTCGAGAAATACAGGCCCACCGTTCTTGACGATGTCGTTGGCAACTCGGACACAATCGAACGCCTCAAAGTGATTGCTCGCGACGGTAACTGCCCACACATTATTATATCGGTGTGAACTATTCCAAACTGTCTTCATGTTGGAAACTGAGTGTCGAAGACCAGGGTTTACCTGGGATCGGCAAAACAACAAGCATTCACTGTCTAGCCCACCAGCTTCTCGGTGATGCGTATAAAGAGGGTGTATTAGAGCTAAATGCTTCGGATGACCGGTGAGCATGCTCCGAAATGTATCCCTGAGTTTTGTGCTGAAACACCTCAGTGGCATTGATGTTGTCCGGAACAAGATCAAGACCTTTGCCCAGAAGAAAGTCACCTTACCCCCTGGTCGGCATAAAATTATAATTCTTGATGAGGCCGACAGGTCAGCTCAATTTATTTGAGGTCGTTCCTTGTGCTTAAATCCAATAAGCATGACACCAGGTGCGCAGCAAGCCCTGCGCCGTACGATGGAAATCTTCTCAAACACAACACGTTTTTGCCTCGCCTGCAATATGAGCAACAAGATTATCGAGCCCATACAAAGTAGATGCGCTATTCTGCGATACGCCAAACTCAGGGACCAGGAGATTCTGAAACGACTCCTTGAAATCTGCGAAATGGAAAAGGTTTGCCGCAAATTTGCTTTTATTTCCCCATCTCATTCGATGACAGGTGGAATATAACGACGACGGCCTGACGGCACTCATATTTACGTCCGAGGGGGATATGCGACAGGCCATTAACAATCTACAATCTACATATTCTGGCTTTGGTTTCGTTTCAGGAGACAATGTATTCAAAGTGTGCGACCAACCGCATCCTATCATCGTACAAGCTACGATTCGGGCTTGTTTAAAAGGTGACATTGACGGTGCCATCGAAAAAGTGAATCAACTTTGGGAGCAAGGGTACAGTGCAGTGGATATTGTGGTGACCATCTTCAGGGTTGTGAAGATCTTTGACGAGTAAGTGGCTGCGTTAGTCTCTTTTCCTGTGCTGACGGTGATAGAATGCCGGAGTACACCAAACTGGAATACATCAAGGTTCGTGAGAATCCATCCCTATCGGTTGAGTTAGATTTGTGATATGCTTCTAGGAAATTGGGTTCACACATATGCGGATATTAGAGGGCGTTGGAACGCTAATCCAGTTGGCTGGATTAGTTGCGCGACTGTGCAAGATGGTTTGTTATCTAGCTATGGTCGCAATGAAAAACTAACAAGGAAGATTTAGAATAGCAAACCTGAGCTGTTTAAAGTGTAGTTGACATTTTAGTCTATGTATAATGTGACATGCCTCGTTTCCGATTGTTGAAATCCTAAAAAGGCAATGGCGGGTCGTCCCTTGAACAACATATTCAACTCGTTTTTCGCCTGCATGCACGCTGCCTTTCCCTTCTCTCTCTTCTTACCTTCGTCCTCTTGATGCCCCCTTGTTGACTTTCTTACTCCTTTCCCCCATGGACGACCCGCCGTACACATCTCCCGACGAGGACCCCTTCAATGTTCAGCCTTTGCTGAAGCAGCCGAGGCGTCGACGCTCAAGCATGCTTGATAGATGGATCAAAGACCAACAAGCACTTCCCTCAGACGCCCACGATGAAACCTTACGAGCAAAGAACGACTCCAAGCTCAGCCCATACCTTGCATACCCAGAACTGATGCCCTCCAGTGTTGCACCACACAACGACATCTCCACCCTTCATAGCTATGACCTCGTAGAAGATGACGATATCCCACAGACGACACAGCCAGTGTCAGAGGTACGGTCCCATTCGCCCCCACAATACGAAAGACGTATCTTGACATTTCCATTTAGCTTCCCTCCACTCCGACTGCGTCGCGTTCCCCCAAAGGCTCTAAAAGCCGTACCCCATCCTCTTTTCGACATTTTAATCTCCCTTTTCGAGCCAGTTACCCCGCCGCACCCCCATCTCCCACAGGCGCCAACAACACGCCAACTCGTCCCTTGTCTCGCTTGTCACTCTTTCCGCGGAGCCCACGCCATAGTTCAAGTACAGCTACCACTGCCACAACACCTCAGCATGTTCGGTCCTCGAGTCTCTCGACGACCAATACAAGCGTGTATGATCAATCGCCAAAGGTTTCGGCAGCGTCTCCACCTAAATGGCGTCCAAGTGTCCTTGGCCATTTTTCACAATCATCTATTGCTCAGCCCTCGATGTTGCCCTCGGATCCAAATTATACGCCCTCTCGTCCCAGTGTATCTTCCGGCGATACGTCAAACACAAATGCATCTCGAGCTCTTACAACGCCGGAGCTTTCTATACCCCCATCTCCTTCTAAACTCTCCCTCTTCAACTCCATTCGCACTCGCAACCGGTCGTCTGGAAGTTTTTTCAAGTCCCAGAACAGCGTAGCTTCTTCCAGCTCGATATGGCACCCCCGAGCAATTAGTGAAGACTTCTCTCCGAATGGATCTGATTGTATCACGGGATCAACATCCACTCTTCCTCGTCGAGCGCCATTCGCACCGAAACCTGGCTCCCTTCTCAACAACATGAGCAATGCAGACGAACTTGACGGTCATACTTCATCTCGCCCTAATAAACGTGATTCTTTGCGGGGGGTCGTGATTATGACATCTGGAGGCACTCTGTCTCGTGCCGCTTTTTCTCCATTGAGCTCTCGGACTCAAAAGAAAAAGAAGAAGCTTGTCATAAGTGGTGTTGGCGTAAACGAAGTCCGGAAATTCGAAGGAGTGAAGCGATGGTGTGAGGTATGATCAGATGACATTCTTTTCGTTCTCGGTATCTCACGCTATCTGAATCAAGAGCTTTGGCGAAATCCGTCAGATATCGCGAGCACCCAATGGTGACCTGCATGTTGACTTTCGTCGGGCCGATGTAGCGGACACGGTATGTATCTACTTTTACGTATCGTTTGCTCGATTTAGAACTCACGCGTTCTGTCAAGGTTTGCCGCGTACGCGCCAAAGTCTTCATCGCTGGTGTTGGCAGCGTACAGCTCTCGTGGTACACTGGCGACAAGCGATGATTGGCTTTTCCTTTCCTTCAATTCTGTATGTTCCAATCGGTTCATTTAGCCCCTGCCAGAGCCATTTCTCACCTTTGAACTAGCCCTGATACTCCCGAACGACCCGTCCGATGTGGAACACAATCTTTCACCTACTGCGATAATACCGAATCTATGTAACACTATCATCACAAGACTCTGTGCATACCACGTCCTCAGTGTAGCGACGCCATTCGACACACCTCCAACTCTTTTAGGCAGAATACCCTATGTCCAACCTCACGAACTTTGTAGCATGCTCCTAACGTCTTCCGTACACACCTACATACTAGATACTATCATAATCTGACGAACCCCCGCATTACGAATGAACGCGATCGCGACTGATCATGATCATGTTTACTGCTCGATCGCTCCAAAAATAGATCTATATATTTAGCCCTTTGATCGTGGTGCACCTATTTTGTACGTTGAACAGAAGAGGCACACGGTAGGGCTTCGTGCACCATGCAGGAACGGTTCTGACCGTACGAAGCAAGCACACTTCTAGCAAGAAGTGGGACGTGGACTCGCATTTGCAGTACACTACTCCCTCAAGCAATGTAGTCCAGATGCAAAACCATGGACAGGATGCCTGTCTAGAAAGTAGCATAAAACAGACAATGTCAATAAAAGTGAGAAGAAATAAACGTCAAAAGATTTTCTTTTCTAGGCGAAAGTCCCTCGGGGAAGGTGAAAGGGACGAGCAAAAGAATAAAAAAGAAGTAAAGAAATGATGAGAAAATGTCAAGTCTTTGAGCCCCATTGATTCCACTCAGCGGAGCCGCCAGAACTCCTGGTCATCTGACTGCCCGTTCCCTGGAAATTGAGGACGGGAGGTTGCACGTTTACGCGAGAATGCCGTCCAACAAATCCACGGGGGTTATTACGGCTTGTGTTGACCATAAGTTGGGAATCGCGTCGCCCCTGACGCCGATGAGTTGTAATCGATTGAGGAGGGTTAGCATTATTCCTTTCTACAGTGCCACCTCCAGGATTAGCGTGCTGTGAGTTCGAATTTTGTGTGATCTGTCCAACGGCTTGGGGTGGCAGACTTTGGCCAGGGTGATTCCAACCAGAATTTGTCGCTGCGTGTTGGGATGGAGGAGCTGGGATTGGGTGGCGTGGAGGATAGGGGTAAGTGTAGTGCGGCCAGGGGGTACCGCTGGAATTTTGTAGCCGGGGTGGGCCACCAGGATAAGCTACTCCAGCTCCAGCCATGTATTGATCCAGAGCTTCCGGTTGATACATCGCGATGAGCGTACCTTGGTCGTTTTGGATGAACCCCGTGGGCATCAGAGGCGCTTGGCCGCTGACTCTTTGGGGTGCTTGATCCGTACCCTGCGCACGCGGCGGATGCATTGGATAGGGAATATAGGACTTTGAAAGCGTAAACGAGAAGAACTCAACCAAATTCAATGATAAGCTTACCCCATACATGCCGACTGGCGGCCAACCCTGCCCTCCTGCGGGACCGTTCGCATCCGACCCGGGCGGAGTCGCAAAGCCCGGTGGAGGTGGGGGTAGATGAGAAGGATACACAGGATACCCATTATAGAACGGTATCGGGTATGGGGGCTGTTGCGCGTAAGGATGCACCCACGGAGGCATCGCGGAGTAGTAAGGACTGCTTGAAAGGGGATAGGGATAAGGCGATGGAGTGAACGGTGTATTGACGGAGGCTAACGAATTGAAACTAGGCGAGGTAGGTGCGTTCGCCGGGGATTCAAGGTCGTCATACCATTCGCGGTAATTTTCGGTCTTGTGCGATGTCGGCAAAGAGTCTGGAGATCGATCTTGTTGCGCTGCAGGCCCCGAAGGAGCATCTGCGCTCAATCGTTCATCCAATTTTTGACTATGAGGAACGACCGACAGATCAGAATCCCGTTGGTTTCCCAGACTTACAGTGTCCTTGGAGCGTTCGGGAGCGAAGGAACTCTCCAGCGTGTCGGCGTGTGAAGGGGAGATAACTTGATCCTGTCCGATATTGAAGGAGCTTTTATCGCCAAACCCATCTGGAAGAATGAATTTGCGAGGGCTGAACTGGTCTTGGTTTTGAAATCGGCCCCTTCCTCGGTTAAGTTTCCAAGGGCTTCTAGGAGGGTTGCAGTCGCGAAGCTGGACTCGCATCGCACGCCCTTCGTAAACACGGTTATGCTTCGTACCCACATGTAAATAAACGCATAGAAAAATCATAAAAAACGTTACATACCTCTTCGTATACAGCACGTGCGGGGCTTTCAGTGTTGTCGAACTTGACGAACGCAAAAGCTGCACAGGAGTTGGCTGTGGCAAAGAAAAAAGAACATTAGTAAATATCGTGTTGCTCACTCAAGGTAACGAGAATGAAGATCTTACTTGGTTTCACAAGTTTAACACTTTCAAGTCCTCCAAACCTTGAAAAGAATCTCCTGACCTTTTCCTCGTCCCAGGCGCCTGGCCCGAACATTTCTAGACCTCCTACAAAGAGGGTAGTGGGATCGAGTTCCCTATTCGGACGCGGGGTGTGAAAATATGGGTGTTCTTTGAGTTCACACAATTCACTACGCAAATCTTCTCCATTGTTCGGGGTGAGAGGGTATATCGGTCCAGGGGTTCTGGGTGTGGTTGGCGACATTTCTAAGCCAGGAGTTTCGGGGACAACAAGTTCTTGTCCGTTAACATCCGGTACGCTTTTGAGGACGTCTGAACCTAGAGCAGAGGAGTCGCTAGTGGTATGAATCAGTATGAGTTTAAAATATTTTCTTTGTGACTAACCGCAGTTCTTCTTCAATGGTTTCACTCCACGCTTTCCATTTCTGTGTACCACCCGCGGGAGGTCCGCCGAGAGGAGGGAAGTCAGTGTTCGTCCAGCCAAACCTTTCGGTTGGGGTGACGCCTCGTAGTTCTTCAGATGCATCTTGCGATGGTGGTTTGGTGTCGCGGGCTTGCAATTGGACCCCAGGTTCCCTGGTATTCCTCTGATGCAAGGCTAACCCGGTAGAAACGTGACTAGGGCTAGTTTCTACATCATTTCTACTTGTTGAGGACGATAATGTTCATGAGAGGACGTTCAACTCACGTAATGAGAAGGAACGGTGTTCCAAAACCGAATTATCTTGTGGATGAAGCGGGTAAGGTGTCGGGTTGATGTTGGGGCCAAGATTTCCGGGGCGGTTTTCGAAGCCGAATGTAGGAGGTTGATGCGCCCACGTAACCGTGAGGTGAGGGACCCGACGTAACGTCTGATCAAATCATCCTCAGTTTTGAGAGACGATAAACTGGTCAAACGCACCATCAAGGCGCTGACGCAATCGTCACGGTGTTCCCATTTTATTTCCCAACAGGACTTGTCCATGACAGCAGACCGAGGAGCGTTGTGAGGGACAGGATATGATTTCCAGGTTACATCATCCTCGTGAGCCTTATTATCTGCTTATGATGTTGAATACAGCTACATGACAAGAAAACCGTGCATACACTTACCATGGGAAACCCCTGGGTATAAACCAAAGTCTTCCAATGGGCCGAAAAATGTTGCAAGTTTTCTTATCGTCTGAAACCGCATAAATAAGACTTCAACCGAGCGTAAAAACGCGCCGGACTCACGTCTGCATTATACTCAACCGGTTGTAGGAATATACTGATATCTCGCAAAGGCGAGTCGGCTTGCGCCGCAGCTCTCGCTTCAGCGTTCACGGCGTCACCGTTATAAATGATATTAAAAAACCTTGGACTGTTCAATTATGTTACAACCTGTCAAAGAAGACAAATCACCTTGATGGGTTCGGTTTCCACATTCGCATCGCTGAAGGCAATGCCAGCTCAATGACTTGGGTGTCCTTGGTCTGGGAAGTATGATCGAGTCTATGCCCAATCGCTTGGATCGGAGCTCTATTCAAGGCAAATCGTGGGTACAGAAAAATACGTCGAATGTGGGAGACGCGCCCACCGATAAGAAACGAGCAACGTTCGGAAAGCTCTCGCGGGCTCATAACGAAGAAGTCTACCTAGAAATGGCTTTGGCTCGTTGGAGTGCAATGTCTGAATCAAAGCAGACGCCGCCTCTGCATTCTAAAAACATGTGAGTCAGGAAAGGATGCAAAAGTCATGAGGCAAACCTGGCACTGGACAAAGGCACATACGCCTCCCTTTGAGTCGCGAACTACCTTGATATTATTTATTTGGGTATGCTCCGAAAGATGGTCGGCCAGCATCCGCGTTAGCTCTGCGTGATCAATATTCGAAGGAAGACTAAAATAATTTCTGAGTCGTGCAAAAGGGAATGAGAAAAGCGTGGCTAACCTTCCAACAAAGACGCTAGCGTCATGAGGCAGCTTGTCGTCTTTTCTCTTGGAGGATGAATCAGAGACAGAGCCAAATGACACGGCCGAGGCGCTCTCCTGAACAGGAGGAGAAAGAGGAGGAGGAGAAGAAGGTAGAGTATCAAAGCGAGTCCCCCATGAACGAGTGGGCACATGTTGGGGCGGCATTCTGAAGGATAGGTAGGGGTAGGTGGAATGTGCTTGTGGTGGTGGTAAGGGAAAGAGGCATGGCCTGTATGCGATAAAGCGTAGAGACAGAATATGAGGAGCTAGGGAGATCGGCGATGGCAGAATATCAGAACTAGGATAGGGCCGATAGTAGGTGTCACATTAATTTATCAGAGTTGGCCATCGTAGCACGTTCCATGGCCCCCGACTGCCATGAAAATGAGTGATTTCGCCATGGATTTCACCATTAAAATGGATTTGTATGCGACGATCCCAGTTAGCATCATGTCATGTCAAAAGAAGTCCAACTTGAGAATTTCCACAAAGATTCAGGCCAGAGTCGGCTCCGCGGACTTGTAATTCTTTATTTTATTCCAGTTTCAATCTCAGCTCTTTACTATCAACAATGTCAGACGACGGCTATGGAGGTGGTGGAGACGATTTCGATTATGAGTCTGGTGCGGCAGGGTACGCTACATCTCCATTTACCTTTCGTCGAGTATTTACACATTTACATTCAGGTTCAACGACGCTTTCGTGTGTGGTCTGTCTAATTCTTTTCGCGTCCATCCTAATTTGCTCGCCACCTAGGACGACAACTACGATCTCCTTGCTGCAGACCTCCACGATGGTGAATTGACTCATGGAGAGGCCGCTGAGAATGGGGATGTCACTGGCGAAGATGGAGCGCAAGCAAACGGCGTTAATGGCGCAGGCGGAGACCAGGAAATGGCGAATGCAGAGGAACCTCAGGTCCCCACTGGTTTGACTGGGGAGCGGCAGCCCAATAAAGACCGAGTGACGACGCCGTATCTCACCAAGTACGAACGAGCACGGATATTGGGGACAAGAGCCTTGCAAATTAGGTTAGCTCTCATTCATCTCCCTCACCCACAGTTCTGACGTTTGGACGAAACAGTATGAATGCCCCCGTGCTAGTACCGTTAGATGGTGAAACGGATGCTCTACAAATCGCGATAAAAGAGCTCTCTCAACGAAAAATTCCCCTTATAATACGACGGTACCTTCCTGACGGTAGTTTTGAAGACTGGAGTGTGTCAGAATTGATCACCGATTAACAAGAGGTCATATGGTTTTAGACCCGTAATATTCAGACATTACTCCTCGTCGTAAGGTGCGCATTTATGTATTAAAACATTCTATTTCGAATAATACTGCTAGACGCTCTTCTGACTCAGTAGAGCAGCCCGTATCTATTGGGCGTAAGTACATTTTCACTGGAAAAGCTTCAACGAAGTATTGTCGGACTCTGAACGGAGACCTCATTTGCTCCAAGGCAACTGACTCATTTCCCACCTCTCCGCTAAAACAGTTTCAATTTGACAAGGTTTCGGTAACTAATCTCGCAACGACGAGCAACAGGGCGTGTCTTTCATTCAACTCATCTAGGCACTTTTCTAGTGTCGCACTTCACGCTCAGACGCTCCGGTACGTTCGTGATACCAAACCGGCCCATCTTTCGAACACGAAGACGGAGAGCTAGAGTCCAGTGTCTTGTAAGTACCGAATTGTTCCTGATGCATCTTTTTGTAGCTTTGGACTGCAACATTTTACAAGACCACATACCGTCCCATAGACATGGCTGAAGTACCACACTTCCGACAAGACGGTTCCATTATTTGAGCACCCAAAGTATGGCACAGCGCCTGTTTGTGATTTGATAGCATTTTGAAGCTTGGTGAGGGTGGTACTCGTTTTGTTCGAAGGGGTAATACCCGCGCTTGATTGAAAAAATTTCGGTCAGCTATTTAGACAAAGACCATATTCATGACGCACGCAGCGAGCATGTCGAAGGTTGGATATTGGTGGAAAGCCCTGACGGTAGCGTCAAAGAAGTCGATAACCTCTTGATGCTTTTTGTATGTTGGACCATAACACGCGACATCAAAAGTGGAAGTACAGGTTGCGTGTTTGGAGAACTGACAGAAAGTGCTGAGAAGCCATCCGTTGACGGAACATGCTATGCATACCTCGTGGCCCCAGAAGTCGACATTCGGTGCACCTTGGTTGATCCAATAGTTCTCCACTTGGAGGAATGATGAGTCCAAACATCTTTCGTTGGTAAATTCGCTCACTGTAAGTCAACAGGTCTTGTCTTCCAAATTGCTTGATAAAGGTATCGACTCCTGGCCCTTTGTATATCGGCACAACGATCCCGTTAGGTAAGACCTTGGGAGAAGGTGTCGGGTCGTATTGGCGCGAGAGATCACAATATTGTTCAAAGGACCTAGACAGCGATCGTCAAGTCGTCATTCCACGGTGTAAAAAGAATCAGAGGTACCCATCGCAATTGTCAGGCCATAGACCATGGATTGTCCAGCTACCCTTCGGCAGCTTTTGTCCCTTCTTCTCTAAACCCGTCCAGGTGCTCCAGAATTGGGTTTGGAGAACTAGTCCGCCAGGCGTCGGGGAGCAACATGTGTTTTTGATAGCTGTGCTGTTCTCGCAGGAAAAGAAGGAAGGCTGGTCCACACAAGCTGTCAGATTGGGCGAAGTGTTCGGGATGGAGAGTTGATTGCCAAATATTGAGCCTTGCGCTACGGACACTGAGAAAGCTATCACTGTGAGGGTGGTAATCATCACGAAAAGACCGAGGAGAGCGATGTTGCCCAGCTCGGCGTCGTATTTTAGCCATGATTAAATAGCAAAATCGACGCAATCTCTAATTGAAGCAATATGGGCCGTGCGAACATGCGCTACCACAAGGTCGTCGTGATAGAAGTTCAAACGTTCTTAAATATGCCATAACGTACGTGGGAACACGGTCTGGCCATGTGCAAACAAGTAGCGAATCAAAGTTATCAAACATCTTGCAAGTTGTAAGCGACGCAAAGCGGGACATCTTCAGCCAAGTATTTCTTTGTATGGTCCAGAGACAAACGTTCCTGATAGTCCATGCTTCTTTGCTATTGAATTAATTAGCGGATCGAAAACCGCCAAAACTTTTTAGTAGTAGGTCGTGAGGGGTAATCTTGCTCAAACATCAGCCCATCCACCCTCGTCGAGCTTGTAGGAGGCTTCGCTCTCAGGGCGGTCTGGACTATCAACGAGCTTAGCGACGCGTTCTTCCGCACGTCCTGTTCAATTGCGTCTGCTTGGATAGCAATATGGCAGTACACAACGACACTCACCTTTACGGAGGAACAGTCGTGTGGCGGATGCGTGTGAGAGGATGTGGCCCCCAATTGGTTTTAGGGCACCACCAGCAACAAAGGTCATCGTTGCGCCCGGATCGGCTGAGTGTTGCTCGTCAATCATCCATCTGCACTGAAATAAAAACCTCCTACATTGAACTTGGTTTGTCAATAGTATTGCAATCTAATTGAACGCGCGTTGGCATCCAGTGCTCACATGGAAGCGACGGAAAGACGTACATTATATTCTTCTGACAGTTTTGTGAGTTTTGAGAGCATCTGCATCGTGGCCAGCCTTTAATATTCTTAATCTCAGAGATAAAATGCAGCTACTTGAGCAAGCTGAAATTAAAGGCGTCAGATCGACCACTCGCTAGACGAGGAATGACAAACTTTCTGTTGTCTTTCGCTCAGTTCTCCTCTGCCAGAGTAATCCACTCGGAAGAGAGCCATAATGCTGTCGATGATCTATGGCGCCAGGTTAGCGACTCCGGTCATATTATACAGAGGAAGACTCTTTACGAGTAATCTAAAATCCTTGTCCTCCGAAAATCGCGCCGAGCACTCGTTAATAAGTTCCATCTATCGGAGGGCTAGGTAAGCGAGTGGAGAGAAGTGCGGGGGCAGAGCTTACCTGGTGTTCACTATTGAAAGCACGAGCTAGAAAGTATCAGAGCATCCCCAATCTCTAAATAGCCAGCGAACCATATAAAATGTTTTCTAGCGCCATATTGCCGTCCACTCCGAAACGATCCGCAATGGATCTAATACGATCAGGTCGAAACGTCCCTGTCATCGCGGCCCTCAGGAAAAGGCCATCGGTTGGGGACGGGAAGCACCTTCAGTATCTATATATGCAACCTTGACGAGTAAGTCAAAAGACATTGCCGTCACAAGTTTAGTCACTTTTCCTGCGGCGCCTCCCAACTCAGGAGGCAGCTGTGCCATAACACTCATCGTATGAGCTAGCTGCGTCTTGCCTGTTCGGAACTCCCCATACACTGTAAAGTCATCAGCGCTACGGGATACGGGTCAAAATGGAAATGCTCGGTACCCTCTGATATGGATTGTGACATGATACCACCTAAGAAACACGAATGTGAAGATAGACTATTTAAAAAGTGATATATACGCACCTCCCAAAATAGTGTCGACTAGTTTACTTCCAGTGCTGATAGATATTACTCTTTTACGTTTGTCCTGTACTTCGACGCCCGTCGCAAATGAGGAGCCCTGGCATACATTTAAGAAGAAAACAGATGGTTGTAATAGGGAAACTGGACATACGAGAATCTTCTGTGCTGCTTCCTAAATGCGCGATCGTCTGTCTCTTTGACCTTGACTAATGGGTCCAAAATCAAATACCTTGATCTTTTCGACCTTAGCTTCAGACATTCCCTGATCGAGACGTCAAGCGTTAAATATGGCGCGCATATACGCCGTTTATAATACCTTGATTTTCAGCATCTGTCTCCTTGTGGTCATACTTACGCCGAAGACTGTGTTAATGGCCGCCGACTAGTCACCGGTGAGTAGGGTAGTCGAGAATGTTGGTGGAACGCATACTTTTAGCTTCAAGATGTCCTGAACATTTATGCCCTTCAGGAAGCAGTAAGCGGCGGTAACGCTATCGGTTGGATCTCCAGGTTGTTTCCTTACATGTTGCTGCAGCTCATCCACAGTGTCAAAGCAGGGTGACTGCGTAATTCGTCGTTATCTTGCGGAAGTTACATGAAATAAACGAGCTCACCTCTTCATCATCACCTGCTGGACTTTGAGCACGAGAAGGAGCAACTGATGTGAGAGAAGGAGCGCGACGAGGAGGCATATTAGAGGGAAGGCGGAGAGATACGTAAACGAAATCGAAGGAGGGTGGTTAGGGAATTAAAAGAAAGAGAGAGAGCTTTTATAGCGTATTAAGGGCACGTGCTCATCTGTTACGGGAGGAAATGCAACAACAGTGATGTTATTGGGATATACAGTATACATAGAAGAAGAAAAAATGACGGGTACCTGAGTTAGTCGGTGTCAACTACCATTCCCCCTCTTCCTCGCCTGATACGATCTTCTAAACCACCAACACCACCAAAGACCTTCTTCTGCTCGTGGCTTAAAAACCCGCTCATGCCCTTTGATTTCGCTCTGGCTTCTTCGTCAACTTCCAATTCAGCCTTCTCTCTTTCAAGAAGTTCCTTGAGTCGTTCCTGTCGCTCCGCCACCATGCTTGATGCGTTGGAAGTCATGGCTGCCAATCGTGCAGCACGATCATGGGTACCGTTTATGGAGTCGCGTTCAACGGGTCGGGATGACCGTGGAGGCGGAGCTGGAGAGCGATGAACACGTGTACGTTTTGGGCTCGAACTGCGCTCGCCACTTGATGGTGGACTCCGACTTCGGGAACGTTTGCCATTTTCGAGACGTCGCCTAGGAGGACTCAGACTCCGGCCGTCTACTCGACTGGAGCGTGTCGGAATGGAGTGGATACGCTCACGAATTTGATCCCTGCGCAAAGGACTCCTACTCCTGCTGTATCGGCGTCGGGTCTCTGTATGATTGTGACACCGGTCGCGAACGTCAGTCGGCTGACGGGTTGGCACGGGAGAACGAGAGTAGTATGGTTCCGGACTAGCAGAACGTTTTGAACGATAGTAGCGCTCCGATGATGTCGTCGAATGTCTGGAGCGTGGGCTCAACGAGCGAGAGTATCGGTCCTTCTGATGCTTCTTTTCATTCTTCAGCCTTTTGCGCTCCTCTTTTTCTCGTTTCCTCTCCTTCTTGTCTTTCTTAGGTTTTATACCGTTGCGTTCCTGTAATTCCCGCAGTCGTAAAGGGTTTGTCATGAGAGCTTGATATGCCGCCTGTTCCTGCTGCTTGATTGCGAATAACGGATCTTCACGTATTTTGGCAGCTATGTCCCTTTGATTGTTCGCATTCTGGACTGCAATGAAATTTTTGTGCGCAGCGCCGAGCTGAGGAACTTTGTTAGAGGCGAAAGGCGGAGCGATAATGAACTCACCTTTGCGTTCTCGTCGGCTGTCAAAATCTTGTCTACTCTCTTTTTTCCAAGTAGATAGTCCTCCAAATCATTCGGATTCTGACTACTACCCGTCGCAGGCGTTGCATACATCCATTCCAACTTCTCCGTTCGTTTCTTGCCTGTTTGTTCCTCTTGCAAACGTTGAAGCTCCTGAAGTTGACGCTCTTCTTCCTTTTCTTTACGAAGTTGATCGAGTTTCTTCTTCTCCTCAAGCTGGTAACGTATATATGAGTGGATGGTGTTGGTGAAGATGGGACATGACTCACAGCTTTCTTCTCCTCGAGCCACACCCTCTCCTGATTCTTCAATAGGAGAGGGTGCCAGGACTTTTTCATATTCAAATCTCCACCACCCATGATTGCGAGAGTTGCGGATTAACTTTTTATAAAAGATGGTGGTAGAGGTGGTGGTTGAGAGCAAGGGCTGAGTGCTGCTGTGTTGTTTGTGCTTATTGTGTTGCGCCAACCAATCCTCCATGCTGCTATACGACATATCCACACATTCATGTCAATCCCTTCTGGCGATTATGATCTTCACGAGGAGCAACAACCCCTGAATCCCGATGTAGAGGGTGGAACGGGGATTGCACAGCCAGTGTAAGTACTTCCATTCGTTGGTAATTGTAACACTTCAGTGACGCAATGTGGCAGTCCCACTCGTTCCATCTATGCTCTCACTCGCGGGGAAATTACGAGGGGGCTCGCGAATCGCTTTGTCCATTCGCGAACTTACATATTTCTCTATCTCGGGATGGCAGCGTTGTCGGTAACGACTATCATTTTAAGCTTGACCGACGGGTGCCCTGGTTTGCCATTCTACATATTGGAAGTCATTATCAACACCTCAATGATCCTGGAAGTTGGAATTCGCTTTGTAGCGCTAGGTCGCGTAAGTCAACCTCTCTATCGTCGTTTTTAAAAAAATATAAAGTTGATATTTTTTTGCCAGCAATTCTGGAAGTCGCCGTTTAACGTCATGGATCTCGCCCTCACGGCCTTTTGCGCAATAACACTCCTTGTCCTAGCTTTTGCAAAATGCGGCGCGGGGAGCAAGAAAGAAGAAATATTTGACACTTTGTTGCTTATCGCTCGGAACGTTCTTCAATTCGGTCGATTGGCGGCGGTAATGAGACAGTTTGTACTCCATCGCGTTTCACAACAATCAACCTTCTCAACACCCTTTAGATCCGGACAATCTATATTTTCCAGACCAAAACCTATTGACATCAATACCGCACGTCGGGCCGGTTTCGGTTTGGATTTAGACATGGATAGCGATGACGACGAACTCAACCGGCCCTTGGTACGGAACCCTGTTTTATTCGACGCTGGACAGGAGCCTCGACCAGAGGATGGCCAACGGCGCGAGCCGTTGACTGAGATGCCTCGAGCCGCACAGGCGGTTCGTGATCGGGATGTTGAGGATGTCTGGGCCGAGCTGGGTTGAACGTTTTGTGTTACACATCTACATACCGAGTTTATATAAGATGGGATTCCTAGTTTTTTCGTTTTGTTTTCTGGCAATGATTATGTTCGCCCAACAAGTTCTGATTGAAGCACGCGTATGTAATGAAGATTGGGTAGAACTCCAAATGGAGAAGTGGAGGCAATTCCAACTCGTTACTCAGGGCGCGATGGATGGATGATGCGCTGTTGGTCACCAGAGGTCACCAGTTGGTATGCCATCCGTTCATTTTTGTCAATGCGTGCTTTAGTTGGGCCAAGGGGCGGCTACGCATAGGATTTGCTTGTAAAATTCAAAGAAATATCAGAATGTTCAATCGGAAAGAATTCGGTTAGGAATCTGTGATTCACGTATTTGCTTGTTTCCACGCAATTTCCAGCAAACCTGCATCTGCCGGATTATTTGTTACGTTGGACTGTCATCACTGGACGTCACTTACCCTCGTTTATCAGAGCATTCTAGGGTCTATACTGCACACCATGTTCCTTTAGTGTCATCGACATATCTCACCGCAATCGTTGACCGGCATCGACGTTCTCCAGCACCTTCAACTGCTGCCTTTGGATGGGACCTCTTCCTGGTCTCTCCTAGCCGTGTACATATCTCCGCCATTCATGTCTTCGGCCTTCTCATCTCGTCAAGACGCTCCTTCACGGACATGGTGGTCTTTATCCAAACCCTCGGAAAAAGACCTTCGCCAGACCTATTCATCCGACAAACCATCTAAATCGTCCTCCGGGTTCTCTTTTGCTTCAGTCATAGGCTTCAAATCGAAAAAACACCCTCCTTCTCTCGCAATCCAACACCCTCATTTACAAGGCCCACCCGCCCTTTCGCCTTCCCTCACAGTCGATACTCCTGACCCACCCACCAAGTTCTTGAATCGGCTTCCTTCCAAGTCTGTTTCATCTACTCGTTCAAGGGATGACTCCATCGCCCCCAGAACGCCAAGCGATATTCAACGGGATGGTCGCCAGTCTCTCCTAACCCTCTCCGATTTAGACCCATTCGCAGGACGCACCATGGTGTCTCTTGGGAGCGTGCACACTATATCGGATCCGAATCACCTCTCTGTTTACTCCAACACCTCCGTTTCGGAATTCGTCCAAAAACATCTCAACGCTACGCAAATGCCAAAGCAAGACAGGGTGTCGTATGCTTCATCCTCTTCGAATTCTCAATATTTATCCAATGACGCTTCACCAACATCCCTCTCTCCCTTAGTGGTAGACGGTGACTTACAAAAGAAGTTAAGCACTAAGTGCGTTTGTGGCCATCGTATCAAATTTCCCCTCATCTGACATTGCCTACAGGACTTCATGCGTCAGCTTGCATCGGAAGGCTTTATTTGTGGCTCCAGAAGGTCATGACGATCCGAAGACTGAGCTTCTCCCGTCGAATTCTCCCATGGGCAAGAAACAGCTTACCTCATCCCCACGTTCTGTGATGCGAGCAAGAGGTAATACCAGTGATGGCAGCGGACAAAGAGCTGGATTTTTCGTCGGGACGAACCCTTCTCAGCCAAGGCCTTCAGGGTCTGGGTCGGCGTCATCGCGGAGACCTTCATCTGCATCTCAGCAGCGGCCTGCTTCTGCTCCGCGACCATCATCTGCATCAAGAAGGGCGTCTACCTCTCGTCCTTCCTCCACCTCTAGGCCCTCATCTTCTCAAAAGAGATCCTCTTCCTCTCAACCTGCGCCACTCCCCACTTCACCTCGTGTGGTGATACGACAATCATCCACCTCGCACATATCCCTCCCTCCCAGTGCGCCACCGACGCACGAACTGCCTGCTACCCCAGCGGTAGTAGTCGATGAAGAGTCGCGATCAGATTTTTCTGGATTCCTACCTTGTGCTGAGTCCGCTTCGTCTTCGACCCTTTCCTTCGCTTCATCCCTATCTTCGACGAGAGAGACTTTGACCCAGCAACACCCTCGTTCAAAGTCAACAAGGGCGTCAGAACGCGACCTTTTTTTTCAAAATCCAAAGGAGGGCGATCCCGACAGTGCATCTCTACACTCCATCTCTCGGGTTACGCAAACACTGAATACTTCGACCCGCACCTTAAGGGAAGTAATTTCTCACCAGTCCCTCCGCCGGCGTGCACAACCTTCCCCTTCAACGGAGTCGCATCCTGCTTTTGACACGACTAATGAGAAGGTTCCCCGGAAACGACGATCTTTTCACCATCCCCGTTTACCCATGCCACCCATACCTTTACCACTTCGTCATGCGAGTTCGTACAATTCGTCAATGTCATCACCAACGGCTGATACAAGTCCAATGACTTCGGAACAAGGAAGAGGAAATGCGAGCAGTTCTTCTGGCGGAAGGAAACGCCTATTTTCCAGTAATCGCAGACCCTCTACTTCCCAATGCTTCCCTTCTGAGGACGATACACAATCAATTTTTAGCGTACGCTCCGATCAAGAGACTTCCACTGGCACCTCCTTCTTCAAGCCTTGGATGGCAGCTCGAGCTTCATCGCAGTCATCGTTTTGGGAGGAAGGTGCCTCTGATGTCGCTACTAGTTTTCTCCGTGCGGAGTACACCCCTCAGCACATAATGTCTCCAGCTGAAATAGCCGAAGTCGAAGCAAGCGTCGAAAATACACCTAGTTTATATACACGGCAGCGTGGCTTCTCTCTTCTTTCGGCTACATCTGACGCAGACCACAACGACACTCCCTCTGGTCTTTCGCCTCCACCCCCAATGAGACTCAAGGCGAAGCAAAGCGATCATCGAACTCGAAACAAGCCAATCACTGCAAAGTCATCGGCGCCTCCCAGACACGATTATCGCCCCTCGACCACTCACCCTGTCATTTCCCCCCTGTCAGTTTCATCTGATGAAGACGAGGAGCCTATTTATCGACCTTCATCGTCTCCTCCTCCTTCCATGACCAGTCTTCCGCCACCTCCTCGACCACGACGGAGAGGAACATTGGTATCGCAGCCAGATTTGTCTGTTAACTCTCCCTCTCTCCCTCCACCGGCGCGGAAAGGCCTGATGCGTAGTAATACGTCAGTGGAGAAGACGATACATCGCCGCTCTATCATGAGGAAGCCATCGTTTCTCGAAATTGATGATGACACGGACAAAGATACCGACGTCGAGATTACTGATGCTTCGGTCAGTGGTAGCTTCCTCGATTTGGCGAGGGAATCGTTTGATACTGTTCGTAGCGGCGACTGACCCTCATTCATATCATGTCGCTCGTTAGCGCACTCTTTTTTCCTGATAATAGTTTGTTTATTTGTTGGCAGAGGTAGCTGCTATGTTGTGTAATAGTTTGTCCCATAACCGTTCCTACTTTCTTTATCCTTCTATTTATGTTCACTTTTCTTCCCGCACATCGTTGAACTAGCATACCATTTAGAAAATCGGATCCACAGAAATTGACGGAAATTACAAGAAAGCCTGAACAAGTAACAGCCTAATTTAGTCCGTTTCGTCTGTATGGTAGCCAGCACGTCTCATCGCGCCCAGACGATGACGTGCAGCACCCAGGTCCTTTTCCAATTTCAAAATTTCAACTTGCTGCTCCATCTCTCTTCGCTTGAACTCTAGAACCGCCATGTTCTTATAGTCGACGTCCTCCTCTTGGCTTTGTCTCGCAGATACAGCCTTGACCTGCCTGACCAAAGCTTTGCAAGCTTCTGTGACCGCTTTGGCGGCTGCTTCCAGACGCTCTTGAGTCTTAGACATCAAGTTGGCCTTTACGCGAGAAGCCGCAACGAGCTGTGCAGTGGCAGCCGCAACTTCATTCGAAGCAACAATGAGCTGCTCCAGAGAATGGGTACCTAGCAGAACGCCATCTGCGCTTTCAATAAGGAGATTGGTTGCAAAGGCAACTGCTTTCGCAGCTGAAATAAGACCCTCTGTCCATCTATTGTTACGCTTGTAGAATTGCTGTATTGTGCTCGAGCCTTTGCCTTGAGATACGATTTCTTGTTGGGAATCCGTTGCTGCCTTTATGAGGCGAGAAATAGCGTTGGTGATGGCCATCGCTGCAGCGAGAATGGAGTCATGGACTTGCAGATCGACGGCACTGAAACGCGACGAGTCCTTTGGGCGTGACATGAGTTGCTGAAGTCTCTCGGTGGCCATTTCAATCGCCCGAGCAGCACTCGACATCTCTTGCTCGACAATGTCTCCAATGTCTCCGTTCGCGCGGGCAAGCGTCCCGGCCTTCGCTCCCTTGGGTATAAGCCCGTCAACCACCTCAGAGAGCTTGGCAAGTGCTGCACGCGATTGGCTATTATTTCTCATCGCAACCTCTTTGCGTTGAGTTGGTTGTAAAAGATCAAGTTTATAGGACTGAAGGTTTTCAAAGAACCGTAGGCCAAAGTCTCCAGCGGATTTCGCGACGTTGATGATCTTGTCTGAGGCATCATCGTCGCTCGCCAAACGTGTGATGCCTTTCGTATTTATCAAAACCTCAGAAAGGGATTGAGCAAATTCGTTGGCCGATTTGATGACTTCAACGTGATCACCACCGACTTCGCCTCCGAGATAAAGGTTGTATATCGTCGCAAATTCGGTGGCGTTACTGACGGCTTTCTCGATCATGGACAACGTATATTCAGGTGTTGAGTTTAAATTTCCTGCTTGGGTAGGCGATTCCAGCTCGTAGACAGCATCGTCCACTTTCTGAATGCACGCTTGCAGAATCGAGTCTTTCAAGCAGTATGAGAGAAGTATGTGGGACATCAGAGATTACTTACCGATGATTTGATTGAGTTTCTTCCGATTGTCCAATATCAGAGTATCAATTTGTGCGTTTGTTGTTTCGTCCACAATTCCCCGATTCTAGGTAAAACAATTCAGAAGGCGAATCGGATGCAAAACTGAACCCACTTGTTCTGCTTCTGAAAGTTGCTGGATTGTGCTATCCATACCTTCTTGCAAAATCAAAATCTCTTGGTCTTTCTCCTCCCGCAGGCGTTCCATATCACCCGCCGCATTGTTCAGTTTAGAAAGCAAGTCGTCGATTTGGAATTGCTTTGCCTGCCAAAAGTAATCAGACTCGAAGAACAAAGTGAGGGGCAGTCCATACTCGAAGCGAGTCCTCTAATTCTGACAGTTGCCTATTGTACTTAGACATGACTGAGGAGACCTCCGTATTTTTAGAACGGGCAGAATCCTCAGCGCGTTCGTTGGAGAATGACAGCTCTCGTTTAAGGCGATCGATTTCTTCCTTGTGAGAGGATTTCTGCCGGTCGATATCGAACCGAGCTCGATCTCGCTCACGCAACATATCAGCCAATTCTAAATTCTTTGCTTTTAGATCCCTTTCCATTCGTTCCATACGGTCGACAGCTTCTTGTGCAGAGTTCGCCTTCAGTTGCATCTGCTTGAACTTGGAGAGCATGTCAAGATGCTCGGTACGAAGTTGGCTGTAAAGTTTCGCAAGGGCTTCATATTTGTTACGCCAGAGGGTCACTTGATCTTGAAGTTGTTTGATCAATTCGTCCTTGGAAAGCATTTGGGAGTTTGCGCTCAGTTGAATACCAGCTAGCTCAGCCTCCAAGGCCTTGACGCGCTGTACCACCTAGGAATTAACTAACTTCAAAAGACAGAGCGTCGAAACACACGCACGCGGTCGTACTGCTCCAGGAATATTTGGTCGCGTTCATATTGGCCTCGCATGGCAAGTAGGTCCCGTTCAAGCTCGCTTGCCTGCTGCGCAGCTTGAGTGTTGTACATATGTTGTTGCTGCTGCTGTAGTAATTGTTCCTGCGCAAGCCTTTGCGCCTCAGCTTGTGCCAGCTGTCTCTGCTCAAATTCTTTCTGTTGCTGTTGTTCTTGCTCAAGTCGGCGCCGTTCCTCCGCTTCTCGCTGAGCTTTTAGAGCGTTTTGCTGATCTTCATACTGCTTCAACATGCGAGCTTGCTCGTCAATTTCTGCGGCACTTGGTGACGCTGCAGACGGCGGTGGTGTCCCTGCCGTCTTCGGGCGAGCAGGCAAGTCCGGTGCGTCCCCAGAATCCAACAAATTTGGCGGTTCCTGATTAAGTCAGACAGTGTAAAAGTTTCCAACCATAAACGGAACCACTGTACTCACATGTCCTAGTTTTGGGACATTGATGAGACCAGTCAGATACTTGAGATTAGAGCACTCGTAGTAGAATTTGCGAAGGTTATAATGCTGAGAGGAATATCGCTCCCGCAAAGGCTCAAGCGCATCGACGTCATTCGTCCCTGCAAAAGTTAGGAGTAGGCGGCATGCAACTAGTAATATGAAAACTCACGACGATACATGGCCCTCATCATACTTGTTATGAATCTGTAGATACCCCAACTTTCCTTGACGAGGGGAACCAAAGAGGAGATTCGGCATTCGTTGTTCGTCGAATGTCGAAAATGTGAAAAGACCATTTTTTGGAACGATTCAATTTGATCTTGTAGTCCCATCAAGTCCGAAATAGTCTCGTATCTTCATTTCAATGAGCACAGGAAGTTCGAAACATGGTTAGAGCCTACCCTTCATTCGGATCATCGATTCCCTTCAAGGTAACATATTCTTCGTATTCAAACAAGCCATTGAATTCAGGTCGAATACGATGGAATCTGAGCTTCGCCAAGATGAACTGGACATAGGTCTTGATCAAGGGTCCATATCCTTAACCCTCATTGATGGAAGTCAAACGGAAGGGTCGAATTGCTCACCTCGCTGTCCATCCGTGCCAACTGTTCGAGCACAGGTCTCAAGCCACGCTGTCTGTCCATGAGCTTCTTTCAGAGTCTAGGATTATATCAGAAGGGATTGCGAAATCTACTGATTGTTCTTACTACTGGGTGCCCCTCTTGCAACACTTTGTGAACAGTGATGAGGGCTTTGAACGTCTGCACTTCATCGGATAGAATGGGCTGAACCCGAAGGCCACTCCAGAAGGAGATGGATGAATGATAATCCCATGTAAATACGATGCACTCTATATGTGTTCAATTATACGACAAGAAACTGACGATAGTGACGCACTGCGAACATGCTTTTGCTTCGGCGCTGTTTCTTCGGGGCTCGTAGCCTTCTTGATATTTATTACAAGTTCATGTTCTGCCTTCTCCTTGTCTACAGGTCGAGTGGGGTAATGAACCTCCTCATCGACGTCGAAATTGTTCCTCCTGCTGCCCCCACCGAACCTTGATGATTAAATCAGTATATAGACCTGCAGACGGTCTGGGAAACGCACATTATACGAGGATCGTGAAGAGTGAATGTTGCGCAGCCGCGTCAAGGATATGTCACAGCTGTGCCAGGAAAGCTCATTGATTTACACCGTGTGATTCTAAGGGTTTCCGTTCTTCCCTCCTCATGATCTTGTCCGCCGCTCGACTACTACGACAAGCAGTAAAGCCTGCTTTTCCAGGCGGATCCCAGAGAAATTTCTTTCGTCTCTCTCGCAAGGTGTCCGATGTTCCCTCGATATACAAGCCGAAACAGGAACCATGGCTCAAACCCACTATGGTTTTAATCGGAATTATACCGTTTTTTACCTTTGCGCTGGGGACTTGGCAATTGAAGCGACTCAAGTGGAAAGTCAATCTCATAGATGAGTTGGAGGAGAAGCTGCAGCTGCAGCCCATTTCATTGCCCAGGAAAATAAAGTACGATAATATCAAGTTCTCGCAACATCATCTGGTTCACCCCATTCAGCCTCTCCGTGATACCAGATTTTGTTTTTCGGAAGGTTGTTCTCAGAGGCACATGGGACCACTCTCATACGATAATTCTGACTCCTCGTGTTCGAGAAGGTATTCATGGAGTTCACATCGTCACCCCTCTAGTCCGTCAGAATGGCACTACTATCCTTGTTGATCGTGGCTTTGTTTCAAAAGAGAATGCCTCATCACCGGCGCTTCAGCAGGAGTTGGGCGAAGTGGAGGTGTTGGGGATGCTTCGAACGTCACAGTCCCGCAATCTCTTCACGCCTGATAATAAACCCGAAGATGGGAAGTGGTATTGGACTGATGTCGATGCAATGGCAGACTATGTTGGAGGAGAGCAGAATGATGTTCAGCCCGTCTTCGTAGAACAAATTTTTGGTGGGCACCGAGGCAATTGATGTTTGCAGAACTAATTTCAGTTGCAGAAGGACATGCCGGAGAAGCTGAGACTAGGCTGAAGAAAGGTATCCCCATTGGCCGCCCCGCCACAGTTGATTTGAGAAATGCTCATCTATCATATGTTATTACCTGGTGAGCGGGCATTGTTAGTGCCTCCGCTTTCAATTTGTGATAGGTTCTAGGTATGCGTTGTCTGGCCTCACCGCGTTCATGTTCGCCCGCGTCCTCATGAACAAAAAACGTTCCCCTGGTCGACGACTACCTCGTTATAGGTAGTATAAAATAGGCATTGTATGTAGGGAAGGACCCACAGACAAGCCATCGATGGCCTCTGCTTTTGGGACCCCTCTTATGCTATCAAGTCTGGAATCTCTCTGGGACCGATGATGTGCTTGGGAAGATGCGTTAAACCCCTGAAGAATCTCGCCTGTTTTTGGCTTTTAGTGTTGTTGGTGCCTGAATTCAAGAAGGACCTCTTTTTTCGGTGAAAAAACTTAAGTAAGAGGGTAAGTTGCTGCTGTCCATCGACGATGAAGACATTTGATGATCCTTGATAGTCCTTCGTACCCATCATTGGAATTCAACTTTTTAACCAAGCCCTGGCCAGTCCATTGTCTCTATACCCCATTGTTGTACATGCTCGCCACAGGCCACTGTGATCCACGTGCGATTGTGGCTTGGTGGCTAGAAGGAGAGGTATAAGTTGGAGTACGTGCTAATCAAACTTGTTTCGAAGTCGCTAGCAATGCGCCATCTAATCAGTGTGCCGTCATCTCCTGTTAACGCCAAGAGTCAACACCAGGTGACCGCTAAAAGACGAAAGCGCCGCCGACAACCTGTGTCACACTCTCATGCATTTCTTGGAGAGAGTGAATTTGAACTCGCTTATCCCAAAGATATAGAATTCCTGCCTGATGGTCAATATCGTTGGGGACAAGTCGGTGTGTATACCTTAGTGCATTTTTGTTGTTTAACTCATCTTTAGTTGTTAGATCCAAGAATAAGAGATGCTGTTGAACATGCCCTGAGAATTCAGCAGAGGGCGAAAGCACGTAAATTACAACCCGGGTATATTCCTCCCAGCGATAACCTCGGGAGCGGGCTTCTCTGTAGGTCGTTTTCATCCATCATGTAAATTTATTGGAAGTCCTAACGACGTCAGACGGTGCCAACACTTCCGATGGTATACCCGATAATCTGGATCCACTCGACTTATTGGATGTGCCCACATCCCCCACCATGTCCCTTGCAACCCTGTTTGGCCGTCTGAATCCCTTTGGCAAGATGCGATCGAAGTGCTCACGGTGAAAGGGTAGCAACGTAATCAGGACTTGAGCTATTTATGTACAACATAATTATTTGAATAAATTCATACGCAGCCACCAGCACGCAAACTGTTTCTTCTGTTGCAGGCAGCGGTAGCCAGCGGGTGTCCCCTCAACATTCCAGGTTGATGGAGAGCTCCACTTTTTCCAATACCGAGGACGATGTTTTCCTGGTGCCCCAGGACGGCGTAATCGCAAGCAAACCCAACCGTATCCGTTTCCCTCCAGATGATTCTGCGTCGCCGCGGCATGGCCGACGCTCGCCAGAAGTCAGCTCCAAGTCGTATGGTATCCCACCCATTCGCAGGGGGTCTCCTTTGAATCCTCAGAAGGTTAATTCCCCACTGGATGCCCGACGCCGGACACGGCCAGCGGATGTGTCTTCTCCTTCCCTGGATTCTCCCCCTCGGCAACGAAGGAACTTAAATGCTGGGATGACGGAGCCAAATCGCGACTCGAAGCTACCGAGCCCGCAAGTTAAATTAGATCCTGGACATGGAGGAATGGGAGCCTTTTCCGATGAGTATGACCTTTGTGAGTCTCCACAAGCTATCAGCAGTCTCCTCGTCTTACGCGTTACCCCTCAGCGCATGAGGGCAAGGCTATTGTCTTGACTGTCTAAATAAGCACTCAAGTCTCCACATTTAGATCCTAGAATCCTTCAGGATGTTCAACGCGCATTAAAACTCAAGGCTCGCCGCGAGGCCCGTCTGAAAACGGAAAGCAGGATTTCTTCGCTCGATTCTAGTCCACCTGCTTTGAATGGCGATTCCCCTGCTTCCCGTGTAACTCAATCGTCACCAAGTCGAAATTTACATCTGCTCTCTCCTCCTTCCTCTCCTGCTCCGCTGTGGAAGGCCAACGCCAGTAGTGACCTTGATTTCAGTCCTTCAACCGGCCTTTCGAATGAACAGACCCACCACCACCCAATCCCAACATCATCTGACAATGGGATGACCCTTGACTGGTCGGTTTCCTCCCTTGAGGACGACAAGTCTGAGAGGCGCTGGTCATTAACAAGAGGAAAACGCAAGGAAAGGGACAAGATGGATCCCTTGGGTGTGGTGGCTAACCAGCAACAACAAATGCACGAAGGTAAACGCCAGTCTTCGCCCTGCAACCTTTTTTTCATTATGTCACACAGAGAAACTCAAGAGAATACAAACCATAGCTGCTTCACAGACATCTCGAAAAGCCGCCATAACGAAAGATCAGCTTGGAAGACGCTACAAACTTCTCTATGATGGACTGTCGGCGCAATCGTCGCCATTCAGTTTGGCAAAAATCGCGCGGTGGTACGGGTCTCAAGACGAGGTTATGATGGACACACTTTGTCTTGCTGAGCCTTTCACCTGGCTGAAACACCTAGAAAAGCAAGGAACCAGGTCGATTCGTTCCCCACGGCATTTATCGGCGCTGATAATGGAAGAATATTATCATTCCAAGAATCAACGAAACATGACGGTGATTGTCCCAGAAGATGATGCCTTACTAGAACCGACTGAAATTCCTCGTGTTGCTGCCTCCGCTTCACCTCGGAAATCGACTCCTTCGGAGTCTGACCCACGAGTGTCTTTTAAACCTCTCAATAATCTATCCCAGGACTCGCCCGATGTCTCTGCCGTCAGGAGCGTACCCGAATCAAAGTCTGATAGTGAAATACAGTCGCCGTCAAGAGCTCAAACCCGCTTCAAGTTAAAGGGTGCTGAAAATGACCATATCTCGAGTTACGAGTCCTCGAATGACGGCAGTTCGAAGAAGCCAGAACAAGTTGATGCTAGGCGTGCTCCAGTTGCTCCAGAGATCAAATTTGTGACTACGCAAGACCCATCTCCTCAAAGCTCGGTTCCGTTACAGATCGCTGTATCGACTTCAAGCGGGGGTTCGTATGACGATCAGCAACAGCCTAGCTTTCAGAAGTCACGGGGTTACCGCTCCTTGACTTCATTAAAGCAAGGAATGGGATCGCGTCGAGCGCCTGTTTCGTTCCCATTTCCTGATCAACGTCCGTTTAGGCGTAGAAACCGAAAAGAAGAAAACGAAGCTTTGGTTCAACGTGAGTACGAGGTAAAAGCTGCGTAAGTAACATTCCTACCCTCTTCATTACCTTCGATATGCCTTCTTACGACTTAACTAGGCTGCTTGAAGAGGCCACCGCCCACAACTACAGAATTAGGCAATTATTAAATCGTGTTTCGGCGTCAGTAAAGGAATACGAGTCAATCCAATCCAGTGCCACAAGAGCCTCTTTATCTTACGAGAACCTTCCCAAGGAACTTCTGGACTCCTTTGGTCACGATCCTGCTGCAGTAACTGGGGCAACGCGTCGCCTTCGCGGGTGGAGAGCTGTGGAGGACATCCAACAGCGTTTGCAGCGCCAGCGCGAAGTTTTCCAGGCTTTCATATCGCATTCAAGAGAACGTCCTGTGCCTTCGCATTGTGCGCTGGGCGATTCAATCTTGCATCTCACGCAAACTCTTGAAGTTCTTGAATCCCATAAGAAGTCGATTGCTTCCACAGCGCAACGTGTCACTGATTTACTTGAATCTGTGCAAGAGGTTCACGTAGAGGTCAAAGCTGATTATTACGATACTGTTTCTCATACCTCGGTATTGTATCCTGAGGTAAGCACATATTCTGACATCCTCTCGCTAGCTAATGGCGTCATGGCAGCTGTCCCACATCGTTGCTTTGGAAGAAAGCTACAAAGATCAATACCAACAGTTCTGGGACTTTGGTATGGATGCTCTGACCTTGTTGCTGGACACTGTCACTCCATTTTGGAGAACCTACGGCAAAACGATAGGGGAAGATGTTCGCGACTTTCTCATTATACCCCTCTATCGCAATGAATTCACAGGTGAAGCCAGGCGATATCGAATCAAGGAATTTCCCAAAAGATCTGTTCGCCACTGGCTTGGTCTAGCAATGTTTTTAATGTTGTCCATTGCTGTCAACATCCTCCAAGTCCGCGGAGCCATTTCGTCTTCCTTGCACTTTCGCCTTCGCTGGATACCTTATGACAGTGTTAGATGGACGGCCTTGCCCTTTTTTTGGATTGGGATCCTCATCCAGTGGTTTGCCGTCGTCATTGAATTTACAATCGTCTTCATGCAACTAGGTGTCATTGTGTGGTGGACAGGCTGGTCAGTTAACATTTCCACATAACAGAATGAGTATTTGTAATTTTGGTGTATGTATTACCGCAGGATTTATATACGCTACTCGACACTTACGCAATTCCGTGCCGTCAACCCTGGCTTGCGCATTTTCCTACTTAACGTATAGTCAAGCTAAGCTAGAAACCGGCTCTTCTGAGGGAACTACAATGCTTGAAGAGGTTGGTAAAGGTGAAGTGCCTGGCGCACCCGAAGAAATTACGGTTGTTCCAATCGCTTTCCCATTGTCAACGCAAGGCCGACAAAAACCTGAAAAGATGTAAGTACAATTGGGAAGAACAATAAGATTGAGGAATGCTTGCGTCCGCCCAAAATGAGAGGAACGTCGGTTTGGCTGCACGAAATGCATCGTATTTGACTATTGTGTGAGCCTGACTGAGAAAGGCGTGGCCGTTTGCGAGTATCGGAGGTGTCAATACTGTTTGAGGTCGAGGCCTTGCGTTGCAGCTTGCCATCGACGCCTGTCTTGCGCTGTGTATATGTGCGCTTCTGGCGGGGAGCACGGGCAGGTATCGTTGACGGACCATGCTTCAGTGGTTTCATGGCGAATTGTTGGAGGGAGATCTGAATTCACTTGGTCAGAATTATTCGTCGCTAGCCATAAAAATGCTACCGTCTGCAGCTGAGTGAGCAGGGCCCCAAGAGGCAGCTGATAACCGAGGAAGGCGCGATTCGTCGACTGCTATCATCAAAATGAGAGATCGCCTGAATGAAGTTGCGATCACAAAGTACCAGTTCATCCAGTATCTTGCGATTCGCTTTGATCTTCTCTTCACCACCAATCCATCTCGAAATTGTGTTCCAAATGGTCGCTGGAGCCTTCTTCAAACGTAAACTAGCTATTTGGGGAATGGGAATTTGAACAGCATCCGGCTGGTGCGAACTCTCCGAGGCATGTGGCTCTTGTGGTTTGTCGAAAGGCACGCGAATGTTGATAACCATGTCGTCGTTATCTTGCGCTTTGTCGCAAGTGGCTGGAACGCGAGGTAAAATCCACTTTTCGGATGGTGTCTCACGAAACTCAACGACAACATCAAATTCTTTGAGAGGAGATGCCGAAGTCGTGGGATGATATGATCCCGGGAGACTGGTTGTCGCGGGTATACCTGGATTGACTTGTTGCGCGGGGAGGTAAGACGTGGATGGAAACGGCGTATCAACCGCCGCAGCCAATGACTGGATAAGAAGTCCAAGTGTTTTTAGTTGGTCGGGGCTAGCGCGGCCTGCCGCAGCCAACTGAAGTAAATTTGATAGTATGGGATTGGATGAAGCAGCAGAATTGACCTGGTTGATTAAGGCAGGAGTAATGGTCGTCACGGTTGTAAGCGAGGATATTAATGGAGATGTCGACTTTTCAACGGTTGCGGCAGCCCCTGTAGTCTGAACCGCTTGGCGGTTCATACTTGCGGAAGCTTGACTGTAGGAAACCTGTGATGCACTGTACGGCGTCGTTGCTTGCCAGGACGGTGGGTTACCCTGATGCGGATAAGGCGAAATGGACGGCTGCATTGGAAGATAATGAACTTCGTAAAATACGGTATCCGGAAATATGTGAGGTCCAATTTCGAGATCACACTTGCCCCGAGCCTGAATGGTGTGTGGTGGGGCAGGTGCCTCAGCCGCCTTGTTTACACGAGCCTTACCCGAAAACTTTGGAAAAGTTCGAAACAGCCATTGTTCCTTAGCTAGAATGGAAATTAGAATTCGGTTAAGAAACAAAACCTGAGTCGCACATTGCCTGAGTGACTGAGCAAGAATGCAACTTTGTGACACAATTTAGTCAAACACCGATGGAAATTCATTTGCGCACCTGTCTGAAATGCTGTTCAGCTCTTTGTCGGTTTCGATTTGATCGAGTTCCCACCGAGGTCTCTCTCCGACTGGCAGAGAAACATCGAGCTTGCGTTGCGAGCTCATTTCTAAGTGGAATAGTAGGTCACGGTGCCAAGAGTGCTATTTGTGAGTGTTGATCAAAAGCATCTACACTAAGACTGGTCAGTGGGGAACTCCTCAGGCTCAACGAAGGCTTGACACCTCGGATTGAACCAATATTTGACCGATATGTCGAGTCGTGTTCGTGAGTTGTCATCCATCTTTACATTCTCCTTTGGCTAACTTCTTCCAGAAAAGGGTGGGCCTGTCTTCAGACCCGTTGTGAAGTCTCGATCACGCCCTACACCTAGCCAGCCTTCCCAGATTTCAAGTTCTCAACCCCAGTTGGACCCTCAGACTTCTGCTCACCATGCGTCATCCATGCCGCCACCTGCCATTCATATCCCTGATTTAGACACCAGCAGCATCCCAAAAATCCCGGACATCTCAGGCGACAGCCAACATCTTGTTGACATCCCGGGAGAGCGCCGAGGACTATCTTTACCTCCAGCAATACGATCAAGTGTACCACCTTCTCTTGTTGCTCATCCTTCACCAATTCTGAATACTACATCAACCGAGTCAAATGCTCTCCTCGAAGCGTCGATTCCAAGCAAAGTTCATCCCAATTCTACCTCCTCCTCGGAAGTCAAGGTCAATATCCAACCCCGTCGCGCAATAGGTAGAAGAAAGTCGAGTGGTACTACAAAAACATTAGTCGCTCACAATGAAGACCAAAATTCCATTGAGAGACCAAAAAGAAAGCGGACCACGCCGAAGGTAATGGACACTGATCAGGTGGAAGGAGATGGAAGGCCAGTCACCAGTGTCTCTATTCGTGGTTCACGTCCCCCTTCGTTGCCCCCGTACGATGCCGACGCCAACCCGGGAGAAGACATCGACCCAACAGTCGTGACAATGGCAGCCCTCTGCACCGACTCTGGCCAAGGTCGCGTTAGCAGCAAGGCTGCAGAAATCTTGAATAATCACGCTTCTTGGAAGGCTCAAAATCGAGAAAAACGAGCGCGTATGAGATCTCTGATGGAAGCAAAAAAATATGGAAGAGACGAGGATGGGGATCATCAGGACACTCCAACATCAAATTCCATACCTGCGTTACCAGAGTCTTCCGATCCCCCTGAACCGATCATTGAGAGAGCGCCAAGCAATGCACTGATTGTGGACGATACTGGGCATGGGTTTGATTACTCTCAAAATATGGCAACAAGCCGATATAACGTGCAAGTACGCATCGGACCGAATGGCGAGACGATTATAGATGAAGAGTCCCTTGTCGTTGATCGTGCTGATGCTGACGAAACGGAAAACTATACCCACGTTATTGAGTCAGACCATACGAAATTTGTCAATTCTGGGACATACGGCAAGCGATACCGTGGCTCACGATGGAGTGTAGAAGAAACAGAACTCTTTTACGATGTTCGTTGACTTTTGAGCATTTGTCTCTCCCCGCTGACTCATTCGTAGGCTCTTGCCCAGTATGGTGAAAACTACGAGCTGATCGCTTACATCTTGCCTGGCCGTGATAGAAAGTCTTGCAAAAACAAGTTCAAAATCGAGGACAAGAGGAACCCTGCGAGAATCAATCACTGCCTAAACAATAGCATTCCTGTCGGTGAGTTATCTCTCATCACTCTGGTACTACTAGTTGTCACAACTTTTCTAGATATGCAAATGTTGGCACGTATGACGGGCAAGGATTTTTCAGGCCCTATTCCCGACATCCTTGCACCGACCCCCACTCCGATTCCTCCTCCCTCTGTTGTCGAAGACGCGGAAGCTAAAGTACCTTCAAGTTTTGTAAAGAAAAGGCAGCATAGTAAAAAGCGGACTTCTAGTGATGCAGTAATTGTCGGTAATGTAGAAAACTTCGAAGAAATTTAGGCGTACCTGATGACGCGCGATGACGTCGTACACTTCACGATCGGTCACGTCACATCTTCCACTTTGAAGCGACCACCAAACCTCCACTGAAAATCAATCTCTGTACAGTGTTCTGGGCAAGGAGTAGAATATGGCCGCTGGAAAGGTAGTTATCTGTGGGGCGGGGTTCATAGGTACGCATCTTTCACAGCTTTTCAAGCCTCTCATTTACGCAATGTAGGAAGTCACATCGCTAGGTCACTCATTGCGTCTCAGCGTCCAGTGCAGATCTCGTCCAGAAATCCAGCAAAAACCCATGAATTACTTGAATTCACCACTCCAAAAGGGCCACTTCTACCCGCTGTTTCGGTTGATGTAACCAAACCGACAACATTGATACATGCATTCAAGGACGCCGGCACCATTATATCGCTCGTTGGCGTCATGCATGGTACCCCCAAAGACTTTGAAGACGTTCAATGGAAAGGGGCAGAAAATGTGGCTTTGGCCGCCCGGGCGGTCGGAGCGAAGGTGATTCACTTCAGCGCAATTGGGGCGAACACGAAGAGTGAGATCATGTATTTCAAGACGAAGGCTATGGGTGAGAACTCGGTGCTGGACATTTGCCCGGATGCGACAATTATTCGTCCGAGTCTTGTTTTTGGTCCAGAAGACGATTTCTTTAACGTGGGTTGGTTTGCTGGCGAAAGAACCACTATTCAACACTTTTTTGTATCTTGACAGCGATTCGCGCGCTTATCTCGTGTCTTGCCTTTCTTGCCCGTTTTTGGAGGAGGAAAATCTCGTTTTCAGCCCGTTTACGTCGGCGACTTGTCAAAAGCTGTTGAAATTCTTTGCAGGGGAACCCCAGAAATCAAAAAAGAGACTTCAGGCAAGATAATTGAGGCTGGAGGACCTGAAGGTATTGGATTCCTGTCACTTTTCGCCTTTTATTGAACTTTCCGTGACCCAGTTTTCACTTACCATCAACTCATGGAGCTCGTTTTGAAATACAGCGGCCGTCATCGTCCAATAATATCTTTCCCATTCCCATTTGGTCTCTTGCAAGGCGCGATATTGGAAAATTTACCCCCAAATTTGTTTACAGTCACCCGTGCTCAGGTTTGTACTAGACAGCATTCCTTTTACTTCGCGACCTACTAACCTATATTGCTTTCTAGGTCAAGCAACTGATGGTTGACAACGTAGTCAATATTCGCCCAAGAGCAAACGAAATCTCGTTCCAGAATTTGCTTGAGAAGTATTCGAACGAACCTCTTACCTCCGTTCATAAAATACTCCCCACGTACCTTTGACAACGCAAGCACAATGCAAATTCCTCGTGGTTTGTACATTACGTAATACACGCGCTGTTACTCATCCAAGCTGACGCGTATGTAAATGGTTACATACAACGCGCATACTTCGTACCACATCTTTTCCGGCATTCAAATGCTGTTGGAAATTCTGCATCACGGGTCGACGTGAGTCACAGTTATAATTATCTTGACACAAGGATGGTCCCTCTCAAAGTGCGAACAGCTCAAGCAAGTCGCGCCTCTCACACCAGTATCAAGTTTATCCCCCCGGGCCCCACACAGAGATGGAAGCTAAAACATCTACCATTTCCAACCAACACAGACCAGAACCTCCTTACAGCATATATACGAAAAAGGAGAAGTGGGTCATTGTAATGTTGACGGCGTTTTCGGGGCTTTTTAGGTAAGTAGGACTCACTTCCTTGTGTGTTTAACTGCAGATAATGGCTGACTTTGTGGTTAGTCCTTTAACGGCCAGTATATACTTTCCAGCGATTCCAGCTATCTCAAAGGCATTTCGCAAATCTATAGAACTCATCAACCTCACTGTGCATAGTTTAAGTATTCCATCAGCATGACGGGAACTCATGATTCAACGCTATAGGTCACGATGTACATGATTTTACAAGGCGTAGGTCAGTTTCTGCCCCAGTTGAAGCCGATTATCACTACATCTGACGATGCTCGTTGAATTACACAGCGCCTATGGTCTGGGGTACGATATCGGATCGTCGGGGAAGAAGGCCGATTACCGCCATTTGCTTACTGATCCTCTCTTTGTCGTGTGTTGGATTGGCTCTCACGCCGACGTCGGATTATTGGTTATTGATGGTCCTTCGGTGTTTACAAGCGGCAGGGTCAGCTAGCACAATTGCCATAGGTAGCGTTTGACTGATTACTCAGGTCGACGCATGATTTTTTAGTCTGCAACAGGTGCAGGCGTCATTGGGGATATTTCAACTCGAGAAGAACGTGGAGGGTTTTTCGGATTCTTTACGCTTGGTCCAATGGTGCATCTCATCCATTTTTAAAAATGTTCGGCCTAGACATCCATCTGTATGTAGGTTGGACCATCCATCGGACCTGTGATAGGTGGCGTGCTCTCAGATAAGCTGGGCTGGAGGTTAGCGACCTTCTCAGCTCAAAGAGTTCGACTAACCCCAGCAGAGCAATTTTCTGGTTTCTCACGATTTCGTCGTCCGTCTGCTTGTTGATAATTATTCTGTAAGATTCGCCTTCTCAATGACATCCCGTGTTCAATGGGCCTTTGACTCTAGGTTCTTACCAGAGACGTTACGTGCTCTCGTTGGTAACGGTAGCGTTGTGCCCTCGCCCGTTCATCGACCAGTTTTTCAGATCATTGGACATGGAAGGCGTAACGATGCGTCCAGTATCATGCTCCAGCCGGTCCCGCAGAATCCATTCAGGCTATTTCTCAACGTCGATGTTTTAATTTTGCTTGCAATCAACGCCATCATCTGTAGCGTATACTATGGTGTTATTGCGACAATGTCAACCCTTCTTGGGTCTGCATACCCGTTCCTCAACGAAACGACGATCGGGTTGTGCTTTCTTGCAGCTGGCGGCGGAATGATACTCGGCAGCAGCATTTCAGGACGCGTTTTGGATCGAGAATACCGAGCTTTTAAAGCCCAAGAAGAATTTCAAATGGCTACAAATATTTTCGGAATTCAGGTCGAATCGAGCAATGCTAAGGATGATAGTTTTCCCATCGAGAAGGTAAACACAAGTATCTTCAAGCCAGAACGTCGATTCCTGATTGGAACACCAGGCGCGACTGAGGTTACTGCCATACCATATTGTTTTGTTGGCCGCCGCATGTGCGGCATATGGGTGGTGCCTCCAAAAACGGGTCAATATCGCCGGCCCATTGATTCTACAAATTATCGGTGAGCTTGCTTGACCGTCCATTGTCTGGACATTACTGAGCTTTTAGTGCCCTGCTAGTCGGTTATGCTTCAATTGCCATTATGAACGCAACTTCGACATTGATGATTGATTTGGCACCTAGCCAAAGTTCCTCAATCACTGCTTGTGTGGGCCTCACTTTATTAGTTCGTGGATCACTAAAAACTGAACCTGAGTAGAATAACCTCGTGCGATGCACCTTGAGCGCCGTTTTGGTTTCCGTGATCCAACTCATTTTGGATGGGATTGGGATTGGCTGGACCTACGTACTTTTATGCGGAGTAACCTTGATTTCAGTGCCTCTTATCTTCCTATCCATAAAGCTTGGTCCCGCTTGTCGTGCTCGCAGGCGAAGCGCTGGTCAATAAGGGTCGTTGAGCCAAATAATGGAGTCTATCACAAGTCTATCAAGAGGAATACTATCCTTCGGTTGATGTTCAAACGTTCAGATGTCAGTTTAAATCTATTGAATTTTCGTTTGTCCGATCTGAGCAGATCCGAGCCAAACTAAACCGCCGTGGTTTTCACAGGGGTTCATCGATAAACGTCCACTCGTATGCGCTGAATAATTGGTATTATTCTTTCCCATTCTTCCATTGCCTGGAAAATCAAGATATTTAGCTAAGAAGAGGGTAGAGGGGAAAACATCGACGCTTGCCGCCTCGTAGAACTCGATCTGACCATCAGCGAGATTACCTAGCATCTCCTTCATCTCTGCCTCCTTTGCATACTGAAATACAGCTTGCTCTCTCAGCGTCTCATCGCAGTGACTCTTATCTTCCTCGCCTTACAGCTGAATGCAAAACTTTAGACACCCCCAAGAAATTTCTTCACTCCGCCTGGCTTTGTGCAAACAACCATTTGAGGAAGGAAGCGGGCACGAATGACGCAAGTCCTCCACCAACTCGGGGTGTATGTAATGTAATGGAGTGCTCCACACTCCAATCGAGGTTACGATGGTACGGACTTGAACCAAATGCGGTTGTTTGCACAAAGCGAGGCGGACACCAGATATTTTCGGGAGGTGTCTAGGGTTTTGCATTTAGCTGTAAAGCTTGATCCCGCTTGTCGTGCTCGCAGGCGAGGTGCCAGTCAATGAGGGTCGATGAGCCGAATTATGGAGTCTATCAAGAGGGATATATTTCTTTGACTCTTGTCTAGCCCTCGCTTAGTGTATCCATAGCGAGAACCTTTGATGATGCATACGTCGTTCAACGCATGCTTGTATTGATCAGCTTTGACAGCAAAACAGTTTACCATGTCAAGAATTTTTGGCCTGTTGCAATCGTGAGAATAGCAAGGACAAATAAAGCTTGGCAACGTGAGGGGCACCTAACTTTGACCCAGCTTCAAAGTTGTTTCTTGACGGCTTCCAGCACATCTCCACTCGCATTCCAAACGGAATCCCATCCGCCATAAAACTCAGTTCGACACGCGAAGATCACTGTCTTGCATTTGGACCCATCTCCGAGCTGTTATTAGACTATGAGTCAAGGTACCTTCTCTGCTGGAGCTGACCACTCTCAAACTTAATCTATATTGGAGGGCCAGTGCAAGCGCCGTATCCCTATGATGACCCTACTTACGGAATGGACGAGGACGAGGACGAATATGAAGAGATAACACAAGAAGATTGCTGGACGGTAATCTCCAGCTTTTTTGAACAAAAGGGTCTCGTTCGTCAGCAGCTGGACTCCTTCGACGAATTCGTACAAAATACGATGCAGGAACTTGTCGACGAAAACTCGGATTTGATCCTCGACCAAGCAGATCAACATACAGGGCATGAAACAGACATGACCCGTCGCTATGAAATTAAATTTGGTCAAATATACTTATCCCGTCCAACAGTGACAGAGGCGGATGGTTCCGTCGTCCCCGTGTTTCCTCAAGAGGCAAGGCTGAGAAACCTAACGTACTCTGCACCGCTCTACATTGAGATGAGGAAGCGTGTTTTGGTGGGACGTGAGGATCCAGATGGGATGCCTGGCGATATTGCGTGGGAAGCTGAGCATGAAGATAATCCTGACGATGCAACGAAGGTTTGGATTGGCAAGGCGAGCGAGGCTTCATTGACTTATTCTCTTGGACTCATACAATGCACGTTAACAGGTCCCAATCATGCTCCGCTCTACTTTTTGTATTCTCAGGGACCTTCAAGATCAGGATTTGTACGACCTTAATGAATGTCCATACGACTCTGGTGGATACTTCATCATAAATGGTTCTGAGAAGGTTCTTATTGCTCAAGAGAGGATGGCGACGAACCACGTATATGTCTTCGCCAAAGCACAGCCATCTCCAATCAACTTCTTGGCTGAGATCCGTAGTGCAGTGGAAAAGGGAGGCAAGACGATTAGTCAGTTCCAGGTCAAGATGTTTCATCGAAACCAGGAGCGCTCGGTGTGTACCTCTTCCTGCGGGTTTGCATAAACATCATTTGACCTTCTTTGTCAAGCTTGGAAATGTGATGAAGGCTACAATACCCTACATTAAGGTTGATATACCAATTTGGGTGGTTTTCCGAGGACTTGGGGTCATTTCTGACCGCGACATACTGGAGCACATTTGCTACGACATGCAAGATGCACAAATGCTCGAGATGCTCAAACCTTGCATTGACGATGGCTTTGTCATTCAAGACCGAGAGGTTGCTTTAGATTTTATTGGCAACCGTGGTACAACAACTGGTCTTTCCAGAGAGCGTCGTATCCGATATGCCCAGGAGATCCTGCAGAAGGAGATGTTACCCCATGTTTCCATGGCAGAAGGGTCTGAGTCGAAGAAGGCCTATTTCTTTGGCTATATGATCCATCGGCTCTTACTTGCAGCATTGGAACGGAGGGAGTTAGACGACCGTGATCATTTTGGGAAGAAACGTCTTGATCTGGCTGGTCCTTTACTTGCCAACCTTTTCCGCATGCTTTTCCGAAAGTTGACCAAGGACGTTTATCGTTATCTACAAAAGGTTGCTGACTTTCGCTTAAGTGCCATGAGACGTATTGACCTCTCTTCTTCAGTGCGTCGAGACCCATAAGGAGTTCAACCTTGCCCTTGCAGTTAAGCATCAAACCATCACAAACGGCCTCAAATACTCTCTGGCGACAGGTAACTGGGGGGATCAGAAAAAGTCAATGTCTTCCAAGGCAGGAGTATCTCAGGTCTTGAACAGATACACATATGCATCCACTCTGTCACATCTTCGTCGGTGTAACACTCCTCTAGGGCGCGAAGGCAAGATCGCCAAACCTCGTCAGTTGCACAACACCCATTGGGGTATGGTGTGCCCTGCGGAAACCCCTGAAGGTCAAGCCTGTGGTCTTGTCAAGAACCTCGCCCTTATGGCGTGCATATCAGTCGGGTCTTACTCCGCGCCCGTTATCGAGTTTTTGGAGGAATGGGGATTGGAGTCATTGGAAGAGAACGCGCACTCATCAACTCCCTGCACAAAAGTTTTCGTGAACGGTGTATGGATGGGTGTGCATCGCGATCCTGCCAACTTGGTGAAGACGATAAAGAAATTGAGAAGGAAAGACGACATTAGCCCTGAAGTGTCAGTTGTGCGAGACATCCGAGAGAAGGAATTGAGGTTGTACACCGATGCTGGACGTGTTTGTCGACCACTTTTCATCGTCGAGAACCAACAGCTGGCACTTCAGAAGAAGCACGTCAAATGGCTCAGTAACGGCCTCAACGATGATGGCGACGAATACAAATGGGAACATCTGGTAAAGGGTGGCATCATTGAGTTACTGGATGCTGAGGAAGAGGAAACGGTGATGATATCCATGACTCCTGAAGATCTTGAAAATTCTCGCCTACAGCAAAGTGGCGTTGATCTTCACGCGAACGACGGCGAGTTTGATCCAGCAGCCCGATTAAAGGCTGGCACTCACGCACACACATGGACACATTGCGAAATTCATCCTAGCATGATTCTTGGCATTTGTGCCAGCATTATTCCTTTCCCCGATCATAACCAGTCTCCTCGTAACACATATCAGTCAGCTATGGGCAAACAAGCGATGGGGATCTATCTAACGAACTTCTTGATCCGCATGGACACCATGGCCAATATCCTTTATTATCCACAAAAGCCTCTCGCGACAACCCGATCGATGGAATACCTCAAATTCCGAGAACTGCCTGCAGGCCAGAATGCTATCGTAGCCATTCTTTGCTACAGTGGCTATAATCAAGAAGATTCCGTGATTATGAATCAGAGCTCTATCGATCGTGGGTTATTCCGCAGTATCTACTATCGAAGTTACATGGATCTCGAGAAAAAGAGCGGCGTGCAGCAACTTGAGGAATTTGAGAAACCCACACGGGAAAATACTTTGCGCATGAAACATGGCACCTACGACAAGATCGAGGATGACGGCCTCATTGCTCCAGGTACCGGTGTGGCTGGTGAAGACATCATTATTGGCAAAACCGCTCCGATTCCCCCGGATAGTGAGGAACTTGGGCAGCGCACACAAACACATACTCGTCGAGATGTCTCAACGCCACTCAAGAGTACTGAGAGTGGTATCGTTGATCAAGTGTTGATCACGACCAACTCAGAAGGCCAGAAATTCGTTAAGGTCCGTGTAAGATCAACGCGTATACCACAGATTGGAGACAAGTTTGCGTCTCGTCACGGACAAAAGGGAACGATTGGAATTACTTATCGTCAGGAAGATATGCCTTTCACGGCTGAAGGGATTGTGCCTGACATTATCATCAATCCCCACGCTATCCCATCTCGAATGACAATTGGACATTTAGTCGAATGTCTTCTTTCGAAAGTTGCGACGCTCATCGGAAACGAAGGTGATGCAACGCCTTTCACAGACCTAACGGTGGAGTCTGTCTCCACCTTCCTACGACAGAAAGGGTATCAATCCCGTGGTCTCGAAGTGATGTACCACGGTCACACTGGCCGTAAATTGCAAGCTCAGGTGTACCTTGGACCTACTTATTATCAGCGTCTCAAGCATATGGTTGACGACAAGATCCATTCTCGAGCCAGGGGACCCGTCCAAATTCTTACGAGGCAGCCTGTCGAAGGTCGAAGTCGTGACGGTGGCCTGCGTTTCGGAGAGATGGAGCGTGATTGTATGATTTCTCATGGTATCGCAGGTTTCCTGAAAGAGCGGCTCTTTGAGGCCAGTGATGCTTATCGCCTGCATGTTTGTGACATGTGAGTATCTTGAAACGATGAGTCTCTAACCTAACGCCTACCTGCCTTTCTAGATGTGGACTTACAGCCATCGCGAATCTCGTAAGCATTCCCCAAGCTACGTTCATGTTCTTTGCTGACGTTCCATTCGTTCTTCCAGAAAAAACAAAGTTTCGAGGTAAGTTAGTTACGCAATTTACATTTTTACTCGCCTTATGGGTGTCCCAGTGTCGTGCTTGCAAAAACAAGACGGCCTGTTCGCAGCTTTATATTCCTTACGCTGCAAAATTGCTCTTCCAGGTGAGAGATAAAAAGTAGACTTTATCCTTATAATTCCTCAATCTTCAATTTCACAGGAACTGCAAAGTATGAACATAGCTGCTCGCCTTTATACAGTATCATCTGGTCGTATACGGGATTAATATCGCATGTGTTTTTGTGTAACTTAACGAATGTACCGCTATGATATTCTACACATGAAGCCGACTGCTGTCAATATATATATACTGTAAGTCCCAAGGCTAGCATCTATCTGATCAAGCCCTGACGCTCATCTTCCCCCCCGTGATCTTCACCCGACAAACGATTTGCCCTGCGCTTTTTTGACGCATCGTCATCCTCGTCATCCTCGTCGCCAATCTCAAAAACGACGTGATCTTCAGAGATTGTATCTGGCCCACCGGGTCTCCCCCCAACAAGGGTGGCGGCGTCATCATCATCATCGCGTTGTTGAGAACGAAGTTGAATAGATTCGAGATCGTAGTCTTCTGCTTCTTCGTCCTCTTGAGCGATCTCGTCAGACATGGCCAATGTAAAAAGTCAATATATGATAAGTCTGGTATATCTCATACGATGTAGAAAGATACTCATCTTCTGTTATTTGCAGTTGGTCGCCAAAGAAATGAAATCGCAATAAAGGATACAAGATAAAGAAGAGCCAGCCAACCATCCAAGAGCCACCACCGCACACGCCACGTCCTGCCGGCGTAGTCTTGGTTGAAACATTAGTTTGAGAAACATTGGGAACGGGTCAAACTACCTTCTGCAAGTCGGCCTGAAAAGGACATCGAGGAGACCACAAAAAAAACTCCAATTATGAGGACTGAAAATAAAAGGATGTAGTACAGTCGTTCGAACATCTTGAGCTTGTACCGTTGTTTCCGCGCGCGGAGCTGAGCGATTGTGGCTATATGAGACGTTGAATTACAGAGACCCTTTAGAAGTACAGTAAACATACCATTCAGAGCATACATAATCCACAAGAGAAAACCGCTTAAAGTGAAGGCGAGTGGGATGATGAAAAGAAGCAATATCAACGCGGAGGTCGATTCTAGTTCAAGTTCAACGATGCCAATAGCGTAGAGGACTGGCAAGTATCAGATCAAATTCATCACAAAGATTAACAAACACGTACTCCCAAATATAAAATGAGCCACCGCAAGGGCTTGACACTTGAGCATTGTCCGACCAAGAGATTCACAAACAACGTTGAGACCCAAGGACACAACAAGCAACATAAAAAACGACATGGAGTTGCGACCGGCATCCAAGATAGCAACTGCATTTGGATTCATGGGTGAAAGTGCATCGAAAACAGGAACTGGACGTACCGACAATCAAAAACGCAGTAGACGCTGTACTTCTGCCATGGGCATTGAGATACCGATAATAACCTGCCTCGCAATCAACGAAGCCTAGTATCAACCTAAACAAGTGGCTTACCCCAGTTGGCAACCATCTCTGTTATTAGCAAGCCAACGAGTCCAGAAAGGTAATACTGACACAGTTCAAAGGAAGACTAAGCAGCAGGTAAAGCGGGGCTTACTTGGATTGGTAACAACTCTTGCATGTGCTGATAGCACAACCAAGCCCAGGTCATCCCAAACACAGAGTATACGATGAACATGGCGAAATAAAACTATGCAGCTCGAGTTAGAGAATAAAATTTTGGGTATAGTCCCTACACATACGTTAACTTTCGGATAGTCGGTTGCTGCTAATTTCCCGTCGAATGTATTCTTGAAAAGGACGAGGCCGTTATACGATGGATGTCGGGTAATGTCAGTCTCCGCGGTAGGAGATTGAACAGTTACAGGAATGACAGCTGATGGGGGAAAATCTAAGAAGAACTTCGATGACTCGAGATACATGCAACTCGCCTACACAATAAAATCCAGTTTTACGGACCGGGTAAGAGATCGGTGATGTATAGGAATATATGTCAGCAGGACTAGAGTTAATTTGTCTTCTGGATGAGACTAAATAGCTAGAGCTAGAGCGACGACGCCAGGGTGAGTCGTAGGGGCTGGCAGGGGGTGTCGGATTTCCAGCAGGGTTGTCCCACAAGCTATCTGCCGTGATGGCAGACGTCGGTGAAGCGGAGGTCTTATTTGCAGGAAGATCAACTCTAGTGGACCAGAAGCTAGTATCGTTGATAGTTTTGCCGTTCGGAAGATCGAGAATAAAACGGCCAAGCTGTTCGCGCGTGCAGAACCCACTCAAGACTGCGCTGGAGGTACAAACATATATCTTCTGCTTTAAGCCTCAGTTTCAAAACGTAATTTAGGGAGTCGCAGGACTCACAGGCAGGTCTTCGTCTGTACTCGTCGCATTCCCGAGATACTTTGCATCTGCCCATTCGTATATCACCATTGCAAGTTGCCCTTGTGACGAGGCGGCAAAGCTGACTATCAGACGTGTCAGACAAACTGTACAACGTTGAAAGAAACGCAGCATACCATTGATAAACGCAGAAGACCCTCCCCACATGCCGCTACATATTTGCCGAGAATAGTCTGACTGGCCGTTCAATATACACGCGCGAAATTATTGATGGTAGGAGATTGCAAACCTGTGTCAAGAATGGGAACCTCGTATGCGCGGGCAAAAGAAAGAAAATGGGACATTAGGAAGCCGAATAAGATGAGAAAAGTACCGAATGGCAGATGATAGGACGCCATGAGAGGTAGGGGAATGAGATGTGTTGACCTTTGTTTCGTACAGAGGATTCGGCTGTTCAACGCAGTCGTTACGTAAGTAATTGCCGCTACTACTCATCATGTTCGGCGACGACGAGGACGTTTTCGACAGCGTTACTTGGGAGTCTCCCTCGGCGCCCACATACGACATTGATGATACAATCACACCATCTGGTCCTGGCTTCAGACAGAGTACTGTCGGTGCTAACGATGACCCTCTGCAGCCCAAGTGGGAAGGCTACCTCCTCACCTCCGTCAAGGACCCCGTAAAAGAGCTCGCAGAAACGAAGGACGCGTATGTCTCATACCTTGTCCAGGCGAAGGTATCCATATCATGCTCTTATTTCTTTCTTTGCTTATTCATTCTCCCAAGACCAACCTTCCAATATTCTCTACTCCCAACCCCTCAGCACGTCGTCGCTTCCAAGACTTCGTGTTTTTAAGAGACCATCTCGTTCGGGACTTTTCGGCTTGTGTTGTTCCTGCGTTGCCGGACAAGCATCGGTTAGGTTTGTCTCACTCTGCGATTATGAACGGCAAAGGCATTGACAGGGCGCCGCAGAGTACCTCACTGGAGACAGGTTCAGTCCAGAGTTTATGGAACGTCGACGTCTGGAGTAAATATTTGAACTCAACACTTCGAACTTTACTCATGGTCTCAAAGCCTACATCGTTTCTTACAGCGACTGGCACGACACCCGACACTCCAACGGAGTACTCTCGTACGCGCATTCTTTGAATCCACTGAATGGGCAAGCCAACTCTCCCTTACCCGGATTTATATTTTAACACAAACTTCATAGCACGTACAAATGCACCAGCATGTTGCCCACCCACCAGGTCAAGAGCCGACTCCTGGGATCATCGACAATATCTCAGACACCCTGTTAAACGCTTTCGCACGCGTCCGTAAACCTGATGAAAGGTTTTTGATTATGCGCGAGAATGTTGACAAATTCGAAGAGAGTTTAGTTGTCTCTGAGCGACTTTATAGTCGCGTCCGAAGTCGAACAAGCGGTAAGTCTCTTACTATCTTTCCCTCTAATCCCGTTTTCTGGGTCTAAGGCTAAACGAGATGGCGATCCTGAATCCGGTGAAGACCTTACGGCGGATTACCATGACTTAGCAGTCGCTGTCCAAGGTCTTGGATTCCTAGAATCAGGTATCACCGATCCCCTCAACCATTTCTCAAATACATTGCTTGAGTTCTCCGCTCTTCTTCGACACACGGTTCGTTTACCTCATGTTCATCTCCCAGCAATCCTGTGATGAGTAGCTCACTTGTTAGACACAAACAACGACCGACCCGTTTCTCCTCCATCTCCACTCTCTGCTCACGTATTCGCATGCAAACCGTGCTGTTCTGAAATTGCGTGACCAAAAGCAGTTAGACTTTGAGGAACTTTCAGACTACCTCTCTGGAGTGACTGCGGATCGCGACAGACTTGCTGCTGTCATCAGTGGCCACGCCGGAAGCACCGGTCTCGGTCTCGGTGCATATCTCAAGGACCGCGTCGATGCCATCCGCGGGACGGATGATGATAGGAGCAGGGTGGAAAAAATGCGAAAATTGGATATCAAAATCAAAGAGGTTTGTTGCCAAACTGCTGATTTTTTTTTTGTCGATCCTTGCTTATCGTCCTTGGGCAGCTCCAAGATGCTGTTACAACAGCACACGAGACTTCAGATGCGTTCAGCGATGAGACGCTGCGGGAGCAAGCTGTATTTCAGTACGCTAAGGAGGCAGAGATGAAGGAGATGCTTGGAAATCTCGCTGATGGTCAGATCGAGTTCTACAAGGCGGCAAGCATCGATGTTTTCCCATTTACCCTCCGCTAAGCTAAAAATTTTGATTTTCCAGGCAATGGAAGAATGGGAAAGAATAATACCAATTATTCAACGCATACGTGTGGACGTTTAGGGCTTGTGCATGTGTATTATACTATATCTTAATTTCAGGTTTATTCTTCGCTAACTCGGCTTTCTTTTTGAGTAAATACTTCTCGCGCTCCCGTTTCACCTTTTCCCCCGATTCTTGGACAGCAAGCGAAAGCTACCAGGAAAAAAGAGTGATCAGGCAAGTCCATGCAGAAAAAATGGAAGGCCGTCACATTTATGATGCCCGTGTTGACTGCACGAATCATGTGTAGTTCCGCTTTATCAGACGCACCGTCCGTAGTGTGCTGTGTATCTGCCGGAATCCACGGTGGAGGGTCCTATCACCTGTGAGACTCTTGGAGGTGCATTACTCAACGTCACTGACTTTCGTTTGCGAGACTGACGGCGCTTCACCATCCTTCAATTCGAGAACGACGGCAAACGATACATTGTCTATGAATCATCTTCAGTGGAATTTCCAGGCTACTGATTTTTTGAAATACCCACCTCCAAGGTACATCTGCCCTATCTGCGCTTCGATCATACTGAGTTTGACAAGGAAAGAGCGAAAATATTGAATGAGGGATGTTGAAGTCATGGCACCCTCCACACTGTAAAAGGCTGAGTTGTTGCTTATACTTGGTTTATACGGCGGCTCACCTGACGTTCTTATTAAACGACTCCACTTCCACCATATTTTCGACGGAAAATATAAATCGTTCCAATGCAACCTCTTCCTTATCCTTGATGACGACAACGACTTTGTCGACAGTCCCCTAGCTAAACTGTGAGTTGCTCACAGGTTACGTTTCTAGCCACCAGAACAAACGTGGGCAAGTTCATCTCCTACAGCTTTTGCAGCGCCAGAGATATAGTCATTCAGAGCAGGATGCCGCGACTGAAAGACGGGAGTTTCATACTTCTTGCGACGGACGAAGAGTTCTGCTGGGTATATTTGTCGCACGTAGAGAATCGTATGGATGGCGACCTCGACTTGTGGCGGCAGTCAGTAAACACTGGGGAAATCGCTGGGTTGTCGTTGCGCACTGAATTCCGTGATTCCTGCTACCATTTCTGTAGGCTACGAATTAAAAAGGACACACCATATGGTAGGCATTGTGCGCACTTACGGTTGAAGGATATGGGATCTTCAGACATGACAGTTACAGAGTGAGGGTCACCTCAGTGTAAATAAATGTATACCTCTACCTCCACCTTCAATATCCTGCTACAGATTGCGTCCCCCGTGCTCTACGCGTATAGCTACGTACACTGCATACTTGAAACATGTACTGAGACTAGAAAAACGAGATTATTGGCCTTGAGGCTTGAATTACGCAATAGCCAATTTGAAACTGTCGTTTCCAGCTCGGAATAACAAAAAGAAGCGGTGACTGTGTATTAGAAGAAAATACCGTACTTGGGCATTACAATCTAGTTTTGATCTAGGGTATGGGCCTGGGTTTGTTCAAAGGTACGTGCAAGGTGAGGATCTCGGTGTGGCATACATTTTCGTGGGAGGCAAATTGCTAAATGCTCGGGCAGAACCTGCGCATAGATGCCAAGAGTTAGTGATGGAATAATGACTCCAGCTAGACCTCCATACCAGTCATACTTGATTATATCATCTGCATTGACGATGGCTGAAGAGATGAAGGAGCGAGCCTCAACCCACACCCAAACCTAACAGAAGCGATGATGAGAAGGAAGAGGTAAGCTTTAATTTTTGTCAAATACCTTTAACAAGGCGCCCAGGTTGCTTGATGGCAAGTCTTTATTAAAAGATTCCTTCGTAGCCATTTGCCCTCCCAACTGCCTCAAGATTGGCAACGCGCTCGCAAACAGGTCCATCCCTGGATCCAGCCGTCGACCGATCCCCTCCAATAGCAATACGGATATTACCGTGTTGATAAAATCGCCTTCCATCTTTACATGGTGTACCCTCACCGCCTTCAATACCTCCGTAAGCAAGTCCGAAATCTTGATTTGGCCAAGGGAGAAAGTCTTTCGCTTGACATTTAAAACAAGGTGCTGCATTTTCAAGGCGAACGTTTCAGTGTCGATGGCGAGTTCGGGGGACCGTGATCGTTCAATCATAAGTTGTCCAGTTCGATAGCCGTCGAATTCGGCCACGGCGCGAAAGAGGTCGAGAAAGTTTCGTCGGTTATGGGCATCAAGGGTAGTGACGAGCCCAGCGTCAATGAAGACGATTTCTGGAACATATCCGGATTCGTGGAGACTTTCAAGTTCTTGGTGCCATTCGATGGGCGAGTTTGCAAGAGAGCGCAAACGCGCGACGATGCTGTCAGATTCGGAGTCACTAACTGGTGTGGCCGAAACGGGGAGGCCCTTTCCATCCGATTCGTTTTTGTGGAACATCTGCGCGTAAAGGTTCTCGAGCAATATACGGGTAGTCAGTGGTTTGCTGAATTTGATCATGATATTGCCAGGGTGAAGATCAGAATGAACAAAGTTGTCAAGGAGGAGCATATTCTGCAGCCATTGGTGAGCGTGGAGATCAGAGTGTGCTGAAGGCATACCAGAAACGCATCCAAGCCAACAGTGGCCACTTGTTCGTCATACGGACCACCTCCGTTGCGTAAAAAAGCTTCTAGTGGAAGGGCGTTTTCGTACTCTTCTACAAGCAGATCTTTCGTCGACCACAGTTTGAGGGGCCTCGGAAACGTTACGGGCACCTTTCTCGGTGCAAAGTTGTTCTCAAAGGCAAGCAAGTTGTCGGCTTCGTTTCTCAGGTCCAGCTGCTGGTGCATCATTGCGCCAAAAACTTGGACTTCTTCAGGAAGAGACAACCACTGCATCGCAGGTAGGATTGATATACACCGTGCAAAAAAGGCCATAATGGAGAGGTCACGAGAGATTGTTTTAGCTACATGCGGATGGAGAATTTTGATGGCCACAGACGCAGTTGGGACGGATGGAGGAGGGTCTTGACGAATAACAGGGCCGAGGGGCCCCGCGGGTGATTTCCGCGTCCTGCGTGGACCAAGGTAGGAAGGGGGAAGAAGGGTTTGTTTGAGAGTTGCTCGATAAACCTTGACGGACATTAGATAGATGAATAACGAAAAAAAAAATTGACCAGAACGCACTTGGGCAATGGCTCCAGAACCAATGGGAACTTGATCAAAATGTTCGAATACCTGATCAAACGGCCTTTGGAAAACTTTTTCGATTACCGCCTTGGTATGTGACAGTGGGTGGTTCCTGCCCTGTGAATGAAGGGAGCCTAGGCGTTCACAGAGGCATGTCGGAAACAAGTCGGCGCGAGAACCAGCCCATTGTGCCAACTATAGAATGGATTGGTTAAATAACGAAGGAGGAGAAAGGTCGATACCTTGATGAAGGTAGGACCTGCGGATTCCATTTGATGAACCAGAAAGCCATACCACCAAATGGCGCCCCATCTATCGCCTTTGTATTTTTTCTTTGGTTTTCCGACGAGTAACATTGGACTGGATACTATTACTGGGAGGAAGAGGGCGAATAGGTAGATGAAACGCTTTGCCGTCAACAGAGGCTCCCATATTGTATCACGGAGGATGTCGAGAATTCTAGTTATGAGAGAGCGATGTGACTCTGAAGGCGAGAAGATGGTGGGATTCAAGTTTGTAGGAGGACAGGGAATGATGGTAGGTGAAGAGAATATGGTGGGGATTTGAGAATTATGCCTTGGGATGAGATAGAGAGTGATGCCTGCTGCTATTGGGATTGCCCAGAATATTGATCTTCTAAAGCGGGGTATAGGCGATGGCATGAAGAAATGAGGATATTCGGCATGGCCAAGTTTTGACCATCTTGTTGACCTTGTGAGAGTTCGTAGCATCTAAAAGCAGAATATTGAAATGACGTCAAATGTTACGTTCATCTCTCTGTTGACGTTTGTTGGCGCGATATCTCCATCGCCTATGTAATTCCGTATCAGAACAACTTTCTTTCCGCCGTTCACTCTCCTCACTCTTGTTGTCTGCGTCCCCGCTTCCGCAGTTTATTCTGCGTTTGCGGTCTATGGCCAGCTCTTATGCCTTCGTTACCCTTGTATCTTCAGATTCCTATCTTCCTGGCGCTCTTACCTTGGTCGCTGCTCTCAAGGACCTTCACAATTCACCACCAGTAGAACCGGAGGTTGACTTTCAAACCATTTGTCTCGTCACTCCAGAATCAGTCGATGTATCCACCATAAAGCTCTTGAGGAGTGCTTTTGACGTCGTCATTGGTGTCGAAATTCTTGAACATGAGAACACCAAGGGCTTAAAACTTCTCGGTGAGCATTCTATTCACTCTCTATCCCATCGCCTACTTTTTAAAAGGAGCCCCTGACCAATTCGGGGTTCACGTGCATCGCAGATTATCTTTGTCGATCTCCCCCCTGAGAGCGTTGCAAATTGATTCTATTTCTTTTCAGGCCGTCCCGACCTCACCACTGTCCTTACAAAACTTCATATTTTTCGTTTAACACAATATCAAAAGATCATATTCTTGGACGCAGACGTCCTTCCCATTCGCTCAATTTCTCATCTTTTCAATTTGCCCCACGAATTCTCTGCCGTACCCGACGTTGGTTGGCCAGATATCTTTAACTCTGGCGTGCTGGTTTTGTCACCTGGGGAGGACAAATTTAACCAGCTGAATGAACTCTTAAAGTCCAAAGGCTCCTGGGATGGTGGAGACCAAGGCATTCTGAATGAGTGGCGAGGTGGAGATTGGAACAGGCTGAGCTTCACATATAACACCACTCCAACCGCGGCATACACGTTAGTCCCGCTATCCCTCCTATCTTTACGGCAACGTCTAACACTCTTTTAATTTTCAGCTACGCCCCTGCATACGAAAGATATGGTTCGCAGATATCGGCTATTCATTTTATCGGAAAGAACAAACCCTGGAATTCTATTTCTTCTCGTCCTCCATTCTCTAATCGCGAGCCATCACACCTAGATTCTCCTCAACAAAGTTATGATTACGAGTCTCTCGTTGACAAATGGTTTGACGTATACGACAAGCACTATCGTTCAGAGCCGATAATCCCACAATCTTCTTTTGCGCTGCAGCGTTACTCTTCAGTATGGGATAAAAATGCTGCTACAGAAAAAGCGGGCCCAACAATGTTGGACTCGAGACCTGTCCTTGGTTTGGAAGATCTTCGGACTTTAGCCATCGAAGGTCTCAGCAAGTCAACCGTCACATCATTTGGCAATCTCTTTGGTTATGGCGAGTATAGAAGCATGCCTCTGGAAGGCCGCATCGATTTGATGCGTCCACGCAAAGACCCAGAGCTTGAGGAAAGTGTCCCAACGCAAGTGGAAGATGTTCAGAAAGCCCAAGACAAGGTCCCAGTCCAAAGTGTCCGATTTGATCTCAACCTCCAAGAGACACCAGTCACCCCTCGGTCTGCAACGTTTTCTCTTCCAGAGGATATATCGAGGTGGCATACTTTACCTACCCCTGGACCAACTGAAATCCCGTCAAGTCCTCGTTTGCGTGTTGTTTCACTGCCATCCACACCTACTCCTCAGAGCCGTTTAGAAGTCGCATCTTCTAATGTTTATCCCATTGACAAAAAGCCAGAGGACAAATCCAACCCACGTGAAATTTTTGGGGAGGGTCATCCCCGTTATCACAGCCACCATGAACACCACACGCAATCCGGACATCAGGATTCCAATGCGCAGCAACAGTACACTCCCGCATATTTCGATGTGCAGCCGTCGGCCATTTCTGTGCAACACACCCAACAACACCAACAGCGTGAAGACCAAGTCGAGGCTCCTGCTTACCCTCAGCCTCAGTTACGGGACGATGAGGATAGTCAGCGCACCGAACCGCAGAATCACGAGCGATCTCATCAAGGAGAGCCACAGCGGCCATCTTCCCCTCCCATGATGGTTTGGAACGCTGCCGTTGACCCGCCTCCAACGACGAGTCCTCCTCCATCTGTATTCCCCACAGATACATACTTTCCCAATGTTTGGGATAAGACTCCGTCCCGACAGAATGATCAAACTCAATCGGGACCTTCTCCGCCTGATTCAGCAGGTTTCTTCCAATCCCCTCCTCCATCGGAAATCCCAGCTTCCTTGCTTCAACAAGGTCATTACCGCAATGTTACTGGCGAAAGTCCTCTAGGAGTCACTCCAAGTCCCGACCGCGGCAAAGTTAAGAATGTCTTTCCATGGGAAGAAAAGCCGCGTCAATTGCCCGCACGTGTGTTTCCTGATTCCGATGCCCCGCCACCTGCCCTGTTTCTCAGTCCGGAAAGTCCAAGCCAAGCATCGACTGCCGCTCCTAACACTCCAGAAGCTGCAATTACGAGACCCCGTATTCAGCCTCTCTCGCCATTATATGGTTTACCATCGAGTTTGACGTATGCGAACGCTTGGGACACAGTCCCAAGCATTCAAAAGTATGCATCCCAACTTGTGCGCCAGCCACAGCCTCCCCCGCTAGCGCCAGCGTTCGACGAGGACGTTTGGAGAAGGGATCGCAAGAAAAACCGGGATGAGCGAGCAGAGGTCAACAGTCGTGATGGGGATGATGAGGATAATGCGGACGACGACGACGACGAACCCGCCGGCGCTGATAGTGACGGAGAATCGGTGACAAGCACAACAAAACGACGATCCAGGAGTGGCTCATTGACATCACATTCGCGCAAGCCCAAGAAAGAGTACCGCCAGTTCGGCGTTCAGACGATTCCGCGTGAGAAGCGTGAACAGGCCGTTCAGGCTGTACAAGACCCTCCTCCACCGCCTGAGCAGGAGAAGGAAAAGAAAGCAACTATGCATTCGAAACGGCAATGGGCCCCATCCAGTGGGTCCAATCTGCTTGCACCTACCACGATACATGAAATGAGCAGCGGGCATGATGCCCGTATGAAGTCGACTGCAAACGCCGAAGCGAAATCTTCACCTGTATCCGAACCGTTTCATCCCACGTTATTAAAGCTTTCATCGTTATCCACTGCCCAACCGCGCTCTCCTATTCGTTCTCCGCGAGAGTTTGTAGTCTCACCTCCAGCCACCAGTCCGCCAGCACGACCTCTACTTTCACCTACTTCAAAACCAATTGTTCGGACTTCTGCTATTACCACCGCCAAACTACCCTCCGTTATAGCTCGACAGAGTTCCAACGAGTCCTCCCTCAATTCCCCTGCGTCTTCGGTTGGGCCTATCTCTCCGTCGGATGGGTTTCCAATAAATCCCACCATGAAGAAGGCAGGTCGCGTTTGGGATCCTGCTCGGGGGGTTGAATTGTTTAAACGCGGGTCGGAAGAGGTTTTGGCACGTTTCTTAAAAATGGGCTCTTGGGAGGACGAGAGTGCGCGCTGAGCACTTTTCTATTGATCTGTTTGCGGATTGTTTTTCTTTTACTTTCGGCTTTTTCAGCGTCCCCTTGCAAAATTGGCGTTGGTTCGGTCCGCTTGCTCGTATGCGTTCATTTTCATGTTTCCCTTCATCATACCCTGCACGCATCATGTTTTCTCAAAATCACCCTTTCTGCCGCAGCAACGTTTATGTTAGTACATAATACACTAGAGAGCTGCTTTATGGATGTCGTCATTCATCAATGATGTCATTGTGGACTGAGACTCGGGGAACGTAATATAAAAGAGTCTGCATTCACCTCCTTCTCAACTCGTCAACATGTCCCATATCAAACAGCAACGAAAGCAGTGAGCGTCCAGAGTGCCTTGAGAGTCGAGACACTAATTCTTTGTGTAGCTCCTTCTCTGAAACGACCGCTGCACAAGCCGAAGCAGAGGCCCCAAATGTGTTAGTTGCAAAGGAGGTCGAATCAAACGCAGAGCATGTCCAAGATGCTGCCGTGCAGGCTGCCTCTGTCGCCAAGGTATGCATTTATATCTCCAGACTCGGTTGTAAATAAACCTGTTCATGACAGACTTTGGGCTCGCAATACACGGGAGAGCCCACCACTGCTGTAGACCAGTTCAAGCACGATGCGTCAGAGACGACGAACAAAGCCGTCAAAGAGGGAAAGGACAGCGTCGAGGCTGCAAAGGCGTTGGGTGCAAACTACGTAGATCAAGCAAAGGCATTTGCCACTTCGGCCATCGAGACGGTGCAAGTACGTTATGCAAATCTGGGCTTGTTGGATGGTTGTTGATGATGTTGATATTTAGGAATATCTTCCTACCGCTGTTGGTGGCAAGCACACGGATCCTTCTTCGACTGAAGGGATGCCAGGAGGGTATGTCAGCTCGAGTCCAAAGGAAACTCACACGAAAAAATACGCCGGTACCGAGGGAACTACGCCGGCGTCGTCCACAGGTATCCCTGCCGTAGACACGTCTTTGAAGAGCAACCTTCACAAGAGTTCCGACACTTCGAAACCAGATATTGGCGCCACGGCCGCTGGGCGCGCTCGCGACTGAACCTACCCAAGTCACTTTCATACCCCCCTCCTTTATTTTTTTTCGAGCTAGTTTAGCCCTGTAATAATTTCTTTTGTAATGTTCAGAAGTCTGCTCGAGAGTGTAGTCTAAAAATAGGAACGAAAACGTTAATTAGCGTAAAGTGCTTGATTAGGTGTTTAGATCGTGATCGCCTCCTAACCAACCCCTTCATCACAGCCGCATCTCATCGATACCCAAGACACAATGGTGAGCTATCAAAACATCAAGTGACTGTTACAATATCGATCTAGGTCTACAGGATACCTTCTTGAATCTTGGAAAGCAGGCTTACAGCGCCTACAACGAATCTCAGCAGTGTGAGCGCTTGATCTCGTTGAAGAAGCTCGAAGCTTGGGGATCGAGGCGATCCCTGACCTGATTATCTTCTTCAGCCGACCTCCACAAGACAGGTGGTCAAGAATACAACTCTCCCCACCACTCTGGACAGGGTCATTCCTCGCAAGGTGGAAGGCCTGATAGTGGGTGAAAACTGTGACTTGGATTTGATCGAGGACTAATGGCACGATCTCAGTCGACCACGATGAGGCCGTTAGGAATGCGGAGAGCCACGGCTCTGGAGATAGTTCTCTTTTCTCTACCGCGCTCAGTCACCTGTCTGACAACAAGGTGGGCGGCTGATCCTCAATAAGTGTCTTTCGAACGCAAATGAGTATGCGCCTTTATAGAAAGCACATGAAGAGCCAGTTGATGAGGACGATGTTCAAGAGGCTCATCGTCAGGCTTATCAAGGAGACGCAAAGGGCCTCAGCGCCGACTCTTTGGGCAGCGCAGCTGCTCTGCAGGTTTGTACGCCACCCTAAGGTTTGTCTCACATAATGACGGGCTTGCTTTTGCAGGTATTGAAGCAATTCACATCCGGGAGTGGAGGAGGTGGGAGCAAGACACAGCTCATCAGTCTTGCTATGGCGGAGGCGACGAAGTTGTTTGACAAGTCTGGAGGTGCGGCGTCTGGTAACAAGCAAGATGCTGTCAACGGGGCTGCTATGACTGTTATGAAACTCTTGGTGCAATCAAAGTTCAGTGGTGCCATTGGCGGTGGAAATTCAGGTGGTCTGGGTGGTTTGTTGAGCTTGGTACGTTTACATTTCTGCAATCTTCTTTATATATTTCTTAGTTCAAAATCCCTCATCATCAGGCTTCTAAGTTTGCGTAAGTTGGTACAATGTACAGTTGGGAGACACGGTGCCTCAGGACGAGGGGTGGATGTTGACTCTACTGCCGGAGGGGAGAGATTATTTACTGCCAGTCAATTTGAGGCCTCTGAGGTCGAATTTGGTTCTCTTCGAGTTTGAGGGAAGGCGGCTGAAGTTTGTTATCTGAATAATGTCGCGAATCGAGTCTATTTGAATCTGAAGTCATTTTTGTGCGGTGAATATTATACAGCAGGCAGGAGTTACATATAATTATAGATAAATAATAACGAAATGAAAGATGCAAAGTTTAAATGTATGGTTCAGTATAAAAACTGGGTGCAAAATGACGCGGAGTACTGTAGCCAAACCCATACATGGAGCAATGTTCATTCGTAAAATATTTCGATGACGGAAATAAGTTCACGCTTGTATCCGCCATATGAGGTGGTGAGCATGGTGGTGTCAAAGGGCTTGGCGGTGATGAAGTGCCAGAGGAGGCTGAGCTACTGGCGCAAGATGGATGTCTTGAGAGGGGAGCTGGGCATGGGGAGGGGAAGTGCGGTGGTTGTGGGGTCGCAGGGGAGCCTCGGCGACGAGCAGCGACAGGAGTGCGCTTCGGAAGTCCCGACGGTTTCCTACGCCGAGATGGAGTTAAATTAAATGTGGGCGATTTATCTGCCTCTAGTGTGACTGGTGAATGAGGAGCAGAACAAATGAGGTGCCAAGGTGAAGGTTGGATAAGAGCGGGGTGGGGCGCTGAAGGGGGAACAGTGACGGTGGCCGTAAACCAAGGCAGACGTGCTGCTTTGATCGATGATGGCTCTTCCTTCAGATCTTTCTTGCTAGCTGCAGCCTCACGAAGATGAAGTTTGGTGGCGAAAGAATCGATGAGATCATCAACATCAACAGCCGAATAGGAAGTTATTTTGGCAGCAGGCCTGCGGAACCATTTGGGTGGTGGAAACGTGTAGATGCCATCTACCGAGAAGATATTCGACGGTGAGTTCGGCGAAAATACTGTTGGAAAAGCATGAGGGGAGCCAGGAATGTCGAGGATGTCGATCGCAGGGTTAGGCTGAAAATAATTCAATTTGAGATAATGGTGGTACAAACAATCTGTTACCCACTTGCGCTTTCGAAATGACTAGGTCATCTTTCTTTGCCATAACACCACGTTCGGGATGTTGCCTTTCAAAAGCTGGGATGGTGAATTGTGGCATACTTCGTTCTAAAGCTTCAAGAGAGACATGAACGGGTAGTGGATGTGATGTTAATTTGCGTAAAGGGAGACCGTCCTTTCGGGCACGAGTACGATGGTTTTGGAACTGGATAGCTTTTTAGACAGAAATGGATAGATATGAGTAAATCATACCCAAACTTCAATCTGTCGGGGGGTCATCATTGACTTTCGAGCCAACAGCAATCGATCAGGTGCTGAAGGATAGGCATTGTATTCAAAGTACTTTTCGAGCAGCGGTGTATATTCCTTCAAATATCAGCCATTAGCATAACATAAGAAAGCCATGATGGGTCGAAACACTTACTTGATTGAAAGTTCGGCGCTCGTTGACTTTCTGGTATTGGCAATGATGATACGTTGATTGTTTAGCCTTGAGCTCCTCGGCAGCTCTCTTCAAATCTGTCAGAATTTTCGGGAGATCGTCCTGTTTGAATACCGTCTCAATCGTATTGCGAAGGTTAACTAGTGTCTCCCTTGGACAAAGGCTTCGAGGGGAACTCGGTAGGACAGCGACGCGGCTGGCGGCACGCTCGTAAGATTCTTGATATGACTTGGCCAACTCCGTCACAGCTTCAGATGCTTTCCTGCTGAGTAGAGAGGGAATTTCAAGCTCAAGAATATCCGATTGGAATACTCCGATGGCAGAATCAAGCCGTAAAGGTGGAATGGAGGTAAGAGGCGTGGTTGCTTCTACGTCCAAGCATCGCTTGGCCAAGGCGATGGAAAGAGATTCAGCCGTTTGCACTAAGCTGGATAGTAGCTGGCGCTTCGACATAGACATAGGCGGCTGTGGTGGAAGTGGTTTACGTTGTGGGCAAAGGCTCAAGGGAGGTTATGAGGCTCGTCCGCATTAGGCGAACAATGGTAAGGTTCGTGAGAAACCATCACTTCATTGTTTGACAAGCACCAAATAAGCACCCAACAAGTCCCCCATCCCCCAACCTCTTCCCAATGGCCGATAATCTGAAGTTGCGACTCTCGCGCTGCGAACTTCAATTCATTTCAGCTGTCTCAGAAAGTCCTGAGGCGATTCAATTGTTTTATCAAACATGGTCCAACCTTCAACTAGACCTCGAAGAAGCAGTGAAGAGTGAAAGTGTGGACGACGTAACCTTGGAACTGGCTTTCCAGGTTGCGTCTAGGGTGGAGATTTTTGCCGAACGATTTTCGGATCTTTTTGCTGCAGTTGACACCCTCGCCGTAGAGTTCCGAAATGACTTGGACGCTGTCTTTTCTGGCCTTCTTATTGATGAGTCCCTTATCACTCAACCTGGGATGGGTGCATATTATCTCTTCACACCGCGTTATCTGAGGCTCACTATCATTCTCTTAGGCCTGGAGGAGGCGCCTGTTCGTTCTCCAAGATCCTCGAATACGTGCCCGCAATACATCGAGCATGCCTACAAGTGGCTATTGCGAAATTTGCACAACCCATATCCCACCAGGGAAGACAAAGCGTCTTTCCTTCGACATACGACTTCGACCAAATGCGATTTAGACCATTGGTTTGTTGATGCACGAAAGCGGATGGGCTGGAATTCACTCCGCAAAAGCCGATTTTCTAATAGACGGGTGGACATAATCGATGCTGCTACGAGATTTTTCTTCCAATCCGATGCGAAGCGGCCTTTGGATCCTGGCGTAGAACTCGAATTTGCAGAAATTGAGGCCCGAGCAAAAGACTTGTACTCCGACAAGTTCATCGAGAGTCCACTAGCTATTAAGCTTGATGTGGCGGTGAAGGATTTGACTTCAGACATAAAGAAACAGGTGAAGGACCAAAAGAAACGCCTCAAACAAGCAAACAGGTCAATGCGTGACGCGTTGTGCTACCCTTCGCCTGAACGGTCACCTGGGACCTCTCCAGAACGGAACCTGCACTCCCAGGATGACCTGTGTCAAATAAGCATTGGTCAAAACAACTTGAATCTCAAGCGCTCAAGTTCCTCATCTGAGCCCGTTGACTCTGACAACGCAGAAAGACCCCATAAGCGTACACGGTATGCACCACCACCCGATTGGAAAGTAGTTTTGTTAACGAAATTTTAGGCTCGACCCCTCATCCTCTTCCTCCGACAATGCTTGCCTACCATCTCCGGCTCCCTCACTACATGAAATTTCCGACGATTGTGGGGTGCTGCCTTCTACCGTGACTCCGTTAAATGTTGCGCCTTCATTGACAATACCAAGTAAGAAGAGAAAACGATGCTTATCTGACGTTGGTCAGGACGGTCCCAAACGTCCCCCAAATAGCCGTGTCACCCCTCGCTTACAAACGGCGTCCGATCCTTTCCCCACATCCAAGGCGATTCCTTCCTTCGACGAATGGTACCAAAATACCTTCACTGCTGCCCACCGTGACATCCCAGATGCAGTCAGCGTCAAGGCTCCCGATGCCAGTACACCATTGGACATTGAGATTTACAATTTCGCCCCATATCACGCTCAGGCAACATTGTCTCCAGCTGCTTGTATGTCGTAACTCGCGATCATTACATATCACTGATTTTGATATCATTATAGCTTTGTCCGATTCCGTTATCACGGTGGCTACGCCCACCACGGAGAGCGACTACATGTGTAATGGCAGGGCTACCTTTTCCTGGTTTGAATTTGACCATTGCAGCTTCCCTGAACTTATTTCCCCCGAAGGTGCAAAGTTAATTAGGATGTCATGTGGCAATCTCGCTGATTCTATCTGGCTTAACAGTGAACCCAGCATCTAACAATGAATTGTCGTTGCCGTTTAACTTCTGTGATCCATCCACCGACGAAGTCGTTTCTCGATCAATCTTACCACTTCTCGATTGGAGGGATTGCAGTTCCTTGTCTCAGACTGCAGTCTCGCCACCCCACAGCATTCTTCGAAGTAACTCCAAATCACCAGATGTGATGGCCTTCGGCCTTGACCTAACCAACGCGTTTACGGGTATTACTTACTCGTTACAGTCCTACAAAGAAGAAAAGCAAATGGAGCCTTTTGCGATGCAACCGAGACTTTCGGTTCTCGAAGGAGAGCTCGCCGCCACTCCACGATAAAACCCTCCCATCACCAGCCTCCCTCTTCAGCATTACATTTACATTTCGCATATCGTGCTACTCATTTATCGTTATACTTTACTTATGGTCTACTTTGTCATATTTCCGACGAGAACTTTGTAAAGGTCATCTTTGTGTAAACATACACCCAAACCAGACTCCGGACATAAATCCAAAACGTTGAGAAGTGTGGCAGTCATCCATTTAAGACATCCCGTAACGACAGGATCGAGCTAACTCATCCCTTACTAAAATGGGTGTCTGGCGATGGGACGACTACATCAATGTCGTCCATGTACACCAATTTCACTATTAATCTTCCAGCGCCCAATCTCCCGCATCGCTTCAGCGTCGCCAGTGCTTAACTCCGGCACATCGAGTAAAGCGCTGACCATCTTCCAGGGATCCTTCCCTCCACCAAAACGCAAAACTTCACATTTGAATTTCTCGCCCGTCTCTCGATCGAGAGGATCGTCTAAGAAGACGTTGCGCCATACTCGTGAAGCAATGGCACGATCAAGAAGGTAAGAGTAATATGTCGCGCCATACCCATAGAGGTGTCCGAACTGTGTTTGGAATGAGGTTCCAGGGACATATGGGATTAATCCGCGTGTGTTATGTACTTTGGCAAGCTCGGCGGTTGAGTCAAAAGTGGGGTCCAACACCGCAGGGGAATGGTATACCTGATCAACTGCGGCAAGAAGAATTTGAGAGTAGGTATCGATGAAATGACAGGGATCATTGTGGTGATTACCAATATGTCGAACTGTCGACGTTCCATCGACGTCAAACAGGGATAAGACAGTAGGTGAGTTGAGAAAATGTTCCATGAGGATTGACGGAAACTCTACGAAGTCAGTGGCGCAGCGAGTTCCAGCAACATTTTGATATTCAGTCCGACCAATCATGGCTGGGATGACATTAGTATATCTGTTCGTAGGGTCAGAGAAGCAACTTACAATGCATTGCATGACCCATTTCATGGAAGAGCGTTAGCACCTCGTGCCATTCTAGAACGGTTGGTCCTTTGGACGGCGTCGGTCGAGCAAATTCACACAACAGAACAACCAGAGGCAACTGATAGATGCCGTCTTGATTTGGGAGACGGTGCCGTTTAACGGCTTCAAACTCCTGGGATTCATAAATGAGAAGTTCAGCACCTTCAACGGTGCCATCAGATGATTCGTCGTCGTCGTCGGTCCTCCGCGAGCAACGAACAGTGTAATGGGCTGCCCCACTCGCCTTCCCTCTTCTTGCAAAGAGATCTGCGTATATCCAGCCAATGATGCCCTGATCTTGATCTACTACCTCCAGTTTTTGAACATCTGTGTGCCAGACCTCTCCGGAGGCCGAATCAGCGGGGCGCAATGAGATTCCGTACATGTGTTGGAACAGACGGGATAGACCCATGAAAACGGTCCCCAACGTCAGTGGAGGAAGTGGTATTGGGGGCGCTGGGGGGTCTGGTGGGCAGTAAAAGTCCCTATCCCATGCCTGTATGATAGGTAGCGAAGAAGTTCCATGATGGAGCTGTTTTCGTTCACTCAAGGTGTGCAATGCACGTCGAGCGAAGGGTTTTGTATGGTCCATAAGTGCGTCAAGAAAATTCCACACGTTATCTGTAATATTCGTTATACCTAGCCATGGCAAAGTGTCTCCGGCTTACCTGGAGTTTTTGCCATCTTATCGTCAAGTGTCATATGCGCAAAACTATCACGCCCAACCAGACGTGCGAGTTCTGCGCGGGTTCGTAAGAGTTTCTCTAAAACTTCTATTTGTTGAGGGGTGCTTGAGTTCGCAGCCAGGTACACCTGTCGACGAGGCTCCTCTTCAGGAGCCGAGCGCATAATCATCTGCGCCTGTAAAGACCCAGGATAGACCTGAAGGTCGCGTTGAGTAAACTGAGCTTGAAGCTGCAGCCTCACCCCCATTCCCTTGTCCTTCAAACCGGATAGTTGTGATGGCTTGATGGAAGCTGGGGGTCGTGGTGCATTGGCACCTTCGAGGAATTGCCTCCCCAGGACGAGTATGTCCGATGATAACGAAACAAACTTCTTGCGCTGCTCTGCAGGCAAATCAATGGCGGACTTCTCAAAGTCGCGCCAGAATATCAGGGCTGTCTGGTGAGCCTCTGGGCCAAGTGTCTTGACGATGCTTGGGTCAGACAATACAGCTTTCAGGACCTGGACGCGTTTCCATGAATTGGAAGATGCATAGATATGATTATCATTGACATACTTCATATAGTCCGACATGAGTGTTCAATACGTTCATAAATTCACATAATGTCTCGTACGCTCTGTTGGCAGCATCCACCCAGCTTCGATCTGGATGAGCATTCCGGACAAGTTCTGCGAGATCAATGACACCGCATAACATGTCACTGAGTCGGTCAAGGTTCTTCACTACCCGAAGCAGCTCCGTTCGAGACTCCCGAGCCCGAAGGATGCGGTCCGTCAAAAGTTGCGCGCGTACTACGGTTGCATCCGCTAGAGATATCAGTGCGCGAGGGTGTGTGAGTGATGGGTGACCGAAGAGGCCTGTTGTGGCGAAGGGGGAGCGAAGGGTGGATCTCGGCTGATCAAACAAAGTCACAAGAGCCTTGTCGTCGACCGAGGCGTAAATGAGATGCTGGACCTTGGTGGTCAAAGGTCGGTTGGCGCGCTTGGAGAAAAGACACCCTTGAAAACGGAATGGCTGCAAATTTTGAGGTCGTTTTTTGAGGGCATTTCGAGCAGAGTTGGCGAACATCAATGAGAGTGAAAGAGAGACTTATAGAAGCTTAGTAGGGAGTGGTACGAACGACAGCCAAAATCTTTCGCAGAATATTGAGGACAGGCCCAGAGTTTTCCGGGTCACATGGCCCAGACCTGCGAATAAGATTATTTGGATATTACTTCTAATCCCACCAACAAATGCAAAAAATATATGAGATAGTGCTGAGTAACGTGTTGTGTAGCCCGAAAATGAGAGAGATTAATCGACGATGTGATCTAAGCTATGTCGAGTCAAGCGGAATTCAACGGAGAAAGGCTTCTTTCGTAGTCCATACTGTCTCCCTGTATTTCTGGTGATGTTGAATCATGGCTCTTAACGTCCAGTCCATTGCCATTATTTCCTGCTGGCGTTACACCATTGGTTGATCCAGGTTCGGGGGGTGCAGGGTCTGCCGCCCCAGGTATAGGCTCAACGGCGTAAACCCAAAATTTGGACCGTTTCTTTCCCGCGATCTCTTCCATAGCAACTTCGGTCGGCTTGAGAGCTGCAGCACCAGACACCTTGATTTTCAAGTGAGACGTAGAGCCGTTGGTCATGGGAACTTCCAGAGAAGTTGCGCTTGTCGTGCTTTCTTCCGTACGAGCGCGTTTATGTGGAGGTTCTACATCAAATTGATGATCAAGAGGGGCGCCAAGCCGTGAGGAGCGTCGCTCGCCGCGCCAGCTCCATGAATCGGAAGATCCTTCCCGTTTCCCGTTTCCATTCACCACGGCGGTGCGGGTCGAACGTCGTCGGCCGTCGGATACAATCCGTCGTCTTTTTGTCCCATGTGTACCTTCACGGAAATTCAAGAAATCCTCATCATCGAATTCTTCATCGTTCACTTCCTCCTCTTGGTATCTGTACTCATCTGCATCATCCTAAGTTCCAAAATTAGCAAATCAGCTGAGATCATTCGTCAAGACCCAACAAATTGGCTTGCCTCGCTGTCAAAATCATTTTCATATACGTAATCTGGCTTTTGTGTTTTTCGCCGCGTTCGAGTTTCCCGAATCTCTGCTTGCGCGAGCAGCAGCCGTCGCTGCTCCAATTTCTTCTGTACTTTTTGGACGCGCTATACATTAGTGCGCATGAGACTCGCGAAACCCACGCTGATGTCGATTTGACACACCACAAGCTCGGCGTCAATTGTTTCAATCCGGTTTTCGAGGGTCGCAATCAACGCAAGATGGGCTTGCTCCAGCTTGGACCTCTTTTGTTTCTTCTTCAACTCGGGGGGTGCTGTAGCCTTCAGGTTTTCGATAACCGCCACGTATTCTTCCCGAGTGGATGAAATGGTTTGGAAGGTAGCTGTAGTTTTCCATGGATTCGTCGAAACATAGATACGCGGTGAATCTGGTGGGAAAGATGAATAGTCAGTTAGCGGTTACAAAATGCTGTTATCCGACGGCAAGACCCGAGAGCACAGTAAAGCAGGGATAGCAAACAGGTCCCCAGGCAAATACACGCAAATAGGAAGACGGCGACTGTGCACGGACCATCTGCAATCCAGAAACGTTTACGGTGAGAGTCTTGTCCGATGGGAGTGAGCTGGAGTCGTTCTTGACTTTTGGGGTCATCTGGACTTGGAGGCGCTGTAGCCGCGTCTTTCTTCTTATGTTTGTTATGCACAACACCCCATGCGCGATCGATAGTGGCCTTGATGTCGGAGGAATGAGAGAGCTGCAGCTCGACAAGCTGGCGCAGGATTTTGAGCTGAACAGAACATTGTAAGCCTAATACGTCGGGTTTCACCAGAACAAATGAACATTCCTTGAAGTCCCAATCTGTGGCAAAGAAACCACTATCCAATCCTTCAAAAGGATCCACGTTGGCTCTTAGATCCTCGTCCCAAAATATTGTTCTCTCCGAGGATTTGAAATATTCAGAGAGGACGCTCGCCACAGTAGACGAGATTTGATCTGTGCTACTAGCACGGCAACGTCGTTAAAGTAGTCGAATTCAGAACGTGGTTGGGAATGCGTTCACCTCAAGTTACGCGTATGCGGCTTCAAATTCAGGATGAATTGTCCAAGAAGTTGGGTGAGAATGGGATTGGGCTCCTTTGACAAGAGCGCGGTTTCGAAACTAAGGAAAAAAGGTTCCCAAACGATGAGTTTTCTTCAGTATGGACCATAGCAAGTGCAAGAGTGCTCACTCCATCGGTGTCTCCAAGCCTTCAATCTTTCCTCGTAGACTGGTGAATTTACAAACGAAAGAGTAAACAAACAAGGATTCCCAACGGTCTGAGGGATGTATAGCATTGGAAGGCGGGCATACGTGCGATTTCTTGTCTGAAGGATGAGCTTTCGACATGTAGGACTTTGGTCACGAAAGACGCGACTAGCCAAGACTGAGCGAAGAACAAGTGAAGAAAGATCACAGTCACATCTCTTACATATTTTTCAAAGTGGAACAAATATATTACAATAGCAGCCTATCAAAGGAACCATACATTCCACTCCAAGAACTCCCAACTCTCATAGAACAGCTGGGGTGTCGGATATTCTTGAGTGTTGGTCCAATACTTTCTTTGGGTACAGAAATGAACCGTGCAAGCCAGAAACCGACGACGATGTTATCCAGGTCCGACCTATTAGTATAGCATTGTGAGAATGTAACACAACTAGATGAGTTCTGTGTACCTTGGGGATATCGTGGTGTTCACTTAATGACTCGAGATGAGCATTGAACTCATTGACGCGATCTTTATGAGTCTTGCCCGCAAGCTTTGCCACGCGATGCGCAAGCTAGAGATATGTCAGAGCTATGAAGTAACCAAAAGAACGACGAGCGTACCCTTCGCCTCTGCGCCTCCTCAAAGCGTTTCTCGGCTTCCGTCTTTTTGGAAGAGCTGCTCACGATGGCAGGGGAGTTTCGCCCGCTCCCCGAAGGGGTCTTTGTGATGTCCTCTTCTTGGAAGAGAAGTTCTTTGACCCGTTCACGTTCGCGTTCCAGTTCGGATGGCTCGTCTCTCAGCTTTGACTTTTTCTTCTTTCTGAAGTCCAATCAGCAGGTGGGCCAGAAAGAGGGAGAAGATACTAAATACTTTTTCACGATTCCACCCTCGGCAACCCCGCCTTTCAGCTTGAGGGAGCCGCCTGGGCGTATATCGTAATCGGACATGAGTGAAGGAAGTCAAGAGGTGTGACGATGGATTCTGAATCACGTGTACACTTGAGTTGGCAACCCTTTCCTTGCCAGCCTGAGCGAACTTTGTAGTGAACTACGAAATGGCAGTCTTATCCTCGCCGCTTGTCTTGATTCAGTCCATTCCGCCTGTTACGCGTGCTTTTACCGCTGCCACCGTCCTGTCTTCTGCCCTTTATGCCTGGCTATGGTGGAAAGGATTGGCCTCTGATGCATCCCATTACCTAACTCTCGTACCCGGTTCCAGTCTTTTCACTCCATGGACGTTCTTCACATCCGCATTTGTGGAAACAAGTATATTTGAGGTATGTTTTACAACCCAAGTTCTCGTATGCCATTCATCTTTCAGTAGTTTATTGCAACTCTCGTCTTCGTCCCTGCAGCGTTGAAATATCTCGAACGGCTGTGGGGAAGTGTGGAAATTGCCAAATTTATTGTGGTCTCCATCGTCGCTTCCAATATTATTGCGTTTGGATTCAATTGGATTGAGTTTATCGCGACTGGGAACGCAGACCTCTTCTTGTGCGCGTTTTTTTCGTCTCATCTCCTTCGAGTGCTCAAGTGGTCTCTCCCAGATATGGCATGCGTTATCATGGGCAGATGGCTTTGCAAATTGCTCTGTTGGTAGCTTTCACGCAATTAATTCCGGAGCACCAAGTTCAGGTCATGGGCGTAATCAAGACTCGAGTCAAGGTTCGTTGCCATTGCGTTTAAGCCAGGAAAGGTTCGATAAAACCCATTTACAGAGCCTCCCCATGGCATATCTCACGTTATCGACCGTGCTGTGCTTTGTAGGTTTCCAATGCCCGTGGATTATAATCCAATTTGGATGGTTCGTTGGATGGATCTATCTCCGATTTTACAAGAAAAACGCAGGGGACTCTCTTGGTGGAAGCACCTACGGTGATCGTAGCGAAACGTTCTCCCTAATCTCGTGGTTCCCTCCCTTCATGCAGTGCGTTATCCAATTAAAGTATCTCAGATCGAATCTTCATGCATCCTTAGCTATCCCTTGACACTTCTTGGGAATTTTGTATATTCGCTAGCTACTCGCTTCCACCTTATTCCTGTAGCTGGAGCTGATGTTGAGGGTGGTAACTACAGCCAAGTTCCTGGCACTGCGAGGGCGGAGGCGGAGAGGCGACGGTGGGTTGTTAGGGTGCTTTGACGTGACTCGCTTGTCTGACTTTCGTATTCATTTCAGAGCCATGGCGTTGAAGGCGTTGGATCAAAGGCTGGCGAATAACTCTTCACCTCAAGGATCGAGTTCAACAAATGGTTCACCACAATCAACTCGACTACCACCGTCACAACCTGCCACCATAGCTCGTTCAGATAGTCTTGGGGCTTCTCCCCCCTCTACTCAAAATAGTCGCCAAAACAGCGGAAAGAGCTTAAGCGAGACGGACCTCACGGATTCGGTCAAGGCGACATCGGAGCTACGGTAGTTGAGGCTAAAACTTGCTCATCGTAGATAGATGTAGTTTCCCATTCACGTAATTATTATATGTTTTCTGCTTGCAAGTTACGCATTACGTAATATGACTCAACCTTGATTCGAGGAAACTCTCCAAACCACAACCTCTTATTTAATGTCTCGTCGGTCGACGGTCCTGTCTACTGCTTCTTTCTCATCCCCGCCACGCAGCAGTCATTCACAACAAAATACCCCTGGAACACCATACCCCCGAATTCACGACACAACAAAACATCAAAATGACCGTCTGAACGTTGACCCCAATGAACTGTTTACAAGGCACACAATCGCCGAAGTTAGGACTGTCCAACACCGACTGAGGTATTACTATTTCAATCACCTTAGAACAGTTGGTTTAATTTCTCACCATAGGACAGATGCAGACGCCAAGCAAGAAGAACTCAGGCTTATGGTTGGGTGCGTACAATGAGCGGAAGATTTTGACCATGCCTTGAGACGTTGCCTTGAAAGCGCAGAGAACGGTATCGCGATCTTCTCCAAACCTCGTCATCAATTATTTCCATCGCGCAATCTTCGCGACGTGTGCTAGATGCGCTTGATGAAAGCAAGGGGGCAATTCTCTCACAGGCGGAACCGCCTCTTCCCCAGCGAACGTCTAATCTGGGCAGTGTGAACGGTATGTTTATGGAAATTGCTTTTATCTTGTACCCAACCGATGAATTTTTAGACAGGCGTCTTCGCAGTTTGCAAGTCCTGTCTGCCCATATAAAGCTATTACTTGACGCTCCAGAGCACCTTTGGCGTCTCATAGATCGAAAGAAATATCTTCCGGCTGCCTGGCTGTTCCTATTGACTCGTGTGGTTCATAGAGCGCTTGTGAGGTCAGAAGAACATGATGAGGAGACGTGGAATAATCTTGGTATTGATGTCTTGGTATGCTACAACTTCTTTTCCCGACAATTCAACAATTAACGATGTTACAGGACGAGTTTCCATTGATTCAGCGTCAGTGGGACGCAGTATCCCAATTTCGTTCTCAAATAATCCACAAGGCCACTCTTTTCCTTCGAGAAATGATTTCCCCCGAGGTATTGTTAGTTTCCTTAGTCGGCCGACCTCCGGTGAATGTTATAACAGGACGCTTGTGCTACCCTCATCACTTTGCATCTCCTGGATTCTCGCCCGCTCAGCGACACGCTATCTGCTCTTCTTGGGCAACGCTCTAAGGCTCTGCAGCTGAACCTTTCATGGAGGGTCGATGAGAAAACCCCCGCAGAGTATTCCACCACAACAGGTCTTGTTATGAACGGCCATGCAAAGCTCCCCTCTTCTAACGTATCTGTTCGACGGCATTATACTCGGGAAGTCACGCAAGCCATCCAGAAAACCCTTGGAACTATCTCCCAGACAGTCTGTTCAGCTCGACGGATCTTCCAGGACGGCGGAGACAACTCTTCATTGATAGTTCACGCTCTACAATCAATACAGTCCGAATCTTTAGAATCGTCGGCGGATCATCTGCCACCTACTGAAATCTACCAATCCACCCACACCCTGCTCACAAACCTGACATCTTCAGCCCATTTTCATCTTCTCCCCCCGAGTCTCCGCTCTTATAGGCCATACGTTGACATAGATTCCTCTTCAGCTCATCTTTCGCAAGCGAAATTTGTTGAGAAACTGCAGGACTGGTTCCAACACTCAACAGGGCAATGGCGCGCTTCCACAGAAGTGTGGATGTCAAGCATCCAATCGGTCCGAGAAGTTTGGACACTGAGATCGTCTATAAGGCGATGGGTAGCGTCGTCTAGACTTGAGGAGCAAGAAAAGTCGCAAATATCTAGTATGCAGGACGATCTTTGTCATGAACGTATTCTTGCCATTTGGCGCTTTGAGTTGGCCCATGCCAGTGATGCTTTTAAAACCCAACTGGGACTCACCCTCTCCTCGATATCTCGGCAAGAACAGGAGACGCGATTAGGTATGATGAAACGCACAAGTATGCCTTGGATGACATGCTGATAAGATTTTAGAAACGCCACTAGATATTCTTTTCAGGCCTACACCAGCACCCGTCCTTTCCCAAACACTTAAGCTAAACACGGATACTCCTTTCCGCAAATACCAGGCAATGCTGAAAGGTCAGCTGATTGGTCGTACAACACAACTTGACGAGGTATTGTCGACTCTCGAGCGATGTGCGAGCACAATTCAACAAGATCTCGCACATATAATGGGAGTTGAAATGGAAGCAGATACGTAAGGTGCTGCTTTCCACATGGTCCTGCCAATGCTCATTCTTGATATCACCAGCGCGATGGTGGAGCGATTAACCCGAGCATATCAACCCGCCGCGGAGTCAACGTCAGCCGGCATCGTGCATATGTTGGAATGTATTGTTGTGGATGTTATTGACAATTCGGGTTCATATCCTTAAGTGTGCTCTTGTTGTAATACTGACAACTTGTTGGTTGACAGAAATTTCCATTCACGATATCGTCTTTGTGGCTCAGCTCCTGGATAGTTTGATGGTATCCTCTAACTTCATAACTCAAATAGGATGTGGGCATTCTGCAATGCAAAGTTAGTCTATTTTTTGGTTTTTTCGTATCCCGTGAATCAAATTACCACCTGCAGGTTTCAAGGTCAAGACGGCCGCTCTCCACGATCGTATGATCGACCGATGGCGAGAGTGCACCATCACGCGCATCTTTCGCGAAAATAACCTGCATCAACCAAAGCATACCACGATAGCAACAGGTGAGCTTCACGTCCTCAATGACAGCAAAAAATCTCATACACAATCTAGTCCCTTCAGGACCCTCACCTCCACTCTTCCGATCCTTCCTCTCGATATCAGCCGCTATCCAACAGCTAGGAATTCTAAGGCATCAGCCCAGGCGCGATATAATTATACAGTCTACTCTGCAATCTATGATCACGTCGTGGGTTGATAATGAACCTCAGCAGCTGGATGAACAACATTTGCAAGACTTAGCCTTTCTTCTCGTCGTCGTGGATCTGTTTGGCAGTGTCTGGGCCGACTTATCGCAGTCTCTGGAAGGAAGATTGAAAACCCATGTGAGATGCAATTATCTGGAGCAACACGACACAGTCACTCATTGTACTCCAGATATACCCCACTTTAGCCGTGAATGACTTGAGACGAAATGCGACAGAGTATCTCGCACGGACCCAGACACTCTTTTCTGTTCTTCTTCCACAGGTGTCCCATGGCAACTCTGGCAATCCACCTCCGGACGCCGGCGACAAACTTTCAAGCTTCCTTTTGTTCGGGACGCCATCATCGAGCCAGCAATACTACTCTGCGATCGAATTGGTCAAGCCGAGCTCACGGTTTGGTTTGTTGCTCGTAGGTAATATGGATCTGTCGACGTAGAACTAAAAATTTGAAACGTTCAACATTTGAGGTCGTGCCACCATCCACGTAGAGACGCTGCTCTCCTTATTCACGTGTGTCTAGTTTTACCTCGCACGCTATTCAGTGACCCCTTCCTGTGAACAGACTGCCGAAATTATATTTCATTACCATAGAATATCCTCCGAATTGGATTTTTCCTTTTCATATTCTTGCCAGGAGGCCGCCCAAAAAATTAACACAAGTTGGGCTACATACTTGACTCCATCAAGAGATCCAAGCGACGGTGATAAATGCAACATGATAAGATCATGATTTATCACCCAGACGGAATGATGGCGGCTGTGGAGTGTGTTCCGAAGAATTTGAAATGAACTTGCAATTAGATCTCAAACTGTTGTCACTTGCGAGCCTTTCAGGTTGCTTAATTTCCTTTCCTTGACCTCTTCTTTCAGCGTCGAATGTCTGAGCAACGCGCTTAGAACGTGCTCTTAAAATTCTGCCTCCCTGGACAATGCAAGGTACGTTTTACGGCCTTCCGTGATAGTGACGCATATACTGATCTACTTGACGACCATAGTCGACGCAGGCGCAGATGCTGGCATTCCTAATTTCAAGCACTTGGTGCCCACATATCTCGCTCTCCATATCATTGGCGGCTTGGTTTGTTTACCTGCACTAATTGCGACCTTTATCTTCTCGAATAAAGTTACATGCCATCCGACCCTCATTAACTTTTGCTGCACCTGGGTGATCTATTCTATATCTTATTGTATATTGTGAGTGCTTGGAGTTCAACATTTTTGCTCGTCCCAATCATCCGACAAATCATATAGATTATTTGGTGGAAAGGCCGAAGACCCTCCAGGAACATTATGCTACGTACAATCAGCGATGAGTCATGGTTCTTCGCCAATGTCAGTTTTTCACCATACAACATTCTGAACAACGATGTTCAATCTTCTCCGACCTGGCAGGGTGGCAGTTTCAACTCTCATCCTGGTTGTCCAAGTTTGTATCATCCTCAAACTCAAAATGCGGGCTTTGAGATTCCTTTCTAGACCTGGTTGACGTTTCGCGAGCCGACACAAAGTTTTGGAGGTCAAAGATGGTCTCAAACAACGAAACTTGCATTTGTAGGTTTACCAGACTTTTTTTTTCTCAGTTCTAACGAGTGTTCTAGACTATCGCTACTCCTTATATAGTTTTTATTTTATTTACAGTCTTAACAAGTGTGGTACGCAATCGCATTGAGTATCGTTTCAGATCGCGTTCGAACAACCCTTAGCTCCAAGCTCGAGATCCTCAGACTGTCAGGGCACCGACGGGACTTTACTGCAGCATCTATGGGACTTTTTTGTAGGCACCATGGTTTTTTCACGTTGGCGTTTCTCACTCAATTGATAGCGGTCGTTGGGGTGTCCAGGCTTTCTGTACGGTGTCCCTCGTTTTGATTGTTGCTTTTGAAGGTTCGTTCTTTCACGCGGTTGGATACATCGTGCTCATGAGCGTCATTCAGCGGCGATTGGAGTCCGTTATATTCGAATGCGCAAGCAAATGAGCAGCGTGTTTCCGTTGGCAAACAGAACGACCTCACTTGCGCTGGTCGTGCGCGTGGCATTGTTCAATGTGTACTCAGTTATCACCCTGGGGTGTGTATGCACGACTGAAAATCATAATTTGAACTGATGGTGACACCTTGGCAACAGAGTCGGAATTTTGCTTCTGGCAAATAATTTCTCTGCATGGCCTGTAATGATACAAGCAGCTCGTCAGTCATTTCGTAACACTCATGAGGCGACTTTGCTGACTGTAACATAGTACCGTTGGCGGCAGTGGTCGTCTTTGGAACACAAAAGGTAGTGTGATACCCTGTATTGTGAGCGAGTCGTTCTCTAAAAAGCCTTCAGGATGTTTTTCTCGTTTGGTATTTTTGGAAGAAGAAACGGAGATCCGAAGACAGGCGTTCGCGCGAGAGCATCCCGGTATTTCGTAGGCCAGATTCCGTCAGAACTGAAATGGACTCCACGATACGATGTGACAATGGACCACGTTTCGTTTGAATATGACAAACCGCGTCCTGGCGTTTGGTGTGATCCATAACCAATAAATTATATATAACCGGTACACGACAAAAGATTAAGCTCCACCGCTGTCAAGATAGTCTGTTATTCAAAGAGCAAGAATGATCATATAAAATGAGGCGTACACAAGAATATTGTTTCTGGAAAGTAAGATAAGGGCATGTAAAAGGATACGTGGAAGTCATGACGCACATTGGGATGTGAATGAGTTTGACAAAGTAACCAATGAAACCCATGACGGCGAACCCGACGGCGACTGCCTTGCAAATTTGTGTGAACTCTGGAATCTTCAATGTCAGTAGTTGAGGACGTGAGAGGGACAGATAGCGCACCCTTTTGCGACGGTTTCGTGCAACGTGTAAGAAACTGGGATGCAGGGGGTGAGCAGTTGGCTGTTCAAAAGTTCAGTACACTACAAACCTGATTGCCGTCGCGAATGAATTGCTGAGGAACGTCGATGAATTCGCGTATTTTGTCCGACATGGTTGTGGTGAATGAAGTTGTAATTAGGTGTGCTGGCGTGTGCTGATAATATTCTCACGGGGGAAACCTTTGAATAGTTCTTCTGGTTATTTAACACAACGACTGGACACGTATGAATGTTCGTGAGTAGAGCTCTCTTGCCGCTTCCAGCCCGTCGTGCTTTCGCTCGCCTCGCCATACATAATGTCCCCCGTCTGGCCATCTCGTCGACCACCCGTTCCTTCGCCACATCTACAGATTCGACGAGTAAAATAGATGTCCTCGCTGAAACCCTCGGCAATTTCGACCATGTTAGCACTATCCACACCACCTATCACCAATTCGTTGAAGAGCTCCGGAAAGCCAAAATGATCAAGCCCACTCCTTCTCCCTTGCAAAAGAACCAACTCCTTGGTATCTTGCAGTCTTTGGCAAAGTCGGGACGTCCTGAAGATCTCCAACGAGTAGAAGAAATCCTTCATGATTTGCAACCTATGTTGGGAATTGAACCTACAATGGATTATTATTCTGCCATAATCCGAGGCCTCATAGATCGCGGTAATGTGGCCAGCGTTCACAATTGGCTTTTGAAGATGCCCAAACTCCCTGGATTCTTCGCCCCTACTCTTGAACATTTTCACACGTTTCTTGAAGCTTGCACGGAGATCTCAACGTTCAAGGTCATGCGCGCTATAGTTTTTGACATGCGCAGATGTAGATGCAAACCTACGAATCAAACCTTCAACATTCTCATTCGCGGGCGTTGGAAATTGGCATTGGAGGAAGGGAACATCCCTCATGTTGTGGTATTTTCGTCCCTAATGGAGGATATGGAAAAGTTCGGTTTGCCATTTGATCCCTCCACTGAAAAGCTTTTATACGATGGATACGCGGAGGTTGGTCGTTATACCGACGCCGAAAAAGTTCGCGTCTTGTATAAAAACAAGTTCAAGGTCGCTAAAGGGAGCGGTGAATGGCAAACGAGCCTCTCTCACGCGGGTCAATCAGACGGTGTAGCTGCTGCAATTGCGTTGTTTAAAGTCCTCGAGGTGGAAGGCTGCCCGCGGTCTCCTGGGATCATTAGCTCAATCGTCCGCCATTCGAGAACAGTGGCAGACCTCCAGCTCGTTGAAAATCAGATGCAAGTCAAGTGCAATGAAGTTCATTGGGCCATGGTCATCACCAACTGTCTACGCTCAGGTCAAATTACTCAGGGTCTGGAAATATATGAGGCGTCTGTCCAGGCCGATATTAAACCCGACGCGGCACTGGTATCCCCAATACTTCGAGCGTTACGTCGCTTGGAACCCCCTGAAGACTCAGCTGTCGATCAAGCGTTGGCCATTTACCATGACCTAGCAAGGGCTCACCCGCCGACCATTGCTAGTGGAGAGGCAGACCAAACTCCCCGCACTCACCCTCGTGGTCCAGACTTGGATATCTATCATGCTCTCCTCCAGATGCTCGCCTCGTCAGAAAACCTTGACAAGTATCATCCGATTGCGCTCTCACTCCTCGAGGACATGAAAGCTCGAGACATATCAACCAACGATAGCAGCATTACTGCTTCCATTATTATTCTTCAAATGAGACGTGCTTCGGACATGGCCGAAGCGATGGAAATATATCATCAGCATCGGTCTTCGCTAGACGGGGAGGGCTACGCCGTCGTTCTAGGCTGCGTTAGTAAACTCCAATTCAGCAATTTGCCATTACCTTCCATCAGAGACTACTTCAGCATTGTCAACGATATGCGGATGGCTGGGATTGAACTGAATGCAAAAGTTTATACGATTCTCCTTCATCGAGTCGCAAAACTTGCAACGCATCTCAAAAAAACCGACGCAATGACCGATGAGCTTCACAATTTTCTGGTCACAACAACTCGTCGTATACACGATTTTATTTCCCTGGACGCCTCTCTTACACCTGATGCCATTCTATGGAATCAAGTTATGGACACTTATCAGCGTCTTGGCTGTTTTGCAGACGCATATAGGGTTTGGGAAGTGGTGTATTTAACTGGCAGATTCGACTATGTCAGTATTAGCATCATCCTTGATGCCTGTACTCATGCAGGGGACCTGTCTACGGCGACAGCGATCTGGAACAAGCTGTCCCGAGATCGATATGCATTCAATCTGCATAACTGGAATACATGGATCGAATGTCTTTGCCGACTGGGCAGACTCGGCGATGCGGTCGGAGTAGTTTGCACTGGTATGCAAAAAGGGGGCACAGAACCGGATGTCGAGACAGTCAAAATACTGGTTAAGTACGCCAGGCAACTAAATCAGCACCACGAAGTTCTCCCACATATAGAACATTATCTACCACATCTGTATAGCGAGCTCCCAGAGTATCTTAAAGTCAAAAAGTCTGTGTAATGTTCCTCATTGAAGATCACGGGTGATGTTGTAATTGTACAAGTGTTATATAGATAGATATATGTCTAGGCGCGCATGGTTGAGCAGCGCGTTTGGGCTGGGCCAGAGCCATCTAGGGGAATAGAGAGCCCATGCAAACAAAACGAGGCGATAGTAGTGCGATCTACATGGCTGACTCAAACTCTTCCACCGATGGACAGTCACACTAGATGTCCCAAGTTGTCAGTGCAGGACAAATAAGAGGGGAGGTTTAGTCACGTACAATCAAGTTCAAATCCCCGTATGCTTGAAAAAAAGTGTGTGTGAGAGACAGCAGACAAAGTGCTAAAGATAACCACATACCATCGTCAATGCGTGACACGGTGGGCCAAAACTTCTTTTCCTTCAACCAAGGAAGTGGGTAGGCAGCAGTTTGGCGAGAGTATGGGCTGTGAAGGCATTCACTACTGTGCAAGAGTCAATATGGGATATGTACACACCGATTCCATTCCTCTTCTGATAGGGTAATGACAGACATAGGGTGAGGTGCGTTCTTCAAAAGATTATTGTCCCTTGGCTGTTTTCCAGTGATGATGTCTTCCGCTTCCTTACGGATCTGAATCATCGCATCACAAAATCTGAACCAGATGAACAACCATAAAACACGAGATCATGAAGGTGTTACCTATCAAGTTCGTCGAGTGTTTCCGATTCAGTGGGTTCAATCAGCATACATGTCGAGATCGGCCACGAGCAAGTCGGAGGATGGAAGCCGTAGTCCTATGCAATGTTATGAGCTCCTGCTTGTGGAGAAATTGTAACAACGAACCTGCAATCGCTTAGCAAAGTCTGTCACTTTAAGGCCCGCAGCCTTGTCGAATTCCGCAAGGTCAATCAAGAGTTCGTGCGCGACGCGTCCTTTCTCGTTTTTGTACCTCAAGTTGTAATGTCCGAATAAGCGACTTGCCATGTAGTTGGCGTTGAGTAAAGCCAGTTTGGAGGAATCGGCAAGACCCTGGCCACCCAGCATTTTGATATAAGCCCAAGAGATCAGGTTAATCGAGGCGCTGCCAAAGGGTGCCGCGGAGACGGCGTCGATCGCTTGCTCTCCTTTCTCTGGCATGGCTGGATGGCTGGGCAAGAAAGGAGCAAGGTGCTTTGCAACGCAAATTGGCCTACAAAATTTTGAGTCAATTAGTGAACATCCTCACACGATAGAAAAACTTACCCAACACCAGGACCACCTCCCCCATGCGGACTAATGAGTTGAATGGTGAGATACGGAAGTTGAAACTGAACAAAGCCGCATACATTGCAAATGTCTTATGGAGATTCATGTGGCAAACATCACCGCCACATGTGGCAGGATTGGTCAAGCTGATCTGAGCGTTGAGGTTTGCACCATCCAAGTAAACTTGACCGCCATTGTCATGTATAATTTGGCATGCCTTGCGAGCGAATGAGCTTCTCAAAGAACCGTGCGACAAAGCTCCAGACTCACATCCTGAACGCCAGCCTCGAACACGCCAAATGTTGATGGGTAAGTAATCTGATGGAAGGAGGGATCAGGGCCAGAGCATGTTTTTTTTGTTCGTTCCGTACCATGAACGCAGCGAGGTTGTCCCTGTGTTTCTCGGCCTTGGCCTTCAAATCTTGCAAATCTAGATTTCCATCAGGGTGAACCTGAACGGAAACGACTTTGAGCCCAGCCATAGCAGCCGACTGCGCGCTTGTTAAGCCAATACGATGAGAAGAGGGAGGGGTAGGGCTCACAGCAGGATTTGTGCCATGGGCACTTAGAGGAATAAGACAGATATCACGGTGGGCTTCACCACGAGATTCATGGTACGCGCGAATGACGCATAGACCGGCGTATTCTCCAGCGGCTCCAGAGTTCGGTTGCAGCGAGGCAGCGTAAAATCCAGTTATGCTGCACAAATCCTCTTCCAGTTCCTGTCACTCTCATCAGCAAAGAGGAGTAAGAAAGAGAGTGTTCAAAACCTTGATTACGGTATGATAACCCTTGAGCTGATCGTATGGAGCGAAGGGATGGACATCGCTAAACTCTGGCCATGTCAAGGGAATCATACTGCTTGTGCTGTTGAGTTTCATGGTGCAGCTTCCCAGAGGAATCATGGAATGGACCAAGCTGATATCCTTTGACGCAAGATGGTGAATATAGCGAAGCATTTCAGTTTCAGAATGATGCTTGTTGAAAACAGGATGGGGCAAGAAATCTGATTTTCTCTGCAATTTCACCGGGATGGACGACGACTGCGGTTCGGAGAGGTCCGACAAAGAGACAGGATTGGACGATGCGGTGGAAGCAAAGACGTTGATCAAGGAGACCAAATTAGTGGGAGATACGCTTTCATCGAAAGTCACTCCAACCGAGTTTTCATTGATACGACGAAGGTTGATTCCTGCAGCTTCCGCTCGCTGGTGAAGAGCCTCTGCGTTACCCGTCACTGCGGATACGTCGAGGGTGACTGTGTCAAAGAAGAAATCGTTTTTCAACTTATAACCCATGGCTGCTGCAGAAGATTGGAAGACTTGGGTGTACTTGTGAACTTTATCTGCGATGCGACTGAGACCAATTGGACCATGATAAACAGCATACATCGCCGCCATGTTTGCAAGAAGAGCCTGGCTAGTGCAGATATTGCTAGTGGCTTTCTCACGACGAATATGTTGTTCACGAGCTATAAAAATGTGGTTTAGCTGAGGTAGAGTAAAAGAGTTTAGCTTCTCACTCTGAAGAGCCAATCTGTATGCTGGATTGCCTTGAGTATCTCGACTAAGACCAATCAAACGGCCAGGCATCTTTCGTTTGAGTTTGTCTGTGACGGCGAAAAAGGCAGCATGGGGTCCTCCGTAACCAGCAGGTACACCAAAACGTGCAGAATTTCCAACGACGATATCCGCGCCCCACTCACCCGGAGGAGTGATTCTCGTCAGGGCAAGAAGGTCGGTGGCGCAAACCACCAAACCTCCAAGAGAGTGGGTTGTATCGGCAAGAGAGGCCAAAGATTTGATATGTCCGTTTACGTCTGGGTATTGAATCAAAACGCCGCATACGTCCCCACGAATGGATTCGTCCATGACAAGAGTTTGAGCATCTCCCACGACAATTTTAATACCAAAGCCTTTCGCGCGAGTGCGAAGAACGGCAACTGTCTGAGAAACGACTCCAGAATCCACAATAAACGTTCGCTTCTTGGATGACGCGGAAACAAAAGCCATAACCATTCCCTCAGCGGCTGCAGTGGCTTCGTCTAGAAGAGAGGCATTTGCAATGTCCATTGACGTTAACGAAGTAACCATAGTTTGAAAGTTGACCAATGATTCGAGGCGACCTGCAACAAATTTTAACGTGATAGGGGGTAAAACTACCCAAGTACGCACCTTGCGCGACTTCTGGCTGATAGGGAGTGTAAGGGGTATACCATGCCGGGTTCTCCATAACCTAGAACAAGCGCGTTAAGCCAACCCCACTTACAAAAGAGGCAAAAAACAGACGTTGCGCAAGATGACGGGCGGTACGACAGCGCTATGATACCCCATTCCAATATAACTCTTGAAAGGTTTATTGAGAGCACCCAACGCTTTTGCTCTGTCATGCAGCTCAGACTCGCTAGCTGCAGGAATTGAGGCGTTGTTTATTGAGGAGGCTGGGACCCGGATCTTCGGAGGGACGGTGTCGGCTATGAAACTTTCCAAGGAGGTGTAGCCGAGGTGGGAGAGCATCTTGAATATTTCAGCGTCATCGGGACCAATGTGCCTATTGGGAAAAGAGTCCAGCGGTGCAAAAAGAGACGAGGGGGGCTTGAGGCTGGCAAGACCGCGCACACGTTGCAACCGAGGGAGGACGCGCCAAAGGGTATGGGGATTGCTCAGAAGCCCCATGACGGTGACGGAAAGAGGTCAAGGAGGGACGGGATAGAGGTATTCCAGCAAGGGTCAGAAAAATATTATTCACCGAGTCCACCGAGTCAAGTCTTATCCAAAATTGCCTGATAAAAGGATTAGTGACAAAAGCGAAACTTCTCGGGCGCTGGATGCGACGGGAGCTGTAGGAGATGTTCTGAGCGATGAAATGCATATTTTTTTTACAAGCGTTGAAAAGGACATGGTCGAAAGAAACTGTTGTCCGTTTGACCTGCCACTCCACTCACTTGACAAAAACTTTTTCTTTCGATCGGAGCGGCCATCCGCATTACGTCATGCTTTAGCGGCGGGCGAGCCCGCCCGGTCCCCGACTCTTTTTTTATTTTTTATTTAGTGGGCGATAATCATGCTTCGAGTTTGTGTTTGATAGATAGCTACGACGATGTTATTCTGTACGAACGTCGATAGTCGTGAATCGCAGCCTACGCCATGATGGCGTCTGCTTCAGAATTCGTTTTGTTTGGCTCTTCGTATGGCAAACAATAGGTCCGATGTACAATCATAACGACAATAAACCTTCTCGCAGACCAGACTTCCACGAGGACGACAGTTAAGATATGTCATGTTTAGCTACGCGACTGCCAGATTATCGGTTTGGCTATGCGAATGCCAGATCCGATACATTACTTGACTGCTCATTACCCGACTGCAATGGGACTGTCGTCGTCGTGGATGTCGTCGTCTGCTGCAAGGTTGAGGTAGGATGCTAGAGCTGACACTATTAAGCAGCATATTGATGTTGCAACTGTTGCAACTGTTTGCTGGCACCAACACCACGATGTCACTTGGAGATGGCGTCTGCGAGTCGCGACTGCCGACGTCGGTAGAGAATAACGTCGGAGTTTGAAAAAAAAAAAAGGTTTCGACTCTGTCATCGTCGTCTTCGTCAACACTGTCTCACTGATTCGCACCCATTTGCTTTGCGTGCTGGCTGCAAAACACATCGACTACTCAAACTCGTGCCCTATCACGTTAAAATTTGTGCCCCAGCACGTTAAAATTTGTGCTCTAGCACACTAAACTTTGTGCATTACCACATACTTGAATTATGATGTTGTTAGTCAAGGAACCATGCAAGTGTACTCGAATGGATGATGAAGATGTCACCGATGCGAATATTAACTTTCCTACCACTCATCCATATGAAGTTCTGTACAATCCTCAATCATATGCTGCATTATTTCAATCACAAGCTCAGATAACGCAATGGATGTCGTCTTTATTTCAACATGAATTTTCTTTGAGTGGTAAAAAGTGCGAGATTGAATCGACAAGCTTAAATAATGGTTTCTTGATACTTAATTTAACTGAAAATAAACACCAATGGTTGTCTAGCGATACAGTTGCAAGTGCTTCATTTCATCCGCGTATGTATCTGTCGAAATTTCAACAAGGTGACATTGACTTAAATAACAATAACAAAGAGAAATATAAAAATCCACTATGGTTCTCATTCACTGAAGATCACTACATATCTTCACTTCAACTTCTGCCTATAGCAACATTGTCAAAGTTCTTACAAAAGTATCATTTCAAATACAGCCATGTAACAAAAAAGGAAGCCTGTGTTACAATTGTTAACGAATTTCTCAAAGTTGTAGCCAGTGTTAGTAATGTCTCAGATGAAAATCTCTGTAAAAGATTACATATATCTGTTGGGATTGCTGACAGGAAAAAAATGATGTTTGAGTTCTTCAAACAATCATTTGGTAATGAAATACTTCTATCATTAATGACACCACCAAATCAAGATGAATTTCAATGTTATTGCCCTTATAAATATAACTTAAAGAGCTATGTTTGCCATACTGAAGAAGAATTCTATATCTGTTTGAAAGACATTGATTATGGAGATATTAAGAAAGTTTTCAACACTATGCACCCTTGCAGAAAATATGATAAATCTTTAGCTTACTTCAATGGTAACATATATAATACACTGCGGCAAAGTCTCCAAAATAGGTGTTATAACATCCAATTTATGAATCAAAGTGATATCTATTCTACTTTAGACTGCTACCAAATTTCATATCTTGAAACTCAATCAGGACTTGACCTTGTATATAAGATTTTAAAACATGAGTATAGCTCGAATATTCTTGAACAGCTATCATTGTCAATTCCTGGAAAGCAATTACAAAAGAAACGAAAGAAAGAGAGATTATTAAAAAAGGAATCAAGAATGAATGAGGAACTTGCTTTCAATAAAAGCTTAAAATCAACTTGGCCTCCAAATATCCCTGATGATGTCATACAACATTGTACAAATAGTTACATGCAACAAACAAATTTATGCCAACCTGATACATGTTGTTGCTGTTCACGAAAACGGTTTGATGTTGACATGAGTGTTGTAAAATTGAGTGAAAACTGTGATTTTCAGAAAGATTTGCATTTAGATTTACTAGCTGTAACAAAAGAAGAATTTCGGAGTTATTTTCAATGGCCTATTGAAAGTTTAGTTGGACTTATGCTAGATTCAAATGGTTTCACTTTTGATGTTACTGGAAACATTGAAAGTATCATATTTTGCCATGAATGTATTTCTGATCTAAAAAAAAATAAGCTTCCAAAGTTTTCTTTAGCAAATAATCTATTTCGAGGTGTACTACCTGAACCATTTAAAGATTTGACATGGGTTGAAGAAATGACTTGTGCCATTTATAGAAGTACTGCATATGTAACCCGATTGTATGATTCAAGTCAAACTAATCAGCCAAGAGTATTTCGTGGAAATACATGTGCACATGATGTCAATGTATTTTCAACAGCATGTAAACTACCTCTAACACCTGATGACATTACAGGTTTAATATCAGTAGTGTTCATCGGTCCTGGAAAATACTCAAAAGAATGTTTGAAGCAGATTTTTCATGTGCGAAAATATAAAATATGGGCATTTCTTCTGTGGTTAAAAGAGCACAACTACTTATACAAAGATATAATTTTATCACAAGAAAACTTAAATGCTTATCCAGATAGTGATGCTATTCCTGGTATTGAGGATAGAGTAATATATGAAAAAGATATTGATGTTGCAAAACTTCTTGCAGAAGAAACTGCAGGTATTGATGATCATCCTGCATTGCAAGTATTACAAAACAGTGATGAAAATGACATAACAGTATTTTTAGAGAAAATGGGTGTCTCAGATCCTGAACAAGTAAAGATTCAAGGTAGAACTTTTACCGCAAATGCTTTAAGAAACATTATTCAGGATCCATCTGACCGTCCTGATCTTATTATACATAGAGGTCTTCAACCAATTTGTGAATATAATAATCCTATTTTGTTTCCAGGAATGTATCCAACACTATTTCCCCTTGGATATGGAGGATTTGAGGATCCTAATCAGCCTAGAAAAATCAGTTTTCAACTTCAAGCAAATTACTTTCTTGACATATCTGACCGATCCTTCCGATATCATCAATCTTTCATTTTCATTGCATTAAATATTATTCAACGACATACTGCACAACTTCACACATCACTTACTGTCGCCAACCCAAATTTTGAACATATTGCACAAGAATTAGCAACAGTTTCTCCTCATGCGATTGCTAGAGTTGCTAATTTACTTGAGAAGGAAGAAAATGTAGCACTACTAGATAATGATGATGACAAAAAGGTTTTAACAGTCCTCAAAGAAATCAAAACTATTGCCGCAAAAATACCTGGATCTGAAGCTATAAAGCTTCAAAATCGTAATGAAATTATTAGCTACATGGGCTATTTTGGCTTACCTTTCTTTTTTTTTACTGCCAATCCAGAACCCAATCACAGTCCATTATTTCAAGTCATTTATGGAGACACTTCTGTCAATCTAGATGAACATTACCCAAAAATGGTGTCCTCTACAGTTCGTGGATTGCGCATTGCAAAAGATCCTGTTGCAGCAGCAGATTTCTTTCAAATTTGTATTGATCAGATGATTGAACATTTGTTTGGATGGGACTTCAAAACTAGAAAAAGTAAAAAGAATGGTGGAATATTAGGGCATATGGAGGCATTTTATGGTGGAGTTGAAAATACAGAACGTGGAAGACTTCATGCTCACTTTGAAATATGGATGGCAGGTGCTTTAAACCCAACTGAAATTCATGAATGCTTGAAGTCAGAAAAAGAATATGATACACATCTTTTTGAATATCTTGAAAATATAATTAAACATGATCTTCCACAAACAGGTGTGATCGTTGAAGATGACTATGAGCCAAGAATATGTCGTCCTCCAGATTTCAGTCATATTACTGACAATGAAGATAGAAAAAGTTTGTTTAATACTGAAGTAGAAAAATGTGGTGAAAAAATGCAAAGACATCATTGCCGGGAGGTTTGTCATAAATATAGAACTCATTCTACAACTTGTCGTTTTGAATTCCCTCATGATATCATTCCACATTCTTATTTTGACTCTGACACTAATTCCATCTTTCTTAAATGTTTAGATCCAATGATTAATTATTATAATCCATACATCTTAATTTATTGTCGTCATAATCATGACTTACGCTGCATCCTATCAGGAAAGGCTGCAAAAGCAGGTATGTTTTATATAACTGATTATATTACAAAAATGGAAATGAAAACTTATCAATTACTATCTCTTTTATCACGTGCTGTTCTTCGTGCAAAAGAGGTAGCATCGTCAAGTACGAAAGAGAGTGCTAAAACTTTACTGCATAAGTGCTTGTCACAGTTTATAAAACAGCAACAAATTCATGCCCAACAAGCAGCAAGATACATACGTGGCTTGACTGATACAATTAAATCTCATAAAACACTTCCGATGCTTTCATCTCTTGTCATTGACTTTGTTTGTACAGCATTTCCTGACAATACAGCAAAGTCTAAGTACTACAATACTTCTTTAGACAATAAAGATGGCGACAGTGACGATAACAATGGTGACAGTGATACTTGCAAAAGTAACTCTGAAAATGTCAATGATAATGATGTTATAGAGCCTGTTAGACTTCAACTTCATACTGATAATGCAGGAAAATTTATCAAAGCCAATCAAATTGATCACTATATTTATAGAGATAGAAAGCTAAAAGATGTTTCATTTTATGACTTTATTTGGAGATTTAAAGTTACAAAGAAAAGAGATATTGCTGTCAAAGATTCTGAAAGTATGCGACTTGGCACTTACCCACGATATGAATTACAGTATCCTCATCCACAATGTCAAACTCATGTTCTTGTTGAACATACAAAAAATGTTGGCAGGGATAATACTAACCTTTGCATACCTAGAGTCATAGGAATGTCCATTCCACGATATGACTCGCCATCCTATCACTTATTTATGTTGGCTCATTTCAAGCCTTTTTCAAAAGAATGTCCATTGTGGAACCAAAATATAGGTGTTACTGAAGCCTTTAAACAGTTTCATTTCAGTGCTGCAGCTCAAGAAATAATGCATAATTGGGAACAATCCATGAATGTGAAGATGAAAGGGATGC